GCAGCGGATTCTTGACTGGGTACTTTCATCTCATCGTACGAAACCGACCACGCTCCGTGATAGGGAGAAGACAGTGGGGGAAGACGCAAGTAGGGGCCACAACCGCGCCCGGCACTCGCTGATTACGACCGCCAGATCATCCACTGCGGAAGCAAGTCGTATGCGAACCTGCTGCCACATCACGATGATCAACCTCTCTCAGTACACAGCCGTTATCCTTCCGAGCTAATCCTATTCCTGGAGTTTCGTGGCATGACCCTGTACATAGACGTGGTTCCATTCTGTGCGCCTATTATTGATTTCAGCCAACCAGTCGAGCAACATGGCAAACAATCCTGTTGCTATGGACGCCAGCCTGTCCAGCCTAAACTCTGCCGACAACGACACATCTGCGACTTCCAGTGCCCATATTGATTCTCAAGCATCCAAATGGACTTCCACCTCCACATCACTAACCGCCTCTCCCGTACAATCGAGAGATCCTTCACCAACACGCCCTTCCATGAAAAACGGGAGAACGAGCCGTGCTTCTACAGCCTCGGCTAGGTCGCGCAAAAATAGTATTCAGGACCCAAGTCCGTCGAGATCTAGAAGTGGCGTTAATACACCTTCTACGACCCCACGACAACAACTTTCTTCTGCTACCACGCCGTCGCTACCCCCTCCGTCGAGCTCGGAGCTCGTACTACGAGCACCTGTTCCCCAAAAGGCTTCCGTCGCATCCGAATCGGTCAAAGACTCACCTCGGTGGCCTGTATCCCCTCGACTGAAATCACCGCCTCCTAATATTGGGCGACCGGCTGTTGCGGGTTCATCCTTGCGCAAAAACGAACCAGACGCACCTGCCATAAATGTTCAACGAGCAACGCCTTCGCCTCACGTGGAATCCGCCTCCACTTCTCAGTCTACCTCCGACAACGAAACGGAAGACTCGCAATTGTCTTCTGGTATGAGGACTCCCGCTCGTGGGCCGAGCAATGGGTCATCAACCCTAGAGACGGTCCAAGAAGTTAGCCAACCTAATACGCCACGGCCCGGATTGGATGCCGCTCTCGAGAAACTCGCTGAGACCGCCGAATCCCAGTCATCTTTTCAAAGTACTAGTTCTAGGAGTACAGTCAAGAGGGCTAGCTCTAGTCAAAATGTGACAAACAGCGAGAGCGGTAGCGATAGTGGGAACGCTAAGACGAGTTTTAGAAGGACGAGCACCGCGGCCCCTACGCCCTCACTCCATAGCAGACAATCGAGCACGGCCATTAAGTTCGGCGGTAAAGGTCCCACTTCGGCAGAGAGCTCGTCGAGGAACATGACGGTTGAGACGGAGGAGATCAATAACCCTCAAGCGATATCACTGGCGGCCAACACAAGAGGTCAAGGAACGAATGGAAGTCTGAGGACGAAACCCAGCTCAGAAACCATAAAACCCAAGAAGGAGAAGAAGAAGCACCCAAGAAAGCCTGCTTCTGTTGCCTCCGGCAATGGTGAGACACCTATTTTCTTTCCAACAGCCACACTTCGGCATCAAGGTTCAATCAATTCAATACGTTCAATACATACAATGCACGGTCAAGGATCGTACGAACTTGTTCAAAGCCCCCAGCAACGACCCAAACCACCAGCAAGAACTCTAAGCATAACCACTCAGATTGGCAGTCTACTAACTGGAGGACCTCGTCCAGCATCCTCAAAAGCAGATATATTCGAAGCCAAAGTTGCTAGCGCGGTTGAGGAGGCTAACTCCTCGGACTCGGATGAAACCTTTGTATACGATTCTAACCCACCAGACGTTGGCGACCGTCCCCGTCGTTACCACTCGCGCACACCCAGTGCAACTTCGATGATGAGCCAGGTCGATCGGAATGGGCTACGCTCACTAACAGGCGTGTTGGAAACAGGGACGCCTACTCTTCCGGTTAAAAAGAATATGAAGTTTGTGAATACTTACACTAGTAGCGGAACCGATGGTCCTGCGGGAGACGACGACGGTCGAGGTACGGGCCGAAGTAACGTTGGCTCAGCACGAGGAACCGGCCGTCATCCCCACCATCCCGGACGTTGGGGTCGGAATAACGGCAGCAACCACCTCTCACTATTCGATAACGAATCTCCTTTCCCTAATGCGGCGAGGTCTAAGTTTTCTGGCAATAGTATGAAACAGCCATCGAATCCCCCAAGCCCTAGATTCAGCACAAGTCGGGGCTGGGCTTCTAGTAGTAAGCGACAGTTGGCGCTGCCTGGTGGTTACGATATGGACGACACGACCACCGGCGCCGACGATGAAAGAACCCCTCTCCTTATAGGTGGTACGACCAGATCTATTAGGTCTACTCGAAGTCGACGAAACCCGCACTCGAGAAATCTCGAGGCTCAAACGTATCGACAGCCGCCTACCTTTCTTAATCGCTTTGCGAGTTGTTTGGTCCTCACTATCATGTTGTTACTCGTGCTAACAGGAGCACTCGGGTTCATGTTTGCGACATCTCAGCCGCTCACCGCTATCGAACTTGTCAAGATCGGCAATGTTCTTGCCAGTGAGCAGGAGCTAATGATGGATATCACCGTCAAGGCACATAACCCTAATGTCGTCGTTGTGATGATCGATACCGCCGACCTCGAAATCTTCGCGAAATCCCCGCATGCTGGTACTGATTCGGAATGGTGGCGACATCCTAACGGAGATGAGTTTAGTATTTTGGACGACCCCATAGATGACCCTCCGGTCGTCAAGTTACCGGGCGATGACGATCCACCACCTGAAGAGGACAAGGCACCAAACATGCGTCTCGGAAACGTTGTCGTATTCGACAGTCCTCTCACTTACGAAGGATCTTTCTTCCAGTCAGGCATTTCTACATCTACCGGCTCATTACGTCTAAGCCGGCCGGGTAACGGCACTGATAGTGGCTCCGAACGATGGGAGCGTATCATATCGGATGAATTTACACTGATCGTCAAAGGAGTTTTGAAGTACACGTTACCTCTTAGTCAGAGGATAAGAAACGTGGCAATCTCTGGCAAGACGATCGTTAAACCGAATTCCGCCAACAACCCATCTTTGCGACCCAATCAAACGGAATCCGCAATACAATAATACCCACGACACGGGCCTCTCCAGCCCTACATCCACTTTCATTTGTGCCTTTTTACACGATTCTGTATATCGAGCGGGGACAGCATGGCATACAGGAGCTTTAGGCGTTGGATTTGTCCTTCGAGCAGTGACATACGCCAGGGTTAAGAAGCCTGAGGCTAGAAGACGCGTAACGCGTGATCTTGTTCATCTGCATCTTAGGCTATCATTTGGCATATTGATTTTTTCAAGAAGTTTTAAGAATGGTTTCTCAAGGTTTTTGTTTTCAACACAAGATGGGCATCGCGGCACGGCACTAAAGGTGCTGATTCAAAATACACATTGCATAGGATGGACATACAAAAAGCATACCCCTTCAAAATTGGTATTTTCAGTCGAGAGGTGTTTATTTCTGTTTTCTTCCCCGCCATATTCTCCTGTTCAGGACAGGGAAGGGTGAGGGTGTTTTTATGGGGAAAGGATGAGCCTTGTTTTTTGATTTTTTGTTTCTGTGATGATGAAAATTAGACGGAAGGACGGCGACTACTAACTACCATTACTGCTATTATTACGTCTTCGTTTCAGTCTCTCGACAACACTACCAGATACCCAGACCAACAGATCGGGGAATGCCGCATTTGTACTTGTTATGGCTTATGAAAGAATAAGAAAAATTACTACGAAAATCGTTAAAAGGAGTGACAGATTAATATAATCTTATGCAATGGCTGGCGCATGCTGGCTGACAACTCGTGCTTTATATATGATGTGTTCATAGTCAATGTGTGTTATCTTGGATGTGTTTGATTTAGCACGAGACTATTAAGGTCATAGACGTCGTTTAAGGTATGTCATTTCTAAGTGATATTTGCAGCAAGTTTACTCAATCATGTACGCTTATGGAAATGCCTCTTGCTAATAGAATTCTTTTCGAAATAGACACATCTACCTAGCTGCCTAGATACTATCTAATGTCTTATCTCTTAACAAATGCCTTCAGATATACGACTAAAAAATATCAAGCATATCATCCTATTAACCTTTAAAGAAGGAAACCAATAGCCAAGTATTTAGGTAGATATGTAAATATACCTGTTACGACTATCCTATAATCCCCTAGGTCCAGGCTACACTGTATCATGGCGATGGGATTTTTCAAAGTTGTCACGTTTTACACAACTGCAGGGCTAAGCGGAAGTGATCTTGAGCCTTATAGGCGGATCTATCCCGAACATGCATGGCGCTATTCCGTTTCTGTGTCTATACCCCTGTTCCTCCTGGGTCATAGTATGTTTCACGATATCGTACTGTAATTCAGATTTCTTAACACCTAAAAGCAAACTACTATACCCCCCATGAGACGAATCGCGTATTATACGAAACAAGAACAGCGTTGATCTTCTAATTCGCTCTTCCTTGGTTTCGAATACACTATAGCTACTAAAATCAGCCCAGTAGGGCGTGAATCCTTCGCATGAAGTTGGCCTAGCCGCCCGCTAAGGCGCGTTCAACCCAGCCAAGTCTAGACCGCACAGGCGTGAATAGTCACCTCGGCGCGCATCTAGTCGACGGGTCTAGCTTGTCTAGCTGAATGCGTATACGTATTTCAGCGGGGATAGGTCGATTATGGGATAGGAAGCATGTCTAATAACACAGCCTCCTCTCTATACAAAGTCCCCTTAGGACTAATCTGTAGTTTATTCGAGAGGCTGAAATCGGTCAGTTGATCTCAGTCTCGTTGCATATGTATTTTTTATGAAATTTGATTTGTGACACCCTACCTTATCTAATTACTTGCTTTTTTATCTGCGTCTGTCTCTTTTAGTATCTGGCGAACGCCTCATGTACAACCCACCAATGCACATAGCCAAATAGAATACCCTACCTTACCCTCCCAACTAACGCCACCCAGCCCCTCCCTTTCCTTAGAATGGACAACGCAAACCTAGCCGCAGCATGGCTATCCTTCGCCGCAACAGCCGTCGGTCTAGGCGGCCTAATATCGCAAGCCAGCGCGATAAACGAACAACTCGATCCCTTCCACGCCAACCGCACCGTAGAGTACCTGGGGATATGGTTCCAACGACAAGCGCGATTTCCCTGGTGGAAGATCGCGAAACCGCCTCCTTTGGGACCCGTTATCGCGGCGAAGATGGCGGAGGGATTTTGTGGGTTTAATGATTTGTATATCACGCGTATACCCGTGGCGCCCCCCGGGAAGGCGGGGTGGTCTACTGTGTTGGCTATGTTTAATCATGAGCCCCCGGTTTTAGGTCCGTTGGGTGCGGATGTTGGGGCTGTGGAGAAGGGAGGGAATGTGGTTACTTCGGTGGCTTCGGTGGCGCCCACGGGAAGTGTAAACGGGAATGGTGCGCCGCGTAGTGCTAATTGGGCGCATCTTGAACGGACGGCGCTTACGAGACATCAATCCCACGCTTGTATTACGATATCCCGGACGACGCTTATCACCATGCTGGTTGTGACGAATGGGCGTCCCGTGTTTCAGTACAGCGATGCGACGGGTTTTAGGGCTGGTTACGCGTCGTATTGTGGGCAGTGGTGTGAGTACACGTCTCTTAGTCCTACTCCTTGGGAGATTTGACTGATTTATTGTTCAGACATAACATGGCCCATCGGCCAAGAAGCCATCATAAAATTCGCCTCCCACGACTCCATCGGCTCCACCGAAGTCCTCCCGCGCAGCTTTCGCCAACGCGTTGACCGCTGCGGGCAAATGGTCTCCGGGGTCGTCTCATCACCAACCTCCTCCTTCGCCGTCGCTTTCGGCGGTCGACGACCCGCAGGCGACTACGTACTCGAGCACGCAGTCAAGGGGTTCCAAGGCGCGCATAGCGGACGGCATTTGTATAACATGATGGGCGGGCGAGCTTTCGAAGTCGATTACCTAGTCGCGCGGCCTGAATCTACCACCCCCACCCCCTCCCCGTCCACTCGATTCTTAGATTTACCTAGTAAGGAAGACGGCAAACCCACCGTACGCTTGAGAATCCCGCCCCACGAGGAAGAAGTCCTGAAGCAGGCTTTGGATTGCTTGCCCTGGACATCGCTATCTTGGAGTTTGCACCGCGGGATGCGCGATGTGTTACTTGCATACGGAAAGGGTGTTATGGATATGCACCGTGATAACTTGGCAGAATTACTCCGTCGCACGGTGGAGGAAAGACCTGATGTTTTCCGTCTACGCGGTTGGGATCCCGAGTTTGTCCGGAATAATATGGGGCATATGGCTGCATCGGCGGTGTTAGCTGGACGTGGAAATTCGGGTGATTCGGTGCGTGTCGTTAGTGATATCGTGGAGGCGTATGTAGGAGATTGGGATGTGGCGAAGTTGGATGAGGTGAATTTCTGGCGGAGGGAGCGGAAGAACAGTGAAGAAGAGGAAGAACTTGATGTCCAAGCTGTAGTGGCATTAACGAAATTTTTCGTGCTCGAATGGAGCCAAGAGTTCGATTATCAGTTATATCACCACCTCCCCATCGAGTTGTTCTTTGGGTGAGCTGTGGTGGATTTATATGAGTCTATGAATACTTGACGAATGTATATATAATTGGGAATGTATATCATTTAGATGTCGAGCGCGCTATGTCTAGATACCTAAAAGTTCTATTGTTCAAGTCATTTGCGAAGGAGCTCAATCTACATTTAGTTCATCGTCTTTTCTATTGCATGAATGGGTATGAGCGGGTCGAGATAGATGACCTTTCGGTTATGATACTACGCTTCTAATGGCATTGCGGCCCCTAGAAACAAAGAAACTAGAAGACTGGAGCAAATCAACAACAGTAACTGTTCATCCAAGATATCAATGTTTAATTGCAATATCTCCTAATAACGCAGTTTCCCCCCGGTCCCGATCTCTTTATTGTAGCTCCGCAGTAACCATCTTCAAAACCTCCTCAACGCCTTTCTTAGCATTCTTCGGATCCTTCGCAATCCTCTGCCAAACCTCGCCATGCCTAGGCTCGACACTCACACACTTACTCACGACTTCTTCCCTTTTCTCATCGGTGCCGTGCTCCAGTAAAAACTTATAGTACCACGCCCAACTATCACCGAGATCCGAGTCGCGCACTAGCGCCTTCTCGAACCAACTCTGAGCTTTCTCTAATCTACGCTCACCCCAGAAGATACGCGCTACGGCTACTAGTAATGTCGGGTCGTTGTCGACTTCCTTGATGGCCTCAAGAGCGCGAGGTTTTCGTTGTGGGCGTGCTGTTAGGTGCCAGATCTTTTCGCTCCAGAGGATACCTTGTTCCGCCTTCGGTACATCGCGTAGCGCTCGTTCCATCAGTGATTCAGATTGTTTTGTGTTTTGTGCACGACGCTCCACGCGAACTGACTCGCACCAAAGCTCCGCCGACTTAGGCACCGCGAGCCGCGCTCGGTCGAGTACGGAACGGGCTTTAGGAAGCTGGCCGAGCTTCTCTTCTAGACGAGAGTACAGCAACCAAAGGGGAACTGATTTTGGTACTGCCTTGACTCCTGTGCTGTAAGCTTCACGTGCTTGTAAAGGCTTGTCTAGATCTTCATAGATCTGGCCCTTCATCATCCAAAGTTTAGCGGAGGCAGGGAAGAGGTTGAGGGCCTGTTGGACGAGATCAAGTGCTGCATCGAGATCGTCTAATTGCCGCTCGAAGGCAGCGCTCTTCATCCAGACACGGTCGGTTGGAGCTTCTTGACGGGCCGTCTTTAGAAGGCCTCTAGCCTGTTCGATATGCCCGTTCTCCGCTTCAAGTTTGACGGCTGCCAACCAGATATCTTCGTTGTTTGGGTTCTGTTGGAAAGCTCTCGCCAACACTCGGCGCGCATTGTCGATTTCTCCGGCTTGCCATTTTTCCTTAGCAAGCATCATCCACAGAACCTCGCTACGAGGTACTGCATTAACAGCCTTCTCAAGAACTTGCCACAGGTCTTCCCTTGATCCATGATTCCTTTCGAGATCCGCAGCTGCTAGCCATATCGTTTTGCTCGTAGGGAGTACTCGTAGTGCATATGCATAGATAGCTCGGGCAGTCTCGTACATACCCCGATTAATACTTCCGCGTGCATCATCTAACCAGGTATCCTTGCGATCGTCATCCTCGTCGAGGCCGTAACCCAGAGTCTCTCGGATAATTGCCCCGCAAGTAATTATGGCACCTTCTTGTTCGCACTTCTCCGCCTCCGTAATCCATTCCTCCCGCTTGGGCATCGCAGATTCTTTGACGAGAACTTGCGCAGCACGTTTCATAACATTGACCTTTTCTCCCTGGCCAAGTTGTTCTTGTAATCGCGCGGCTGCTATCCAAATTTCGTGAGATGTTGGACAATGCTTTCGGGCCTTGTTCAGCACCTTCTGCGCATTTTCCGGCGTTTCGAGTCTGGCCAAAGCCAGCCATAGATCCACCGATAAGGGTATAAGTTCTGTAGCTTTCGCTAGGAGTAATCTCGCATCATCCGGATCTTCCTCTAGGTTGACTGCTTCTTTCCACAAGGCCTCAGATTCAGGTGTATGATCTAGAGCTTGCCGTATTACCCTTTTCTTAGATCTTGTATCATCTTCCAACTTCATCGCCTCAACCCATAATCGCACAGAACGATTGTTTTTCTTGATGGCTTCTGCGGCAATAATTCTAGCGTTACGGCGCTCGTTCAGTCGAATGCTTTCCAACCACACATCCTCGTTTTTAGGACAATGATCACAACCACGTGCTATAACGTTCCTGGCCGCTACAATCTTGCCAGCAAGTTCCTCAAGACGAGCTGCTGCTATCCAACCAGGGCCATTATTCGGGTTGGTTTTGATGACAGATTCAAGTAATTCCCTAACCCTGTTGATGTCACCTACTTGGGCCGCACTCTCGGGTAATTGAGATTTGGCCAGACTCGTTAGATAGCCTTTGGGATCAACGCTCGTCGCACTTCCAGATGCAGTCGTTCCGGTTTGTGAAGCTTGATCGAGCCTAACTTGTAAAACTTTGTCTCTGGCCTGTCCGATCTTGGCAAAATTTGTCATGGTTCCATCCTGAGTACTCGAACTGCTATTAGTCGCTGTTCCACCATCATCAACCACGGTGCTTCCAAGCTCGCCAGAACTTCCGGCAGCAGCTAATACGCTATCTGGAACAGCATAGAAGCGTTGTTGCCTCGCTTGTTTGCTTCGTCTATTCTTTCCGGTAAGATCACCGACCTCGGGCAGCGCCGCCCATTCTTCTTCGGTAACACTTTCTAGCGTTCGTTTCAAATCGGCGAATTGTTGTTGTATCTTCGGGTTCTTGCGCTCATATTCCTCTTGTTCTGCTTTTTCTCGGGCTTCCCTATTCGTAGAAAACAATCGTCGGCAATCTGTTCAAACTAACTTTGGGATGAACTGTGAACTAGCTGGGGAGAAAAGGGAGGGACAAATTAGAAGAGTACTAACCTTCTAGCTCTCCGTCGCTTATCCATCTTCTCATCTATCTCCCGGTATATTCGGTCGGCTTCATCGTCGTCTTTGTCATAGACTCCGCCGGCAAATAGACCGACTTCATTGTCTGGATCTTGGTATCGTTCGTCATTGTCATCCTCTTCTTCCTTTTTGCCTCCTGTTGCTGCTGCCTCGCTGAATCCTAGTTGTGCTGCTCGTTTCGCGAGGGCTTCTTTGATCTGGTCTTCGGACGGTCCTTCTCTGGCTGGACCCAAATCCGAGCGTGTTGTGAATCCGGTCGCACCACGTCCTAGACCGGCAACGTAGTTTTCGGGCGCAGGCTGACTTAGAAAGTCGCGTCGCCCCGTCATGATGTCTAGTTAGATTGAAAATTGGTCGGAGTAAGAAGGTAGGCCACAGTCGAGAATAGGATGCGATGCGACGCGATGATTAAGTATGCGACAAAGATGTCTGCATGTCAATGAAATTGTGAAATTCAAAGGTCTAAGTTTAAGTTGAAAGCTCTCAGAAATAGAAAGGCGCAAAGAGCAGGCGACGAGCTAGGCGCTAACAGCAGGGATCCAGATAACGATAAGAAAAAATAAGCTAAGCGCAGCTAAATCTCTAATCGGGAGCCTTATAATAAGATCATCCAATCAGATATGTTGATTCAACAGTGTGGATAAGAAATAATCGATAAATTTCTCGAGCTAACCACATTCAGCCACGGCACCAAAAATTAAAATAAAAAAGTTCCTATCTACAATCGCATCGCCGTTTTGCCCCTCCATAATTCACCACACCCGGCGCATACCATTACAAGACCGACAATACATCGCTGAGCAGTCAAGTCCAACCAGGAGTGAAAATGGGAAAGGCAAAGACCTCCAAGCGCGGAGGTGCAGCCTCTGGTCCGTACGAGCGACCAGCCAAACAAGCGGCGGCCAACAATGTCTTCAAGTTCAGCAAAGACTTCGGTCAACATATTTTAAAGAATCCGGGTATCGCAGAATCGATAGTAGCGAAAGCAAACCTCAAACCGACAGATACCGTACTTGAAGTCGGTCCCGGAACGGGTAACTTGACAGTCAAGATCCTCGAGCAGGCCAAGAAAGTTATTGTAGGTTTTTCCAGCGAGTGAAGTTCTCATGAAGGATCATTGGGCTCATTAGCATTATGAACAGGCTGTGGAAATGGACCCTCGAATGGCGGCCGAAACAACGAAACGTGTACAAGGGAAACCAGAGCAGAAGAGATTAGAGGTCTTACTCGGAGATGTGATCAAGACAACGCTCCCTGGGTAATTCCACCTACTTAAACGAGTACGATAAACCAATCGCTAATGCGCAAATAGCTTCGACGTTTGTATCTCAAACACACCTTACCAAATCTCGTCGCCTTTAGTATTCAAGCTCCTCTCCCTACCGAATCCTCCAAGAACATGCGTACTCATGTTCCAACGCGAATTCGCTCTCCGTCTCACAGCCCGTCCAAATGACCCTCTCTATTGCCGACTCTCCGTAAACGCACAATTCTGGGCACGTAAGTCGAAAGATCCGACCCCCTATGAACCAATCCAGATTCTAACTGCTACTAGGCATAACACACGTTCTAAAAGTCGGCCGAAACAACTTCCGCCCGCCTCCTCAAGTCGACTCCAGCGTCGTCCGCATCGAGCCGAAACTCGGCGCCGAACGGCCCAATATCAGCTTCGAAGAATGGGATGGAATGCTCCGCGTATGCTTCAACCGACGAAACAAGACCCTTCGAGCGTCCTGGCTCGGTAATAAAGAAGTCCTCTCCATGTTAGAGCGGAACTACCGACTCTGGTGCGCGACGAATAACATCCCCGTCGACGATACCATCGCAGAAGACGGCGAGGATGATAATGATGACATGGAAGTCGATGAGAACGTCCCCCCTAGTGCTGGGGATGAAGCAGAGTGGGGTGGTATCATGGACGTTGATGATGCAGCCGATGATACGCCATCGTTTTTCAAGGAGCTTAAAGCTGCTGGGAACGAGGTACCAAAGACGAAGAGCAAGCGGAAGAAGACGAGAGTCGCTCTACTCGTCAAGGAAAAGGTTCGCAAAGTCCTCGAGGATGTGACGGAACTTGCCGATCACCGAAGCGGGAAGTGTGACGAAAACGACTTTTTGCGTCTTCTCGCAGCCTTCAATGCGGAAGGAATTCATTTCTCGTAGAATATTGGGCTACTGGAACCGATTTATGGCATTACGGCTGCCAGGCGTTTTTAGGAGGTTAGGGCTCACATTCAAGCATATTATCACGGCGTTTTGGTGATTGGGGCGGCAAACGACGATATCCACGAAAAGTCTGCAGGTGAGGATGATTATTATGATACGTATAGACATCAATCGTACAGGAAAAAAACTTCCTTCATCCATTCGAGTTCAATACTCGAAAATTACTGACTCCCAACCCATACCCAGGAATAATGTGCTTCATTTACTTTCCACCGCCACCAAACCAGCTCGAGATACCACTCTTGGCTTTAGATGCTTCGGTCTCCACTTTCTTGTCGAACTCGTCTACTTTCTTCAAAGCGGCATTCTTGGTGTCCTTCGCATAGGCTTCAGCTTCGGCGGCGGCCTTTTGCAGTTCGGCTTGTGTCTTGCCCAGCTATATATATTTGATAATTATCAGTCTCCATTGCAATAGCGTGCGGTGTTGCTAGATTGAGGTGTACTTACAGTACTGTCAACCTTTGCGCCTGCTTGGGCGCCATACTTCTCCGCATTCTTCTTCGCCTCCTCTCCTCGACCCGGTAGGTCTGACTTCAACTGCGCGGAGACTCTGTGTGCGTCGGCTATTACGAGTCGTCAGCCAAAACGAAGACAAGTTGTAACGGGATCAGTATATAAAGAAACAGCATACCTTCAGCTTGCTTCTGAGCTACTTTGGTATCACCACCTGCGCTGTATAGGTAGTAACCGATACCGCCGGCGGCCGTCAGGCCAAGAGCGAGGGGTAGTCTGGATCTGGACATTGTGGCGTGGAGAGAATTAAGCGTTACGGGACAGCTAGGGAATTGTCTAGGTACCGAAGAGACTTGTTCGGGTATATGAAGGGTTGAGGTTGTGAGTTGAGGTTGAAGTTATTGGCTCAGGAACAAATCCAGAACAGGATGAGCGACAATTTATTACAACACCACTACTTAAGTAACTACGTACAATAAATAAGTTATCCTTACAAAAAATTCAAACATACGACTTTAGCTTCAGGTGCATGCCGATTCTACCTGACGAACGATTCGCTATTGTCACAAGATTCATGACGTAGCTCATGTTAAATCGCCAGGTGGGGAGGAAGATGTAACGGTATGAGGTACAAGAGAACGACTCGCTTTATATACTAGAAACAGTACATTGGCGAAGTACCTCTCGAGTACACTGACCTTACTCCACTTTGTGATTCCAGACCCCACATCCGGAGCTTCTCCAGTCGCAACCGTGATGACCTTGCAGTTATTATAACTCTATTATTACATAGTATTTTAGGTACCTTTCTTTCTCTTACATCATCAACATATTTCAAACCGATAAGACATCGTGAATTCTTAACAACAACTTATACTAAAATCATGGACATCTATACACGTGCTCAGACACAAACTCCACATAGAGTTAGAGAGATAACTTCAATACTAGTTTGAGGCTCAGCTGGTTTAGAGCCTTTTCTATTTCTTTGCAGATCAGTTAGCTTGTTTTACCTGGGGGCTTCCTACGAGCTTGCCAACCGGTTTTTAGCCTCCTTCGTCATTGATATTAGTTCCTGGCCCTGACCCATACGTTTTTAGTTTCTCAGCCTGCATCTTGGTCCGCACAGGTTTACCTAATTCTTGAGGGTTCCCGTCTTCTTCCCCTCCTTCACTGTCCATATTGCTAGCCAGCAGCAAGCTGTGCTATAGATTCCAACCAAACACAAGCAAGCAGTTCATCTACATTGTATATGTTTCGTAGCTAGAACTAAACCCGACTCAACAACTGATGACTAGCATCCACATAGGTCTTACGCCAGTATTAGCTATATAATAGCTTTTCATTATGCTGAGTTCGACCAAATCGAACGATGCCCAAGACCAAAGCGCACCTGCGCAGTTCGCGTCGCGTCCCTTCGCTAAGAGATAGTGAAATCGATCATGAAATAAGTCTTGTCGACCACACCGAACCCACTGAGGAGCCTCGGTCTCCTACCTCTGAAATAGGCAACAACATCGACCATTCTGTTTCGAACCAACCTCTTATACCATCCGAAAGCCGACCCTCATCTACCCAACCACCAGAAGCGGAAGATGGCACGTCGAAACCCGATAATGCAGCCGAGGCAGGTCCCTCAGGCGAGCAAGACACATCCAACACTTCTACAAAAGATACCGGATCAATAACACAAAAAAAATCCGCCACAAAAGAAAACGGCGTAAAAATCCACACCAAACGGCGCTCCCGTCTCTCCAAAGAACCCGAAACCTCAATCGACATCCTCTACGAGAACCAACGGGGAGGCTTTCTCTGCGGTCTGCCCCTCTTCTCCTCCGCCGCCCTCGGTAACCTAGACCCACCCGCATGGACGAACTTCGCGCACAAACCAAGTCCAACCGACATCAACACAGCGCAAGTCCCAGACCCAAGCTGGGAATGGGCATGGCCCGCCTGGCGCGTAAACCACGACGACGAAATATCGCTCGACGGTGAGGGATGGGAGTACTCATTCATGTTCTCGAAGAAGTTTTCCTGGCATGGACCTAAGTGGTACAGTTCCTTCGTGCGACGACGCGCTTGGATCCGGAAGCGCGTCAAGAAAGGGTTCGGATACCAGGCGAATGACCCGCATATGCTGAACCCGACGTACTTCGCCGTTACCCCGACACGCACGGAATCGGAGCGTGTGAGTTTGAGTCAAGCCGTCAGTCGCGTATCTCAGGAAACCGGTAAGAGGTCGAGACTAGAAGATGGTGAAGGAAAAGAGGATTTAACAACAATTGAGGATCTAATGATGGTATTACGACACTCACGCATCGACCGTGAGAAACTCGAGGCTATGGAAAATTATATACAGCATTGCACGGACGATTTACAGCAATTGCAAGATTACATGCATGAGATAATGTCACTATTCGTGTTCCAAGCCACACGCCAACTCCTCTTAGCTCGTCTTATACAATTACACGACGACCAAACCCATTCCCATTCCCAAGCTCAAACTAAAGAGCAAAAGGGGAAAACCCCAGAAACAAATCAACGGAAAGCCGAGAATCTGGCGGCGGCTATTAAACACGCCGATGAGGAAGTCCGGAAGTTGGAGTACTGGAGCGATATCAAGGGGATGGCGGAAAGTGGTGAGTCGAGGGGTGCGGTGGATTGTGGTGAGGGTTGGGATCGTACGTGGGAGGGTTTGGATAATAGTGGACCGAAAGGTGTTAGGGAAGGGGATACACTTCCGTGATAGCTTCTACGTGTTTGGAATATTGGGATTGTGTTTATGGCTTAACGAAATAAGAGAGCGGGTTTTGGAGCAATTCCAAGCAAGGGAGTCTTTTGGGATACCATTGAAATAGGTGGTGTTGTTCGGTCGGTCGATGGAAGGTTACGTTGTATCTGATAATATTAGAAATGAAATAAAAATCAAGATAACTACCGACATTCGCGTTCTTATTCACGATATTTGTGTAGCGGAAGGCCGTTCAAAACTGTCGACCGAAACAAATCAATCTATGATATGACGGTATGAGGCGTCAAATTCTCTACGATCTACCGGGGCAGTTTATATTCGATTTCACATTCACATTATGGTATCATTCGGCTATTTAATATGGCATTACATACTTGTCCCATGCCTTCCAGTGTAAGAGCATATGCCAACTAAGCATTTACTGCTTGGGCTCCTCAGCGACGTAGTGCAAGTACGCGCCCAGCAGCTTAATACCCTCGATGTAGTTTCGTTTATCCAGCTTCTCGTTAATCGAATGAGCACCGTCCGTCGAGCTACCCATCGGTAGTAGTAGCACGTTCTTGCCTGTCGCTTGTTCGAATGTGAGGGTGACGGGGATACTATACAAGAACATTAGCATATTAATTCGGAGAGAAACGTGGATGGGAAGAAAAGGAGGAGACAAATGAAACTTACCTTCCACCCTCCCGAGTAAAATCAGGGTTAGTGTTCCAAACCCTCTCAACCGCCTTACCCGCAGCGCGGAAGTTCCAGTGGTTGGGACTGGCGACCCACCACTTACCCGTGTGCTGGGCGTATACCTTCAAGGTATTCTTGCTTCCCAGCTTGGCAAAGACATCCTTGACGTACTTGTACACAAGCTCATTGGTCTGATCGATCTCCATGTTAGGCACTGTACGGATGGAGAACTTGCCGATGACCTTAGCGGGGATGACGGTCTTGGCTCCGGGGGCGGAGAAGGCGCCTTCGACACCGTGGACGGAGAGAGAGGGGTATCGCCAGCGGGCCATGAGGGTCGACTTCTTGTCCTCGAAGATGGTAGTCTTGGAGCCGAGGGAGTCGTGTAGGGTCTCCATGGTAAACGCGATGTCATCGTACAGCGTCTCCTCTTCCTTTGTGACGGGTGCTACTTGGTCCTGGATACCCGGGATCAAGATCTTACCATGAGTATCAACCAAACTAGCCAGCACGCGCACGAGATCCGTCATAGGCTCCTGTGCCGTACCACCGAAGACACCACTGTGCAAGTCCGCTCCAGGACCCGAGATCTCAACGCTGTAGTAATTGCATCCACGAAGACCGTACGTCAGACACGGCTTCTCAGTACCGAGCCAGTAGTTATCGCTGATGCACACAGCATCCGCATCCGCGAAGTAACCCTTCCCCTCCTTCTCAATAAGTTCATCCAAACCCTCCGAACCATACTCCTCCATACCCTCAAAGCACATCAACAAATTCACGGGGAAATCAACGCCGGCCTTCTGGTGTGCCTCAATAGCATTCAACCATCCCAGAACCGGACCCTTATCATCCGTACTCCCACGACCAAACATGCGTCCATCCTCGCCCACATTCAGTGTAAACGGCTCAGTAGCCCAGCCATCGCTCTTCTCAGCCGGTTGAACATCATAATGTCCATACACAAGAATAGTCCTCTTATTCTTATCACTTCCATAGCGCGCGAGAATCACAGGCGGAAGATCCAATTCCGGCTTATCAGGCTGTTTACCCAGCGGTCTGAGCTCAACATCCGCACCCAAAGCTTTCAACTCATCGGATAGGAAATGCGCCATGCGGACGACGTCAGGGCGGCGCGATGCATCGCTCGATACCGAGGGGATAGCAACGGCTTTCCCGAGACGCTCGATGAAGTGCGAGGATAGGCTGTCAACCTGCGCGAAGTAGCCGTCGAGTTGGGGCGCCATGGTGCGGGATTGGTGGGCTTTGATGGCGGGGGTTAGATAGGTTCTTCGGGTTGTTTTTGTTGGTGTAAAAGAATGTTGTAATTTAGTTCGTGAAGAATAAGAGGAGGGGTTGAGATGAATAGAAGTAGAAGAAGATGTAGTAGTAGCTCGCGTTATAAAAGAATATGACGATGGCGGGGTTGTAAGATGTAGTAGATTCGGAAGCTGTAGCTGACTGGAGAGTCGCGTGAGAACAGTGCGGGGCATTGGTGATCTGTGTGATCTTTGGAGGGGCGAATGGAAGGTTAGATATTGCAATTTTGCTGCCGCTGGCAATAAAAAAAAGGCAGCTAAAAAGTGGTTTTTTAGCTGTATGTAGAAGGTACTTTTACATTACGCAAGATTTAGTTCGGGAAACGGCTATCAAAGGCATTCAATGTCGCTATTCTCCGTATGCCCACTTATAACCTTAGGTACATCGGTAGCTTAGGGTAGGTACTTCATGCACCTACGGAGCCAAGCTATCGTAGAAGCTCCGGGTGATACACAGGTACTATCCGATAAACTTATACCTACAAGGTGCAAGTTACTTTATAAATTGGAGAATTGTCTTCCAAACCAAGCTTCGACGTACCTAAGTAAACGACTTAACATCTAAAATCGAGTTGGCTCGTTCTTCTATTTTTGTCCATATATTCAGCATAGTTATCATATATCATAATATACATCCCATCCCTCATGACCATGTTCAAAGCCCGGCTGTCGCCCTATCTTGCTCATTAGAATCTTGCTCAGAACGCTGAGAGGGCGTACATCGACTCGTACGACCACTCTTTGGCACCAACGGTATCGCCACGGTAAGTGACTCTCTCATAGAGCTATCTATAGTTTTCCCTTCTCTTAAAAGCTGGTGTATCATCCTATCCGTAACGACAGCTTCTGCAAGCTTAGTTGCGAGATCGACACTTAACACCGAGTCCCTAGCTTCTAGATACTTGGTTATAAAGTGCTTGGCTTGCGGCCCATTCGGGTAGGCTGCTCGGATCTGTGCTAATTCGTCTCGACCAAATATTATATCTTCCCAGTCTTTTAGAAAAACACTCCGTGCGTTTGGATTATATCCCCGCAGGAGTTTTGTTACATCATTGCGCAAATGCGAGCTTGTCTGGCGCGTAAAAACTGCATATCTCCAAATCACTCGGAGCATGTTGGGGGAACGCAGGACCCAAGCCACTCTGAATAAAATCCGATAAGTGGCAGAGTCTGGCACCAACTTAGGCCAACGGGATAACATGGATTGTAATATTTCCAGCCACTGAGCAATGTCTCTCACATGAGTTAGAATTGTATTTAGTGAGACCGCGTTAGGTGTAGCAATTCCTTCCGAAAAGGCAAGGTTTAGCAGGGCATTGCAAGCATCTACCTGCCCATGTGCGCCGAGTGTGTCCAACATCCTATTAAAGGTGATAGTATCCATCCATCCATCCCCGTACTTCTTGGTATGCCTGTATATGAACGTTTTGATGTCTACCGCGGTGGAGCATAATTTTTCCAGGTCTATGATCGCCATCTGCTTGCCGATTGGGTGACGTAGCGACGGATTACTGGCGAACCCTTTACGTCTTAGCCTTTCTATAATATATTGTTTGGCTGCTGGATTTTTTACCAGCTCCATAAATGCAGCCCAAGCACGACCTTGTGGGGGGAAGCCTTTTCGGACCATTGATCCCAGTATTTTTCTGAATGCGTCGAGATTTCCGGCCTTTGACGAACTGACAAGAAAGATATTAAATATCTCAGCGTCCATGGGAAAGTTCTGCGTTGCTAAGTGATCAAAAATCAACCGAGATACTTCGCGAAAACCGGCACCTCTAGACTCTATATAATTAATGGCCATTTTTAAGGCAGATAGTGAGATGGCCGACTTCGTATGTTCCGAGGTGAATAGCTCATTAAGAAGGGATACGACTGTTTCCTGGTGATTAGGGTAAGACGGGTATAGTGATCGAGCTAGATGGTTTGGAATTCGACCATGGACCAACGCAGCAACATATTTCTCAAAGGAAATTTTAGTCCATTCTGTTGGGTGTTCAATCTCATCAGCTCGCTTGGTCAAGACGTAATCCTTGTACTTCGAGAAGTTGGCCGACCACGTTCCGATAGTCATCGTCTTATCATCGACCGTAACTTTCCCATCGCCCAGAAGCCGAATTTCGGGTTTTTTGGGTGTTGCACCCTTCCAGGCCTCCCAGAGTAATTTTTCCCACGCTGGATCGGAGACCCTAACAGCAGTGAGTTTTCCCACTATCCAAACCATGTCTCGAAGTGATTTCCGAACCGAGTCTTCGGAGCCCGACAAGCTGAGAACCAGTTCGCCACCTTGGGAACCGTCTTCTTCGATCTGGACGACGCATTCGTTCCTCCGGAATATTTGGGAAATATGTGTGTCTGGCTCCGACAATACCCCGCGAGCTTCTGCTGCTAAGCTCTTCCCTATGACAATCTGGAAGTATAATGTCTCCCCAACCTCTGTGTGCTGCATCATGAATTGGAAAGTCGGGAACCAATCATGCGCATCCCTCGAATCGAGTTCTCGTAGGGTATCGTGTAGATGTTGTATCGCCGCGCTTTTCTTGTGCTTTCGCATACTACGATATGACTCATTCTTGCTGGGATATTGGACTATCGGCCTCACGAGCGCGCGGTCTCTGGGTTGGAAATTGGACCTCGTCTTGATGATTCGTTTGTTCACGTCTCGAGTGAGAGACGACCGGGACTTCCCCTTCGAGATTTTGTTGCTTACATCTTCCCATTCTGACCAAGCTTCATCCGCATCCGTCTCTGCAACCTTTCCCGTCTCTTTGGGAGGAGGAGTCGAAAGCCATCGTTGCGGGTTATGTTGGTAGAGGTAAGGTGGGTTGTGCTGCTCCCTGAAAGCCAGGGAGAGCCCTTGGGCGCGGGTTATGCAACTTCGAGCTCTCCATAGTGAATTGATTCCCGGGGACATTGGCTATGTGTGCAGCATTATCCGCAATATTGGATCAAGCCTCCTCGGCGGGATGATGATGCAGGGAAGTAACTTTTTTGTATGTATACAACAAATTTTAGATTCGGATCTTATCTGAAGAACTGTCAATCAGTTGGGGGTATTCATAGTGGGGCTCCGGTGCTAAGCGGGATATCGGCTTTTCTCAATCCGATTTAATCAATTCCGAGTTTGGGCTAATATTACACGGTAACGCAAAGTACCTCCTCTTCTGCCTTACTTAGGTACCTCCTAACCCAACACCTAACGTCTGTGAGATACATCGTGCTACCTTAAGCAAATAAAAAGCAAAACAGAGCAGAAGAAAAGGAGACAACTAATCAAAATGCGAAACGAACGCCATATGCACGCAGCAAAACGATCACCAAGCTTTTGGTTAGCATTAATGCATTTTCGTCAACATGCTACTTCTGCAATCCTAAGAAAAAGAACAAAGGTATAGAATCGATGCATGTGCGAAGTGTGTCATCGCGAATTCCTAGCATATGGAATATCCTCCAGCCGTTGAGATTTCCGCAGAGCTCTGGTATAATCCTTTCGGGGAAATATCCTAAGCTTTGGTGGTGGTTGTGCGTGAGTTGCTCTGCAAAGATGTGGTGGCTGTCCTCCTTTGGTCATATAGCGTATCTCAAGTTTCCCTTTGTCCATCTCCCTCTTAGGGGGAGAACATCCATCCATTTCCTGCAATCACACACCCTTATCCCCTTTCCATATGGTTATCCCCCTTGTGCCAAGTAAACAAAAACCCCCTTTCGTTACTTTTCGTAATCGTTCCTGGTCATTCCGAGAGTGTGCGAGGTGAATCCTTAACAACTAGTGGGTATACATTCGTCGACACGTCCAACGATATAGTTCTGGTGACATTATCCTGCATAACAGAGTTATTGTGTTAATCAATCCTTAGATGTGGTGGCAGCTGCTGCTTCCGGCTTTGCCTCCTTAGGCTCCTCCTTGACAGCTTCTGCGGTTGTTTCCTTTGTGGCCGGCTCTTCTGTCTTAGCTTGAGGCTTGTCCTCTTGCTTCTTCGGTGTACGCGGGGGAGGTGAGGGAGCTCGCGGCGGCAGTCGGCTTAGCTCAGCTCCGTCTTCGGAAGAGTTCTTGGACACTTGACTAGCTAGGTCTTTGTCTTCCTCGGAGTTGTCAAACATTTCGGTGTCGTCAGAGTCGGTAAGAACTTCAGTACCGTCGCCAAGAAAGATGATACGGCCCTTGTACCCACCGATTCCAAAAGCTTTGGACTTGTGCTCCATGTCAACATCATATCCACTGTCACTATCGTCGAAGTTGTGATGAACACCAGGTCCTCGGAATTCAGCTGAGTCTTAAGGTCAGTTTTTATGAATTATGTAAAAAGAAGTCCCCGGGCTCTAAGAAGGCATACCATATTCAGGAGGGGCACAAGGTCCATCGCCTTTAGCCACGCGGCTGGCAACCTCTTCGTACCATTCCTCCTTACTTCTGCCTCTTAAGAAGCCCACGACAATCATCGTCATGTTGTCACATCCGACTCCACCAGTCTCAGAATTAGACGCGAGGCAGTTGTCCATCATGTTCTCGCAGATCTTGTCCAAATCCTGCTTCGCTGCAATCCCCCTTCGGACGAATTCAACGACGGCTTGCGAAGATTGGCAGTCCCAGATACCTAAGAAACTAGTTAATATTTATTCCGCCCAGGTGTTTAGAACTCCAATAAAAGAATCAAGGAAAAACATACCATCACATGCAATAACTAAGAACTCGTCATCATCGCTGATGTCGTGCGCAACCACGTCCGGGAATGCGGTCACAATCTGTTGCTCAGGCGCCAACTCTGCGCTTTTCTTGAACTCGAAATCGCCAATAGCTCGAGATAAGGCAAGGTTACCGTTGACACGGCCAAAGTCGACAAAGCCACCGGCAGCAGTGATTCGTGCCTTCTCCCCTGCAAAAATGAATTGTATCAGTATTTTGAGCCACGAAATGTTAGACGGAATTGATCTACGAACCTTCGTTCTGCGGCTTGTGGTCAAAAGAAAGAGGCTTCGCTCTTCCCTTAACTCCTAAAACACTTCTCGAGTCACCAGCATTCGCCTATTAATACAATGTTAGTTATGGGGTTACAATGTATGGGGGAGTGGGGTTACGAACGATATATATCTTGTCGCCACTGATTAGACCGCAGCATGCAGTACAGCCGGATACTTCCTCCTCATACTGAGGGTCTAAATAAATGTTAGTTTCGGTATAGCACAAAACATTACGTGGGAAATCCCATACCACTCAATATTGCTCGATCAGTCGCAAGGAAAGTGTCCTTAAGAGACTGCTCGTATTTGCCAGCCTTGAATGTGTCTTGCTTCTTAAGAATGTCGTAAATATTCTTTCCTGCGAACTGAGCAACCTTATCTCCTCCGTGCCCATCAAAAACACCAAAGAAGGATAATCGCGAAGGGTGGACCTTCTTCTCGTCGTCGCTTTGAGGTGTCAAGAGGTCTAGGATGGTACAGTGAGCATCCTCCATGCTGATACGCCATCCTTGCATAGCAGACACTCCGTACAGCAGTCGGTCATCTTCGCCTTTGTCGGAAGCCTAGCGTAATTTTCTTAGTCAGCCATGGTTCGATCATAAGTTCAACGACGTATCATATCGTATGGGAATGTCGGGGATGGGGCGTTGCGATATCGTCGACCGAAGCCAGTAGATCCGACGCGGAGTCACGGGTGGGTAGGCAGGATCGCGGGGAACAAATGGCGAGGGCGCAATTGAAGAGAGAGAATAAGAAAATGGTAACATACCTTGTCGACGACAGGCTCTGAAAGGGTTTGACCCATGGCGAAAGTAGTTTATTATGTCGCAGCGCGTAAGTTCAGAGTGGTTGGATGGACGTATACGAAGGAGGGGCAAGTATCGTGGGATGGTTTACTGATCGTCAAATTTTTCAATCGCCTTGGACAGAAAATGGGTATGTAGACGAATACGGTAGTAGCCGCAGGTAAATGTCTTGGGGGGATGATGTATGTAGGAATGTAGTGTGGGAGGGAAGAAAAAAAAAACTAAGGCACAAGACGTCGCGCAAAAAGAATTGTGAATCAAACCCGGTGCTGGCTTGGTGCTTGGTGCTTGGTGCTGGAGAAGTACGACAATAGTAGGCAGGTTTAGGTATGTAGTAGTAAGTTAGGTAGAGAAATGGGTAGGCAGGGTAGCGAAGGGCCAAGGCGGGGTTCGATTGATAGAAAAAAAATCCGACTCTGGACTCTGGTTTTCTTTGGGGGAGAGTGGGAGAGTGGGAGGAATGGCGAGCAGTCCGATGGCAGCTGATGAACAGGTAGGTTATCAACTAATTTAGATTTTAGGTCACCTCCAGGGCTACTTAGGGTGGGTAGGCCCTCGACCTAACAATGTACCTCTACCTAACCTTATAAGTTTGGTACGCAGCTGCCCACATGTATCTAGAGCAACCTGGAACGTTGAATGTATCTATCTTAGGTAAGAACGACTGGGTTGGTACCTGCGCAGGATTTAGGGACAATTTTACATTTAGGCCTAGAAGAACTAAAATGGCCACTATGATGTCGATGTCGCAAGACTAAGATATGCGTCACGACATCATAAGTACCCCAAGTCGGCGGTTTCTTAAGGAAAAAGCATCTCACAAATCGGAACGAGAATATAGGTTCATTTAACACTAAATATTATGACGCTTACATACACAAGTGGGTATTTACCTACTCGTTGACATGTACCCTAGGCATTCTCCATCTGATTAATCTCTATGTACCAAATCAGATTCATGTACATGTACCTAAAACTACGGGTATTTATCGGATATTAAACCTGGTGGCACATGATCATTATACCTGTATTCGTATATTTATCTACTTAGATATTACCCACATCTTAATATCAAATAATTATATGAATTCGGAGTTACGAAACGGGGAACAATGGAGTTTTTTTTAAATACTATAATACATTGATCCATGAGAACCTGTAGGTACATCTATCGCTCGGGTCGTGTGCCCTTCACACAAATAAAAGCGCTAAAACACTGGTCCGTGCTTTGCTGAGACGGGGAAAGTGTAATCAATGACTGCCTAGAACTGGGGTAAGATAGAGTTCATGGTTTGCAGGTACAGGTACGTTGGTCCGTGCTACCGCGAACCTTTATGAACCTTAACCCTTTCTCTTTGTTTCAGCAGGTAACAAAGTCAAGTTTTCTAAATTCGAAATGTTTCCATATTCTTTCCCTTCTATTCATGCATGTAGAAGACACATCTACATATGCTGAAAATAACAAATAATAAGACCTATGCGGTCCTCAAAAAGTCCTAGTCTGAGAAATCTGTTGAACGCCACGCACTTCCTTCCGCAAAGAGTTAGACTTACTATATTACGTGCAGGGGAAGGGGAAGAGGTTTGCTACCGGACTTCCCTCACTCCTCCTTTGCTCAAAGGAACCCCAAAGTCGAGGCACTCTGTTACCGAACGATTACCCATCTAGACATATGGGGATTTTGGAGCTCGAAATATGCACCTATTCTGAAATATGTTAAACCTCAGGATATAGCTGCGGATAACTCCTCTTTCGGCTTTCCCGGCGCGGTACTATAATGTAACCTCAATCCACATCCCGGCCTCGGTTTCGGACGGTTCCGGGAATCCCGTCCCACGGTTACTTCATGAAGTAACAATAAGAACTATTGCGGACTTCTGCATTCCCATGCATATGGGGACCCAATCCTGCCCAATATCAGTGCTCATCCGGTAGACAGAACGAGTTCAAGCTACCGTACGGTATACTAGACATATGTTCCGACAAGTCTTTAGCTCTAAATAATAACCATAGGCTTTATCAAGGGAAGAGGTAAAACGCTAACCGACAGTTGGTCTATACGAGGGATACCTAGGTATCAAAACAGTATCATGTTCAACTAATAGTATTAGGTATTTAGGTATCATATTTCTCTCCAAGTACATATTAGATTAGATATAAACCGCAAAGCTCTCGTTACTATCGACGCCACCGTCATCCCACCCATCAATAGTGGTAGGCGGACGGATATCCTCCCATGCGTCTTCATCGTCATCCTCGTCGGCCCAGACGCTGCGCAGGCTTTTGGCGCTCTTCATGCTTCTTGTCGCCTTCCAATTTTTGGAGGGTACATTTTCTATGCCGGATCCCTGTCCGCCTCCCCCCACAGGTGGGTAATACGACTCATTGGACCGACTCGCTAATGGTGTTCGACCGGGCCGTGTTGGCGTCTCGGGTAAGGGTCGATCCGGCGCCTCCCAGCCAGTTTCTGGGGATGGTGTTTGCGACGCTAAGGCTCGCATTTCGCCCAGCATCCTTTGCCTATGAATATAACTATTCTGCAATACCTCGTCTCGGGAGACATATGATCCATCGGATCTTGAACTAGTCGATGGTGTATTATGAAGGAGATTTATCTTGGAAGCTCGTGATGGGCGGCGCCCCATTCCCTTTCCATTACCTTTAGATGTTACCAACGCCGTCGTAGGCGGCAATCGAGGTAGTTCGCTGGAGGTATCATAAGGAGAGGTGCGCGCTATTCCCACCATGTTAACAGACGTGTTAAGCTGGGGCCACCGATCCGGAGACAACAAATCGTTTCTGCCATGGATAATCCAATTATCTTCTTGGGTTATATTCGACGGCGGAAGGGTTTTCTCCGGCTCGGTAATAAGGTCTTTGTATGCGATACCTAAGGAATTCCGAGCGAGTCGGTCCCACGACGTGTCGCTATCCCGAGGATTTATAGAATCATCTAAGTTTGGCGGTTGCTCTGGGGTTTCATCCAGAGCCGGATCTGATGGTTGGGCTGTCAACCCAAAGTTTCGTGGCGATTTCGTGAGCGGCCGACCTCCGAAAAGTGGAGAGAATTCGCTCACCCTCCTACTCACTTGCCGTACTTCGCCCGGTCTGCTAGGTATATGTATTATTGTCGGTCTTGCGACCACGTTTGTACTTGTTGTGGCTTCTTCCTCGCCCACCCCCGAGACTCCAGAGGTCAAGATACTTGTACGTGTCGTGGAGTTGCTGCGCATACTATTTCGTTTCTGCTCCTCGATAGTTTGGTTTACGCTTTCCCGTTTCCATAAATTAGATATTCTTTTGCTAACGCCGCGAAGGCTGAAGCCTGGTTCTTCCTGTTGTCCCGATTTCGGCCGTACGGCGTAACCCACTGGTGGTGGGACCGCCTCATCTGAGCCGGAATCGTACCTCCTATCCCCCCTATATGCGATTTCCGGCGTGTTCTGTATACTAAAAGGTTCCGAACTCATCGGGACATCAAGTCCTCGGAAGGTGTCTTGAGTTCTCCGAGTTATTGTATATGATTGCGCTTCTGCAATATGCACATCCCCTTCACCAAGACTAGTGTCCGATAGCAAGCTAATTTCGTCTGTTCTTCCGGTTCCGTGTGGGGATGCTTGACTACGTTTCCCTGCGGACCAAGAGCTCCTTGTTTCGAAAATGACGCTGTGTTCAGGTGATTTTGCTCGTGAATACATGGCCATCATCGCATGAGGGACACCATTTCCGTTTACGCTCAGACTCGATGAGGACTGAACGGATTGTTGGCTAGATACAAGAGCAGATGCGCGGCTATCTTGTGCTGATGTGCTATCGGAACGGCGTACCCCTATATCCACAAATCCCTTTATATTCTGGTCGGAATTTTTAGGGCGATTATCAGGACGGTTAGCGATGAAACTTCCCGGGATGGGCCCAGAAACTTGTGGTCTCCTAGGTTGTTGGCGTCGCCTTCGAATATAGAAGAGGAAAAGAGTGATCGCGATAAATACCAAAAATATCGGTATTATAAGCAACCAGAGCAGATTCTTTTTCGAATCTTCTGAGTCGGAATCCGTCGGCTCGCCGCTAGGCTTGGGCGATTTAGAATTAGGGGTGGAGACATGAATATTCATACTCTTGACCTCCGTCTCGTTCGTGTGCTTTGAACTCGCATTGAAAGCGACGCGCGGTGCTGTTGCGGATTTGGCTGAGTCCAACTTGGGAACAGTCCCCGAGAGAATCATCGAAGATGAGTTGAATTCGGTCCATGATGCTTCCAGTTCACCTTCCAGCGTAACTTCAATATCCGAGGGGTTCGAAAGGTATTTCTTCAGATCGAACGAGAAGTCGTCGCCTTCCTTCAAGTTGAGATCAGGCAAGTCAGAAATGAAGAGACCAAAGTGGATAGAGATCGTTAAGTTAAGGGTGTCGGAGTATTTGTCCGTCACGGCTACAGTTATATTCGACGACTCGGCAGTTTCATCGGGTGTGCCCTTCAACTCCCAAGTCTTGTTATCGAAGGATAGCCAAGACGGCAGGTCTAATGCTTCGATGGTGGAAATATCGTCCGGCTTTGGATCTTTCTTGTCAATCTGTACCACGTCATGCAAATCCTTATATTCAAAGGGTTTCTTATGAGTCGCGTTGAGCTTGACCACCGGCGGATCGGCTGTTAATTCATGGTTTCCTACCACGAGTGAGAAGGATAATGAGATGGACGCGAATCCAACGACATCCGACGCGACTAATTGGAAAGTAAAAGTCTGCGGTGGCTGAACGAGAGACTCGAAGGGAGGTGTCTTTCCGGAGAATGAGAGGCTCTTGGCGTCGAATGTTATCCATGACGGTAAAGGGACATTATCGCCGGACACGGCGTAGTAGTTGAGACCGCCATCCCCGCTTTCCGTGCGAAAGGTGTGCTCGTCAAAGCTGAAAGAGAATGGCTTCGAGGGGTGGAGATGTAGTGAGGAAGGTGCTATATACGTTCCGAATTTGGGTATTTGCTTTGAAGCCGGTATGGCTATTATAGGTGGTGGATTTCTCGATACCACTAATGTTGGGTTTGCTGTCGTGGATCCAGTCTCGTCTTCCGCGACCAGTTCTATAGGGATTCCGACAACCTCGCCAAACGGGACGTCATCGTCGCTTGGCGTCCCAAATAATCGGCGCGAATCGCTATCTATGGAAAGCCATTTCGGCGCGTTCTCGAGTCGGTATGTGATATTAGAAGATGAGAAGAAGGTTATCGGGGAGAAGGTGAATTCGAATGCTTCTGAGATGCGAGCCACTGGTGGTAGTTGGGAGTTGATTGGGAAGTAGTCGACAGGAGCGGCGCCTACAAACGTCGCCGCTAATGTTGCCGCGCCGAATGCGAAGACCTCCTTACACCGCACTACCATCGTGATGTATGACGGTTATGGATTCCGCTAGCATGAGGGAATGCGCCGTAAGATGCAACGCTAGGCTTGTAAGAGGGGTTGGGTATACTAAGTTGAATCGATTCAGAGGTTCTAATCACGATTCCTACAACGAAGCAATACACTATTGCGAACAAGAGGAACAATAGACAAGAGAAAGAAACACAAAAACGACAATGTTCGGCACAAGGCCGTTTCGACATGGTACGAAGCCATTCTTCAGCGATCGCGTCAAGCTCCCTTGCTCCCACATCTTCGCCTCATCTCGCCCCGCCCTGCCCTTGACTGGAAGGTCGGCGCAGAGGCTGTGAAGCGCGCGGGTTAGATAATGACGAAAGGGGGTTGGAGGGGTTTCATGGTATCACAGGTCTTATTCACGTGTTATGGTACTGTAAGTGCTTTGACTTTGGTAATTGTGTGCAGACACGTCTAAGTGGTAGGCAATTCGCGTAGGGCTGGTGGAATTTCAATGTCTTAGTCACGCGCCGACATCGATCGTCAAGACCCGTGGCTGGGGTTTCCGATGATCCATTACATTCCGCGGGGAACGCTAACTCATTGACTTACTAAGACGTAGGTGAGTAGTCGGCAAGGGAGAGTGTTTCAAGAAATTTGATGCATTTTAATAAGAGGGCGCCCTCCCCCCCAAGGATCAAAGTGGCATGGCTAGGCAATATTCATTTTAATTACCATGGAAAATTGGGTGGTGCGAAACGGAAAAGTTGTATAGTCGTTTCTATTGCGACAAATTATTCGTAAAGCTTTTAGATCTAATAGTTATAGATTTGTGCCTGTATAGGTTGAGGCTGGTGGGTTCTATCTAATTGATAGACTCCGATGAGGCTTTCGGAATATTTTGTGTGATTCAAGAATAGAAGAGATTGGGTAAGAAGAATATCTCTGAATATCCACTTCTAATTGTGATGGATGCCCATAAATTATCCCAATCCAATCAACCTCAACAAGCACCTTAGATATTTAGATCCCAAACTGTCGATGACGCGTCATAGGACGGGACTACTTGAGCAAGAGGCGTTCGGTGCTGTCCTTCATTCGCTCGCCTAACGCCTCGAAAAAGTAATACTAATCTATAGTACCTACATACCTACCTAGGTACCTAGGTATGTAGGTAGCTGTGTAGATAGGTATGTATATTGGTACGTGTATCTATTACATTAGGTACATAATCGAGGGATGTACCGACCCAAGCCTCAACTTCAGCCCACCCGTTCTACCCCATAAGTTCTAGCTGACCATAACACAGTCATCTCACGCTCGTCCATCCTCTGCTTTGGGGAAGTTTTAACAAATGGTTTCCTAAGACCTGCCAATGAGTAGGAGCTTACATATTGATGGGGTATCTCTCTCAACTCGAAGGTGTTGTCATGTACCCGAGGGAGCCTTGAGTGTTGCATAAAAGGGGTAAGAGTTGAAGATAGAATGGCGGGAGGTTCCGCATCGCTCGCTGTGGGTAACAAGGCTTCCCTCCGGCGACGCCACTGCTTTCGGATGAATCTGAATATGAACCAGAGTCCCGGGATGCACATTATCACCAGAGCGATGATATTGAGGATATTGTCGGTTGTTAGTGCCATGCCCCGATATGAAGCGAGTAAGATGATAGGAACCCGTGCACTTGGTTCCGGGGTTCTTGGTTGCTTCGAGTAGCAACTTATACTTCCCGCAACGGAGCGTTCTCAATATATTTAGTAGTGAAATTGAACAAATTACTGGAAGAAGATTGTGACGAACCTATGCCTCGGGGAGGTATAGTCGTTGCTGAATTGACTAATCCGGGGTGTCTTGATTTGAAGGTAACAGTATCAATAGTAGGTTAGGTGATTAGGTAGGTTCTGTTCGTCAGAGAGGCTTGGAGTCCTCTCACTATACTCGAAAGAATAGTCTTAGATTGATAACTAAAGAGCTATGGAAAGAGTGACTGGATACATAGTAAATGTCCGTGGTTATATAGTTATTCCTCCCGCCTTTCCTCCCAGTATCTGAGGTTCATCATGAATCTGGGTGTTCTGGTGGATCTGGTGTGTTTGGTCATGGATCTGGGTGCTTTGGTGGATCTGGTTACCTTACATAAGCAGATCCAACAGATCCTCCAGATTTCCGGTGATTATCCGTGACTGGTCACAATATCTCCACTTCCTGGGTCTCAAAGTGGTCGCCTGTCCGCTGGTTTGTGACATTATGGTTATTAAAATTAATTTACATTTTTTAAAAAAAAATTAACGTATGAAATAATAAATAAATAAATAAATAATAAAATTATATATATATTTATGTCACAGACCAGCCACGAAGGACCCTTGTTGAGACTACGAGGGGTGGAGCATCGGCAACCTATCACGGCTAAACTCCGGTTTGATGTGCTGAGATGCAACACATCGCAATACATCGCAATACATCGCAATACATCGCGATAACCTCAGGATGAGGAAGGGAAGGAGGAACAACTATATAACCATAGACATTTCCTATGTATCCAGTCACTCTTTCCATAGCTCTTTAGTTATCAATCTAAGACTATTCTTTCGAGTATAGTGAGAGGACTCCAAGCCTCTCTGACGAACAGAGCCTAATTGATCACTTGACCTACTATTGATACTGTTACCTTCAAATCAAGACACCCCGGATTAGCCGATCCAGCAACGACTATACCTCTCTGAGGCATAGGTTCGTCACACCTTTCTAATAAACAGAACTTACTTAAATATTTAACCTATTATTAATATTATTACCTTTAAATTAAGATATCTTAGATTAGCCAATCCAGCAACGGCTATACCCCACTAGGGTATAGGTTCGTCACAAATTCTTATAAGGCCAATGGTAGCTCAAGTTGAGTTACGGTAACAGGCATATGGGGTTTCCTGGTACGGTACGTAAATGAAAATAGGAATTTCCTTTGCTGCGTTTGGGTACATTGTAAGTGGGTTTATGATCTAATCCCTGCTCGTCTACCTCTGATGGTTTTATCACCACAGCAGATTTTTGAGAGCTAATATTCTCATAATCAATCTATCGGATTTATTTGTGCTTTAAGTAGCTAGCTAGAGGTGCATCTCCTTTTAATTGACAACCATATGGTTTCCTTCGAAATAGAAATGGCGATTGAACAACACTTTTAAAATGTTTAATAGAGAAAAGTCTACATGGTCCCTTCGTACTACCTGTGCTTATTTGTAACTCGTTGTGATACACGTAAAGGGAATAAGTTGGCATCTGGCCGGCAAGGCTGTCCTTCTTGCTTCATGTATTTGGTTGATTAGGTCTACCCGCCTAGAGTTTGTTCTAGCATCCAGGCAATCCTTAAGAACCGTAAAAAGTCGATGCTTTCTATCCTACATAATTGTATCAAGATAACATTGAAGTACATGTATATCCCTCGTGATAAAAATTTCTAACGCCTCTTGCGTCAGTATAAGGACACAAGTGAGACAAATGCCACCACTAGCTCTTGGCAAATAATTATCTTTTGTCCCACTACGGGCCGAGCTAGCTTATCGTCAAAAAAGACGCTAAGTCGATTCAATTACCCGAGCTCCGTAGCGCGGTTTTCGTGATAGTAGAATAAAGCGGGCGGTAGGCACGGTCCAGACCCCGATGGACCTCCGGGAAGAAGTCAAGCACGAACACAACAAAACCCTTTTTTCTGGGCCGGTTGAGCCCATATTTCTAACTCTTCAACCTAACTACCCACCTAAGCCTAACTTACTAAACCAGTTCCACAATGTCTTCAACAACAGCTGTTACAAACAGTAGTAGGTAGCAACTACAGCTAAAGCCCGAGACTTTACTATCCGCGACAAAAACAATCATGCTACCACCGAACCGTTCTCCGTCACCGGAGTTCTCGCCCCTGGCTATCGGCGAGGACCTCTCCCCGCTACCGGCTTACAAGGCCGCGGGCACGGCATCCATCGACTTCGGCGGTCTTCTTGGCGCCGAGCCCCTGAAACTACGCGAGGACTTGGCTTCCGGGTGCGGCGGACAGACATGGCCTGCGGGTATGGTGCTTGGGCGACATATGCTCCGGTATCATCGCGATGATTTGCGGGATGCGCGGATGTAAGTTCCCTTTTACTTGACTTACTATAATGTTCCTGTGGGGTGTGATGCGGTGATGTTAACCCGAGTGTGTACAGATTGGAACTTGGAGCCGGAGGCGGACTGGTGGGCTTGGCAGTAGCCAAGGCGTGTGCAGTTGACAAGCCGCTGTACGTTACGGATCAGGTGGAGATGCATCTTCTCATGGAGCATAACATCGTCTTGAATCATCTGGAGGACAAAGCTAAAGCTGCGATCTTGAACTGGTGAGTTCTTCTTACCTCTTCCCCCTCCTCACCTTCCTCATTTACCACGATGGCAGCGATAGCCATATATGCTCACCTTCAACTCTCAGGGGCGAGCCTCTCCCGCAAGAGATTGTAGCTTTCAAGCCGGATGTGATCCTAGCAGCCGACTGTGTCTACTTTGAGCCAGCCTTCCCGCTGCTCCTAGCCACGTTGTCGGAAATATTGCGACTATGTCCGTCCGCCACGATCTACTTCTGCTTCAAGAAGCGGCGTCGCGCAGATATGCAGTTCATGCGTAAAGCACAGAAGATGTTCCGGGTAACCGAAGTCGAGGATGAGGATAGGCCTGAGTTTAGTCGGGAGGGACTGTTCTTGTACACCTTCCGTGCCTTGTGAGGACGAGTGCTGGAGTTTGATGACTTTAATGATGCGCATGAGTTAGGTATTGTTTATTGCTGGTGAAGACGGCGCCACGGTCGTTAATAGAGGTTTCGGGTTAGAGGAGACCCTTCGCAGGTGCATAGACATAGACATTCTGCTTTATAGCAGAGAATAAATGACTACCACCGAGTTAAAGTTGCACGCAAGCGAGAGGCATCGTGAGATTCAATTCCATATGCTTTTTGTGTAAGGCCATGGTTAAGTAACCCAGATCTGATTGACGATCGATCGACCTGCTGGGTATTAACTTATCCTACCACGTGGATAATAAAGGGTTGTAGCGCATTGCTTTTCGCGCTGTAGTTTTCCGGGATTCCCTTTTAAGTGTTCGCTTAAGAGGCGTGGAGCTAATATAGAGCGAAAGCCCAACTAAACAGCGGTGTAATTCGGGTGCCCCAACACCTGAAGAAGTTCCCGGCTCCTTAAAAGAAAAATAGATAGTAGAAAGCTAATGCAGAGTAGCCCGAAGGATCTGGGTTTTTGTTCTTTTATGCCAACTTATACGGTGGCAATTGCATTAGTGGCGTCTGTAGTGGCTGAAATCGACTGCTCTGGTTAGGACATCAGATATTGCATTATCTTGGAGGACCGGTCAGCTTCAGCGAGTCGCTATTCTCCTATCTGACTGCAGAAAGAAGGCGTCGCGCTGATTAAAGCCTATTCGGGTTCTGACCGAGGTGACACAACAGGATACAACCGGCACCGAGAACCAGTGTCATGGCGTTAAAGCAGCCCCTTAACTTTGCTGATTCATGGGGTACTTATGATGAATTGTCCGAGAATAAGGGGTCGCTTAGTACATGATTAAACCATCTGATAATTATGCTCAAGGTTGATGCCGCAACTTAAGCTTAAACGTCTTTTCGACGAAACGAAGTACGTATGATACTTCATATGTGAGATGGAACTCAACTTTAATTGATAGGTTTTGTGGGTTGGTGTCACAGTTCTTTAGAACGCGATATCTACTCGCTAATCTCTCACACGCTTTGCTCAAGCAGGCTCGAAAGTTCGCAGGATATAGTCGAAATAGACAATTACTAAACTTGATGCAAGCGATCGAAGATCTTCGCTTACCAAGCCAATGAAGATACCAAGAAAGTGAGTGTCATTGTTCGGATAGTTACAGCGTGGAGAAACTTGTCGACTAAAAGCGGTGGAACATCTACACGTTTTTCTGCAGAGAGCCAGACGTCAATATCTTTGAACAGACGTCAAAAAGTATATGGGATAATTATTCCCGAATTTTCGTTGGCGCCGTCCGACAACATCCACACCTCCACGAAATAAAGGGTACTTAACTAACATCGGACCGAGTTTCCATTCACGCGGGAACACTACTAGATGGTGTTGGCGATTTAGATAACCACTTAATCGCTCCACATGTCTCGACTAGCAAATGGTGGAGATGTTGTTAGCTAATAAATATCTCAACCGGAGAGAGCCGGACTTGGGGAGAATCTAGAAGTTGCTCTTTGGTGCTTTGGTGGATCGACTTAAAAAGACGGCGTTCAGCCCTTTCCAAGGACGCTACGTGGTCGACAGGTGGAGATCCTTCTCGTACTGCATATACACACGTTGGCACTTGCAGATAATTTTCGCAAGGAGCGGGGCCAATAGCCGATTAAGCAAGAAAGGGTAAAAAAGAGGGATCTTCATGAACCGGTCCTGGTGCTAAGGCGTGATTTAACTGCTTTAACTTTAAAGTTCGGTTTTTTTTTTTTCAGGGGGGTGTCAGCTTAGGGCTGCGGTTCCCGTACCTGAATGGTACCTTGACATATATGCAAGGTACCACCTAGTGATAGCCAATTAGATGGCGTGAGGATCCACTCCTGAGAGCCCTCAGCCACCACGTAACTCCTCATCCCCTTCCCCCCGGAATTCGGGGTACCTGATTGGGTCGAATGTTCCCAAAGCGAAAGAGGCACCGTCTAGGAACCCCCCAGTTACCACCTATTTCAACATGACCGAACCAATCAGACACAGCCTCCGAAAGAGGATAGGTACAGCGATTGTACCATCAGGCAGGAAACTTGCGATAGTCCTGATTCCGCTTTGTTATGTTTTTTTCTTTCTTTCTTTTTTCCCCTGCTCCTTCGTGTATACCCCTGTCTTTTTGTACCTGCGGCCTCCACGAGGGAATTCATTCGAGTCCCCTGTCCCAAATACATAAGTTTCATTCCCCTACGTTCCTTTTCCAATTCCCTCTTTTTTTCCCTCTCCTTAACCTCGTGTGCTTTTCCACAGTCACAGATCGACCGTACATTCTTTTCCAGGAGCAGTGCTCACTGTATACATTCATTCTCGGTACAGCTGCTCCATCACACTCATTCTCATCACCCACGGAAGAGAACAAGAACTTGGAACCGGACCCTACCAATCATTTTAGGAAGCCTGATAAAAAGAAAAGAAACATTGAACTTGAATAAGACAAGACAACAACAAGACCCTTCTTTGTTAACGCATCCTCGACAACGCTTTTGAAGATATCCCCTCTGGCTGGATCCCTGATTTTACTCGTACATCGTCAACACTCGATTCTGTCCCTTTTTAAAAGCACATAGGTACATTCATACCCAAAACAAACCATCCAGTTACCATGAAGTCCGCAGCAGTAGCCGCCGCAATCCTGGCCTCCGTTGCCGTCGCGCAACCCCACGGGCACCACCGTCACGCCCACGCCAAGCGTGAACTAGTCACAGAATGGGAAACCGTGTGGGAGACCGCCACCGTCATAATCGACGATGAATCCACGCAGACCATAGCCCCGTCCCACCAGGAGACGAGCTCCGGTTACCCAGGCCAATTCTTCCAGACCCCTAGCGCGAGCCCAAGCTCCAGCTCCGCTCCCGCCCCAACACCCACCACCACCGTCAGCCTGTCCAAGGCGACCTCGTACTCGGTCTCAATCCCATCTGTACCATCCGTACCCTCCGTCCCCATTCCCGCACCCAGCTCAGAGGAAACCCCCACACAAGCACCCACCACCGCACAGCCCGCCCCCTCATCAACGAGCACCTACGCCGCGACCCCCAGCGGCTCCGGTAGTTCCACCGGCAGCGACGGAATCCCCTTCAACCAGAAATTCTCGGGAGAAATCACATACTACAACGCGGCCCTCGGCGCCTGCGGGTACGAAGACACCGGCGTCGACGACTCGGAGAACATCGTCGCCATCCCCAAAGCATTCTGGAACGCCATCAGCACCCTCACAAGCTACGGTATCAACCAACCCGCCCACCCCCTCTGCGACAAGACAATCACCATCACCGCGCCCAACGGCAAGACCACAACCGCCAAGATCCGCGACCGTTGCGATGGCTGCAGTGGCGATGCCATCGATGTCACGCCCCACACTTTCAAAGATCTCTTCGGATCCTTGGATGCGGGTCGTTTGGACTGCTCTTGGACCATCAATGAATAAACGGAATCCACCATACACCGTTTACAAGCGTCAATTCAGTACTTTTTTCTGTTATCTTTGAGATTTCGGCGCTAGCAAAATAAAGTGGACGGAAACGGTCGGTCGGGACGGGTTTCCAGTGAACGATGAACCACATATAACGGGTTGACCAACCTTGATGACAACATTCCCCTATCTATCTATCTGTCTATCTGCACATCCTTTGGTCCATTTCTATTGCAAATCTTTTTGTATATTCAAATGTTTCGGGAATGTCACAATTATATACCCAAGGGACAAAGCCCGACCTGGATGGATCGGCGGTCGAATGAATAAAAGGTGTTCTCTGTTCATCATCGTCTTTGGGATAAGGGGCATTTGGGAAACCAACCGTTTTTGCCTTCGTGGATATCATCTTACCTTTTGATCCTGAGTTTTATGGATCAAGGTATTTTTTGGGAGCGGGAATATAGACTTCAATTCTTCCGTACATATTAGTACTCATTTACCATCTGGGTAGAAAGGATCTATGGATCAGGAAATGGAATTGTTACATTCACCTAAAAAAACTATGATATAACGTGCCATGTGTCTTATGTGAGTGAAATGTCCGAAGTAATCGATAATATCCGGTATCTATCGTAATGTTCCCGAGGCAATAAAATGATGTATCTAGTCCTGGGGTGTAATGATGGAAATAGGAGGTAGGCCTCTAAAAATGTTCATAATAACTACCTAGGTAGGTAATAGACTCATTGCAATGCCTAACGCAACCCATCTAATTGGATGAAATTGCCCTATGTTCATTGTCGATGATCTCATCAATTTCGAGGCGTTATTGGTCTAGGTTCCCCCTGAAAATATAGGACCTTGGTAAAAAGACATATACCTATGACATTTTCAAATGCTCCTACAACAGCGCCGATCGAGTGCAGGTAGATACGACTTCATGTCTCGCGTCTTCTCCCCTGTCCCTATTTGTGGTGGGATATCCAGCCTAATTCTTCACCACACCTTCTGATGGTCACCTGGTCTTCATGGCTTCTCCTTTCGTCGTCTGGAGAGTCACTCTTGTCTGCAGGCGGTGTCAGGGAATGTTGCGGGGGAGGATATCTGGCCCCTTCAAATGGAGTGTTGTAGGTATCTTCAACTCCTTTCCGAGCCATCTCCAAGCCACCAACATATGCGTACAGTCTGCCAGAACCCGTACCCAAACCGTCGCTTACGATAGGCATTCAGACGCTTCAACTCCTAAGAGAGCCATGCGTGGTGAATACGAGCTCGGTCGTCCGGTCGTGAGAGTCGGGCCTGTAACACTATGTAAGCTGTAATCCCGTACCTTCAGGTCTCGAGAGCATGGAGGAAAGCTCACGGTGTGTCCCAGTGCTCGTCATTGGTGATGGTGATGTCAAAGCCCGCCGACCATGTCGCACGAGCGATATGGCCGGGAAATAACAAACGATACGAAAATGAAGTGTGAACTCGAAATATAATGAGAAGGACTTGAATAGATGCATTTTGACGGTATTCGAGCAAAGCGATTCATCTTCAGGCCGATGCCTAGACGAAATCACCAGAAACGCATGATGGATGATGGGTTTTTGGATCAACATATGTAGTTTGGGAGGGCCTGCTCGATCTGTTCCACTGTATCTCGGGCCGGTTATCGGCGTGCTCACGGGAGTCCTATTGATTGCTGTGGATAACTCCTCTCATATGAGGAAGACCACGGTAATTTTCGTATCGAGTAGTTCCAGTGAAACTCCTTCATTTCGTAACTTCGGTAGAACTTGTCGTCGTCGACAGTATCCTACTCCGCTCCTAATAATATAATTTTTCTATATTAAATGTATGATGCCGATGTTGATGACAGCATTGATGATGATAGTGGTGGTCGTAATGGTGGAGGTTGGAGCCGCAATCATGGTGATGGTAATAGTAGTGGTAGTAATGGTGGTAGCCCTATAGTGTGGTAGTGGTATTAAGAAGTAAGAGCAATGGTGACGGTGTTAGCTGTGCCAGTAGTGGTAGTTGGAGTGGTGGATTAGGTATCTAAGTAGCAGTACCATAGTAAAACCTGTGGTGGCAGGAGTGCGTAGAAATGTGAGTGATGTTGTATGAAAAGAGGTTGAGAGAAGATTGGGACATGGTAGTTTGGGGGATGCCCGTCCTTTTATACCCCTCACAGTGGGCAAAACACTGCCTTCGTTGACGCTTTCCAAGTGAGTTGATGATCGTGGAAGGCAGAGAGACTCTCGTATCCTTCGAAAAAAAACCCAATCCAGAGACCTTGAAGCTTAACAGGAGAGGTGACTACCTAGGTACCAGAACACAGCATCTCGTGATCGTTTTTGAGGTACCTCTTTCTGTCTTTGTGGTTATTGTCTGTCGATCTTAATAGATCTGCTACTTGCGTTGAGTTAAAATATGTCTTGATGTTGCTTGTCACCTCAGAGGTTAGCATTAATAGACTCAGACTGTAACAAACTCAATATAAAGTATCTTCTCAAATTAGCGCAACTTCACTTAGTAACTTCTATAACTTTATTCATATCAGTCATCGATCGGCAATAGTGTTTAGAGATCTAATGGTTCTTTCTTCTTTCACCAGGTGTTGAGTCTAAACTCGGAACCTATTGATACTCGTGACCGTAATCATAATCATATCTGCGTCATTCTACCCCCTACTCTCCCCTACCAAAGCAGTAATTTAAACATTTAGACTCAGGGAAAGTCTATCTAGAAATCCTAGTATTTTCGCCGGGTATCCTTGAAGACTCCACGGTACACTCTCCGTCCATTTATGCTTGATCTCCAACCTTTGAACACAAATATGCCTAACCGACCAAACGCCAGAAAGACTAATCATCCTCTCTCATCGACCTAAACTTAATAATCCTTCAATGTACTTCTTCGTATCCACACCGATACCCTGAGCAAGTCGACCGGCTCCGTCCGCCCATCCGCTACCTCCTTCAGCATATGAGCTACTAAGTCCTCTATACCTAGAATGCTCTCCCGCTCGACGAATTAGGAAGATCTCCTTGCTGACCTTCCCTCTGGGTTGTGTGCTTTTTGGCTGATCTTGTGATTCTGTGCTATCTTCTGATTCAGTATGCTGCAGGCTCGGAATTTGGCTTGTACTGGAGGATTCTGCGGGCTGTGGTAAAGGTTGTGTAGCATCTTTCTCTATTAAGCGAGTCCATACAATCCACCAGCCACGGCTCGTCTTGCATGTGCGCTCCAATTCAGATGGATTTGTCGACGTCGTGATGAATGTGTTAAGGATCTGATTGTGCGTATTTATAGCCTCGACCCTGGACCAGACCGGTTGAGCATTGTCCTGCAGCATCTGTCCAGGTGTAGGTATGCTAGGAATAGTGGAATGAATGGTCATGGCTTCTGGATCCCAGATGAGGTCGAAGATGTGGGAACCTACTCCACCAACCTCTGGTTTTCCAGGACGATACGTTGTAGACGTAGCTAGAGGTTTTCGTAGTGGTGCAAGTTGGTAGTGTAAGGATCTGTAAAGCCCATCCCACGCCAACGAGTCCGTTCTGTTCTGGAATAAAAACGTATAGACGAATGGTTTATTGACATATACCACCACTCGCACCTTTTGGGTCTTGTTGCGATCCTGACTGTCAAAATGAGAAGATGCATCCGGAGGATCTCCGCGACCAGTCTTTGACGTTAATTCGTGGTCTTGGCTTCCGAAATCTCGTGTCATCTCAGCCTCGGGACGTTTTCCGTTTTCTAGCTCCACTGTAAGAGTCCGAAGTAGGACTCGAGAATTGTATTCCACATCTTCGAACAGAGAATCGGACTGCTCTCGACTCTCTTCTTGCTCGGTAGTATCGGTCTCTTCAACGTCTCCTAGGAGACCGATGAGGTAGTGGCCTGAGTCAATGCTGGGTGCTTTAGAGGGGCGACGGGAATCGCTAGAGAGAGCCTTATCCTTGGATGTTTCTCCAGACGTCACCCCGTCTTGAGCAGTACCCTCAGCTCCAACAGAAGTACCTAATGTCCAGTGGGTGCCATATCCCATTTTAAGATAGCTCATAAATTTATTCATACCACCTTCATCCAATGCTTCTTCGGCGGGTTTTGGTGCTGCTGTTCCTGGTTCTTTCGGATCCGGAGGTTTCCCTTGCGTCTCTGATTGCTTCAGATTGACTACGTCATTTGTTTCTAGGGTCTTAACTGTATTCTTGCCCGCATCCGTACTGCTGGTAGAAGCATGCTTTTTTGGTTTTCTTGCTTGGCGTACAGAGGCAGGACTGTCTCTGACTCCGTAAGCATCTTCACCCCATGTATATAGATCTTCCATCCAATAGGTGACATCACGAAGTGACTTTCTTGATAGAGTTCCTACGCCCAGGAATATTGCGCCATCTTCCGCGCCGGGTTCTTCGCTCGTGCCAAGCCACTTTGATGCCGATTCATCAGCCGCCTTGGAGTCTTCGTCTGCTCCAGGTTCTGAAGGGCCAAATTTCGATACGATCAAGTCAAGAAGTCCCTCGACTCTATCGACGAAACCTTCGAGAACTTCTCTTTCGCCACTTCCACGTTCCTCCTCGCCAACACCAACACCAAGTTCACCGCAAGCGGCAATTTTGATTCCACCAAAAACATTGGTGGCTGGGTTTCCGTGTAACATCACATCCCATGTAGATAGGAACAAATCCCAATACCGACTCAATATGCTGACAAATTTGGACCGTTTCGATCGAACGAATAAGGCACTTAGGGATGCCGCGTGATGTAGAAGGAATATGGAGTGAGCGCGCAAAAGGTCTTGCATGAGCAGTGCAGCTGGCTTTAGTTCTCGAGATGAATATTCGACATTTTCGGACTCGTCTTTTTTGTTCGAGATGGGGGCTCCGAGCCTAGGTGGTAAGGGTAGTTTTGTCAAATCGACAGACTATACTCAAAGGCATTTTGTTAGTACTAATATGGTCCTGAATCAAGCAGTTCATATTCTCTTACGGCCAGAATCCACCAACCTGGCTCCAGCTCATGTAGCACCACACGACTCTTTTCTGTTTCTATAGTATCCACAGGCTTGCCATCAGAAAACCCGCGACTAAATTCGACCATACCCTGGGCCAAGCCAATTTGTCTCAGTCGTTCGTTACGTTCATCTTGCGAAATACTGTCGGTAGGTTTGCCACGTGAGCGATGCCGCCGTTTCTTGGACTGAGTATTCACGGAAGCATAATAGACAATCTGGTCGTCGATAGTTTCGTCGGTAGCGCCTAGGGAGGGATTGAATATGGCCAGGAAGCCTAGTTGGGCTGGTACTACTGTGGCGGGAGGAGGTGAAGCAGGTGTCGCCATTGCGATATAGGTTCAAGTGTTATTACAACATCAGTAGGTAAATTGTGCCTTTCGAGGCGGAATACCGCGAATAGGCACATAAGAGACTAGCAATACATGAATAGGGACAGAGTGTGAGACAGACAATAACTTAGTATCAAGGAATGTAAGATGTCATTTAAAGATGTAAAAGCGATGAATTCAATTGAATTTCGAGTTTGGAACGCCGAGGTCTGGGGTAGCTGCCTTATCGCATAAGTGGGGTTATTTTCCGCGATAAGATGTATCTCTTTCCTTCATCTCATCCCTTTATCACATATCACGCTAGTAATCATACCTCGTTAAGTACAATGAATGAGATACATATATACGATCTTGAACTGAGTTATATCCAGTTACCATCCTTCAGCGTGACAGTGAAGAGTTAAATAAGTAGTAAATTATATAGTAGGACTTCTCAGGCCGTACGTATAAGTTAGGAACGTATCGAAGTATATCATTTATTGACCTAATATACTGCCTGGTTACCCGCCTCCTACTTGTATGTACGTGGCTTGGAGAGAGTCAAGTCATGTGTCCCACAAAAGGCCAGGTATTTCTACACCATCCTGTAGATGCCCAAAAGATATGGTATCTAAAGTAAGTTCCGGCTAGGTTAACGTTCCACACATCTCGGCGAAGTCTGGTGTTACACCACGTAGGAGCGGATAGGGGATCGGTAGGTAGGTAATTGTCTACCCCAATACTAAAAAGCAATTTCTGACAGTATTATAGGGTACCTAGTAAGCACATGCATCGTGAGGGCCTACCAGATCTCCTAGAGCACCACCACCGCCAAGGGGTCATGAAAGCATATTGTGTGACCGACATCCGGCCATTGGAGAATACCATACAAGGGACAGAAGAACGCCATTCAAACACCACAGAATAACCTGATAACCCTCAATTAAAATGAATTGAACTATTAAATCATGAAGAAGACAAAAGTCCCGAGCAGTTGAGCAGGGATTTGCGTGTAGAGAATACAGCCAAGATTGCCATCGGCGATAGGGGATTAGCCGAATAGGGGGCAAGCCTATAGGCGGACGTTAACTATTTCGAGTACTAACGTATGTCAGTGTCAACGTACTCCAAGGCAGCAAAAGGTGCATATTTCGGTGAGTGTATCGGTGATTAGATATAAGACCATCCAGAAGGACGAGGAGGGCAGATATATAAATCCCAAAGTCGAAGAACTATTCCCGCCATGTCGAAATCCGCAAACTCATCAAGTCTCTCACCTCGACTACTTGATTCCTACCTTTTCAAAGCACATTCATATATACCTAGGTGTCCCCTCTTGAAAACACAATGGCTCCCAGAGTTTGGCTCATAACCGGCACGTCCAACGGCTTCGGTCTCGAGCTCTCCAAAATCGCTGCCTCTCGCGGCGACCTCGTCATCGCCGGGACTCGGGACCCAAGTCGCGCAACCTCCTTATCCAACGTACCCAACATCACAGTTGTGCGTCTCGACCACAACGAACCCCTTCCTCAACTCCAATCCATCATAGAAAAGCAAATCCTACCAATCCACGGGACCATCGACATAATCGTCAACAACGCGGCCTACGTACAAACCGGCACAGTCGAAGAGACCACACCCGAGGAAACGCAGCGCGAGTTCGAAGCCAACGTCTTAGGTCCTATAAACCTATACCGCGCGGTACTGTCACACTTGCGGCAGAAGCGGGCCGGGACGCTAGTTACGATAGGGTCTATGGCGTGCTGGTACTCGATGAGCTGTTGCAACGCGTATAACGCATCCAAGGCAGCGTTACGGACCTATACGCTTGGCTTAGCTGACGAGGTGGCACAATTTGGTATCCGTCACTGTCTCGTTGAACCCGGTTACTTCCGTACTGCGCGTATGTAGCATTCTCACCTTTCGCCTTCCCATAGTGCTAACTCTTCTATTTCACCACAGTTCTCGAGCCCAGTTCCACTCACTTCGCCGCGACTTCGCAAACCGCACGCTTCCCCGACTACGCAGAGCGTAAGTGCCACCCAACTTCCGACCCCAACACTTCAACTACTTTTCTAACTAACCCTTCCCTCCATTAGTAAACGCAACAGCCGACGCAGGCTTCGCATCCATCCACAAGAACCAACTAGGCGATCCAGTCAAAGGCTGCGAGATAATTTACGACGTAATCACCTCCACCGGCATCGCCGCCGGCCGCCCCCTACCCCGATTCCTACCCGTAGGCAGCGACGCATGTGAAGAGATCGTAAAGAGCGCGCAGGCCAGCATCGACGGGGTGCGGGAGTGGGAGGGTATTGCGCGATTGAGTGATTTGCCGGTAGGGAAGTAAGTCAATGAACTACATAGTATATAGGGAGTATGTACTTTGAGAAAAAGGAGAAAGAGGTTACATGTGCCTAGGTAGGTAGGTAGGTAGCTTGGAAGCGAGCGCTTAACATAGCGGATATAGCAGTCAGACCGTTCAATATTAGCCAAGCCAATTCAACTCATTAGCATAATCCAAGACCAAACCTAACCGCCAGCCAACACAAGCGCTATCCCTCACCTCAATCCGTACAACCAACACCAATCCCCCTAAACCACACCCAATAACCCCCAATAACGCCCTCATAAACCCATCCTACAATCCTCCCCTTCACTCCTAGCCAATCGGTTCCCCTGGACCAGGGACGGATAAAAGTGGAGCACATTAATATATCGATCTTCCTCCCCCTACCATGTCGCGGTTCCTTCGTAAACCCTGTTCGTGCTGTGCCGCTAAATCACATTTCCGGCAGACAGCCTCAAATCCTTCGCATCAACGTACGCAATCGTGGAAATCTACTTCTTTTAATATGTTTTTGAACGTATAATGACGGCATGTTCCGCACCTTAAGAGATACTTACAGTAATCGCTCTTCAAGTATTGCTTTTTCTTGCTGTCTGTGGCTGCATGGCGTTAAAAGAAACTCTGAACTCCCCGGACTTACCTACATCCACTGTGTCTCAATACCCAGATAGCCTAAGGAATCCTTACACAACACAACACAGCCCTCTAAACCCTCACTCACACTCAATTCACACACACAAAAATCAAACCACAATATTTTGACGGAATCAATTAACTATTGACATGCTTCGCCGTCGACGATGTGGTGACGGTCTATCGGTGTAATAACCTTTAAATAAAAATCATGTCCCTAAAACTCCCCAGCCCAGCTGTGCCCAGGTCTCTTCGGAAATCTTTTTGCCCCCTGCGAATCTCTCTGGGCTTTGTATTTACATGCTAGTCACAGTTGATACAGGTTTGGTCTGGTTCTTGTAAAATTGTTTGCGTAAACATCCCCTCCCTTCCTAACGACGCCCTCCTAGTTGATGATGATGATGCTTCCGACGCGTTCTAGCAACCTTCGTAGGGCCGCCTTCTTGGTACAGTATTTGGAAAGTTTAGATAAAGATGTGGTAGGTTCGATTATCGTCTTATTGTCGGTAGTACCATTTCGATTACCCAACGGTCGCGTCATTCAAGATAGAAATCTTCGAAAAAAAAGAGCTATCCTCCTGTATATGCTGACCTAAGAAACTTAACTCCGGCTCATTTTTGTCATGATGTCCCAGTACAAAATAAATGTAAGGACTACGTCCAGTTTAAAAGAATCCCTTTTCCTCCCGCGTCACGACCTTTACCTAATGGTCGTAACCTGCGCCTCGTTGCCACGGGCTGTTTCTGGGTTAGCTTTGATACATATTAAAGAATAGTCTTATTGTACTCACCTAGCATTGTTCTGCGCTCTGTAACTAGGAGGGCTGTCGTTCTGAGCCCTGGAGGGGGGGGCGGAAGGGCCACCGTAAGGGCTAGGAGCCCTTTGCGGGCCTCCAGTAGCCGGGAAGAGCGGCACAGATGGGTCCACTGGGGAGTGGGGAGGGTTCGTGTTGTTATTACGGGCGTATGCGCCGTTTGGTGCTGCCGTAGGAATCGTCAAGTTTGATGTGTCCGTGCGGCGGCGCATCGAGGCGGACGATATGGATTCGTTGTCGTCATCAAGGTCCAAACCTTGCTTGTAGCCTGCCTTGTCACCACGAGCAGTTGCGGCAAGGGCATCCAGCTCAGTGGTACCCGTGAGCTGAGACTGAGACTTCATGAAAGAAGTTCGGTCATCAGCCATAAACTGGTAACGGCCATCGGGGTTCTTGCGGTAGAAGACTAGCGCAGTCGAAACGATAACCATAATCAAGAGGACAGTGGCGAAGATAGCATTAAGGAAAAACAAAATGAGACCGATAACACCATTGACCAACGGAGGCTGGTTAAATACATCTGAGAAAATCAGGAGGAAAATGGCGTTGATAAAGTTAACAGCACAGATCGCGATGTTGAAAGAGTTGGTGCTCTTGTCCATCCATGGTCTGAGAACACTAGCAGCGATCAGGGCACCAGCTTCGATGAGGAGGAAACCGACGGCCTGAGCAGTACTGCTGGGCTGCGCAAACGCAATGAACATGGCCTTGACCAAAGTGTAACCAAGAACCGGAATGATGAAGTAGTAGGCGGAAGCACGGAACTGGACGTATAAGAATCCCCACTTGTTCAACGCTTGGGGATCCGAGAAGAGGATATAAGCAGGGTTGCGGTGCATAGCGACAGAGCGGCGAGCGATTCGAATAACTTTAGAAGCAGCCCAACCCAGAGTAATCGTCATTCCTACAATAAAGAACACTGCCAAAACAACCTCCGCAGGCGAATCGACTTGTGTGAACTCCCAAAGGCACAAAATGGCCATCTGGGGGTAACCGATCAGGGTCAAACGGAATAGGATACCCTTGAGCACGGTGAGCCATCCATTACGGAACTCGAGGAACGTGTCGCCCTTCATCCATCCTTGCTTGACGGCCAACTCGCAGAAACCCTTGAACGCGGCAACAGCGCCAATCGTGATGATAACAAACAGGCAGAAGAAGATCAAACCAGTCATGAACAAGTTTGTCGTTTCGATACCTGCTCTAAAGGCAACACGCTGAATACCGTAAACGATGTAACTACCGGAACCTGTCATGACGTTGCCACGCTTCATCAGCGAACCAACGGCTCGCGGAACCAAAGCAGCCCCTCGTCGGTACAAGTTGCCTGCTGCCTCCGGAAGAACGTCAAGTGCGCGCTTTTCAACCTGCACTGACACAGTGGTTAAGGAATCAAAAATGGTAGACGGCGTACCACCGGTAGCACGTTGATACCAAGTGAAGATATCCTGCATGAAATCAACGTTAATGATACCCATGGACCACTGGAAATCCTGAGTCCACGATTGGACAACAGGCGGCAGGTGAATCGCAGTCAAGCCGAGCATGGCTTGAGACTGGAAGAAGCTGAACAACGAAAGAGCACCCGAAGCGATGTGAGCAGCTGCATTAGAATGACCTAGACCGTTGATAATGGCTGAAGAGCAGAGAACCAAACCGGCGATGATAGCGAGAACCCATTTTACCGCAAGTAAATCAACCGTCTTTCCGTTGGAGATATCGGCTTCGACGCAAGCAACACTCTTTCCGGTGTCGGTCATGTTCAAGAAAACACGAACGGTCGCATCTAAATCGGGGAAAGTGTAGGCAATACCGGGAATCTGAGAGGCAGCCGTATCACCAACGGGAAGGTTGAACTTCAACGGAATCTTACCCGCAGTCATGGGGCAGAGACCAGCCAAACCAATCTCGCAGGGGTTAACGGTCGTCTTAATAATTGTGTAGCCGTATGCAGAAATGGCGATGTCGAACTGAACATTACCTTCGACGGATGATGTTGCCACGATATTTAGGAACGCTGTATTGTTATTCGGTGTGTATACAACCTGGAACAAACTGGCCGTAAACATGGAATCTTCTTGACATGTGTTCAACGAATTCGATACGAGCATAGGCTCCGCGGCAGCGCCGGGAAGCAGTGCTGAAAGCCATGATACTAATAGTATCGATCTCAATGTTGAGAACCACATGGCCGCTAAATTTTGGTGTTGTCCGGACTGTAAATCAAGTAATCCTCCACCTCAATGCCAAAGATACCAGGTGTCGTAATATTATGTTGTACTCCTTTGTTGATAGCGACTGTACAGTCAATTACATTCGGGAGGAAGTCGACAAAGGGTTATCTCGATTGTCTCAAATCGAAGGAAAAGATCCCACCAATCCGGAAGAGCATAGGAAAATCGTAAAAAAACTAGCGAAGGTGTCGAGTGTCGGCCGCCCGTCCGAGCACCCAAAAGCGAGCGCGGTGATGGTGGTGGTTGGAAAAAGGGGGTCGTCGAATTAAAAAGGTTGAAGAGTCGAGTCCGAGGGAAAAAAAAAAGGAAATAGCCCTGGAGAACCCGTTCACGGAATGGGTTGTTTGGGTTTCCTTGCTATTTACGGCACCCGGGTCGATGGCGAAGTTGAGGAGAGAGAAAAACAATTAATGGAGAGGGAGTTGACAAACGATTGACTGGATTTACTAAGAAACTTGGAAAGAGGAACATTTGAAAAGGGAGAGCAAAGAGGAAAGCAAGGAAGGAGTACACCTTACTGCAGATGGTGCAGATGGTCGGCACAGGAATGTGGGGCTACTGTACATGGGTGTGTACTGGGTGTAGTGAATCTAGTCTAATTTGTGCAGGGGTGATGTGATACATTAGTACCTACCTAGGTACTTTGTGGAGTGACCTTTCAAGCAAATGACGCGGCTAGGAACCTAGGCGCTATGGTGATTTTGTATTCAGTCAAGTTTCAGGTATTCCCTTATCTAAATCACTAACATCACACTAGAACAACTGTTAGTGTACTATTACATCAATACCCGAACGTAACTCTCTAACAAAGCCTGGAATATCACTACCCGCTTGGCCTTCTTGGGACCCATCTTGGGACAACAAAAAATATGCGTACATAATAACTTGGAACTGGGTCTTCTTCTCCATGCACTAATTATTATCGTTCAGCTAATTGAAAGATAGAATGACCAAATGACAAAATGATGCTCAATCAAGAATTTACAACTGTAGATAGAAAATGCAGTCCAGGCAGTCGGTCACGTCATAAAGCGTTTAAGTCGAGCCAGGAAGGGTTGCAGAGGAAACCCTTACGAACCAATCCGCACCTACATGATGCAGATCCATTATCGCTCTGCGACGATAATTGTTTTCATTTAGCGTCCATACCTCCTCGTACACAGCCACCCCCCTAGCATTCAATAGATTTAGACACTACGAGTAGATAAATACATAAATAGGGAATTGCGTATTCGCGTATTACCATGTATAATTCCTATGAAGGTAGGTACAAAATATTTAAATTACAATTGCCTATGTCCCCAAATTTTAGAATGCTCAGCCTTCGAGTTTTCGTATTTTATCTGACATACATGTACATGTGTACGTATATACATGCATTAGATGATGAAGTACCGGTAGTGCAAGTATAAAATGTGCATGCCAGATACGAAAAAAAGAGAAGGCTCGGTTGACCGGCTTACTCTGTTTAGGTCGTTAGGTACTTCAGTCAACCGGCATCCCGGTGGCAGGTTCGCCGTTAATTTGCGGGAAAACCCACTAGAGAGATCGGCGACTCTTGCGTCATACTCATTCCCAGAACATACTCTAAAGTATCCTATCGTCATTAATCCAGTCAAATAGTTCATCTCCTGCTGAAACACGTATGCCTAGCCGGAGTTATATGAGGTCCGATACTATCGTGAGCATCACATCACTTTCAACTCATCCCTTCTAGGAATTGATTCAACTTCACATATGGAAAAGTTGGGTGGACAAAATATTATATCTCTAAGCTTACAATTGTGGAAAGTTGCTTACTCACAGAATATATCGTTGGCGCAGATCAGCATCCAACGAAGCTCCCAATAAAAGAATATCTTGGTTCGCCGATCTTCAACTCCGAAGTTGGACGCATTCACAGGACGGATCAAGTTGATATACTACTAATAGAAAGGAAGTGTTGTAACAGCACTGCCTCCATGTCCTCAAATCCTATCTAAGTACTTCTGAACCTATTGAGACACTTATTCATTAGATATCCCACTCTGATTTATACACTATGGTATCCTTACGCAGAAAATAGTATGATTGTAGGAAACACCATTGTAGTGTATGATGGGACTTATAGCTATTTACCTCGACTATGTTTTCCTTCATGCTAGTGACGATCAGGGCAATCAAGCAGATGAGAGAAACCAAAATCATTCGCAGATCAATGATAAACTACGATCCCAAACAGTTCGTGTTGGAAGACATCTATCTACCAATTGCTTTTCCAAGGGCCGGAGGAGCCGGATCTACACCTGGGTACGTATATTACACATCATATCAACCTCACTTTACTTCACAACTCAAGTATACACAAGAAGGGCTATTCAGAGGCTCAAAAAGCTCAATAAAAGTTACATATATCAACAAAACCATCTAAAACTCTAACAAACCCACCCTCCCGTAGCATCTAGCTACACCAATCACCCCTCTCAGCGTCTAAAAGACCTGCCAATTAGTCAACCAAGGTTGATTCCCGCTAGCATAGTCAACGCCATGTCTATAACTCCCCTTCAACTCCTCCTCATCAACGCCACAATGCGTAAACCCATCCCTCCCATCAAACCACCCCAACCCATACGTCTTCCCCAGCCCATCAAGCCGCTCCCTCATTTCCGCATTCGTAAACTTGGCCGTACCAACGAAATCATAAACCATCTTACTCTGGTGCACGAACGCAAGCACGCTGGCAATCGTACTAGGTTGCCGCGGCAAGAACGGGTGTCTACGGCGGATAAACACGACCGTCGCGACCACGCACAGATAAAGCAAGATCAAAACCGTAAGCGCGAGGGACACAGTAAACGAAAGCACAGTCTCAGAACCGGATCCTAGACCCTTTTGCAGGAATTGGTCAGACCCGGAATCGTGGTCCTCAGCTTCGCTGAGCATGTTGAGGAAATCGCGGCCTTCGACTGTGGCCAGACTGGTTACGAATATGGTTAGGGCTTCGACCATTATGGATCCCCAGGATACTAGGAACACCATCCAGTGCCGGTTTAGTAATGCGCGTACGGCGACTACGGCGAAGGGCATTGCGGTGTAGTCTAGTGTTAAGACTTTGGCCGGGGAGTGGCGTTTTGAGAGGATGTAATATGGTTCCATCATGCGAATTGCGGTTTCCAGACTACCCCAGGTCAATTTAATACAGACCGCGAGTGCGGTGACAACCCATGGCGCTTTATCCGTCAGGATACTGGCAGGTGTGAATAAGAACACGGGGATGAAACCTAGGAACACGAGGATGCCGAAGATAAACGGTATACAACCCTCAGCTCGCAACATCAACGGGTGTGGATTCTCCGGTAAGTCCGTGTCCTTGTATCTATCGCTCTCGCGAGAAGACACCAAAACCGAGTCCTCGGGGACCAAAGACGAGTTCCGTAGCGCGTACCGCCGGTTCTTGAGTTTCTGGTGGATGTCCTTATGTTTGGCGACATCCATGTCTTTGAAATCCATCATGATGTGACTCACGACCGCCATAGATGCTAACCCAGCAATCCCCTTGACGTCTGAGAGTAGACCTGAGCGTCGTGTATTCAGTTGATGGAATAAGACACACCCAAGCACCGCGATGATGAAGAAAGTCATCGTTAATAGCCGTGACAGGACCGCATCGAAGGTAATAGTCTTCTCAACGTCCGGATTGGCTATTCTGGTATCGCGGTCTGGGCCCACAACAAGCGCCGCGGCGCCCAACGTGGGGACCAAGGATACGGCGAGGAGAGTCGCTACGGAAGATGTGGCTACCGCCCAATGTTTTCTTTGCAGGGCTCGAAACGGTCTGGCGAAGTTGAATAGTGTGACGTATTCAACATTGATCGACTCAGAGGCTAATGCTCCACCCTCTTTCGATAATTGGTAGAATGCTTCGAGTCGTCGAACTTCAAAGTCGGTGTTCTGCCATAAGACACCGTACGTAACGGTTATTATAGTAGGCACAAACTTGAAAAGGAAGTAGTAGCCCGGGCCAAGGTCGGTAGCCTTCTCGAACGTGATGAGAGGCTTCTTGGCTGCCTGTTGGTACAGAATCTCTTGACAGATGGCGAGGGCCACAGATAAGAGAATCAAGGCAGTTACTATAAGGTGAGTGTTAGTAACATCTACGTCTAAATCGTGGATATATGTGAGGGGCTCAGGGGTAACAAATAATGGGGGAAAAAATCACTTACTATAAAGCCATCTCATCGAGAAAGGCTTCCAATTAGGTTGCGGGTAAAAAACTTCCGCCCTACTTTCCTTCATCAATAACGTCGACCGACGCGACCACTCCGAATCCAACCCAAGAGCACTCGGTCCCACCATCGTACTCAAATCCACTTCCGGCGGTTCTTCCACAATAACCTCAATAACCTCTCCTCTCCTATTCGCCTCGCTTTGGCCGAGCTCTCTAAGCCCCGCCGCCTTGGTTTTAGGAGTGGGAGCCCGTCCCATCGAGAAAGATTGCGTGAAACTCCTCTTAAGAGTTGGCGAATTCGCTATTAAATGTTCTTCCTTGATAGTAGCCATGGGTCCCATCCCTTTCCCAATGCCTCCCGTCAATCTGCCGTTAGCTTCTTGCTTCTGGAGGGACTCGAGGAATTTCGGGTCTTGGGAACTTATCGGTCCCGCGAAGGAGGTTATGTCGATCGCCGGTTCGGTGTGCCGGTCGTGGGGGGCATATCGGCGTGGGTCAACCCGCCCGGGTTGCGCGGCGTTTTGGAGCAGCGACATGTCGATGCTTTCGTCTTCGTGGATCGTATCTTGGACTCTAGCGCGAAAGCTCTTAAACCGCCTAGATGTCGACACGGAGCGACCCGGCGCCGGAATGGGTTGGTACCTTCCCCCACCAGATGCAACGAAGGGTACAGACCATGACGATTTCGGCTCGTAAGTATTATCGTCCGATGCGCCGTCCAACCGTGGAGACCCGTAGGCCGATTGTAGTGATACAAGGGATTCCCGACCCCGAAGCTGTGACGTTTCTTCGTCGTACGGGCCGTCTGACAAATCCGAGACTTTGTGGTTTAAATGATGTGTAGATTGCCTGCCGGGTTGGGGCGTAAATTGGAAATGATTATTGTAAGACATCTCTATGGCCCACTACCTAGGTACTAGGTAGTGTTTGCTACATGCGATAAGATGCAAATTTATGTACACTATGCTTGATTAGGAAGATTAGATACCATCAACACTGTGGTTTTGTATGTCCCCAAGCTGTGGGTCTGTGGTTTATCCTGAGGAATTAGGTACAAGTCGTATGGAGGTCTATGCTACAGATAGGACCATATTCGCACCCGTGCTATTTTGAGCACGATGCGTTTAAGCTGCCGAATGAGTGGATTTTTGAATGATTTGTTCTATTCCGATTTATGCTTGCCGACAGCTCCTATTTGGGTTCCCCGTCTAGAATGAAAGATTTAAGCACCAAGTTCGAAGTAGAGCATTAGTAAAAGCTCCGATATAGCGTATCGAAAACGAGAGACTAATAGATTAGGCGCTTGAAATGTAGGTATCGTGAAAACCTCGTACTAAACTGTTTTCGTCTATTGAAAAAGGACTCGTCGGGTACTGCTAATAAATACAAGAAAACACGCCATAGATACGAGAAGAAGAAATAGAAAGCATTTACAAGACACGCGAGGAGTCCTCCCGCTATTCCTAGAAAACATCCTACTAAACTAGGCGACGATTCTTTCAGCCGCCAAGGTCCAGGCAGGAAGACCAGTAGGATGGCGCCAGCTTCAGCTATGTGGACCGGTTTGTCCAGATGAAGAAAGCTGGGAAAATGTCTTGGGGGCCTAATTTTGGTGATAATTGATTGGAGGTGGTGATACTACGACCCTTGGCCCTTGTAATCCCCATCCAGCGAGTTCCCTGGAGCCGCATTAGTAGCGAGCTAATAACCAAGATTCTACACTGGAGATTGGTCAATATCTTATGCTGGGGAGAAACGTGGCTTAGCTGGAGCTGCCCAGCTTTGATGATATTTCCAAGATTGATCACGTTCACATTCAACAGTTGTAAAAATAAATATATCTATAATCTGATCATCATATAAACCCCTCTTGAAAATGATTCCAACTAGAGTCATACCTATATAATTTCACCCTCAAGAAATAGTACGAATTTCGACTACCATTATGATTGTCTTATTTCCTTATGCTTATCACTCCGGTCGCACAGAGAACGCCATTTATGACATGTCGGTTTCTAAATCCCGGTCTTATCTCTGCCGGTTCGGGTGGCTTCATGCGATCGTAAGAACCACCTATTATTTGAAGAGGGGATTCGATCCTGCTGGATTTTATCATGATATTCTAATGAGGGGAAATAATTTAATAAGACAAATCAGTAATGGGACAGAAAGGGAAAGAAAACATACCTATTTTCGAATAAAACCCGTCGTTCCTGTTCCTACCCGCATGGTCGGTTGTCCTGCATCAACCATACATATCTCTAAATAATGTCAATGTCTCAGTTGTCCGTGTGATGATTTTTCTTTTTTCTTATTTCTTTTGATATTTGGGGTGGTACAAATAGCTCTTGCATGCCTTCGTCGTCCCAAAGCCGCTGTTTTCTTCCAAGAGCATGTATGGAAGGGAGTAGATATTATATTAAATCTGGTATAAAGTCAATCTATTCTGAAGAAGAAGCTTATATGAAACAAATGCAACAAAATTCAAGAACAATAGGACATTGTAAATCCCTATTAAGAAAGCAGCTACGACGTGATTGGCTAGAAGCTCAAAGTTACAATAGAACCACTCGACCTACTCCGTCGGAAGGGTGGAACCCCGCGAACGCAGTAGTAGCAATAGCCCCGCGATTGTGTTCACCTAGAAGCTTCCACTGCAGGAAAAGCTTCACCTTCCACTTATTTCTCTTCGATTAGAGTCCGGTCGTACTTACACAGTTACATTCCAATTGCTCCTGCAGCCGAAAACATCAACCTTTTCTCCTATTACTCCTTCCTCTATTTGTCCTCTCCTCCACATCATAGCAAACTCACAATCGAATTCAATTCTCTCTCCAATCTTTTTCAACCCCTCATAAGTTCGTAATACCATCACCCCACTCTACCTTCTCTCACCACTACACAGCCTTACCGCACACAAAACAGCAACAATGGCAACCGAAGAAACCAAGAAGCGCAGCTACGTCTTCTTCGACGTGACCATCGGGTCTAAACCCGCCGGTCGCATCACCTTCGAGTTGTACGACGATGTAGTGCCGAAGACAGCCGAGAACTTCCGCGCCCTCTGCACGGGTGAGAAGGGCCTAGGCAAGTCCGGCAAGCCCCTCCACTACAAGGGCTCCGGCTTCCACCGAGTGATCAAACAATTCATGATCCAGGGTGGTGACTTCACAGCTGGCGACGGTACCGGTGGTGAGAGTATCTACGGCGCCAAGTTCGAGGATGAGAACTTCGAACTCAAGCATGAAAGACCTTTCTTGCTTAGCATGGCCAATGCTGGTCCCGGTACGTATAATTTCTCAACCCCTTCCTCAAGGCATCCCGTCGGTGTGCTAATACTTATTGCGGATAGGCACCAACGGCTCCCAATTCTTCGTAACAACCGTCCCCACGCCCCACCTAGACGGAAAGCACGTCGTCTTCGGCGAAGTAAAATCCGGCAGATCCGTAGTCCGCCAGATCGAAAACCTACGCACAACAAACGACAAACCCAACCAATCCGCCACCATATCCGACAGCGGCGAGCTCTCGGCAGCCGCCGTAGCCACTCTCTCAACTGGCGGCGCTAAGACCGCCGACGCGTACGGAGACGTATACGAGGACTTCCCCGAAGACGAAGCTGAGCAACCTTTATCCGCTTCGCACGTACTGAAGGTAGCATCCGATTGCAAAGACTACGGTAACAAAGCCTTCAAGGCAGCCGATCTGCTAGGAGGATTGGAGAAATACCAAAAAGGTCTACGTTACCTAAACGAAGAACCGGAAATCAAAGACGACGAGAAGGACCTGAGACAGAAACTCGACGCGCTGCGCTTTTCACTGAATAATAACTCGGCGTTATTGAATTTGAAACTCGAGGCTTGGGACGAGGCTCAGCGTAGTGCGACTGCGGCTCTAGCCTCGCCTGGTGCGACGGATTCTGAGCGTGCGAAGGCGTTGTACCGTCAGGGTGTCGCGCTTGTGCATCTTAAGGACGAGGACTCTGCGATTGCGTCGCTTGAGAAGGCGAAGGCGCTAGCGCCTGGTGATGCGGCGATTACTAAGGAGCTTGATACTGTGCGCAAGCAAGCTGCGGCGAGACTGGCGAAGGAGAAGGCTGCTTATAAGAAGTTCTTTGCGTGATTGTGCCGACGTTGCTGATTTTGGGCGATGCGTTAGGAGGGGGCTTCGTTTGTCCGAGGTTGCTTACTTGACTTACTGTCTTGCTGCGACTAGGCGATGAAAAGAGAACACGAGGGAGACATGGAATGCCACGAGTACTTCATGGGGATGCATTGATTCGGATTGCGCTATGTCGATTTTTCCCGACCATTGGCGTTGGACTCCGGCATATTCTACGCAAAGAGGAGCAACAAGAGAAAAGGAGGAAAAACTAAAATCTATCTACGATGGCAGGAATTCATCTACTAGGCTCGGCGTCTACCGCTTCTTTTCTTCGTATTAGCATGGATGCTCATAGATCAGAAATGGGTGGTGATTTCGGGAGCATATGGGTACGAAGGAGTGCGCGCATGGATTTACTATTAGACTTCTAGTAGCTTCTCTACGGAATTTCTAATGAGATGCAATACAAACAAAAAATTCATGATTTATGAGGTCGTTCGAGCAACCTTCTTTTGCGACTATGAGACAATGCATCTCGGATACGAGTAAGACAAGTCAAAAACATCGACATTTAGTAAATAATATCTTTCTCAATGACTTTCGCTTTTTAAAATTGGTCCTATCTATCTCTCATCTCATCCCATCTCGTCACTTCTCATCACCGGGGTTTTTATTTATCTTTAATTCATCAACTCCTTCCTCTCCCCATCTGCCTGTGTATAATTCGGGAAAACAGGACTCCCCTGACCCCTCTCGTGCGTAACATAGATACATACATATGATATGATTGGTATTGTAAACTGTGATGTGTGATAAGAATATGTTGATGTTGATGATAATGATATACGGGTCAGTCGTAGTCGTTAGAAAGTGTCTGTTTTAAAAAAAAATCAAAATCAGAAAGGAGCTTTCAAGTTCGCGTATCGTGGTTGCGTGGCGTATTGTAATGTTATAAAAAAATCAAAATCAAAAGCAAGGTCGACCGTGAAGAAAAAACTGATCGACCTGCTCGCCTGCCCTGTTTGCCTGTCTGCCTATCAAGGGGGTTCATGAAAAAGGCCTCTCCTGATGAATTTTGTTTTCTTCTACCGAAAGCCCATTTGAAAATGCAGAACACAAAACTCTCTGCCTTCCTTTTGGTTTAAGAAAAGGACAGGGGATAGGGTCACAGGCGATAAATAAAAAAAATGAGTCTTCGTTGGATAACGTGATCGAAGGGGTGCCACTATATTCCAAGCCAGCCAACCCCCGGGTTCACTCTGTCTATGTCTCTAATTTCCCACGAGGCGACCCGATGATAACAACACTCCTTGGCCGGTTCCTTTTCCTGAGTCCCAGGATGCCGGGCAGCCCCTCTGCTCTTGGACCGGGAGGTCGTTTCGTCAATCGGGATCTGGTACGTTTTGGCGGCCCCAATAATGATCGTCGGATACGCGAATTCACTCGCGGGCACGGTTCAGAAAGGTTAAGGCATGACTAGTGCCTCGAGCTTGTGTCGCTCTGCCAAGATTCTGAAAAGCTTCCAAGTATACTCCTGCTGCCTTTCTCCTCCTTGTCCCTGCTCTTTTCCCGCACCGTTGACGGCGAACTAGCCGTTTCCTTTCCCTTTTCCTTTTTACCAGTAATCAATCCATGAAGGAAACTGCGAGGGTTCCTCACATGCCCAGCCTTTGCCCGTATTGTACTCATTGGATTCGAGATGTCTATACTCTCCGATACTTGGCGAAGGGGCCTTCCCTCACGACTAAAATTCCGGAATGATGCTGACCGATCTCCACCTTCCACCTCACTTCCGGATGACCCGGGCGGGCGGTTAAGGTCATTTTCCATCCATGACGCGGGATTTCCATAAGTTAGATTGACTGAATCTATGAGGGTTGCTCTTTCAAGAGCCTCAGGCAGGTCCTCTGTAGCTATTGACTCGTTTTCTGAGACACGAATAGCCTCAATCCTAGCAAGGCATTCATCGGAGCGCCTTTGAAGGTCTACACAGATAAGGTGGAATTCTGCCAATTCAGCATCGAAATCCGAAGGATCTGCGACGGATGACTTGCGACTAGACTCGAGCCAAAGCTTGACCAAGGCTGCATAATTCCTAGGATGATCAATCAAGTATGGCAGCGACGGAAAGCCTTCTCGAGATACCGGAGATAAACGACCAAGTATTGTGATTGGGGTAGAGTACGAGGCAGAAACAATTGGGCCGGTACTGCGCTCAGGTGGTATCGAACACATCTGATCGATATAATCTTTGAAGGGTTGCCTGTGGATAGTCAAGAATTTGTTCATTGGTTCCATCCAGCTCTCTTTCTTGCCGAATGTGGACAAATTCGCTAGAGCCTGGAGTCCTTTCGCGATAAGCGTTAGGGTACGCTGAGCCCGAGCTCGTGGATTGTCTCGTAGAAGTCCGAAGATCTTCGGGTTTAGGATCGCTGGACAGATGAAACGGAGGAACAAGAAACCCGAGACACTTGTGTAATTGACGGTGCGGAGAAAATCGCCGTAGCGGTCTTCCGCGACAGCTCGAACATATTTGAGAATTTGTCGGAGTTCAAGAGGTAATTTTGTCGCAGAGTCCAAAATGCACTCCCACACTTCGGTTGTCAATTGTAAAAGCTGGTTCCAGTGCTGTTGTATATCATCGCCATGTTGGATTCTGCTCGGATCCACTTCACAATCCGGATTGAGTTCGTTAATCTCAAAGATCTTGTCCGCGAGGATCTCTTCCAAGTATTCCTTTCCGAGACGACGCATGTGGAACTCCAAAGCCTGGGTGAGCAAAGAGTTACCTCGGAATAGAAGGTTGGCTTCCCCAGCTAGGGACTTCATGTCGCGCATGAGTTGATCTCGGTCGCTTGCAGAGTTTGAGGACTCGTTTGACTTTAATCGCCGACTAAACCGCAGCCTCTTTACGCTGTTCTGGCTTCCTATTCCATCGATTTCTTCCTCGACGAGAGCCATGAGCCACTCGCTAGAGCTCCCGGATACCTGGAAAATATTCAAGAACAGTTCTGCCAGTCGTCGCATGGCCGAGGGTATAGCCAGAGCGATCTGGCTCGTCAATCCGACGCTGAACTTGTGAAGGAGTTCGGATAGAGGTTCGTAATCCTTTGTTCCAAGGACAACCAGCTCATCATGATTGACCTTGACAAACATGCTTCCGATGCTTTCTTGTTTTTCGTCGTAAATCTGAAGCCATTGCTCATGATCCTTAGCTCGTTCCAATTTATCTAGGGGTATATCCACCGATCCGCATTGTATTTCCGTCAAGTTGCTCGTCTTGGGTAAACCTAAGGATGCTTGTAGCTGATGGCTAAGATTTTCTATATTCCCATCGACTCGCTTTAAAATAACAACCAATTCTGGTAATGCGGTAGGTAATTCGGTGAACTGAGTCGATTCTCGCCAGAATGGATTCTTCGTATCGGTCTGAGTCGTAGTGCGTGACCGAACCTCGCCGTCTAAAATCACCTCGGCGAGATAATTACCATTCAAGGGATCTCGCTCTTTGGAATGGCGTTCGTGGAGATCGGATGGCATAGCTGTTTTCCTTATTTTCGCTTCCGTGACTCTAAGATGAATGGTCTTTTCTAAGCGGAACAATTGCCCGTCGAATTCTTTGTCAAACTCTCGAATCTCAGTTACCTGATCTGTGGCTCCTTCCAATCCGTATAGATCCGGGACGGCGAATGCTCGTAGGAGCACGAACCAAACTTCGAAGAGGACTCGAGAGTCTAGCGCGAGATAGACAGGTCGGAATATCGAAAGTTGTTTGGATGACGTAGAATATAGAGGGAAGATGGCAATGCAGTATTCTTCATCTAAGACAGATCTGTCCAACTGTTGAATAGCACAACGCGAGAGCTGCGATAATTCGATAATCGAAAGCACTGCCACGTCATTTTCGGTCATCAATTTGAACTCGCCATTATCTTGCAGGATGCACGACACTCTCCTCCACGACGTCAGGCCTGAGCGAAGATCTCGGGTGGATGGTCGTTTCACGATAGCGCGGGGCGATGTAGCAGTGCCTTTGTCCCACAGCATCACCTTGCCGACTTTGATTATGGCTGCGTCTTTTGAAGACGAACCGCCTACAGTTGAGGAGCCTCGTCTTCTCATTTCCGATCGACCGGGACCTGGAGAATTATTGCCTCTGCCGTTGGCGAATTTCACTGTACTGGGACGTAATTGTTGCCAGCAAAGTAAGCTGGCAAGCCATAAGTCGAATTCCTCAACTAGAACGGGTCGTAGTAACAGTTCAACACCCATTTTATTGTTTAGAATTTCCAGGCACTTTCCTTTGTCGTCGGGAAGGTCAATGGGGAGAACCCTGCACCCACGAAGATCGGCAACTACTGGAATGTGGAACGGTCCGTTCTGGCCAGAGTCGAATAACAAACTTCCTCGATCTTCGTCAATGTAACATGTTCCCGCGTACCAAGGGCCATTTTGTTCGGCTTGGTATTCAATTTCGCCTTTCATGCGACCACACAATGTCTTCATTAACAAAAGAATTTTGTTCGCATCTTCTGTGGGAATTGGCAGCGGTAATGAATCCACAGAAGGCGGCATAGATACTGCAGGAGATGTAGGCCGGGAAGAGCCGCGTTTTATCAGGCGCCTATTGGAGGACTTTTTCTCTTTGCTTGAAGATGGTGTAATTTTTAGGTCTGGGGGCCTAGTTGGTGCGACTGATGGGTAGCCCACGGATTCGAGCACGGTCGGCGGAGGGCGAACTTCAACGTCTACCTGGAAAGGTTGCGAACCCGAAGATGAAAAAGATCCTACTCTATGTCTGCCATCGATTGGAGAAGCCGTAGCATGCTGTCGCGCAGCGAGCGCACCATCCATTGTATGCGTGCGTGGTCTGAGGGTAGCTTTTTGATGTTGTTGCGACTGTTGAGTCGCGGGGGCATTTTCTAAAGAGTCGTTAAAAGCATCATGAAATACCATGCCTTGCCTTCTTCTTTCCCCACCGGGGATGGATCTGGGCGAACTCTGCTGGGGCGAGGCGGTACCATATCCTCGGGTCGCTTGTGCAATGTTGTTTGCGTCTGTGGCGTGGCCATTCTCACCGGGATCAGGTGTAACTGTCCTTATAGTATTTGGCTGTACGTTGACGGTGGGCCTAAAAGCCGTGCGTGCGTTACTACTGTTACTACTAGCGTCCCATTCCGCGCCCAGCGGTAGTGTATCTCCTGCTGTAGCTACCGACCAGTCTGCGAGGTTGTCGATATGGTCGCTGTGAGTATCCTCATCCACCTCCTGGGGCGGGGTGATACCGCGAACTCGTTGTTTCGAATGCATGGAGGCGTATGAATTGGAGCATTGAGTCTCGGGCCCGTCTCGCGCATATGGGGAAAATGTATTGATGTCGTGTCCTCTGGTCACATGTGTATGCAGGTAGCTATCGCGCCCATCTATCTCTTTCGCGAGTGAGACGGCGCGAGCTGGATTCGCACGGGAGGGTCGTCTGTCATAAATCGCAGGCCGAGTATATTTCGTTCACAAGCTTCCATCGGTGGATGGGCATTCTAGAAGGGCAATGCGATTGTTGTTGGTAAGTTACGTAGGTTGGTAGTATAGAGGTCGGCGCATGATAGGACAAGCCAGGTATATTCGAGTCGGAGGTCGGCAGCGCGGGTAGGTTTCTGACGGATTCGGTACGTGTGAATTTTCTTGTAGGCGATATTACCATAATATCGTGTGGTTATTTCTCAAACTCGCTCGGTCCAATAGTACCCATACGGCACGTGGAAATATCGAGGGTCAGGGATCGTAAGAGCCGGTAAGCTTTTAGAAAATGCTAAATGAGGTGTGGGCAAGACGTCGAGTGGTTCGAGGTAGGCCGTCTGCCGGGTTCGGCTCGCATTGAAGAACGGTCAGGAGGGCACAGCAGAGGGCGCAGCCTGTTGTTCTACTCGCTCGCTAGACGGCCGGGGCTATGCAGGAAGAGCAGGGCCGCTTGGATGGGTGCTTAGGAGGTTGCTTGGGGGTTTATTGGGTTTATTGGGGTTCTAAAGGTTCTATGGGTTCTGGAGCTTCTGGATTTACAAAGCAGCAGCGAAGGTCGGAGTATTATCTGCAGGGCCGGCGCTGGCTCTGAACCACTGGGATGCGACGATTGGATCCCCGGTCCAGGTTCCAAGGTCGAGACGGCAAGCTACGGACCCCAGGTAATTTGGCGGGGAGGACGTGCGACGACAAATAAGGAAGATATGGTCAGTGGTGGGCAATGTGTTTCCGTAGGGGGGATAGCTTCTAATTAAACCACCGTAGAAATGATTGTCTCAGATGCAAACTACCCTATCTAAGGTACTGCTTGATGCGGTTGACCGGGGGTATTGGGGGGAATATTAAGAGCGAAGAGCGAAACTGAGAAGTCTTAACAGGGTTGAAGAAGGATTTATTTCTTTTGTGAATTATTATTTTTTTATCTGCGCAGAATAAAATAAAAATGAAGCAAGGCAGCTAGATAGGTAAAGTCAAATAAAATAAAAGAGGGCCAAAAAGCGTAGACGAGACGGAAACTCAATTCCAGCTTGCAGCTTCCAATGTTCCTTCGGCTGATTTTTGGTACCTCCAGGGGAAGGAAGCCCGTTCTAACATCAACTAAAGTTGCACTTGTCTAGCGTGTCTAGTATGTGGCCTGGGCAGGCAATTATTGTCATCCAGTGGAAGTGACAGAAGCCAATTCTTATTTTTAGTCGACGTTTAACATTAGTGCCCGTTGAGGTTAACCTAATAAAAATACATCCAATGTATCTCCTCATTTACTCTGCATACCACATTATACTAAAATAAGTACCTAGGTACAACATATATCCCTAACAGATGTTGACTTAATCTATTACGATACGTTACCTATTATTATTTCCATGCACGGCGGATATTGCGTTTTCTATGTTCGGTACTCGACAATAATAACAATCGACCAGAGCTGAGAGATATGGGATCGTACATATACCTAAGTAATAAGGACATATCCGGCGTCTCCAGTTTAATCAATTCCTTCGCCAACGTCCGTAACCGTAACCTGGTTGTGTTAGTATCCTCGGTATTGCTGGGGATCGCCAAGCGGTGAGGCTACAAGATATAGCTAAATTATAGGATAGGATAAGACGGCCCTCTTGTGTATCTAAACTGCCTCTTAAACAACTAAGGTATGGTGCTAGTCCGAGCAAAGTCTTGACAGCGAATCCTCCGGTACTTGGCCTTTTTCTCTTGCAGCACAAAAGCCCGTCAGAAAAACGCCCCGGTAGTATATGTAATTCGATATGGCCTGATGATGGCTTACAGGGCTACGGAAATGTGATATTCCTAAGTTACACGGAATGAGATGTCCTTGGTAGTAAATCTGACGGGCGCGACGCATGTGAAATAGAGGTGTGTAAGTGAAGCCTCGCATATACCTACTTCTTACTGGTTATGTCATGTCTTATAGGCTTACGTGTTTCCGTGGGGATATAACTGATTCGCCAGGCTTAAAAGACGATAAGCAAAAGTACTGTTCTTTCTTTTTCTGTCTTCTATAGCGTTAGGGCGCGTGGGGGGGAACCGGACATATGATATTTTAGACATTCCCCTCTATCTAGGTACTTAGACAACGTCTGTTTTAAAAGCCTACTGATGTACCTACTTAATTTTAAAGCTTCATCTCATTCTCGGTTCATTTCCGAAAGAACATTGTAAAACCCTACTCTTGGAGTAGACCGAGAATGGCATCTTGATCGGGTAACAAAGCCTTGCTTCGTCACAAACAACGCGACACAGCATAAGGTCCCGTCATGATGAAATACAGGGCTTTTCAGATGTGTAATTGGGTAAGAATATGCATGTTTCTCATCCTCGACTCGGACGAACCTATCACGGAGCTGATGCCTCGCGTTCGAGGTGTGACTGGACGAAGTGACACCAGTGTCTCTTTTCGCCTCTTATGTTGCCCTATCCAGCTTCCCGGATCCCTTACGTTGGCTCCATTGAGACCTGTATGTGTACAACATGCATATATGATTTCATCTCTAACCCTTGTGTGATATGTAGCCAGACCACCTCCACGATTTGCCTTTCTGCCTTAATAGGTAGGCCTCTCAGGAACATCGGTGTGGTGGTGTGCTATGTACTTAATGCATGTAAGGTACCTAAGTATGTGAGTGTAGATATCTCACGTATGTAAGTCAACAAATCTCGCAGGATATGCTATGCCCAACACTCATATGTATGTACGTATGTTAATATGTGTTGCTCTTTAGCAGAAAACGATACTGGGATCCTTTCGTCATCAGTAAAATGGAAGGTCAGCTGTAATTTTTCTCGAACAAATGCGCCGCAACGTGCTTTTCACGAAATGGGACGAGACAAGATTGAGCAATACGAAAATCCACTTCGCTACCACGCCTGATCCTTGCCAGAAGACAGTCTGAAATGGACCGTTCCGCAGCGATCGTCTGGAGCCACAAAATTTCTTCTGATTACATATGCACGAGCCTTGTTCAGGGATCCATTCACCAATGTAACGCTCTTGCGAAGAATCCCTGGGTGCTATCTTCGATTTCGCTTAGGTATTGCGAATTGTACGAAGCAGCAAGAAACAAGAAATCAACCTTGATTGAACCACATAAGGGGGTTCGAAACAGTAGTTGTTATTACCTAGGGACATGAAGAGAATAACATAACCGGGTATGTTTGTACCTAAGTAGACAGATATATAGAATGTCTATTCCTGTCTGATACGTCCCACCCCGGCCGCCCTATTTCATGGCCGCCTCTTTAGCTTACCCGACATAGTTAAGGCGGCGCCCGTGTGCGCTGTTATTATGCCAGGCAGCCACCAACATGCTCCGGACTTGAACAACGCCGTGAAATGCCAGAAAAAAATGAAGAGAGGCAACATAAGATGAGCTGATGGGTGCCATAGTAAAAAAGGGGAAAGGGGGAAGAAATTGGATCAGACTTCTAGGATCAGAAGATCCGGGGATGATCCATTCATGAAACAATTGATATCCGTTCGCCTCGTCCTTCTACCAACCGGCCGACCAATCTTGAAACACGGTTAGTATACCCGCGTGCAAGTAGTCTGGTAAATGTAAGTCCCACGGGATGCCCGACATCTTATTAATAAAACCCCTCCCCACACATCTGCAGAAAAAGAGAGCACAGTCAGGTGAGAAAAGAAGCTATGAGCTATGTAAGGAAGAGGAATGGGAGGATCACCGCACGTACCTAAATACCATACTTCGCTCCCATTTAAAACATACCTAGGTACCTACGTATAATAGGAAAGCTGACGAACGAATGAAGCTGGAAAGAATAGCAATAACCAAGTTGAGTAATACCTCTTACGACAAGACATATCACCCGCGTGACATATCCCAGTTCCTAACTTCTAGTTTGCACCAGCTAGTTAGTCATTCATGTTCCATCACATACACTTACATAGTAGCATACAAACTATATCCATCCGGCCCTACCCATAGAATACCACAACGTGGGTAGGGAGTTTAAAGTCGTAGCCGTAAACCGTTCTCCCGACCCAGCAGTCCGGAACACGAATAGCTTTCGCTACGACTTAGCTTATCATGTATTTCAGGGTCGTACCTAGGTAGTGGCTTAGTATGCCTTACTAACACCTAACATCCTCCAAGGTGAAAAATGACTGATAGTATTTTTCATATTTTGCAGTTTTTATAACCGACCCCTTACTTTAGCCTTGCATATTCATGACGGAGGTATAAACATAGATGCTTTTAGCAATTCCAACTTTTGGTTGGCGTGTTCGCTTAGCCTAGCTTGAAGGCTTCGGTTCTAGGGACGGGAGAATATGCAAGGGCAAAACCGCTACGCGTAGGAACGTATGCACGTAGGGTTAATATGCCAAACACAGCGGGACATAAAAGAACATCTGTGGATATCACGTAAGGAAGATGAAACAGTTGGTTGATGGTAAGAATTGCACATAATAACCTCGAAGGTATTCTGTCTATGTACAACTTTGCTCCTATCCATCTCGCTGCTTTTTGCTTCTGAATGTTCGATGAGAGGAGGGCAAGGAGGGATATGATATGAGAAAGAAAAAAGAGAACAAGAACCTCCGTCGCCTAATCCTTCGTTTTCCTGAGAAGTTCAATAGCCCGTTAAACCACGTCCGCCGCCTTTCCCCTAAAATCTGCTAGCACAATCCTGCTAGCTAAGCATAAACGCAATGGGGAATAAAAAATCATCGAGAATGGTATCATCATCACCCTCCCCTGATATGCGCAGCTCGTACGAGAAGAGAAGTAAAAAAAAATGAAACAAAAACACAAAAGGATATGCCCTAGCCCTAAACCGCATATCTACCAACTCCATTTGCCCAAATTCTGTGTCTCCCTCTCTGCCCTCCTAGAAAAGTGTCAAACGGTATCCATGAATTGTCGCAGTTCCAAAAAAAACCAAGAAGTATAACTAAACGCATTCCAAAAATTGGGGGTTGCCGACTCAAGGCACAGCCCGTAAATATGTCGCAATCTTGTAGTTTGTTGTCTTGAGTGCAAGACAGGTTTGAATGGATGTATGTGTATGTCCAATTAGCGAGAGGGACCTTCAATTGGGCTGACGGGAAGACTTCGAGCAACGCTGAGGTCGGTGCTACCGGTACGTCTCAGAGCTTGCGACATAGTTTCTATGTTGAGATCTCCACCGCTCGCCGAGAGACTGTGCTCTGCGGAAGTCGGACTACCCAAAGGTTTCCTGACAGGTGACATGCTTAGACCCTTGATAGAGCCTGAGATACTGTTCGGTGGTGATGTTTCGGGTCCTTGAGAGGAGACCGGCGATCTTATCGGTGATGGCGAACGGTTAACCCCTCTTGATCCAATTGAAGTCAAACCAGCCAAGTGCATCGAATCACGGCTGCTGTTGGGCGGTATTTGCTCTGCCTGAACAACGTCTGCGAATGATATAAAGCTTAGGCGTCTAACGTCGGCAGAGTCGAGAGAACCATAGTTTGAGGCAGCCTCTTCCTTATCAGAGAACGCAGCTAGATCCTCAGCCCATGAATGGTTGGAGACGCTATCAAATGTAGAGGCACCGGTCACTGTAACACTTGCGGGTTGGTGTGCGTTATGGGTGACAATCTCGACGGCGTCGGGATTGAGACGATCGTCCGTAATGGCTTCGGAGGATGCATCGAGGACGGGAGGGATATAGTTTTCGGTTTGGATATGGGAGGGAATAGCTGGTGAATTGGGTATAACGATAGTGCTCTCTTGGACGTCTCGCTCGAAGATTTGAGAACCAGCTGGTGAACTCATACGTGGGGAGGATGAGTATAGACCCCGGCCAGGAGAAGATGGCGTCATATTGGGGCTACCAGCTGGAATTGGTGAACCGGTTGTTGACCGTTTTGATGACGGTTTAGGCGCATCTTTTACGACGGGTGGACTCGGAAATTCGGAGGTGGGTTTGGGAGGAGACTTGGGAATAGTCTTGGAGTCGGTCTTCTTTTTCCCGAATCCAAACAGGCTGCGCTTTTTCGACTTTTGATCGGCTTTTGTTGATTCGCCCTCCATCTCTTTCTCGTTAGGTTCCGTGATAGTCGAAGTTGAGTCACCCGTAGTATTTTGATTTTTCTCCCTTGATTCGGGAGATAAATCCTTCTCCCTACTTGTTTTTATAGCAGCAGCTGGTGCAAGAGTCATAATTGCGGACCGGGGATTCGAAGGCTTATAATGGGGTGATTAACTGACAATACCTAATAGGCGAGTGGTAGTTGTTTTCTGGAAGATGCCAAGAAAATCATTAGCACGGGACCAAAAATGACCAAACCAAGCAAACAAACACCGACGGAATAAAAACGTTGAACAAGAATACGAAGGTGAAGCAGTGCAACGACGTGATTGTAGTTGTTGTTGTTGCAGTAAGGGGTTGTTGGTGAAAAAGTTTGAGTGGAAAGGGAAGAAAAAGTCCGGTGTATTTGTCTGACTTGAGAAGATGGAGAAGGATAGAGACCTGAGATAACACCCCAATCTCTCTCCAATCTGAATTTGCCATTCTCGCGTACTAGTACAATAAATTGTCGGGGTATTTGAATGTCAATATGGATAGAATATAATGGCACTTACCCTCCGTTGACCCACGGGGAATTAGGAAAGAATTAATGTCGGATTGGCCAAGCTCGCCCAGAACAAGTTCGAGATTCTTTTCTTTTTTCCTGCTTTGCCTTTCCTTCCCTTCCTATACTCAGGGTAGGTAGGGTGTGAGGTAGGAGGATATCTTACGTCTACCTGTACCGCACTGCGCTGCGCTTTGCTGCACTGCCTGGTCTGCCCTACTGCGATTCCCGCTGTTGCAGATGGAGGTAGGGTGTAGGGTATAAGGTGTAAGGTATAAGGCAAGAGGATGCAAGTGGTGTGCTGTTTTGGGGTATGAAACCTGGGAGATCCTGTCCAAGATCGTCTCAGTCCTAGCACATATGTAAAAAGGACCAGGTTCCAAAAGAGGAGGTAACCAGCTGATACGCAGCGACGATCAACAATTTGCGGTTTAGATTGATGATGAGATGCTGGTCGATCGTGGTTTAAACAACAAGTGTCCTTGGATTGAATGTATCGTTGTGTATCGGATGTATCCGTTTGAGTGTTTAGGTATGAGAGGATATGAGCGTATGTATGTAATAAAAGGTCTTGGATTTGCCTAGATACCCGACTAGATTGATAGGGATGTTGTAAGTGGACTAGGATCTGACAGGCGACCGGCCATTAATTGAGGCCGAAAACAACAACCTTGATGCGAAAAAGACGGGATGTTGAAGAAGGCGGGAAAAGAAAGATAAAGAATAAGAAGACGCTTAAAAACGGATAGATATGCTTAATTGGTTTAGGTAATTAATAATAAGAAAGTTAAGTTAATACCCTTGATGAGCTTAAGTTAAAATTCCGTGAGTGCTTTCTCTCTTTTTTTATTTTTTTCTCTTCTGATTTTAAACTCGTCACTGTAAATTCAAGGAAGGCACAATAGCAACGATCAGATTCCAATGTAGGAACAGCGCGTGCTTGGTTGCTTGCTTCAGCTTGCTTTTCAAAAGCCCGCTAAATCCATTTTGGTACCCCCCAATAGTTCAATGTGTACAAATGTATACACAACTTTTGCAGTTTCACAGATGTGTACGGTATTGTGTATTGCACACGTAAGGTAGGACTTGGTATTGATAAAAGGCTAATAAGAAAGGGAATAGACGACTTGTTTCTTGCTTCGATACTTGAAACTTGGAAGATAATGGGTACTGCTATTGGTATTGGTATCACGTAAACAAGGCGGGATATGAAAAAAGCAAAACGAGATCAATAGTTGTACATGTATTGGGGGTTTTTCGTTTTTCTTAGGCTTGCATATTTTTTGCTCATACGTAACATAAAAAACAGCCCGCCCGTTCTATAAAAAATAAGGGGGGCCACAACTCGCGACGTCACCGGTGGTGACAGCCCCAATGATCTTCGCGGAATCCAACGGGGCAAGAAATGATACCACTCATAGTCCCGTCTCATAGTACACTACCTAGGTAGGCACACTAGAGACGACATTCCTGATCGTCCCAAGCCTACCTCTCTTTCAACCAATTTCTTCATTAATTCTCCCGCCTCCGACGAAACTAGACGGGGACTAGGAACTGTCTCAGAGGGGGCGGTAATGGTCACCTTATTGGGCCTTTAATTATCATGTATCGTATCGCATAAATTCAATGCGATCCCTCGGGCTGAAAATAGGTATGACGACGACGGGTCGAGACGAATTAACCCAACAACAACAAACAAAATCAATGCTGACACGGCCCTGGGTACGAACTGTGTTACCCATATCACCAGCCATTGGCGATATGATTCTTTATCAGAAGAAAATTATCGTAGGACAAGATGGCCATGTCTCTCATCTGCAAAGTCCAGATCGGGAAATATAGAACAATTTAGATCAATACCTTGGGATACCTCATGATGCCCAAAAAAGGGGAAGACCGACAAAGAGGGTTAACTTATGACATCCCCCACATCTTTCCAGAAACCAACCCAACATTAGGGATGGGATGAAAAAAATAAGGAACGTACCTATCATGAAGAATATCACGAAAAGCATTGCGATGCCAAGCGGATAGGCTGGAAGGTGGAAGAATCTCAAGTGCTTACATGGACACATGAAACTTCTTGAGATTCCGTAGGTACGTCACCTTCATGAGGGGTCATTCTCAATTGGGTTAAAAGGGTGAGCTAAATGAGCTAAATTGATTTAGTTCGTCAGGGCTCAATTGCAAGTTGCCAGGGGTTAAAGTAGTACGTATCTAAGACAAGGCACGGGATCAGGGTTATGGATTCCGACGGGCAGCGGCAACCTTGAATACGATTAGTAAGACGATATCAATGTAAGCAACTTCAGCTCTCTCATCACTAGCCAGGGGCAATGAGGCAGTGAACAGTGTACTTGGTGATTATCTGGGTTGCCTCTATACGCAGCATTTTTGTTAACTCTAATTGGTTCAATGATTTCGTTGCAAATGGCCAATGATCATAAAGTGTTAAAGTGTGCTGCACTTTAAAACCATGGCTTATGTAACCACTCAAAAATGAGAACGTCACATGACCTCGCGGTGGGACCTCGGGCCGTAAAAGCTTCCGACAAAAACTGCGCCTATCAAATCCACGGCGGCCGATAAAATAATTCGACGGTCACTCTTTTGAGCCTCGGGGTCGAGTCTGGAGAGGATTTGAAGAAGACGCCCGAACGACAAATAAATTAATTGCTCTCCGAATCCGACTTGACTATCTTCATAACCCTTAAACCTCACCAAAAAAACGAAAATGGAGACCCGAACAATAATGCAGCCGCTCCTGCGCTGCCTCAACAAGCCTAGCAGCACACGAGCAGTAACAGCGACGACAACATCAACGACACCCTCAACAACGCAAAAACGCCACCAATCCACCACCTCCCGAACAAAACGCGCTCTAAAAATCGCACCTCACTCCTCCTTCCTGCAACCCACAAACTCCTCACAAAACATAATCTTCAACCCTCCCTCCTCCGCACCATCCGTATACCACACCCCCTTCAAATTCCTCCCCCCCAGCGATCCTAGACGACAAGCCAACATATCGCAACTCCTCCGCACCTCCCCCACCCCCAACACCTCCAGCCAAAACTTCCCGGAACTCAAACACCACAACAAGAAATACAACGTAACCCTCGAACAAGTAGCCGAGATACGCAAGCTCCGGGCCGAGGACCCAAAGAAATGGAGCGTGTTAGCGCTGGCGGCCAAGTACGAATGCGCGCCGTTGTTCGTCATGATGTGCTGTAAATCCGCGCCGGAGCACCGCGCGAGGGAGCACGCGAAGTTGGAGGCTGTGAAGGCTAGGTGGGGACCGATTCGGACGAAGGCGAGGGAGGAGAGGAAGAAGAGGAAGGAGTTGTTGATGCAGGATGCGCTATAATCATCGAGCTTGTAATAGGGCTTGAATTGGGCGACGGAACCGGTGGCGAAATTTACGGATTTGGCATGGTATGGTCGGAGCCGTGTGGTTTGCCGTGTTGAAGGGCGGAGAACGGACAGAAAGGATAGGGACGAGTCATATGCTTACCTGCTTAGGATGAAACGAGATGGGAATGGAAGAGGCTCTAAAAATCTGATCTCTGCTCTATGCTATAATGCCTAACGAATGGATAGTGTTACGTACGGCATGAGATGGAGCGGAACTAAGGAGGGATCGAAGCGGTAAGACAACGGCTACGGGCCGAGAATATGTATCAAAGACAAAATATAAGTGTACAGCATGAATATACCAAGCCTCGGGGCTAAACAAATCTTCTACCGACCTCTAGTCGATATATACGTAGTTATATCGTAATATCGTGAGAAAAGCTACTTGGTTCAATTTTGTATATAAAGCAAACCAATGCTCTCAATCCAAATCGTACTGCAAAAACCCGGCATAAGGAGCCCATGTATTGTAGAAATACTCACCGTATCCGCTCACCTATCTACCCACCATATAAACCCCGAGCTATTTCACTTATATCCAAATATTCATTTCATTATCACTAAATCCATCTACACCTAAAAATCCTCTTTCGATTCCTATACTCATTCGTCCAATATCCAGCAACCGGACTCTGTTATGCAGTATGCAATATCCTGTACTCTATCAATGCTCCCCTCCCCACCACAACCACCATAACTATGCTACCACAGGGGCAAGAGGTCATCAACCTCACTTCCCATTCATGCTTTACCGTTAACCCCCTTCCCCTTACCAGCGGCCTCCCAATCCCTCTCCCCAGGAATAACCCTATAACACCAACCACACCAACTTCTACTCCTACCACTAACTTCCCGACCCAGAATCTCACCTTTATTCTTCTCATCCTCCCACTCGGGTACACACTTCCCTACTTTCACGATCTGGACTAGCTTAGTCTTAATAACGCCACTAATCCCCTCAATCTCATGCCTAGCATACCCAGGCCTCAACTGCGGACTAGGCGTCCTACGCTCAGAAGGCGGGGACCCCGAAATCGAAGACGCAGGGGACGGCGTAGCCCAAGGCGACAAGAGCGTAGTCGTACTACTTCCACCACCATTAATACTATTATTGAGATTATTACTCTCATCCAACTCCCTCGCATCCGCAGCATCGCAATCCGTCTCCTGTTCGCGTTCCTTAGAGCCACAGCACGCGGCCTCGCGACCGCAGATGACACCCCGGTCGCCTTCCCCGATACCGGTGCCGAGGCCACCAAGAACCTCGCCGTATTGGTTGCGCCATTTCCAGATGCTGTATTGGGTTTAGCTTGGGGGAGTGCAGATGGTTGGTTACTACGAAACAGCTGGGGGGAAAGAAATAAAAACACGTACGACTTATAATCATGATCTGCTCCTCGAATACTCCTCCCGCAGGGCTGGCAGAGCCAGACTCCGATCGAATCGCATGTGCATACCGCTCGCTGCATTTCGTCCGCGTCTACAGGTGTATCTGCTCGTAATGGTGGCTTCACAAGGTTGCCTAGCGGGGCTTTACTACATGGGATGCATAGTCGACGATGTCTATCGGGAAGCACGGCGGGGGCGGGGGGTTTAATCGCACAGTTCTGTCGCATGTTATTAGACACTTTTCCAGACAGTGCCCAAATATTGACTAAGTGTAGGGATACTTACTCGACAGACAACCGTCCCGCAGCGTCTACACTCAGCCACCATATCTCTCGCGCAACTCCCACTCTTACCATTGTAATCTCCCGATCGACCGTCTTCCATGTAATACCAGTTCCCAGCTCGGGCGCGATATCGGAAGGTATCTTCGGGATCGATAGGCACGTCTTCGTTGACGCAATGGAGGGTGTGCGCGATGAGAGTAGAGCGATACTGTAGGAGGGCTATGTGGACCTGGCGACAGGTGCGGGACAAATTGTCGAGGGTATTAAGGTCGATGGACGAGGCAATCGCCATGACGATACTGGTTTGGATGTCGAGTCAGCTTTCTCTCCCCTCCAACCTTCTCAAGTACTTAGAAAGAATCATAGTATTGATAAGCTTGAGGGGAGGGGATCTGCAAGTAAGAAATGCCATAAGTGAGGTTGCGTCTGCCTACGGATAACATCCGAGAGCCTCCGCCATCCCATTATGCTCATTGAGGTTCTCGGGCTCGCGTTCTATTGTCGTCGTAACCGACTGACTCTGTCCCCCGTCTCCATTCGTTGGAGCTACTGCCCCATCCCCATTAACCCCCGATGCTGATAACTGCTGCTTCGCTCGTTCGCCATTCCATTCTGGCTTTAGACCGTAATGATGCGTCTGAGGCGGTTCAGCTTCTTCGTCGAGGTCTACGAATAAGGCCATAATTGGCGGTGGTGAAGGAACGTTGATAGGGAAGCCAACGTTACGCGTAGGTAGGTAGATCGGGGAAAGATAAGAAAAATAAGACAAGAGGCGGGATGCCCCAAGGTACCTAGATAGTAAGGATAGGAACGAGGAAAAGAACGAAAGAACGAAAGAATAAGAGAAAGATCCCGAATGAGAAATCGGAGAACAGCTTTGAAGTTAATAAAACTCGTTCTCCAAGGTCCTAAAAAAACGAAACACAACTCCCGAGGCCGGCAAACCCCAACTACAGCGCAGCGTTAATGCTTGATGGGGACGAGATGTAGGTAGCGTTGATGCGGATTGAGCCACATCACAGCTTTTTTTTTTTTTAGCCTGGTCCTATAATAAGACAATAAGAAGAAAAAAAAGGAATAATGAAAAAAGAAGTACAATAATTGTACCTATCGTAGCTACTTCCTCATGAATGTACCCAATCGCTACTCACTTGACACGATACACATACATGTATGTATTACGTGTAAGAACGTACCTGCCTCGTATCGTTCTTTATCAGATCCATCAAATTGATACTACGGCGGTCTATACCTTTGTATAAATGTACCTAGAACTGCCTAAGTTTAAGAGGACAAAGTTGCCGACTTGCCTGTAGCAGGCAGGTGGGGTCGGGCTTAGAGTAACTAATTCGCTGCAGCCAGGCGCGAGGATCAGCACTACACCGGCTTTAGTGAATGTACTGTACGTACATATGGTATGGGGTGGGAAGCCGATGATCCCTTGTTTACCTAACCGAATTCCCCATTTTCAACTTTAACCAACTCTTTTCAACAGCACGCCATAATAGAATTCCAGCACGGGCTGGTGTATCAATTCAGGGGTAGAATGCAAGTTAAACCAATCCCTTAGACAATCGAAATCCCTATTTGATATAGTCACATTATATGGTCTATCTAGGTACAGAAAGGTAAGAAGTTTTATGCATCGGATATGTAGCTAAGCTTACTAGGAACTGTACATCCGAGCTTTATGTACAGTAGGTAGGGGTAGACTTACCCCTTTCGCTCGAACCTGCAAGCCGTCGTGAGACCTCAACAATTACCTACATGATACATAGCACGCATACATGATATATGAGAAGGCGGGTTAGTTTCAGCTGCAGACCGCCGGAAAATACAAAAGAAAAAGAACAAAAACTGACGGACGAATAGCTACCGCGTATCCTAAACGTGCAATATGATCGCCTATTATAGACCTGTCAAATTCAAACCCAAACCAACACATTTCTTTACCGTCCCTTCTCGATCTTTGTATCATGTAGATAGGCGGTGGGTGATCAGATTGAACTGTCTGACATTGGGGTAGATATCATAAATAGCATCCTTCTATTATAGCATTCCTATGTAGGTATAGTTTGGTATGGTATGGTATCTCCCATTACCTACATATAGATACTATTTTCAATGTTCGTCAGGGGACGCTGCGTTGATTTCGCAAAAAATTAGTCATAGTCAATTCAATGCCCTGTTCAAGCAAGACACATGACGAGAAATTCCAAGAGGCCTAAAGATCTTTTATGTAATGATCTAGTAAAAGCGCGGATTAATCAACCCATGAAATCCATTATTCTAACAAGGATATATACACCACATCCAGGATATCTGCATCTACGTTGCACGGTGTAATGTGAAATCTATTGTACCTCCTTTTCAAGGACACCGTAAAGCATACGTCGTATATATACCATGATATCTACATGCCTTGAAGCAACCAGACCCCCCACGCAAATATGTATACCTTATAAACATTACCACGCGAACACCATTAAAGCCGGGTTCAACGCAACCGGTAGCAAGAAGTGACAAACAACAGTCCACGCGAGCGGCCAAATAGACGCGAAGTGTATGATTCTCCACTCGACGGGGAAAGCAAAGTAGCCGCATACGATCAGCGCGACCATGATCATGCACCAGAGAAAAGTACCCTTGAACCGTTTGAGCAAGCGCGGGATTTCTTCAAGAAAGTTGACGTCCTCGACTTCCTTAGCTGTTGCCCCCCAGACCATATCGATACTAAAGAAGTGACTCAAGATAGCTTGTGATACGTGCAGGGACAAGCCGCCGAGGAAGATAGTCATTAACGGGACCCACTTGAGGTTGTTCCATACTGACGGTGAAGAAGAGTTAGTTCGGTACTATTCGAAATAGCTTCGAGTGGGGTGTGGAACTCACAGCCTCTTATTAATGATTGCTGGTTCAGCCGATACCGCAATATAGCTAGAGAAACATTGCCAAGCCCCGTAAAGACGACTATGACCGAAATATAGATCGCGAACGAGTCTATGTAAAACTTGTCGTAAAGCCCGAAGAACCAGCCGGTTAGAAAATAATTCATGAGTGTTAAAAGCCAGCAAGCTCCAATGGCATAATACGTGCCGATGTAGGCGCAGATAGTAAGCTTCTTGGGGAAATGGATACTGGAAAATAAAAACTTTCTAAACAGGGGCGTTATAGGACCACGGAAGAGCCAGTACTTGAGAGGATGGAACATCAACTCGTTGCAGCCGTACGCGTATTTCTCCCATCGCGCTAGTTCGTCATAAACTGTCAAAGAGACGCCTTCCTGGAAGCCATCTCCAGTATAAGACGCAAACCTGAGATCGTAGCCAGCACATTGGAGTCGGAGAGACATATCAAAGTCCTCTGACACGTGAGATTCCGACCAAAACTTTTCATAGCCATCTTCGTCATGATACGAAGCGGCGTCTTGAATAGCAGACCATCTCAACATAGCGTTGTGGCCGACGAAGGGGCAAGCATCACCATTCGCTACCACGAAAGTAATGGCCGTGTAGATGAGCTCGGTAAACCACGTAACACTACAAATAAACAAGTAAGTACTTATGTCCTTTACATTATGGGATAGTAATTGACTTACCCTCCTTCAAAGAAAGACGATGTCACTCGCATGACACCGGAAGTGAACTGTAATATGGCTACCTGCGGGGATTGTTCCATTTCGCTAACGGCGTCTAAAAGGCAATCTTCCGGTACACGGGTATCTGAATCGATGATAAGGATATAATCGCCGATACGTATGTTGCCCTCAGCTTGGGTTCGACCTTCGTCTTCTTCTAAAACTTCAGCAAAGCACCGCTCGTACGCAGCTTTCTCATCCTCTCTGGACCAATCCGGGGTTCTAGTAATTTGTAGTAGCTTGTCCTCAACACGATTACTGACCATCATAGCGTAATTCATATTTGATGCCTTTTTAAACTTGCCGCGTCGGAGAAAGGGTTGACTTCCGTCCTCTGGCTTGGGATCGTGCTTCGGACGAGCTACCCAACTAATGTTGTTCTCGTCGTAGAAATCGCGACGTGCCTGCGCTTGTTCTTCCGAAATGAGCTGCATTCCATCATCATTCACAAAAATATTAGCAGAACCGCCTTGTAGCTCATACGTAGAGATACACTGCTTAAGTGACCGGACTGTCGGCACGATGACGGCTCTTAGGCCCTCCTTGTACACGGGCATCTGGATGGTGACATGAGGTAGTCGTTCAGTCTCCCGATCAAGTCGTTTCGGGGGCTTCCCGGAATAAAATCTTGAGTTCTTGTCGATTGCGGATATAGGACCGATTGTTTGGAAAATGTTGGTGATCAATGACTGGAAGAAGAACATGGCCACCCACATCTCAATCGGAATGACCGCGATGAGTGCCAACCGATAATATGTCTTGTCGGTTTCGACTTCGTATGCCAGGGATCTCAGACCTAGCCCCATACAAGCCATGCAAAGCGCCAAGGTTAGGGCCACGATGCATGGGCTGCTGAGTTTAGTACGTCTTTCGTCTGCGTCGTTCGCCGCCTCTAGATCTACCGCCGTGGCGTCTATTTCAACCCCTTGGCTTTTTTCTCTGCCTTCCCGCTTTTCTTCTTTCTCAGCTACACTATTGCCAGTACCCCAGATCATATTCATTAATTGTCTTTCTATGGCGTCGGCTCTCACTAGGAGTTTTTGGGGCTCGTCATCCCAGACCACCAGGATCTGCTTGTCCTGAATGAACGCGGCAAAATGGTGTTTTTGACATCGAGGTAGTTCACTCATGCTAGGTAATACCTGCAAGCGGAGGCCTTTGGAAATGGGGATATAGTCGTATGTCGTTCGTCTCGCATTTAGAATGACGTTGATGATCCTTGTGTTGACCGTCATAGCACACTACGAAATTGTTTAGTGGTTTGCCCTATTTTATGTGGAAGAGGCGGATACAGACCCGGACGTTTAATTCCATTATCATATCATACAAACCATTGGGCACCTCTTGAAGCGATGGCGGACAGCATGCGTAGTCATTTTTACCCTTCTTCAAAACGACGCCCTCGTCAAACTCCAAACCAGTTGTATATTGTCTTTCTAGTTGCTGCTGGTATAACCAGCTGCACATGACATCAGATCTAACATTTATGAAATTTTTTCGAGCATTGCGAATTTGTTCGATAGGATCTAACGAGCTCGCTGGCGATGTGGAGCGTGGCTGGGGCGTATAAGATTCGTATGGGGTTTTCGGCGCTGCTATACCCGGGGCTAGGAGGGTGGGTGTAAACGATAAAGGTGCAATTGGATTCGAGCTTTCCGGTGTAGGTACTTCGTGGCTCTTTTCTTTGTTTTCTTTCGCGCGAGCGGGAGTAAAATATGATTTGAAGACGCCCATGTTGACAGGCTGTGGAGGCTAGAAGCAATCGATATCACGTCTGCCTGCGACAATGTCCATCAAGAATAGTAGGGGAAGAAAGACTGCTTCAGAGCTACGAAAACGATTGGCGGGAAGGCTCGTAACCTGGAGAGACGTGACTAAGTAAAATGGTGATATGACAATATCTATAACTACTAGCTTCGCGGCGCCATTGTTGTTTTTCTACGTGGGTTTCGAATTTCAGCTGAGAAGGACATCTTGAGGAAATAGTGCCATCGCCACAAGGCATCGAAGGACCGAACCGACGCCATCGGATTTAATATTTAATAGAACGTCAACTACGAAAATAAGAAGCAGCTCCCCACTCGGGAAGATAAGGTACAACACCTTGCTAATACGGGTTTTCGTGCGTCGCATGCAGCAGCTGGTAGGCGTTGGTGGGTAGCGATGAGAATGGGGGCCGCTGCAAAGAGCTGACAATCGACAGGGCGGCAGAAGCCTAGCCCTCAATGGTTCATGACTAGACAACGCCCGTGATGGAAGACAGCGCAACAAATTGCGAGGTTGACCTGCATTAGATATCTATTGAGCAAGGGCTATGGGCCGTGGGCTGCATAAGCACTTCGGTGGCTCTAGATTGTGGAAATTTGAGTATGATAATTGGCTGCAAGTGCGGCATCGGGAGCAAACAACGATGAAGTTTGCTTCGACCGGCTCTCCTAACCGGTCAGCTTCAGAAATATCTTTCAGGACTATCGATTCGGGGCTGATAATCTTGAAAGTCCGGTGGCTTTACGAGCCACCGAAGACAAACGAGAACGATCTAGGCGCCGGAGATGAAAAAGCTGAATTGGCAACAATTGCTTTCTTCGTCAGCCATAACTGATAAAATTCAAGATCGCAATCATTGGCACGGACGCCGAGATTAGATACCGGCCTTTATTGGTATTTATAAGCGATATGTCAGTTTTCAAAGGGAGTAAGATAAATGTGGCTGGTTAGATAGACGCTCTACTCTCCATTGGCTTGACGAAATAGGGATGAATTCTCAGAAGTAGCCGATTATGAGGCGGGTTGGTAAGATTAGAAGTTGCAGTCTCAAGTAAATACGAGATGGAGACTCAGCTGGAGCCTCTGGTTCGGGGCCTGGCCCACATTTTAGAGCGCTGCGGATAGCCACTAGGATAGGGTTTAGTGACGGGAAGATCTCGGTTAGCTCCATCAAAACCCCTGAATGGACATGGCAATTGCTACACACCTAGAACAGTACACTGGAATTGAAAGACTACAGTGGCAATAAGTTTGAACAAGAGCGACATGCCAGGGCTAATGCAAGTAGCTACCTCTTCCCTTAACCTTCAACTCCAAGTTTCCAATAATGGACTACTAAGAGTCTACGTGCAGGCAACTAACTTATGTACATACTTAATTGACCTTGAAAGCATTTAAGACTGGAATATGTCATCTCTTGGCTCTCTAACATCATTGCTATTAGTACAGTTCTACCGATAACCAACATTTAGCTCTTTGATATTAAGTGTGCTATAGGGTATCATGTTACTTTTGCACCCCCGACAAGAATCTCATGTCTTCGAAATTCTAAAGGGGATCATGATCACTGCCTAGGTAGTATTGTGTTAAGAGAAGACGTGAGACGAGTCATCTACTTCGTCTAAAGTAGTTTTGCGTGACTTTCCCAATCCCCTATGCCATTACTCATTACTCATTCGGAGTCATTCCTGAAAGCCTCCGACAGACCTATACTATTCAAGTCCCTTCCGAGTCACGATGCTTAGCTCTAAAAGTGTAGTCTTTTGCTTTTCGAAGGATAAAAGCTAGCTACAAGAAGATAGGGGGAATATAAGGGAATGAGTACCTAGGTAAGCGATGTGGTCTTAGTTTGTGTTGCCTTTACCACGTTGACACCAGTGACTGGATACATACAAACGATACGTTATCCTAGCATTGAATTAGTTAATGTGTGTTTAAGTCGGTAGGCTCGAGGCCAGAGCATTCTGGACAACTTCTTATTGAGCACAAGGCTTGTAAAATCTCTCAATGTTTGGAAAGCAGCAACGGTGATCACTACGTAGTAGCTGAAGATAGATACCGTCTATCTTGATAATAGCGGGAACAGCGGGAACAGTGAATTCATAGTGGCATATAGTGGAGTCATCTACCACATCTTGACGTTGAGCTCATGATATGCCCCATTATTTTCGGTCAGAATCATCTCGATTAAATTGGCCTGGATGGTCGTCGTCTCGCAATTTGATGACCGGCAAGACTAGAAAAAGGTTATATGAGAGATAAAGTCAGCAGTGGGTGTTCATAACATTATTCCAGACCCGTCTAGTCGTATAAAAAAAAGTTCAGATGTGTTTTGAGAGCTGTCAGAATGCTGCCGATGCGGTATATCGTCCGCAACCCCATTGGATGGATGCATTCTCAATCTAGTAGGGTGGTAATTTATGCGGGGCGAATGTCATTGCGCAGCCCTCACGGTCTTAGTTAAAGGACCCTGATGATTTTCACCTATCGAATGTTGGATGGAAAAAGATCGAATTCTCAGGGACCGAATCCGGATGCACGTCAACATACATGTTCGACCAGTCTGAATCGAGCTGGTTGAAGTTGTGGAAGGTTTGTAGATAGAAACTTTCAATTGATTCCAATTTTTTGTAGGTAATATAAGCGTGAACACGTGATAGATTGGCGCTTTTCCTTCCCCGACCTCCGCGCTGACATCATCTTGTAGTACAATAGCTAAATCCACATTCCTAGCACTCTTCAATTACCTACACTCTATTTCTCTATTCCTTTACTGCTTCAACTACTTCCTAGGTTTGTAACCATACTAAAGCTACCAGGTGTTGCAATTGAACAGTTCTCTTATTAGGTAGTTAGTTAGTCGGTTGGCGGGTGCTTATTCCCTGTGCAAGGACCCTGAACTGATCTGTTCATCCTGTCCTTTTTATTCCCTGTCGCTTCGTGGCGGTCACCAGGCGTCTCACTAGAACCAAAATCCCACGATACCCTCGCCCCCCCGCGTCCGCTCGTACTACATAGTACAATACCTATATAATCCCTCGATTTTCGTCCTATCCTGTCATTCTTTCTTATTCCATTTAAAAAATTGCTAGTCACGGGAACAATTACCTACCTAGTAAACACCTCTTATCTCGAAGTGCGGGACTGTCGATCATAACGACGTAAACGAATTCCCGAGATACCCCCACTCGCTACGACTTCGCGAGTATCTCGTCGCTTAGGACTTCTATACCGCTTTTTAGAGTACTCCTTTCTCCTTGACCCTTTTTACCCCCCATAAACGCCTACGAGTTGCTGTCATCGACCTACAATGGCCGACTTGCTAACGCCGGGTCTTTCGAAGGCCCACCGACGTGACACCAGAGACGGAACTCGTCGCGCAAGTGATGATTGGGGAGTTTTCGACGATGCGAGAACGTATTACACATCCGATGCCCGTCATGGCGGAGATCGAGCACATAAACGAAATCGGACATATTCTCAAGTATGTTATATCCTACCCTAACTTTGCGACGACTGGAAAATTAGCTAAGGAAAGGTAGAATGGTATCGTTCAGGAAATAGAGCGCATGGGACTTCACGAACCACATAGGCGAGGTAGTCATGGTATGAGAAGCACTCTCACCCAATAGCTAGAAAAAGGTCTTACTAAATCTTGTATTCTCAGACGAATCGAGCCGACCGCACTCACGTCAATTCCTCGTCGATGTTGACCATACCCTAGAAAGCTTACAAGCACAGGAAGATACCGATGGCAATATGCAAATCACAATCGAAGATGCCGGCCCGAAGGTAAGCTCTTGAAGACTAGGAAATGGTTATAAAACGATTCCTAAGACGTCTTAGGTAATGGCACTTCGAACTGCCGCATCTGGCGGCCACAACCGATTCGATATCCGAGGCACGTACATGCTTTCGAACCTCTTACAAGAATTGTACATGGCGAAGGAGTTTGGACGCAAGCGAATCATCCTCGATATCGGCCGTCTAAACGAGAACCCTGTCAGCAGATTATCTAGGCTCATTAAGAACCAATTCTGGGAGGGGTTAACCCGTCGCATCGATGCCTCGAGCATTGAAATTGCGGCGAAAGATCCCAAAGATTGGACGGATGACCCGCGACCTCGCATTTACGTCCCGCCGGGAGCTCCAGAGCAATATGAATTCTACCAAAAGGTTGCTCGCGATCGACCAGAAATCCGACTAGACGTCCTATACCTCCCTGAAAAGATCACTCCTCAAATACTACGAGACATGAACGATAAGCCTGGGCTTCTCGCAGTCGCAATGGAACCGATTATTGACCCGAAGACTGGGGAGAAGACTCTACGTGGGTTACCATTTGTGGTTCCGGGAGGCAGATTCAATGAATTGTATGGATGGGATAGCTATATGGAATCTCTTGGGCTCCTAGTTAATGACAAGGTGTACCTTGCCAAGTCCATGGTTCAGAACTTTTGCTTTTGTATTAGACACTATGGCAAGATACTCAACGCAACCAGATCATACTATTTGTTACGGTCGCAACCGCCGTTCTTAACAGACATGGCGCTGCGAGTATACGAAAAGATTCAGCATGAACCTGGCGCAGTCGATTTCCTTAAGACGGCATTCCTCGCTGCGATCAAGGAGTATTATTGTGTGTGGATGTCGGAGCCGCGACTAGATCCGAAAACTGGTCTTTCGCGGTACCGGCCGGAAGGATTGGGTGTGCCACCGGAGACGGAAGCCTCCCACTTCGTCCACATCCTCGAGCCTTATGCCAAGAAGCATAACATGGGGTTTGAAGAATTCGTCAGGGCTTATAACCATAACGAGGTTAATGAGCCGGAATTAGACGAATACTTCCTTCACGATCGTGCCGTGCGAGAGTCGGGCCACGATACTTCGTACAGACTCGAAAAAGTGTGCGCCAACCTCGCGACTATCGATTTGAACTCACTGGTCTATAAATACGAAATGGACATTGCGCGCACTATCCGCAACGTCTTCGGTGACAAACTGGAAATTCCTGCGGAATGGTGTAGTGGCACCATGGTACCAGGCCAAGTCGAAACATCGGCTATCTGGGACCGTCGCTGGAAGAGGCGACGCGCGGCTATTCATAAGTACTGCTGGAACGAGGATAAAGGCATGTACTTCGACTACGATACCGTGAAGCAGGAACAGTGCACTTATGAGTCATGCACGACGTTCTGGCCTCTCTGGGCCGGCGTCCCGGATCCCGAACGCGCGGCCAAGGTGGTCAAATGCGCGGTTCCGAAATTTGAAGCTTACGGTGGACTACTCTCCGGAACGGAGGAGTCGCGCGGTGTGGTTAGTCTTGAGCGTCCGAATCGGCAGTGGGATTATCCGTATGGATGGGCGCCCCAGCAGATGCTGGCTTGGACGGGGTTGTATAGATATGGCTACGCGGATCTTGCGCAGAAACTTGCGTACAAGTGGCTTTTCATGGTTACGAAGGCGTTCTTCGATTTCAATGGTGTGGTTGTGGAGAAATATGATGTTACGAGGCCTGTTGATCCGCATCGTGTTGATGCGGAGTATGGGAATCAGGGACTGGATTTTAAGGGTGTGGCTAAAGAAGGGTAAGTTACCTATACCTATTTCTATGAGATGGAGTTTGAGGTGTTGTGGCTAACTGTGTTTGTCTAGGTTCGGCTGGGTTAACGCAAGTTATGTGTACGGCCTCCAGTTCATCAACACGGAGATGAAGAGAGCGCTCGGCACGCTGACTCCGTACGAGACGTATGAGAAGGCTCAGCAGCTGAAGGAGGAGAAATTGCTTCAGGAATTGGCTTGATGCTGTTGCCTTTTTATCTCATCCTTTGGTTTTCTACTCTAAGTTGATATGTTGATACGACAATTACGGAAAGGTATCATTGTCCGTTTTCTATGGTCGGGATGGGCTTAGAGGTATGAAATCAATCAACTTAGGTTGCATGACGATTATGTCGTAGTCTCAGTAGAGATGTATGAACGACGAATGAATAGGTATTATTTAGTGAGTGATGACTTGCGAAGTTAATGAAGTCTGCAATTATTGTTATTCGGAGATGTGAACATTTCCGGTTGTTAGGTAGATTTAATATCGATACCGTTTTCGTTTCGTTTTCGAAGTCGAGATACTTAGCCCGGGTTATATTGTATTTCGTTTAAGGAAATTCTCTACCCAAAACACAAATCCTCTAGATTGTGACAATAATGACCTTATACATCACGATAACTTAGAAGATGATGATTACCTAAGTCTCTAGTTCGCACGCAAGATACCAAGTGTCTGCAACTGGGGAGCAGGAATACCGGGAGCCGAGGCCCGGGGCTAAGGTTTCTAAATGTCGGGTACAAACGGGGAAGGCGTCGTTTCTTTATCGTGGCGAGTACATTTTATGAACATGGGATAAAGCTGATATACAATATAGATACGGAATCTGTATACATATTTCGCTCTTTTATTGGATAAATGGAAGCTGATTCAGATTCTTTCTTGTTCACATGTCAAGCTTCAAGTAATCCACCTCCACATTAATTCATGCGCGGGATGAATCTGATCTTACTTGCGTTTATCTCTTCTCATTATGTGAGACTTGAAAATGTTATAGTAAATTGAAAATTAAAATTCACCTCGTCTCAAAATAATTATTTTTCTCAATTGTTCTAATTTCATTTCTATAGTTCGTATATTCAAATTGAAGATGTAAATTCTTTTCTAGTGATAACGTCATTATCAAATGCTAGAACGAAGTTTAAACCCCAATCCCCGGCCCCCGGCTGTTGCACCTGTATTATATGTAGTACCACTCTAAGCGCCCCTAATTGCGGGGGACCAGGGGGGCGGTCTTTGTTTCGATCGACCTGGATCCCTCACCCACTTTCTTCCTTTTCTTCACTTTTATTTTGCTTCAAAGGGCTCTAACTCGGTAACTCGGCCAATCACGGCAAACCAGACATACACTACCCGCAATACCCTTCTCGACCGTTGAGTCCCCTTGAGCCGAGATGCCGTAGTTCGACGTCAGAAGCTTTGAAGCTCTTTCGTATCCCCCATGTGTTACTCCATGGTTCCGAGGTGCGCCGGTGAACCATCCATCCCCGTTGGGCCAATGGACGATCACACCGCTACCGTGGTTGCCTTAGAATCGTTCAAGTTTGAGCATCAGAGGCAGCTTATGATGGAATCTATAGCCGCTTGACCGATCGCTGCCGAATGCGCGTGTCCGTGGTAAGTAAGGATTCTAAACCGACAGGACTGCTTTTTTGTACATCAACAAGGTAGGTCCTCGATGTCAGCTTACTAGGTAGTGTCGTTTCTTACTCGTTTGTCTACATCCGTGATTCGGAATATTCTTTGTCGATAATAGTTCCACACTTTTAACATCTGTGGCCGGTTCATCTTAATCCCCTTTTCTCAATTTTTGATTTCTACTTCCTTGAACCCGTCCGTAATTCGGCGGTGACTCAGTGTACACGTATTCATTGTATCTCATCAACTGAGATATCAAGGATCATAAAAGAGGCCTTCAATTCAAAAATTTATCCACCATCCTGTGAGGCTTGATATATACGTCATCACTATACTGTGCTTGAACTACCTTGCCCAGTATGGCGTCTAACAATATGATCAACCCGGCTATCGACCCGAACGTCGAAGATGAGCTATTCGAGAAGGAAATTGAGGCCGTGAAACAATGGTGGAGTGACTCAAGATGGAGATATACCAAACGACCCTTCACTGCGGAACAAATTGTCTCCAAGAGAGGTCACCTCAAAATCGACTACCCGAGCAATGCCCAATCCAAGAAGCTATGGAGTATCCTCGAGAATCGTTTCCAGAACAAGGATGCCAGCTATACCTACGGCTGTCTAGAGCCGACAATGGTCACGCAAATGGCCAAGTATCTCGACACTGTCTATGTTTCTGGCTGGCAATCATCATCAACCGCATCATCATCGGACGAGCCTGGCCCCGATCTAGCAGATTACCCCTATGTAAGTTTCTTCGTTACGTCCTACCACAAATTCACGTACTGACAAGATAAGACCACTGTCCCGAACAAGGTTAAGCACCTATTCATGGCACAACTCTTCCACGACCGCAAACAACGGCAAGAACGCCTCAGCGTACCCAAAGCCGAGCGTGCTAAGTTAGCCAACATCGACTACCTCCGACCTATCATCGCGGATGCAGACACGGGCCACGGCGGTCTAACTGCCGTCATGAAGCTGACAAAACTATTCATCGAGCAAGGAGCTGCCGGTATCCACATCGAGGACCAAGCACCCGGTACTAAGAAGTGTGGACACATGGCAGGAAAGGTCCTGGTGCCTATCAGCGAACACATCAACCGCCTTGTCGCGATCCGAGCACAAGCCGACATCATGGGCTCAGACTTGGTCGCCGTCGCACGTACCGATGCAGAAGCTGCCACGCTCATCACAACGACCATCGACCCGCGAGACCATGCCTTCATCCTCGGATCTACAAACCCCCAATTGCAACCTTTGAACGACCTTATGGTGGCCGCGGAACGCGCGGGTAAGACCGGGGATCAACTACAAGCGATTGAGGATGCCTGGTTGCAACAAGCCAACCTGCGACGCTTCGATGAGGCTGTCGTAGATGCTATTAATGCGGCGCCCTCGTTGCCGAATAAGAAGGACCTAATTAAGCAGTATACTGAGAAGGCTAAGGGCAAGAGCCATTCAGAGGCGCGTGCTATTGCGCACGGTATTACAGGCGTGGATATCTTCTTTGACTGGGATGCGCCGCGTACGAGAGAGGGGTACTATAGACTGAAGGGAGGCTGTGATTGTGCAGTTAACCGCGCTATTGCGTATGCACCCTACTGCGATGCTATTTGGATGGAGAGCAAGTTGCCGGATTATAAGCAGGCGGTCGAGTTTGCGAAGGGTGTGCATGCCGTGTGGCCGGAACAGAAGTACGTTTTTAAAAATTTTTTCACCCCCTTACCCCTTTCTACAGCGTAAGACTAGAATGCTAACAAAGTTGCGAAAAATAGATTGGCATACAACCTCTCACCCTCCTTCAACTGGAAAGCCGCCATGCCGCGCGACGAGCAGGAGACCTATATCCGCCGATTAGCAGGGCTAGGTTACTGCTGGCAGTTCATCACGCTGGCGGGCTTGCACACCACGGCGCTTATTAGCGACAAATTCGCTCGCGCGTATGCTCGTGATGGTATGCGTGCCTATGGAGAACTTGTCCAGGAGCCGGAGATAGATGGTGGTGTTGATGTTGTTAAACACCAGAAATGGAGCGGTGCGACGTATGTTGATGAGTTGCAAAAGATGGTTACTGGTGGTGTAAGCAGTACTGCGGCGATGGGGAAGGGCGTTACGGAGGATCAGTTTCATTAAGGCGGATGGGTTGATGATTGATATGAGGATGAAAATTAGTGTAGATATAAGTGGTAGCACTACATACCTACATTCAATGAACGGTATGATACTTGTTGGATTTTCTATATTGGCTTTCATGGATTGCTATGTCTATAAATATGAGTTTTTGATATGAAATAAGTTGGATATAATGACAATTTAAAGAAGAAAAAAATCATGTTTATGAAAAGCTGATCTTCTACAGTGTTTATGACGCATGCTTATCGACTATGAAGGAATATATGCCTGTGTTTTTGGTCCTTCGTGTTTCCTAGGTTCTAAGCAGCACTGTGCATAAGAAAAGAAATACTGTGCGGGTTTACCGTGGATAGGACAAGTCGTTCCGACTCTCACCATTTGTATTGCTTTAACCATCATCACTCCTAAAGTGACTTACATGATGTTCTCCGTGAACATTTCGAATTTTGTTTCTAGTCGATGCTACAACCTATAATAGGCGGCCCTTAAAACATATATCTCAAACTGTTGCACCAGGAGAGGCTAAATGTCGCAATTTTCCCGATAGGCCTTCGAGCGTGTAGTAATCATGTAGCGACTCGCAGAGTCGTAAAAGCCTGTGTTCACATGTTATTCGTTGGCATCACGAACACTCGGTTGTATTGGTGTAAGACATAACCTAAACTACTGCATGACTATAATTGAGTTACTCGAGATATATCAATGATGCCTCGTCGCTTAAGTCCTATATGGCTGCCTTCGAATAATTATACCTATTTCGTCGTAGATGGCAAGTAGCATGTAGGGCAACCTACACGTGGGCTCTTGGTGTATTACTCTTTGTTGAGTTGCCTATAAATGCCGATCAGTATGCGATGCATTTGTATGGTTGTGCATGGTCAAACAAAGGATCTGGATTCGACGAGAATGTGTTCTGAAGTTTTCGTGACTAGAAAACAAAGACATTTTATGGTAACATTGCGATTCCCGCGTGACAGGCTGAAGTTGAAGTGACAACGAATGCATTAATACATGTGTCTTTTAGGTCTTCCAGGTATATGTATGTACCTGGCAGCCTGGGTTAGTGCACGTAGTGGCAACGCAACCTTCTGTGGCTGGATTGTGTTTGCTGGTGACTAGCCTGGGTTATCACTTCCTTATCAGTTGACTGCCGGGTTCCCAACTACTGCCAAGTTGTTCTGGCTTCGGGCTATGCAGGGGTTCAGGAGCAACCTAAAAATACTTGGTACCTGGAACGAGATCGGCTGTACATTTCCTCTTTTACAAAATTTGGGTAGGAAAGAAGTCCCTACTAACAGATCAATTTGATCTTTGTCAGATCCGTGGGAAGGTACATCCAACGTACACTAGAACTTACAGCACGTACTACATGTACTAGGTGTGCTAAGTAAGGCATGGCTCAACAATACCTACAGTACATTGCCCCCCACCGGTGTCGCAACCTTGGCAACCATTTCGTACCCTTGCAAGTTCCGCCCATCACTTTTCTTCCTCTTACATCAGGCGCAGCAACCAGGCAACTTGGATTTACCAACTAGTTGTCCTCCTGGAATAGTTTCTCTTATGATATGGGGGGTCAATTGACGGTGTTTCCTTCTTCATATTAGCATTCTCTCTAAATCATTTTCTTTCTCTTTATTTTCTTATCGCACACCCTCATTCAGTCTACCTACGACAGTCTTTTTAACGACAAATACAGTGCGCCTCTATATTATCTTCACTTTACTCATATCGCATTCTCTCTCCTTTTCCGTCTATGCTCTCGGTTAAAGTCGTTTGATCACTTCCAGTTCCGCCGGCGTGCTATGCGCATCGGCCGCATATTTCCTTCTCGATGTACCATCTCCGACGTATATCTATCGTCGCTGTCGTCCTCGGTGTTCTCATCTTCCTCGCCGCTTTCTTACCCCGAGTCCTCAACCCCGTCCCGCCAAGTAAAGAAAAGCAGGACGCCGACCAACAATGGATTAATACCTCACCGCATTGGCTAGACCGTCAAGCATGTCGCTGGCTAAGTCTATGCGGTCTTTTACATTTAAAAAGCGATCCTCCGGCGAAGCCGAAGATTCCCGAGGACGATGGTCGGAGGCACGAGTTGAGGTCAACACCGGAAGAGGACTGGGAAACCGTAGCAAGAGGAGGAGGCAGTCATAACAAAGGGAAACTTAGAGAGATTCCGGACTATGTATTGAACTATGCTCCCCTAGTTCACCTTTATTCGCAAGAGTTCTTCTGGCCTTCCGACATTGCCGACCACATGAAACATGTGTTACCGGACGTCAGCGAAGACAAGTGGCCGTCCAACGGGTCGCAAACACTAAACTTAGCGAATCTGAACGAGCTGAGCTCCGAATTAAAATTCCAGTTTCTCAAGAGCAGAGACGACGTCGAATCTCGCCCGCGATGGCTCCACAGCAAGAGGAATAGACCCATCGCCTTTAGCGACAATGATGGGAAAGAAGAGCAAGATCCAGAAGGAGAGCCAGACCGAATACTTGATGATACGACATGGTACGATGTGGACCGGGATCATCCCCTACACCGAATTTCTGACCCGCGCAAGTTACCCGGCGGTGGAGCATCGGCGCGGCGCCTTCGTGCTCGTGAACAACAAAGGCTTATCGCTCAGTGGGCGCAGGACGATCAGAACACTGAGAATAAGCCCGATGAGTCCGGATACTCTCGTGCACCAGCCACTCTTATTCTAGTAGACAAAGGATCTGGCATTGTTGATGCATTCTGGTTTTTCTTTTACGCATATAACCTTGGACAAACGGTTCTTGGCACCCGATACGGCAACCATGTCGGCGATTGGGAACATTGTATGATTCGATTTGAGTCGGGTGTACCCCGCGGCGTCTTCTTCAGCGAACACGAGGGTGGTCAAGCATATGCATGGCATGCCGTTGAGAAACGGGGAAATGAAACCGAGATTCAGAGGCCAGTTATTTATAGCGCTGTTGGATCGCACGCTATGTATGCTACTCCTGGAAATCATCCGTACGTACTGCCTTTTGGAATACTCAAGGACGTCACGGATCGAGGGCCGCTATGGGACCCGTCTAAGAATCTGAGGGGGTATTGGTATGATTATGCCGCCACCAAAGATGACGAGGGCCTAGAACCGGTAAAGGAGAATGCCGACGAGCCGACGAGCTGGTTTCATTACAAGGGGACTTGGGGTGATAGGTTGTATGGATTAGACGACGCAAGGCAATGGCGATTATTCGGCCAATATCACTACGTTACGGGGCCGCAAGGACCGAAATTTAAAAATCTAGGCAGGGAAAAAGTTTGTCAGACATGGAGATGCCGGATCATTCATAGCATTGCGGAAGGCAAGAAAGGGAGCTGGCATTCATAAGGCAGGCATAAGGGAGAAAGGGGATTTATACCATTACCATACCACCATAGAAAGGGGGCACTGTAGGCGTTTAGTTGGAATTATACCTAGATACCCCAGCGGTAGTTGGGCATGCGTTTTATGTCGAATGTTTATGACATTATATCGATCTTGGATGTTTGGAGAATTGTGCTTGTAGATTTGAGAGTGAATGTGAATGTTTTGGTTCGTGGAAACAGGTTGTTCCCTTGGCGAGGTTAAGACTAAGATGGATATGTAGATGGTAGGTATGGGGCGCTTCAGCTCAGTCTTCACGTGTCCAATGACTTCTCATAGAATCATTCAGCTATAATGGTTCCGGACTATCGGGCCATATTGATCGACTATATCATCGCGAGACAATCTAGCTATGTATGTATGTGCGTAGCATCCGCCTTAGAGAAATTGTAAGGTGTTCGTGGTAGGCAGGGATAGGAATACGCTCTCCGCATTGCCGCCCACGATACCCCAGGATTACCCCGAATTAGGCCCCTAACACTTTTTACCCCAGGCTATAACGCGCGCTTTTGATTGGAGCGCATAGAATGGTAGTGCTGGATCAGCTCATTTACATCGCTAGAATCGGGGTTTGGGGTTTTCCCCCCAGCCTAGAGAGAGAATTCCCTCCACTCAGCGATAGTCGTCTTGGTTCCTGACCCCGGAAACTGGGGTTTGGGGACCGGTTCGATGGCCCGATTTGTGTAGGTGCCTCCGTTGTTGGTATGGTGCTCCAATGCGGTGGATTGAGGTGTGAAGATATATAAGATGTAGGTGTTCGCTTTCGCATACTGGTTCACCGAGTTGAAGGTTTGTTGTTCGTTTTACCTGGCATTTGTGATCTCGAAGCGGAGGATACACGCCAAGATGAAGCCTCATACTTATCAGGTCCGTGAATTGTTTACTCAAAATATTGCAAGACAGCGAAATAAGCTACTTGGAGGGCGGCTGTCATGAAGATGTTGGCTAACTTTATTCGTGATATAGTTCCTCGTCGGCGTTTTCGCCTCGATGGGTTCGGTGCTCTTTGGCTACGACTTGGGTGTCATCGCTGGTGTAGTCGGGAGCACCTCCTACGCTGAGCTGTTCAACGCGAATGCGGCCCAGAAGTCAGTATTTCATAAACCTCGAAGTGAAAAATCAAATTAGAAGAGACCGATCTAACAGTATATCTATAGTGGAGCCGTCGTGTCTCTATTCACAGGCGGTGCCTTCTTTGGCGCCATGTTTGCGGGCCCGGCGGGTGATATACTCGGTCGTAGACTGACGATTATGTTGGGTGCTATCGTGTTCCTGCTGGGTGGCGCTATTCAGACTGCTGCTCAGACTATTAATTACCTGTATGGCGGACGAGCGATTGCTGGTCTGGGTGTTGGTTTCTTGACTATGATTATTCGGTAAGTTTGATATCCCCTATGATGTTAGAGGAGTATAAATACTGACAGCTTGGTGAAGTGAGTTCCCGTTACTTTTTATTTTACAGGGCACCTGGAAGAAAAAAAAGATGGAGTGAACTAGACGGGTGTCTGCGAATGAAAATTGATATAGCAAGCCACAATACTGACCCCCACCCCCAGCTGTCTACCAGAGCGAAATAGCACACCCTTCGATCCGTGGCCGCGTCACCGGTTTACAACAATTCATGCTGGGTATCGGTGCCTTTCTCGCGGGATGGATATCATGGGGATGCTTCATCAACCTGACCAACGACGGGCAATGGCGTATCCCACTCGGTATCCAGATGTTGCCTGCTCTCATCTTAGCTGCTCTGATCTTATTATTCCCTGAGAGTCCCCGTTGGCTCGTTGACCATGACCGCGCCGACGAAGGACTCGCTACGTTGGCTAAACTACACTCGAATGGCGATATCAACGACCCTTGGGTCCAGGCCGAGTTCGCACAGATTAGGGAGACGATTACGTTTGAGCACGAGCATGAGGCTAAGAGTTACCTGGAACTCTTCACTAACCCGTACGTTTCCTTCCTTATTCCCAACCTTCTCTTAATGAACACCTAAATGTGTAACTAACCGCATTTCTTCTATAGCTCTGCCTTCCGCCGCCTCTTTCTGGCCTGCTCGATCCAAGCTGCGACACAAATGACCGGTGTATCCGCGATTCAGTACTTCTCCGTCACGATTTTCGCACAGATCGGTATCTCCGCCGATGAAGCTCTCAAGTACCAGGCTATCAACAGTATCCTCGCGCTCATCGCGCAATCGTTGTGTATGCTTCTGATTGATAAGTTCGGTCGTCGACCTACGATTATCGTTGGAAATCTGGTGAATTGTGTTATGTTCGTCGTCGCGACGATATTGCTCGCGCGTTTCCCGCCGGACACGAATTCTAGCGGAACTGCGGGGTGGGGGTTCATTATTGTGTAAGTAGGATGAGTGTGTAAAATAAGTACCTAGTAATGAGATGGGATGCTAACAATGCGGGTTATAGGACTTGGCTGTATAACATATCCTTCTCCTTTGCCTGCGGTCCGCTATCTTGGTAAGCCACCCCTCCCCTTTCTCACTCTTAACCTAATTAACAACTACCTCAGGATCATACCCGCCGAGATCTTCGACACCCACACCCGAAGCAAAGGTGTATCACTCGCAACTATGACTAGTTTCGCTTTCAACACGCTCATCGGACAAGTTACTAGCATCGCCGTCGACGCCGTTGGTTGGCAGTATTTCATCCTGTTCGCTGTATGCAATGCGACGAACGCTGTTTTCTTCTGGCTTGTATTGCCTGAGACTAAGCGTGTGCCGCTTGAACAGATGAGTACTGTGATTTTCGCGCCTGATGCCCCGTGGATCGTTGTGGGGAAACAGTCTGAGGCGTATAGAGCAGCGGCTGCGGCTGCGGCTGTTGGGCCTGAGGAGGAGGATATTAAGAAGGGTGGTGTATAGGTGGGTGGACAAGGGGGGTTAGGTAGGGTGTGTTGCATCTATCGTGGATTACGAGTTTGGATATACCATATTTGATAGCGTGGATAGCGGGCAAATCTTTAGTTGAGATATCTTGCATTTATTGAGTTTATTCTCTGATATGAAACATATAGTTCTGGCGATCTAGATTGTTATCTGGGGATCTGGGTAAATGTAAGTCGTTTTGATTTGGCCATGTGTTCCGATGTTACGAGGTAGTAACCAGAACCCGCACATGCGTGCTCTGGAACATTGATTAGATCGTATTGCTACCTCACAAAAGATCGCATCTTTAGTAATATCTAAGTGGGTTCTAAAGTGTTGGTATTCAAGATTGACGTATTATCGTACATGATATATCCTCGGAGCTTTCCGCTTCCACATCTACTCACTCGTGCATAATATATCGTAACTAAATGACAAACGGAAACAAGGGTATAAATGAATTATATCTTCTAAATCACTTTTATTTCGTACACGACATCTAGGCCTTGAAAACAGGGGGTCGATACTCGATGTTCTCCAACACGGCATCAACTGCCTCCTGTACATCAGCATGGAAGAATGGTCGGTTGAGACCGTAGAGTGGCACTTGACGAACGGCACTATCATCCTCGTTAATTGAAGGTTGTACCGTGTTTTCCTCGTCACCACGGCTCGCGCTCTTTTCGCCTAGTCGCTTGTCGCTTGAAAGGGGTGAGGCGGCATCTGCTAGGTCGGCTACGCTGAAAATGGACTTCCAGCGGCGACCAGGCTCAGCATCTCCATTCTTTGGTCGCAGGAATCCGAAGCCGGCGGCTGTGAGGGCGCGTCGGGTCCAGGGGTTTCTGACATTGGCAAAATGCCACTCGACGGTGTCGGGTTGCGTGTACCGATCGAGCTGGTTGCGGACGTCAATTAAGGCTTGCACAGAGGTTGCATCGACATTGTTGACAGCGGAGAAGTCCAAAATGACGGCCCTGAGAATAGGTCGCTCTTCCGTATCATCAAGGAGTACCTTGCCCTTTCGTGGACCAGGGTCATTCCATGGACGATCCTAGAAAAAAGTAAGTAAATGGGAATAGAGGGTGGGTTACACAGCAGACTTACGCCCAGTTTTCCAAGAGATTCCGGGTCTGTTCTTCGAGTGGCTTTGAAGATCCCTGCTGTAAGTCCGTCTAAGACACGGGTCGCATTCGGGTAGTTGAACAACTCCGAGAACCGATAGATGAACACCCCAGGGTAAGGATGAGAGACAGGTACTCGAGGGTTTGAATTGTCATCGTGGTTAATTGGAATGAACAAGTTACGCTCGCTTGAGATACCACCTTCCCTGAGGGTTGGGGTGGTCTTCTGGTCTTGAGAAAGGGATTGGCTTTCGCTCGTGTGCTTGTTGGATCTTAAATCTCCGACGGTACGGACTTTAGCGACGCCAAGGAAGTGTCCCTTCGCCTGGAACAAACGGAAAATGAAGACAGCGAAGGACACACAAACAGTGGTATAGATTCCATCCTCAATTGTATCAAAGATAGTCACTAAAACTCCAGCGAAGAAGATGATGACTTCCAAGGGAGAAATTCTCCAAAATTGATACACGACGTTTGGTGGGGAGACGACATCCAAGACAGCGTGAATAATGACAGCAGCAAGAGAGGCCTGAGGAATGTACCAAAAGACTGCCGTCAAGGCGTAAAGTGCAAGAAGCACGACAATAGCTGTAATAACACCGGCGAATGGCGTACGCACGCCAGATTTCGCCTTGATAGCGGTACGGGAGAAGGACCCAGTAGCTGGGTAAGCACCGACGAAGGGACCCAAAAGATTGGTAACACCAATAGCAACAAGCTCTTGAGACGGATCGATGACGTAGTTGTTAACACGTCCGAATGACTTCGAGATAGAAATGTGTTCGATTAAGACGACGATAACGGCCGCGGGAAGCTCCGAGGTGAAAAAGGAGAGGATTTTCGGGTCGAGGTTAGGTACTCCGGCGTGTTGAAATCCTATTTCAGTTAGCCTGGAGTCGATAGTTTAGGGGGCACCCTTACCTCGTGGAACTTCACCCAGGACACTGAAGAGAGGGTTAGTCCGGCGGTGTAGGTTAACACCAGCGCTGATACCGGTGTATAGCAAGATGACGAAAGCTGTTCGGAGAGTGGAAACGAAGAAGAGCGTTCTCTCATGACGGGGATACTTCTTGGCCAAGTATGTGCAAGTCCCCCTGATAATGTATAACATAAGTAAAGCAGTAAGACCCATGGCAGCATCGATCGTGGTGTACTTGAGGTTCTTCAAGGTGTTGATGATGACCAAGTACGTGGCGTCTCGCGTCGAAAATCTCTTCTTTTTGCTGTTCATTCCCATCATAGTAGGTATCTGTCCGACCGCGATGTTGATTCCTGAACCGGTCATAAAGGCGGCAATTGAGGGCAGCGGAATGAAATCGACGATCCAACCAAGTCGTGCTAGACCCAAGAAGCATACGATACCTCCGACAATAACAGCGAGAGCAGATGCGACGGTGTGACCGGGGACATCGGGAATCGCCTTCTCTGCTCTACTGACAATCCCACCGGTGACAGTTGACATAACCGCGACAGGCTTCACAGTGGGTTAGCACAGTGTGTCCTAGTAAATATCACAGGGGCCTTATTTTAAAATATTAACATACTCCGATGGTAATATCCTTCGACGTAGCAAAGAACCAGTACAGAAGTACACCCATGAAAGAAGAGTAAAGTCCATACTGAGGCTCAAGGTTCGCTAAGAGAGCGTAAGCCATGCCCTGAGGCACGACCACAGCTCCGACCGTGACACCTAAAGACGGAACATGTCAGATTCAACGGTGCGGCAGGAGAAATGTTCGGAGCTTACCAGCAATTAGATCACCAATGAACCACGTCAGATTATATCTAGTGATCCAATGCAGGAACGGGAATAGGCGGTAGAAGTAATTGAAGATGCCCCGGGGTGTCGGTGTAATGCTCACAAGCCACCCGACCGCAGTGGGGTCTGTTTCGTCGTACGGCTCGACATTGGGGTGAGATTGAGATGCTTCCCTCGAATCATTGCGCTCGGCTTCGCGTTGGCCGTAGGGGTCCAGGTTCAAGTTGAAGAACCAGGCAAACCCATGGCCGGCCTTCGTCCAAGTAGAAGAAGACATGTTTCAGTCCCCTATGCTACCCAATATGAACCTACTTAGAAGACCTAAGAGAGGCTATGTTTTGGGGCGCGCCCCTGGTGCCTTGTCGATATAGAAATGTACCTTTTTCGGTAAAAGCTGACAATCACCACAACTCGAACCCGGTCTTCGGCTTGCAGTATTAATTGAAGTTTGAGAATTAATTACCGGGCTAAAGTAGATCTCATTGAGGCGTCCACCAGCAATGTATCATCAACTTTCTCCAGACGGTCGAGGCGAATTGACTGCATGATGCGGTCGTATTTAATATGAAAGACGACGGGCAATCTGCAGGATCGAAAGGGCCGAGGGGCTGGATCACCCTGGACGGCGTGATATCGCGCTAGATGCAGAAGCATGGTGTAATTTGAGATTTTTGTCATTTGAAGAAGTGAAGAAGCCTGGGGCTGCTCCGAGCTATGGACGAACGGGAGCTCTTGTAGATGGCGGAATGTGGGTCCACGATGATGTGCGAGCCTTCTTACAGGGATACTCGTACCAAGACTCTTACATATATCCCACTTATATCTCTCTTCCACATGTATTGCGCCATGGGTCTAATGGGGGATCAGCTCTGAACCAGCTCTCAGCCTCGATGAGACCCCGAACCAATGGATGATTTCTTTACTCTCTGTGCTGTAGGTATAATGACATACATATTGTGGTGGTACCCCCATCTTCTGAGATCAACAGCATCACTAGTCTTAACTCTTCCAACTTTCCAACAGTCTGGATCTAGATCTTAGTTCCTCTGACCATACCTATTTACACGAAGCTTAGACATATATGACTTCTGCCCAGCAAGCTGAAGCAAAAACATGAGTACGAATACGGAAAGAAAACGACGAATATCACGAAGCTGAGTCCCCACTGTGACCAAACGCGGGAGGACAATAACTATGAGGTAACACATAACACTTCTTATGTCTTGGAATTCCCTCATTTCTCTATGTCCGCGTTCAGGTCCAAGTCCCCGTCGTATCTCGTAGTATTATCCCGGCATCAAGCTACCAGGGTGTCACGCGACAGAGGTAATCCAACGCCGATCTAACAAACAACCAACTTGTTGTTCTAATAAAACTATCCACTGCATAGTGGATAGCTATTTCCAAGGCGCATACGTTTGCTATGAGACCCCATCTTCATCTAGATCACATATTAGGGTACTCCCGCTTGTGTCACCCACTCGCCCCACGGAAATACCGACTCCTGACGAAAGACCTCCCGAGACACTAGTCACCGGAATTGCATTCAAGATGGTCTAGAGCGTAGGATATGTCAGTAAACATGGCTCGATGGGATTCGTAATCGGGGATATTCGATCAATTAGTGAATTTGATCGCCGATGTTAGGCTCGGTCGGTCGATACTCTAACAAGAGTAGCTATTATGGAGACAGGGGAACAACATCAGTCTTCATCATTTCTTCTCTCTAGGTGTCTGTCTCTACGAAGAAAACGTCCTACGAAAATGTCATAGTAATTCGAATTTGCAACTAGATGACCTGAGTATAACCTACGTACGCCGTGCCCCTATTGCAACCAACTCGGGAAGCAAGCTCTCGACCCCAAAAATACTCTTATTTAGCGAGTGCCTCGATACATACCGCTTGACATCAGATCTTCCGGAATGCACATCGCTAACCTATGTTGGAGCCTTTATGCTCCATGTGATATTACTCTGATGCACATTTACTAGCGACAGCATCAGATGCCACATTACTCTCGCAGAACTAGCCTACTTGCCAAAAGGTACGATGCCAAGTGTTGTGTTCCAACGCCCCTATGTGCTGCCATTCTATCATTTGATTGTGTAATCGATAGTCTAAACACCTACATAATTCGAAAAGACACAACAAGCATCACTAACCTCGGCACTCCTAAGAATTCTTCCAACTCAAGAAGAGCGCGAAGGATCATGAAGTCCCAGAATCAAGATCTGGCTTCAATGACGATGCTCCAAAGTCTAGCAAATGCCACCATTGAAGCTCTAGTTCCGAGCTATCGCTCAGACTTCAAGATAGAGCTGTAGGTAGTGATCACGCCATAGCGAGGGGAAGGCAGATAGGCGAGCTAACAGCATCTGCCGGCTTATAGACTAACAACATTCCGATCTTGACATAAGAGGCTTAATTAAGCTTGTATGAAACTGGATCTAACATGTTTAGATTGTAAATAGTGTTCTTGACGCCATTGTCGTATGAGTGATCTTCGCCTGCTTAGGTACTGAGGCGCTTAGCATATACCAAATGTTAGATGCTATAGACATGGCGCTATAGATGCTAATGTTAATTGTGTTGATTATGTCGAATATTACGAGTACTCTCGGGATCAAGGTATGTTTAATAGAAGTATTTACTACGTAATATTGGTGGCGTCATACCAGAGTACCTAGGTAGGTAGGAGTTGGGCTTCGGATGATCGAGACCCGCACATGAATACCTAGGTAGAGATGAAAGCCTGCATTCTAGGCTATTCAGAATAGTCGTCTTATCGTCCTAATCATGATCACTTATTCTATTCTATAGTATATTAAATGATGTACATGAATTGGGTTCGTATAAAGGAACAATATGTCTTATAAAGAGTCCATGCTGTTTGATCTGTGGTGGACTTTCTTTCTTCCAAGGGCACGTCGGCTTTTCGATAATAGAACCTTCAAGCTCAGGCACCTAAGACCAAGTCGCGAGCTCAAGGGCTGGCGCTTCGACTGTAGACTTGGCGCAGAGGTTATTGCGAGCCATTGCGCAAGGCTCGGTAAAGCGCTATCTATGTCACCGCCGGTCTGTGACAGCTCAATAAAATCTATACACTCGCGAATTCGATCAAGGTTTTCCAGGGTTCGTTCATCGCTACGCCGGTGCGCGTAACGGGGTTCCGGGTTTTCTGTCGGCTCGTTCCGTTCGTCGATGCGGGCTTCCCGCTTGGCTCGCGATGCGCCTCCGCGAATCGCGCGTCTATTATCGTGAGTGTAATGTGGGTATACGATGTTGTACAGAAAATACAGGTTCTTTATAGCTGTTACGTAGCCTTCACGACAAGCATAGTACACAGCATGGCCGAGAATTAGGCGCCGGAGAGAATCGACTTCGTTGTCCCCCCCTAATGAATCAGGGTATGATGCTCCTGCAATCCAAACACTTATGTGCGGGAAGCAGTCATCCCCGTCTGGACTGGGCTCGCCTTGGTCACGTATTGTGCCGCTAATTTTAAGGCGAATCGATGTGTCTGGTGTCGGATCTATTGACAGAACAGCAACGGCGAAGTTAAATAATGTCTGTTGTTCCATGAAGTCTACGAATAACTCGATATCCATCCATCCACCGTTTGGGAACTTCTGATAGCCTGGCTCTTCTTGGGTGGGAATTACCATCCTAACGTACCGGGCGGCGAAGTCTCTGACTTCTGAACGAGACTCGGCCTCCGATATGGAAAAATAATGTGTACAATCAAGAGTGCCTAAGAAATCATTCACAGTGCGGTGGATGAAATGTACTACGTCGTCTGGTCCGACGCTCGAGTCATTTGGGTCGGACACCTCATTTTGCGATATAACTTCGATGAAATGCCCACATTGCCTGTTGAGTTGGCGGCGAAAGTCATTCCATGAATTTTTCATGATACTATCAGTGGCCAACGGTTTGGATGCGGAATACGACGTGATTGAGACGTCTTCGGGAACCACGAGTGCCTCCCACAACTCCCGTATTGTTAATGTGCGCCCAAAGGCTCCGAACCCAGAGATCAGCATTAGTATTTTTCGACTTTTTTGGAGTCCCTCGGGGCTTAGTCTCGAACAAAGATCGCTTGTCACACGATCATAAAATTCGTCCAACTCAAAGGGAAGGGACCTGAGCCTCGACTCCAGCTCCGTAAGCGTTACTATACCATTATCAACCGTGTCTTCAAGGTCTTTCAGGATGAGAGATACCCATAAGAACACGCCTCTAGCGTTATCAATCATGTACTGGCGCATTCTCCATAGAGTGTTCCATCCGGAAGTTTGTACGTTCCCGAAAGGCCTCCCAAATCCCTCTTGGCCCCTTTTCTTCTGGCGGCCAACCTGGGTATTTAATTCTTCCTCAGAATCATACCTATGCATTGATTCTACGAGAGCCCAGAGTCCACGATTAATAACTAAACCAATATCACCTGCATTTTCTTGTTCAAGCGTGATTCTGAAGACGGAGGGCGATGCACGCCGGATGCGAACGAAATCCACCTCGAGTGATGGTTCTGGGCGGCTGAATGCGATAAATTTCATCTTGGAGTATTTGACATCCGTGACAAGCCTACTGAAAGTCCTCAGCAGGGTTGTGGCTTTGGCACTCCTAAAGCATCCATTATTTTGGCAAGTTGACGCCGACACTGGTTTTTTTAAATCCATAGCATCAACAATGCATATTATGGGCTTGTTGGTAGCGCTGACATCCTCCAAGATCTGCTGCCCTATTCTTAGAAAGTCTTCGGAGCTGCACCATGACCACGAGACCCCTTCGTATCGCTCATCTTTGGCAACTTGATGCTTTCTATAGTGTTTGACTACCGTCCTAAATAGAGCAGGGCACTCGCTCAGGAGTTCGTAGATTATAGAGCGCAATAAGGAGATATCCGACGTGCCCACGTCTCCAAGACGGGTTGAATAGAACCGTCCTGCAACGATAGCAGAACTTTTTGCCTTGAGTCGATGCAACATTGATCGCGCCAAAACTGACTTTCCACTCCCAGGTTTGCCGTCGATCCAGAGCAAACCCCGATTAGCCTGGGCCCAATTCTTATATTTTTGGCTTTTCCACACCCACCAAGTCGTACCTTCATCGGCTTTCTCAACTTGCTCACGCCGTGTATTCCACTCAGGAAAATGGAGAGACTCGATACACTCTATCAATAGTTAGTACTTCCGGTCTCCATCCAGTCTAAGAACCTACAAACCGCGGTGTTCAGTGTGTTCATCAACTTGCTGCACTTCTTCTAAGATCGTTGATACTTGACGCGAAATTGTACCCGTCAATATGAGAGGAACGTCCCGATGCGCTGACTGAACTCGTTTATCAAATAATTGCATAATAGTCCGGGCAAGAGCGGTTTGTTCAGCTTCACCCAAAGCATGTAAATTGTCAATCGCAATACAAGCGGGTTGGCCACAGCTGGCGACGACAACTAGTAGGAGTTCTCCTAGGCGGCCTACTTTAGAAAGCCGTGGGTCGCTAATTGCGAAATTTAAAAACTCTCTTTCACAAGACCCCATTCTCATCAGTCTTTCTTCGAGAACGCTTGGTTCGCTACAGTCAAGGAGGAAAGCTTGACAAATGAGAGAGACCATAACCTCGTTAGCAGTAACTTTGGACTCTTGAGCTTTCGTGGCGCTAGGACCAGATGAAAAGGCGGGTAAACATTGGTAGTATAGAGCGCGAGAAATATCCGATTCACTATCATTGCCATGAGTAGTGAAAGGAATATATGCATATGGGAGCAATTGGGCGATAGATGCTGCTAGAGTATCTCGGCCCACACGCCGGGTGTCCCTCGATGATTGGCACCATAAAGTAGAGCTCAAAGCCCTGCGGTTAACCCATCTCTCATAAGCAACCGTATGTATCAGCCAGTGGAGGTCACCAATTGGAATATGGTTCTGGCTGTCGTTGAGTATATCCATGGATGGCTTGGCGGCTTGAGTAATGATGCCTGCCAACTTTTTAACCACTGGTGACATAAATTAGCATTTGAAAATGTAATCAATGTCTAGTGGTGCATACAACCACGATCCCGCAACAAGAATGTACATTTCTTCATATCCCCAAAGGTTTGTTCTTGTTGGATGTATAAACGCGTCGCTGCTTTAATATCCCCCCGTTTTTTTACTTCTTGTAAGCCCACATTTTCCAAGCCGGTCTGAACATTGAATCAGAAGGCTTTTCCTTTCTGAAAAAGCTCTGTATGATCCCGCTGGAAGCTGTTCGCTGTCTGTTCCGTATCCGTAGCAATCGCCTGTAGAGCCGACTTGAGTCCCGGTAAATCGGGACCAAATGAGGTGAGGGCTGGAACTCCGGTGCCTATTGATACGAGGCACCTGACATTGGCGAGACCCAATCCACTGCCATGACCCCATATATCCCCTGCCTCTGACCATAGCAAGTTTGTGGGGTTGTTTGCCCCTGTCGCTCCATCAACAAAAGTCTCGTCGTCGATCGTGATAGGGTCAAAGAAAGTTGTAGCAGCAGATGTTGCCCGTGCGGCTTGCCATATTGTCGCTTTATCTAAGAATTCGGCACCCCTTCGTTCATTATAATAGCTAGAAAGAATGGCGGTTCGACCAGTTTGTTGGCTGGTAGCGCATACAAATCTGTATTACAAGCGTTCCAAGTTAGCATGGAGGTAATAAACTACCTAGGTACCTAGTAACATAATTCAAGACAGGTGGGGACACTCACACCTTACATGAATTTTCCTCGTCTGGGCCTTTCAGCAATGATTCGGCTTCCATATCATATGCCTTAAGAAGCTCCCGGACTCCATTCTCCAAGGCAGTATGGTCGAAACGCCCTTGTGTTTCTCCATTCAATAGGTTGATACGATGGTGAATTTTGGTGAAGATCTTCGGCGATAGTTCCTTATAGGCTGTGATACACTGATCCACTATTAAACGCATTCTTCCGAGCATCAGAGCGATGAGCCCTCCGGTGGAAGTGCCACAGATCATATCGAAGTAGTCGCATGGTTTAGGCGGGTTCTCTCGGTCAATACCCTCCATAAGCCTCTTCAGGATTAACAGGCTGGAGATCCCGCGAACACCCCCACCATCTAGCGAAAGGAGGCATAGGTCTGTTTTGGTCGAGATAGGGCCTGGCAACCAGTGCCTTTCGATGCTCGCAGTCATTTTTAGGACGAACGGCCTAGCCGCCGTTGGTCGCTATGTCGTATGTAATGGCTAAAGCAGACATTTTGTCAAAATGGGACGCAGCCTGATTAGCTACCTACATAGATGTAAGTACTCAGGTACCTACCCAAAGGGGCGTCATGAAAAGTATTCGCCGTATTATTAGCACAGGGTTAAACAGACCATATTATTGGTTAAGAGTACAGTACCACACTGTGTACTCTACGAGACCTGGGCGGCTTATTTGCATTAACAAATTACCCCACCTTAACTCAAGCCACGATATTCCAAGATTCTACCAAAGCCATGAATTTTATAAAGCATGACGGCGAACAAGCCGAACGCGACAGCTTGTAGTACTTCTGGGTCGACACATGCTGCATTGACAAGTCTAGCAGCGTAGAACTTACAGAAGCTATCGACTCCATGTTCCGATGGTACGTCTATCTCGCCGACATCTCAACGCCTGCCTCTAAACCGTCAATACGTCCGATAGCCCGCTTTGGGAATTGCTCGAAAGAGTAGATTGTTTACCCGCGGATGGACACTTCAAGAGATATATGCTGTAAAATAAGGGTATGTGTAAAGCAGATAAAAAAAAATCCGTTGTACCAGAAGCTGGATGGCCTTTTCCATTGTTGGGAGGAACAAATATCACGTGATTGTATCCGCTTATAAGTACCTAAATTCGGGCAGCAATCCAGTAGTGGTTTAATGTTATCTCCTGCCAGCATCTACTCCACGGTGTTTAGCCTACCTTCATCACCAACTTCCTACATTTGTTGTTGCCTGATATATCCATCGTAGTTCTTGATATAGCAGCTATGACTATGTTGAGCCAACCTACTAAACTTCCATACTTTTGCAGTCCCGAAAAGTTGCCAGCTCCAATACCGACAACAGCAATAATTGAAACTGCGTCTAAGACCCTTCCTTGTATTCATGAACCGAGATACAGACGCACAGTTGTTATAGGCGAAAATTTTGTAGTTAAGTATGGTATCGACATCCCGGAAAACGAAGGCCATGCACTGCTTTCTCTGGAGAAGTACCCATCTATCCCAACGCCACAGCTCTATGCCATGTATCGAGAGAACGAAAAACTCTATCTCATAATGGAGTTAAAGCCAGGAATACAGCTCGGCGAAGTGTGGCCTAGTCTAAACGAGGACGAAACGCGAAATATAGCCAGCCAGCTTAGGGAGATATGGGGCCAGATACGGTCTATTCCATCGCCAGGCATCTTTGGTAACGTCACAGGGGGTCCTTTGAGACATCGTTTCTTTCAGTGGCTGGAGCCCGATCCGAGAATCACGGGGCCATTCTTTAAAGAAGAGGATCTCAACATGGCTCTTGCGCTACGGTCACACAAGAATTGGGAGGGTACTGGTAGGCGAGCATGGATGTCGGAGTTTTTTACTCGGAACCTACCAGGGGCATTAACAGGTCACCCAAGCGTGTTTACACATGCAGACCTGCAACGCAAGAACATTCTTGTCCTAGAAGTCCCAGGAAGCCAACCTGGACCGAGACAGTTCAAAGTCACTGCTGTAGTAGATTGGGAAGATGCAGGTTGGTACCCAAGCTATTGGGAATACACAACATGCTTTGTGGATTTCCAATGGGCGGCCAACTGGCCGGAGCATGTCGAGTTAATCATTGATCCTCATATTTCGGAAGCGGGAATTCTGCGATTAGTGCGGCAAGATTTAGAATTCTGAACGATACATATATGCCAACGAGCTATCTAGCGAGTCACTAATAATCAGATGGCCGGGCGTAGTAGGTGCACAAAGGATTGAGAAGAGATGTTTAGGGAGGCCAGAGGACTTATATCAATCGCTAAGGAGCTCGACTTCGCACCATCTTTGAGATATTAAGCCTTATATAATGTCTTCATGCCAGAGTCAGGCCCACACTGTATCAGACCCCCAACACTAATGACCTATTGACTGGTCTTGATAATAACACAGTTATGGACTAGGATTTCCAGACCCACTGTCTAGTCCTGTGGTCCCAACGTCTATACTGACGATAATTATTGTCCCAGACCCAGTAGTATCCAGTGCCGCCTGTCCCTTGACTGTAGGACGTTTGCGTAATGTGTGACGAAGAACCACCGTAACTAGTGTGCTGAGAAGTAGATGCCGAAGAGCTAGAACCCGTTGATGCTGGAACAATGAACCCGGCCTGTCGAAGAGCCGGTATAGCGCGCTGCTCGGTCCATTCGGTGCACTTAATAAGGGGTCGACGTTGCTCTCCGGGCTCATAGAATGTCAGCGGATTTTTGAGTCTTAAATGGTTCCGTTTTCATGGTTGAAACGTTGAACGCTTTCTGCTTCTCAGGAGGAGGGACTCCTCGGAGGAGATTTTCCCAAGCCGAAAGAGATTTTGTCGTATATCCCAAGAAGTCCTTGGAGTGAAAGGATAGGGACAGTTCTGGGTCATTATAAAGCTTTGACTGATATATCATGCCAGATGTAATGTCCCCAGTAACGTGATACATCGTTCCCGAACGATTTGCATTAGTCTCGACGAAAATGACAGTGTGGTACCTTGTGCCGATGATATCGGGGTCTTGTTGGGCGAGGGTAAAGCGTAGTTTATATACAGCATAGTTATATGATTGAGTGGTCATATTTACGGCTCGGAGCAACGAAGTCCTAATGATGATATCAAAGCTAAGTGGTAGGTTATAGTATAGTGTTCGATGAAAAATGAAATATAACAAGATAGGTTAAAACTTGAAGAAAGATGGTCTACCTCATGTTCAAGGCGGAATATAACAACTATATATACCACAGTAAAGAACTTCATGGCGCATAAGTTGGCATTTATAATTGAGGCGCAGCTTTACGTCGAGCTCATACCGCCGCCTGCCTAGAGATTGTTGGTATAGCATGTTTAAATTGTTTCAGTAAGTCGGCCAAACATCATCAGAGTTGGTGTTGTTAGGAGTTGCATTATACCATGTCTAACAGGCATTGCTTAGGCTAACGTCGATTAAACATCGTGGGATTATGAGATGTTTCCCAGGGAAGCGCCGACAGATTCTAGGCGCCGCCGTGAAGTCGAGGCCGACCAAAGGCCAAGAAATTGATTACAGCCCTTGTGTATGAATGGGTTGACTTATTTGACGTAAATAGGTTCGGAGAATGCTAGCGGTAGAACTGAGTGTTATAACAACTGCAGCAGCATGCTTGGTTATATGAGAAGCCAGACCTAGGCTAGGTTTGACAACCATATAGTACATCATGACCTGTAAAATATCAATTGATTAGCTAGTTATTTTGTGATAAGACCAGTAAGACCTGAAATAGCGTTGAACATGCCAAGCTGAAACTTTGTTGGAAGTGTCCAGCGTCTAGAAGCAGTAGCCGGGTCCGAAGACAAATGTCTCCCAACACTCGTAGACATTTTCTGGGTACAGCCGAGCCGCCATTACTCGCCATGTTGGCTAGGCCAGAAATTTCACGAAGATAGGACGCAGCCTGATCAGTTGCAGAGCTTACCTACATAGATGTAAGTATCCAGGTACCTAAGCATACAAGAGGGCGTCATAAAAATGTCACAGTAATATTAGTACGGCTTCAAACTGTGCTGAATAGACTATGTGATTGGTTAGAGAGCACAGTATTTTATACAGTATTTTTATGATACCTCGCATAGTGCTATTTTTCTGGCGCCTTCCTGGCATATAAGACATGAGACTAGGAAATTACCCCACCTTTACCTATGTAACCAATCAGCTTGTCAGCTTACAACTCTAGCTCTTGCTCTTAACTCTCTCTTCTCGACTTCTTTAACCACTATGCGAGCATTATATTGGAAAACCTTATACTTAAGACTGGAGGACTGGATAGGTCTAGGTAATTTGCAATTACTTACCTAGGTAGGTACCTAGGTATATCTGATTGCTCGCTATACGGACTACCCCAACGTACCCGGACAGGCCCCAAGCCACTATCCCCAACCACCTCAACCACGAACCAATGGCTGAGAAAAAAAGCAATAAAATAATTTTCTCGACCCAGGCACAAATATTCTTAAGGGGCGATTGCCACAAATCTCCCGATACCAGTATGATCAGCTCCCGCGTCAAGAGCTTCTTTCCACTCTTCAAGCTTGAAAAGCTTCGTGTCGGCGAAATTATTGCCTCGAGGAAACAAGCCCGTCTCCAACATCTTAATAAGTAAAATAATATCCTCACGCTCATACATCAACTTCCCTTTCAACGTGATGTTGTGGGACATGACTAGCGAAACGACAGGATCTTCGTTCCAACCCATCAAACTAACACGACCATGTCGACGTAAAGCATAGATAGCGCTCCTAACATGTTTCGACTTAGACGCTTCCGGCGGCGAAAAATCCAGGATAGCATCAATGGTCCCAAACGCCTTCAATGCGTTGGTGTCCGCGGCCTCGTCACCGGTCATCTTAAGCGTCTCGATGTTCGCGTTGGGGATACCCCTGAGCACGTATTCCTTCAACCGAGCCAACTTCTCCTCGTTACGTCCCCACGCGATAACCCTTGCGCCCATAGCGGCGGCACACAACACGCCGGCGCCTCCGTAATTAGCGGTTGCGGGGCAAACGACGACGGTTTCACCGGGCTCGAGCCTGATATCGCGTAGCCCGCCAAACGCGACGATTATGTGGCACATATACAGCAGATCCCCGATCTTATATCCAAGACTGCCACACAACCTCGTCTCGTTGAGTGGGTAGCAATTCTCAAGCGGGACTTTGGCGTACTCGGACCAGGTGCCGTCGCGCCACACATCGCGAATTAGCTTTCGGCTACCATCCGAAAGACCCTCGTGGATCGCTGAAACGAACAGATGGTCCGGGTTATCGCGGCTGTGTATTACGCAGTCGATATACACGAGTTGCCCAACGCTGAGTGCGGTTGAGTCAGGACCTAGGGCTACGATACGGCCGATGGAGCTGACGCCACCAACGATCGGTGTTGGGAAGACGTATCCGCGCTCTCCGTTGTAGATTTCGCGAAGGTAGGAGATCACGCCAGAGGCTTCCACGCGGACGATGGCGCTGCCTAGCTCTGGCTTGGGAGTTGGGACTGTCTTGACGTGGAAGCCCTCTTTGGGGGAGTCGAGCACGAGGGCTCGGTGTTCAGTAGGAAGAGATGATGCCATGGTGATAAAAGTAAGGTATTGAAGAAGTGATATTGGTGTATTGTTTGTGTGAATGCTTTTGATGTTGATTCATTCTGACTTCTCATCCTGAATTTGGGGGATATATATATTATATCATGGCCTCACTGTTGTCGGCGATGATCGGACATACTTCACAATTCTCCGACTGAGCAGAGGCCATTACGTAGCCATCGCAAAGCCAAGTCCGCATCAAAGTCCTAACGACTGGTCCACATAATACCTATTTGGTATTATAAATCGCGAGCCTTAACGCCGCCGAGGGTCATGAAGTTGTCCTGCAGATACACCGTTCATGCCGGACTTATCCTCGTATGATTTATCACTCTTCCGGAACCTCAGCCAAGACATGATGAGCGAATAGGAGTAAAAATAGGGTAACTTCCATTAACTTATCGGAGAATAACATCTCGTACTCGTGTGAAGCATTGCTAGATACGTCTTTAGCCTCACGTTCGGATGTGGAGCAAGTTGAAACTCACGATCCGAGATATCTCTGTAGGACTTCAACTAGCCTCGCAGGACTTGCAATTGAACCAGGGTTATAGGACTTGAGCTAGACTAACGTCGTATTGTCGTGGTTTGTTGCCTATTTTGGAATGATATGAGCCTAACCTCCAATCGGATATTCTGGATCTTCTCCGAAGTCTCTAGCAAGGTTATTCGCATTATGGAAAATGTTAGTGAAATACTTAGCCCCATGCAGATAACTACAAGATAGGGTATTTGACTAACTCCCTACACAAATCCGAATTGTATTAAGACGTTTGGTCCTGCCCGGAGAAAGATGATGAAAGCCGACTTCCATATTCGATTGAGTTAAAGTAACAACTCAAAGCTTGAAACCTGCTCTAGAGCCTAATAAGGAATGGTATGTACGCCTGAGTCATTGTTGAGTTTAGTTTGCTAGTTCATAAACCCATTTTGTCTGGCGAAACCGTCATCCACTCTACAGATATTCTTCACATCTTTTTATGCCTCTCTCTAGTTTAGAAGACGATTACATATGTATGTATTAGATTTCGTATTGATAGTCTCTTTTCTTTATGTAACCAGACTTAGGCCCACCCTAGCTTGTTTGAATTGTTTTATCCTGTATGCGCAATGTACTTCTCTCTACTCCCTGTACCGGTATCGGCGTTACGAGATTCAACCCGCTTAGCTAAATCATCATTTATCAAAATGCGACCGCTTCGTACTTGCTGCATGTCTCACTCTCTAAGGTTAGAATTGGGAGACTTGAGTTTTGCTAAACTTTATGCGCGTACATAGGCAGGTAATCAGGTGTAGTAGCCACTGCCTAGGTAGCCATCTTAAATCAACTCATGTAGAGTTTCCCTCTGCTGATTCAACTTCGTTAGCTCAAAAGAATAGCTATTTAAACCTCCTCTTATTGACTGTTTCCCCTTCTCCCGAATCTTTCCAATATCCATTGTCAATTGCAGACTTCACTCACCTTAGTCAATTATCACTTAGAATTCTGCCTTACAACGCTTGTGTAGGTCCTTCAAAGGGTTATCGGAAGGCCTCTACCAACGATCACTTTCATAGAGAATGCGATGAGCTCCCAAGGAACTCTCCCACGACCCCAAATTACGAAGTTCGCGAACACCAACCTGCCTAGGTAGTCATGGAGCAACAAGGCGAAGTGCTAAGGGAAACCATCAGCACCTCCGGGGATCCCAAAGCATTGTTCGTATCCCATCCCCTATACACCTCATCATAACCACTGACCTCATATGTATAGCATTAGCATCTGTCCCGCGGCCTACTTTCTTCGCCGCATATGAGAGCGTCGGGGACCCACGAGAAGCCAGTGGCAAGACCTCTTGACGTTGTGCGAAGGCCGTAGAAGTCGATAAGAAGGTGCTGCCAGGATCTTCAATATACACGGGGACAGAAAGTACCCTGAGATCATTACGGAAGACCAACCCGTCATTCAAGAAATTCTTCCCATATAAGCTCGCATTCAATTGGTGCTTGTCGCTATTAGAGAGAGCACATAGGTATTATGGGCTTTGGGATGATGAATTAAAGCATATAATGGACGAAAATCACATTGCAATCAATTACACCATACCAATCCACATACCATTACATTGGTAGCACCTCAATTGGACGCCCTCCACTGCCTTTTTGAGCTTCGCTCCAACATATCCACGGAGTTGTAATTTTTTTTTTCTTTCGTCTGGACGATCCAGCGCCATACATTTCGTCCGTTCTTACCTAGCTATCCGTCAATTGACATCCTCCCTTCTCGGTCGGCAAAGAGGTACATGTGGGTGATTGGGTTACACAAGTTAAAGCGAATGATCCGAATTATGGGTGTCGCGGACTGTTGTACGATGACAAAATATTCCCTTGATCGAATGAATTCTGCGTATTGCCGAGTTTAGATGCAATGCATCGCGAACCCTGCTCCCGTTTGCGGCAAGGTTCATCGCACCATACCGAATTTACTCACAGGAGAAGACCAGGAATTACGGTCGCATTAACTGCATTTATACGCCCTGGACTCCTCGAGCAGTTTAAGCGCTACGCAATTTCCTTAGGTAAAACTGAGACCATCTAACAACAGACCCGGCTCGAAGACATTTATGAACTCAACGAGAATGAATTTATATGCCGTCTTGTTGGCAGCACAGAACCACTTGAGGATAGCATTAAGAAAAAACCTCAATTGCGTGGAATGCCGAAGATGAAGCAGGAGGTCGGGCGCAGTACCTGCACTAGCGCTGGCCCATTTCAGCCAAGTCAACAACGACCACCTGCTATGACCACCAGCGATGGGATACGGAACACCCCGTTGTGGCCGCCCCGCGGTTGTCGGGTCCAGTACCGGGGGCTGCAGGATTCGAACTTGATCGGTTTCCCATTGAGGTTGCACCAGTCGCCCCATTTAACATCGATCCCACTGTCCTCTTAGCAAACATTATGGTGTCTTCGAAGGATTTAGGGGTTGTGTTTCTGAGGAGTAGAAAAGTTCCTGTAGTTTCGTATCAATATATGTATCTGCATAGCGTCTGATGCTCTCGAGGATCATGCTGCGGCGGAAAGGGACCTAATGTCGTGAATATTGTCTGGTGTCGGTCCGGCGTCTACGACTCCTCTCTCGTTGATCCTAACCTAGGTTATCGTTATAGCCTCCAGGTGCTGCTCGGTGTCCTCATCGAACCTATACCGTTACGACACCCGGGCGGCTGCCCTGCGGTTTACTCTTGCGAATACTTTATGGAACAAGAAACCGCTAAGGAGGCCGAATAGGTAAATGAGAATATTCGTAGTGAAGGGGGGCCAACCTTGACTAGCCATTCGTATGTAGGATTACTAAGTTTAGTCGTAACAATATATAGATCCCGTATGATAAATTGCAGATGTAGGCTGTATTATTAACATAAAAAACAAGTGACCACCGCGTTGCTTTACGACCCCAAGATAAGTGAATCGTGATTGGACCTGTTGTCTGTAAGCCCTAACCCTAATTTCTAATGAAGCCATATGCTGCTGATGAGCTTGGGTCATCATAGTCGCCTAAAAGCTAAAGATTGGCAAGATTACCTAGGTAGGTCATCTGCCCGATCGACGGTGACGCAACTGGAGATGGATACAACCATATCGGTATTTCGATAAAGAGGAAGGCTATAGTTACCTAGCTGGGTACCCGGAAGGAAACGGAGGATTTAATGTGTAATCCATTGGGTATATCGCAACGATGTAAACTTCTCGAGATACGTAGTGTCAATCAGCTCTTGAGTAGTTCATGGATCTTGCCCTGAAGAGTGACTCTCCTTGAAGGGCCTTCGTAACTCGTCGTACAAAGCCCAGCCGGATGGTGCGAGGATGGATATATCCGGATATTGGTTCGTCGACCGGTATCCTTTTCGGGCGGTATGATAAAGACATTAGAGTCTTCGTGCTACAATGATATCCTATCGGTCAGTGATTGAATTTCGTCATCGTCCGTATCTCATCCCACTCATAAAATAACGTGTGCAATGCCTGCTGTGCCCCCGACGAGAGAATTTCTGATTGGCGTTGTGTACACCGATCGTCGAATCACATTGCCTACTGTATAAGGGTCTTAGTGCGACCGCGATATCGCTGGTATAAGCAGTGCGGTTTAATGGAGGCGGAGCTGGCTCAATAAGCACGCTAAGGGAATTGGATGGGTTGTAGTAGTAGTGACAACGCGCTGCTCGACATCTCTCTTGTTGGAAATATCTCCAAAAACAAAGAAATCAATCTCCAAGATGTCGTCGTCATGGGTGTGCGCTGGGTAGCCCGTGCAACCCATGATGTGCTGCCATAGCGACGATATTCAAAGAGAGAACTGAGTCATTAAAAGGTGGGCAGCATTAACAAGCTGACAGGGCATCTTCCAAGTTTTGGTTTATTGATAGGCTGAAGGTTGAAAAAGGGGGAGGATTGAAAATGCTCCGAGTTGATTAATATTTGGTGGTATATCAGGCATATTAATAAACAAACAATTGAAAAGATGTATGGTGGCATTGGATATTAGAAGATTGGACCCTGATATAATTTTCGCAACCGTTTTAACCCAGTCATTGCAGGGCGGCAACTTCCGGGTATCGTAGGGTATCTTAGGCTTCCAAGTACCTTCTATATCTATCTACCTACACGAATGTACTCGAATATACACGTACAAACGTATGCAGGTATTACCTAAGCGATTGCTGCTGTTATTGGTCTTTGTTTGGCCTCTAAGACAGCATTAGTACCGCGCTAGCGGGTGTAATTCCGTCACCCCAATCACCCCAATCCCAGCCAGAAGCGGCCACCCTGGGTTCCCACACAGCTGCCGCTGCTTGCCCAAGAAGCCAAGGGGCTACCCTACCGGCAATACGTAAAGTTGGTTAGGTACCAAGATACAGCCCTGGAGCATATAAATCGTATGGTACCCAGTACCTATATGTACTTAGCTGCATGTACTTATGTGCACTTACACACCACTGCAACCAATAGCATAGGATAACCACTCAGTGCCTCTAATCTTTCCTCCCCTCCCAAACGAAACTACTGTACTTTGGCAAACCACGAACGACGAAACTTCCTACTATTTTCTGACCACATCCTTTTTAATTCTTCTTCACGCCACCGGCCAACTTGCGCGACCAACGATCAAGAGTAACTTGTCTTTCGAGATTCGTTTCTTTTGTCTGAGGCGACACCTTCAAGAAAATCGTTCAAGATGAACCCTCACCAGAAGAATAAGATTGACGTCAAGGTTGGTTTTCCCTTCGACGACCTGCCTCCCTCTCCCCACGCAACCTACACATCCCTCGTTGGGTTGGGACACCCACCACCACCTCCTCTCCATGCCCAAGCTAGAGGGGATGACTACCTACACCACAGATGAAAACACCATATTCTATCTAGATCTTACGGGGCATTGCAACGGAATCTAGAAACCATCCCAACCTTCTTTGTCTTCACGCAAGATGACTCCACCACCCGATATATTTACAACCTCACCAACTTCACCGCTACACAAGCTCGTTCACTCGTACGACTCTATAATTGACACAAATATGCTAACGTAACTTTTTACCTAGTCTCTCACTCCCGATGAGCAACGTCTGTTTCGGCTATACGGCAAGCTGCCGTCCAAATCGGACCACTTCGCCAAGCACCTGAAGGAGCGCAAATACTTCGACAGCGGTGACTACGCGATGTCGAAAGCAGGCAAAGGCGACAGCGTCGACACAGGCAGCGTCGGCAGCCAGCACCCAGTCCCCGAGAACATCCCGCACCTAACCTCACCCAACGGTCAAAACAACAACGGCGTCTCAGGAAGCGGAGTCGGTCATCAACATCATCCTAGTCTACACCACGGCACCGGCGCCGCCGCTACCCATCATGCCAGCCCGCAGGTCACATCCGCCGGTAGTCCCGTTAAGGAGAGCAGTTTCCTCCATCGCGAGACTAGCGCCGAGGAAACCGCCGATGATGCTGAGAAAGAGAACAAGGCTGCAACTCCGGAGAAACCTGATAGTCAGGGTATCCCGATCCGAAGATAGGCTGGGTATACCCCGTCGTCGGCTTGCTGCCGTGTGATAAGCTGGGAATGTTAACTAATTCACGGTGGGGTGATGGTTGCATTACTGGGATTACTAGATGGACCGATGGCTGACCGTGGTTAGTCGTATGTTTCTTCTGGTAAATAGGCAAGCTAGACATCTTCACTTTATGTCCTTCATTACGAAGGCTAAGTCACTAGGTACACGAAGGAAAGGGAGAAAATGGGGTCGTGTAAGAGGAGAGAGTTGGACCCCTTTTCGCGATGGATGGATGGATGGATGGTTTTCATGTGGATTACCATTATTTTCGCTTGTGTTTACTTGCTTTGCCTGTTTTCCTTGTTTCATGGGAGTTAGGGTGGCTTACGGTAACTGGCAAAGGGAAATTATCGCAATTGCAAAAAATTTCTTCGGATTGATTTATGTAGCTGTCGTCGTCTGATTTAGGTCTCAATGCTGATTTGATCGGAAAACTCATTCGTTAAGATGCTCGTGGTTTTCGGGGCAGGCAGTGGGGTTGCGTAGTTAGCTGTTCGATATTTTCTGCCTCCGAAAGCAAGCACAGTTTCGGCGTTAGTATTATTATTATCAATATCAATGTTCAAGTATTTGATAGGAGCATTGATATATTCAAAATGAGATTACAAGTCATTGTATTTTGCTTGCTGAACAATACGCCTGAATTGCCGATTCTAATTCCATTTTGAGAGCTTCTTTTCTCTATCCGTTAGGTATGCATTCTAGAGACTTGATGATTCCTCCTCGGCGCCTATACATACATACGTGATCGCAGGATTTCGTTTCATCCCATTTGTTCATATTTAAAATGCGCAAGCCTTCTCAGCCAACGCCTTCGCGCCATCAAACGTTTTGTTTCCACCGATGAATCCAGAAGCATGTATGAACACACCACCCGGAACACCAGATACCTCGTCCAATTGTGCATCACGCGCGCCTCGCCATGGCTCCGGTAGTGCCTTTCGGCTTTGGAATGAGTCCTTGGTTACAGGTACAGCTTGTATCCTCCACTTCGCATCCGGCACGGGTTTCTCAGGGTATAGGACATATAACACCTTCTTATCAGTCTCTCCCTCCTGCTCTTCCAGCGTGTATAAATGATCCTTCCACGGCACAGCTTGACCATCAAAGACCATAATCCGTCCTTCGGGATCGTACTGGAATCTCTTGCTATAAGCCTCATGCACAATAGAGCGTGCCGGTAGCCAAGCAGTAGCATAGTAATCTAAGTCATGCGAGAACTCCTCGCCGATACGTGCGCTCGCTTTTAGAAACTTCTTGTCCTCTTCGGCTTGGGCCTCGACGGGGTCGGAGGGGATGGGGTCGTTCCAGTTTGGGTTCAGTCGGCCGACTACAGCGCCGAGCCCGAAGGCCCCGGTGCTAAATCGCTTCTCGATGCCGGCTGCCTCGAGGGCTGCTGGGTCGTACGCTGAGATGCCGTTGTCGTGGGCGTCCAATGCCTCGACGAAAGATTCGTAGAGTTTGTTCCATAGTACGCCGACCTCGTCACTGTCCTCGGGCTTCTGTATCTTCTGCGCTATGATTGGTTTTCCGAAATGTAGGAATACGAGTCCGGCGCTGGAGAGCTTGGTAGGGCGACCGGGGAATGTGGTGTCGAAGGTACGTTGGTGGTGGTCGTAGCGGTTGCGTGAGGCGTCGTATTCGCCGCCTACATCGACGACTGTGTGGCACGTCTCGAGTTGCGCTGGGTCGCGCGTGCGGATTAGGGAAGAGCCTGCGTAGGTTGGCAGGAGTCGAAGCATATACACGGCAAGCGCTTCGTCGGCGTGGAAATGGCCATTGTGCGTGCCAATCTTAACGCCGGTGCTGCTGCCTTCGGTTTTAAGTCTCTTTGCTGCGTTTTCGGCCATCTTAGTAAAATATCTTAGCATATAGTTTTGTGTTGTGTAATGAATGTGATTGAAGATTTCCAATCGTGGTGATTGTATTGGTGTAAATGTAGGATGGGCTGTGAAGATAGTGGGGTCGTACAGTTTTGGTCCTATTTATTTGAATTGGATATGATACAGCGCTATCGATAGCTTAAGGGAGTGGGGTGGGCGATCCGCTAGGTGTGTGTTTAGTGGAATGTCGCATTTTGTGAGAACTGACGCTTTTTATTAGCGCCGAAAGAAGGAGAGAAGGTAGGAACGCGTGTTGTTACTCCGTAGAAGGGGAAGAGGCGCGGCGTCAGTCAGGCAGGCAAGCCCGACAAAACCCATTACCCATTACCTTACTTTTTTTTACTTGCAGGCACGCCTGAAATCGTCAGATTATGATGCGCCGAACCCTCAGTGGTCATTGTTTCCTTCTATTTTCTCCAATGACTTGGATTGTTTGACAATCCGCACCGCCGTAACAATTAAAAATATCGCCGGTGAAATTTAATTCGATTCTTAATCCTTAATTTCTTTCTCAACGCCGCAACAACCATCCCACACTAATAATTCGCCGACTTTACCTTTCCTCATTTTCATTCCTTACTTTCTTCCCCAATTATCGCCGTCTAAACTTCTACGCATTCGCCCATCCATCAATCCATCGTCGCTATTTAAGAGTACGCCCACGATGGAACGCATTAAAGCCGAGTTTGATCGGGCCTACGACAACGGCGAGCTACCGGATGCCAGACCATCCTACAAGTCATGGAAGAAGAAGTATCGGAAGATGCGCATCAAATTCGATCAGCAATCGCAGAATATAGAGACACTGCATAAGCTAGAGCAAAAGGCGATGCGAACTGCCAAGCGTCTTGCCATCGAAAACGAGTGAGTTGGCATCCTTTATTGCATACCTACGCCGAGCAATGAGATAGAAGATTGCTAATTATCTTCGCCGTTATAGTCGCATAATGGACTTGTTGATGGATATCAACGAGTCGCCTCAGATTCCCTTCGAACGACGTATTGACCTTAACATGGACGAGGACGAAGATGATAACGACTCGGACGCCACTCAGAAGCCTACGAGGTCCCTGCGAAAACTTGAACAAGACGTACCTCATCAATCTTTCGCAGCTACAGCCGAACAATTCCCAGAAATACTGGAAGATCTAGAACCTGAAGATCCGGTAGTAAACCCTACTTCATTTCTCAATGCAGATGACATCGACGAATACATCTACGAGATTGATACGCGACTAAAGCTACCAACGAAGCCTTCTCTCGCACCTAGCATCGTAGGAAAAGAGATTACGAATCCAGCCGCCAACTTCGCGCTACGAAACCCCACAAGCGTGTACAATTGGCTACGAAGACACGCGCCCAAGACATTCCTCCAAGACCTTGAGAAGGAGAAAGGCGGGGATAAGGACAAGGGTAAAGACAAAGACGACGGCCACGGCGATAAGGACGACGACCATCGCAAGCGTAAGAGTACTGGTGGGAATCGTAACAAGAGACAATCAGCTGCTAGTCGCAAGGAGAAGGAGAGGGAGGCTGCGGAGCCCATGGATTGGGATGAGGATCCGGGATACGATGCACCGGCTCCTAAGGGGAAGAGAAAGAGAGACGATGATAGTGGATACAGACCGAAGGGTGGTTCGAGCCGCCCGACGAAGAAGCGTAAGAGTAAGGATTTCGGCTCTCTTCCGTCTAAGGGCTCGCGAAAGTCTGGTGCTTGATTTCTGATACTTGCTACGTCGAGCTGCGGCATGGTTGTTATGGGGATATGTCTGTCCTAGGGCGTTTGAGAAGGTTGAAAACCGTCTACAAGTATGGACGGAAAACTAGGGATGGAATACGGTAATGCCAGTCTGGCTGGCTCCTGCTGGATAGGAATATAGAGCGATAAGGCTACGCTCTAGAGACGCCAGCATATCCTCTACGGCTATTGAGGTATCCTAATACAACCTCTTGTATTAATAAAACTGAGTGTGTTTCTACCAGCTGTGTGACCAATCTCCTAATAAGTGACTAGCACGGTGTGTCAAGCTTTGAGTGACATAAGGGCTCTTGATTGCGATAAGATGATTGGTTCCCACTCGAGTTTTAGTGGATTTTCTCCCCAATAGTAAAATCTACAGGGCTCGGAATTGGAATCTCATTTTTATATCTTGATTTCGATTCGTCTTATATTTACACTAGAACATTTTGAATTTGAGGCTTGAACGAAAATTTTGTAGAGCAATTCATATTCGGTCTCACAAGCCAAAGCACGCGAAAATTGCCTACCTGAGGCACTAGTCAACCTAGCAATCGAGCTCTCGCTCAAGATACACAAACATAAAAACCGAAGAAATAAAAGAAAAGAAGATGCCAGAGCACAAAACATACATAGTCGAACACCTCGACCCCGAACTCGGGCAATGGTCTGAACTTGAGTACATCGCGATTGCGGAGGAGACGCAACGAGCTGGCAATACGTTCATGCTATCATCTCTACCCGAAGAATTCAAAGTACCGGAGAAGCTCGAGAGGGTGCCGGCTTTTAAGGCTGAGAGGAGGGGCGTGGAGGAATTGTATGGAGAGCCGGGGAAGAAGGAGAGGGTTTGTCTGCTAGATCCCCAGGCTGAGGAGGATTTGAATCCTGATGATAAGGGGGTGTTTGATGTGTTTTTATTTGGGGGGATTTTAGGTGCGTCTTCCGATGTAGATCGGGCTTGAGGTTGAAGTTGGCTGACTGGTAAAATATAGGTGATGATCCACCGCGAGGTATGCAAACTTGGGTTCTGTTTTATTAGGGGAATTTAGTAGGTGAAATTTACTAATATACCACATAGATCGAACATCTGAATTACGGAAGAAGGGATTTAAGGGACGCCGGTTAGGCCCTGTGCAGATGACAACAGACACGGCGGTGCGTGTAACGCGGATGGTTGTTGAGGAGCAATGTAAGTCACACATCCCTCTTCCCGCTTATTCGCCATTGTGGTTCAACAACGGAGAACTTGAAGTGCTATATTAACATAAGTCTAAGTCACGTTAAATAAAATTCCCTACCTCGACTTCCCAGAGCTCAAATTCAACGAACATGAGAGCACGCAAATGCCATTTCGATATGTGAAGGGAGATGATGAGAAGCCAATCATGCCCGAGGTGAGAACCCTTCCCCTATAATCATATTTTTGCACACCATCCATTAAAATGCTTCGCTTGATATATAACAATGTCCTATCTAACTATTTAATGTTTAGGGTATGGTGGACTTGATCAAGAAAGATGCGGATAAGAGCATTGACGATCTCTTTTAAGCCTGCATTTTCGACTCTTGGTGGTGGTGGGTTAAGCGGTCATAAAATCACCGGACTCGCCTGAGGTGTAATGGGATCACAGGTAAGATAAAATAATAGGCTTGGGGAAGAAAAAGGGGGGTATCAAATAGATGATATGTTACGTAGCAATCTCACCCATCTTTAGAGTTCGCCTCGTGGTTGCTAAGACAAGAGCTAGCCATTATTAATTAATTGGCATGGAACCATGGCGAGCGCTCCTAAGGCCCATCCACATCCATACCGTCGACTTCGTCTTCCTCCTCATTAGACTTAGAATTTCCGACCTTATCTTGCTCTTCATCCTCTCCATCCTCTCCCCCTATCTCTTCACCTCCACCAGCTAGATCATCCCACCGCTGCGGCGTAGGCGTAGACACTCCCCCCTCACCTTCTTCCCCAGGCACCTCCTCATGCTCGCGAATCAACAGCGTACTAAGGATATCCGAGCGCTTCGCCCTTCTAGGGCCCCGCGTATGCGGCAAGTTAAACTTGCCACGGTGTCCGTGCTTCATCTTCTCTTTTCTGCTGCGATTGCGATGAGGTCTCGGGTCCACACCTCTTGCAATAACAGTTACTTCATCTGTCTCTCCCCGCCGCTTCTTCAGTGCGATGAAATTCGCTAAGAAATTACCCTGGTCGATGCGTTCGCGTGACGACCAACGCTCCGCGGGAGGTACTACAGGTTGGGGATACGACAAGCCATCGGAGCCGTTAACACCGCGTTGGCGGTTTGATGCATCATCTTTCGGGTTGAGTTGTTTCTCTTTGACGGTGATGCGCGAGCAACTTGCGGCCAGGATGTCAACATCTTGGTCCAAGCGTCGGACAACGGGGAGTGGGTTCTCGTCGTCATGTTTTGTCATGAGAAGCTCTGTGCCGACATTTTGGCTCCATTGGCCTGAGTACACACGTCCTTTATATGATATAACGGGGTTTTCCGAGTGCAGCTCGAGGATTTGAACTTGGTGATCGTCTCCCTGGTCGATGTCTTCCTCCTGTTGGGGTTCCTTAAGTTCTTGGTTTCGGGAGATATTGTCGTCTTCATCACTATTTCCCGCACCATCTTCATTTTCATGTCCCGGACTCGTACGTCTATTCAAGTAGAGTTTGGCTCTCTCGTACTTTTCATTTCCTCGGTAAGCTGAGCCTGTTTCACGACTGGTGAAATCTGCCTTGGAGAGATCCAGTGTAACGTAGAACGTCTACATAATTCATTTAGTCTTAAATTCTAGACTTTTTGATTGATATTAATTCTCACCTCAGTCTCAGTATTGGAATATTCATATTCCCATTCTGATTCATCTTCTTGGGGTGGTACTTTGCTATGCTGAAATGTCGAAGCTGCCCCAAGGATATGAGAGCTTCCCTGGCTTATACCATTATTAGCCATTGAATATTTGTAAAACGTAATGGCTAAAGAAGATGCAATGACGCATTTGAGAAGCTCAAGTAAATTCTATTATGAATTTTAGATATTCATGTATTGATTTTCTCAGGATTAACCTATGCGTTTGTCCCAGCATAAGTTATTGATGTAAATAAAGGTAGGAAAGTAAAGCTTCAAGGTAAAGAACGGAACACCGTCACATCGACGTGAAATTTAATTAAGAGGTGTTTGCCAATTACAGCAGTAAACTTAGGCGGTCAGTACCGGCATTACACCCCTAACCTCACTAATTCCTTGGAGGGGTAGTGCCGTTCCAGCTGCCCCTCCTGCCCCTCATCCGCTGAAAAAAATCCCGTCGCAGCAGCAGCTACCCGCGCTTGCGCTCGTTTTCTTTGACTCATCCGACCAGCACTTTCTTTACTTTCCGGCCCGGGGAGATAACTTAAATATCGATTGCCAGGCATCTATTGGATTGATACTGAGCCACCTAATTCTACGTATTTACACAACTTACTGTGACTTGTCTAGGTACTCAAACTGCAACATACACACATACTCTAAGCTCTTCAAACGCGACTACCCACCATGCCTTCTACAGTCCACCTCCTCGACTACGTCGCGGGCAACGTGCGATCTCTCGTCAATGCTATCGAAAAATGTGGCTACAGCGTCGAATGGATCCGAAGCCCCGAGGAAGTTGCGAAAGCCGAAAAGCTGATCTTACCTGGTGTTGGTCACTTCGGCCATTGTACCAGCCAACTCGCTTCCGCAGGATATCTACCAGCCGTCCGCGCCCACATCGATGCTGGCAAGCCGTTCATGGGAATATGCGTCGGCTTACAGGCGCTTTTCGAAGGATCCATCGAAGATCCCGCACACCCTGGTCTGGGATTAATAAAAGGCCAACTGGACTGCTTCGATGACTCCGACAAATCCGTACCGCACATTGGTTGGAATAGCGCCAATGCGAGTTCCAAGAGCCTGTACGATTTACGACCGCAGAGCAAATACTACTACGTCCACTCCTACAAATACCCGTACGTTAAGGGCGAGCTAGAAAACCAAGGGTGGACAGTCGCAACAGGGACATATGGCGGGGAGACATTCGTGGGCGCAGTAGCCAAGGACAACATCCTAGCGACACAATTCCACCCGGAGAAGAGCGGCGTCGCAGGTCTCAGAGTCATAAAAGCCTTTCTAACAGGAGAAGGCGCCAAAATTCTCGGTCAAGTAACCAACGACCCAGCACCTACAGGCGGCCTAACAAAGCGCGTCATCGCCTGTCTCGACGTACGCGCCAACGATCAAGGCGACCTCGTGGTAACCAAAGGCGACCAATACGACGTACGCGAAAAAGAAGGCGGACGCGACGTCCGCAACCTCGGCAAACCCGTCGAACTCGCACGAAAGTACTATGAACAGGGCGCCGACGAAGTAACATTCCTAAACATAACCTCGTTCCGTGACTGTCCACTCGCCGATCTCCCCATGCTAGAAGTCCTCCGGCGGACCTCAGAAACCGTATTCGTACCCCTAACCATCGGCGGCGGAATCCGGGATACCGTCGACGTCGACGGATCCAAAGTCTCCGCGCTTGAAATCGCATCACTGTACTTCCGGTCCGGTGCGGATAAAGTATCGATAGGTTCCGACGCCGTACTCGCAGCTGAAGAATACCATTCCGGCGGTCGCAAACTCTTCGGTAATACCGCTATAGAGCAAATCTCACGTGCATATGGTAATCAAGCCGTCGTCGTAAGCGTTGACCCAAAACGCGTGTACGTACCCAACCAAGCCGACGCAACACGCCATAACACCTTAAAAACCAAATTCCCCGGTCCAAGGGGCGAAGAATATTGTTGGTACGCATGCACCATAAAAGGCGGCCGCGAAACCCGAGATCTGGATGTTGTGGAACTGGTCCAAGCAGTCGAAGCCATGGGCGCGGGTGAGATTTTGCTGAATTGTATCGACCGCGATGGTACGAATAGCGGGTACGATCTCGAACTCATCGAACAAGTTAAATCCGCTATCCGCATCCCGGTGATCGCGTCTAGTGGCGCGGGAAACCCGGGACATTTTGAAGAGGTATTTGCGCACACTCGCGCCGATGCTGCGCTTGGTGCGGGGATCTTTCATAGAGGGGAGTATACTGTTCAGCAGGTGAAAGATCACTTAGCGGAGAAGGGGTTGGAAGTTAGGCAGTTTGAAGGGGAATTATGAAATTTACAAAATATTCAGATGCTGAAAATATTCATCGTCGAGAGGGATGTCCAAGGAGAGATGCATAGAAGGATATGGCGCAATTGTTACATATGGCATTTTTGTTTTGAGGCGTTAAAGTGTGTTGTACGAACGGGTCAAAAGGGGGCAAGATAGAAATCCGTCGTCTATTGATCATAGTAATGTTACCTACTATATACCATTTTGATTGCCCTAGCACCGCTTGCTTTGACTGTTCCATTCGCGCTATTTTTGAACCTCCGAAACGATATTCGCTAACCTCGCCAGTGCGGGGAATGGGACGCAGCAGATGCAACCGAGGAAAAGAAACGAAACGAAAAACGACCTTGTGCGCCGAAGCTAACGTGATGATACGTGCATGCAGGCATGCACAATCCCGAAAACTCCAAAAAGCAACCCAACCTCGAAAATGCCGAAAGGATCCCTAACATCCGAGTCGAATTGAAAAAAAAAAACAAGTTAAACGATCGTCAAAGTCCTGGATGTCGCAATTCGACTTAAACCTCCATGCCCATGAATAGCCATTTGTTGCTAGTAACATCGATGTCCTTCGCCCAATGGTCTAGGGTAGTCAAGTCGAAGCCAACCCACTGGAGACTTCTCATCAATGCCTTCGCATAGTCCGGAGGCATATGACGGTCCACGCAAATCACGATATGCGAACATCCAATCGGACCATCGGCTAATTCGATCAAAGCAATAAGTCTATAATAGCGTCAGCATGACTTAGGGGTGACATAATACGTGGCAAAGGGAACACAACATACGCTTGCTTGAGATCGCGGCCTACGAGCCCACTATCAAAGAACGCAAACAACGACTTCTCGTCGCCATCCTCCGCAACAAAGGCTCGGAAGCTTGCACCTCCAGCGTAATCCCAAAACTCCATCCATCCGTTTACGTATACAGTAGGCTTGATGTCGATATTGGTGTTGTCTTTAGGTGAAGACTGAGGCGTAGGGTAGTCATCGGGTGGCGTAAGTGCGTAGTTAACACCAGCCAGGCAGGAGCCATTACCGACCATATTCCACTCACCCTGGAAAACGGTTTTCATGGTCTCACAGAAGAATCTCTCACATTCTTCCCTGATCTGAAGTGTTGCCCCCCCTCGGCGGCTGCGGCTAATCGGTGCGTTATAGCCGTTGCTGTGGCGCTTCTTGCTCTTGGGTTGAAGCGCGAGCTCATTGGACGAGGTGATGGCCGCGAGGGGGGGACTTGACGGAGGAGATGGTAAGCCTGAGATAGGGACCTCAGGAATACCACTCGGCCCCTATTGTGGAAGTATTGGTTAGTTTATGTACAAGATCGACATGTAGATGTGTGTGTAAATGGTAAGGTGTGTAGCAGGTGGTATAGATGGCTTGTCTCAGATCGAGAGATGGATAATTGACTTACCTGCAGCCCCGGTAGTGCAGTAGTGAAGTCCCTTTAGGGACGCAGTAGGGTCGATAAGGTAGCAACTGGCGAGGACATTGACCTGACGGGGAACCGCCTCGCCATAATTACTACTACTACTACTATTACTTTTGCTATTTTTCATTGGCGCCATGATCGATGATGGAATCCAGGGCTGTTGTAGAGATCGGGTTGATGTGGCTGGATAAGGGTGGTGATGATCAATCAAGACTTCGGAAAGATCCGAGCGACAAGCAGCAGTGGTAGCGGGGTCTTGCGTTTTTAGATTTTCTTAGTTGAAAGGTGTAAATCGAGTGTCCGAGGATTGACTAATTGAAAAATCAATTTGTTTATCTGTAGGCACAATTGCTTTGATGAATTGAACGGTCTGTGTGGTGTTGGTTGAATTGGTGACTGAAAGTTTGTAAGAGAAGAAGCCGGCTTGGAATTTTTTTGGTGTAAGACAAAGCGGCAAAACTCAAATCAAATATCTCGGGAACGAACAGGAGCGAGCGGTCAGTCAGCGTAGTTGCGTCCGCTAAAAAAGAAGCGGTACAAGGCGAACTAGTGCTTTCCTGGTTCTGGAAACGGCTAGATATTACTCCTCGACCAATCAATCATGCCTGCCACGTCCGTGCCACCCCGCAAGTCCATCACGTGTTAATCTACAATCAATTGAACCAATGAGCTGGGCCCAATGATTGGTGGTTGACTCTTATGCAGCTTGGCTCCTTCGTTAGTCCAGTAATCCAACCCTTGTCCAACATCTCAAAAAGCCAGTCAGCCCATCAGCGACGATACATATGTACTATCCCTTCGAGATTCATGGTGTAATCCCATGTAATCGCACGTTTACCCCTTCTTTGATCTGATAATCATAACGCCTACCAGTCGTGTTAGTTCCGGCATATTTATGTTCCCTAAGGGGATGGTAGAGCCGAGTGGGACTTCGACATCTTGGGCATTCCATACGATATCCATACGATAACATGAATATTAATGCATATTCGGTCCAGGATGTAAAATCCCATTATTTAGCGTTGCGTCGGAAATACTTCTATCACGGTCATTTGCGCGTGCCCAGCATGTAGGTGAACGGAATAGGCCTCTGAATATCATTACTGAATAAGCAAGTTTGTTCTCTCATTAGTCCAAGCACTTCACGATGTCACCGTTTGGGGGCGATTCGATAACACCACATGAATACAATACCAATCGCAAAGATGCTCTTTACTGCAGCTATATTCTTACTAAGAGCGACCTAAAGTGGTTCAATTATATTTATTGACTCAGTCTTGTGGTCGCTCAACCCTAATGACTCGTCAGACGGTGTGTTTGTTCCGGTTCTGATAGTTCGGCTACATGTAACAAAGCTTGGTACTAGACTCGGTAAACATGAAGCGGTTATCCGATCATAAATCAGGATGTGGAGAGGAATGTCGATCTTTTCTTCCCGGAGCCTAATTGGCTGCGTTTATATGTGGTAATACATTGAAGGATATCGTGGGGGACAGCTCTGAAACTTGAAGTATTCTGAATAGAGATGAGAGTCGAATCACAACTATATAGCTAGAAATTCCAAGTCTATAATACTTAGATGCCACTAGCCGAATTGAGGTCAAATTATATCAAGAACCAAACGGACTACGGTTAGTTGCCTTGGTGCGACAACAAGCAGTTCATGAAACTTTCACTAAATTTATAGTACTTAAGCACACAGGGATGCTCCCTGAATCTCCTAGCCGCATTAACGTGTGGGCTGGTGGGCAGTAAACCCGATAAAGCTGGGGGTGGGCATCTCCGCTCCGATAAGGGAGTAATTTAGCTTGAGGAAAGAGTCAGATGCACTTTTTCTATGAATGATGCGATGTGATGCACACGGGATCAACTCTAAATGGTGGTACTGGGCTGCTGCGCTTTACAACATGGTTATCACCCGCAGGTTCCGGGCCTCAGGGCTGCAACCAGACTTTTACAGTCTTGGTTATACATGCCCAACCATAAATTAATACATCGACCAGCCAGAGCTATTCTTTGTTGTTATTGCTCTCTTCCTGATGCGGGGCTGCGTTTGACTGTCGGTACACTCCAGACCATAATATTGCCTCCTTTTCTATTTGAAGAACTGAGCTGGACTCTTTTAATAAAGACTAAGCCAGCGGCTTGAGTATATTAGTATTCAACGAAGATTAATCAAAGCTAATCATTCATATTTTCGCTATTCTTAATATTGACAAGATGTATTCCATCATGTTCAGCGAGGCGCTTCCTGCTCCTCCACCTCCTCCGCCGGCTCAAGAAGAGACTCAGGGACCCAGGTTCCCCATTTACTTACTTCCAAGCCTTACTATGCCATTTCGACGAAGGCGACGAAGTTCGCATGTAAACAATGAAGTCCCGCCAAGCGATACCCTACCATCACTGAGCTCATCGCCAACGGATTCGACGCCATCCAGTCCAATGACGAGTCCGTCAACACCCACCCTCTCACCGATGAATTTCTTGTCCAACTTCAAGTCGAAAGATGATCACATCCGATCGCCTGCAGAAGATCTAAAAACGACGAAACTCGCACGAACGCAACCTAATACGATCCGATGCTATACATGTGCATCCGATTTCGCGTTCACTTCGCAGATCGTCAGTAAAGGTTTCACAGGCCGATACGGACGGGCATTTTTAGTGTCACCACCAGAACAGCCACCCCAGAGAGGCGCGAAAACGAGAGACCTTATAAATATCAAAGTCGGCAAATCGGAGACCCGCGTCTTGGTGACTGGATCGCATGTTGTCGCAGACATTACATGCGCCGTCTGCCACGCCAAAGTAGGTTGGAAATACATAGATGCGAAAGAGGAATCGCAGAAATACAAGGTCGGAAAGTTTATTCTCGAGACCCAGAGATGTATTGTTTACCGAAACTGGGAGGACATTGCGGTCCACGAAATGCCCGAGTTTGAGATGAAGCAGAAAGATCCACCAACGACGAATAATGGGGAACCCATCATCTTCGACTCGGACGACGAAGATGAATGTGAAGATTTATTTATGGGGTCCTGGGACCCTGATGTTGTCGTTAAGAGACGAAGCAAGAAAGTCAATCGCCGCCAGAAGAAAAACGCTGCTTAAATTTACAGCCGTTACTCTATGAAGGCCATAGCATTACATGGAGTTGGAGCAACGGTAATACCCAGAATGGTTTTTTTCCGGTGGTAGAGAAAGCATCTTAATACCTCCTTTACCCTTATTCAATGGACAGGGCATCTCATCATGAGACGGATTGATGGGGTTTGAGCAGGAATTTCGTAATTAGTTGGGGGCTGAGGCGTATATGGTCACTTACACTGCATCTTTTATCCGATATTTTGATACCCTCACTACTATAAGCGGATGACATCGTTCATTTCGCGACACTTAACCCCGTGCATTGGGTATTACTTATTAATTTATAAGGAGAAATGGAATATATGCTCTTTCTAATGCACCACTCTACGATCTATCGCCTGTAGGACAATGCTATCGATCTGATTTTCCGCTACTTTTCACTTGGCGGCTCTGCTGGTTTCGGCGTTGGCGTTGGTATAGGTTTCTGGCCAGCTGACAATTCCAACGTGACCTAATAAAAAGCGGTTAACGTCAGGGCACGGTTGAATATTTGCGCGTTTGAACACATACCGGACCATCGTTTACCAAAGCAACTTCCATCATGGCTTGAAACACACCATTTTTTACCCTTTCGTTCGTGTAGCCTTGCTGTACCTTATTGAAGAAATGCTCGTAGAGTCTCTTGGCTTCATCTCCTCCCATCGCTCCATGAAAATCGGGCTTATTGCCCTTTTTCGTAGAGGCAAGCAGGGTAAACTGAGAAACTGTTATAACCATATTAGAAGATGATCGACAGCACAAATTGCTTAGAAAGACATACCACAAAGCACCTCACCACCGATATCCATCACGCTCTTCTTCCACTAAAGAGGCAAGCATCCGTCAGACATAAATGGCCACATAATACGTGCATATGAAAAAGATCATATGAGAAATGAACAAAGGAGCGCAATTATGTCGCCATACTCTTCCGCCGGTGTCGTCATCCCACAATTTGAGCTTTAACACTTTAGCTGCGAGTGACTCGGCCTCTTTCTCAGTGTCACCTGGAGCTACTGCGGCAAAAACTAAGACTCCTTTGCCGATAGATGATACCACTTCTTTTTCTACCGTTACTGAAGCAGACAGCACGCGCTGTAGAATAGCTGCGGGAATTCTGAGTGTTTAATGCAGAGCCGATATGTGTAAGACAATTGGGTGGGGGTACAAACCTTTCATCTTGGATACGTCAAGCTTACGGCTTTACTCAACATTCAATTTTGGTATGGAGGATCTGCAAGACTATTGAAATGGCACCAAGTAGACCTAGTAGCCTATAGATATATGTAGCTAGGCATTTAAGGAATTGTAGGTGAAGGAATATACAAACTCTCTAGGATATCTTTAAGGTTAGCTGCAAGGTGCTAATAAGGTTCACTTACATAATATCAGTATAGACTGGATCAGGCAGTTGAGGACGAAATTAAGTGGTTTCCCATCTGGCAGCCAGTTGGAAGCTATACTATACTAAGCTATACTGATACCCACAGAAATCCATGATCTACCAAGCATGCGCTTGTGATTTCATTTCAGAAGTACCCGGATAAAGAAAGGATTAGGTGTATCGGTAATTAAGTACTGAAGTATTCACGTCAAAAATAATAGCCTGCATGAATAAATCTGTATAGATTTGAAGAGAATGAAGAAGAAGATCGGATTTTGTATTCTTGGTATTTTTATTCGTGAATACTTCAGGTACTCAGTACAGCGGGCAGTGGCCGTGGTACTTATTTCACTATTAGGCGGTCACGCAACTGCAATTTGTACATGGCCGGTACCTAAAGTGCTAGAAGTTCGGTGGATTGTGCCCACAAGTTTAGCCCTAGCAAGATCGGGGTAGGTACAAAGTATAGCGGAAGGTACGGTACAAAGTTTACGGAAGAAGCACGTAACGCAAGGTAGGCTGTAGCTGCATCACCCAGGCTGTGTGTGCGCTGTACATGCGCCGTAATGCGGTAGGAGGTACCTGTAGAAACCTTACTAGTCGGCCTTTCATCGTCGCATCTTACCTCAGTTTTCAGTTTTCGGTTTTCAGTTTGAGAAAAAAAGATTCAGCCTTCAGCCTTCTGTAACTCGTACAACAAATCACATAACTACCTTAATCAGCAAACAACAATGTTTTAGACATTACTTCTTCCCGACACTCCTACTGAGAAACCAAACGAATGGTTTGTTTCCTTCCGACACCTAATTTTCCTTTCCTCTCTATCGCCAACTGTTCTCTTACAGCACTGAATTGGCACGCCACGATACGCACGACACTACGGCCACGCCAACGGTCGACGGCCAACAAAAACGACGCTATCTAGGTTTCACGTCACGTAGGCGTTTACGACGACCTGATTTCTACCTGCGCCAACCTCATCCCGACATCCCATCCTCCTCATTCGACGATTCCACGTTTACCATACTACGAAATCCGATATAAACACGTCGACCGCATAATACACCTTCCTAATTCACCGGGGACCGTTCCTCGACCCACACCGACATCATGGCCGCAAGAAAATTGCAACAAGAAATCGATAAATGCTTCAAGAAGGTCGCAGAAGGCGTGGCAGAATTTGATGGCATCTATGAGAAGATTGAACAATCAAATAACCCCGCCCAGAAAGAAAAATTGGAAGACAACTTGAAGCGCGAGATCAAGAAGCTACAAAGGTTACGCGACCAGATCAAGACATGGGCCGCCAGCAATGACATCAAGGATAAAGCTCCGTTGCTTGAGCATCGGAAGCTAATAGAGACGGTATGTATCGGGATAGCATAGCGATGGAAAGTTCTATCGTGGTGTCGCTCACATTTCTCTTAGCAAATGGAACGGTTTAAGGCCGTAGAAAAAGCTATGAAGACCAAGGCATACTCGAAAGAGGGCTTGTCAGCAGCTGCCAAGTTAGATCCTAAAGAGCAAGCCAAGGTGGAAGCTAGCGAATTCCTTAGCAGTATGGTCGATGAACTTGAGCAACAAATCGAAGCTCTCGAAGCCGAAGGCGAATCAATACAAGCTACCATGAAGAAAGGCAAGAACCAAGCCTCTAAAGTGGATCGCATGGCGACAATCGAAAACATAATCGAGAGGCATAAGTGGCATCAAGGGAAACTTGAGCTTATTCGGCGGTCACTCGATAATGGAGGTGTCGAAACGGAACAAGTGACTGACCTAGAGGAGAGCATCCGCTATTACGTCACAGATGGCATGACCGACGATTTTATTGAAGACGATGGACTCTACGATGAACTCAACCTACAAGAAGAGGAGGATGTCTATGGCATGGGTCAAGAAAACGACAGGGTGTCGTCGCAAGATACTCAGTCTATACAAGACGATGTCGCCGAGCCAGATTCGCGATCTGGCAGTTTACCTGGCAAATCGAGAAGTGCTGTCGAAGCTGCTGCAGCCGCTGGACGGCGACCTTCCACTCAGATGAAGTCTCCTCTCCCTACGTTAGCAACACTACATGCCCCCTTGGCGAATGTCACTAATGGTAGTACCGCTAATGCTTCCATGAAACCCGCATCATTACCGACGAGGCCAGCTGGAGAGGGTTTGAAGTATGCATCGGCTGCGGCTGCAGCTGCTGCGAGCGATAAGAACAATGTTGGTATTGCGCCGCTTCCGCCACCACCAGGATCGCAACCAATATCTATGACGGGCATATCGCCTTTACCTCCGGCTGCACCTTCAAGGACGAGCGCGGCAAACTCGCCAAATACAGCATTCTTACAACCTGCTCCACCGGAACAGAGATCAGTGAACTTATCTATTCCAACACCTGCACCTGAACCCAAGGTATTTGAGCCAATCACGGCTCCCGTGTCGAAGAAAGAAAAAGCTTCCTCAAAAGCTGCAGGCAAAGCGCCGGCGACCGATCGCGCAGAGTCCTCGAAAGGTAAACCGTATTGTATACACCCTTCCCGTTCTATGCTAATTTTATACGTAGCCTCTCAACCGAACGGCGTCTCGAATGGCATTAAGCCCATCGAGGAAGAAAAGGAAGAAGAGTCAATATATCATCTTCCCGCTTCCTTACAGGATTTAGTAGAGTCTTTCGAGGTGACCAAGAAGCGCTCATTGCCGGTAAATAGCCCATCTCATCTACGCATGATGGCAGCTTCGCAGGCGAATTTAAACCTATTCGATACGTTCGATTCGGAGCCACCTAGGGTGTACAGACCGGATTCTCGATACCCATCGGCATCAGGTTATCCGCAGGAGCCGTTACCTATATTTGAGGACCCTCGGTTATACTCGCGGATAGAACCTGATACGCTATTCTATGTATTTTACTACAAGCAGGGCACGTACCAACAGTACCTCGCTGCGAAAGCGCTGAAGGACCAAAGCTGGAGGTTCCACAAGCAATATCAAACTTGGTTCCAACGACATGAGGAACCCAAGAGCATAACGGAGGAATTCGAACAAGGGACTTACCGCTTCTTCGATTACGAATCCACATGGTATGTGCATTTTATTATGCCCGTGAATGGTGTCATGTGACTAGTTTCGCATTCTATCCTATTCACTCTTCCATTAAGGATTACCATATACAAGAAAGGAACAATAGCTAAACAATTCCAGGATGAACCGAAGGAAAGCGGACTTCAAGTTCGCCTACCGATTCCTTGAGGATGACGTATAAAGTCTCTACTTTACTCCATCAGAGGAGTATGCTCTTGCTAGGAATCTTTTCCTAGGGGTTTGATGGGTTTGGCGGGGGGAAACGGTGTTCTTCGTGTTTTTTTATTTCTCCCCCCAATCTTAGGCCTCCCAGGGCTTCACGCTGTGTATGCAATATAATCATCCCATCATCCATCACTCGTCCAATTCGTCCGCGCGAGACGTTCTATTGTTGCTAGTTAAGGGGTTGAGGGGAAGGAGCGTCAGGGCGCTTGATATGGCGGTCGACTACTTACCTTTGTCCCAATAGTTATAAGGAAATACATACAAGACCGCGCTACCTTATTCTCTCTTCTTTGACGATGTTGATTTTTACGATGACTAGTTTTTTTTTGGTTTGTTATTGGTTGTTTGGTGGATAGTAGTTTTGTACTGTACTGTACTGGTGTGCTACGTCCCTGTAGGGTGGGATGTGGCGTTTTGAGTACCTGCCCTTTTTGGTGCTTCAGCTAGGTACTGCACTATACTGATACTTTTAATGTTTCTAACGACGCCACGTTTGGGATAGGGGGGGGGTATGAATCGGTCAGGCAAGAAAAAATGAATGGATGGATGGGTTGATATGAATCGGGTTCCTTGGTTGTGAGTTTGACTTTGCTGATTGCTAATCTTGAGAATTTGGGCGCGTAGGGTAGGTGAGCATGGGTTTGGTTTCTCTCACCGCTTAATATTTCTTGCTCGAGTCGCACATGTAGAACCGGTAGGGCGATACGCTGCCGTCTTCGGCTCGATGTGTGGACGAAGGACGAGATCTCCGAATCGGCATTCTATTTGTATAAGTGTAGGCATATATGTATTTGGATTAAGTGGCGTCTTGAGGGGTCATATGACTTTGCTTTTTGGATTATTTTCTTTTGGTCGAATGGTCTCGTGGGATTTATCTGTGTTTGATTTAGGGGAGCGGGATGGCGGCCTATCGGATGGCTTCCCTTATGTTTTATTGTGCTGGAGGGAGGCTAGAGTTACATAGGGTCAGGTACAAAGCGTCTGTTGGATGCAGGGCGGGATTGCGCTCTAGATTGGCCTGAGGATTCGTTTTTTCCCTTTATTTTTCATTTTCTCAGCTCGGATTTTTCGAAATAAATCGTAAGTTTCACAGCAGATGGGACAAGGCAAGAAGCGGCATCGCTCCGATTTTGAATTATTTGAATGGAAATGGTAAAAGAACGTAAGTGTATGGGCGTATAAATGCACATATATCCAATACTTTGCGGCGTGTTCCGCTTCCATTCGTCCAGCTTGGTTCCGGTTCCAAGCTACCCATCCCAACATCCCATGCTATTCCATCAACCATCGATCTCCGGTTCCAGCATATACATATATATGAGCTGTCCCCTGCGTCTTCCTTTCCGTGAAACGGGAGGGGATGTCCAATTGAAACGGTAGTCGTAGTTGGTGGATCTTGGATCTACTCCAGATCTGCCGGGGTTTTTCTGTCTGCCTTTTTCGGCTCCGGTACTATACAAACCCGTTACGGGGTCGGTTACGTCTGGGAAACCTCAGGATTACCGATTGACCTAGGTAGACTCTACAGGTGCATCAATGGGTACCGTATTTTATGTATGTATAATAGTATAGAATGGAGATCGGGAGCTAAGGCCATCCCGATAATCCTTCCTGTCTTCGTCCCGTGCATAATAAGGTCGAGTGACCGTAAAAAAGTCCTGCCAGCTACCTGAGCTTCCCCTCACTGACGAATACCTATCAATGGCTGTCCATACCTAGAGACTTCGCGATGGATGATAATACCCAATTTTATATGTATGCGTTTGATTTCTTTCGTATGATGTGAAGTGATGAAATAAAGAGTTGTAATCGTATCGCATCCCACTCCGATTCACGGGCTTCTTATTCAATTGTAATGTAAAACAAGCACAAGACCAACTTTGTGCAGCGTCGAACGGAGAAAGCGTACCTTCTTTTTTCTTCTCTCTTGTTGTACAACTTCACATCCTTCCTTCCTTCTTTTTCATTTTAAAGTTACTTAGGCGGCTTCCTATTTTCGAATTGACTGCATCGGAAATTCATACCCGCTGCAGCCCCAGAAGAAGCAATTGGCTTATTCAAACGCCACTATCATCGCTCCTCGACGCCACTACGTCACTATTAATCAATATATCACATCACAGCTACTACCATCACTATGTCGCACCCCCAGACCCTCTTCCACCAAACCGAGTTCCACGGCCCCTCAGTCCTACGCTCGCGTCGCACGACGGTCAGTCGGTCAACAGCACACGCGCAGCTTCGCAAATTGAAGGAAACTGGTCGTTATGAGTGCTTTAGTCTGAAAAAGCAACCCATATACGACGATCGCAGTCGGTGGCCTTGCCCCGCGCCGGTGTACTGGGATAGCGATGTCGCGAAGTGGCTTGAGGGTGCTTGTTATCTGTTGAGTGATGAGTATGATGCGGAGATTGATGCGGCGGTTAGGGAGATCGTGGGGATGATTAGGGGTGCTCAGCAGGAGGATGGGTATTTGAATACTTGGTTTACGATTGCAGAACCCGGGAAGAGGTGGACGAATATTAGGGATCAGCATGAGTTGTTAGTCTTTTCTTCTTCTTTTGCCTTTGGTGAGTTCATGAGTGAGGAGGTTGGCTAATTGTGAGTGAAGGTATTGCGCTGGTCATTTAATCGAGGCGGCGATTGCTCATGGCAATTATTACAAGAATAACCTCTTGATCGAGCCGATCGAAAAGTATGTGAAGCATATTAGCACGGTTATTGGCCCAGGCCCGGATCAGGTCAGTATAACCCATTCTGGAAATCTATCATCTTCGCCACCTTCGGCCGGTGGTGCCGCCCACTCACCTTTTACGCACCTCTCCTCCTAATATGTTGAGTAAGTTTGGGTTTGCTGATTTCTGTGTAGAAACATGCCTATCCAGGCCACCCCGAGACGGAGCTCGCGCTACTACGTCTGTACACAGCGACGGGTAACCAAACTGCGTACGAGTTGGCGAAGTATTTCATCGAAGAGCGCGGTAATCAGAAAGGTCAGGAGGGAATGTCGTACTACGACTGGGAGGCGAAGCAACGGGGAGATAGCCCATGGTTGCACCCAGATAGCTATCAAATGCATGACAGCCACTGGTACAACCAAGCCCATGCGCCAATTCTTGAGCAGAAGTCCGTCGAGGGACACGCCGTCCGAGCGATGTATCGTGAGTCTTGTTTTTCCGAATTCTTTCCCCTTTTGTTCATGTTCCGAATTGTAGGGTTTTCCTACAAGTTTTTTCAAGGAGTTATGAATCCAGGAGAATTGAATAGGTAGTGCATGGTAAAGACACCTTGGGGGTGGCGTCTACTGGGTTGGACATACTCTTTTCTGATTCGGGGGCACATGCTCGTTTCTCTACCAATCACGATGATTTTGGGAACTTCGGCTCGCTACCCGTTTTCTCGAACCATATTCGCAGTTGTTGCTGACTACTACTGCAGTCTTCACTGGGGTCGCTGATCTGCTATGCCTGGATGAACTTGGCATAAAATCCTATGTGCATAAGGATAAATATTTTGAAGCTCTAAGTGGACTATGGAATAATATGGTCGACAAAAAGATGTACCTCACGGGAGGAATCGGATCAATGTGGCAATGGGAAGGCTTTGGTATCGATTACTTTTTGCCCCAAGGCTCCGATGAAGGAGGTTGCTATAACGAGACCTGTGCGTCAATCGGCGTTATAATGTTGGCGGAACGTCTATTACATCTTGATCTTAACTCCAAATATGCCGACATTATGGAGCTATGTCTTTACAATGCAGTGATGACAGGTTTGAGCCTGGACGGAACCGCTTTCACATACGTAAATCAATTGGCGAGCTCGGAGGCCGACGGGAATCGCCGAGAGGACTGGTTTGATACATCATGCTGCCCACCGAATGTTATGCGGCTGTTTGGCTGCCTCGGAGGATATCTTTGGGATTACGGAGGCAGCGTGAAGGATGCCTACGTCAACGTGCATCTCTATACGACAGCCAAGGTTACGTTTCAAGTAGAAGACCAACAGATCGTACTAGAACAGAAGTCGAATTGGCCTTGGGAAGGTAACATAATGTTCCAGCTGCAGGCGCCGATATTCGTGGCTGTTACAGTCAGGCTGAGGATCCCTTCCTGGGCGCGAAACCAGTTCACGGTAGGCCCGGCTCGTCCCTAATTAAAGAACAAATGAGGCAATATCGCTAATACTTAGACAGCTCACTCCAAGTTACAAAGCTGCAAAACTGGAAAATGGTTACTTGGTACTCCCTCCTCCGTACACAGCGGCGAATAGGGCCTTCTCGATCCAGATCGACGGGTTCAAGCCCCGATTCATCTCCCCACACCCATACACCAATCAGAAGACCTCTACATTAGCGCGCGGTCCGTTAATTTACTGCGTGGAGGACGTCGATAACCCTTGGGAGCAGGACCACTTCCGCAACGTCGGGATTCAATCCGACTCTGAAGTTACCGAGAAGGAAGAGGAGATTGACCAAATAGGGGAACGCTACGTCGCCCTCCGATCGGTTGGGTGGATCCGTAAGATAGATGATCGGGCCGAGTCAAAGTCCGGTATCGAACCCGACTCATCACTCCCTCAGACGGTTATGACGGAGAAGAAGGACCTGACGTTCGTGCCTTACTATCTCCGAGCAAACCGTGGTGGCAGGGGTCACATGAGGGTTGGACTTCTGAGACAATAACAACAAATCCGGGATACCCGTGGTCTTGGTGACATCGTGCTTCCGTTCCTAGTTTCATTACCTAGTCGAGTATGAGATTGGCTCGTAAGACGTTGGAATAGGCATGTTCGGCGGTATCGTTGTTTTTTTCTTTGCTGAACACTGAGCACCACAATCAATGTATGTACTATGCAAAACCCCTTGCATAGTCGGCATAGTCCCTATCGGGCAATTTGCAGCTCCGGATCTTTCTCATTTCCTAGTCTAGGCACCCATACTACTACGCTAGCTCTAGTTGAAACTGGGAATCCGGGTACAACATTGATTACATCAACCTTAATCATCCCAATCATCCCATAGCCAACCCTACGTGCTGGTTCTCACGATCCTACACTATTCCTTACCCATCCTTACGCGCCCCTACACATCCCTACACATCCCTACAACCACCTAAAATACCCTACAACTACCCTACCACGATCCCCACACTAGAACACTTATGTGGTATAGAGCCAACCAATGTCAATGTAGCTAATGTACGAATATGTACGTATAAGTTGGTTCAAGCGCTGGTTCTGCTGACGAGACAGCAAAAACAACCTTGGAAGAAGACCACTTCTGCAAAGCCTAGGTACACATCCCGCAGCTTTATACGCGAACCAGTGATCTCGGTTTGTTTTTGGCTTATTGGGGAATTGAGGGTATTAAACAAGGGGGTAAATTATCAACTGAGTCCCGTCTCCCATACAGCTAACTAATAACAAGCTCCCTTTTTAACCACCATTCTTTACCCATCAATGCTTCATTCCGACCGCTTTTTCGCACGGTCACGGAGCTGCTCCGCGACGCAGTCTATAGGTAAATGTATAGCCTTAACTTCAGCCAATCATTTAAATTTCTATATCGGTCCTTATTCGCAATCTTGTCCCGAGCCCATTCAGTCAGCAGCATGGATACGCCTCTTTAATACTTCACGGTGAATCGGTCAAGCCTTGTTTCTACGCATGCTTCGACCAATGACGCTCTCGCCTCCTCACTTCTATTAATCAATCGGTAAGATGTTCCGACGAACCATGCCTCTAAGCGCACCATCGAGCCCGCGTCTTGGCCCTCCATAATAATAATAATAATCTTCAGAGGGAGGAGGAGGTGTTGGCGCTTTCGGAATTAGAATGCTTCTAGAAACCCCATGCTCATTTGATTCCCTTTTTGATTCGCGGTTACATCGGATGGCGACTAGGTAATCAAGTCTCGATGTAGGGTATGTCATTCGTCCATACAGGAACGCCGCTTGTTGCAACGACTTATAATACGTTGAGGTGAGTATCATGATGTTGAAGGGCTAAGCCAAAATCCATCATATGCCCCTACCGAAATGGATAGTGTCGCAGTCGGAGCTAATTGGCGTGAAAGCCCTCCTTCTCCCGAGAATGAGGCTCAAGAGAAATACCAATGTCCGCGATGTCCTAGCAGCTTCAAACGACCGGAGCACCTGAAGAGACATCAGCGAAGCCATGATGGCCACAAGCCCTTCGTGTGTTCTATCTGTCTGAAACGTTTCTTCAGAAGGTATATCCTATCATCGTGTCTTGCAGTCAAAAGCAGCAGACTTAGACTAACCCTCGAAGTGACATCCTGACCCGACACGAATTGATGCACATTGCTGCCCAAAGGAGCAACAATACCCTCACTCGTAAACGAGCGTGTACGGAATGTGCGAGAGCACGAGAAAGATGTTCCAGGGACGAGCCTTGTCTAAGATGCTCGACTAAATCCCTTCAGTGCCTGTACCCTGACGATGCAGGACAGAGGGTGCACACCCTCGACAACGAGGCTTCGACGTCTCAACGCGGACAACTCGAAGAACACCCTCAAATGTCTTCGCAGAATCCCTTGTTATTGCCGAAACAAGAGGACTACATGTCGTCGAGTTCGTTCAATAGGCAGTCCTTCCACGAGGACGACGCTCCGTTCCGTGACTTCTTGCATACGCTAAGAGCGCCCACCAACGCCACCTCGTCATACATCCCAGCGGGGTCGGATCCAGCAAATCTGCTCTACAAGAGCGCTACTTCGTCTTTCAATCCGGACTCTACGCTTGCACTCAGCGGCGTGGGTGGAAGCGACACCACGACAACCGGCTTCGAGCCAAAACCACTCATCGAAACAGCCCGCCGGGCATCTCTCTACGATCCACCATCAGCAGGTTCCTCATCATCCTCTGCCGCATACTCGCGCGCCTCGATGCACGATGCAATCGGTCCCAACGGTCCACGCTACGGGCAGCCACTCGGTAGTTACTCGAGTCTCTGCGGTCCCCCATCCTCCGCCTCGACTCTAGCCGCGGCGCCCCAGGGACTCCTGGCACCGACGGATCTCGGCTCTCGCCCGATTAACCTCAAGGCGTACGAGCTTATCGCGAGTAACTTTAAGGAACTCTGCTTGGAGCATGGAGATGTGGCGTCTCCGGCTTGTAGTAATAATATTTCGGAGTCACAGCGCACGGCCCAGCATGAGATGCTGGTTAAGCTTTATTATGAGCATTTTAAACAGCAGGCTTCTTGATGTGGGGTGTCTGAGTGTGGGGGATAGGATGCAGTGATGGCTCTTACGTCCTGGTGATGTCTGAGAAGTGCATCAAGGAATTACATGAGCAATGATTTTGGAATACGTTATGTTACGGGGTCACAGCTGGGACGGGCTTCTCTTCACAATTGCTAAGCCTTACGCTACAACTAGACTAGATTCTATCGCGAATCTGCTCTGGAAGGGCTAGGTGGCACACACGTTATCACCATATTTACCCTAGCGGCGTTAGTTATAGAAGATGGTGGTGGTGTGCTATGGTACGTTGTCATACTCGGAATGGACACCTAGGCGATCATCGAGTTGGTCTCCTATGGTTGTTTGCTTTTTGGTTTCCTCCCCTCCCCTTTTTACAGATAGCTTACCTGCCTAGATCAGGCAACTAACTATATATGCTGTGGAACATACGAAGGGAGGGTATGGTATGATATGTACTTAGCTCTAATGGGGCTTAGGTTGAATACACAGATATAATATCCTACCTATTGGGGCCCAATCGTGGGTTATCCAATGATCGCGTGCATCTGAATAGGGGGTGTATCGGGTGTAGCTTATTGTGCATATTCACACGATGGTTCTTAGTAGTTGTTTGGACATCTTGTGAGATCAAGTTCCATGGGTGAGGAAAGGGTGGATCGTGTCTTCCCGTGTCAGTTAACCAGGTAGTAGGTAGCCTGCCCCTTTTATTCCAACGGCTTTGTCTGGATATGCATCCAAAAAGCTAAGTGTATGATATTTTGCTAAATTTATGTAGGCTTTAGGATTGAATCGGGGTTGGTACGTACTCCTGGGTAACTTCGACGCCGCATGGTGTAGTCGGGTCGATAAACTATAATCTTAGACGCATTTCCTACACACACCTGAAGCATTAGAAGGTGCAATTGCTGCCATACCTAGAATGAATAGGGGAAGGTGTTAGGTAAGTGAGTGAGTGGGGGCGTGTTTGTCCAACCTCTCTGCTTCCCCAGCAAGCTAGGGCTTTCCCAAACTTTTGCTTTTTTCGTCTCCTTTTTTTCTTTTTTCTTCCCAATTCCGGCCTCAATTTTCTCCAACCACTTTCAATTCAATTTATTTCTTCTTATAAATCATCACACAAAGCTATAGTCTGCGAGACGTGGCACCAGTATGGTCTAGCCAACTCATTGATGCATAGGTACCCAAACTGCTCCCACCCGTCTCAAGCACACGACTATATGTATGTGAGAGTTGCCTTCTTTTTCTTCGCGCAACTGTCCAACTGGATCTAAAGCCCTGCGATAGTACGCTTTAACCGAAGAATGGCCCTACGAAATCCTTCATTTTGCTCGCGGGTTATTCCCGCTTAATGGTTGCTAAGGAACTTCTCTCTTGTTCCTGCATTCATTAATACCTGCTATAATGCCCATTTCTTAGCCTGGTATAAGCCTGCCAAGAGATCAGGACACGGGCGCATCGACGGAGTTTGGGGTACTAAAAGGGCAAAAAAACCAAAACAAAAAGAATACATCAATGCATAAGCATCTGAACCGAGGTTGATGAGGAATTATCAAGGCGAAAGATGCAATTTCTTAGTCTGAGCCTTGTCAATTCGTCATGCTATACGGTTTGGAGGATTGACATCACGAATTCCTAGCTAATCCTTACAGTGAGCTTTGGTCAATTTGCCTCTTGACCGAGCTCTCTTTATTGTCTCACTAAGATAAGATCTTTATTGAGCGGGACGCAGCCGCAGGGACCGAAGCATGTTTCTGTCGTGCAGAATCCCACTTAAAACAGCCTCACTCCCGTTTTCCCGCTGGAAAACCCCTAAAAAGTCGTAATGCACGTCTGGGGCGCGGGCTCGAAGCGATGAACTACGGCGCTGCGTAATTAGCACTTGCGATTCCCGTGTCTCGTCTGATGGGGGCTGATTAGGCAGCGAACTGCAGGCAAACGGAAACAATGCGCTGGCAAGGCAATCCGGTCCCTTAGGCGAACCAGTCCGCCTGGAATCGATAAAAGCTTCATAATTATAAGCTAAAGCTACCCATTTAATTCGATAGCTTGGCCTAATTGAGGCTGAAGTCCTACCCTAAAGTGGCTGTGTCCTACCAATCTTGCAGGCACCAACGACGTCTAAGGTCGCACAGGACTCTTTGGAAAATCCCCAGATTACCACCTTTTCCAATAGTGACGTCCGAAAGATTTACTAGGGTTACGACATCATTGTCCTAATATCTCCCAATTATCAGCACCGTGTGGTCATGGAAAAAATACTTACTCCAAAAAGGATTGGGATTCTCGGGTGTCTGCCGCTGTGGGTTACTTGCCAAACTCAACCCTCTACACGGTCTATCCAATCCCGTTTTTTGATCCTTTTCCACTAATCCGCTTGAGTGCTTACCTACCACGCTTGCCCATATGTTTCCATATCCTATCGCGCTGGTCAGCCTTACCCATAGAAGCAAACCGCGTTCATGTGGTATCCTGATCTTTGGGCTGAACTGTCTTGGCTTGAACGATCCACCTTCGGGTGGCATTGCCTTCCAAATGTCATGCACCTACATCAAGGCTCGCTACGGAGCCAGGTAAGTTGATGCCGATAGGGTATGTTCACCGAACCCAAACTAGGTGTCTCACTTGCGGATTTTTTTTCTGTTCCCCAAAGGATTTACATGTTACTCCCGGCATAACTCTAAGAACTATTCCTAGTATTCGTGTTCCTTAGTTACATTACTCGTGGGCGGGGACACGGCGGCCTCGGTGTGGCTAGTTTGTCGCCTACTAATCACCTGGTAACCCGGAAATCATCCGAGACTTCCCTATGCACTCCCCGGGGGGCGATGCTAAATGTTAAGCAATAGCTATCATGAGCGGGTGCTGTCGCTTATGTTTTGCAATTGACTTCTTGCACCTTGGCATTTCCGCTTCTAGAAATTGGAGTTCTCAGCAGGACACATATTCACGCATCTCGAAGCCCTAACCCAGATTCAACGCTCGCCTCACCCCTAAGATATGCAGTTTGAGCCCTAATTTGTCCTACCGACGCAAATCTACTGGCTGTCACACCGATGAAGGATTGTCATGTATTGGTCGAGTGTGAGACTTTGACAGCTTTGATAGCAGAGTCTATTTGAACACTCCAATGAACGTCCCAGCCAGATATCGTAACAGTTTAGTCTTGTATTACCGCACCTTTATCCGTATCGACCACTAGGCAGCTCTACACCATCGAAATATTTGCATAATCATCTCCAAGTTTGTTCCGTGTCCTTCGAGCTGTGTCTGTTAGAGAAGATAGCCTCCTATCAATATAAGTACGACAACGCTCCGTGGAGCGTGTGCCTTAACTCTTACTCGACGAAAGAGCCGGTATAACAGAACGGTACACAATACGGCAGCAACAAAACATACTCTTAACTTATCAACTCACCTATGGCCTCCTATACATACCCTTCAGGAGCTGGCTCCGGATACGATGACCAAATTTATTGGGAGACAAGCGCCGCCATGTCACGAAATACATCACACGGGAGCGGGTATAGCAATTACTCGGGATCTAGCAACGGCCAGTTCGATGTTGCAGTATCACCAAACTCTGAAGGCATTAACGATTTCGATCTCAACGTCAACCCAACAGACGTGGGAACTTATTTCACAAACGAGAACGTAAACGACAACGGTTACCAAGTAGGAGGCGTGGTAGATACAACAAACTATATCACGGCTGGTAATGGGAACGATACGGGCTACCAAGTTGATGAGTCGGGATTCCAATATCAGCTCTACAACTTTGTCGCTACTGGGAACTTAGGACAGGGGCCATACTGGCAACTAAAGCCCGGTTATACTCCAGACACGAACTACCCAGCCACCATACCGGCTCAGCAAAGCTCTGAAGTGTAAGTTCCTTCCTAGGCCGTACGTGTGAGGACTACCTGGGTCTAATACGGTCTATATAGGCCACGTTCAACAAATGAATCTGCGAACCGCCACGTCTGTCTCGAACGCTTCTGTCAAGCACCACCTTTTAAACGCAAGGCAGACCTTGAACGACACTATCTACACAGGCACCGTGACAGCAGTCAGAAAGAGGCATTCCCTTGCGACTGGAAAAGATGCCAGAGATTCAAGGAGCCCTTCTACCGCCGCGATCACTGCAGGGAACACTATCGTGACTACCACAACGAGGATTTAGAGCCACGGGGTTCCAAGAAACAATCCAACGAATGGTGGAAGAGCCGCAACGTCGACACTAAGTGGTGGCGCTGCGCCAAATGCCTCAACCGCATTCCCATCGACAGCAAGGGGTTCGAGTGCTCCAAATGCAAGACAACTTGCGAAACCGAGAGACGAAAGCTGAGAGGTTACAAATAAGCAGCCTGCATCCACTAGCCGTGTAGCTGAACATCAAACTCAACTCAGCTCTTCAGCGCTTAGGGTCGCATGAGACCTCCAGGCGCGTAATGCAGTCAACTCTGCATGAATCTATTACGGTTTAAATTAAGTCCGCGCGTTAACTATTCCTATTTCATCTACCAACTACCATCTTACTTGTCCTATTACAACGTCGAAGAGTCGCGTGAGACAATATTGTACCTGTCGATCCCTTATTCCTGTTATACTTTGACCTCCTATCCTATATTCCCTCCTTCCTTACTCCTGAGCGGGTTTTTTATTCTTTCTCCAGCTGGCGTTAGTTCATTTATTCCCCTTTTTGACGCACAGCATTGATGGCGTAGGGCTGGAATGGAACATTATTATCCTACATGGAAGGCGGTCTGGCTGTGTCCGGACTGCTATTGGTTGAATTACGGGACGTTACATGTATAGGGCTGCGGCAGAGCGGGTAGTTATGGTGTTCAATTTTTTCTCCTCCACGCAATATCTTTCCTTCGTTCTATTCTCGATATTAGTTTTTTCGATATTCTATTCCACGGCGAGATGATGAATGAGGCTATGTTTTCTATATTATCGTTTCCTTTTATGATTTCACGCTACTTTATCTTGGGTTGGGGTCTTGAGCTTAGCTGTTGGAGGCGTTTTTTTTTCCCTTGAGATGGATATTTGTATGTCTGACGGTCTATACTGTATTGATAGGTACTTACGGGTTGGATGGAAATATTTCGGGTATGTCTAATGCGTTGTGTTTATTATCCGGCGCTTGGATAGATAGGTCAATAGATAGATACCTTTATGCGGTAGACAGTCGTTTTTCTCTTTAGCTTGCAAGCTTTTACCTACTGCCCCTTTCTATCTAGCACCTCCGTCATCTTTCATATATCTCCAATTTTTTTACTATGTCTATCATTCTTTCAGCTTATATGATCCCTTAATAAGGGCGGGGAATAGCGATTATACGTGGGATTGTTAAGTAGAAAACGCGGAATAGGAAAAAAGTCCTACGCGGGGGTATACTCGATCTTTGGGTATCATCCGGAGTCTCCGTTGCGTTGGATATTGGTTATCGGAGGAGACTCGGTTTTGGGGATTTTTTTTTTTCAGATGTTAGGTGCCGTCTACGGATCGGAGATATGTCTATGTATGTAGGTTTAGCTGGGAAGGGATGCATGTATGAGGTATGCAGTATGTCTGCGTTCGGGTAGACAGGTATGGGTAATGGACCGGTGTGAGAATGGATATATGATAGGGCTGTTATGGGCTTTGTGGCTGCTTCTACTGCTGCAGGTAATGCGTTATAGGGTGTAAGGACGGCTACTGAGATATGTCATAGGGTTGCGTTTTTATTTTTTCAAAGGCTACTCCGGCACAAAGTAAAGAGCAAAAGATGCCGATGTTCCATTCGTATGACTTCGAATACCTACTTAAATTTGATGCGTTGTTCTAATAGCCAGAAGGGCTAGGCAGACTTTTGATTTCTTTCCTCTACTAGGAATCCTCGTCGAGCTTCGGGGTTTTTTTAGTGGTGTGGCTTCTTGGCATGGATGGGATGGGATGGCTGTGTGCATACATATGTACAGATTATACGCGCGTACCTGCAGTGCGAGGCAGTAGAGCGGGATTGTAGTGGTGGTGGTGGTGGTGGTGGTGGCAGTCCGCAGTAGTGGATATTATGAGGGTGGCAGGGCATAACTACCTCATTACCAACCTCCTCTACCTAGGTTGAGTTGGGTTATATTTTTTGGCTCAGTTGTACGAAGAGCTCTTCAACTCGATTTAGTCTGATTATTCCCTCAAAGCCTTTCTCTTCTGCTAGTTTCTATGTATTCCCCTGGATCTTAATTTATTGATCTTGTCCTTTTTTTGGCCGTCTTATGAACTGCCATTCCCGTGATTCATTCCCATTTGTTACCTCGTGAACTTATCCACGGTACCTCAGCGGGGGGTTGAGCGTATAAGGGAGAATACGTGTCGGTTGAAAAGCTTCTTTTAAGCCAAGGACAATTGACTTCAACCCTTTCCCTTAACTCAATATTACCATCTAGGACTTTTCTGACTCGATATTGTCTCAGTACAGATATCGTGATAGGCTGTTCGGTGTAAGACGTTGTTGACGGTAAAGACAACAAAGACACGGCATCTTAGGTTGACAACGTCGACATTTGCACTTTTATATTAAATCTCTCTTTTAAAGGTTTTGGTTATGAGTTTTTAATTTGTGTAAACAATATTATCTATTTTTGATACGGAGTTACATGAGGTAACGTACCTAGAGACGCAATTAATACCTCAAGCAGGCTACTAGCTCTATAATTATATCCCTAAATTGGAGCTGGAGTTTTTTTTTTTTTGGAATAGTTCGGTATGCGAGCCATAAGTTATCGATCTGTTCCTTGAAATAAGGAGATAACGGTTGATCTGATAGGCCAACTGGATCAATAGACGCAGTGGTGAGGCTGCCTGGATTAACTAGATTGAATGCTTTAGCTCAATATTAAGCCATGAACAAATAGTTGACTCTTCAACTATATTGTAAATGTGGGGGCAATTCTTGATCATGTTGTCATGATTGTTGGAAGTCCATGCGAATGTAGTTCAATATCCTATCATTAGAAATCAGATCACGGGCTATGTGATCGAATCAAATTTATCCCGAAGCCTTGACGAATCATGGAGGGCCTATATTACTCACTTTTCATACCGAGCGTAACATTCTGAACGCCTCATTGTCTATGTGGGATGTCCTTTCCGGAAAAGAGTCCTGTGCGGGTAGCCTACTCATACACACGCCCTTTAGAGTACAGAAGTAAGGAACGCGGCAGAACCGGCTCGAGTCCGATCGGTGCACAATCGACTCGACCGAGGTTTCTCAGAAATAACGTGTTTGATCTGCAGCTGCAGTTAGAGTCATAGCCGACCTTGCATAATTAATACCTGCCTAGTTGGGAATACTGCCTTATACATGCAATGCAGGAGGTGATGAAGTATGGTTGGTACCTACACTTATGCATGTCCCCTCTTTCTATTGTTGTGCATATGACACATCAGAGCCGAATGAACACGGTATTTGGACAGTGCAAGATCGCACATTGTGTGTTGAGTTGTCCTAATCTAAAAGATGAGGCTTCCGTTGATAAGGCTGGGGTAAGGCGTTGGTATTGGTGTTGCACGGCTGTAGCCTGTATGTTACCCTTCCCTGCATCGTATATATTAATCAAAGCTAAGTAGAAATATGAGGGTGTAGAAAAACAACGTGTCTGAAGCATCTCTTGTGTCAGGACCTTCTAAGCCCCCCCCCACCTATTTTTGTTCTCGTTATAGAATGCTATAAAGTTGTAGCTGCTTCGCTTGGGGGAAATGAGTCTTCCGGAAATTCGGAGTTAATGCAATATTGATGGGTAGGCAAATACCTCGGACATAGCCGGTGGTGGGTATGGGTATTGCAAGAAACTACCCGAGATCGGAGCAAATGCCCAATCGCCCACATGTAGATAAATTGCCCATCTCAAAAGAGGCCATTTCAAAAAGGCTGCATTTCAGACTAGGGTGAATTCGCGGGTTTCATACTGGGCCTCTTCATACCAATTTGGCGGGTTTCTCATCATCAAGAGTCCGACGCGCTCGAAATGATCAGACAAGTCGGGCCTTCTGAGTGAGGGTCCCAATATCAATGCGTAAAATTCGAAGCGGTAGCGTATTAATGGGAATAGCCAGACAGAATACGCACCGGGACGTATTGAATAGACGTCCCTTTCGGTATGAAAGATTCTTCTCACAGAATCCACTGGTTTCCCAGCCGCAGGATCGAATATGAAGCCATCTGCGATGAGCGGCACATCGATAGAGCAATCCATATCCTGGCATTCAACGTCGGGGATCACGATCGAGCAATTTTGCCGTATGTTGCCGTTGGCGTGGTCTGGTTCCGGGTTGATCTGTGTGGCGTTGACGTACGAGTTACCGATGTGGAGTTCTGCTAGAATGGGTTTGCCGCGAACTCGAACAAAGCCATCAGAGACAGGACCGAAACGATTTATTGTTGACGGCACCACCGATGCGTCCAATATGTTGCTTAAAACCGATTCAGCACGATGGGTGCCGATGCCAAACTTGCCGTCCACGGAAGCCCAACTCCAGCTAGGAGCATAAAAACTTTCTGGATAGCTTCTTTTGGACGTACGCCAACATAGTTGATTGGCGAGATCTTCTTTCCATAGGCCTGCAAGGTAAGTGTCGCCAGTTATAGACTGGAATCGCGAAGCTACTGCTGAAAGCGCAACAAATTTATCTGATGGAAAGGTAAGTGCCATCTTGCTATATACTCCAACGACATCTGCTCTCCATAAACCTGCTGGTCCCATTTGAGGTCTTGAGCTTAGCATATAATCGAGGTTGGTCGCGGTGGCGTGGAGTTGTTCGGCGAAGAAACCACACTCGCAATAGATTCCTTCACGGCACTCCCACATCATACACCCATCCCGGTATGCTAGGTACCTTCTTGCTAAAAACCTCTCTTGGAACGCCCAAGCGCGGGAATCTAATGGTTCACCTTTATGCCGAGCGAGTAGGCGGTAGGTAAATTTAATACGCGGTATTCGGGTATTCATCTTAATGCTAGCATAGCGCCACGTGGGGAGATAGGCTCGATCCCGTAAGAAGCCGTCATGAGGATTAGGTGAGATTGCAGCGGCCAAGACAAGTTCTGCGTTGCCATAGACATTTTCCATCTGACCTGACTCTGACTCCCAGTCCTCTTGATCACCTTGGATGATGCAAAGGGCATCTATCCAGAGATAACACATGCTAAGGCGTCTTGTGACATTGACCGCGTCTTTGAATACTTTTGGGAGAGCTTCCAAAGGGATTCCAGTCCTGTGCGACTCGAGAGTATATTTTGTTGTAATGAGGGACTGCGAATTGCCCCAACAATAACTTAAGGCCACATAGTCGCATCCCTCCTTCACTTCCGACCTTAAAACAAGCCTTACACCCTCATGGTCAAGGTGTAGAACTCTAGAGGGAACGTAATCCATCTGGCAGCTGGCACATTTTAGATGCTCTCTTCTACATGTATCCAATAATCTCTTGGCGAGCCCGAAAGCCTCTGGTGAATCGCTACTAACCGGAATCTTATTTCTTGACTCGTACTTGTCATTTCTAAGGGTATTTGCTGAGACTAGCAAGTTAGTCAATTAGCTGGAAACATAAAGAGGGTGCATCAATTAAGAGCCTGAAAAACCTCACATGGTGGATTGATCATAATGGGGAAGAAGTCTGTTAGTGATGCCGTAAGCGCGTTCAGAATAAGCACATAATTCTGGCTGAAGGGATCGAAATGAGCTCTGAGGAAAGCGGTCCTGCAGGTGAAGTGACGAAATGTTTGAAGATCGCTATGGTTTTCTTTTGTGTCGATGAGAAGTGAAAAGATGGTTTCGCAAACCACGCAGCCAGGTGTATGAGTTGAACTGCCATCCAATATATTCTCCAAGTCAATTTTCCAATCATTGAGATTTAAGAGAGTTATGTCCGAGGGATGAGGCCATATTTTGGATAGATTGCTAGACTTGGAGCCGCAGATTTGACACTGCATAAGGGGTGCCACCTTGCCGTTCTTTGAGATTGGGAGGCAATTAGTAAAATACGATTGAATTGTACGCCAAAATTCGACAAATGATCCCATCTTGTCATTTTCCATGGTGCGGACATGGGGTTTAGTAGAACATAACCTCTTGCTAAGAAGTAATAACACGGACAAGCTTGATTGTCGAGAAAGGGAGATCATGAAGCGTTGTACTTGAGAAAAACATACTTATGATTTATGATTGAGCCATGATAAGACTGAGCCATAACTGGGCTACGGCTGACGTGGTAGCTGTCGCGCCTGTCAAGGTGCGGTTGGTATGGAGCCATCAAAGCTTAGCCAGTTAACTCTTTAAGAATTCAATAGTTCCATTACTCCTTGTCTGTAAATAATGACTGCGATCCCATTCTGTCAACGAATTCGTATTGTCTGCAGCTGAGAGTAATGGAGAATACATAATGAAGTATGAAGAATTATAAAGTTAAGAAAATTAAATTCATTTGAGATTACTGTCTTCTCTAATTCGATGCACGGACCACATCATACGAGACCCGTACCTACCGTCAATAAATATGTACATGCACCTCCTCTTCTCCGCATATCGGCAAAATGTGGGGGATTGAAGACCCTGAAATCAAACGCTGATTGGTGAATGCCCCTCACCTTCAATTTTTGCCTTTGGTACCCGTACGACGTCAGAGAGTGCACAAGACCATATTCGCAGCAGGTGCGACATAACTACATTCGGGAATCCTTGACGAATAGAGAGGCTAAGAACTTTTAGTATATGTACTTGTATATGGTCAAGTCGCGCGCTTTAGAGTTTCTAATCCCCGTCCCCGTGTCCTCCCCGTTACGCAAAGCAAAACCTTCCTCAGCTCCGGGACCCGACTAAGGCGATAGCGATCAACGTTACCAAAGTTAGCCGGCTTCGTTTCAACTACGAAATATTCCTCGGCTCTAACTCTCTTAGCTTCTTGTCTACTTGCCGCTACCAGCCTCTCTCTCGGTTGCGTGCGCTATCTTCTTACAACGTATAATTATCGTTTGCGCAAGTGTGGCGCCCTTGTTTCCGAGACATCCTTCATCATGAATGTCATTTCCTCCACCGCGGCCCGTTGCCTACGGCCGTCAACTTTCTCCCGATCGGCGAGACCATTTATTAGGTCCTCACCTATCACATTTCGTCCTGCAGTTCCAGTGGCGTTTTTTCATTATACCAGGTTAAACATGGCGCCTGAAAAAATTAAAGTCCAAAATCCTGTTGTGGAACTCGACGGTGATGAGATGACCAGGGTTATCTGGAAGGTCATTAAGGACAAATTCATCTTCCCCTACCTCGACATCGACCTAAAGTACTACGATTTGGGATTGGAATATCGAGATGAAACCAACGACCAAGTTACGATTGATGCCGCCGAGGCTATCAAGAAGTACTCAGTCGGAGTTAAATGCGCCACTATCACCCCGGATGAGGCCCGTGTGAAGGAATTTAATCTCAAGCAGAGTAAGCCTCAAGCCTGTTCCCGATGCAGTCTTACATGCATTTCCGCCCCTGCACAATAAGCCTACCAACCATCCGATCTTTAACCCCGCACCCTAATCTTCAGATCTTACTATATCTATTAGATGTTTTGTAACCTGAATTGCTTTTATACTACACGGAATAGATCTAGTAGGATGACTGACCTGAACCCCCCTGTATAGTGTGGCTCTCTCCTAACGGTACGATCCGCAATGCTCTTGGCGGTACCGTCTTCCGTGAGCCTATTGTCATCCCCCGCATTCCGAGATTACTACCAGGATGGAAGAAGCCCATTATCATTGGCCGTCATGCCTTTGGTGATCAGTACCGGGCCAAGGACCGAGTTATCCCAGGACCAGGAAAATTATCTATGGTGTACACCCCCGAGGGTGGCAAGCCCGAGGAGATTGAAGTTTTCCAATTCAAGGAGGGTGGTGGTGTCGCACAAACCCAGTACAATACCGCTGAGAGTATTACCGGATTTGCACACGCCAGCTTCAAGCTAGCTCTTGACAAGGAATTGCCTTTGTACATGTCCACTAAGAACACTATCCTCAAGAAGTACGATGGCAGGTTCAAGGATATCTTCCAGGAGCTATACGACACTCAGTATAAGAAGGAATTCGAAGCTAAGAACATCTGGTATGAGCATCGCCTGATCGACGATATGGTCGCTCAGATGGTCAAGAGCTCTGGTGGATACATTATGGCATTGAAGAGTAAGCCCCCTCACCGCCCTTATGAGTCCTACATTGGAATGAGACTTACACATCATCTAGACTACGACGGCGATGTTCAATCTGATATTGTAGCACAAGGTTTTGGTTCTCTGGGTCTCATGACATCAGTCCTAATCACCCCAGACGGTAAGACTTTTGAGTCGGAAGCAGCACACGGAACAGTAACACGACACTACCGGGAGCACCAGAAGGGCCGAGAGACATCAACGAACCCTATTGCTAGCATCTTCGCCTGGACCCGAGGATTATTGCAGCGTGGTAAGCTAGACGAGACGCCTGAGTTAATCGCATTCGCCGAGAGCCTCGAGAAGGCATGCGTTGACACCGTTGATGTTGATGGCATCATGACCAAGGACTTGGCCCTTGCCTGCGGCAAGACAGCCCGCGAGGACTACGTCACAACCAACGAATACCTCGATGCTGTCGAGAAGAGACTAAAGAAGACTCTTTCTGCCAAGCTATAGAGTTAAGAAAAGATAAAGCAAGGCGCATGGGGAAGCTATGAATGAATGACAGGCCGATAAGCAAGAAGATATAGATCTTGATCTAGAACTTGCATTAAATGGATGGAAGGTTATGCGCGCGCGCGATTGGCATTGTATATACATCTATGTACTCATTTTTTATGAACAGCATAGGCGCTATCTAGACATCTAGGCAGTTAGATATCACCGTTCCGCATACCCTGCAAGGGGGCATGTTGCATATTGAAAATATATGCGATTCTGCATGATCGATTATTACGTTCTCGTACTGGCGCTTTTGTATGTTATAACCCGAGTAAAACAGGTTTATCGCAATATACGCGCCACAAAGGCTTGTTGAATCCTACGTCATATTTAATAACCACCATTATAATGACATCTTATTTTGCCTATTACCCCCTTTACGTATCCCATAATACTTCACCCACCTAATGCACCGCTCTTTGCAAAATATCCGTAACACTAACTCCAGTATGATATTTTATAAGCACAAACGCAACGCGACGCGACGCAAAATCAGTCAGCCAACCCGAGGGGTATCATCCACCACGCCACTCCTCTCCTTTTCTTTTTCTCTTATGCTCCTTTCCACTCCGCATATCCTAACTCGCGTTCTCATGACTTCTCCGCGGGCATAGTACTCGGCGCATTCTCCGCCGTAACACCACTATAAGCCGGCCTTGCCGCGGGCCCAGCTAATTGGTCCGCCATCGCCTCATCATAACTCGGCGGCGCTTCCTCGTACATAGTCGCGCCCACGGTGCCTAATTGCGGGGGATACAACGGATCTGGCGCCGGCGGCTGGACATTAACCCCTGGCCCCGGACGCGGTGGTTGCTGCGGTGGCCGGTTTGGTAATCGAGGCGGCCGCGAGTTCTGCGTCGAGACCGAGTTTAGGAGTTCTTGTGGTGGTCGGATGCCGGAGTATACATCTACCTTCGAGAGTTTAAGGGGCAGGGTTATAGATGGGGAGTTGGGTTTTAGGGATGAAGGAGAGGAGGATGGGGCCCAGGTTAGGGTTAACATTATTTCTAATCCGTATGTTCGTGCTAGGTTGCATGTGCGGAAGGAGGGCGCGACGGTGTTGGGGAGGCGCCGGTCTTTCCATAGTGTTTTTGGAATTTCAAATTCGGCGTCCACGGGGTCGGTGGGGGAGTTGAAGAGTTGGATTGGAGGGGAAAGTTGTGGGGCGGAGAAGAGGATCCAGGTTGAGCGCTCGGTGTTCTCGAGGTTGTGTACGCGGACTTGGGTGTGGCCTACTAGCACGATTTCGAGGGCGGTTAGGTATACGTGTTGTTGTTCGGTGGGCGCGAGTTTGCGCGCGATTAGGCGGAGGGGGAGGGGTTCGTTGCAAGTTAGGATGCTGGGAAAGGGTAAACGCGCGGACATCTCGATTGATGGTGGTGTGCCTCCTGCTCCGCTTGATGGACTTGCCGTTGAGGACCGACTCCCGAAGAATGAGGACTTTTTCTGGTGAAGAGCGGCTTGTGGTCGGAAGGTAAAGGGTCGCCGAGCGAATGCTTCTTGGCTTGTCTTAGCCGGCCGCGGCGGCTCGACAGGGAGGAATTTAAAGCCGACTTGGTATCGCCAATTCTCTTTAAAGAAGCCTGGACGTTGTATGGTGACTTTTATATAATACCGTATTTCGGCCTCCTGGGGGAAACCGGTGAGGGAGGGAGGTAGTGTGCCCTTCACGTGTTGTAGCATGAGTTGTTTCGAGCCATCCATTGTACGAAATCCACTCCCGCTGAGGCCTCCAATGCCTAATAGCGCACTCATGGCTTTCGGGTCATGACATATGTTGTTTAGGGGCACCTTGAAATTGAACTTGAACTCGTGCGTGCCTGGTTGGAAGGCTAGAGCGGCGCCATCGTCGGGGTACACCTGAAATAATCGGTATAGGATTTTATGGCTTTCAGTTATAATGTCGCCTACCCCGCCACCACCGGGTATCCGTCCACGGTAGAGGTCATCGCGGTCGCCTGTGGACGGAACGGTTAGAGCAGTATGCGACTCGCCTTCGAGCTTGACAATAACGTTTCCGATGGTTTCAGGTCGGTGTAAGACTAGGATCACGCGGCCGCTTATAAAATCGAGATTCGTGTAGAACTCGGGAGGATTATCGAGGGCTATTCGTATCGACATCGTGGGATGTTGTATTATATCTCGAAGCGCAATTCATATGGTATAGAAAGGTGAAAGTTGGAAAGGTCGTGCCAGGGTGAATATATTGTTTCGCTTGTTGTTTTGGATATCGGAACTTTTGGGGACGATGATGACTGGATCGACAGCGGATCGAAGCGGGTCACAGGGACATTACGAGGCATTACGGCCATTGCTAAGGTATTTTAGCTCAGCTCAACAGCTAATCTACCAGTTTGTGAAGCAGGGTTACATGGCGAAACAAACCAAAATTGGTTGACGAATGGCAAATTGGAAAATACCTACACGTAAGGTACGGATGTGAGGATTCCAGAATGCTGAGCCTCTAAGCGTCGTCACGATGTCATATGTCACATATGTCATTTTGTGGCTTAGGTCATCATGTCTTGTCTTATCGGCTTATCAAAAGTACATAGGTACTTATAGATCCCAGCACATAAGGTTCATAACCTACAGATGCATGACAGGGGTAAATTTGCCTAATTGGGAAATCATGTGTTCACCGATAATGCCGAGAGGCCTCGGAGATCTCGGAAGTAAAGAAATACAGCCAATGTTCCTGAATTGATAAAACATATTTAATCTTAACCAAGTTCCCCAACTAAAAATACATTCAACTATATCAACACCAATGAATTAAGATTATTAGGTCCAGACTCGGGTTGGTATCTCCCCTGTTCCATATATCCACATATAAAGGCATCGCCTACCACCTCGTATCGTTCGGTGTTATCATCACCCCTCACTTGACGGAAAATCATAGGTCTCGAAACTCCGTAAACACGAGCGACCAGATCGCCCGCTTCGACATGCGGTGGTCCTGAGCCGACGAAACCATCACGAGAGAAAATCAGGCTTCTTTTTCGAGCTAGTGCATTCCACGAGTCGACAAATGATCGTAACACTTCGCGGTTTCCCTTGAGACGATCCGTGAACGACGGATCCCTATCCATAACTTTACGGTTCAAGTTTTGTATAAGGATTTTATACCACTTATTAAACAATGAAGTATTGGGCTCGTAATAGTTCTCGCCCATGACGGTTCCGCTAGGTGACTCGTTTGTTCGAACGCGACCGGAAAACACGTCTAGGACCATCTGAGGAATCGTTTTACTTCCTTGATCGACTGGGTTCTCCTTCCAAAGATGTCTAAGCCATCGCCGCAGGTGGGATACTGCGTCATTTAGTTGCGTCAGGTTCATTGCAATGGGTTCTGTTTCATAGTTCGGGGTGTCGATCGAATCGAGGGTTCCACCGTGGAACGTCACCTTCCCAATGGTCTTTATCCGCACAATAGCCTCATCTCCCCGAATTTGAATACAATCCTCGAGCCTTCCATGTGACCACTGCTGATTGAAGATTTTATTAAGATATTGTGGGCTCAGCCAAGTTCTTTCTCTGATCTTTCCACAGTCAGGAACCCAAGTTGGCGATCCTGCGGCGGGTCTCCCAGCATCAGCCAAAAGCTCAATGAAGGCGGAATCCCATCGAAGAAGGCTCCCAAAGAGTTCTTGAAAAACTAGAGCCTCAGTTTTTTGGTAGTTTGGTTCCGAACAAGGCGCATTTAGAGTGCGAAGGATACCATACATAGAGAAAGATTTATCAAGGCCTCGGGTTGCTTTACGCATCCGAAGCGCCTCTTGAATCCCCGATATTACAGGATAATTCGTCTCAATCGCTTCCTTAAAGCGGTTCCTCCTATGGCTGAAGCACGGGAAACACGAAACTAAAATCCTATAGGCAAAATTCGTCATCACGTAGTAAGAAGTCGCGACGACCAGTATCAATCCTTCATTAGTGCCGCTAAAGTGGACAAGATACGCGAAGAAATACCCCAGGGCGAAGAGTACGCTTCCGTAACCGAAGAGGAGACCAGAAGTAGACGACAGCCAGGATGCGAAGTAATTCAATCTCGCGATTCGAACAACATTTTGCCTATAAATATATGCAGATCGATGACATCCATCCCTCGCGAGTCCTTTCGCTTGTGTTCCCGATAGTAAGTTATCGTTGTTCGTTGAGCGTGATAGAGTGGCCCATATGGATACTAAGTCCCATAACCCAGCAGATGTGTCTATTATCCGATGTACAGTACGGGACCACCAACGTCTGGATGTAAATCTCCATTTATTTTCCAATAGTGATCGCGTGAAGCTACGCTCTTCCATCCAGTGGCCACCGGTAGCCACGTCGTGAACTTTCTTCAAATTGGCTAGGGAGACGATACTGTCGCCACTAACAAACACCGGATTAGGAGAAAGCAGAAATTCCTGAAACGTCCAGGCCCGAGAAAACCACTCACAAGCCATGAGGTTCTGGACGTCGATATTTTGTATTTCATGTGGATCATCCCACCCCGCCTTCAAGTACATGTGGACGCGTGGGTAAAATAATCCTATATGATAAGAGTAATTAGTAAGTCTGTCATAGCCCGCCATGTATAGTATTTTTCTTACGAAAGCTAATAAATCGAGCCAGGTATGCACGCAGCAACGATAAAATAAACAAAACCTTATCGAGAATGACTTTCCTCTTATTCCAAGGAAAACCGGCGGGATGTGGCCCGAGATAAGAGATCTCGTTCAGTGCCTCGATTGTCTTGAACAGTTGCGGATTCCCTAACCCAAGCCAGATAAAAGTTGTTTCAGCCCGACTATATATATCTCCCATCATTGCTACTTGTTGGGTCTTCTCCGTGTCGTCGGTTTGGTTAACGCATATAGAGTCAATCCAGATGGTTATCGGGCCATATAGGTGACGCAACGCTAATAGAGCTGCCTTCCCGTTGTCCGTTATTGGGAACTCACACCCGTTGCAAGTGATCGCCGAGGATCCCGCACCCCAAACATATGACAGCGCCGTAAATCGTGATCCAGTCTTCAGGTCAACTACCCTCATGCTACCTTTCAACCCTGTGTTCTGTTGGGGCGGCTCGCCATCTAAGTCTAATACTCGTATATGGTGGCCACTAGATGGGATCTGAAGATGGTCGTAGAGCTGTGGTGGCTGAATAATCGGCCCGGGGGCATTGTTGTCTTCGTTCTGTACGGATAGGTCAACGGAAACGAACCCGTGGGCTTCCATTTTATCCCGCTTCTCGAATATAAATACACCCGGTTCCCGATCCGTAGGAACGGAGACTGGTTTGCCATTTAGTAAAAAGACACGATATTATCTAATTAAGTCTCACTAAGATACCTCAAATGAAGCAGGAGGGACATTCTTTTGCGCTTAGTGGAAGCTGATAACAATTTAGGTAAGGGACCGGGAAAATGAGTTGAATACATATTCAAGACGAGGCTTCAACATTATGTTTCAAGTGGATGCGGCTGAAAACTGCCCCGGGTAGGCACCGACAGTGAAGCTTCGGTGAGCCAGAGCTACCTACCTAGGTGGGAAGGTAGGCAGACGTGCTTACAACTTGACGTGTACTATCAGGGGTGATCGGGCGAGCAGATCTTACTTAAAAGGAGGATTTTATCAACCAACAGATTATATACATAAGCAGAAAGGATCAATTTATGTCAGATATCATATCATAGGTAATAAATTATCTTCCTTCTATTCCTGTATAACCCTAATGTTTTACCGACATTAAATATTACCTTGTAAGTTTCCCCGTCGACGCTTTACCCCTAAAAACCAGTGACTTGTATGCTTTATAGCGATATCCTTATATAGCGACTATAAAACTGCTTTTATAAAAACCAGTTTAAACGGGGTATAACATTATACAGTATATTCATGTAAAGAAACTATGACGGACTTCACTGACGCCACCATGATCCCGCATTTCCGACGATGACTTCTCCGCATCGGTAATATCCCTCGGACGGGAACTAGTTCTTTGTTGACTTATATGTACGATTTGGAGAAATGACGCCCATTTCTGACCTAGACCGAGCTCGCAATTGGTGGGAGATATTGGTGTTTGCCATTTCCCCGCCTCACGGAATCATGTAAGCGGTAGCTGGTGGGAAATGGACTTTGTCATTAAATATTGCTTACTGCTGGGTATAACTTCGTTTTTGTTTCTTGGCAGTCCAGATAGATGACCGGGAAAGCCTAACTCATACAAAATGTCTTCTACAGAAACAGTCACTAAGGCCGTCTCAACCCTCTCCATCGAGAAGCCTCAAGTGCAGAATGGCTTCAATGGAAAGGATAAGATTGAGAATCCTCCCCAGGTCCAATTCAACGGCACCACTAAAAGTGGCAAGAAGTTGAAAATTAGAACCTACCCCAAGTTTGATAACCTTGAGGATGAAAGACTCTACCGAAAACAACATCTCGCAGCAGCATTCCGGGTCTTCGCCGACCGTGGCTTCGATGAGGGCGTCGCCGGGCATATCTCCGTCCGCGACCCCATCTTGACCGACCACTTCTGTAAGTCGCTAATCAAGTCCGGATTATTCGGGTCTTTCATATTAATCTCACAGGGCTAAATCCGCTTTCGATGCATTTCTCACTGATTAAAGTCTCGGACTTGATCTTGTGCGATGAGGATGGTAATGTGGTGGAGGGGTCCGAGCCCGTTAACGCAGCCGCCTTCGCGATCCACTCACAAATTCACAAGGCACGGCCCGACGTGCATGCTGCATGTCACGCGCATAGTGTACACGGCAAAGCTTTTTCCGTTTTCGGTCGCGAGCTCGAAATGATTACTCAAGATGCGTGCCGCTTCTACAAAAGTCATGGAGTATACCGCGACTTCCGAGGCGTAGTCCTCGATAGCGAAGAAGGGATAAGAATCTCCAAAGCCCTTGGAAATGGAAAAGCCGTGATTCTTCAGAACCACGGCTTACTTACCGTTGGTGGAAGTGTTGATGAGGCGGCTTTCTGGTTTATTAGCCTTGAGAGGACTTGTCAGGCTCAATTACTAGCCGATGCAGCTTCCGTCGCGGGGTATAAGAAGATCCCCATCGATGATGACGAAGCGGCGTATACCTCACTACAAGTTGGCGGCCCGGATAAGGGGTGGCTTGCTTTCCAGCCATGTAAGAACTCGACGATCCGCCTACCCCGCCCCCCTTTTTCTCCCACCCCTCAAAATCACCCCTTCTAATGACTTGATAGACTACGACGAGCAACTCGCGAAAACTAAGGGCGATTTCTTGAACTAGTATGTTTAGCTTCATCTAAACCATCGAAAGTATAAGGCACGGACGTCGTTGCACAGCAACAATACGCCATTATGGATTTTATTCCCACTATTGAACTATCGCACTGACAATGTCTTCCGGAAGACTGTGATTTGGATTAAATAATTCAAAAGACTAAAATAATAGGTGCGGTTTCTTAAGGCGGTTACACGGATACAGGTCAGGCATGCCTGTTCACTGTGTAATATGGCATGGATATTGAAGATGTCAGTAGGGCTACAAGAATGAATCTATAGTATATGACTCAAGTCAAAGTCAGAATGGCAGAACGCAGGAAAAATTAATCGTGCTATGGCCTCTACGTGTTCATGTGCTCGTGAGGTGTCGTTTAGCTTCAGACTAACACTGTGTATAACGTTTCTCAACGCGATAGTTTCTCTGTCAATAAACAAATACAAATATTCTAAAGTACGCATAGAATCCATTTCTTCTACCTTCCGTCATCGTAGAAGGATAGAGTACAAACATACCCCCCAAGTATATTTTTAAGATTCTCAAGTACCAACATCCAATTTGAGCCGGTCTTAGTGATCAGATACCACATCTCAGCATCAGACATCTTTTCGGATAGCTCAAACCCGGTCATTACCATCAAATAAACAACGTCCTAACCCAGGGCAAAATCACTTTCAACTTCCACACCCTTCACGACAAAATCGCGATATTCATCCTAACCCAAAATGGCTCAAAACCAGGAGCGAGTCGTAACTCCGGAAATGGAGACCTTTACGTCTGATATCCAAGAGAAACAGGCGAAAGGTGTCAAATTTTACACCAAGGAAAACATCCAACGAATCGCCGAGCAGCTTGATAAGTATAAGACAGGAGATCTCGCAGACGATAAATTCAAAGTGCCGAATTTGAAGGGAGAAGAAGTTGAAATCACCCTTGACCTAGACGAGCCGACTGTTTGGGTAGACTCACGATGTGACCATGGAGATCGACGGTAAGATGAAAAATTCCAAAATTTGCCGTTCATTTTGGATTTGAAATACTTACTTCGCAATAGGGGAGGCCCATATCTATACTACCGATCTGCACAAGCCATGGCCGAATATTTAGACATGGAGCCTTTCAATCTTCAACAAGCTTACCTTCCCATCGTCCCTCTATTGCCCCGTACTAATGGCCATGGCTGTTGCGGACGCAAGGGGAAGAAAAGAGCTGTGATTAACCCCGACCCCACCCTATCCGCCATGGAAGTCAACCAAGAATTCAACGTCGTGCGACAAAGATGGGAAGGGAGCGATTCATTCGCTCGCCTCAAGACAGTATTCAAAGCCAACAAACCTCTTCTCACCAACGTCACCAAAATCGTCGCATTCGCCTGCGGCCAGCTAGCGACGGGCCCCGGCATATGCTCCTTCTCAGCGAACCAGCACGCGCTAGCTCTCAGTCTCCAGACACTCATCTCAAAAGCAAAAGCTACTAAATTTGGCTTCAGCGGAGTTCTTCAAACTGTCCAGAAGTCGCTTAAGAGGAAGAAGGGAGGGCATTGTACCCCTACCACAGTCCCATGTTTTGCGCAGGACCCCGCGTATATGACGATAGACAAGCAAATACTTGAGGGGTTGGGGTTCACTATTGTAGATGACCCACGCGGGTTTCTTGAAGTCGATGATGATTCGGTGGTTATTTTTCTTACGCCCAATACACCTATTCAGCAAGTTGTTTTCGACCTCGCGCGTCCGGCTGCGGTTTTTCAAGAGTGGTTACGAGCTGATGTGAATGGACCGGAGGCAAAATATTGGTAAGTCTCCACATTTATCTGGGAAAAGGGGTAAAGGGGTATCGCGCTAACAGTGACTAGCCCAAATCCCACGTCTGCGCGGGTTCAAAAGATATTGGATAATGAGTACACGATAGTGTATAGTTCGTGGAGACATCATCTCAGGGATGGCGAGTTGTATATCAGGAAGAACCTCTTGAACAAGCGAGAATGACTGCTTGATTACCCGGCTGGGTAGAGGTGGGGTGGCGATCTTCTGATATACTTGTGTTTCTCATAATCAGCGGGATAACAACGGCGTACTGGGGTGTATTTGGTAGGTAAGAGACTGCTACATTACTCATGAACTAATATACATCTAACACTAACATTTTGAAGCATTTTTATCATATAGCTTCACCTACTTGGAAGGAGTTCGACTGTTTAATGCTATGTTGAACGACGACACCATAAGGAAGTGTGTGGTCAGACCGTTCCGGTGGTCCACCATCAGCGAAACTTGCCAACGCGATCTCATCGTCGTCTCTTCTTAATCTTCTGTTTTCACGATACTCCTGTCGCCGGGACGGGTACCCTTCGGTGGCTTCGGTGCTCTTTACGGACCGCAACTTGCCACCCCAGCGGAGGAAAAGTGGATAAATAATTGGTAGACAAGCTGTGAGGATTGCGATCGAAGGTTCCACGGAGGACCAAATGCCTACTGGGCTCAAGGTCCATGCCAAGTCGACTTCTTGCGTGTACTTGACCAAGTAAAATAGTCGCGCGATGCCGGCGATACACGCACTGAGATAGAATGGTTAGCGATATGGTGTTCTTATTCTGTGTTTTTTTGGGCGTGAAGTGCTGTCTTACAAGCTACCGAGCGAAAATAAGGTGCATATCTGAAGTTTTTTGCGCATTGACATTTGGAGTTTGAGAATCTGCGGGATAGGGATCACTAGGATGAGGATATCTAGTGGAATGTTGATACTTGCGTAGGATATATATGCCGCTTTAATGTCGATACACTTTGCTTGAACAATGCCAAGATATTGGTCCCAGATGGCGGATATGGGCCTGCACATGATTGCAAGTGAAATCCAGGCGGAAATTGTATGACCGACAGTAAGAAATCCCCCTAGGAAGAGGCTCATTCTCCAGAAATTCCCGAACATGCCAAAAAGTCGGTAGTAGAAGCAAAGAAGTGAGAGCTTTATACAAAGGATAGCAACGGTGTAGATGATGGTATAACTATAGGTGATCTAAAAATCGACATCAGTATTGGCATCTAGATTAGCGAAGAAAATTCACCAAACCTTTAAGATTGGGATAAGATCCGACTTCGATATGGTCCATACGTGGGTACCGATGCCGAATATATTCCCTATTCATAATCTCGTTAGACGATAACATGTAGTTCGCCGGGGTGTAAGATCTCACCAGCTACTGTTGCGGCCGCGGTACCAATCGAAAACACCTACTCCAGATTGACGATTAGAAGGCGATACATATAACTAAGTGTAGATCATGACCTACGAGCGCAGCTATTATGAAGTAATCATCCGCCATCAGCCCTAACCGCGCCGTGATCCTTGCCACTATCCTTAGCACAACCGACACGAACGCGATAGAAAGTAGGAAGCCGACTGCGAAGTAACTCCCCACTGTTCTGTCCTCCGCGAGGTTAACCGTAGGTGGCGGCGGCCCAAACACCACGATAATAAAGGGATCGAGCTCCATCATATTACGCGCCTAGGACATAAAGAATTGAAAGGCATAACTTCAAGGTTGATGGAAGTATTAAACTACATAAATGCTTTTAGTGGTTTCAGTAACGAGCGTTACACGTGCTACAAGATACCTAATTCGATATCCCATGTGGTTTTCTAGCCAACCATAGCCCGTTCTATATTTATTCCTATGTCAAATCCGGGCGTATGGTGCGAAGCGCACTATCATTTCACATCACACCTAGTGAATCCTTCTATAGAATAGAATGGCTGCCATAGGAGGGATCGGCGAATGTAGGGCGGAATTAAGAAAAAAAGGAATATCAATAAACCTCTGCAGTCTCCATCACGGGAAAGGAGATATACTTATACCCCTGCGCGGCCCTTCTCGGCAGCGATGCGGCGCCGGGTAACTTGCAATAGTGTAGCTCATCTTAAAAAATGAAATAGTCTGCCTGGATTCTAGCCGTATTACGTACCTGAAGTACCTAGGTAAATTTTACGGAATTCAATGCCCGTAGCTCAACTCCGCAGCCTTGACAGATCGGCAGTAGCAACTAATAAATGGAAGCGAGAGCGAGACCTGCATACCGTCCCGCCATTTCCGTCCCGTGTGGGGGGAATAGGATCGCGCCACAGGCGCAATCAAATAAGAACTCATAATCTAAGGGTGGTAACTTGGTAAGCTTCGAGGGTTTTTGTAATGCCACACCTTCTCCTTCCGCCAATAGTAACGTCGTTACGGGCGTGTTGAGAAGATTTCCAATCCCTTAGCACACATTAGTATCTTAGTATATTAGCAAGTCACCTAGGTATCTGGGTGAGGAATGAATCAATTGCAATTGAGTTTTCAAGGGGCACCCTTGTTAACTAAACGGCCTTTTGGTTCCCTCTGAGAGGTCCTGGAAAAGCGAAGAATTGTCGTCACTAACCATTTCCAATGATCGTCTCACCTTTCCAAGCCGCTGCTTCATATGTTCGTCCGTAAACGATATTTCGGAATTGTCAAATTGGCTTATATTGTTCTGGCAGGGTTCTTCAACAGCATCATCAAGACTCTCGACCCAGTCCTTCACTCGTTGCTGAGAATTGACATTTGCCTCTATACTTAAGGTGAGCAGCTCCCGTATGCTCATCTGAGCCTTGAGTGATTTGATTTGAGTCTGTGAACGCTTCACCTCGTATCCATTTTCGAAAGGGTCGTCGAAATCTAATACCTCGGCTAAAAGCATAAACGATTTGATCGTTGATTTATGCCTCTCGGAGAAAATATCTATTCGCGACCTTAGGACTTCACGAGCTAACCCTATCGCCCTCTCCATATGCTCTAACTTGACCTGGTCAATATCATCCCGCGATATATCGATGTGTCTACCATCTAGTGGCCATTGGAAGTCCTCCATGAGAGGAACCAAAGGAGTGTCCTGTTGGCCCAGAGTCGGTAGAGCCGTTGATATAATGCTACCTGGACGGGAGACGTTAGGTGAAGGCAGGATGTTATTACAGGTATCTCCAGGCTTGGAACAGCTGCACAGAGGATCGCTAAGTCTGAAGGAGTCCTGGGCGATGCCGGCCTTCGTAGTAAGCACCAATGGGTGCGCCTGTCTCTCCTGCGTTCCAGGCTTGTATGCCGTCAGGCTTTGAAGTCCCCGCTCAAGGGCTTCGCTATGAGCATCGAAAGCGTCGAAGTGACGGTGAAGCCTAAATAGGCAATCGGCAATGCGCAATTGGGCAACCAAGGTATCATAAGTGCCATCGAGTCCTGGGCCTCTCCTTGCATCGTAAATCTCTTGCTGAAGATTCAATGCCTCTAAACGATCCTCTTCATTGGGAGATAACACCTTCAAGTGGCTGATGCGGTCTTTGACATAGAGCACACTGACATGATGACTTGGGTATTGGGTTAATAGATGTCGAAGTAGCTCGTAAGCATCGTATATACCCATATTTGTTTCCGTGCATCGTGCCCGGATTTCAGCCAACGCGACGCGTGCTGCAACAGTCCGCGGGTGATGGTCACTGAAGATTTGCCTTGTCTTGTCGTAGACGTGATGTCTTATGTCCGCAACGTCTTGGCCGAGTTTTTCTTTCGTTGTAGCATATTCTGAGTAAATGTCTAGAAGGGCCGTGTGAGACTCGGGTAAGACTTTCTTCTCCCATTCCAATATTTTCTCCCTAATCTCTAACGCCTCAAGGTAGCGACCGAACTGATGGTAACTTTTGGCAATGCCTCTCAACAGTGCGACTTCTACCCTATTTGGTGCCTCCGTTTTAGATAGCAGCCGCTCGAGATAATCGATGTTCCAGTGCTTGGAAGGGATTCCCAAGTACTCAACAAGCGCCATGTGTCTGTGATATATGGCTTCCGGCGTCCTTCCTAAGCTCTCTAAGCTATCCGCAACGTCCATGCGGAACTGAATATATGGGACTTCGTGCGGGGGCGATTCGGTTTTCTTGGGATAGCTATCAAGAACCTCCTCGCGCAATTTCAAGGACTCCTCTTTACTACCGAGCTCGAAATACGTCTGTGCCAAGTTTGCCTTCCACGCTAGGACATCGAATGGGTCGAATTCGATTGTAGATTGCGCGATATATGTATGTATTTGTTGTTGTATCCTCAGAGCTTCTTCCGAGCCTCCTAGATTCAAGGTGCTGATTCCTAGCTCGTTCATCGCCTTGTAGTAAAGGATCGCGACCTCTGGGCGAGTATCGGATGCTAGATTTTCCAAGGCAATACATGTATCTCTCTGAAGTTGACTTGCCAATTTTAGCTTTCCGCTTTCTCCTAAAGCAATTGATATTTTCAGACCTATTTCACATCGGTCTTGTAGAGCATCCCCTGGTGCGGTAAACCAATTTTTACTTTGAGCCTCGCCCACACAAGAGATAAGATGAGTATGAATAATCCAGCGATCATTCCACGGGTCCCGCTCACGGACACCTTCAATCTTCAGGGGGTCCCATGAAACAGCCTCTGATAGCGTGGTCAATGCTACCTCCCAAGGCTCTTCTTGGTGGTTCACGCGATCCTTGTGGCGCCGCTGGGCTGTTATCTGGACGACGGGGTGGATTTCGATTACTCTGTCCACCTCGTCCCAGCTAATAAGATGGTATTCACGTAGGATGGTCAGTGCCTCGTAAACAGTCTCATAGCCCTCATCCCTTTCGTCCTGGGTTTGCAATGCTTGCAGATGCCGCCGTCGTCGCCAGTCACTGAAAGTCGAGCTCCGTATCGCATTCCAACTAAGCCGTAAGATCCGTTCATGAAAGCCTCGTCGGTCGCTAAATGCAAGGAGATCCATAATCGAAAGGCCAGCCCTCGCCCTTCCGGCTTCGTTGTGATGCTGATCAGCTGACAGGGCTTCTAACTTGTTGAAAACTTCACAAAACACACCAATTGACTATGAGAGGGCACGAGTGGCGAAAGAGAGCTTGTTCGGTCGTTCGAGGCCTTTTAAAAACCTTAAGACTTGGTCCGAAAAGGGTTCAAATCGGTTTCTTCTTACGTAGCCCACGATTGCCTCGATGGTCAATGGGTGGTAGCCAACCTCTTCCGCGAGCCTTTCCAGGTCTTGCTCCGGGATTCTTGAGTCTCGCAGCCGCGACCGAAACATTTTCATTGCCTCCTCAAAGCTCATCTCATTTACACATACAGAAGCGACTCCAGAGACGTCCTGGGGGCTTGGTGGTGCGGACTCCCGGATGATCATAACGAGGCCCCCGTCATATCCCCCCTTAACGACAAAGTATCCTGGATGTTTAGTAATCTGATGGTCTCCGATTTGAATCACTGTAGCACTAGTATTTTCAAAGATAAGAAGCCATCTCTTAGTAGTTCGCTGCCATGAAATAAACCGCGTTAAGAGGTCGCTAAGCTGCACACGTTGAGTTTCCCAGCCGAGAAGGTACGCGATAACACCAACATCGTTCTCAAGCGTAATTTGGCTTGTAGCATCGAGGTAAAATATATATTCCCAACTGCGTCCTAATGGTTAGTTAATCGACTCTTCAATATTACCTAACCCTCGGGTGCCATCACCGACCAATTTAGGGCCTTATACTTATTAATGAAGTGCTTGACAAGCGTGGACTTGCCACCTCCTCTCATTCCATGGATGATAACGATGCCGCCTTTCGAAACGGCATGTCTTCCCCCAAATTCATAAATTCCAATATTAACTGACCTTGAAGCACTGAGTCACAATGCGCCTTAGAAGCCTGTTTCATTTCAATTTCTTGTTTAAATCGCATCTGCAACGCTCCCTTGACAATTACTTCTAGCTGAACCATAACAATACCGAGATGGCCCCCGATATCAGAGCGACAAAATTTTACAATATTCGAATGATTGCGAGGTAGCTCGTGATTCCTCTTCCGCTCATAATCCTGGTGCCGACAGCGTACGGCCGATTCTCGATTTACGAGGAGCTCAGACATGCCGCTATTAAATGGCCGCCCGTCCCTCTGCCCTTATATGTCAGCTTAGGATGTGCTGGGAAAGGTGGTGCTGTTATAAGTGCGAAGCGACGAACCAGTTCCAGAATCGGGCTCTGCTCCGACTCGTAGAAAGAGAATATCTCCGAGTCAGCGCGTGCGAAGTGCTTTTCAAAGTCCGCGTTCAGGTTTGTAAGCATCTCTGAGCCTTCTGCCAGGTTAGCCACCAACTCTTCGGCCGGATAGTTCTTCACGATAGTCAATAAATGCCTCTGCTTCATCCCCAAGTTAGGGACCCCGAAGAATAGCGCGCCGTAAGTCGCCGCTGACAGCTGTGAGTGCTCTTGAGAGCTCATTAGGAGAGCCTGCACACCCGTAAGTACCTACTTAGGTATGTAGAGCTAGTGACTCTCAAGAGGGTCTTACTGTCTTCACAACTAGCCCTCCCAAGCTGTGCGCTATAAAAACGTACGGTTTTCCCTGGAGCGAATCAAATACCTGTAGGACACTCTGAAGTACAGAACCTTACTTACCTGGATCATGTTTTCCCGTAGTTCTAATACCCGCCAAAGCATTCTGCCCAATTCTGAGATCCGAAGGTCCACCCGCCCATCCACAATTTTGCTCTCATAACCATACAAGAGCACCCTTGCACGCGGAAGAACTTTCGGTAGATGGTCAATAATCCACATAAACGATCCACTCCTCTCTTTGAAGGAACCATAAGCATGGCCAGCAAGTCCAGGCACGACTACTATGCTGTTATTATCAGCGGAAGTAAGCCGAAAGGCTAACAAGGCCATGCCTACACTACCTCGGCGTTCTCAGGTGATAGGATAGTGGTGATTCCATGGAAGTGGCGGTCGATTTTCAAATAAAACCTCCCCTGGAGAGGTACCGTGAATTCATCCTTAAGATTTGAATCGTCATCGGCTGAAAATAGTCCCGTAGCGTATTTGCCGTCTGCTTCAAACGCAATGGAAAGATACCGAACTCCGGCGTCGGACAGCCGCCTATCTCGTCCGAGCGCGTACTTCAGATTTTTCCATGCCTTTACCCCTTTCCTTTTCATACTTCTACCTCCGCCCACCGGAATGCAACGCGCCCGGTATACCAGCACCATGTTGAATAGTATTATTATTAATCTTACAGCAAGTCGCCTATGGAGCTCCAAAATGTGTTCAAGATGGGCTTAGGTGGGCTCAATGGTAGGGTAGGCCTCATCATGAATTAATGGTGGGAGAAAAGGCAGGCTTAATAGTCAGTAGAATGGACATGGCGTAAAAAGGCTTGGCAGCTGCTGCGTCTTCATATATAATACTTAGGACAACCAATGAGAGCAGAGGGGGGGCAGCACGCACTTATCTAAGTACACAGGTACAGTACCTACGAAATTAATACAGCAACCCTCTATGTGCCCGTAGGGAAAGGGATGAGAAATTTATTATGCAGTATACCTGCTGTATAGTTTATTTTGCAGACCGATATCCAGAGCCTGAAGAAGCGCCGGAAATCCAGCCAGGCGACCATTGATTCTTTGACACAGTGGGATCATCGCTACTGTCGTAGCCTTCGCTATTACAGTACCTTTTCTTCATATTACATCCATAACGCCGCCACCTACTCGGAGGGGATCCTAACAGCGGTCGCAACTCTTTCTAATACTCTCATTTCTAATCAGCAACCAACTAATGTCTCTAGCACGATATGAGAATCGAATATACCTAGGTAGGCAACGTACACACGTGGGTGGTTTTGTCTCATCCTTCTGAATCCATTCACGCCCTCCACAACCTTGCCTTGTGCAATACCAGCACTTAATTCTTCCCATGTAGTCAGGCCTAAGCAACTGGTTTTCGTATGTCTTTCACGGTTGTGATTATATAATGGAAGAAGCGAGATGATTGAAATTATCAATCCTTGTTATTCTTAGGGACGACGAGTTGTCACCGCCTAGGAAGATTGCGAGTGGGTACGTGCCAGAGCCAGCTGAATATTAGGTGGCCGGTCATATATCTACCTACCTAGGTACTCACTTAGTTACACAATATACCTACCTACCTAGGTAGGTAAGCATTGCCTGCAGGTGTGCCTAGTCGTATTTCCAGTCTGCCTTAGGCATGCCTACATCCTTCCCCTCCTTGGTAAAATCTACCTAGGTATGGGGGAAGGCCTGATGCATATACTTACACCACTGAGGCTGCCATGTACAGTACCTTGTACAGTACCTAAAGACAGTCTCTTGACCTTACTTCAACACTTGGTGCCTTGAAACAGCATATCGATCTGGCTATCGCTAATCACTAATTGTAACTGGTTTTCCGACTCAATTTCCCTCACAGCCGCCGTCAATCCCCAGGTCCTCGCCTCAGAGATTCCCGCCCCAGTGTTTTCTAGAAGTTTAATCGATTCGGATTGGATTGCTAGGGCAAGAAGTTCTCCCAACCTAGACCACGCATTGCTTGACCAAGGCCGACCAATCAAGCTAATGAGAATGTGCACCACGACAAGAGTTACGTGTAGAAGCAATATGACCATAGCCACAATGACCGTTAGGTTGTTTAGTCTAAAGCCATACGCCTGCTGAGAAATGACTGTGGGGATGTTCGTATACGAAGTGGTATCCTCGATATCATCTTCTTGTAACGGCGGGATCATATCAGCATTAGTGTGGTTAACGTATGCCGCACTGTGGATCGGCTTGTACCCGACACCCGATCCGCTAACCTTGCACAGAGTTGATCTTCTCGGACTCGACGATGTCAAAGGCTCCTTCAAACTGTCCAATATCAACGACATCTCTGATACTCGCGGCGTGTTAAAACATATCGCCCCGGTCTCTCAATGCGGGTCAGGACACATTAAGGGAAGTTTTACTTGCCTGGGCAATAATCAAAATACTCCCCTAGATTACTGTGCTAAGCCTAACTCGGGTAGCCAAATCAATACCGAACTAGCGACCGTCCAGTCAGCTTTTCTCATGTTTCTCGCACTACTGCTGCTATAACTTGATGTTGAAATCAATATAATGGTAAAATGTGGCGTGGGTATGGACAAGGGGTAGTGGGTCAGCTGAATGTCTTTTTACAGAGTGTAAAAGCGGCACATAACGCTCTATTCAATTAATTATTTGATCGGCTTTTTTTATACCTTTATGCCCAAACTACGATGTTTTATGACGTAGGAGGCTGATATGGAGTTGACGTAGGACGGGAACACCCGTGCCGCCGTTCCATCCCCCGAACCCATTAACACCCCCACCTTGGGTAACACCAACCCCTAATTGCTGCTTTGTGTTGGCTAGAGGGCTTAAAGGTCCAAGCAGGCCCTGGAACGTGGCCCGATAGAAGCCAATGAAAAGTTAGGTAGGGTATCACAGAGTAGAGGGTTCTAGCCGCTTTACACTGCCACGGCTTTCTTTTGTGGCCTATAGCTTCTCCATCGTCTTGTTAATAGGACAGGGGCCAAGAATGGCATCGCTGCAGATAGGTTCAGATCGCCAACAACCAATGCGGCCGAACGCGTACCTACCTGAATGGGGAAGGTCCGAAGCGTATCAAAGCAGCGTCGGCCGTAGACCCCATGCCCACTAAGACATGAGTGACTTTAATATGTATTGAAAAATCGCCGGCTATTTACGGGATATCTACGTTGACCGGGATCCGCTTACTCACTGAAATACCTAGCCTAGTCTCCAGACAATCACATGAGAGACATGGAGGATTTTGTGTAATACCATACTTTCGGATTTCTACGCCATATTGTACTCTCTCGCATTGATAAACTTCTAGAAGGTGGCTGTTTTGCCTAATTCCAGTGCCCTAGTACGCTGCTGCTAGTGAACTGAGTACCTCCCGGTAGTTTTACTCCACATCTCATTCCCGCTCATCTGGTACTCCAGGCCCTTGACATATTCTCTTAATTCCTGGGTATCTCTCTGTGCGAGAAGTTCGTCCCCAAGTACATTGTGAGACAACTCCCACTCGCGAGCTAGGTGATACAAAACCCTCTGCGCAGCATCAGCCGTGATCCTGGCCTCCTGGGCTAGGACGGCCACACCAGAGCACATGACACCACCCTCTTTGTGAGAATTCTTTGCAGCAACTACTTCTTTCTCGTAGCTCCAGATGTCGTTAATTATCGTTATATGTTTAGAGCAGTTGCGTTCGATTTGTGTTACGAGAGCTAGGTCTTCAGGAGGCACTACAAGACTCATCGAGAAGCGCATCAGAGCACTGAGTAGACTAGGGAAACGTACTAGTGTCAGAAAATCGCTTCTTATCTATAGTATTCAGTGAGAGCCTTACGCTTTTCCGACATCTCCTTCACGATATTCGAGGTAACTACCGAGTGTCATACTTTCGAGGCGACGCTCGTCCGTTTGTGCCCTCATAAATGCGAAGGCTGGCTCTAATACATCGTTTGCCATGACTTCATCATGGGCGCGCATACTATGCCATATGTCATAGGTGATATATTCAAGAGGAATAGTTCTGTCTGGTTGCGTGTCGCCTCGAGATAAAGGTATAAGTTTTTCGTTGTACGCCTTACCGTCTTCAAGAGACATATATTCCAAGATATCTAGAGTTATATTAGCAAATATCTATCCACTAGCTATGAGAACTTGCCATCGACCAGAAACAGGAGCGTAAGCAGACGACAGGCGAAGTGTAGCCGGTCGTCCAAAGCCTTTGGGAAGTAGAGGCATACTATCCGAGAAAAACCGGCCGCGACAAACTTCTGTCGAGCGTTCTCGTCTGGGAAGTTCCAGTGTTCAAGGAAGTATTCATCGACTTCCCTTGACACCTTGTCGGATAGGGGGTGGCTCAACGCGACCCATGGGGACTCGGAAACACCAGCTGTCATTTTCTGTTCTAAATGCGGCATTGAAGACATGGTCACAATATAAATGAGCAAGGCAACAATATCTATCAATTCGTGGTGACTATACCCCTATTTATCTAGATTACAACCCCGATAGCCTATATAGAGAGATCTAATCAACGCTATAGGAGATATTATCACAGGGGTTACACCAATAACAGTAGCTAACTCAGCTATTACGACTATAGCACGATCCCGATCCTCGACCCCGCCAACCATTAGGCTTGGTCCCAGTGGCAACTTACGGATATTCCGTAATAGGAAAGCCCTAGGAAAGCCCAGGGAAAGCAAAAAAAGAAGAAAGTCTAACCATGGGAACCACAACATTATATACGGCAATTTAATTAAGCCCGAGAGAAGCAATAAGAGAGTAAAGAGGGGTGGACAACGACGTCGTACATGACAACTCGATTCAAAGCCCGAAAAAAGTAATGAGAAAGCGGAAAAGGTTGACAAGGGGAACCATAGCATGAAGAAAAGTACAATTCAATACACGCTGTTACGCGCTATTACTATTACCGAGTATAATGTACTGTAAACCCAAGTGCCTAACCCTGCCGCTGTATGTTGTATCCGTATGTATCGCGCAACCAACCCGTACCAAACCCAAAGGATGAGCCACCCATCCTAACCATGACGTAGGTAATTATTCGTCTTTCTTTTTTTTCCAGTCTTAACCCAATTACCATCTAAACCGCACCGTGCCGCACCACATTGTAACGCAAGCCACTCACTCATCTCGGGGTCTAGTCGGGTTGACACCCTCCGCCCATTCGAACCACTACTCGAAGATCCGGCTGCACCAGTGCGCGCAGCATCCGAACGGCTCCTCGCAGCAGTTGCCCGTGGCGCCTCCCGGCAGGCCCCCGTAGGCGGGTGCTTCGCCTTGCCCCTGAGGTTTTGGCTGGGATTGAGATTTGGATTTTGAGGAAAAGCATGGACAGAAGCAGCCTGGTGTCTGTGTGTTGGTGGAGCCCTTGTCCCATGCGTGGACGGCGGAGCCGGAGGGTCTGGGGGGATTGTGTAGAAGCTCCCGCACCGGCACGCCTTGTTGATTCTCCCAGCTTTCGCGGTTATCGGTTTGTTGGTTGGTGGTTCCAGCTTGTTGCTGTTGTTGTCTCGCTTGCTGGAGGGTGTCTACTATGGAAGGGTGGACTTGGACTGCCCCCATGGCCGCGCTATTGAGAATGTCAGTGGCTAGTTCGTTTTGCGCTCATCTGGTGATAATGTTTCTTCTGAGGACGTACTTGAGCTTAAGATTCTTGGACCTGATACTGATTCCGGGCTTGTTATTCTTGTTGCTATTGGTACAAGCACCGTCGCATCGGTGAGGTTCGGCGCTCATGGGGGGCTGAGGTTGGGGTTGGTTCTTGACTGGACTGGCCATGGTTGCTGATTGGCTCGTGTGGAAAAAGGGGGGATATTAAACGATGGACTTTGGTGTGTATTAAGTTTACGTATTCAATGGTGATAGCTGATGTTTCAATCCAATGTATAAGCGATAGTTGGCGTTTTGACGAATCTGCTTCAATGAACAGTGAAGAAAGGTTGAGACGACGGGTGATTGAGAAGCGAGTGTAAACGGGCAAACGCCCTGTGTCTCTCAGGTTCCTCCTTCCGCGATTCACAAGGGAAGCCATGATGAAGTCTTCTTTATCAACATTTGAAGTTGCGCTGAGGTTTACCTAGATTACCTAGGTAGGCAAGAATAACCATCAACACGTCAGGAAGGAGTACTTCCATGACGTGGGGAACTTCGGTCAATTCATTGCCTGTCGTCGCGCATGGTCTAGACTTTCCATCTGGACTAGAAAATGGTTCACGAGGTTTTCACATGCAAATAAATACACGTGCCAAGGTATCATTCAGCATTGCCCTGTCGCGGGACAATCGCGATGGAGAAGAAATGTTCCGAGCGTCGATCCGGAGATATATTTCTCGATAGACATCGTAAAATAGACAGTCTATTAAGCGTCCCCTAATTTATAAATCCTCTCGTTTCCCCAGATGGGAAATCCTTCGTCTGCTTGTCTTGAGTTGTTAGCAAGGTGTTGAAAGGCATACGTGTATTAGGGGAAACCTCGTGTTGAAAGAATACATATCGGATGTTTAAGTGTATAAATGACGGTGATTCGATGAAAAGAGTAAATTTAGGAGGCGCGGTACCCGCTATCACAAATACAACCATGTAACAGCACATCATCCGGTGAGATGACGCGCAGGTATACAGGCTAGTACCCAAGTTCTAGGCCTGAAATGGGCTTTCAGTCAGCCTCAATGGAAGCCTCACTCCTCAGCTTCCTTGTGGTAACTTATGATTCGGTTCCCTAACCGATGTTAGTGTTCTACGAGCCTCCAATCAAGTTGGATTCGGGACAAATAGATTTTCGATTATTGGGCGTGTTAGCCAGTTAGGCTCACAAGTTAGATGTGAAATATCCTCATCAATATTAATTTCTTGTCTTCGTTTTAATAAAGAAGCCGGGGCGGTAGTAGATGGTCGGTATGCCCATAACTTTAATGATATATCAGTTGCTAATTTTGGCACCTGCGTTTCTACCAAATGTAGAGTTGAGTGTTGATGTGTTCCAACCTGGACATCTGCCGGACAACAATGAGGCCAATGGGAAGGAGTTCCAACTTAGAACGTCCACTAGACCTGTACGCTATTAACTATCTACTATAATTTGTGCGTCGCTTGGTTGTATCATGAACAAATTCTAGAGATCGTTCTCTTGGACGAATCTAGAATGAGAGAATCAGCTATCATTTCACCTATAGAAACGGATAAAAGGGTCTATCACTTTATCTATTAATAATTCGAGTTTATATTCTCCCGATGGTGCCCCCCTTTTATTCTTAAGTCGTGTGGTATCTTCTAGCGGCGCCACAGCGTCGCATAGCTATATACATTTCAGTACCTGTGTAGGTGAAATTGCAAGGCCTAAGTTAGGTATTGAAGCCTAGAAGCCGTAGCCCATCGTGGGCTTCCTACTTAAATATTAGCATATGGTTTTTTATTGGACAGCTAGTTGGTAAATACCAATTGCGTCGGATCAGGAGGAACCCAAGTGATTCGTCCAATATTACGGCTCTACTCCCATAGGTGAAATTAGAAGCTCCAACGTCAAGATCGTCCCTTGAAACATTCCATAAGACCGTAGTTTCTGGGAGAGAATGCACGTGAGCTTTAAAAATTGCGTGTCTATTGGGGAGGAAACGTCCCCAATATCTGACACCTACCCCATAATGTCGTTGTGTCAGCCCTATTTGTGCTTCACTGTCAGGTTAGTTCTATGCGGAGCCCGAGAGTTGCCCTGATCAATTATCATTAATCTCTATAACTTCATCGGCCGCCAACATGAGAGGTCGTTGCTTGATTTAGTCCGCAAGCGTACATTTGACAGTGCGTGAACGTCAAGTTCTGTCGAGGGGGCATCTTTTACTGAGAGCAATTTCATGGAAATAGTAAAATCAGAAAGAACCGAAGATGGAGTTGTAACACAGGAAAATATTTGGAATATACATATTACTGTATGATCTGTACTAGACAATGATGTTGTAGGAGGAAGAAATAATCTAAACCTTAAAAGGCAATAAATTATCCTTTAAGAGGGCGGGACTCAAATGCTGGTACCTAGGCAATTTTATTGGTGGAGCTGTAGGGTTGTATAGCGTATATGCTAACCGTATTATACGTACGTATTATACCTGCGGATTTCATGAAAGGTGAAGTCCGAGATAGATAGTCCGAGGTGGCGTCTTTGAGTGGGGCAACACTTTCACCAGGATACCCTAACGGTAAATTTAAGAAATTGTTGCCGTTTCCCTCTTCCTTTTGTTTCCCCTTATTTCATCTTACCATCAATCTTCTTAGCAATTTCCATGCCTACGCTTGCGAAAGTCGCCCTTCCCAAGATATCAAAGACAGGAACGTCTACTGCAAACACTTTTGCTATCCAATTTCGCAAATCAATCGCGGAAAGAGAGTCAATCCCATAGGTATAGATTGGGTTGTGTTGATCCAGGCCATCATTGGCGATGCCTAATAACGCCGAGACTCGTTGCGCTAGGGCCCCGCTCACGATATCGGCCGCTTCATCGCACGTCTTCGCGATAGCCAGTCGTGATGCAGTATCCAAAGTTCCCTTGCTTTTGGTCTTATCAATGTCTCGGTTGCCTTCAGTATCATCTCCCTGAGCGGGTAGGTGGTGCATATGGCCCCACAGTGGCTGCATCATTGTGTGTGGTATCTCCGTATTGTGCTTCCAGTCCGAAGGTGGCAATATGCCAAAAATGGGCTGGCAATAGTCGCCATCCAGAGATAGCTGCGTATTTTTCGGGTCGCAGTAGATATCCAAGAGCACGCAGACAAGATCCATGGGCATCATAACTAGCTTTCTGTCGTGTGCGATTTTATCCATGCGTTTCTGGTGGTTAGTCAGGTAGCCTACGTCGGATATACCCCCCAAATCGAGGGCAACGGCGCGCTCTCCCTGGGAAACCCGGAGTCGTGCAAGCTCGTCTTGAAACGTGTTACCTGCGTTATATCCGGCGAGCGAGCCCATCCCTAACAAGGCCATCGCAGAGGATGTCATGACGAAGAAGTCGAGACCGTTAGGGAGTACAGTGTGTAGGTTCCACGAAGCTTTGGCCTTTGAATCAACAGCTGTTTTCCATTCATGGAACTTCATGTTCTCAAAGATTGATTCCTGCCCAAAATTGGTCAATCATTTGCAATTGTTACCCTTAGTTCTCAATCTACTCACTGTCATGACCAGGGCTGTTATAATACAACCCTTTACCTGCGGGAGTCGCGCAGAGCAACTCTTGAGAACCAAACGCAACACGCTTTCATCGGTCACATCGCAGCATGGTGCCTCTACATTAACTCCCTCGGTGCTTATCTCACTTAAGAGTTTTTGGGCTTCCTCCGTTTGAGGACCAGAGCGGGACAGTAGGATGAGATGACGAGCACCCCGATTCACAAGCCAGCGCACTATGGCCCGTCCTATACCGCCAAACGCTCCCGCGACCAAGTATGTCGCTGCGGCGTCTAGTGTAAGTGTATGTTTCTTTTCTACTGCAATCTAGCAATCGATTAGCAATCTGTATAAAGTTACTCAGATGGAAACTTACATTCGCAGTGAATGGTTCTTCTAGAGTAACCACAACGTCTTGATAAGGCGCCTTTCGCAGGCGTTCGAGAGTAGACGGTAGATCCGACGCCGACATAATTGCGGTATTTTTATCCTGTTTAAGTCCCAGGTCCATAGCTACCGCGACAGCGTCTCGAAGGATCTCTGTCGACAAATTGATATTGTCGAAATCTACAAAATGTATGCTAGCGTTTTGGGAGGCTAGGTCGATATTGTGGCTATCATCGAAAAGGGAGAGGTGACCTTTTTGACGTAAAACGATACAGCGTCCACCTGGACTCACATAGCGCATGATGAGCGATCGATCCGCTTCATTCATCAAGATTAAGTCAAACTTGGTCCTCCACTCCGACAGAAGGGCGGGTTGGTCAGTCAGCCAATTCCTTGGGAGAATACGTTCTTGTGGAATATTCATGTCGTCCGAAATCTGACCCGCTTCTTCCACGTCTTGAGCCATTGTCCAGATATTGGATACGCCTAGGTTGGTTACAATAGCAAGAATCCCGAGTCGTAGTGATTCCGGGATGCTATGAAGTAGCACGGCGCTATTGGCGTGGATGTTACCTATTTGAACAAGCAAGTGATAGGATATGATTACTGGGGGAACAACTGATGCAACTTGCGAGAAGGTCTGATCTGCCGATAGTTTTACCAATGACTTGGGTGGTACCTGTACATGAGAGCGGAATGTTGTTTGGCAGGCGGCGAATACGCGATCATGAGAGCTGAATCCTGAATGCTTGCCGGCCTTGGAGACTACCCCTGAAAAGAATCGGCCGACGGGTTCAGCTTGCGACTCCGTAACAGCAGGACCTCGAGACTGGAGCCTCATTGATTTTACAGCGACCTCGACGCAGTCGTCGGGCAACTCCGATTTAGTTGTGCAGTCTTCGGCAAGGTATGCCTCGAATCCATCGGCTTTACGGGTTTCGGATACTGTAAATCGGATGCTGGCATCGACGTTCGCCGGTACTACTTCAAAGGGTGTGTCTACGGTATCCATCATTGACCTGAGTCCATGCGCTTCTTCGAGACGCCGTGAGTGCAGGATGCCATCTACCTCGCGGTACTCTTGTTCATAAGGCTCATATGGGGCTTTAGAAGCCATCTCTTTGATTATTGAGACGGTATGTGATACATGTCGATCATCCAGACCCCCCGAATCTAAGGCGAGCGTGACTAGGTGAAGACCAATGTCCTCTTGCCGGAGAGTGCGTACGAGCCCGTCAATGAGCCCGGTGCCCGGTTTTTCCTGGTCTCCTACTGTCAATACCCAGAGTAGGTGATGAGAACAACCAATGAGAGACTGCAACTGGGCCCAGCTGCGTTCGTCTAAGTAGCCCAGAAAGTCTAACTTGTATTCTGCAAGAAATACAAATAGCTCGTCCTCGCTGACAGTTTCCCTGCCGGATAATGAGTCCAAAGAGGTTAAGGACGGCTCAAGTCCTACGAAGTTCTTGAGAGACTGGAAGAGTGCATTCGCAAATTTCTCCTGGGCCTCGGATGTGTCATTGACGACAAGTACAACTTTATTGACACCCAAGCAATTGCCGTTCGGGGGATAGGAATCGGACTCAATGGCCGTTGATACAATCCAGCCGTAATGATACAAAGGGTCATCATCGCGATCTTCGAGAACAAGCTCGTTTCCGCTGAATCCAGACTCTTTCAAAGCAGTGTCCCAACCATCGAGGTCAAGATTCGGGGACAGCGATCGATTATCTTCAGACCCAGCCCACCAACCCGGGAACAGGCCAAAGATAAACCCAAGGCTCCACCCATCAGTTTCAAAGGATTCCTGTATGATTAACTTACCCCCTGGCTTTAACGTTTTGCGCACATTCAATAGAGTCTGTGCTAAGTTCGATGCGACGTGGAGCGTGCTGACCGCAATGACCACGTCATATTGTCCAGCCTGGAATCCTTGAGCGGTGAAGTCACGTTCGATGTCTAGTACTTTGAATGTCATCTGGGAGTGGAACCGTGGAAACTCTCCACGAGCAGTTTCCAGGAAAGCCGGAGAGATATCTGTGAAGTCGTACCTCTCACAGCGAAGGGAGCGTGTGGGCTCTCCTTGACGGGCATGAAGAGACTGAATTATGTTCCGCGTCCCGGATCCTGTACCACCACCTAGCTCTAATATTCTGAGGCCTGGGCTCCGGTGAGCGAGCATATCCATGTAGCTTGCTATCATTCGTGCAGGCCTATAAGTTGCCGCTTCTTCATAGTAGTTCCGAAGCAGGTCATTTTGGAAAAGTAGCTCGATCGGACTGCTTCGTCCTTGGAATATGTCTAGAAGATTGAGAGCGACGGTAGAATAAACCGCACCGCATTCATTCTGTCGTCGAAGATTCTCGGAAAGCTCTTCCAGAGAAGGTTCTTCGAGAAGAGCTCCATGCGATTTTGAGTCGGATTCCTGCGTCCGTCGCGCGCGCTGAGTATGATGCTTTGCCCAGGTAAAATATTTTCTTTGCCACAGCTCGTTACACATACTTTCGTTGACGCTTTGCAGCAGATTATTCAGTGACATGATGATCATGCGCCGCAAGTCCCGGGGAAAGGTGGATCCATCCTTTCGAGCTGGGTGTATGCGATTCAATAGGGATTCAATTTCCTTTGGTTCGAGCATGTTAAGTGCGGGCCTTTGGCTGATGAACATACAGAATCGATCTAATCGGGATCTTGCGGGCGTGTTGCTTGAGATATTGGTTACATTCCTGACCTCCAAATCCTCAAACCACAACCTAAGCTCCGATCCGCCTTTCCCAGCTAGAGCAGCTCCCCGGCAGAGAAAGCCTCGAGGATTTGTCTCCGTTATGTCTGTGCATGCCAGTACACTCTCTTCGCCCGGCCAGCTGAGGCCTGTGCTAGAAACCCAGAGCGAACCTATACGCGCGGGTACACAGGTTGTAATTGGCTCACGCCCTCCAGATGTCAACGCCGTGTATGCCAAATGGAATACAGCGTCAAGGGATGCAGGATGGACGACATGTCCTTCCTCTATTCCTTGGAAGAGTGAGATGTGGGCAGATGCGTGTTTTTTCTTGTGATGAAATGTTTGATTTTGCGCCCTTCGGAAGAGAGGGCCGTATCGAAGCCCGCATTGCTCCAAAATGTCATACATACGATCCGATTCGACAAGCGAAGCGCACTCCGCTATCATTGACGAGAAATTTTCAGAGGCCTTCTTGCGTTTCAGCGTAGTCTTTTTCCGGGCCCAGCTGTCTGGACTGCCTGATTCCTCAATTGCGACGATACCTTGGCAATTGGTCAACCAGTCTGCTCCCCCTCTCCTACTAGAAATAGTAAAGCGAAAAGCCTGCTGGTCGTAACCGTCAGAACGCAGAGTTTGCAGCGTCGTCCGAACTTCGACTGCGTGCCCCTTCTGGGAACTCAAATCCACTGGGGCTTCAATCTGCACTTCTCGGAGTATATATCCCTCTACGGATTCAGGGGCCTCGTGTATTTGTCTGGCCGCTTCTATGGCCATTACCAACATGCTTGAAGCCGGAAAAAGGTTGGCCCCGTCGACGACATGCTGCTCTAACCAAGGCGTGTCGGATGTGCGAATGTGGTTATACCATCTAGGCTCCGCAGAATCCCATTCTCTTGAGCGTGTCCCTAGAAGCTCCGTGGGTGCGTGCGTTCTGTGACGGTAATTTTGGCTTAGTTGCCCTTCGTGCCAGTAATGTTTCGAGTGGTTGAATGGGTATTCGGGTAGGAAAGTCAGCAATGACCTTGAAACTGAGGGGCCTTCAGTCGGTTCATTCACAGCCCTCAGGTCAAGCGGGAGTCCTATACTGTGCAATTGCCCAACTGCTTGCAGCAAAGACTCATCAGCAGATTGATTTCTCCTCAGGAAAGAACTATATCCAATAGTGCTTTCAGGTGCATAGGCCTTCAACGTCTCACGAATCGGGCCCTGTAATGCGGCATGAGGCCCTATCTCTACTATATGGTCCACTTGAGAAGCAAGTTCCCCTGACGATGCGCACATGGTCTCGATGGCCTTAGAAAATTGGACTTGTGACGTCATATTGAGGGCCCAGTACGACGGCTCGCAGAGGCGATCTGTGGCTACGTATTGGCCTGTAACGGTAGATACCATAGGCGATCGTTGAGATTCAGGCGGTAGATTGAGCGAACCAATCATGGACTCCAGCTTAGATGCAACAGACTTCATCTGGTCGGAATGATATGCCACGCCAACCCGCAATTTACGGGCAAAGACCTTTTGTTCATCAAGACGTAACTTGAGCTTGTCAATTAGGTCTTCTTCGCCAGCTACGGTCACGCTGCGGGGGCTATTAACGCAAGCAATAGAGACTCCGAAGTCTCTTCCTTCTTTTTTGGCGGCCTCAAGGAGTCCACTGGCGTCATTTTCTGGCATACCAACCGCCATCATAGCACCTCGGGTACCGTCATGAGACAAGTTAATCAATGTAGCCGCACAAAAGCCTCTAAGGTATGCCAACTTCCAGGCGGATTCAGATGATATATAACCGCCGGCAAATCTGTTCACACTTGCGGTTAGCGATCCGAAGCAACGGACATAGAAGCAAAGAATGGTGGGTTTACGCTGCGGCAATTTCGCCAGAGGAGTGCCCAACCACAGCGGTTGGACGAAGACCGAAACCTCTAACAAGTTTCACGAGGGCTACTTGAAGTACTGTTGTGAGAGCTTGGCTTATCTCTGGATCGTCAATCTTGGAAGTGCTTTCGCTTCTGCCAAGTTCCTCTACTCTAAGTTAGCCAGGGCGCAGATTCTAACCAGTAGGGGCTATTCATACCTCTCACAGACCACTTGCATCCTATGCTTCTAAGGTACCGCTCAGCACTCTCCAACTCGAATCGGAAGGACATGTATTTCGTAAGTTCTCTTCCCATCGCAAACCATTGTGCTCCTTGTCCGGTAAAAACAAAACCAATACGCGGTATTTTAGGAAAAGATTCTTGGGGAGAAGACATTTGCGACGCAAGGCTCTTTATATCGCTAGGAGAACGTAGCAACGCATAGGATCTCCAGGTCAAATGACTTCTATGGCTGTCCAGAGTATATGCCAGGTTCGACAAGAAATTTTGATCCCCTTTTAGCGAGTCGAAATATGGCGCGTCGTGGTTTTCGTACTCAGCAGTTATTCGAGCTAGACCATCGTAGTCTGCAGCAGACCAGACAAAGAGCCGGATATTGGTATCTTGCGCAACAGACGCCTCATCTGCGAGAGAGTCATTCGCGGTTGTAGAAGTCAGTGTCGTACAATGATTCCCTTTTAAGCCTCTTAAATGGAGGTAGTGGTATGCGTCATCGAGAACGACATGGCAGTTAGCGCCACCGTACCCGAAAGAGTTTACAGAAGCCCTACGAAGCCCACGAATTGGCCAAGTATGTGACTGCTCCGGAAACTAGGTGTGAAATCATATTAGCCTAGGTAAAATTCCTAATCGCGCTCTCTCGAATAATCAATCGTAAATACGGACAAGCCTACCGTGATTCTTAGATACTTAGAGTCTATTTGGCTATTGAGCTTCTCAAAGTTTGTGTTTGGAGGTATTGTACCCCTTTCCAGCACAAGAACCGCCTTTATGAGACCTGCTAAACCACTAGCCCCTTCAAGGTGCCCTATGTTCGACTTGACCGCGCCTCTAACAGTGGAAACGGCGTATCAGCAAACAGATTCAGCAGACGCTTAGGAATAACTCACATATAGACAGGGTCTAATTGCGATCGGTGTTCTCGAAAAGAAAGTCCAATAGCGTTAGCTTCACGGGGGTCTCCAGTGGCCGTCCCAGTCCCATGAGCCTCAACATAGCGTGTGTGTGCCATCGAGAGCTTCGCTCGCTTGTAAGTCGCTCTTATCAGTTGCTCTTGTGCTTCGCTACTAGGTTGTGTGATGTTGGAGGTCCGACCGTCTTCGTTGGATCCAGTAGCACGTATCACGGCTCGGATGGTGTTTCCATCACGAATAGCGTCCGACAATCGTTTGAGAATTACAACGGCGATGCCCTCTCCTCTAGCGTAGCCGTTGGCTCTATGGTCAAAAGAGTAACACCTACTATCAGGCGAAAGAAAAGATATATTTGACAACCCCGTGAAAATCTCTGGGGCGAATGTGAGATTGGTCCCGGCGACTATACTCTATTCCTCGTTAGTACGATAGTCGGCCAACGTTTCGTCTTACCTTACCATATCGCAAGCCCCGCCCCGAAGCGCTTGACAAGCGATGTCCAATGCCATGAGCGAGCTTGAACAAGCCGAATCCATGGTAATACTAGGACCTTTGAGGTTGAAAAACCAACTCAACCTATTCGCAAGCATGCTTAAGCCGATGCCAACAGCCCCATACGCCGGAAGAGTCTCGGCGTCTCGGTAAAGCTGAATCATGTAATCCGATCCAAAGCACCCGGCATACACAGACGTGGCCGAACCAGAGACTTTCTCCATGGGGATGCCCGCTGATCGACACAAGTATTAGCATTCCAAGATACATCATTTTACCCCTTGCTGGGGTTTCCTACGTTGCTAGGATTAATTACCGTTTTCAAGAGCATGAAATGCTGTCTCTAAAAGCCATCTCTGCATTGGGTCGATAGAACTAACTTCAGCAGGCGACAACGAGAAGAAATCTGCATCAAAGACTTCGATATCCTCCGCGATGAAGTGCCCACCGCGTGCAGGGAACTACTCAAAAGTTAATCCTGGCCTATTTACGCCTTTGGAAGTGTACAATGATTCCAGCATTGTTTACACCCTCATATCGAGTGAAGACTTACTGTATTTCTTGTGCGTTCCTTCTTGTAAAAACCTTCTATATTCAACCGATTTTTGGGAAACTCGGTCATCGCGCACCGCCTTTCGACAAGCATCTTCCAGAAAGCATCCGGAGATGTAGCATCTTGTGGAAATTTGATGGAAAATCCGCAGACACAGATTGGATCTTGTTCGTCCCCATCGAGCTGCCCATCGAAGCCGCAAACCGGATCTTGACTATTTGATGACATGTTGAATCCCCGAATCTAGATACGGTGAATTCTTCTAGAGTATTTGCTGCTGATAAAGCCAAGTTCACATTAAGGTGGTTAGAAATGTCTAGGAGTTCAACACGATACCACAGAGGTTTCTTAATAGTAAAGAGACCTATTCTTTATGCCATAGTTGCTATGTATCTACCTATGTAACCATCAAATTTATAGCATCTGGCCCTCGCAAAACTCCGCTCAAACCAGACTAGCCTCTGGATATCGGCTTGCGGTGAATCGACGATTAATTCCAATCAGACAGGAGGATCGATTCTACCCGTATGGCCAGTATCAGTTAGCTACCCCTATGAAACGTACACCTATGTATCGGTACCTACCAAGAAGTTGCTGGGTACTTAAAGGGGCAGCGACTCAACGAGTCAACTGTCTGCATATGCTGGTTCCTTGGAAATAATTCAGCACCCAAATATATCGTTCTTCTAAGCATCTCCACAGGAATGGGTTGGTCACACAGAACAAAATAAGAAGCTAGAAGAAGCTTTGCAGCGTCGGCCGCCATCGATGTAACATTCGTGATGGTTTAGGAAATCTGCTTATATTTGTTAATCTCTGGGTTGCACTTGAAAGGTTTTTGGTCCTTTTGTACTACCTTGTTAGCTCATTGGATCAGAGAGACTTTTCCCATTTGCTTCTTTTCCTCTCGGTCGGTTTCCTCCCCGCTCTCTGAGGGTATGCCTTTCGCCATACAGCCCAAATCCTCTCTGCTCGTTTCTCGAGGTCTCATTAATCGACTTAACTCGCTGACATACTTTCCATACAGTCTGTGCGCGATCACTTCACTCTTTATCAAGTTATTTTACTCTGCTGCCTACCGGTTATGGCTACTGGCGCGACGCCGCCCCTAAGCTCCTATGAGGACGACCGTGGACCGAATTTCCGTGCCTATATTGAGGCCCTCACAGTTATCGCCTTAATAGCGACTGCTCTTCGATTTTGGTCTCGATCTCTTCATACGCCTCATGGGAGACAAAATTACCGCTTCTGGTGGGACGACTGGTTCGCTTTAGCTGGCGCGGTAAGCTTAGAAAGTCGAGCAACAAAATTGATATTTCCTAATAGTGAGCTTTAGACAACCCTCATAGGCCAGTTCGCTGTGACTATTCTGTCAGTAGAAAACGGACTTGGTCGTCATCTCTGGGCCTTATCTGAACAACAGTTGGATTCGGTTCTTAAGTTGCTATGGGTGGTTTATTGGGTATACGACGCCACACTATTGTTAACCAAAGCATCCGCTCTTCTCTTTCTCACGAGGATCTTTCATCACCACAAGAAAACAGAATGGTTCAACGTACTCGTATTAATAACGCATGGCCTCAACGTCGCGTGGTTCCTCGGAATTATAATTGCGACAATCCTTTTTTGCAACCCAATCGAAAGGAATTGGAAGCCGACAGTTCCTGGAACTTGTGGGATACAGAACAACCTCTACCTAGGAAGTGCAATTCCTAGCGTTTCAATCGATTTTATCATTTTAATATTACCTCTGCCGAAGGTTTGGCACCTCCATACCAGCCCTGCCAGGAAATGGGGCATCAGTCTTGTCTTCGCCTTAGGATACGGGTGAGTTGTTAACCGCTAGCCATATCGATTCTCTTGTTTAATTATGCTCTAGTGTGATTGTTGCGTCACTTGGACGCCTCATTACCGTCTTAAAGGAGAGTGCCGCTTTGAACACGGATATCACCTGTATGTCAATTAGCCCTTGGTCTGCTACGAAAACATCGCTCACATCATGTAGATAAGGGCATCGATATATTTTACTGGACTTGGGCCGAATCGCCCGTTACAATTCTCGGTATCAGCCTGCCTGCTATGCTGCGCTTGAGTTACTATTTGAGCCAAACTTACATGCAACCTCTGTTGACTAAATTTTCTTATTTGCTTTCTCGAAGCACACTGCGAAGCCGTTCTGGCAATTTCTCGTATTTAAGTAACACCCAAGACCCCATACAAGGCGTCCATTTAATTTCAAATAACGCTTCCGGGTCTATTCATATATCAGATAATAAATTCGACGCTCTGCCCTCAAGTGGTATCAGGGGGGACGTGTTGCACCTATCCGACAATCAACAGAATTATACCGCGCATATAGACTGTGGCCGACTAGATAGGCCTGAGAGTAGCACATTGCCGAATGACTCAATTCGGGTTGAGAGTGATGTCCAAGTTAGTCGACAAGGGCTCTAGCGACCCTTCGTGCTCGGTCAAACAAGTTTTAAGGGGGTGTTACACCAGGAGTAAGCCCTCCAAGTGTGGCTTAGCAATAGATACATGACGAATCAATAATGGTTATCAAATCAAGATTTTCTTAGATAATGTGAGAAACGATTGCGATTGTTTGTGATTGGTCATCAGGGCTATGTTGCCCCCTCTATTGAGGTTAATAAAGGTCGGCCTAGATCGCAAGGTTGTGTAACAACAACACCGACAAGCGATGAGGTTACACTTTTCACGGTGCCACAGCATGTCGGATGCTACGGAACCCGAGCATGGGATTGTGCATAGTATTTAAGCCATGTACATCTTACTGGGCGATTGAATCAACCTGACCCTCTTTCCTTTCCATAAGCTGCACCTGGACCATCCACTGCCTAATCATATGTTATCTAATACGGAAAGCAAATTTTTGACATACATACCCAGATACCTGCCCATGTATGCACATGGTTATGAGATTGGAAAGACTCTGCGAGGGTGGTGTTAAAAACGATATATAAGCGCCTGGGTACCTAGGCTAGGTATGGTGTGAAATCTTTATGTTACACAATGACTCGTTGAAATAGGGACCAAGACAGACATTGGAGCCGATATATTAGGCACCTATATCCCCGACGTTGCATCGACCGAATGAAATTGGAAGTCCTATCATGTCGTACGAAGCGAACCCTACCTACCCTCTAAGATACCTAATCACTCTAGCTTCTGATAGTCACCATTCACCTGTTCTAGAAGAGCAACCCATCGATACCCGCCGATGATGTGCATGAGCCCCACGAGTTCCATCTTATCTAGCCGGGAACTCAATTCAATCCAACTCTCATCATCTAGGCGCCCTGTCAGCCCTGTAAGAGTGCGGCCAAGACGGTACGCTGCCTGTTCCTCCTCACTCAAGTCCGACGGTACCCTGCCTGCAAGCGCGGTCTCATATTGCTCTTGCGAGAAACCTAGCCCTTCTGCGATGGCTTTGTGACTGCGCGCGATGAAAGGCACATCCAAGACAGAGCATATGCCGACGATTGCAAGCTCACGGTTACGTGGCTTTACACCCTGAGCGCCGTATGCGAGCTTACCCATGACGAAAAACTGTTTGCACATTTCAGGCGTGTAGCTGCACTCCGTTAGTCAGCTGGCCTCCTCAAGCTTGCATGGTGGGTGGGAAGGCTCCATTATAGAGAATGGATATCCTCCTAGGACAACTTCAACGTACCTAAACGGCGCATAGCACGCTAAAGGCGACTTTCCGTCATCATCGATCCATTTGAACGGTGGTGGACCATTGTGCATAATTGACAAGGCCTGTCTGTGCGTAACTAGAAGTTAGAAATCGCTATTGGCAACATAGGAGACTGATAGCTCAGCTATCGGTGGGTCGTATAACGTATAGGAACGAACCTTCTGCTAGGGACGGAAGTGGCCGATAGACATACTGTACTGCGTCGATAGCTGATTCGACATTGGCTTCATCGGCTGGAAAGCGTGGAGACATCGTAGTTGTGAATAGAACGGCGATGGTCTAGACTATCTGGTAAGTCTTCTTAGACGCTATTTGCAAGACCCCTTTCTTCCAGTGATGTAATGTCAGGGTTATTTATAACACTTCCGGGTAGACTAACGAGCCGGGCCGCATCTACCTACCTAGGTAGGTACCTAATACATCAAAAGCAATATGTGTAGACCTCCAAGGCTACTTCGCCCCCTTTCGCTCCCACCCAATGCCAACTATCCTGATATCCTTTCCGTTGCGAAAATCGTTTCCGCCGTGATATTATTCGCAACTAAGTGTTGTCGTACAATTCCTATATCGTATACCACGCCACAAACGCTTGTTTTGGTGTCACACGAACCGATAAATGTTATATCGCGGCACGTACACAGACTCCCTAAACAAGTATAGGCCTGCTGACAGCATATGGCCTTTTCCGGAGCCTACCTAACCTCTATTCCAATAATACAACTTCTTCTGCTTCCGAGAAATCCCATTTCCAGTTTACTCAACATGATTTGACAAAAACTAAACTTGGGTTTCAGTGTACGTCGGAGACCATTTTTGGCCGAAAATTCTATACCGTGTAGCCTGTTTTCAAACAATAATCAACGCCCAAAGTATACACACCGTAATTGCACTTCGTAATTATCTCCTACAATCAACCGAACCTGTTAGATAGATTCGCCTAGAGGCTCCCGCTGTCATGAAGAGAGATCGTAAGGGACCTCTACGAGTCATAGTGGTAGGTAAATAATTTTTTTTTTTTTTTCGATTCCCAAAGACGTCAATAACTGATTCGTGGGTTTCTTCAAGGTCGGAGGCTCGATAGCTGGACTCATGTGCGGCATCGTGCTACGGCACGCTGGATGCGATGTCACGATTGTGGAGCAAGACGGTGACGAACGAGAAAGCCACATGTCTGGCATCTGTCTTGGACCAAGTGCTATAGCATTTCTTACTCGATTCAACTGTTCGCCCGCCACGTTTTCTCATGAAACCGACTGCCTCCAAGTCTTAAAAAACGACGGAGAGCGTCGTATACTTGCGAAAGGACGTCGTATAATCACGAGCTGGGATACGCTGTACTATCGTCTCCGTGCCGCGTTTGATAGATATGCCAGCCCTCATTCTTCAACATTACCACAAGACAACCTGCCCGGTACCGCTGAATATCTTAGCAATACTAAAGTTCTGGACCTTAAGCGTACCGAGAATGATTTGGTGAAGATTGAGGTGACTCTTCTAGATCAAGCCAGTAGCAAGGTGTACGAAGAGCACGCTGACATTGTTATCGGTGCGGATGGCTCTAATTCGTTCGTGCGAGGGAAGTATATACCTAGCGTCCAGCGCCGTTCTTCTGGATACGTAGCTTGGAGAGGGATTGTGCAAGAAGACCAAGTTTCTTCGGCAACACGCCAACTTTTCAACCAAGGAGTCACTCTCCACGTGATGGAGCGCCAACACTGCGTTGCGTATACGATCCCAGGCGTCAATGGCTCGGTCGAGCCTGGGAAACGGTTTTTGAATTTCTTATGGTATACAAACGAAGATGAAATCTCCATGGAGAACATTATGATAGACGCTACTGACGGTCGCCGCCACCGATACACTGTCCCCGCCGGGCACGTGAAGCCAGAGGTCTGGTCTGCACGCGTTGAAGATGCGCGGCGGCTGTGTTTACCGCCGCCGTGGCTTGAGGTAATTGCCAAGATCGACCAGCCATTCATACAAGTCATTTCCGAGTACTACTCGCCACGCGCAGTCTTTGAAGATGGCAGAGTATTGCTGGTAGGAGATGCGCTGTCACTATTCCGTCCGCACACGGGCCTAAGCGGGTCGCAGGCAGCCTTTCATTCCATGCAAATAGTGGACTATATAAACGGAAAGCTGACGATAGAAGAATGGGAAAAGGAAGTACTCGGCTACTCATACATCCACTGGCTTCAAAGTGTATACTGGGGCCAATTTAGTCAAGGGTCAACTGCGTCAGCTCTGATTTCAGGTGTTTACTACTGGGCGACCTACCTTTTCGACAGATTTAACTTGTGGTGGCAAGGAAGATCTTTAAACAGACCTAATGAATTTTCCCTGTCGTAGTTAGGCTGTCCCTTGAAACGGTTTTTTTTCTTGGTTATGTTAGACGAATAGCCGTATTGCATGAGGTAGAGTAGAATACCTATAGCTTCTTCATACAAAAAGAAAAAGGGGCGGATCACCCTAGGTGACGTTTCAACGAGAACTCAATCAATGGTTGCCCCATGAGTTTCGATCATTCGGCTGCGTTCGACGCATCGATTTTGCTATCTGTTCATAGTCCGCCAGATTAACGCCCCAAGCAGCTGCCTTCGGGTTGGTCGAGTCGCTAAGTCCGCAGCGTCCTAGAAAGGTGCCTAGGTAAGCAAGTAGCTCGCACTATAGGCCCCAACTTAGTGGCATTGTAACCTCAGGTGGCTGGAATTACACGAGGGCCTATGAGGATATCACCGACTCACCGTATCTAAACGCGTAATAAATTAATCAGAAGCGCCGGCTTAGTATCCAACAACACATGCGTCATCTATCACCGTGATACTGCATAAATTGCCCTGGCCTGCATTTGAGGCATATTAGTTGCGGTTGTGGCGTGGTGCTGAGCTCGCGTCTCTGAAAACCTACTGAGGATTGGCGAGACGGCTCATCCCACCCACCAGCCCGAACCCCGCAAGCAACGGTGTATTAGGATGGCTTACGCCAACTTCCTAGGCATGTACGTCGTACACACATAGGGATTCCTGCGAATTGTGTTGCGGAAAAGTTTGGGGCCGAAAAGAATGATGGCTTCCTACCTCGTCTGCACCTCCTCCATAGAATATTTCAAAATGGAAGGGACTCGTCAAAATTTGTACTGGTACGGAACAGTCCTTTGATAAGATGTCACTGGGCAGTGACAGGTACTACATAGCAGGTAGCCGTGCCCCCACCTGGAGCCTTATCCCTTGCTGAACCGGACCGTGTAACACTCAGAACTCAGAGCCTACCTGGGCAGTCAGATATGTTGGCCTGAATAGGGGCTTCACGCGCTTCTTCAATCGTTCAACGTTGGTTTGCTTATTTGTGCGTCAGCTCCCCAGCGCAGATACAGATGTCCTCTGCCCCGAATCGCCTATCAAGTTGCTTTACCACTACTTCCTACCTAATTTTCTATTAGTCAAAGCAAAACTAGCGCATCGTATCTTCAAAATATCCATCGCCGAAAATGGGACTGTACAGAGAATTACCCGATGACATCCAGACTGTGGACGCCATCATCGCGGGTGGTCAGTTTCATGGCGTTTCCCCTATGCCCAAGGCCATGCGATTGATTAACGCTTCACAGGAGGCACCGCCGGTTGCATTGTAGCCGCGCGACTTGCCGAAGCCGATCCGAATCTCTCAGTCTTGGTCGTTGAAGCGGGGCCTGACGGTGCCGGCAATCCCGCGGTCGACTATCCCGCTTTCTTCCTAAGCAATCTCACGCCGAGTGCCACAACTACTGCATTCTACAAAAGCCAACCATCGGAGAATCTAGGTGGTCGTGAGATTGTTATTCCCACTGGCGCCGTACTCGGCGGTGGCTCATCCATCAACATGATGATGTACAGCCGAGCCCAACGCGATGATTGGGATTCTTGGAAAATTCCAGGCTGGACCGCCGATGAGATGTTGCCATATCTCAAGAAGGTGTGATAAGCCCTATTATCACTCGTGTCAAGCTAAATATCACCCAACTGACTCATCTCAGTCGGAGACGTATCATGGACCTGGCTCAATGGATCGACACGGTTCCAATGGTCCGATCCATGTATCTAGTGGCACCTTTATCGGGAAGAGATGTCAAGATGACTTCATTTCTGCCATGAATAAAGTCGGGTGGCCCGAGAAAGAAGACCTTGGAAGTATGGATACCTGCAATGGGGTTCAGCGCGCGGTCAGGTTCATTTCTCCTGATGGCAAGCGCCAGGACACAGCTTCCAGGTACCTAAAACCCCTGCTCCAAGATGGTGTACGCCCTGGTCTTCATGTACTTGTTGAATCCCAAGTCGTGCACGTTCTATTCCAAGGGAAGAAAGCAAGCGGTATAGTGTACCAGCCAAAAGCCGAAGGCGCCGCCGACCGCACCGTGAATGCGAGAAATATGGTCATCGTCTCGGCTGGCGCCTTTGGCACACCAGCCATATTAGAGAGATCCGGTATCGGTAAGCCCAACATCATTCGCCGTGCAGGTATCGCAGAAGTCGTTGCGGATGTCCCTGGAGTGGGCCATCAGTACGATGATCATCACCTGCTCCTATATCCTTACAAATCAAACCTTAACCCTGATGAAACTATCGACGGGATCCTAAACGGCAGCCTAAATCCTACGGAGTTGATTCAGAATGACGCCAAAATCTTGGGCTGGAATGCACAGGATGTAACCTGTAAGCTCCGTCCCACGGACAAGGACGTCGAATCGCTGGGTCCTGTCTTCAAGGAAGTCTGGAACGAAGAATTTAAAGACAGCCCTAACAAACCACTGATGATGATGGCGTTGGTTAATTGGTGAGTTCATCTGCGTCTCTGTGCACCTTACGTACGAACTTCCCCCACCGGAACGCCTAGCTAATGAGTAACATTAGTTTCCCTGGCGAACCTATCGGCATCCCACCAGGGCAATACTTTGGCATCTCGACGTTTACCACGTACCCGTTCTCGCGAGGACATGTCCACATAACGGGCCCGAGGCCGACAGATTCTCTCGATTTCGACACAGGTTTCTTTGCGGACAAAAAGGGAATTGACCTTAAGAAACACCGCTGGGCCTACAAGAAGCAACGAGAAGTTGCCCGGCGGATGTCTTTATTCCGCGGCGAACTATCAAGCGGTCATCCACCGTTCCCCGCAAGTTCCAAAGCCGCGTGTATCGCGCCAGACGGTCCGCTTGTGGAGGTGCAAGATATCGAGTACTCGGCAGAAGACGACTCCATCATTGACGAATGGGCGCGCGATCACGTCAGCTCGGCTTGGCACTCCCTAGGCACATGCAAGATGGCACCGCGCGACGAATACGGCGTCGTAGACCAATGTCTAAGTGTTTACGGTGTCGAAGGGCTGAAGATTGCAGATTTGAGCATTATACCGAAGACAGTGGCTGCGAATACAAACAATACCGCTCTGGCTGTCGGCGAAAAGGCTGCTTCTATTTTTATCCAGGAGCTCGGCCTTGGTCGTCAGTAATTGACGGCGCAGTGTAAACTTGACAATAGTGAACTTGAAGAAAGGAGTGGAGGTTTTATCTTCCCTCATTTTCCACATTTCCTCAGCCTTGATCTCGTATCTTAACATTGGATTTTAGTAGACATGATAAAGCAACACCAATAGTGTCACCTACCTAGGTAGGTAATAGGTAGTCGTGGGAAAGTGGTGTGCGACACTGCCGTTCCCAACACTACCACAATGAAATTTCCAACAGCGAAACCGTCAGCCATCCTAAGCACATGTGGATATCTGTCTCGGATGTTCCGTGACATTCATTGGTCCGGAGTTTGGAAACTAAGACGGCCACATATCTATCGATAACAGTCCCGACGATGCCACAGCTCCATCTAAGCTCATTACCATTTCAAGTTAGATTGATTCTATTCCCATTATTTGTGGAGACGGTATATGGAAATGCAAAAGCAACCGATGCATAGATTCCATATAATCTTAGAGTAGGCACTTTATTCAAGCTAGTATGATGAGTCTTCAACAGTAATATATCTAGGATTCTAAGAAAAGGGTTATCGTCGATATATTAGCCTCCAATTTACGTTCATCCGAAGCATTATTGGCCCTATACCATTCCTATAATTAGGTACCATTTATGATAATTATCCTTTCCGTATTGGGATATTTATACCCGCCGCTAAGTCTGCCTGGGTCTTTGTGCTACCCAAAGAGCTTCGAAAACCCACTAATGGAACGGACCGGAGATATTGAACTGGGTCTAGATACGTGATTCCATTGGCCTATGACAAATATCATCTAACATTGTTGTCCCGGCCAGTTTCTTTCCCCGGACTTTCATGTCGCTTCTTCCTCTCAACCATACATATTGCCCATTTCTATCATTGGAAGCAACTGATAAATTGCTTCATAATTATTAATTACTCCGATCAAAATTTCAATGTATACATGGTACTAGCCATGCACAACCTTATCAACCATGTTGTTTCGTAGCATTTACCCCTATTTCCAAGTTTCACAGTAGCGAGACATCGAGACACTCCTATTCGATGTCGCATGAGCCACCATTGACCGCCGAATACTACCTCTCTATTCCCTATTCATTTTTTTTTTCGTAGCGGATGCGGGGATGTTATTGGAATAGATACAACCCTAATGGGTTGCACGAGGGGGAAAAAAACAAGAAAAAACCAAATCTCCATTGCCCCCGTTTCAATGCTTGCCGTTGAAATAAGTATCCGTCGAGTGTGTTGAGAATCTTAGATCGGACCACTATCCCCGAAGGATTCTGCAGTATGATCTAGAATCTGACACGGGGTCTTTCGTGACACCCATCCTGCACAGGCAGACGAGTTAACGAGATGTCGGAACTTATATAATCAAACGATGTTGAGACCTATGAAGATCAGCCAAATGATTCTGATTCTAGACGTATTTTCACAATCATCTCCGTCCTAATACGTGCGGAATGTCTCAACGATCCGAGAGTAAGAGTGGAGGTGGCGGAGTCGTGCACTCTTCGTCTACATACTGCCCCCTCCCGATCTAGCCCTATGGTCTACTGCAGGACTTCCAATGGTTTGGCACCTGGGAAGAACAGTGGCAAGGTCCTAAGCTAAACATGTCGCTCCCACGATTCGCGGGATGCACATCCTTGCCCTATGTCGTAACGCTGCCGCGCCTTTAGGTTACACCTAACACACCTCTCTAAGAAACTGGCACACTTCCAAAGCAAAAAGGAATATTGTAACATGATGATTCGTTCAAAACGGAGGGGGAAGCCCAGCAATAGAAACCTCATGTGCATCGCATCCGATGCAACCTTCACCTCGCCCGTCTTAGGTGGGATGAAGTGAAGCATTTTTATAACTTCAGCCCTACCCTCTTTTCATCTCATTCTCTGTGTTACTTGTTTTTGGCGTGAGGAGTTGTACATTTTTCTGTTCTAATTTTTCCTTTTCACCTCGTCTCAATATGAGCGAAAATGCCGTAGTGCCGAAACTTCCCGCCGAAAATGGCATCCATGTGTGGAGGACGGCCGTCATTATGCCTTTCATCACTTTCTCCTTCGTAGCAGCAAGATTCTACTGCCGATACTACATAGTAAGGAAATCGTGGACCATAGACGACTGTACGTTTTTCTCTGAAAGGCTCTGCCAGATCTATACTTACAAATAGGACCAGACGTAGTTGCGGGGACGATGCTCACCGTTATAGCACACGCCGTGCTGATGGCTAATGCGACATACCACGGTATGGGTTTACACATATGGCAATTTACGCCCGAACTGAATTCAGAATACTATCTCTGGATCGGCATATCATCCGAATTTTACGTATTAAGCCTGGCCGGTTTCAAGAGCGCGCTGTTGTTATTATACATACAGATCTTCGGAGTCAACAATAAGTTCAGGATAGCTTGTTATATCACCTTATTCTACACTCTCGGCTACCTAACGTGTAACGCCCTTACCGAATTTCTGGGTTGCCACCCTATCGCGAAGAAGTGGGATTCGAAACTACCTGGACACTGCATAAATACTGTTGCGGCGAATATCGCGTATGGAGCGGGACACATGACAAGTGATCTCATCATCGGCATTTTACCCCTAACGATGATATGGAGGTTGCAATTCCAAACGACGAAGCAAAAGATTGGCCTTAGTCTTGCGCTAAGTAGCGGCTTGGTGTAAGTTGCACGTAACGTGCTCCATGGGAACTCACTAACAGATAGGTATGCTAGTGCTTGGATGGTTGCCTGTGTCCGCTGGGCCATCTCGACATATAACATGCTAATCTATGACCGTCCTTGGTATGCGCTTCAATTATTTACTATCCTTTCTTGCATGCCATTCAGTTACTAATTAGTATCATAGGTGGGCCGGCATCAGCTTTACCTTCTCCATTCTCGAAGTTAACACAGGTCTCATCTGCGCCTGTGCAGCAACCTTCAGTCCCCTATTCAACGTCTTCTCCTCACGCCTCAAAACATGGACCAGTCGAGCAACCTCAAGCTGGAGCAACACCACCCGAAAAGCATCATTCAGCTGGCCCGGCACTCGAAACGAAAAGGAACCCCGTTCATGGCGACAACCCAGCCTCCCTGGTCCTACTCCAGATCCTGTATCACCACAACTACCTCACGCGCGCATGGGGCGCGCCACTCTATCAAATGATAGTCTAGAAGGTAGTTCATATAGCATGGAACCAATCGTAACCTCAAACCCAATGCCAAGCGTGAGATCCGATGACGACGAATTTGCGCATTTCGACCTCCATGGGTTCCAAGCCCTACATCCCGAAGACGATAGGCGGATAGTGTGAATGGATAGGACTTTTTTTGATTATTCAGAGGGGGGCATATTAACCCCGAACGGAATTCTATCACGTCATCCCCGAATGCGAACGGGTCCGTCGTATAATCCAATAGCAACGGTTCCGTCGGATACGGCTGGGTCGCTTACGGCGCTAGTTGCAGATATAAGAATCGAGTCGCGATGGATAGGCTGGGGTTTACTCAACGATTATAAATATTATCGTTGATGCCTAGGTCGGGTCAATTGCTAGGACTGGACTCGAGGACAGTCCTAATTTTCGCCGAACGCGCTCTTCAGGTCAGTCTTGGGTAGCAGCGCTATTCTGGAGAAGGATCGGGTTACTATGAAAATCTAGGAGAAGGAAGCTTCCATCTCCGCCGTATTCTTGGTCGGACATAAATGACGAGAGCCCTGCATACCCGACTTTTGGGAGCATGGAATGCGACGAGTTGCGATAGCACGCCAAGCGAGGCATTCTATCACGTAGGAGAGATCATTTTGAGTCGTATCGCCTCCCCCTTACTGCTCGTCTATAATCTCAAATTGTATTTCTATTTTTATGAGAGGTGTCGGATCTATATACCCAATATGCATTCATGGCGGCTTAGAAGGGGCTATGTTCAAGGCGTTGAGGAGGATTGTTGTTTCATCGACGATGCATTCTTATACCCTTTTCAGTTAATTGCGCAGAATAAACTGAAAATGTATTTACATATGATAATGAAAGATATAATGTTCATCAACCATCATGTTCACAACTACTTCTCATGAAGATCTGTTTTAATTGATGCTCATAGTAGTGGGAATACCGTCGCGAACGGTTTGGATGATTATACGGTGGGTTTAGCGTGTTATTTACGGAATCTCAAATCAAACATGAAGGGTTCGGATCAAGTTTAAACAGCAAGATTTATGTACCGAGGTAAATACATAAAACTTTAGACAAATTTCATTCATTACTTCACTTGCTATTTTCTATTGTAAAAATGACATTGTTATCGGGTGTTTTCGTAGTTATTAGACTTGGTAAAGGAGTGTTGAAGTGAGGACGGCGTAGTAGCCAGTTCCGTCAGTGTTAGATAACGTACGGAACGGTTACACAATGCCAAGCCATTTATTTCATCGTCAAGTTTCTCACTTCGAGCTCCAGCTAACTGGATCTCGTCAATGCAAAAGCAAATCCCAACTATTCACAAGACTTGGTAAGAGTATATTAATAAGAAGCAAATTTATTTTCCTCAGATAATCACCTCTGCATAATTGCCTGATCACATTTGCTGTCTTGCTTTGGTTGGAAAATCGAGGTGGTTGAACCTCAACAATGAGTTGTACCTCATTCACAGAATCTTGAATAGCAGCAAGTCGATGAGAATGAGTTATACAACTTAGCTACGCACTACCTACTCGAACCATTTCAGGGAGAAAATTATATAACAAGGGAGAGATATCGAGATATCAATCAATGGAAGCAAGACTAAATTGAAGGGAGCATCAAAATGCAGCCTCTACTCCGACAAGCCAGCGCAGCGACCCGCTGTGCAAAGCCATGGCGCTCACTCGCGCATTCGCCAGCAAAAGCAAATGCTTTCTCTCCTCGGCTCTTCAGCAGTGCAACACACCCACGAACATTAGTAAAGACATCTACTTCAATACTGTGCGAATGTCACCGACACCGTCAGATCAGAAGCTACAGCAATACCACCACCGACCCCATTGCCTTTACAGAGAACACAAATGAAGAATCAAGCAGTGGAAGGCAAAAGAAGAAATCCGATCCCTTGCACATCCTCTTTTGCGGCACTGACAAATTCAGCTGCGCGGCGCTCGAGGCGTTGTTCTCCGAACACATACGCAATCCAGATCTCATCCGGTCGATTGACGTTGTAGTGAGGCCAGGGAAGCGTACGGGAAGGGGGTATAAGGTTATTCAACATCGTAAGTCTCATTTTTCATCATTTTGCGTGTATATAAGCATGTTTCTAGATAGACGTGATTTCGTAATGAAGGCATGCCAGACAGTAAGGCTAATAAGTCTGCTATTACACAGCACCACTGAAAACACTAGCCGAGAAGCTCGAACTACCAATTCATGAGAGGGATACGTTTACAGGATGGGATGTAAGTTCTCTATTCACACCAACTGATTCCCGGTTCTCCTACTTCTTACACATACCACATCCCCATCCCAACTAACACTCCCAGCCACCCGAAAAAACAAACCTCATAATCGCCGTATCTTTCGGACTCTTCGTGCCACCACGCCTGCTCCTCAAATCTCAATACGGCGGGCTGAACGTCCACCCATCCTACCTCCCCGATCTCCGCGGTCCCGCGCCCCTCCAGCACGCCCTCCTCGCCGGCCGCCAAACCACAGGCGTCAGTCTACAGACACTAGACCACACACACTTCGACGCAGGAAAAATCCTAGCACGCTCCACCCCCATAACAATCCCCGAAAATGAAACCCTCGACATATTAACCAACCGCATAGCACCTATAGGCGCTACTCTCCTAATCCGCAATTTACAAGCCGGCGTCCACGTCCCACCGCTCTCCGAAGAACCGCCTTCAGAAGCAGTTAAGGCATACTGGGCCAAATTACTCGAGGAGGGAACAGTCGTAAAGACAGGAGCATCAAAGCAAACCAACATCTTCCTCCACGCCCCCAAAATCACAAAAACAGATTCTCAACTCCTCCCCTCCCACCTCAACACCATCCTCCAACGGTACCGCGCCCTCGGACCCTTATGGTTCATATCCCGAGACCGCAACGGCGTGCGTAAGCGGATTATCATAACCCATGTATCACCCCAGGACACCGACGACGCGTACGCACTCCAAAAGAATGCTGAAGAAGCGAAAACAAATCGCTCGTACTCAATCCCATTCATCCAAAACCACGAAGATAATACCGCGGCCGTGGCTGAGGATGAACCGCACATAGTACTCAATTTCCCAGGTGATAGCTCCGGCCGGTGCAACCTAGGGAAATTCCGTATCGACTCGGTGAAAGTCGAAGGTCAACCGGAGAAATCGCCCGAGGATGCGCTTCGGAATTTTCTTGTGCCACTACTTCCTGGGAGACTCTAGCGGATATATGTTAGATATCTCGGCATGAACTATAGTTTATCCGAGTGCTCAGATGGCCGGAAAAAAGCATTATATTCTTCAAATATTGTAAACTCGAACTAAGTATCACAAACCTGGGTAGAGATTAGTCTATTATCACAAGCATAATAAAGACTGAGAAGTGTATGTGGTAATACAATGACAATTGAGCTCGTATCTTAGAGCCAATGTCGACAATGTCGTTGTGTCGTGATAGTTTAATGGTACATAAGTGATATGCGCTCCCTCAAATTTGCTCCTATAAGAGCACCGTCCCCGTCCGCCGATCTTGTAGTTATCTCGGTGTACATAAGTGGTAGAGGTAGTAGGTAGTAAGTAGTAGGTAGCTAACACGGAAGGAGAACGTGTTCACATCTCGTCATAATAGCCCCCGAAGATTCCTCCCATATTTGATTTTGAACCTTGTTTGAAAGGTAACAAGGTCCCATTCAATAATCCTTCCCAGTTTTTTTCGTCATAGTTCACACATAATGGTAGCAATTAGAGGGGTTGGTAGTAAGTAGGGATGGCGATGTCCATTCTTGAGGAACATTTATTCCGCCGCCCAGAGATATATTGGTGAAGTAATTTATTTACTTCTGGTCCTTCTCGTCCGACGAGCTTCCCGCGCTAGAGGAAGTCTCGGTCTTGGTAAGGGCGTTTTCATCTTCAGGCTCCGGACCGTGGAGACTCTCTTCGAAGACAGGCTCGGGTTCGTTGAACTCGAACTTGGTCTTGAAGTCCATCAGGTGGTTGGAGTAACCGCTGCTGTTGGAGCGACGTCGGGCATTGACGAAGTTGAAGTTCTCATCGACGACTTCTGCACCCGCGGGACCCCTGTGAATGTCCAGTCAGCATTCTGTATCAATGGTCCAAATGACGTATGTGGCTAGTGGTATAAGACATTGCTTGACATACCAATTGGCCTTGCCTCCACCATTCTTCTTGGTCTTCTTTGGGTCGACACCATCGAAACCGTGCTTGGCGAAGAACTTAGGCACGTTGTCGTGAGGGGATACAGAGCCGTCAGCTAGGCCAGCGTGGTCCTTGTCGTTGTACTTGTGAGATCGAGTCACTACGAAGGGTAGCACGTGTTAGCAATTATGTAGCACGTATGGCATGAAAAGCTCTAGATGGCATCTACAAGCTATAGGTCTTCGACACTTGTCTTCAACCTGGTGATGTTGTTTGTAGCTGGGTTATGTATACTGGAGGGGGGTTAAGGGATGAGCACGTCACGCGAGGATCATGCGGGGGTGGATAGGATCGGGAGGATCCCTAGGCTTATGGATGAACCTACTTTTGATGGGATTTGAAGAGTAGGGGAATGACAAGAAACAGAAAGAATCAAGTCTAGATGATGATTGCCGATGAACTCCTGTGTATATGACTTCTAGATGGGAGACGAAGAGAAGAAGAAGATCAGGAGAGAAACCCGACAGCGGAGGGGCGAAGAACTATGTATGTATGAAGACGATCTGAATAGACAAGCAGATATCAAGGATGTCCAGTCTAAGAGCTAGGATTGGTCGTACAGATTTAATGAACTAACTCAAAGGGCAGCGATCGAAGGATTAAATAAAGGGTGGATGGATAGAGGAACGTCTGAACGTAATATAGGTAGGGTGGCTTTGGATGATTATTAGTCGACGTAGAACTTGGGTTGCATCAATGTCTTTGGCTGAGTGTGAGATGTGTGTCTGTCTGTCTGGGTTTGTTGGAGACTGGAAAGAAATCTCAATGGATGGGCAGCTCTGCTTATAAGACATTCCAAACGTTCGAATTGGGAATTGGGGAATCGCGGCCTCCTCATCCTCGTGGTCTCCTGGTCTTCCCCCTCCACCCCTGAATTGAGTCAGGACACATGCTCATATTGCTCATATCTTGCCTAATTCGCAGTACGTATATGGATACATAGGTATGTAACTAAGTAGAAAAAGGTACCACAAGTATGTATGTAATATGAGGTCAATACAAATGTCGTTTTGGTAACTTTATCGGCAAGGAAGCTAGGGAGGGCTGGGAGGCACGCGATAGTAATTAGTTCTCGAACGACCTTCTTCCGGTTGTGAACCACGAGGAACCACTAATAGAGGTGAGCTGATCTTTTTGATGGGGCAATTGAGGAAAATTGACCAGTCGCGTGACCTGTACATGTACTGATGCAAGCTTTTAAGGTGCTGTTGCTTTAGGTGTCCACAGTGGTGTGAACCTGGAATCGGATGATATGATTGGACAATTGGCTCAATTGATCCAAAACGTTAAAGACAAAGTAAAATGGTAACAGGTAGCTTCCCCCACCGCGGCCTTCTCCGTCTCTTCCCTTTTTTTCCTTTGACGGAACTGAGAGAACTGAGAAGTCACAAACGGACTCTCAAAGAAGGTTCAAGAATCCCCACCAAAAAGGGGTCTGCTGCCCACTCCAACAAGCAGCAGCGCAATACATGCTTTCCATCTTGTTCCACATTGTCCACCTGGGCACTAACTTTCGAACGGTCGGGAACGATTACCGAATACTTTTGCGGGGTGGAAAGACAAGGGGTCCTGGTTTTGAAGGATTCATGGGGAGCAGAGACGTCGTAAGAAATCAAGCATAAGAAACACCCAATGAGAATAAACTGCAAAAAGGCAATTAGGTAAGATAGGCATAGAGATAACTATTCCCGATAATTTTGGGGCTTGATGCTTTGTCGATCTCGAACTCTCGAGAATTTACCCGCCAAATCCGGAACTTCAAATGCACTAACACGCCGGTACTGTCCAAAAGTCTCCATTTCGAAAGACGCCCGGTCCAATTCGTGTTCCCATTGCATCATACCATAGCAGCCCACCGGTTTTTGTTGGGGATACCATTTCCCACGACTCGGCAGTCTAACGTATCCCCTACATTCCCTTATAATTCAGCCTCAGAGATAGTAAAAGGGGAACATTGCTTGAGTTTAATGTGGGAATGGGAGCATTGGATGGAACACGGGAAAGGAGACATGCAGGTTTATGTCACACGCAGCCAAACGGAAACTTAGACCCACTAAATACCCCAGGGAGTCCTTGTACGCACAGTATTTCTTGTCCCGAACGATGATGAGCACCTGCGTTAATAATGCGGGGAAGTCCACATTAATTAGCGGCTCGGGCAGTAACCGTATTCGACAAACTGTAAATACTGTGCAACTGCCATTCAACTAATCATATATCGCCTCCCTATATCTCCCGTACTATCATCGACGATCATGGAGATCGTCTTGAAGAATTCATGTTGTAAATAACGCAAGGAGTTACGACAATAATCTACTCGCTGCTTTATCTATTAGTGTCTGTTTCAGAAGAGTGGAGGAGATATCGATTCGGTCGATATCAGGTTTTTAGTGAAATACGATTCTTAATGGACATTCAAGTCACTATCACTACCAATTGATAGACACTAATATTTCCGATACTGATTCCGGCAATTTATAAACTCCGACAAGTACGTAGGCCCAGTCGGTCATTCGGGTCAGATGAGTATAAATATTAATTATTAACTACCTTCTACCTAAATCGTAGTCCGAAGGTTGAATCTGATATTCCCGTCGTATGAAATAGGGATTGATCCTCGCCAAGAAATGCTACTTATTTCTCGATGTTCCTATAAGCTGGATCTGGCGGAATGACACTGGATGTAAAACCTGGTCTTTCAGCTTCAGGTGCGGAAGGACAGATGCTGGAAATCTCGTGCCGTCCATTGGCAGATTGGCGTATCGGACACTTAAGTTGTTATGGTGGCGTGTCTCATATACCGTAATGCGCCACGACGATAAGACCCATTCTGCCAATTTCATCTCCCAATTACTCTGCCACGTGATCGTGCTAACCATCTCCTCATTGCAAAAACGAAAAATAGATCCGTGCTTATCTCCATCTCCATTCCAAATTTCCATAATTTCAAGATTCGGCATGTTTCTCGCCGCAAGACCCGCCGCCTCGCATAAGTAACTGATAAGATCCCGATTACTATCAGGTTTTAACACTTGCGATGTAAGTGCTATCGTTTTTAGCTTGGCCCAACTCCAAGGAATGGGTTGCGAGGCTGGTGGCCAGAATGGTCGAAGAAAGTCCATTGCGTCAATAATGAAAGCCGCAGATAGATGTTCTAAGGCTTGGCTCCGTCTCATCAAAGCCTGACTGACTTCCGGACTTCTTACACGTCCACTTTCCCCGGGGGCAGCGATCACAGCTGCTAATTCCTCCTCGTAATTCTCAAAAACGGTAAGTCGTTTTAACGACGGTGGCAGCATATATTCGAATAGCCTACAATAACCTACCCACACAAATAGTCAGAGGCTTATCGTACTGTACGTCATCCTATCACTCCCTTCAAGGACAAGACCACTTACATATATCGGACTCAGATTGAGATGTGATCCATTCTCGTTGCGGTTCGTAAATAATACTCTCCAGCCCGGTCAAATTTACCAAAATATAATACATATCATTTGGGTCGAATTTACGATAATATTGCCGTCGAATGAGGAACGAGGTGACCACGTTCACCTCGGGAAGCACCGCCGATTCGTAATCGTTATTAAACCACATGATCGACACATAACTCTTCGTGAGTCTAAATATGTTTCTAAAAAGGTTATCCCTGTCAAGTTGAGTTGGCGCTGGATGTTCGCGTGGGTTGGGTAAGGCGCTAATCTCCTCAGCTGGCTCTGAATATGGGTCGTGCGCGAAATCGCGGTCTTTAGGCATATGTTCGGAGTCACTTGGGGAGTATGCGCAAAACTCAAGTGTTAGCCCCTCCTTATTCAGATCCCGAGGCCTCTCCCAAGCGCTAAGGGTCGTAAAGAGAACCTTGATAACACCAACGAAGTTATCCCTCCCCTCAAAATCCATTTCGCGCAAACTTATGGTCTTATAACTCGAATGGTCGTCATCGCTGAGTTCGATCCGGAGCCAGATATGCTTGACCAACCTCCTTCTCGGCCCCTGAACAATCTGCGCGAATTCCAGGACTCGCCGTTGGGACAATACAATTCGCTCAAAGCTTTTCGCTTCGAAAACTTCTTGCCATTCTGAACACACAGAGGCATATGTAGCAATATGACCCATTGAAGTGTCTGCTACTATTTGCAGGATTGCCAACCGGAGTTCGGCTGGGAGGTTTGACCAACTCGTCATACCCAATAATCTTGAACATATCCATCAGTCATATCCTAATAATCAGGGATAAGAGAGGAAGAGCCAAAACGCGATAAAGGAAACTTGGCCCAAAAACTGCAGGTTATTACGCCCCTTTGCGGACCTTGTCTGGGGTAAAGATCTAGTAAACTGGCAGTGAGCCATAAGATATACCTACCTAGGACGTACGAGCTAAGCAATCATCTCCTTCTAGCACTTTATTAACCTCACTTCCAGCTAAATTACTGGCTATTTAGGCGAGCTCTTTAACAGTCTAGTAGGACTTTCTTATTCATCAAATCGTTATCATGTTTTCAACGTTGCTCGTTTGTATCCAATCAATGATAGAGCGTCTTCGTAAAGTATTATATAATAACATCGGAGCGTGTTAAATATGGTATCGTTAACATTCAGATCAATAAACAAATAACTCAGTTAATTGTTCTTGATACAATACACATTCATGAAGTTGCGGACAACATAACAATTTTTGTCGTTAAAATGAGATGTTTCGAAGGGTAACTTTGAACCAGCGGCACAGCCAACCGCAGAAACGATCTGAGCCAATCAGGGGTAGCTGGTGCCTGTTAGCTAATCAGCATACGAGGATTCGTGATCCTTATTAACGAAAGTGGGCCATAAGCGAAGTTGCGAATCGATTTAAGTTAAACCCGACACTGTTCGGGGTTCTGTTTATCAATTCATGCCGCAATCGGATCTGATAAGCATCTGCGCGGAGAAAGATTTCGTCACAGTAGCTAAATTTTATAGAGATGAACAAGCGCTAACTTACAAATGTATGTTTGTATCACCATACTAGTACATTTAATTGAACCTTACATAAAGTACTTTACACACGGTAATTATAGTGAAAGGCCTTAACTTTTACTAATCTACCTAGGTTATTTTTCTTGCCCAACATCTCCGCTCCCTTTCTCAAAGAGAACCTCGCAGATTTAATTTGTAATCCAAACATACCCTCACTTCGACTTCTACTCCCACTTTATAATCAAGTACGAAACGGCGAGAGTTTTTCTGGTGTAATTCTGAAGGTTCCACCACTAACAAAGAAGCCTTTGATTTTGGTTGCCCCTCATTCGTACTGACGTACCCCGCGATAAAAATTACATCGTCGACATTATTGCCTCCCTCTATTGACCAACAAAAATATTCTCGCCATACTACCGTAGTTTCACAACGAGTCAGCGCAGGGAGCGCATCGATCTTTCACGATGTCGCCCTCTATCGTTACAATCGACAACACTTCAGACTTCGACGTCTTCACGCCGAGTTCCAACACAACCCAGAATGGCTCCTCTACGCCTCGAACCCTCCTTCTAGCCCCTCCCTCGATCGCTAGTCACGAAGAGAAATTACACGAAGTTCTAGCCGCACACGATCGATCTGTCACCGACTTGCAAATGCTTGACCGCCTCTCTGCCGGCTTAGTCAATCTCCCCGACTCCACGTACGACCTCATTCTAGTCCTGACCGACGCCGACGGAACCCGATCCGAATCCACACTCCTACTCGATCGAGAGGTGTTTTCCAAGATCGTACCTACACTAAAGGCCGGTGGCAAAATTCAGGCACAAGATGGATCCCTGGCACAGAACAGCCAGGCACCCGATGCGCGAGAGGCTCTGCTGTCTGGTCTAATGCCTGGAACGGACGGATTCACGAAGCTCGGTGATGGTGCCGCTACTGCCGTCCCCCTCAAACTGAGCTTTGGAAAGAACAAGAAGAGAAGTGCCGCCGGCCCTGCTGTTAAGAACGTCACGGTCCACCAAGTGAATGGAAAAGATGCCAGTCTGAACATGGTACCTCCTGCTGTCAAGTCGACACCCGCTGGTGTTGGTTTCGTAGACTTCAGCGATGACTTTGGTATTCCCGAGGATGACGACGACGAGTTGATCGATGAGGATACCCTGCTCACTGAGGAGGATCTAAACAAACCTCTCGCTATTCGTATGTATACCCTATTTACAAAGTACTATCGAATGGATTCTAATTCATATCACAGCTGCGGAATGCGTACCTAAGGTTGGCAAGCGACGACGTGCTTGCAAGGACTGCACCTGTGGTCTGGCTCAGAAACTCGAGGCTGAGGATGCAGCCAGGAGAAAGCAAGCTGATTCTCAACTCCAGTCACTTAAGCTCGAATCTAGCGATTTGAACGAGGTTGACTTCACCGTCAAGGGCAAGGTTGGTTCGTGTGGCAACTGCTCGCTGGGAGATGCCTTCCGCTGTGATGGGTGTCCGTACATAGGATTGCCGGCATTTAAGCCCGGCGAAGAGGTCCGACTGCTCAATAACGTTGTGCAGTTGTAAAACCCCACCAAGCATTACTCCGCCTCTCCTATTTACCGACCCTTTTGGTCTTAAGAGGCATAACGAAATACTAAGCCATATAAGGCTACAAGTACATTACTAGAACAATTTCATGAATCACATGGAATTCAGCTCGCACTATACTCATGAGGATATTGGTGTTTGGGGGATTCACAAAAGCAGATCTGAATTATTTGGCACTCGATTGGTGGCTTGGTAGAGGTGGTCACGTCATAGGACATCGGATTATTGGAATGCAGAACTCATCATGGATGCGAGTGCTCTCTTACATAGGTTGATAAATACAATTGAATTTATGGTTTCGGTCTAAAGTATCTATTTTGGAAGGATGTGTGATTGTTGATTTTGAGGTCGGTATACTTCGTGTCGCAATAATATGCGGACTTCATGATGTGTTCTTTCATGCTCGTGCATGCACTGCCCGAGATGGTATACATCAATTGACGAATCTGCTTGTAAATAATATGTTTCTTTGAGCCTCTTCCTTGGATAGGTACCTTATTAAAAAGGAATTCGGGAGCGAGTTTAAGCTCTGCCACTGAACAACATCCCGTATTCTACCGACGTTGAGGCTTAGCGGCCTGTTCGTGATAACCACGTCTGCGCCTCAACTAGCAATCGAAGACAAACATGACCCCCACGGATCCAAAATCTACTTTGCGAATCGTGTTCTAGAAACCAGGGGAACGCTTCTTTGTCTTACCGAGGGAGCTATACATACCTAACTAACGTCACCGTGGCTAGTAAGGATTAAGTAATCCTACGACGAATCCTGAGACTTGATATTCAACACCGAAAGCAAGAATGGGTTAGATAAGCTTCGAGCTTGTAGATTGGTGAGGTAGGGTGTTGGGTTATGTCCAATACCCGGTTCCAATCATTTGTGTTGAAAGCTTGGGATCGGCAAATGGGTTGTGTGTATTAAGGGATGGATGACGATGAGGGAATTAATTATTGATTGGGTGGTTGTTAAGTGACGATGTAGTCGCCGAGGAGAAAGTGAAGCGTGGGATTTGATTGAGATATATGGTCTTGCCACCTAGGATTTACACTTAACGAAGCTGAGTAACGTGTGGATATCGAGAGTTCGGTCCGAGGTGTAAGGGTGAAGTTTTGGACAAACTCATAGTGATAAGAAGGGATAGCTATGATTCCAAGTCCAGAAAATGAATCACAGTGCCTCCCAATCAGCCCTACGAAAACCGGGATTTATCAGGGGTTCTACGTAATACAGCTAACATCCGACGACAATTTGCGAAAATAGATTAAGACATACCGTAGGTGGTTACCTAAGACGCCGGCGACGCCTCACACTATCTCGAAAATAATTACGTGTCTTTGTAAGCCATTAAATATTCCAAACCCCCTCGAATCAAGATGTCGTTTAATAGGTGGACGTACTATCCATTTACGTTTACACAGCATGAGGCGGTATTTATTGGTCAGCTATGGTCTCACGAGACGCAAGGACGATAGGTTGACGGGTGCCCAACTTTGCCTTTCTCTCACATTTTCTTCTTCTTTTGATAGGTAGGTGGTGGACGCGTTCCCCCACGACAGGGCTATGGGGTCGAAACTTGTTCTCGTCGGTTCCTTTTGGTGTTGTGTCTTGTCTTGGATTTTAGGGGGTTTGATTCCGGTCGTATGGCTCTTGAGATTCGAGGATTTTACGGCGGAAACCGGATTATATAAGGTGCTACAAAATTCGACGCGAAACAAGGGCTACATATATCTACCTAAGGTGACAATGTCAGCGCCTTGATTATGCGCCACTCATCCACCTGCCCGAAAAGGCGAAATCTCACGCATTTAATCTTGTCTTTTATATCCTTTCGAGTGTTACAAATTTCAGCTCTACCTGATTTTTAAGATATGTTACCTATGGAAAATCTCGGCATGTATGTACGTAAGGCTGTTTTCAGCTATGGGGTTGGCGATCTTGGCTCCATTATTGGAGGCTTTGGGGGCTAGTATGAGACGTGGTCGCTGGTCAGGACAACTATGAGTGCAGCGAACTACTGCTTCTTTTACTGCTGAGTTGGCATATTGTGTTATTGTATTTATTGTAGAGATATTCTCTGATTGGGCATTGGGTTACTTTGCCCGAGGAAATGTTGGTTTGGGTATTGTGTTTAACTGGTTGCCTGATTATTTAATAGGTAGCAACATGAACGAGAGCCTTGATCACATGTTTGGTATTCTTGTTTGGGTCGAGGCGATATTCAAAACATCTGTTAAGGATGTTAGGTAGTCTGGTAGTTCGAGGTTCCCTAACTGGGTGGATTATAGTTGGTGTTACTATATCTGGGCAAGCTGGGGTAAAAAAAGACCGATATTGATTCGGAATAACTACATGAACTGGTCTTAGTCGAGGCTTAATTCGTCCCGACATAAGTACTTATGTAGCTAGTTGGACAAGCTTTATGGAGTACAGTTACGTACGTATTCGAGACATTTTTGTTTATTATGATAAGGGTGGATAAGACCCCCGAAACTAATACTATTTCACGATGCGGTGTATTTTATTTAGTTAGATTAGAGGCTTTCGTTGCTGGGCACGTTGGCACGTTAGCTTCAAAAATCTAAGATCGATGAGATTTGGTAAATCTGGTTTATGTATGTGCTGGGGTCGGCAATACATAACCGGTATTGTAACTGCTGACTGCATCCTGTTCCAAGGGGGTATTTGAAGGTTGTATTTTAAAAAGCTCTATATGCTCGTGATGTATACTTCCTACGGTACATAAAGAGAGAGGGAAGAAAAACGACAACGTTGGGTCTCAGGAGATGTCATAGGAGATACAATAATTGGCAAAATATAGCTTGGCTTTTTGATGGAGATCTGGCCAACTGGAGCCTTCAATTCCCGAACTAACATGGATTTTTGAGGTACAATGTAACCTTGATCTGGACCCTTTTCTGTTTTAGTCTTGTTCTTTTTTTTCTTGTTTATTTCTTTGCAAAGCTAGGGAAGAAGTCTCGTGAGATGTTGTAATTGTGTAAATATGTAAGTAGACAAAATGAAGAGAGATATAAGAAAATCTAGAATCTTTTAGCTAGAGACTATGAGGTTGGAGTGCATAATGGAACACGGCAACTCGATGCGTCTTTATCAGTACATATATGTATCAAATGTTCTGATCACCCGCATTCTCTCACGCCTCATTCGTACATAGTTGGCTAGTTAAGGTCGATCATTGATGCGTCCATGTCGCTTGCGGAGCTGTGTTTTGGGCGTTACTCGAGCTAAGCGATACCCTGATCCATCTTGTATTTCTTGACAATTCTCCTTTTTGATTTAGATGTCAAGGTAGGTAAATATTTATATTGCATTGTATCATATTTTACATCTCCGATCGAGACTTATTTATATTTTCGTACGACAGGAGAAAAAAAGTTATTTATAAAAGTACATACATATGTATTTGGCTCGGCTTAAGCAAACATTCAACTTTATTCTCTCTTGTCATTGTCAGTTTTAACCTGGGGTCCCCCAATGAAATGCACCTAAATATGTACCTAAGAAAGGTACCTGAGGTTCAAAGTTACAGGGGTCTAGCTCACCAAATCAACTAACGGGCAGCCCGATACTCTTTTAATATATTCAGTACCTGAGGACCCGGATCGGTTTAATATTTCTTAATAGCAATTTGGTCTGCACTTGCATTAATGTTAAGGAGTTAATAGCAAAGTTTATCATAGATAGCAAATCTATTCTTAAATATATCATGAATGATTTAATGAATGAATGAATCTAAGATACCCGAGCAACCGACAATTCAATCATGTATTCAGGTACAGTGTGAAGATGTATGGTCTTGGAATTTAAGCCCCCTGGCTGAGAGACCAGAACATTAAAAATACAGAAGAACAGTAGAAAAAAATACCTCCGCCCCTCCATTGCCCCAACGCCCAGCCAATTCGCTGTCTGTTTTCAGTAAAGCCTCATATGTGGCAGTGATTCAGGTGGTCCTAGCACTACCTAAAATTACTTAGCACCCGCCTAAATTTCGCTGCAATTTGGCTAGTACGAAGTATCCAGTCAGATGTACCTTAAGTACTAAAGTATATATGTACATTTACTAGGTGCACAAAGTACCTAAGCGACCTAAGAGTCGTGTACCTAAATTGAAGTACCTTGGGAAAGGGCCGCGGCGCAGTGGATCCTCTGCTCACTCTCTTTTCCACTCACTGGTCTGCCAGGTCTGCCCAGGCGTCTCCACCCCCTGTTACTTCCCTACTTTCCCTTCTGCACTTCCACTTCTAGGCGGTCTCTGAGCCACTCGAGCCACTGCCGTTCCCCGACCGCTTCTCCCCAAATTCCTCCTTTCCTGATCTTCACTTTCTTGTCACCTCCAATCCATCCCGACCGATCAATTCCCAACCCAACAAAAAACAATACCGTCCGTCTGGCAAGGATTGACTAAATCCGTCAGTTCGTCGACTACTCGAGTCCTTCTCAATTCAACAACTACTCGAGGGGATGAGCTTTCGGTTTTCCTGAGTCTTTTCGGGTATCGTTAGATACTCCCGTCGGACCAGCGATACTCCTTCTATTCCTGTAGCCTTCTTCCGACCGTCTCTCCAAAGTCTGTGTTGCTATCGCTACCTCGCTCCTTTTGGCCTCTAATTTGCTAGGTGGCGAACAGCCTTCGACTTTCCACGATGGCTTCCTCTTCGTCAAATGTCGTCGGTGTCCATTACCGTGTAGGAAAGAAAATTGGTGAAGGGTCTTTTGGTGTCATCTTTGAGGGCACCAACCTATTGAATAACCAACAAGTCGCTATCAAATTTGTGAGCAACTCCGACATTCTATTCTCATTTGCTGTCGTCAAAGGCACAGCTCTCCTTGGTCAATTTCCAACCACTTGACAAACTTCATTTGTGATTTAATCTAATAGAGTTCATTTTTAGGAACCGCGGAAGAGTGACGCACCACAACTACGAGATGAATATCGTACTTACAAGATACTTGTCGGCTGCCGTAAGTTGGCTAATTACATCGCAGCGTAATTCAGAGCCTTGCTGATAATTATTTTTGCAGCCGGTATCCCTAATGTCTATTATTTTGGTCAAGAGGGCCTCCATAATATTCTAGTCATAGATTTACTTGGTCCCTCGTTGGAAGATCTATTCGACCACTGCAACCGAAGGTTTTCAATTAAGACGGTTGTGATGGTAGCGAAGCAAATGGTTCGTTTCAATCTATGATCTATGAACTTTGATGTGTGCGATACTAAACTAAACCCTAGCTTTCTCGTGTGCAAACTATCCACGAAAAGAACCTCATATACCGAGATATCAAACCCGACAACTTCCTTATTGGTCGTCCCGGAACTAAAGCCGCCAACGTTATTCACGTTGTCGACTTCGGTATGGCCAAGCAATACCGGGACCCCAAAACGAAACAGCATATCCCCTACCGAGAGCGAAAATCCTTATCCGGTACTGCCCGTTATATGAGTATCAACACCCATTTGGGCCGTGAACAATCTCGACGAGATGATTTGGAAGCTCTTGGCCATGTATTCATGTACTTTCTACGTGGTGGCCTACCATGGCAAGGTTTAAAGGCTGCGACGAATAAGCAGAAATACGAGAAGATTGGCGAGAAGAAGCAAACGACACCGATCAAGGACCTGTGCGAAGGATTCCCGGATGAGTTCAGCAAGTACCTGACCTACGTGAGGAATCTTGGTTTCGAAGATACCCCCGACTACGATTATCTGCGCGAGCTGTTCACCCAGGCTTTGAAGAACACCGGCGAGGTAGAGGACGGTGAATACGACTGGATGAAGATCAGCAAGGAATCGTCCAAGGGCTGGGATGCTATGCATAAGCCGGGTCCTTACCATAACCCCAACAAACAGCCGGGCATATCTGCTCGAGAGTTACACAACCAATCTCGCGTTAACACACCTGGCGGCCTCACTCACGAGCGTTTAAACGCCGCGCAGCCCCCACCTCCGTCTCCAGCAACCAAGATGGACCAGCGCCGGCAAAACGCCCTCGGCGCCAAAGGAGCCCAGCGAGGTAGCGCGGTGGGGGGACTAAGGGATATGAGTACACCAACACCTTCGACTCAAGCCCAATTTCAAAACAGCAACCAAAACTTGCCTACGAGGATGGGGCCACAGGCCAACTTAGGATCACCGGCAGCTGGTCCGGGACGATCATCGGAACCTCAACCGACGGGATTCCAAAAGTTCATGAAGGTGCTTTGCTGCGGTTAGTCTGGACACCAGCCACTACACCTTAAACACTGGCTAATGGTATTCTAGGTTAAATACGTCTTATCATGGCATGCTAGCGATTTCATATAGATTAGAGACGTTACTGGATGATGTTCCCTGCGCCGATTTATACTACCTAATACGTCCTTATCCTTCATGGTCAGGGTTTTGACCCTGCTACTCCCGTCTTGATCGCCGAACGTTGCTATAAACCATGGCTGTCTTCATGGGTTTCGGATACGTATATCACTGGCCTAAATTAGTACTGTCAACATAAGTTGTGGTTGAAGTACAATACTCTTATACGACGAATTGTCACCCGAATCGGCCAGCATTTGTTCACAGAACAAAATCCTTTATGAGACCCGGGAAGACGATCGGATCGTATGGATGAATTTCCCGTTAGGATCAAGGCTTTGGCGCAACCCCGAGACACGAACAAATTACTTTTTCCTTTCACGACTCTCGTTTTGATGAGATAGAAACAGGCCATTTAATCAGTAGAGCGCAGCACGGCGCTGGTGGGATTTGTACCGTTGGCGAGCATTGGGATCGGGTTTCGTTTTTCCTGTTATCCATCCCTACCCCCTATACACCTTGATAATATGCGGAGAGAGAGGAGAGGTGGAGAGTTGAGTGGGGACTGAAGTGACGAAATTAGGGATTTGTGTATTAAGCAAGCAAGAAAGCAGTACAATGGAAGGTGTGTGAAGAGTTGCGAAAGTGGTCACTTTATATCAAGGAGGCGATGTTTTTGCAAGCAGAGTGGCTACTACTACTACTACGAAACGCACACACCTAAGGTTTTGCGTTGATAGAAGAAAGGACATAGGGCAAAAAAGACTTCTAATGAATTCGATGCTGGGATTGCATCGTGATTTGATCTTAACAGCATATATGTGTACACCAGGTCTTGCGAGTATTGTGACTGTTTGGGGAGTTTTATTGGGCATTGTAATATTTTAGAATGTTGTTTACTTCGTCATATCTAGGAGTTTGTTAAGCATTAATAGCATTTCTTTTTAGATAATCGTATTCTTGTATTAGCTTTATAAGAATTTATGGTGGGTTGTAAAAGTGATTCACTGGTGATATAAGGGACTCGAGAGGTTTGTAACTTGTAGGTTTTGTCTGCCTACGCGGGTATGCTATCAATACACCAAAGTACCTGACAAATCCCGAGTCCGACTAACTCGTTTCCAATATCTCGTCACGTTTTGTTTTTATTTTCATCAGTCCACCCGAATCGCTACCATGGCAATTAATAAACCTCGTATCTTCCTTCTTGAGTAAATCCGTAATACCCTAATAGACATCATCGTCAAGGGGTGAGGAAGGGGGTTAAGTAAGCTTCTGCTTGATGAAGAAAGATCGCAGGTGGGAGAGTTGCCAGGCGCAGGTGATACCGAGAACGACGAGTTGGATGACCATCCATCGGACTACGCGCGAGTTGGTTGATTCGGATTGGTCGCGGAATTCGGCTTCGCGTTCCTGTGTAGCAACTGTTAGTTAATATATCTGCCACGGATGCCATACTCGAATCCTAGTTCCTGTCCCCGTTTTTGTCGAATTTCACCGGATGGAATATCCATCTTGTCCCTATCCCTATCCCCATTCTTTTATACAGTGAAAGGCGAGTGACTTACACGTTGAAAAATCTGCTCCCGCCTAATATCCAACAACCGCGCATTCAAATCTCGCACGCGCTGCGAGATATCTACTAGCTTGTTCTTATCCGTAGACTCGATTTCAGAAGATCCGATGGCCAGGTCGAGGGTTAAGCGTATACCGCCGTTGGGCTGCGAGGCGGAGAGCCAGCCGGGACGCCCGCTGCTGCTGCTTGGTGTGAAGCAGATTTTGTGCTCGCCTGCGTCGGCTGCGGTGAAGGTAAATCGGCCGGAGGATGAGCCTTTTTGGGATACGACGCGGTGGTCGTTGTCGAAGATTTCCTGTTATTATTGAGAGCGCTTGTTAGTTTGGATTTCATTGTATTCAAGTTGGACTCGTGGTTCGCTTAGAGCACTGGGTATATGAACAGTCGGGGGAGACTAACGTCGACGGAGATGTAGATACTAATGCCATCGTGTTTAGACCATGTTTGCGTGTTGTCGTCGAACTCTTCGGCGTTGTAATGACCGACTACTAATGTGTCCTTAGGCAGTTCTTCGAAGAAGCATTTCGAGTTGGTGCCGTCGAGGTAGAAGTACAGCGCATGGGCGACGGAGCCCAGCATTAGGAAGGGGAGGAACACCCTCATCTTTCTTCCTATATGCCGTATCGAATAGGATGTATTTCAATTGAGTGACTCGTGTTCGTCGGCCGTATTCGGGATTGATAGAGGGTCGCTATGGCGATATCGTCGATCTGATCGTTGTAAAGCTTGGTGGACTTCAAGGTGCCACGTTCGAAAAAATGGCCAATACAGGGGTTAGGTACCTAGAACCAGCGCTATCCGTTTAAGGTCACAGCGAAGCAACGCCTAGAAAGGAGACCTTGGCGTATCGATTAGGTAAGTTAATTATTCAGTCACGTGTGAACAGACCAATGCGTAAATACCTATGTTATGTACCCAAGTACCTTAGCATCGGCGGAAAGAGTTGAGTTCACCTTCGCCGATTCTTTTTTTACATCACCATAAAAAAACCAATACGGCGTTTTCCATCGATTTAGGCACATCGGCGTACTGGGGTATCAAAATCAACGCGTTGCCGACGAGAATTAATTACGACGGCTTCATTTCTCTTTTTTTCTATTATGTATTAATACGCGTCCGTACCGATTTTAATACATTTGATCCCATCGCCGAACTTGACATTCCCCTCTTGTCCCGCCCGAACATTTCCTCTGCCGCCGATTTTTGCTTCCATCACCGTCGCTCCTATTCCCCCTACTATCTCCACGAAGAAAAAAAGTGATAAAAACTCCGCCGTATAATAAAACAAAATCATGGCATCGCACGATGTTCGCGACGTGCTTAATTTACCACTCGATGCTAGTTCGCGACCCACCAAAAAACAGAAGATAAATGCTCCACGTCCAAGTTTAAAGGGTCTAGCAAGAGAGGTACAAAGTCTCGGAGGTGATAATCCGATCGCGATCGTCCCGGAGATATCTTCGTTCAAAAAGCGACGGTTTGGAAGCAGGAAACCGGCTGCACGATGGGAGTTGCGTCCTTTCCGCAACTCAGCAAGAGGCGATCAGTCGTTGCATCTGCGACATTGGAGGAAACGGACGGAGGACCCGGCAAGAGCACAGGAGGGACAAAATGGAGAGAATGGAACGGATGCGGGACCTAAGCTAGAGGAACTTGAAGATTCGGGTTTCGCCAAGTTCAACGTGCAGGTCGATATTCCTCAGTATAGTGATGACCAATACAACACAAATTTGAAGAGCAAGGATTGGACGAAGGATGAGACGGACTATCTGTTTGATGTGGCTAGGCAATTCGATTTACGATGGCCGCTCATATGGGACCGTTACGAATATCAACCCAAGTCGCCCGATCCAACGACGGATACAAATGGTGAAGGTGCCGATGTTACTATGGCCGTGGTTCCGGCGACTAAGGTCCGAACATTGGAGGACATTAAGGCTCGATATTATGAAGTAGCGGCGAAGATGATGGCAGTTCAGAAGCCTGTTCAATACATGACTCAGGCCGAATTTGCCCTCCATGAGATTATGATTAATTTCAACCCAATCTCCGAAGGACAGCGCAAGAAGTTTGCGGCTGATGCCCTATCAAGATCTAGTGAGGAAGCTCGAGAAGAAGAGATGTTGCTAGTTGAAGTACGGCGAATCTTGGCACGTCAAGAACGTCTCAACCAAGAACGCCGTGAACTCTACAACCGCCTCGACTACCCTCATACCGAACAAGATATCAATGCGTTCAAGTCCAGTGCTGGACTACAGACGCTACTACAAAACCTCATGAACGTCGATAAGACGAAGAAGAGAAGATCTCTTATGGAAGCCAATGGGACGAACACACCCGCGTCGGCGCACCCCTCAGGTCATCCATCAGCTCACCCCAACTCTACGCCGATATCAGAAAACCGCAGGGAGAGCATTGCGGCATCTTCGACGGGTCATCGTGACTCGATTGGGGGTAATGAACGACCCGAGCGACCTGCGAAGAAGGGGGCTCAACCCGAGCGCAAGAAGCTTACAGAACAAGAAGAGCAAATCTACGGTGTATCTCATTTTGACCGGTTACCCTCTGGACCTACCTTCCGTTATGAACGCATTAACAAGATCCTCACAACCAAGAGCAACGCCCAACATCAGCGTATCACCAATACGTTAGCCGAGCTAGACATACCCAGTCGTCTCAACATGCCCACGAAAGCAGTAGTAGAAGAGATGGAGAAACTACTCAGCTCAATCACCGTCTTACTCGACATGCGCAAGATGAACGACAAGATCGACGCCGAGATCAAACTCGAAAAAGCTAAGAAGGCGGAACGCGACAAGGCTCGAGGGATCTTACAGCAACCAACAGAGAGCTCGGATTCTAAGGGAGACGACTCAGTGGATGCTAAACCTAACGGCGAGAAGAATGCCGCGGCGCAGGATAAGGCTGCTAGCCAGGCGTCCTCTGCGTTTGGAGTTAATGGCGTGGCGGCGAATGATCTTACTGAGACTAAGGGCGATGAAGATGGTGCTGCTACGACGAATGGTGATGGTGAGGTTAAGGAGGATGGGGATAAGGATAAGCCTGGCGCACATAAGAGGAGCGCGAGCGTGCTTAGTGGGGCTAGTGATAAGAGTGTGAAGAGACTGAAGAAGTAGAACTTCCGGTCTAGAAAGCTCGAGAGGAAGCCTGCTTCGCAAACGCGGGGGAGAAAAAGGAAATAGGTCATAGGATGGTGGGTGCCTATCTGCTTGCTTCGGGCGGGGCTACGATATGCACTATAAGTTAGTCGGATGACCGATGAGTTACACCGATGACGCTGTGGCTTTTGTGGCTTTTGCGTGGCATTAAGTATTTGTTGAGACTGCGACGGAGAAGAGGCGGAGCTCAGCTAATGTAGTTTTGATAGTGGCGGTATTAGCTATGCAAATCCAATGAAGCAATGCTATTCTACGTTACACAAGCACCAAATTTTCTAGTACTTCACCTCGACCCGGTGAACTTTAAGCTTGTTTCATTTTAACTCTATCAGTCATTTGAAAATTAATTTGAAGCCGTATCTTTCGTCTCGCTTTCCGAGCCTCTTTCCCCTTCTTTAATATATAAATGCCGTCCGGCCTCACGGACCGGCACCGACAGATATCACGTACGTCCACAGCATCCGAACACTCAATCTCTCGCCCGCTCTCCCTGTGTAGGGTTGGTATCCGCATATCGATGATCAGCAAATCACGGCTCTTGTATACGTACTCTCTAACAGCTTTATCAGGTTTTTAGGAAGATACCTTCCCGTGTCCATACTACGTATTGTTATCGTCGCCACTGATTGGTTTCGGCGTGTGAACTATCCTCCGAGCCTTGTTGGACTCCGAATGAGGAGGTGGCGTGTGGTGAGGAACACATGCTTATTGTTGTGTACCTCAATAAGAGTTCTTAACACGACTGGCACCCATCCTCTTTTCCAAATCGTTTATTCAGCTACTGTGTCGTATAAGCCCCTCGGCCATTAAGAATAATGGCACTATGTCACTCTCACCGGTTGGTTAATCAACCAGTAGCACGCGGGAATTTTGTAGAGCAGCGTCTGGTGCTTCTGGATATGCTACGTCATCGGCTTAGTATCAACGATAACTCGCCAAAATGTTACGCGTGTGAATTACTTCTAGAGGCTTTAGTAAAGTTCAAGCCTGGATGGATCGAAGGTTTATTGATATCGAATTCTCAAGTCTCCCTGTCAAACATTGAAATCTCAGTCAGGAAAGATGACAAGTTCAAACTACAAGGAGTGACAGTTAATCAACTGATACGATCTGTACAATATGCGTCGACAATTTACCAAAAATTGCTGATCTCGTTTAATATGATCCTTCCGTTAGAAGGTACGTACAACAAACCCTTCAAATCTAGGTATCGTTACCAACTAACCAATGTTTATCATATACAGAAAATACATTCACCATATACAATGTTCCCGAGCCTTCATCCTCGATTCCCATATCAGACGAAGCTATTTGGATTAATAAGTGTCAAAATTGGGATGTCCTAGAAGACTTGACGACTGACGCGACCTTCGATTGTGCTGCTACGTGGCTATCTCACTGTAGGGAGTATGATGAGCCCTGCAAACCTCCAGATCCAACGTTCAAACCAAGCCACCTTCTCAATGTCAATGTCGGTCGTGAGCCATTCCTCTTTAAGCCTGCCCTTTAAGCCTAAAGAACCAGCAAAATACGCTTGCCTTAGTTATTGCTGGGGAGAAAGCAAAGATGTCATTAAGACGACGCCGTCCAATCTCGAAAGCCATAAAAATATCATTCCCCTAAGTTCTATGCCCAAGACTATTCAGGATGCCGTGAGGGTCTGCAGGGGCCTTGGCCTGCATCTATGGGTTGATTCTCTGTGCATTATCCAAGACGACGGTGACCTTTGGTTGAAAGATGCATCCGACATGGACCGCATTTACCTCAACTCCCACCTCACAATTGCAGCTTTGGAGCCAAGCAGTTGTGAAATGGGGTTCCTGGGGAAACAGAAGTTTGGCCTTCCTGAGTGGCAACATACCTTACGGGGAGCGATTGTCCGACCAGAACCAGACGAAGACCTTGTGCACTCGCTAGATAAAAGAGGCTGGTGTCTACAGGAAACGATGCTCTCTCAACGGAAGCTCTACTTCAACGGGAACGAAATGAGCTGGGAATATTTATGTCGCAAGGTTTACGAGTGCGGACACCATGTCTGGCCCATGAATGCTTTGGGGCATGGGCAGACCAAATTAGGCGTCGTCCAGCTCGGTACATTGTTAAAGGAAAGTTTTCTATCCACGCCAGTGCCAAAGCCGATCCTTGATCCCATTAGGTATGAATACAAACGTATACTAATCCTATTAGGATCCACGTCGCTCCATGGTATCGAGGGAGCGCCGACCAGATTCCATGAGATCTAGAGAGAAATAATCTACCATTATTCACGGCGCTTGCTTTCTCGAAAGAGCGATAAGTTGGTAGCGCTAACTGGGCTGGCCAATATGATGCCTAAGAACGAGTACCTTTTCGGGCTCTGGGATACAGACCTACATTTCGGCTTAGCATGGGAAGTATCTACTTTCGGCAAGCCCGCGGCCAATAGCGAATCTACAAATTCAAAAAACCCACCTCCTTCGTGGTCGTGGGCATCTAACGACGGACTAATTAAATACGATTATTCAATACAGTTAAAGAACGAGCGCCGGTTAACGGTAGTTAATGAATGCATCACTAGAAGTGATGGTAAAAAATGGCCGCCTCCGCCTGAGAGGGGCTTTGGTTCCCGTTGAAATGGCAATTTTTGAGGGCTATTTGGCCACATCTAGGCATGATCCTATATTAAACCCTCCAGTAGAGCCTTACCGATCGACACCTACCGGGTATCACACGACTGAGATCTCGACGTACGTCAGGCCACAGAATTTGTGTTCCTACAGAGTATCCCTAGATAAGCTGACAGCGCCGAATATGGAACGAAGCCACACCCAGGCATTTTGTTGGCTGAAGGGACGGTGTGATTGGAAGTGCTGCTCGTGGAATCAAGTTGAAGAAACTGCGGGTTATTACTGTTTTAAACTCTTCTCCTGGGAAATCGGAGGGCCTCGGACAGAACTGTTAACATGGTTCATTGTATTAAGGCCGTCCGTTCGTAACCCGGCGGAATGTGAGAGAGTTGGTGTTGGTCGTGATGTTCCTCATGTCAGAAACGAAAATTATGCGGATGATGGCTTATTTGAAGCAGCAACGACGGCAGATATCATTATCATATGAGATTGTCTATTTAGGGATTATGTTTTGGAGAATCGGGCTTTCTATAGTAGGTAGGCCAAGGATCAGTGGTGTTTTTTATTCTTAACGGTAGGCTTGAAGGAAGAGGATGTAGAGTTCTATTTCATGTTTAAAAAAGGGGTTCGGTTTTGAATCTAGGGGAGGGGTCTACCTACAAAGATTTGGAACTGCCTACATTGATCGGTCATTCAAGAGGCAATCAGGTCAGTAGCGACCTACATACCTACTGTCCCATTCGCTACACTGCATCCTCTATCGATTTACTCGTTTCAAAATACGTAGTTATTGAAGTTCACCTCACAAAATAGCCCACCGGGGCTCAATTTCGTCAGGCTAAAGGGATGGGTTGGCTAGAGCAGTCTGCGATGACAGCTCCTCTTATGGACTTGGGAACGAATTGACCGTTATAGAAATAAATGTAACGTTGTAGGTTTCTAGCATCTTAGGAGGTAACGTGGATATCGAGTTCACATACTCCGAAATCGTTAGCATAACAAAGTCGTATTTCGAAGCCAACAGGATTGAGGTGCCAACCATGTATAGATATAGTGAACCTAACAGCGAATGAGACCGTTAGTAACCATGCCAACCTAATTCAAGATCAGATCTCTCAATGATCGGGCGAAGCAGCGAAACTGTTAGTTATATCATACCAACCCACACCCATATCAGCACCCCCTACGGTTCGGCTCGGCATCGGATTTTGACAAAAAAGGGTCGGAATTAGATCCAACATAACATCACATTACATCACATCACATTTAAATATAGCGTCGCATTCAAGTTTTTGTTATTTGTTAATTTGCTCAAGTTGGTTCTACAGCATAATTCGCACTCGCATTCCATTCTTCTGCAGAATCTCCTAACTCGTCGATTCGGTCTGGGAACTTTTGCCCCCCCCGCCCCCAACCCCTTTTCTCAATATATTATGCGTACCGTGCAGAAAATACGACGTAGAGTAACAATTATTGCGTCCTATGATGCGGGCTTTCTAGTTTCTTTGTTCCAACATCTGTTTTTCTAGGGAGATAAGGGAGATCGTCCTCAGTTTAAACTAAGTATTTGCTCCTAATTCCTTCTCTACAACAAGATCTTCACCTACTCTAATTATTCCAGATAAACTTCCTCCAGGAGCGCTAACATCTGAAGTACCGGTCCCATCCATCCCATCCTTGCCCCTTCGCATAGATCAACTACGGCTTCCGTATTTTTAAAGCTGTTTGGCTACCAACGTGATAGGTAGGTTTACGACGGGGATCAGACGCGGCGGAGCAAATATGATAGATCGTAAAGAGGGCCTTTTGTATAACCTTGTTCTCAAGGGGGTAAACCAGATCTTTGGTACCTCTAAGCCGGCGCAAACTAGGCGGAAAGTAGTTATCAACCAACAAACATACCCACATCTCTAACAAATTTAACTAGAGCCAGATATCATAGGGTCCAACGAGAACCAACAACTGGAAAACCAGTAGGGAGATATACAAACCATGTACCTTAGTTTGTGGCGCACTGGACTCGGTGGGTAACAGGTAACAGGTAACACCCAACACCATCCTCAATAGGTAGGTACCCAGCTCGCCCTGTGTAACGCCGATTACCCACGATTACCCACCACTTGTTCATTCACGTAGACATCACACAATATCAAAGACGACAGTCAATCAATAAATCAAGGAAGAAAAAACCGGGTATCTTAAACCTAGATCTCTCTATCGTACCATCTCTTCTTCTCTTTTCATAAACCCTCATCTTCATCTTCATCTTCACATAAACACTCGGTCATCCATCCAAAACCATGCGTAGGCCGTCACATCATAAGATATCTCGAACCCGATATTCGCAAAAAAAATCACAATTCCCAATCCCCATTCCCATGAACACATACGCCTACCCAACAACAATCCCAAAACAAGAACCACGTTCCCCATCCTCCACATAGCTCATTAGCTACCAGAGCTATCCGCTATGCTAAGGTAAATTCGATCTATCGCTTTATATCCCGAGTAAAAATCCTCCGTATATAATTCATATATCGCCAATCAAAAAAAGATGTATCGTAATCGCTGTCTCATCGCGCCGGCATGCCTGCCTGCCCATATGCCATTTTGAGTAATCCCAAGAAATAAAAAAGTAGTATGGATGCGATAGATAAAGACGTGACGTAAAGTGGAGAGAGAAAATGGTTATATATAATAATATAATAAACAGCGACAGCAACGGATATTGGGTATCATCATAACTAATTCGCAGAAAACGGACTCGCGAGGAACAAATATCATGGAATTAGACCCTACTGATGCATGTTCTGTCAACTGATAGCACCACGAGTGACTCGGGCGGGGTTGCCAGCCACCACGGTAAAGGGTGGCACGTCCTACGATGTCATTGTTAGCACCAGGTTCGTCTAATTAAAAATATGACTGCTTCGGCAAAAGATAAAAGTAACTCACCTTTGTAACCACAGCGCCGGCGGCCACTGTTGCTCCCTTCCCAATCCGAACACCGAGGAGGATTATTGCACCGCCACCAATCCACACATCTTCATCAATGAATATGGGAGCACCAAGATGGGGGCTTTTGCTACCTTTACGCCTCTTGGGGTCCGTATGCAAGGTACCGCCGAAGAGGCTGACGTTCGGTCCGATGTAACAATTATTCCCGATTATAACCTCCATAGGATCGATAATGGTACAATTTCGGCCGATGAATACGTTGTTTCCAATAGCAATGTTGTAACCATAATCGCACGTAAACGGCGCCTCAACAACCACCTCTTGTCCAACATTACCAACATGAGTAATGGATGACAGCAATTGGGGTTCCATGGAAATGCGCTCTGTTGGGTTTAGGATCTCCCGGAAGAGGCGCGAACGCTCGGACGCAGAGGCTCCAACGCTGGGGCTTGTGGAGTTGTTGAACCGGAAACATGCGGCGCTGCATCTTTGCCTTTCCAACACCAATTCCTCATCAAAAGGATAGTACTGATGTCCTGCCAACATCTCTTCCTTCTGCGTCCTTTCCCTGTCGGCGGGGAAATGGGGATGCGACAAAGCAAGCCGTGCTGCTTCCTGAGGGTCAGGAGCTGTCGTCGTTGGTTGGGGTGGTGGAGGTGGTGGCGGAGGCGCGGGTTGGGACTGAGTCGGGGGGCTACTACTTCGAGTTGGCGGATGGATGTTAATCTGTGGAAGTGAGCCAGAATGTGGAGTCTCGTGTTCAGTTCGCGTCAAGTCGTGTAGCGGTGGCACTCTCTGATAGTCCTTGTGGCGGTCGACGCTGCTTAACGGCGTTGGTAATTGTGTAGCAGCACTCGTAGCACTAATTGGCGTAGGGAACATGTTGACTGGCGTGGCGTACGAAATCGAAGATAATTTGTTGTTTTCCGGGCTTGTGGCGGATGGGGTAGGTGTAGGAAGAGTGGCAGATGATTGTCGACTATCCTCCGCGAGAATTGGCCGACCTTGTACTGGTTCTATCCGAAGTGGTTGACCGCGATATGGTTGGGTCGGCTGATCTCGCTTTGGGGGTGGCGGGGGCGGAATTGGGTAATTACTTTGCTGCGGCATTCCATAGGCGCCCGGAGGAACATAACTAGGATCCTTAGATTCGAGTGGAACAGCGGCTGGCTTGTTCTCCATTTTCGGGTAACCTCGCTGATTGGGATATCCATGGCAGACAAATCCGCCTCGAACACAGTTGGTACCTATCTCATCGGTAAGCAGATGAAGATTAGATCACTATATCCAGAAGAAGCTCACAGTGTGGCTTTGTTTCGTCACATTTCTTCTTTCTCTTTCGACATGTTAGGCAACTATATTATCCGTATGGATGAGCCGATGCCGCGCCCCTTCGTGCTGTGGATGTATAGGCATCCATAGCACTTGGGAGGACGCAGAAGCAGCCGTACCATACATAAAGTCAGCATTGAATTTCCGAATATGAATTATTGCGTGAACGGGGAGTGGGGTCCTAATTACCCAGTCTTAGTCCTGTTGCTAAAATTACGTTTCCTTTTCTTGGGATCCGACTGGATCACAGCATCTCCCTTTCTCTGTTCTTGCCCATAAGATGTACTGCCATAGAGTACAGAACTATCGTCGCCATCGGGACTCGTTGCCGGGTAATCGTGCTGGGAATCCATATGAGTGGTCGCCCTCCGAAGCGTATCACCAACCTGCTCATCAGTCGGCGAAGGTATTATGCCTGCAGAGCTCTGTCGGTCGTAAGTATTGCGGTCATCTGGATGGCTTTGCCGTGAGTACCAAGAGTCATGATATTCTCGTTCCCGCTCTCGTGGTGTGGAATAAGGATCACGTGACTCTGGTTGAGATTGTTGTTCTCGATCTCGAGTCGTTGATGCATCCCTATGGGGTTCATCTGAGAGTGAGCGTTTCCGCTTATGACTCCCTTCGACATGGGGATAAATAGACGGTTGGTAAGATGAGCGGTCAGCACTGGGTCCTGACCAGTGTTCCCTTTGGCTGCCTGAGAATTCCCCAACCTTAGTATCCTTAGTAGTGATTTGGTGGCTAGACTGTTCCTCGGAAGGTGCACGTATCGAGGTAGGGCTGCTGCTATTCGGTCTCTCAGTGCCTTTCGGTTCACCTCCGTTTAAAGCCGTGAAGGTTGCCATACTTCGTCCAACAATATCTTCTGCCCAAGGAGCTTGCGTGAGGTGCATAGGAACTCGATACCCTAGACGTATATGAACGAAGAAGCAGTTGCTGTGTGATTAGATCATCCAGCCACCTTCATTGACATTCAATGCCCTGCGATCCAATGCAGACGCTCTTCGTGAGCGTGGGACTGACGAACTGTCAGCACGGCTCGGGCCACAACCCAAAGTACGTAACTCTTTTTTTTGCCGACGTGTAATCTTGGGTCAGAGCACTAGTAAGGAAACAACCGCGGAAAATGCCGAAAATAAAAACCACGAAACCAAATGGAATCGTAGGAGTCGCCTAGAGCAAATGACCGACGTAATGGTAGCCGTACAATGTGCCAAGTCTTTCGGATATATATCTCTAAATGTTAGCGCATAGAATAAGAGTCTATGTATAGATCTTGGAGATATATAGTATAGATTTCCAAGTAATGCGCTCGTGGTGGAGATGCACAATGGTAGATCTGCTGAAGACTCTTCCTTTTTTTATCGGCTGCGGAAGTTCGAAAGCGGGTGCGCGGGGAGGTGATTTTGTACGGGAGTTGAGTGAGCCGCACTTCTTCCTTGAATGAATTCTAGCTGCGTAATACGACTGTGACGTGCAAGGGCTAGCGTGCGGTACACTGTTGTGTGTGGTGTGTGCGCGGTGCGGTACGGGGTGCTGTGCTGCGGCGTAAGCAGCAACAACAACAATAACAACAATAAGCTGGAAAACCCGTAGGTCGCTGCGCCTGATCGAATTGTTGTTTGCGGGCTGCCTTGCTAAGATTGATCCTACCCAGGGAAAAAACGTCACTTGTTATTAGTTAGTAACGGTTGGATAATCGGCCGAATTGTATATTGCGTCCGGGGGGCTACGTGGAAAAACTCCAGGACTATTATCGTGCGGTCCGGCCCACGATTTGGCAAGCAAGCTTGTCGAATTTTCGAACCGACTATACTTGGGGTTCCCTCGCTTTTTCTTTCCCACCCGTTCCCCTTGTGCTAGGATCCTTGACCCTTTTTTTCTTTTTAATGCGTACACAAAATAGGACCAGCCAGCGCTTGGCGATTTAACGCGCGATTAATTTTTTTTCTGACTTGCTGCGCTTGTGCGAGAAATGGACGGTCTTTTTCGGAAGTCTCTCCCTCTCTATCTCCCTTGGTTAGTGTTAAGAAGGAAATCCCCAAGGTAGATAGTCTTCTCTCCTCTTTGCCACCCTTTCTAATGCGACCCAAAAGCACCACGTAGAAATAAGAATAAGCGAAGGGGGAACCGAGGGTAAGAAAAGACAATTTGCAATAAAGCAATTGATCAATAGTAATCAGGGTAGTACGTAGTAGTGGTAGTGGCGGCGGCAGTAGGGGGGGATTATAAGAAATTATAGGAAAAAAATAATAATAATGTGGCTAGCCAGCCCTGGGGACCCAAGCGGAGCGGGAAAGTTAATGTAAAGCAAGGGTAGGTTCCATGAAGTAAGACGGGTAAGTTTAGTTTTTTTTGTTATGTAGGTAAGAGAGGTAAGAGAGAGATGGATATAGATGTATGTATTCTAGGCAAGTACTACTAGGTAAGGTAGACCAGACTAGGCGAGAGAAATAAGGTAGGTAAGGTCGGTAAGGTAGGTACGTTGGTGGATAAGGCAGGTAGAGGTGGTATAAGTGGTATAAGTGATATGAGTGGTGAAGGTAGGCGTGTATGCAGGTAGGTTATGTAGGTAACGTGCAGGGAAAGTGAGAGGGAGGTACTCGTTGTTACTTCTCTTTGATCGGATGGGAAAAGGTTATAGTATATAGTAGGAGTACTCGAGGTAGGTAGGATGTAGGTATGCATGTACGTAGACGGAAAGTACACTACTTACGATTTAAAGTGAACAGGTAAATGTAGGAAGTAGTATGTACCTTATCTAGCATACATGTAGGCATGCACGCATGCAAGGCAGCAGGTGGAAAAAAAGGAACGAAATGCAAGCAATTAAACAGCCAGACAAGACGTACGTGGTTCTTTTTTCTTGTCAGTTATGATATAGTCGTAATAAATGCTGCACATAAATGTGGTATGTAGTAGTCGTAGTTCTCAAAGCATGGATATGAACATGAACGGCAACGGGAGGCATCACCCAAAAAAAGAATTGACCACAACCTTCAACCTCGGCGGGATGCCTCGATACTTTTGTACCGGACCAGATCGTCAAACCCTGGTAAGTGCCCCAATATTGGGCGGCATGGCGCTTGGTTGTCGAGGGTTATGTATGGCATGTATGTGTGTACGGTATGTAAGTACATTCAGGTATGTTCATGTAATGTTCAAAAGAACAGTGAGATACAATGTCCCGAAGTACCTTGCTAGGATTGTGTGCAACGACGTCCCCATGAGACCTTGGAAGCGAGTTGAGGGAACTTCGGCTTCGAGCAAGGGTTATCCGCACCTACTCTGGTACTTAGTACCCTTGTATCTCCGCCTGCGCTAGAATCTTAGACAACCTTACCTCTTTTTAACTCTTCTTTTTTATTTTATTGTATTTTATTTTATCTTATTTTATTTTCTCCCAATTCCGCAGTGGGTCCTTTCATTGAATGTAAGTATCTAAGTACTTATATATGTATAAAAGTGCAAGGCAATTGAATGAAGGATAAGTGCAGGATGTGCAGGATGTGCAGATAGATGTACCTCCTACATTACATTATGTACATATGTACGTACATGTATCCTACCTGCGTACATCCTGCATAACATCCAACCACATGAATTAAAAAGAAATCAAATCAAATAAATTAAACCTATGTAAGTACTTACATATAAAATTGTAATCCAATACCCAAACTCTTACTTACTTACATAGTACATATATTTCATTCCAATATTGCACGAATCGAGCTTAGCTACCTTTTTTCCAGCCTTGCGCGCGTTTAACTAGGTTGTTGTTGCAGCAATGATGATGATGCCGCTCGCTTGCTTGCTGATGGATGTTGAAGATGTCGTATGCGTATCCATTTCCATCCCAATCCATGTACCAACGTATGCCAGGTTCTTCCGTCCCTACTTTACCTTACCTGACCTTACGTAGTCTCGTCTTATGTTTCCCGCCGTTCTTCATGCGATGTCACCGAATCTGAACCGGGTGGCACTGCAGGAATGAAGAGAGCACTGATGTATTCATCATCAAGAATACGACGGACGGGACACGGACAGCCTATCTGACCCCAGCCGCGGATGAACTTGGGCAGCTTCAAGCATTTTCCTTTTTGACGAACCGCGGAGCCTTGCGGGGAATGAGAAAAAAAAAAGAATGTACCTACCATTTTGTGCCGTTTCCCTTAGGCAGACTTGGTCCGTTTTTGGTGTCTGACCTGCTGACTTTTTTTTCTCTTTCTACTTTTCTAAGACACATAAACCTGGGCCGTCGATAGAAACATCGTGGACCTAATCGTATTATTGTCTCGATTGCCACTAACGGCCAAGTTTTCCCCCCTTTAGCGTTGCACCAGGATGTTCTCTTCACTGCCATGATTGTGTCCCGATTCGCTATTTCTCACCTCTCGTCTCAAACAATAGACCCTGATAGGTTTAGTACTTTCGGCCCGCGACAAGTTTTATTGTCGCGCTCGTCTTAGATCTTACTGGCACCCGCGACGCGATAGGGGAGCACATTGGTGAATCAATAAAGGCCGTTTCTTGCGACCTAGCCGCGGCCTAGTAACCAGCCACTGGGTCTCGGTTCTCCTAACCCACAACAATAGATCCCATGTCGGCCGCCCATTAAGCGGGCAAGAAAAAGATGAAAATAGCATACGCACACACACACACACACACTTACATATACATACACTTGACATACCTACATTACATACACATACGCGTTTGATAGTCTTGGTAAATCTTAACAGCAAGGATGCAGGGAGGACGCGATGCGATGCGATTGGGAGGATCTGAGTAGTTTTGAAGGGTCCTCGATCTTGTAGAAGTGCGCGGGCGGCACAGCAAGGTAGCAACGCCAATTCCCGCTTTGGGTATGGAATTCTGCCAATTCTTCTCGCCAAGTCTTGCGGGCAGCAAAGTACTTCCCCTCGGGTACTCCCATACTCCCAACCAGAAATGGCCGACCCTGGAGCATTGCCGGCAGGTGCGGTCAGAGGAAGTTTGCGAAGGAGAGAGTCTGGTTGTACTCCCGTCCGTAGCCAATGGGCGGACCAAGACAGGGATTGCAGCTGTCATGCAATTTGGCGCGGGCGTGTGATGTCGAAAATGCCCAGGGCACTTATTAGGGCGCAGCGAATACCCGCGTCTAGAGCCGACGAGAAGTCGTTGATTTGCTGCTAGCGCATGTGCTCGCCCCATCGTCACAAATGTCTCGTATTAGCTTCGCGAGTTACATCTGATCTCTTTGACCCCGAAAGTTTTGAAACCTAAACCAAGACATAAGGAGGGGAAAGAGAAGAAGACAATAGAAAAAAAGAAGAGATCGATAGATGAAGAGATCGGTCGGTAACATATACGATAGGCTTCCCCTGTTTCCCTCCATCTCCTCTGCTTCCTACTGATAATACGAATTGCCTAGGAAGAGTTAATGCTACGATATACCCACTGCCTAGGTAGTATAACCTGTATGTAGTGGGAAGTAGTGTAGGTAAGATAGCTAAGGTACCTAATGTATTGCACTGTACTGCAGGTATTATAGGTACCGTAAGTACTACACCATTTAGTAAATGGTGAGCCGAAAGAGCGCGGCGGTGCAACTTTGCGACACGAACCGCTTTGCTGACGTACCTACGTCAGTCATCATCTCGGCCTGTTGCTCGGTCAAGAAATAAGAAATAGGGCTCCATCCTTCACCAAGCAAACAGTTCTCGAAAGAGAAATGATAATAATATCAATGCTCCCGCACCTTTTTCTTGCTCTCTCTATCCCTATCCCCCTGGATCTTACTGCAACGTAATCAGATCCAGGCGCTGCACATGCTGGCCCTGTTTAGCTCCGGAAACTCTTCCATTTTGGAATATAGTATGCTGCTATGCACCCTGCCGGCCGGATAACACCCCTTCGAAAAAAGAGAGCTGTGACTCGAAAAGCCCGTTTTGCGCACGGCACGCACGGGAGCATCCTACACTCGGGGTCTGATGCATAGGGAACCATAGGAACTATCAATTTGCTTTCGTCCGAAAGATTGTATGTAATAGGCAGTTCTTGCGAACATCAGTCCCTCGAGTCCCCTTCAGCTTTAGGAACCAAGTGGACCTATGTTTAACCCGAAGGGGGGCCTAATTTTTCGCGCTACACTACCGTAGTATTTTCTCCTGTTCATCGAACAATTCGCTACGTAAGGCCGCGGTATTCGTGACCCCTGCCACCCTTGCTGCCCTGGCATTTTCCTTAAGCGTTTCTGGAGTACTTCTCTAGACCGCAATTCTGTGGGGCGAGCGCAAAGCGCTTGTCGCGAATCGTCGAGTCCTTGCTCGGGATGCGTTTGCCGCCGTTCAGGGAAGTGATCGCTCCTAAGCGGCTTGCCGTTGCTTATTGGTCGGAGGTTACAGCTTCTAGCTTGTAAAAAAGTCATGCCCATCGACAAGGGGCAGCCTAATATCGGACGAGTAGACGTTTAGTCTACCGCGGCCGCGCATAAAATAAAACAAAAAGATTAAACTTGTGTTGCTAGCCCAGATTTCTTTTCTTAGAACATCGAACTTGGAATGTGTTTCCTTTGGGGTTCGCAGCTCCGACCCGCTTGGGAAGGCCTGGCGGCTTGGTAGGGCCACAAGAAGCCTTTTTCGGTATTGTGACAAGACGCCGTGTGCATAAAAAATAAATAAGAAAATAAGGAAGGATTCTCTCATGCGGCTATTGTACGCAGGCAAGTGGTACTGTCGTCCCCGGCCTCCTTGCATCCAACTCCGATAAGGTTCGCTGCTACCCCTCATGACACTAATACCACTAATACTGGAAAGCGGAGGTGGAAAGTGTACAATGTTGCGTCAGGCTGACGGCCGAGGACACCCAGGACATACAAGGAAAAGGTCTGATCCAATGAGTTCCGAAGTCAACAGAACTTTTTAAATCGGTGGCGGTCGGGGATCTGCAAATTCCGTTTTTTGTTTCTTACTGTTTATGTTTATGTGCTCCCTACCCTCCCTCGAATCCGCCTGAACTTTTTGTTGCTTGTTATTGCCAATAAAGCTAGGCATTATAGCTTTTGAGAAATCCTCGCGCTCGGTCTATTTGGTCGAGACGATTGTTGGGGGCCATCAGCCTTTGGATGGAGGAAAGAGGAAACGGCGAAGAGGGTTAGATGGATCCATTCATGGATACCTAGGTAGTTTCTAGTGGTAAGTAGTGGGTCTAAAGCGGGAGTACCAATTGTATCAGCGGCGTTAGGGTTTCGGCCCGTTCGATAGTGAACCTGTAACAAACATTAGAAAACATTATATCGTATACAATGCTGTTGTCAAATAATTGTTTATGCTCGAAATCTTGCTTCGGTTGGGGCTTATTTAGAGGCCCGACCCTGTGAAACTTCAGATGATGCGCGTGTGCTGTTCGCAACTTTAGAAGAGACAGTCAGTCCTGATCAATATCAAAAAAATCATACCATGCCGGAAAGAGGTGGTGCTGAAGTGAGTTAAGTGACACAATGAAAGCGGGAAAAGGTCCGTTATCATCCCTGCTAGGCTCTTAGTGTTAAACTTGCAGGGTTACGTCCAACAGCCGGCCTTCATGTAAGCGCGAGGCACGCCCGGTGATGGTCCCGCGCTCTGACAGTAATAGCGGTAACAAAAGGACGAAACTTGGAACTTGGAACTTGGAAGGCAGCAGGATAAAAATTCCCCGAACGCCTACCTAAAGTGCTAAGCCGTAAATAGTTTTAAAGTGTTTAGGGCAAAGCTGCCCACGCAAGGAGGTGACCGAATGAATTATTACACATCGTAAAAATAGACCCGGCCGGCTGGCTAAGTCTCGGATCCGGTGTTAGTCCCAAGTTGTGCGAGGGGGTCTTACGAAGGATTCGTAGACTCGGGATTGGCCTAGTTTAATAGAAGTCTGTATGTAATGTATGTTGTAGATACATAATCTTCGAGTAGACATGTATATACTATATATAAGCGAGGAAAGGGAGGGAGAGGATGGCGTGTATATTTGATTTCTGTGTGTCATTTGTCCTTGTTGGTCCGTATATCATGTTTTTCCATGTTACTACTTCGGCGTAAATTCCTTTTTTTAGGTAATTATTTGTTACCGACCGTCAGGCAGGGCTATATTTTAATATGACGAGTCACGAAGCCGACCACGTTGTCGAAATACCTAGGTAGCGAAGAAATTAGATTTCAGCTACTGGGTTATGTAGCTAAAAGGAAACGATGTAGCACAAGGTTAGCACAAGGGCACAAGGGGTGTGTGTCGTGGGTGTTGGTGCGGCGTGACAAGCGATCCATTGTTGGTTGATCGGGCCAGTACGACTGGTTATTTAATTCCATGTCCTCGTGGCTGGTGTTGGTAACAAGGGGATCCACCTAACCGTCTGCACGGCATTGCCCATTTTGAATTTCCGTGGATTTACATAATTTGGTAGGTACTAGGTATTTTGTGGCTTTAAGAACTTTTTTTCTTTTCAAGGGCAGAGGCAGTGAAATTCCATGGATGCCGTCGGTACTTCCTTGCTTGGTACCAGCGCCGAACAGACGAGGAAACTGTAAGCCATCTAATCTAACCGAATATTGAACACATGCGTGTACATACACGAAGTATCTTGTGATAAAGTTCGGTAATGCATGTACCTAGGTAGGTAATCTTTTTTTGTTGCAGACCAGGTCACATGATTCCATTCGCGCTAAGCTCAACTTCTTACTAGCGCTGTACTTGCTTTTTAGTGGCTCGCGACCCCTAGACGGCCGACCATTTTGATGGCCTCCCTAAACATAAACATAAACAATTAACATTGGATGCCTCAATAATTGAGCCTCATCATCGTCGATTTAAACTGACTCATACCTTGATGATGATGTTCTCTTTCTTCTTCGTTCACATTTTTCGAAATGTTAAAATTACAGGTGAGATGTTTCATTATGACTCCATATATCCTAAGAATAACTACACCAGATCAGTAACAGGGTTACTAATTCCCCCTATTTCGTCCAATCGCAAGCCAGTATCTTTCGAATAGCCGCCCACCTAAGCGCCCCGACATCGCGGGCGCCTTCGAGAAGACTTCTTCCTTTTTTTTAATATTATTTTCGCATGCACATAATTGAGATCCGTGGCGTCTCGATTTTCTACATCCCGCGAACTTAGGTAATCTGCGAGTCGGGCGTTTAAAAAACCTATTTTCGTCCCAGATCACTTGCATGAAATCTACCCGTCCTACCCTCCTAGGCTTGCTTCCATGCCGTCGTGATCCTTCCTGCAAGGCACAACGGCGGCATTCCCACGCGATGCCTTGATCTGGTTGGGTACCTTCAGTCTGGGGAAATGCTAGTAGAAAGGGGTGGGCGTTTCGCCGCCATGCATGCTAGTTAGCCCTACCCTCCACGACGGGTACGCGCCACCACTACCAAACAGCAGAAGCGCCCAAACGGCGTCATAACCCCTATATTCGCCAGCTTCCAGAAGCGCCCGTGAGCCGTCAGTGCGACCATAATCCGCAACTCACCCTTCTTTTAGGAATGCTCATAGCAATCTCAGCCAGGTAGTTGGATCGTTTACGGTGTCCACACCAAGGTACCACGACGCTGGCTTGCCGTACGCAAAGACTGCCAACTGCTAAAGGTACATGCACGTGTATGTCTTGTTATCACACCACCCCTATTGGTGTACCTGAAGTTACGGGGGGCAAGCGTCATGCTTCAGGGCTCCAACGGTCTTCAGATCGTCCTCGAACTCCCTTGCGACCCAGCCCTAGCAGGCGCCCGTGACGTACCTATCTCGGGGATTTTGGTACAACGAGGATCTACTAGGGTGCTTATTTTTAGGGGGAAGGTTGCTAAAATAAGATATAGCCTCAATCTGCAGCCGCTCGCGAACTGCAAGTGTTAATTTGGACGTCACCTCCAATTTATGAGTCTGCAAGTATTTACAGTTTTCATAGAACAATTATAAACGAGGCAGACACTTAAACCTATAATTCTCATAAGCGCGCTCGACTAGGAAATTTGAGCCTAGAATCGCATATTCGGCTTTACCGCCCTTATTTCACTTTCACATCCGTATCATAGCCAATAGAAGTTATTAGAATTGTCCCCCCTTTTAGCTCACTCCCAGCTTTAGATCTCTCTCGTTTCAGATCTCGTTTCCCCTTTTCACGTTACTACTTTCCGGCGGTTGGAGGCTACGCCCAACGGACTTTACGTTAATCAGTCGGTCACGTCAGAACCTAGTACCTTTCCATCGGAATAGATCAATGCGATTAGATGACATAGCAATCCTAGAGAAAATTACCGGAAGTGTTACGCGACCGTCGGGCTACGATGATATATCAAAGATCCTAGGCATATATACGCACTATAGCGGAGCAGCCACCTCAAAGAGATATACAGATTGTTACTATCTATGGTCTTCCCAATAACACATCGGGCTTACTTAACCGTGACGAGATGTCCTAGTAGGCCCCCACGTGGCAGGCATATGCCTTCAGTGTGTAACCGTTCTTCAATAATCACCAATAATCACTTAGTCATGAGAGAAATAGGGATAAGCATCCACATATGTATGAAATTTGCTCAGTGAAATAATTACACGCCATTTGAATGAGCATTAACTTAGAGCAATAAAGCAATCAAGCTCTTCAAATTCTTATCTAGAATAAAATAGGAAAGCTATGCACATATCATCGCCGAATCCCCGCTCAAGTGTCAATTCCGGCGATAGTTGAATTTGGCGGCCGACTTCCCGCAAAGCAAGTTTGCGATTCGATATAACAGCTCAGTCGTCATGGTTTCGTCGTATGCTGACCTAGCGTCCCTTCTATGTTCATGCCTTTTCCCTAGTAGAATCTGTGATATACTCTGGGTATGGAGATTTGAGTCCCAGTTCTACGAGCGGATCTCTGAACTCCTTGGTTCCGGTGATATCCATTATCGTTGAAGGGTGGAATATAATGCCTCGTGTCAACAGATGTGTAACAATAAAATTAGTAGGATCATTATACTCAGCCACGATTCCCTCCGGGGCAAATTCGGGACTCGTACCGTCGCCGATAGTGGTACATTCCCATAGTCTTTTCACATCCTCATCCATGCTGAACGACCAAGTACCAATCCAATGAATCGTAGCCCGCTGCTGGGTTACTAAAAGTCGGAAAATGGCTGCGTCTGTATTGCTTGCGTTGAACAATTCAAGGGCTTTCATCGCTCGCATCTCTACGGCCAATCGAGCTACTCTGGCCAAGAGATTGTTGAGCCCTTTGAGCCCATTGGGGTCGCAAATTTTTTGAGGGGAAATCATGGAGGCTGTGAGGCTCAGGAAGCGTAATGTGTCCCAACTGCGCATTGGTTGGACACCAGGGCTGAGAGTTCGGCTATACATTGGTTGGGTCGGCGGGGGTTGAAGGAAGTTGAAGAACGTCGTTGCTTCAATGGTGTTACAAATGCCGAGTCCTTCCAGTCTACGGCAGCGCAGGGCCATATCGGCAGAGATATCCCACTGGAGAGTCCAAATTCTATCATTTATGGTGGGATCTCTGTCTACGTCATCACTATCGTACTCGCTACTACTATCGGTGTTTCCTCGTTCGGTTTCAAGGTTTGTCGGCTGGAAAATCGAAATCTTTCGCAGAGATGTGGGCCATGACGATACTTGGGAACAGAAGATATCTCGATTTCTATATGAAGTCCACAGCGGCGACTTCTTATCCCTATTCTAGTGTTCAAAATTGATGCTTTTCAGGTTGGGGATACAGTGCATGATCTTGAGACGGGCAGCTTCATCGATATCGCCCAAAACCCGACGTAGGATTCGAAAGTCGGTTATAATCTCAATCTCGGGAAGGTAGGTCGCGTTTCTAAAGCACCAGCTTAATTTGCGGAACCCCCAAACACCTTCTATCTGAATCGAGTCATCATATTTCTCGTTCTTTCGATAATCCACGGCAATCTCCAGGCTTAGTCCCGATTTGTTAATTCTGAAGATTTCGTCGGCATCCCATAGACAAAGAATTCCGAATAGCATTAAGACATCATAAGTGAATTTTGAATTTTGACCGGATGCTGCACTTTTGGAGAACCGCCGCGTTATGTTGGAAGACACGGTTTTTTCCAGCAATATGGTGAATATCAAGTTTTTGAGACATGCTTGACGCCTCACACTACCGATGAAGATCTCTCCAAACTTTTCTATGGAACTAGAGTCCACTGTAAGGGTCTCGAAAGTTTGGCTCTCGATGACGACTTGCCATCCCTTGCAAACAGCAGCGCATGCTGGACGATCAGAACGGTCGACAACCAATAGGATAGATCTTGCGACAGTAAGGGAAAGTTTCCCCTATCGTTTCGTCTGTACACGAGTTAGATACCTAGCATAATTAAGGCGCGAATGAAACGGCTTGGAAATACTCACCTTGAGATGCCATCATGATCAACAGGATGGAAAGCCTTGTGCTAGACGTACATGCGGTATCACTCGATCTTTTTGACGAGTAGGTAAGGTTTGCTCGAATTGAAACAAGAAAAAATATTAATACTTTCCAAAACTCTCGTCTGATATGCTCCTTCCTCGAGACGTTGTGAGTCATCTGAAAAGAAGGTTTGAAAGGTATTAGAGTTAGAGAGTCCTTGTGCAACACTCACGCCGTCGTGAGGAAGTAGCGAACATTCAAATCTTAGTAGCGCTGTGTTTACTCCATGCCTACTTCCCTTCTCAATTTCACCCACTGGCCATTCATTACATCACAATCAGACGAAGCTTTACATGTAAAGCATGCGACAACCTCGTAAGGTTTCGTTAATTATTGAAGCGCTGGCACAATCGCCCCTCCCCTATCTCTCCCTACTGCCTACAACTTTCTAGTAGATTTATTCTTACCAGTGGCTGCATTCACAACCTCAGGAATCATCAAATCTGCCCTCGTAGGAAAATTAGATCTTCTTCAATCATTTTAGTCAAACGGGGACGATATGGATAGATGTGGTTGCGCATACCCACTTGGAAGAGTTAGCAAGCCGAGTCCTGCACTATGTAGCTAGCTAGTATCCACTTGATACAAATAATATAGGGTTAGTTTACCATGAATTTTCTTCCATGTAAGAAAACTCGGGTTCATGGCCTAATGGTAAGGCGTCAGATTTCGGTCCAATCAACGGTTCTCTGAAGATTGCAGGTTCGATCCCTGCTGAGCTCGTTTCGTTGTTTGATTTTTTGCCCCTTTTTTGATGAGACCCAACAATATTCATGGATGCACGAAGAAGCAACCAAAAACATGAGGTTGAAACTGCAGCGTTTTCTAATGCCTAATCAGAATTGGCGATATATTTGGCCAGATAGAGCAAGTAATCCCAATACGGACCAAGCCGCGGAGATGTCCATTTCCTGGGTGGTAATACAAGGCGCACCGGCCACAGTTGCGCGAGTATGATTTGTACGGTCCAGCAACGGCTAAGTTAAAGGGAGCAAGCCCTTGACCTGACGTTTTTAAGATATTCATCACGCTACAACTTATGACGTTTGAAGATGCGGTACTCACTCGATGGGACCCTGGGTACGATCTGCTTGCTAAATTTAACATACGCGCTGTATGGCAAATATCTTGCGGAGTGCTTGCCACCAATTTATCATCTGTTATGGTATCTAAGATTGCATCAGCAATGCAGCTTCGGCGCTTCTTATTTTAGTGGAAAGACGGAGCACCTTTTCGTCTTCCCCTAATTAGTTGGCGCATGACGAATACCTATCTCGTCCGGTCGACGCCATAGCTAGCTCACCTTTGATCCCGGGAGTTGCGAGTTCGGAGAGTGCGATAGTATCATCCACCTGTCGTTTGCCCCATCAACATACAACCTAGGTGGCAATCTTGACCTTGGAATCATATGAGGGAATCTGAAAACTGATTAACTCAGTTAACGTCGTCTTGATTCTACACCGGTTGAAGCTGTCCGGGCCAATAGTATTATTACCGGAGATGCCGGTCCCCGGCAAATTCGGGATAGAAGACGGGGTGTGGCAGCGTAGAGCCACAATCGGAATGAATACTACCGGATAGGTAGGATTCTAACTACCGCGATTTTCGGATCCAGGGTTACAGCTCGGTGTGAATGTCTACCCTAGTAGGCTATAAGGGGAGAAGATCTGGAACGGAAATAGGAAGACGGTTGTCATAAGGTTATGCGAGATAAGTGGAGATGAAAGATGACATCTGGATCTGTATATGCGGATAGGTAGAGCTAGAAAGCTAGGGGTCCTGACTGAGACGCGAGTAAGACGGATTCGTGCCCTATTTTACTTACACGTATTATCTTCGTAAGCGGCAGCCAGTGCGGATAATCTTTTTTTTTTATGTCCTTTTGCTTTTGGCTGGCTTACAAATCATGCAACTAGTCGAGCATGTCTCTCTATTCTTCCCAAATAGGAAATATGAGAGGCGCCAGGCTTGGTACCCATGTAGATGGAAAGGAGATCATGAGATCATTGTTTCGATACCTGGGCTGCGATATAAATTGAATTTCTAACCGAATACTATTGTGGTAGCAGAGGTACAGTATAGTGGTAGTTTAAAGTGATCGGTTAAGTAGGCGGATGGAAGTAAAATAAAATGAAAAATAAAAATCAGTATGTTCAGGGGGTTATGTAAGTTTTTGTATGTTGTAATAAATCCGTAGATTAGTATGAATCTGCATCTGCGTCTGCATGTATGAATGAGCTGTGTGTATTCCAAATGTTTTTTTCCTTTTTACAATTTCCATCAATGATCGTAGGTTTAAAAATAACTCCCGAGACGGAAAGGAAAATGAGAGGCGAACCCGCACTCCCCCCAGGCGTGATGCGGAGCTATCTTTAAATCCAGCCGAAGAAACTGCGTAGCTACTGCGTCAGGCGCAGACCCAAATAGGGAAACGCCAAGACTGACGCTAAATACTGGCTTGTGCTGGCTTGGGTATTGACGTTACCGTATCCAGTAAGATCCTGTAAAAGATCCAGTAACCGCGACGGAGTTTCCAAACTTTCTGGGCCCAGCAGCCCAGGCGGGCCAGGGCCTTTTCCCAGGGCCTGCAGGGACAGGCGTTTCCTCCCTCCCGGATATACGGATGACAATGTTTCCGACAATCACCGTGGGAAACTCCAACGGTCCTGGGCTTAATTGAGAATCCACGGGCCTTTTTGTAAGGTATTTGCCAGTAATTTTCTTTTTCTTTTTAAAATTTATTTTTTTTTCCCTCGTACTACCGGAACTTCTTTCTCAATCAGGTATCCTCTTAAGTCCTCAATCATCTGTCTGAGCAAGCCCGTTATCACCAGCGCCGCCCCGAGGGGAAGTATTCCCTACCCTCGTTTGACGTCGCTGGATTGAGGCTCTAGCTGAGATTACCTATTATTTCCGATCGATTTCAATTACGTCGACCCCATCTGCTTGCTCCATACTACCACCTACCTGGGTCGTCGTTTTATTACAAGAAGAAAAACCATCTTTTTAAGGGTCTTACTCGGGCACGATGGACGCTCGGCCCGGTAGTTACCAGACAAGTGTCTTTCGCGCGCAGCCAACAGAGGGACTCCAACGCAAGATTCAAAAACGCAATCGTCCCCCTGTGTCCTGTCTGCTTTGTCGGACACGCAAGTAAGTACCTAGCACCTAGTAATTTCTTGTACCATTCCCGCTCATTATCATTTCGTAGGGTCAAATGCGACCGTCAACAGCCTTGTGAGAGATGCGTCAAGAGCGGCGAGGCCAATTTTTGCGAGTATGCACCTCGTGCTTCTCGCAAGTCGCGCTCGGATTCGCGGCCGCAAGTGGATACCCGGGCCAGGCATGAGCCCATGTCTCGCCCCGTATTGCAGGTCCGTCTTCAGAAACTTGAAGAAATGGTTAATGGTCTGGTTTGCACCGCGCGTAATCGGGACGTCAACCTCGATACCCCTTCAAGTTCGGACCAGCGAACGGAAACTAATGAGAGTCGCTCCGATTTGAGCTCACCACCTAGCTTGGCACCCTCGGCAGGACAGCTTCATACCACGCTTGGTGATCATAGTTATGTTGGCGCTACGCACTGGGCATCTATCCTTGAGAGCATTCACGATATTCAAGGGATTCTTCAAAATGAATCAGATGGTCCTCCTACTCCATCACCGCCACCGGAGCAATCGAGTCCGGACAGTGCGGATCTCGTCTTTGGCAAGGTTCAACCCATAACCCTTCAACAAGCCATCACGCGATTGCCGCCTAAGAATAAAACTGATGCGCTCATATTGGTTTACTTCCGCCACAAATTTATGACGGCTCCGTACATCCACACTACTAAATTTCAACGAGAGTATGATGCTTTCTGGGAGGATCCATCTTCTGCTAGCCTACTATGGATAAGTTGCCTTGCTTCCATGCTATGGGTTGCCGCATCTATCTCCATCATGAAGGGCGAAAGCGAAGAATTTGAGGCGCATCAACCTGAAAAACTGGCTGTGCTAGCAACTGAGTGCCTCGTATCTGGAGATTACTTGTCTGCAAAGCCTTATTCTATTGAAGCACTCCTTTTGCTCAGCTACACGGAGTTACAAAGAAACAGGGATATCGACTCCAGCTTATGGGCTAAATTCGGTCTCGTTGCTAGACTTGCTCAACGCATGGGATATCATAGAGACCCGAAGTATCTAACCAACATCTCCCCTTTCCAAGGCGAACTTCGTAGACGTGCCTTTTTCTTCATTGAGGTATTCGACGTCCTCTTCTCGTTCCAGCTAGGTATGCCTCCGATCATTCGCGACGATGAATGCGATACCGAATCGCCTAGCAATCTATTTGATTCCGATTTTGACGAGAACGTGTTATCTTTACCTCCCGCGCGACCGTCTACCGAGCCCACCCCCATTCTATACTTGAGTTACAAGTCGAAATTATGTCGATTGTTACGCCGAGTAATTCGTTTCGCATTGTCACTCCAACCCCCTCCATACGAAGAAATCCTCAAGCTGGATGACGAAATCACCCAGTATCATGATCAAGTACCACCTTCGCTACAAATCAAACCTATCCGCTCGTACAGTTTCACAGATCAAACCTACGATATCATGCATCGTCTCATGTTGGAATTGATGTATCTTAAAAGCCTCTGTGTGCTGCATCGGCCGTATCTCAATCGCGACAAGGACAATCCTAGATACGATAAGTCGCGAAACATCTGTCGTGATGCGGCCCTTCGAATCCTAGATCTTCACGCCGAATATGAAGAGGAAAGTAGGCCGGGTGGTCGGATACACGAAGATAAATACATGCTGTCCGCCCTGACCCTGCATGATTTTCTGATTGCATCGATGATTATCTGCCTCGATCTCACGGAAAATTTCCCGAGCACGTAAGTGTAACTTAACTAACGAACGCCGTGAGTAACCATCTAGCTAACAACACTATAGGTCGGCGGATCGGTCAAGAAAATTAAAGGCGCTAGGAACATCTTTTAGAATGTGGTCCGATAGGAAGCACACGTCCAAGGATGCGGCGCATGCTACCCGGGTTGTGGGTAGTATCCTTCGGAAAGTATCAATGCAAGAACCAGCTACCAATCGTTCGCCGCCTCCGCCACCCAAACCCGACGTTCGGGACGGTTCCTTGGCCAGCTTGCTTAATAACGATTCCCAACCGAATCCTGTTCCGTCCCCTGCTCCATTCGAGCCTGTTATTACCTTACCACCTTTCGATTTCTCTTCGGAATTCCTTAATAATCTACCACTCGACACTATGCTAAATGGCCAGAACACGGTCGATTGGGTGAGACTCACATGTATACCGGGATCCGGACTTATGCTAACTTGCTGGCAGAGCGTGATCGACCAATTCCTTCTAGACAGACCAAACAGCGGATTCAGAACCTTACCTTAATGGCCTGATACCACGGGCGTCATACTTCATTTTCAACAATTCAAAAATATTATCGCGCAGCTTTTTAGATTTTTATCGGCGACGGATCTACGAATTAAATGTAACGGAGGGTTAACTAAAAAAGGGACATTCGGAGTACCGGATGTTATATCACGCGGCCGGCATGTCTGCGATCATTAGAGTATTTGCTTTGTTTTTCTTTTCCTTTGCGAAATATTTATCGTCGTTGTTGTTCGCTACCCTGTATAGATACGCAACTCAGCTGAGGCTTTGAGAGCGAACGAACAGACGGACGAATATTTAACCAATCAATCAATGCATGATAGGGGGCGTGGGCGTCGAGGCGCCTAGTCAGTAAAAAATTATGGCAGGGTATTTGTTGTCCTATTTTATTTAAATAGCGAATGGTTTAATGCGAAGAATTAAAATCAATATCTGCGATTGTATTTACTCCGTACTGCTGGTGGTGAAGCACTGCGTGTGCATAGACGAAATCCACCAATCAAAAAAGTGCCAATCGTATGAGTATAACGCGAGCTGAATCGTCATTTTCAATCTGATTCGACGGTGATATTATAATTATATATGAAGTAGGCAATTGGGGGGTTACTCGGGTTCAATTTATCTGGTGCCGTCTTCATGCATGAATAGCCTCCTTTTTTAGACGGATGCGGATTTATAGATGTGTGCTTACATAAGGGCACTCGGGTTTGTTCTTACACATAACCCACCATAATTCATGTGATGTTGTAGGTGGTATTTTGGTTTATATATGTGATGGGAATGCCCTGATTTCGATCGTCTGGTTAACTATCGATTTAATCTCCGTTTCTCGTCGCTACTACTGGAAAAATCGGACAAATTCATACATATCACTCTCGCAAAGCGTACTCTTGGCTCATCAACTCGACGCGACGATCATCATCGTATACCTCCTTGAATTCGAATTTTTACATCGTCCGCGCTAGGTACATGCATGACCAATAGAAGTATCAACGAAGTAACGAAGTATCGACTTACTAACGCCGCTCCAGGACTCAATTCATACACAATGTACATGCCACCAATGTCCCAAGCCGCGCCCGAAACCCACACTTCGGAGCACTACGTGGGTCGTGTGAAGCGCTATCTCAGCTGGCGGATAAACAGTTTCGGCGATGCATCGCCGCTGCGACCGCGTGTTAAGGGGAAGGTTGGGTATCGCTCGCTGAAAACTGAATCTAAGAATGAGAAATAAACCCCGAATTAGGTTGGGCTGGGTGGAGTGATGTATGTGTGTATGAAGATATGATTATCTGAAATTTTGGGTATAGCAGGGCGTCTTAGGAAGAGGGAGATGGAGTTGGTTATTTGAAGGGTAAATTTATTTATATTCTTTTATTATTTTGATTTTGTCTTTGAGTTGAATTGCCTCGCTACGAGGGGTTCCTAGAACCTTCATTTCGGCGTAGGATTAAGACTGCGAGTTCTAAGACCATCGAACAAATCCCCATGCAAATCTTATGGGGCTCGAGCCGCGTCTAATATTCTAATCCCGTATCTTCTGGCTCGGCATCTTCTTTCTTCGCATCTTCTCTAAGTATCCTACGAACCTCCCTCATCGGCATATGTTGCACCTCCTCCTTCCCCCTCCTCTCCCAAACGTGCCACAGCCACTCCACAAAATCGCGCGTGTCGCGTTTCGATTTAGCAGTAGACGGTGGTTCTTTCTTTAGCAGCGCATCAAGCCGTCTCTGTTTCCACAATGGCCTAGTCGTAATCTCGCGCATAGTGCGCGCGTTCGTCTGCAATCCGATAGCTTCTACATGCCGCATAACCCGTACAGCAGCCGTGATGAGATTCTCTCGGAGCAGGGCACCGATAATCGCATTCCAAGCAGCAATATTCGGGGTGATCCCTTCCTCGACCATTTTTTTCAGCGCCAAGAGGACACCTCGTGTGTGCTTATGGTTCCTCATACCCTTCATCAAAATCGTGTAGGTATATACCGAGGGCGGGTAACAGTATTTATTTGTGCCGTATCTTTGTTCTTCCCATTTGGCCTTCTCGCGCATGTTTCGGAGCATCCTAAAGCTTGCCGAAACTGTTGGTTTGAACTGCAACGAACCCCGGAGAAAAAGGTTGTCCAGCCATCCTTTTTGGTCTTTGAGCAATTGGCTGATGATGGGATCCTTCGTATATTTGAGTATCATGGCCTTCACGTAGTTTCCGTGTTTAACCAAAGCTTTCACTGTGGACAAACTTCTGAGGTGCACCTTCAACATTAGTTTTAGAGTGACAGTATCCGGCCACATAAGCAAGGCATCTGGCCGTGTAGGAAGGGAATCAACCAATTTATCGAGTTGGGCCAGATGTGCTGGCGGTTTTCTTTGTCGTGGAATGAGGAGATTCTCTAGTGGAAATGGAGTGAATTGTTGTAATGCGGTTGGATCGAAAAATTTAATGTATAATCGGGCCATAAGTCTCCAAGCAAGCTCGGTATTCCCTTTCTGTTGTCTCCGCCCCTTAACTGTGTATAACTCGTTGTATCGATATATAAAATCCAAAAAATCATTAACCAGATGAGGAGTCCAGGCATTGCTGGCCTCGATCATGTTGACGTTGCGCTCGAGAGACTCCATATCTAAGGTTTGTTTGGAGCCGTTCAGGAGTATGGAAAACACATGGGCATCTGGTTCGATACCGCGCTCAATTAGGAGGTCAAATATGTTCCACGCAATCTCGACCCGCCCACGAACGCAGAAATTCCGCATCAACGCGGATAAATTTATGAGATTCGGACGAAACCCAGCGTCCAAGAGCATTTTAAATAACTCGTCTGGAGCGGCATGGTCATCTGGTAGTTCAGCCCCCTTTTCCAATGTTAGAAGGGACGTACAAACACTGGCAGCTGCAGGAGAGTTGATGTCGAACCCGGGCCTACTCGAGAGGGAATGTATGATTTCGGCGGCTTCGACTTTACGCAGTGGGTCTTTAGCGAAACGGCTTGCAAAATGCAACAACGTGTTCGGACGCAGCGGATGATCGACCCTTGTTAAGGCATCGTAAAATGAAATTGGTCCGGAAACAGATAACCAAGATAGGACCTCCCGGATCGTCGTTTGAGGGAATGCTAGATATTTTGGAGGAGAGTTCGCAAGCAAGAAAAAAACGAGGTCGATCCCGTACTGGCGTTTTTTCTCGGAGGATTGGGGATCGTCCAGAAGTCTCAAGAGGAAGTACACTAAATCCTCGACAACAAAGCTTGGACATAATGAGTGATGGAAAGTAGCCATAACCAAACTGCGCAGATGGCCGGGGTTTGAGCGGAATGAGGATAACATCAGATCTGGCCATACTGACTTGCGCTTTTGGGGGTCTAGCCTGAGCCATATATCTTTGACTGTTTTTGCATCTCGCCTCAAGAGACTGACGACTTTTAACTTTTCAACTGGATCATCAGTGAGTTGGGATAATTCTTGGAAATGCATTTTCCAATCGTGGAATACATCAAGTCGTGATCCTGCCTCTGCCGCAGAGCGTCCCCAAAGAAGCCTTTCCAACTGGGTGACTGCGTGAAGGGCTTCTGCGTTTGACAAGCCATATCTAGTCATAAGATCGTCATGAACCAAATAGTAATCCCCTCGGCATTGCAATATCTTCCTTTTTAAATCTCGAGAACCTGCCACTGGCATTGCCCGGATTTTCTCTTTAAAGAGCTCATTCTGTCGTGGGACAAACTTCTTTATTTTCTCCTCCAATTGTTTTTTCTCGGCCGGCTGAATTTGAGGAACTGGCGGGGCTGGTGTCGGAAAATATGTAGGCAGTTGGATTTCGTGGTCGCTTGCGATGTCACGTCTTTGTTCTTCCGGCAAATCCCATGGAGGGGGGAACGTCGCTGTAGTTGAAGCCGCTTGTGTATGTAGCTGGAAATGCTTGAATTTCAGCTGCCCGAAGTTAGATTGCGCCAACCTGGAGATGCACTGGCGGCATGTGAACGTTGATGACATCGCCGAGAGTATTCAGTAAGCGGCAACCAAACCATCAAGATCCTCACGATGTTCAATCGACGATTAGGCATATTTACGGCATGGGTTTAACATCGTTCGAAGGGTAAGTCTTGTACGAGAAACAATTTAAAAGAAGTGATACGAGGTATAATTATGGCGTAAAATAAACAGAGTTCTTTGGAAATGGGAATAATGTACAAGAATCATAAATCGAAATGTAGATTTCGAAGTCGGCGACGTTGATGCGCAATGTCAGAAGTCCCAATCCAGCGGAAGGGTTCACTGTATAGCGGTTTTCTTATCGATAAGTATATACAACCAAACAGGCGCTGAATCCACTATAATTCAACACTCATCGTACCTACCATATTAAACTATCTTTCTTATTTCCTTCACAACCAACACTTTAGAGCATCTCTGATCTTCATTACCCGCGTGATCAAGAAGAATCGGATCGATCCATACCAAAAAATGTCTACCTCACATGCGACACTTAGTGCCGCCGCCGATGACCGCAAAGCTCGGCTCGCTAAGCTCAAGAACCTCAAGCGCAAACAACCCGCCGACGAAATCGCGCCTCCGGAATCCGAGCGCTCGGCCTCACCACCCGCGCCTACAGATCTCGTCCCTACAGAACAACAATTAAAAGAAAACGAGGCAGGATTGGAAGCAGATGTCGCGGCGCGTTTACACTTATCCGGTCGTAATTATGATCTCGAAACCAAAGGACCGAAGCTAGGCTTTGAGGCACCGCCTACGATCGGTATGGAGGGTCCGACGTTGGAACAGCAGGCCGCGGATGTGGAAGCTGAGATACGAAGGAAAGCGGCGGAGGACGCGAGGGATGATAAGGGGATTGATTTGTTCAAGCTCCAGCCGAAGAAACCGAACTGGGATCTTAAGAGGGACTTGGATAAGAAACTGGAGATACTGAATGTGCGGACTGATAATGCTATCGCGAAACTGGTCCGGGAGCGTATTTCGAATGCACAGGCGAATGCGAAGAAGACGGCGAAACCGATTGAAAATGGAGAGGGGGAAAGTGAAGAGGCTGCGGGTATGGATGGTGTTGCGTTGGTTGAGGGCGTGAGAGTTAGGGAGAGGGAAGAGGAGGAGGAAGAGCGGAGAGAACGCGAAGATGAAGATGCCATATAGGGGACAGTCTATTAAGGGAATTGTTTGCATTGTTACGGCGTCTGGTTTACAGCATCGGCGAAGAAATGGATTACAATAAGTGTACATATTATGCTCAAGTGGAATTGGCTTCATCCCTGACCTAAACTAAAATAATGATACCCATTCTCAACCACCTCTACTCATCGCCTGCGTTAAAGCAAGTCTCTTGGAGAAAGGACTTAAACTCCGTTCACGTTGTTGTCGTGGCGGTGCTCCTCCCCTTCGTCCACCTCTGCCACCGCGCCGAGGAGGGCTTCTACCACGTCTTTTGGGTTCACCCGGGGATCTAGAGCGGTATCTTCGCTGATGTTGAGGTGGCGGAGATCTGCTAGCGCTCGAAGAATACCTTCTGCGCCGGCTTGGTGCTTCGTCTCTTGAATCGTAACCGCCTTTTGCGGGACTTAGGTTACGTGTCCTTGATCTTGATATCCGGCCCGGTCCATCTGAAGGGCTTCCGGTCCTGGCTGGCCGTTGGGGGCTTGGTGAGTAACGCCGATCATAGTCACTACCAGGACTAAATGATCTTCCGCGTGAACCATGGCTGGCGGGTGGTGGGCTCGGATCATCTCTCCTTCGAATATTTGAATGAGCCGTGGAAGAATGTTGAGGCGGTGGTGAAGCTGATCGCCTAGTAGATATTGAAGATACAGAATCGTAAGAAGCTGATCTTGATCTTCTGCGCCTAGGGGATTCATCATCTGTGCCGTTTTGCTCTAAATCCCGCTTCTTTGCTCTCTCGGCTTCACGTTTGGCCAGTTCTTCATCAGCAATGCCTTTTCTATAAACTTGTTAGAAAATCCTGGAGCTCGTATATATCTTGGAAACACATACTGTTTTTGTAATGTTTCTTGCACATCACTGTCTAACTTTGGAACCAGTTTTGGGTTGAAGAGTTGCTGTGTTCTAGAAGGTCGAGAGACATAAGGTCTTTCTTGTGCTGAGGCCTTGCATTCATACGAGTAGTGCCGTGCTGAGAGAGTTAGTGAAGTTTCAAATGACGGAATGGTGAAGATAGACATATCTCTTTTAAGGCACTTTTGGCATTGGACATTTGCCGGTGTCGACTTTGGTGGGCCTCGTCGATACATGTTTCTTGTGAGATTGGCGTGATGGAAACTTGAAATGATGTTCTATTTTGAGATGCGTATGGTGGAGTGAGATGGTCCTAGGAATCCGTAAGATTATTCACCAAATATAAGCCCATGCATCACTAATGTATTGATTATGTTCACCGTAAAGTTGAGGCTTCCCGTGAAGGTAAATGCAGATGAGATGCATACCTTAGCATACGTACTGTGGCGGTGCAATAATCTTATCTGCGCACGCACTGTGGATTTTGAACCGCCTGAAACCCAAATTGTAAATTGGATAAGCCCCACCTATGCCCGCAAGTTGGGAATCTGACATCGGCTCAAGCCACTAAAAGAAGGAAGTACCTCAGTACATACAAAAAAGAAAAAGGCAACTAAAAAAGAGTGCAGCCAACCAGCCGCAATCAGGGGACACAGGGGGGAACACGGCTCCTACCGGCAGGTAAACTGAGGCGCTAACACGCTAAAACACGCTTACATAGGTACATGTCTAGGTACATCCATGGATGGGTAGAGTACTCGCTAAGATGTTGCTAAGTCGCTACTTCACTAGCCTCTCCCCAAGTTTTTACTTCTACAAGCCCTGGAGAGAGCCCTTGGAAGCCCTGCCATTTTTTAAAAGTGTTCTACCAAAGTTCGTCGACCGAGACAGGCCCGGGCTTTGGGTCAGGATTGAAACCTTGATTTTAACATCTGCCCGTCACAAATTCATTCCCCCGAACTTCACACAATCTACAACAACCCGCAAAGCCTCACATCTTGTCCTTCGCATTTTGGAGCACACCACCCTTTCGTCGGAAGTTCGCCTTCTTTCGCTTATCGAAAAAGGGTTGAACGCGACTGTGTGCTAAAGATATCTGCATAAGCAGGGCAAGACTGAAAATTGAGGAGAGAGAGGTGGTTCGTGGTCGCCTCGTTCTTTTTTTTTTTCTATCCCATCTGTTCATCCTACGGTCACGCTATCAACCATCGTCAAAAGTCCATCTTGTGAATATCGCCAGTTCGAAGGACATATTGGTGCCTGAGGTGGCTTGACGACTCTACCCGAATCCGGCCATACGACCATTCTGCGCATCATCTTAGATCTTTGCGACCGAGTCCTATTACAAGCCGTACTTTTTTAGGACTTCTTCATATGCGACTGTTCGTGCAACCCAACTCTTCACTACCACTACTACTACTACCACCACTACTACCGCTACAACCATTACCACTGCCACCACCAATATTATATGCTACATAAATACGTACTTTATCTAGCTACCTTCCCATCACTCAAAAATCCATTGGCAGTCAGCTTCTCTCTGTCATCTATCCTATCCTATCCCATCCAATCCAATAACCGATCTGGTCTGGCTTGGCTTTGGGTCGGTCTACCCGTTCTCTTTCCTTTTCCTTTCCTATCTCGCATCCCACCCCGACCATTTCTTCCCCTTGCTGACGGCAGCCCTATTCTAGTGCTCATCCTCTCCACCACCATAATCATTCGGCACCTTTCAAATAGTTCATCGTCGGTAGCTACGTAGAAACCTCTAAAGACGCCCGTTTCGACTCAAAACTCCGAATACATAGCAACTCCCCGATCCGCTTTCGAGATACATACAAGTCACGACAATGATTAGCCGTATTTCGTACTCCCCAAGGGCTGCTTTTATTCATTTTCTTTCCTGATTTCCGGCTGTTCTGACGTCGTTACACCGAAGCCATCGGACACCTCGATCGTTTCCAGTACTTTTTTGTTCGTTCGAGGCTTTTAGGATTTGCGAGAGCGTCACTTTTTCTGTCCCTATCGAGAACGAGTGATACTTCCTGTTAACCGTACTTATCTTCAAACGCGATTCGTACAATATCATGGCGACCGTCCCGGCGGCGACCGCTGGTCCTAAAAAATTATCATTCGCAAAGGTACGTCCGATATTAGAGCTCCACCAAAGCAGATTTTGTAATAGCGCTTTGCTTGCGCCTCTCATCCCATCAATATGGAGCTAATATTCTATAGGTCGTTGCCTCTAAACCCAAAGAAAACATCCCCATAGTTTCAGCTACTCGAGTTGCCGTACCGACTATGGAGCATCGCGTGCAGCCTCCAGCTGCTTCTACAAACACAACCGCAGCAAATAAGGGTACAACACCGACTTCTACGAACAGTCCGATAGCTGCAGCCAAGTCTCCTCCCCCGATTCCGAAGGACAACGGTGTAGCGACTACTTCAACTAGCGCTGAGGTTGTTGACAGTACTAAGTCTACTCAGGGTGGGAAAGATTTACAAACATCACTTTCCGCCGCCAGCGTTTCAACCACACCTAGTCTCGTTGTGAACGGCTCCTCGCCTTCTATGAGCGAATCACAAAGTAAGAATGACACCGGAACCGTGTCAGACGATGCTTCCCAAAGAGCAGATTCCAATTCTGAGATGGGTACTAAGGCGCCTAGTTTGGACGGGAAAAGCATCACTTCGGGGACCACGTTTGCGCTTGACGAGAAGGAATCATTACGCCCAGATGACAGCGCCAGCGTAAAAGCTTCCGCAGAGGATGATGAAGCTTTTTCAATAAGGGGTTCTCTCATCGCTAATTCCCGCCCGGCTTTGGGTTCTGAGGTGGCTCGCATCCATCGCCTCCGACTCGGTGACATGCCTGAGAGACGAATCATCCAAATGATCCCCGAATCGCAAGATCAAGGTGTCACCACTCCTCAGAGTGTTGCTTCTAGTCAACCGCCTCCAGTCGAGCAGCCGCAGACCCTAGGTATAGTGAACGGGTCATCTGACGCATTTACCTCGATGTATGGCCAGAACCCAGACGAGAAATTGCTTGAAGCTATGCAGTCTCCAAAGGACCGGATTTTCCTCCTACGATTGGAACAGGAGGTGATTAATTTCGTCCAATCTTCAAAGTGAGCATAGACCCAGCTGTCGTAAGATGAATTTTTGGAAGGCTGACGCCATAATGTAGGGAACCCTATATGGATCTACCGCCGAACAACTCGTTCTGTAGGATGTTAACCCACAAACTTGCTGACTATTATCATATGACACATTCTTTCGAGGCGGTTCAGGGTTCCGTCCGTATTTTCCGAACTCCTTTCTGCCGCGTACCTCCATCTTTGGCCAGTATCGTGGGTACTAATACTAATACCACCACAACTACAACGCCTCCGCAGCTCTTACCAAAGAAGATCATGCGACGTGGCGAAGATGGTGGATCTGGACAGGCTAGTACTAGTCCATCCAAGGCAACTTCTGAAGTCGGGAGTGATGGAAAGGAAAAATCTGGCCAAACGAAGGAGAAGTGAGTATTACGTGTTCCGCAAATTGAGCAACCCGTTAACCGTATTATAGGCTTACCAGAGAGGAACGGGAGGAGGCATACAATAAAGCCCGAGAGAGAATCTTCGGCAGTTCAGAAAAGCAGGGAGAGCCAACACCAGGTGTGCCAGTCAACATTTTTATCAACAATGGTCTCGGAAACTGACAGATTTCAGATGATGACGCAAATGGTGTCTCTCGGGCAAGCTCCGTATCAGCGAAAGACAAATCTAACCTCGGGAAGCGGGGAAAGACAGGAAAGCAGCGGAGGGATGATTCCGAGAGCTTCGATTCTCGTTCACAGTATCAGCCGTACTATCATCCTCATCAGCCTGGTTGGACACCCCAGTATATACCTGTTGGGCACCCTCAGTATAACAGCCCAGTCCAACAACCTTACCAAAACCCAATGCCCCAGGCATTTCCACCTCCAGCACAAGCTTATCCTGCTATGGTGCCGAACAATGCGTACCCTCAATATGCTAATATGCCAGTTGTGAGTGTTAATTCCGATAAGTCCCATCTCACACAACTAACTTCCTCTTAAGTATGGTCCGCCCGCACAACCCACACCGCCGCGATACCCTCCGTCTAATGGCTCTGTGGCCGCTTATGGAGGACCAGTCCAGAATCCTCCACCTCAACCCTGGCAGCCCACTTATCCCTCGGCACAGGCATCCAGCCCATACCAAAGCCGCGCTCCTCAGCCCCAACCCCCGGGAAATCCAGGTTCACTAGGGATCCCTTATGCGTTCGGACAACTTCCTGCAAATGCCAATCCGCATGACCCGAAGAGTCAACACCCTATTCCTGGAAGCTACAATCGTCATGCTTTCAACCCGAAGACTCAGTCATTCGTGCCTAGTAATGGCATGATACAGGTTCAGCCTCCGATGCCTCCATATAACATGGGTGGCCACGGTAGTCCTCAAGTTGGATCACCTCATCTCGCCTATAGTGGATTTAACTCTCCTGCCCCGCCTCAGCCTTATGTAGGCGGTCCGGGTTATGGCATGAGCCGCCAGGGATCTAACAACTCCCTACCCCCTTATCCACAACACCTGCCGCAACACGCACCGGCACACTTACCCCAGGCTCCGCCTCAGATGCCGAACAAACCAAGCATTCCTCCTCCGACAGGGCCAGGTCAGACTTATAGTCACTTAACTACTTTTGGCAATCCCGCCTTGCCACAGAAGCCTCCGACCGGAATCTAGACTAAAATTCGCGCAACGCAGTAATTGCATGAAAAGTTAGCAAGCATTAGTGGTGTTTATTCTTTTCGGTGAGGACTCGAAACGTATGGCGGATGGATACAGGGAACCCGCAGAGACAACTACACCGGCGTAAATTGGCGGGTTGTCATCAAAGGGATCATTGGCCGGCGTTCAGGCGAAAAATTAGGTGATGTGTTAATTGTTTCTCGAGCAAGTCTTGGGATATGCTAGATGGAACGAATGAATGAATGACGGAAATCTCCTTTTATTCTTTTTTTCCCTGCCATATTATCAAAAAGGGGTATTGAGGTTTAAAAGGTTGTTCTCCGCATCATCTTTATCATCGTCGTCGTCGTCGTCATTCTTCTATCATATGCATATCTAAGTAACAAAAAGGGACTCCTCTCAACGTGTGTGTGTGTGTGTGTGTGTCTCGGCCCTAGGTAAAAAAAGAGGGAAAGTGGTATTATTTTTTGTGGTCGTGGTCGACGTCGACGTTTTTAACCTAGGATCCCGAGATTTATAGTATTTGGTTGATACGAAACGAAATGAGACGACAAGAAGATAGAGTAAAGCAAGCAAAGCAAAGCACAACAGAACAGAGCAAAGCAAATTTCTACATACTGATGTCTACTGAGTATGTATACTCACGTACATGGCTATATGAACGTATGGTATTGCGTTGGTTTTGTGGTTGTGGTTGAGGCTGTTGCGCTGCGGGTTTTTAGTAATTAATAAGTACGTATAGTAATGAAAATTTCACTCATCCATTTTAACTAATATCTTATAATAATAATAATAATAATAATAATTACTGCGTTTTAATATGGAGTGATGATAATAGGACGGGTTAGGAATTGATTACAACGACGAATATTCTTGTGGTAGCATTTCCTCTTTTTTATTCATCTAGTACGTTGTAAAAATAATGCCCTTAATTTGACCGGACGCGAACGCCTCGTATAAACCTCTCTTTCTCTTTTTGCGTTATCTCACAAAACTACCCTGCCCTGCCGATTTTTTTTGGAACTGCCTTATTCCTTCTATGCGTTATGCAATAGTAATAAGAAGCAGTCACGACACGGCATGATATCCCCACTCCGTTGGCCATGCTATGTGTACATGATACCGCCACGGGACTGTTTTTCATCCAGGTTATTAACCCGCTTCTGGGTTACTTCAATCGGCGTTCTCACGAGGCTCACGAAGCTCGCGGGGTTCTCGTTGTTGCCGATCACCCCGTCCGCCACCTCGGCCTCCTCTCTTACCACCGCGTCCACCACGTTCGCCTCTCTCGCCTTTACCTTCCTTCTCACCATCCTTGCTACCGCTGCCATCCTTAGCACCGTCATCGTTAGCCAAAGCCGCCGTAGCGAGTCGCTGACTCAGATCGATTTGGGTGCGGATGCTGTTGGCGAGGTAGCTGACCATCAACACGTCCTGGATGTGGTTGTTGAAGTCGGACTCGATGCTCACGGGGTCGACCTTGGGCGCGAGCGATAATGCGCTTATAAGGTACTGGCCTAGAGCGTTGTTGGGCTCGCGCTCTTCATCGATTACTGCGCCGACGTATTCAGAGGCGCGGTCTAGGAGCTCGAGGGAGTGCTCGAGACTGCGGGTTAGAGATTCTACGTCGGAGACTACGGGGGCCGAACGCGCAGAGTTGTCGCGGGCAGAGGCGATTAGGTCGAGGGCGGAGCGCTCGGCGTCGTTGTAGGCTAGTCGGTGTGGGACCTGGATGAAGAGGCAGGATTCGGATGCGCGCTCGGCGTTGACGGCTACGGGGGCCGAGATGTAGGCTTTGGTTTGGACGTCTTGGCCGGGTTCAGCAGAGACTGTTAGGTGCACTGCGGGGTGAGGGAATGTGCCCGTTTCCGGGCTCGCGAAGAAATTCTGGATCAAGGCGCTGAAGCTGTTAAGTTCGGGGCTTGTTGTATACCAGCCTAGAAGTACTTCGCGGGGGTGTGCGCGTAGGTGGAGGGACAGCATGTTCTTTTGGTACTCCACGTCGACTTCTACTTGGTCCTCGTTCTCCGTATGCGGGATCGCGAAGGAGGACGCTACGGAGACTTCGGTGCCATCCTCGGACCGGGTGCCGACGAGAGCGCCGATGACGCGCGAGGATGAGGTCGAGGAGGGGGCGGGTGTGGAAGTGTTGGAGTTGTTTGCGTTTGTGGAGGCGGGGCGGATATCGCGACGGGTGGCATGGTCGAGAATAGAGAGGATGGACTGTTTTTATTAAAATTTCATGTTAGTTTACATATAAAATACCTAAGGGTATAATATAGAAAGGGTTGGAATAGGTACGCACTTGGGGTTGAATGACCACTGAGAGCGGGGAGATATTGCTCTGGTAGTTCAATATTGTCGGCGCCAAGGGCCTTGACAGATGAAGGAAAGGTTCTGTGTCCACAGCCATGATTGCGATATTTCTCGTGAAGGCTGGCTAATGGAGGAGGAGAACGAGTGTGGTATTAAAATTCGGCAGAGGGGGACGTTGCCTTGTTTTCTCGTCTCAATCGAATCAATCGATCTTTTTTTTTTTCTTCGGGAAATAAATGTTGTAATTTTCACGTTCTCAGCGTAGTGGGGTTCACTGCGGGTTGTGGGCAAGGCTGAACATTTGGTGGCACAAGATAACGATAAAGAAATGCGGATTGAACAGGGGTGTGATGAGTGGGATGTTAGCGAGTTGTGGCGCTTTATAGTGGGGGTATTGTGGCTTGCGTGCAAGAAATTTCGCAAGGCTGAATTCATTTCTTAGAATTTCTTCTCACTTTCAACTTTTTATACCAACTTTTTCTTAACAATCAAGCGACTTTTTAAGTTATTTAAAGAAAAAAAAACTCTTTTATAACCATACTTCTAAATAATTGACAGTTATGCGGGGCAAATTCAAAGGCCCTCGCCGAGGAGGTGCGCCTAGAGGAAGAGGTGGAAAACCAAGGGGGAAACGATCTTTTGGTGCCCCTAGATTCGATAGCGCGCGAGTTGCAGATATTGAGTACGAATCTCTCATCATATGCTTATTTTATGAAACTCAAGTGAATCTAATTCGTCTTATAGAAATGTGGAAGATCAAGAGTCTGAGGAAGAACAAATTCCATCCGAGGAAGAAATCGATGATGACGGCTCTGGCTCGGAAAGCGAAAAGGAGAAAGCTACTAGCAAGCCGTATTTTGCTTTAATGGAGAGCTTGTCAAAAGATCAATCTGCCCCTCGTGCCAAAAGGAGGAAGCTTGACCACCAGCCTGAAAAGGCTAAGTCGGGTTCGAAGCCCGAGCGAGAAGTTGATTCAGTCGATGAGGATGAGGATCGGGATGTTGACCATGTGGAAGAGGTTGAGGAGGGACCTGAGGATGAGGTTGAGGCGGATGATGATGATAATGACATTCCTGATTCATCTGATCCATTTGAGGCTCACTTCGTTGAACTGGACCAAGGCGAAGTGAAAAGGCGCCTCAAAGCGATTCAAGCCAACGATTACTCGCAATCACACATCGAGCAGAATGGTTGGAGGCTGATAAGAAATTTCCCTGGAAAAGATCCAGCTCAATCATCGCTTCTTCCAACCCCTATATCTGGACCATCAAGTTTGAAGCTCAAACAGAGACTTGTTGAGACAACTAGTCGGAAACGGTCAACATTTACCAAATTAGAGCAAGTCCTATACCCGTTGACTTTCGCTTATAATGATCTTCTATTCTGTGGGCGAACTCCAAAAAATGCCGAAGATCTGCGACGAATGGCGTGTCTCCATAGTGTGAATCATGTTTTTAAGACTCGAGACCGAGTCATCAAAAACAACGCCAAACTTGCCAAGGAGGGTGAAAATAATGACTTCGAACCTAGGGACCAGGGATTCACACGGCCGAAAGTTTTGATGCTATTGCCGACACGCAATTCGGCTGTAAAAATGGTCAACACCATCTGTTCCCTATGCGAACCTGAGCAACAAGAGAATAGGAAACGATTTGATGACTCGTACCTCGACAAGGAGTCCACATTCTCCTCAGACCGTCCCGAAGACTTTCGGGAGTTATTCGAGGGTAACGACGACGATATGTTCCGTATCGGCGTCAAATTCACACGCAAGACTATCAAATACTTCTCACAGTTCTATAACTCCGACATCCTAATTGCCTCCCCCCTAGGTTTGCGTATGGCCATTGGGTCCGAAGAGGACAAAAAACAAAAAGGCAAGGTAGACTTCGATTTCCTCAGTTCGATCGAAGTTGTCATTGTTGACCAGGCGGACGCCCTACTTATGCAAAACTGGGAGCACGTCGAATTCGTCTTAGAGCATCTAAACCGCCAACCGCGCGAAGCACATGATTGCGATTTTGGCCGTGTACGTGAGTGGTATCTCGACGGGCACGCTGCCAACTTCCGCCAGACTCTTGTTTTCTCCGCATTCAACACACCTGAGCTTGCGGAACTACATCGTCGGCACTGTACAAATTGGGCTGGCCGCATACGTGTGCAACCCGAATCGTACACTGGTGCTATCGAAGATCTCGGCGGTACTAAGGCAAGACAGACGTTCTCCCGCTTCGAAGCGGCTTCCGTGGCGGCGGAGCCTGATGCACGGTTTGAGTATTTCGTCAGCGCCATCATCCCGTCGCTCACAAAACGCGCAAAGGAAGCTACGGGGACGCTGATCTTTGTGCCGTCGTATTTGGATTTTGTGCGCGTGCGTAATTACTTAGCAACTAACCCCACGTGCTCGGGTTTGACGTTCGGCGCGGTGAGCGAGTATACGGATGTCCCCGAAGCCTCGCGGACAAGATCGTATTTTCTAAGCGGACGACAGCAAATTCTGTTATACACCGAACGAGCGCATCATTTTCGGAGGTATCCATTTAGGGGCGTGAGGAAGGTGATTATGTACGGGTTACCTGATAATCCGATTTTTTACAAGGAGATTGTTGGCGGGTATTTAGGCAGGAGTGAACGGGAGTTAAAGATCGAGCCTGAACGAGGGAGTGTGAGGGCGCTTTTCTCAAAATATGATGTCCTGAAGTTGGAGAGGATCGTTGGATCTAAGAGGGTTGGGAAGATGGTTAGGGAGAAGGGTGATACGTTTGATTTCGTATGATATCCCTTCGGATAGGAATTTATTCGTTAATATACTTAGGCACTTGTGAATGGATTTCCTTCTCGTTGATGAGTTATAGTAGTGATACATATTTCGTACAACTGCCATATCTACTTCATATCTTCCTGCGTAAGTCATGACGGCACGCAAATCCGCCTTACTAAGATTCTCAACTTGGAGTAGCGAGATCTTCTCATGCCCACCCGATACGCATGGCCCCGTAATGGCATAGAAACATCTCATCTATCCATCATAATTCCGAGTATGATCCGTTTCCATTCTTTCATTCACGTTTCATTCCTTTTTTTCTTCCTTCACCCCTAACTACTCGGAATATCCTCCCAACCATCATCCTTACCCTCCTTCCTCGCACTCTTAACACCTAACCGTAACCCCGCTACCCGCTTCACCATAGTATCAAACGCAGCCGCTCCATCAGGTCGGTAACGTGTCACTTTATCCCGGTTTCGCTTTGTGAGTTCAGTTGATTGTCGGCCTAAGCGCTCGTCTCGTGCTACGGCGGCGGCTGTGATGGCGAAGCGTAGGTCTCGGGGTCCGTCGACGAGTTCTAGGATCGCGGAGTCGCCTTGGTCGTACCGGGATTTGGGCTGCGTGCGGAGGACGCGGGTGTACCCCCCTGGGCGTGATTGGTAGCGCTCGCGTAACTCGCCGAAGAGTTTGGGGAGGAGGGCGTGGGGGGTCTGGTATATCGTCAATGTCATTTTCACTCTTGACTACTAACCACCTAATATTGCGTATTGTGTAGACTGGGGAGGGGGGAAGAGGAGACGTACGTATAATATACCCGTGGCTTTCCGTTTGGCGGTTTCATTGTTCCTCTTCGCGAGTGTGATGAGTTTTTCGGCTACCCGTTGTGTTTCTTTGGCTTTGGGCCATGTTGTTCGGACGCTCTCGTGCTGGACTAGAGCTGTGACCAAGTTTCGTAATAAGGCTTGTCGGTGGGATGATTTTCGACTAAGATGTCGGTATGCGACGAGACCTCCCGCCATCCTAAGGTGTGATCGAGTCCAATTGAGACTTGAACTCGGGCTGTATGATAGTTCTTATAGTGAAGCTGAGATAATTGAGGGTTGAATGAATCGATAAAGGTACAAAGATACTTCGATCACAGCGGAATTTTTTAGTGGGGCTTATAGCGCGGGCCGAGCACTGAGAGTTTTCGGATGAGTGCGGTGTACCTGAGTAACTAAGTACCGCCGTACCTCTTAGAAGGTACGTAGCGCAACTTTCGTCATTCGATGAACTTCGACTTCCATTTATTTATTTAATTCACTCTCAACGGCGACTATTAAAGATCAATTGGGCTTTATACTCTAAGCAAGTCCACAGAGAACCACTTAATACTTACACTTGTTTACTCTTCTCTCTATAAAACCTATTCAATTGGTATTCCATAATCTTAGCGCTGCGGCGCACATAGCAAACGGCTCATCATGGGCTTCACAACTGGTTTCGTATGTTCTTAACCACACAACCTGCCCTCAGAGTATATCAGAGAACTAACTGTATATAGACCGGAGGCGTAACTCTCACCCTCTCTATAGCCTATCTCACAGTATTAGCGCACCAAAAGAACCGAGAACACCAGTCCGCAATTCTACGGCAACAGACACGCCTAATCTCAGGCATCATTGATCCCTTACCACCTACTCTTCCACCCACACGCGCCGAACTTGCAGCAGCGGAACGGGCCAATCTCATAGAGCGCGCCAAGGATCGCTGGAACGCAGAGATTGAAGGTGCTGTAAAATGGGCGCAAAACAAGGATTGGGAAGAAGTGCGTGAGGATGCTGAATTCGCACTCGCTAGGTTATGGGCCAAGGCCTCTGGCGGGGAGGTACCAGAAAAGGTAGAGAGGGATACTAAGGATATTGTGGCCAGGACGAAATCAGATGTTGGCTCTGTAGCTGCGGCTGCTAAGGGTGCGTATGCGGATGCCAAAGCTAAGGGTTCTGAAGTGGCAGCCAAGACGGAAGAAAAGGCGGAGCAGACGAGGGGTTCGATTCTTGGTTCTATTGCAAGTGTGTTTAGATGGGGGAAGGAGGCGGAGCAGAAGGTCGAAGAGAAGGCACTGAATCAACGATAGCAGGGCATTACGGGGCTTAATAAGAGTTCGGAGGGGTAGTTGCCGCGCGGTACGGGGTCGCCGGCGCCTCAACCACTCACAGATGACATCGTCATGCGTGTTGCCGAGACGTTGTGAGTTCCCCTCCGAAAATACCGGCCCTCCCCCCGGTCCTCTCTCCCGTCATTCGCCCGGTCGAGAACCAGGTGCCTAAAAAATCATAGCTGTACCTACCTAATGTATCATACAAACCGGTCTGTGACACGAATGGACTAATCCCATTCACCTTTCTATTTGTTGTCCGTCGTAGTTTGCACGAGAAATAACTCTCCCAACTACCTTCACCTTCCTCCCTACCCTTTCTTACTCTTCTCAGCTACTGTGCGTAAAATCTTGGCCACGGAGCAACTTTCACCACATTGGGTTTCTGCACACGCACAACATTGCAATTATAAACGACAGCTTTCATCACAGCTTATGACAGCTTGAGATTTTCGTATTATTCACTCGTTATTCATGATTTTTCATCCCAAGTCATCTTGTTCTCCACTCCGTTATTCTACTTTGTAGCTTTTGACATCACAGTCGAACACAAACACTCTAGACGGTCATAATCATGGCCCCTAAATCCACCTCTAACGTCCGAAAGGGCGTCGACGACATGGTTCACGACAAGGCCTCAAGTAAGGTAGCTCGTCGTGACAGCAAGCGTCGTACCAAGCCGCGCCGCCGTTTCTCGGTACCCAACCACTTTCGACCTCTACACCAGAAGTCTACACGACGTGAGCGTAGGCGATCTGAGAGACGCCAATCTGGGTACGTTCTTGTCTCTTTCATACCAAGTCTCTTATACCGTAAGCTAACAACAACAGCACTATCTCCGGTCCAAGTACCCCCAAGGCTACTAAGTCTCAGGTAAAGCCTCGACCAACCTCACTACCCGCCGAGACTTCAAAGTCTCTACAGTCCAGCAGCCGCAAACACGAGAAGGCTCATGACTCAGCTAAGAAGCCAGAATCCAAGCACATGAGCGCACCCCCCTCCCTCCCCCTTCCCCAACCCCAGCTCAATGACATGTACGGCTACATGCACCAACGCCGCTCCAACAACCGCCCCTCCCCGCGCGAAATGATAGCCAAAGCCCAAGCCGCAAAACAAGCCGCGGAAGCCAGCGCATCAGGTCAAACCCAACTCCAACCCCCTCCTCCACCCCCGCGTCCTCACCACGTCGAGCTGCGTTACCAGAACCTACAGCAGCATCTCCGCAACATCGAAAAAGCGGAAGCAGACGCTAAGCAACGAAGTCTTGCGGAGCAACGCGCTAAGAAACGACCCTTGCCTTGGGAGAAACAGGAGATTGATTACTTCAATTTCAAGTCGTACTACCACCTACCGGTCCCGGAGCACTTGAAGAAACAGATCCCGCAGGAACAGTTACCCCCCGCACAACTCGGGGATGCCGCGCGTGAGGAGTGGACGCGTGGGATGAAGGAACACGGACACGGACAAAAAGGCAAGGGCAAAGAGAAGGAAATGCTTACCGTTGCCGGGGACGAAGACCGCGAGTTTGTGCTTAACCGAAGTTTTCAAAACTCGCAGATCATGGCGAACCGTACGGCGAAGAGGATGGCAAAGGTTGCTGCTGAGATTAAGATGATTGAGGCTATAGCTAAGGCGAAGATGTTGAAGAAGATTGAGAAGGCGACGAAGACTCAGGAGTTCAAGGAGTGGAAGGAAGCTTCTAAGATGCAGAAGATACAGGCTACGTACGCGGACGTCGCCGCCCGAGCACACGCCGAGGCATCAGCATCGGCATCAGCTACAGCACAAGTACCAGCACAAGCACCAGCACCGGTAGAAAACGAGGTAGCCGAAGTAAACATGGCCCTCGAGGCCGCAGCCGCCGCGCGAGAGAAGCGTGGACCAGAGGGACGCCGTCGAAGAGTTAGACGCAATGATAGCAAGTATGACCGTCGAACCGTTACACAGATCGGCGATGAGCAAGCCACCCAAGAGGAAGTTCAACCCGCTACCAAGACAGTCGATGCAGAGCAGAGTCAACGCAACCGCAGTTACATCGAGACATACCGCCACAACGGTAGCAGCAGCAACGCGGGCGGTGTCTGTGGATGTGGAAGTGCTTACGACGCCGAGTTCGAGTACCTCAGGTCCATTTATCCGGGCCCGACCCCAGAGCAGGAGCAATCGAAGCCTAAGAAGAAAGGACTGTGCGGTTAGGTGAAGCGCATCCTTTCGGGTAGCTTTGGCAAGCACGGACGTAAGAATTAGGAAGGAGGACACGAGGATATGAGAAGAGGGATGCCGATGAGGATGAGTAAATAAATGGCAGGCGTTTGTTGCGGAGTTAGGAAAAATACCCAGTGTGTAACATGACCACGATGGTCATAAAAGGAAGCACATGAAAAGGCGGCGGTAGGGGTTTCGGCCGTGTTTATTGTACCCGGACGAGTCAGGATTGTCTTTGCCTACGATAGGTTTGCTTACTTGCTGGCTTGATATTCTCGCTTTCAATAATAATTGCTGCTTGCTTCTCTCTATGCTACACGTAACAATGAATAATGATCTGTGAGCTATGAGTATTGTATAGACCCTAAAATATAACACATCACCATAAAATATCAAGTAGGTGCATAACAAAAAATACCAACGCATTCAATCAAAACTATATTATTTATTCCAATCAACGTAAATTCTCATTTCAGTGAGGTATCTCGAAACTACAAATAAAAGACCGGAAATGGCATCGGTCATTGCTTTCCATCCCCATCTTCTTCACTCCCTTCCTTCTCCCATTTTCTCGCTACGTTCCACGTCTGGCCTCCGCTAATAATGTGTACGAGCGTCAAACAACCCGTGGTATCATTCCAAGAATCGAGCTATTCGAGGCAGCAAAGTCGACCCAATACTTAGGCATAATGGAGAAAACAGGAGCAGCTATCTGGTATCGACTGCAGGTATACAAATAAGATCGTGACCGACATGGTCAATACTTCATCGGTCTAAAAAGCTAACGTCTTCTTAGCTAAGCTCCACCCTTCCCAGCTCTAGATTTTTGTTTCCATGGTATTTGCAGATTCCTTGATGTAAATGATAAATTTGTACATTGAAGATTTGGTATGAAGTCAAAATTGACTAAAAAGCTGTGGACTTCTTGCGTCGTTCGAACATACGAGAAAACCCGTTGCTCTTGGTCTCGGTAGGAGATGGGAGCGACGCCATCTGTTGTGGTGGTGGTTCGGAATCGCGTAGGAAATCGGCCAAGTCCGACGTACGGCTGTTAGAAACAGCCTCTCGTGGCTCGAACTTCTTCATTGGGACACGACCCATGGAAGCAGGGGTGATTGGTGATGGCCTAATGTCGTTTCCAAATTTCTCATTGCTCGGAGGAGGGACCGAAGGGATAACAATTGGCGTGTAGCCTTTGCCGTTGCCAGCCCGGCTATTCAGAGATCGTGTATCATTAGCGAATCCCCGAGGGTTTCCATTTGATGATTTGCTAATAGAGCTTCCGCCTGATCTCAAGCGTGCTATTAGATTCGGTGCGCTAGACTTCTTCTTTGGAATCGAAACGGGTTGCGGAGTTGGCTCGGGGGGAGGTGGGCAGCTGTTGAGGAAGTCGATCAAACTCTCTTCCTGCTTCACCTTCGGCTTAGGTAACACATCCAAAAAGTCGTCCTCTTCGTCACTTAAGTCGATCGCGTAAGGGTCACGAACCCGTCTTCGTGTTCGTTTTGGCATCATATCATCGTCATCAAAATTGTTACCAGAATATTGTTGCATCTTGTTTGCTTTGCTCAGAAGAGCGCTCTGCGAGTTCATTGATGAAGGGGCCGAAATCTCTGTGATATTAGTGGAAGCTTCACTGTTGCGGATATTAGGGATAACAGCGTCGACAGCTTTACCTCCTACAGCGCCGGTCATCTGCATTTGATCCGAATCCATGGTAGATCGGAAAGGAGCCACGTTGCGAGGAATTCGAGGGTTACCTCCATTGTTATTAGGTGGGCCTCGTCTAATAAAATCAATGAGATCAGAATTTTCGCTAGCAGGGCTAACGGCGGCGTCTCTAGCTTGAAGGTGGGACCGTGAGGTCATATTGGTCTTCCGGCTATCAATGCTCGCACTTCTACCCTTCGCAACATGAGTGGGTCCCGTTGCACTACGAGCAGTCGGAGGTGGTGGACCCATAGGGCCCCGATTGTATTGCGCGCTATGCTCTCCAGGAGGCCCTGTGGACCTAATGAAGTCGGCAAAGTCTTGCAACGACTCGCGAGGAATTCGAGCCTCTCTCGCTTGAGGCGCGAAGGCCGATCGACCCTTTGGCGGGATTGAAATAGGCGGGTTCGAAATCGATCCTGACAATTTGGCGCCTATAGGTAGATCCGTAGGTGGATGGGAGCCCAGACTGGTTCCCTTCGTGACTGACACAGATCTCTTAATGGATGAAGATCGTGAGCGCTCGGCGTATTTGGCGTCCTCACTCCTTTGGAACCTATTGGAAAGTTTGGGACTCCCATTGTGCTGGGATGAGTTGGACTATCGACTTTGTTAGATTCAATCCAAGGGAGGCTGTGGGTTGGAGACTTACATCAATATCACGCATGTTTTCTGGCGTAAGTGTGTATTGTAGAGTTTCATTACTGTGGATAAGCTGTTCAAAATCACGAGCTCTATCTTCTGAGCGTCGGCCGTCTTCAGAAGTGCGAACCGTTTTGAATTTGGTCGACGTAGAAGAGGGGGAGTCACTGGGTGGAGGGCGCGATGTTTTGGGCGATTCAGGCGAAGCCCGCCTAGCAGACCTATCCGACGCAGTACCTGTCGAGATTGATCGTCCATACATTGGACGACTTGTGGTTCTTTCGGGCAAGGTCGGTAATGGGGGGCTTCTGGTGGATTTGAAGGGCATAGGCCTTTCCTCCGGGGGTCCTTCTACCTCAGGACCACTCACAATCGATACTTTAGTCGGTACAGACAATTGGGACGACGGCTGTGAATGAACGCTTCGCAATGGGCTGGGGTTTCGAGCAGGTTGAGATGTAACAGGGGTAATGTTTTGAGACTCTTCGAATGACGGCTGAATAACAACGGCATTTCTCTTACTTGGAGATGGCAGATTTGTGTCGTTCTCTTCGGCGATGGGTGGAGTGGAGATTCTTCGAGAACTTCGAGAAGACAGGGCTGGATCTTGCACATCCAGCGAACTTGTCCGCGAACCAGAACCAGCAGTCGGGCTGCGAGGGCTTTGCACCTCAATAACACGCACTGAGCGCACGCTATTAGATCGCCCCTGTATAAGAGGCGCAGGCTTCCCAGACTCTGAGGTAGCAGGAGAGCTTCTCCCTCCGATTGATACACGTGATGATGTCAAGATCTCGGGCTCTTCGGCAAACTCGTCGATTTCGTCTTCTCCAGCTTCAGCCTGGGGGGTTTTGCTACTAAGCGCAGGCGACGCCGTAGATGTGACGTTGGTATTGATCTTTGGCATTTTACCGTCAACTGCCTTTAGCTCCCCTATCTTCTTAACTTTATCTCGAATTTGGTCGGAACCCTCGCTTGCGTTCGCGCCGCCGGTTTGACCCCCAGTAGATGTGGCAGTTGTCGAGCTATCTTGCCCACCTTGTTCGACTCCATTGGGTTCCTGCGAATTGACTCCGCGGCTGGACGTCGGCGGAGAAGGGTATCGGGGCCGTCTGCGCGAAGGAAGAGAGCGTGCTCGTCGAATTGAACTGGAAGGCACCGAAGTGCCGAGAGATGCCAATTCGACCTTTGCGTGTTTAGAAAGGACTATTAGACTCTTCGGTCGCACAACCCCATCTCCCTCTTCCTCGGATTCTTCGTCGCTGTATGTGGCTTCGACATCGCTATCCGGTAAAGGCAGATCGGCTGGACTCGTTTTCTTCGGATCCGATTTCTGGCTCGATCCCTCGCTGTCTTCCTCGCCATCTTGTTCCTCTTGTAACACAAGCGCGGGGTCGGAATCTCTAGGAGTCGGCTGCAATAGAACATGATCTGTCGCAGCGCTTCCGCGACGTTGCGCCGACAATCCGGAGGCACCTGTTGAGCTACGGGAGAACGGTCGAGAGTAGTTGGGTTCCGATGGCGATCGAATTCTCTTCTTCCAGGAACGCCAGAGCCTGCCTAGAGTCCGGTCTAAAGCCACACGTTCCATGTCCAATTCTTCGACAACAATGCGATCAAAGAACTCTCCAGGCATTCGAATGCCGTCTTTCACTTCCTTTTCATACTTAACACGTAATCGGTTGAACGCCGCCTGCCCAGCGATGACCAGGACTTGTTCACCCATAAATTCAAGAATCGATGTTAAAAATATAGCAACTGCAGGGGATATGATATCCGTTAGAATATCGTCAGACTCGCCCCTGAGATGCTCCTGTTCCATGTAGTAGTCTTCATCCTCCTCTTCCATATCACCAAGAGAAGAATAGACCATGCATCGTAATCTCGTTCTTTTCCATACTAGCTCAAGATCCCAATCGCTAGGGGCCTGCTTGCTTGGAGATTGCGCCAATTCCTCTACTTCACCGCCGCCCAGGTATTCACGAAGCTCTTCTTCCGCATTATTGATAGCATCCTTAGCAAGTTTCGGCTTTAATACGTCGGCAACGGCCGGGCGCAACGCTGAAAGTGCAGTAGACTTAGCTGCACCGATAATATTAAACAGGAGTTGGTCAACGAAGTTATTAGCGAGTTGAAGGGCATGTTGTGAAACTAAGGCAGTTTCCTCCGAGGGCTCGATGCCCATTTGGTCGTACCACGATTCAGAGTGACTATCATGGTCATTAGTGACGATTTGCGAGGCAGCGGACGCCGCAATGTATACTGCCTCGGGCGACACAGAGAGAGGGGGCGACATTAGATTGTGGCCGACTGTCGATGGACGGTCGCTCGAGATGCTTTGGGTTCTAGAGCGAACATGTCGCGGGGCGTTCGCGATCGCAGCGATTGAGGAAGAGCTCGACATGGCGGAGTCGCGGCTTAGGAAACCCTCGATTGGTATGTCTGTTGTAACGGCAGACCCCGGAAGGTCGCCCTGATTAGGATCGGTAGACAGGGTGAAGCGAAATACTGCAGACGGCGAGTCCGCAGGGAAGGTCAATGGCGGTTTAAGACACTCCCTTGAGTTATTGAGACGTAGAAGCTGCGATTAATCTAGAATATTAACTGCAAATTCTCCAAAGGAAAAAAGCAATTAAGAAAATTGCGCCCAAACGATTGCCGAAAAGAGTGCAAGAAGATTATTGGTGAATCAAATAAGTGGGAGCTCGCAGATGAAACATTCCGTGAAGAGACTGGAGAGACTGGGGTGGCTAGTCATGAAATGCATGTATGTAGTAGAGTAGATCTGTGTAGGTATGTACAAACGGAGTTGTCTCTAGCTTTGAGCCTCTAATAGATTATTGGCAGCTTTCTCTTCATGAATCATGCATCGTGACAAGCTATCTCTATAGGTGGATAGCGAGTCAAGATAGCGGGAGAAGAAAAAACGAGTGGTGGTGAAGATGATGCTGTACACAGTCAAGTGTGACTACATGTGATGTGATGAAATGAAGGCTTTGTGTAAGGAAAGAAATTAGAATGTATAATTGTGATGACCACTTGGCTATGAAAAGAATTAGGCAGTTCATCCGACACTTGATTTCTTTGCTCTGGCTGTCTGGCTGTTCTGGTGGCCTCCCCCTATTTCGTAAATAACATGGGAATGAGGCTTCAGGGAAACGAACCCCTTGTCGACAAGGGGGTATTCGTATGTGGAAGTAAATAGAGTAGATCAGTAGATAGATATCTTCCAAGATTCTCGAACATATTTCATCATATCGAATCGTCTTGCGCCGATGACCATAGGTCTGTGCTTTTGACAATGAAGAGAAATAATAGAAAAAGAAAAACAGTAAAGCAAAGCAAAGTAAAGCAATCGTTGGCAATATGTAACGTAGAATTGGACCAACATACCCTATTACTATCGAATAGGAAGAAGCAAAGACGGCACCGACAGCTAATTGGATGTTGCTTCTTGGTTGTTTAAAGCAAGCAAAGTTGGGCAAGCTTGGATTAACTGACTCATAACTGTCAAGAAAACATGTTTGTCGCAAACGAAGCAGAAAAGAGTAGATAGATGATGCCTGTAGATGAGGGCCAGGCTTTACTGAAGAAGAATCGGACGGAGGTTGGAGAAAGGAAGCACAAGCGGGAAAGAGACAAACAACGTGATAGATAGGCAGATAGGGTACATAAGATAGAGCAAAAATGGTGTTCTACTTTTAGTTTTAGTTTGTCGGTATGCGTGAGTGTGGGAAGGTTCAATAACCTCGAACGTTTCGCGGCTGTAACTTCCATTACAACAGCTACATATGTGCTTACGGGATGGCAAGGTACATCCAAAAGAAAAAAAAAAAAAAGTTGCAGGGATTGGGGTTTGTGGATGTGGATGTGGATATGGATGCTTGTTGTGGTGTAGTGGGAGTATTTTATGTATCCATAGATGTACATAGTAGTTCGTACCTCCCTTATGTGTGTGCTATGTGCAGCAGTAGTTAGGGCGTTGTCGCCCCATGGTAGCCAGCCGGATCCACTACCAAAAGACAATTACGCTAATATGTAGCTACTTAGCTCGCTACCTACAAAAGACATAGAGCTAAGCAAGGTTATGGTTAGCTTGACCCCTGCCAAAAACCGTATATCGTATGTACATATTGTAGGGAGCGTTGAAATTTTACATTGGACGTACCCGTAGAGTATGCACCCCTGAACCAGGGTCTGAATTCTCGCAGGAGCTCCGTAGTATTTTGAAAGATTGAAGTTGATTCAGGACCCCGCACAAACATAAAGAACTTCCATTAATATACCCCTACTTAGATAGGTACCATAGCTTTGGGGGTTTCCACTCTCAATTCTTCGGTATCCGAGATAGCTATCTACTTTCACATCATACGTCGCTATCGGAATTCTCGAAATTCGTGAAACAAGATATATGTAGGCAATATGGATGAATGGATTTAATGTTCTTTGGGGTACAGTTTATGTAGGTGGGGATATATGTACCCATGAACGTTTCGAACTCTGAATCTCGGAGATTTATTGTGCAAACGTGCAGCAGGTAATACCTACCTACATACTGCCTGCTTCCTGCCTATCTAACCTGCCTACAGAGTACATACATCCACCAAAGAAAAAGTCTGGATTGTTTTTTTTTTGCCCCCAACCAACTTTTTTTTTCTCTTCTCCAACTCATAATACTTCAATTCGTACCAGGGGATCTCGGATCTCAGGTACAAAATCAAAGTATTTGTTATATATATACTAACGAATAGCGCCTGTCGAAGATTCTTTCAACCCGTTGACAAGCCAACCCAAAGCAAAGAAGAAGAAAAAAAAAAAAAAAAAAAAAAAAGAGCGACAAGGGGCTAGAACTTCGATGGGAGAGGAACGCGCGCAATTTGATATTGCTGAAGGGGATCATCGAATCCACAAGTGGAGGTTGTGATCTCGTGGGAAGTGGAGGAACCTATCTCTACCTATTCAAATCCGGTTGGTGATTCCGGTCTAGTGCTGCGATGACACGCGAAGAATGACAGGGTTGGTGATATTGGTGATATGGCTAACCCTTTTTAAATCGTAGGTCGCGCGCCCCGTGCAGACCAAATCTTAGCTGTTTAGCTGCTATGCTGCTTAGCTGCTGAACCGAGCAAGTACTGTAGGTATTAATCCGAATCCACATCAAAGAAATTCGGTGGCGATGGATTCATAACGTTGCACTGGGAATGATATGATGACTGCATTTAGGAGGGTTGCGCCATTAGACGAACCGGCCTCTTAGCAAAGTCCTTTTTAAGAAGTTTTTGAGAAGCCGATGCTGTGCCTCTAAGGCACAGTCAGACCTCTTCAATCGTGGTTTACGAGATCGAATTCTGCAACGCTCCAAATCTCTAGACGAAGATGGGGGCCAAACTACGAACATATACAGGCATTTATAATATTTCCCCTTCTTATTCACTACCTCACCTATTGGCTTATTGATGATTGCCATTGTCTTCATACTTCAAATGGTATGAATAGCTAATAATCCCTTAGTTTCGCCCTGTTCGGCACTCGATAGGATGTAGGATTCTAATGCCAGCCGGGTTTTCAAAACATTGTCTCTCGATACAGCTCTCGGAGCTTACTGGCTGTAACCCTTCTGACGTACAACAGACTGTTGGATTTAAAACTCCGCGACACCACCATTGCCTTAACGTAGTTGTTGCTCCGGGACATTAAGCAGGATTTATTGAATCCTTCACCGCAATTATACACGCATCTCTTCTCCAAAATCGATAACAAAGAATCCCAATTCACCTGCCCTGGGTCGCATTCACCGAGTAAATGATTTTGGTATTTTTTGATTATTCTTTCCATTCACCCGAAATAAAAATACGCCGACTTAGGTCTAAGGGGCCAAGGTCTTTAGGGGCTGCAAAATAAAGAAAGGGAGAGAGCACGGATGAAGACTTGATATTTTTCATCACATGAAATAGCAAACTACGCCAGCGGTCCACTTAGAGTCATATCAGAGCCTAGAGCTCTAAGACATTATGTATATGCTAACAATTAGACCAACAGCCAGCTAACGGGCCGCTCAAGATACTATCGATGACTAACGTCCAGACTATCCCGAAAGATCTGACGGCGAGCTCAAAGTGTTACCATTTCGCTACCGTACGATATCTTACGGAGTCTCGGCTAAGACCCCATAATATATTTGTAGTACAATGCGATGCCATTCTCAAGCCTGAGCGACAGGGCATCATACTAGGACAATTAGGTGGGCGACAATTCGGCGAGCCTCGTTTTGTAACTAGGTGGCGGAACAGCCCAGAACTCAGGTGTTTGCAATTCGCTAAATATATTGATCGAACACCACCTATCACCTGGCCCTTCAGTGGGTTGTAATACCTACCACATCTCCATCTTTAGATAGATGCAGCCTACCATTCGTGATCCTTCGCAGCCATCACTCTGCACCATTCCACATAAGTTGGTTGAATGCTTACTGCATTGAAGAGGCGTGTATCAGCCGCTGTATCACAAAGGTGGGATAAGTCGGGCGAGTGAAAGAGGTTGACGTTATTAGTACTGCATATGTGAGATAGTCGGTGGCTATGCCGACTGATCAACGCATGTACCCTGGTGTCGATCCCCGAGTACGGAGAAACAATTGACGAAATTGTCTCGCTCGACACTTTAGATTGTATCAACAGATGTTAGATAGTCCTAGTAGGCATGCTTAATGCGTCAGCTCTTCTTACTCTAAAAGGGAAGAAATAATAAACCAATACTAGGGACAACAAACAACTTGTCAGATGTCACTACCCGCAATGCATACCCACAGGAAATGAGCCCGACTGGATCCCTGGCACGGGAAGGTCTTCATAGGGACACAGGGATAGCCGTTCCGGACAAGATCCACACACGTCTACGGTGATCGACATAGGCTTCTTTAGGTACCGATCCGTTTAGACGGAGACATACTGGCGGTACCCACCTAATGATGACCTACATGTTCACTTTCACAACTACATCCAGCAATTGACGGGCTCGTCAGCAACTTAGGGCTTACGATAGGCCAGCCCGACGATTCCTTTTGCGTTCTGCCGCATAAGAAAGTGGCGGCGGCATGTCAGAACTTAAGCTCCCGCCTCGTCATCTTACGAAATATATCTCAACCCCACAGTCTCGCTTGTTACCTTTTTTCTTTTATCTCTTTCATTTTTTTCTCATGTGCCGAAAGCGAGGCTTGAGTTTTGGAGTTTTGCTGACGGCATCGCGTGACCTGCTACCATTACGCAGCCTCCCTAACACGAATGCTTTGGATATTCCGGCGAATCCGCCTCAATCTAATTCCTTGATAAGAGGTGATCCTTCAGGCGTCACTATGTCATGTTGGATCGTAGATTGCCCCCAATCTCCGTGCCGACTCCCGATATAGAATATGATATTTTCTGGGCGTATAATACGATTCCAACTGAGACATGTGCCGTTAAGCCATGGAAACTCCGGGGTCTCCTCATAAGCTCAGAAGCCATATGGCGCCCCGATGACCAGGGAACTGGATTTTTAGTATTACAGGGCTTAATTAGCATATGGGTAGTCCTTAGAAAGTGTATGATTATTGCGCTACCACTTAGAGGTCATCGCCAAATTCCCTCTAATATAATCCTATCCATCTTCACCTAACCCACGAAGATATTCACAGAGATACAAATATATGCGTATACATCAAATCAAATTAATTATTTACTCCCCGGGCCAAATGCACTCCTACCTAGGTATTCTCCACATGGCATTGTCACTCCCAACACCCACCCACTTCCCAACCTCCCCTAAGTCCCATGCATCAACCCGACGGCCAACGGCCCATCTACACGCCGTACAACCCACCAAATTCCCGACCGTCCTACTCCGCGGCTTCCGAAACAATAAGATTATACCGTCGCGCAGTTTACACATCCTATAATTATAAGTAGGGCCCCAACCAGTCACGTCAATAGCTTAGAGCCGAGAGGCGTTTCTTCTATGCATTTTCTATGCACGGGTCGGTTTGGGATATATAATCTTATATGTGAGGTGGGTAGGTATCTATGTACGAACCCATCGCGGCCGGACGGCTTCTGCGCGTAGCCATTATTTTATTTCGCCCCGTTCAGCTCGTCCTCGTTCTCTGCTGTGTCCGATTTATTGGTTGGCTCATATCCCTTCCAGATCCTCAGGGCTGCGAGACACGTAGGAGGGTACATATGCCGTGCTACAATATTTAAAATAGGACTATTTCGGTGCTGTTCCTTATTAAAGAAACGTGCCGTCCTCCACGATTCCAAGTTTTTTTGTTCTTGGGGGCCGCTCCTTCGTCTATGCTTATAATTAGTACGCCGGGTACCGGCATTATTGGCGTCCGGGTACTCGCATTTATCGACGGCACGTCATCTTTGGCGTTTGGGGGGTTTGCGGCTGAGGGCTTGTTGTGTGCATGTATCTACCCTCTAGTGTATGGCGTATAATGAGCATAGTACTGGTATAGTAAGTTCCCTGGGGGTGTCCAATTTCGTAGGTACTTTTGGTGCATCCGTGAAGAGGTTACGTACATATGTACATTCTAATAGAGATACCGAGGTAGAAATCCTCAATGTACTGTAGCTACGAACGTCTTGTCAGGATGGTGTAACCCTTTCAAAGCCGAATGATTAGGTACCTATTCACCAGTCCCCGATGAGCTGTAGGATGACTGTGGATGAATAATCTTGCCCCGAGCCATGACACTCTTCAATACCTAGGTATTCCGCGGTAGATATCGGTTACACACTATATTCTCCTCTTGTGTAACTCGTATGATAGATGTAAACGAGGCAAAACAATTCTATTGTCTTGGCCGTTCCAGTCAAAGACGCATGAAAATGGATTATAACAGCGAGAATCGATCATGAAAGGGGAATGCTAATTATTGTACAATGTCACCTTCAACAATAGAAACAAAGACACCTCATAGGAGCTTCCAGGTCGAGTCACATTGCTTCCTAGCTATGTAAATGGTAGTATACTAACACTCGATAGCCATGTCGCTCAATACTGGGGAGATGATTACGGGAATAGGGGAAAATCTCTTGGAGGGCATATACATTTTAGAGAGTGATAGAGGAATGAACCACTAAAAATGCGAATATCTTCGCGTCACTCGCTCAGATACACCAGATACTAACTCGAACACGCGTTATCCAAGTCGAGTTCCTATTCACGAAAAAGGGCCAAACATGGTGATTGTAGCATGATACAAATCCTTTCAACTCAATGAAGGAGCTGATAAATGCCAATGACTTGTCACAATTGAAGGCTTCAGAACAGTCTTCACTTCCGAGGGTAGAATATTCAACTCGCCTTCGCATTTGAATTCTCTGATGTTCTGCCAACGACAAAACTAGCAAAATACTCACAGGAACCAACTTGGTAAATATTATTGACACTGACCTTACGATTAACTCATCTCAAACTAACAATACCGAACCAATGCCGAACCCTAACCAAACCCGCAATCTCGCGGCCGAGAAAATCATCAGGGAACAGCAAAACCGCGCATCAGCCATGAATTATTACAGCCAACAGCCCGGAATTCCACGTCCAGCAGGTGGAAGTAATAACGTGAAGAGTGCCGGCACCTATAAGGCTACGGGCACCGGTGGACAGACCTTCATGGGATCTGATGGGAACCCTAAGAGCACCTAGACTAGATGTCGCTTTCATTTTGGAATGGCACTTATCTTATGTCACTGAATGATTATACGAGGTAATGGAACATGACCGATATTGACTATGCTTTTCTTAGCGTTGAGTTTAGCGAATACCTAATCAATTCATTCTATAAACCCATATTTTTGTCTTCAGAAATGTGAAATTTGTATTCCGCCGTGTGCTTAGATGCTTCATTGATTATACCTAAACTTAGATTTAGTTTGCCGGTACAGTAATAGCACTGTTCTCCCTGTGTCACCTTAGCTTGCAAACTTTACTCAGATATCAACACCAAAAAAAAACGTATTCTTTTCTTCGTTTAAATATTCACGAGCGTCAATTCTCACATAGAGCAGGATGTGTAGTAGATTATTCGTAGAAGTCCCGCCGCAGACGCTTCGATTATTCGAGCAGCTCGAGGTACACGATATCTTCCTTATCGAATGGCAGCACCCTCTTTTAATCTGTCTAGGATACCAAACACTCGTCAGACAAAATGTAAGTACCTAATATTCTAGTATACCAGCTTACATAGAACTAAACCCCAAAGGATTATTTCTTCCTCGCTCCAGACGAACAACTCCCCATAATCGAGCATCTCGCCGCCGGTCTCGGTTACCAACCCGCCGACCACAAGACACTGCCCCCAGCTTATTCATCCGAGTATTCTAATCTGGGGCTTCGATACATAATCCGGGAGTTCGAAAAGAGTCGCTTTAACGTCAACCCATGGAATAGACTTGTGTTCCTACCTTTATCTTGGACTAGCATTTCGCGCGATGAAGCAACGCGGCTTAGCGCTTCGGAGAACAAGTTACCGTGTACGGTTCACACGGTGTCTATATCCGTCGCCTGCACCGCGCTCATGCGCATCATGACGCGAGAAAAGCGAGGAAGTCGTCTACGAGCGCGTGTGACTGCTGAACTAGTTAATGCCATTACACATCACTACTTCGACACGAGCTATGAGGGCGATTATATGGATATACCGCCGGATACGCAACCATGGACCGAGAAGGAAGTCACAGAGATGAATAATGCGATTAAGGACATTGAAAGCTGGAAGATGAGGGAAGGAGAGGAGTGGATTAGGAGCGAGCTGATACGGGCTGTGTCGGGGAAGATAGGGTATCATGAGTTGTCTTGCGGGAAGGAGTAATTGTGCTTGGTTGTAGTTTCCAAAGAAGTAGAGGCAATCGCAATGGCAAACAGTTGATAGCAAGCCTTCCTTAAAAAGTGTGCGCGCGCGTGGCCTTAGGGAGGCAGTCACCACCCATGGTGGTACAAACTATATAAGGTAGTTGCGATTGTGCCCTTCTCCCCGTAATCATTAAATAAATGCCATTAAATTTATGCAACCTGTTACCTACCAGATCATACGCACCAAGATATCTAAACCATCCATAAACAATAGCATTACACTATAAAAACCATGAATTTCGACTCCGAGCAACTCGAAGCCGCCAAGGCTGTATCCGAAGCCCTAGACTCCCTCAACATCCAACACGCCTTCATCGGCGCCTTCGCATCACGCCTCATGGGTCACGATCGCACCTGCAACCGCGTCGACGTCGGCATCGACATCTCCACATACACCGCAGTGGAAGTCTCGAAACGGTTAAACAAACACGGGGACCTGAAGAGGGCGCGCGGCCAGTTGCTGTACCTTCCCGAGGACTGGGAAGAGGAGAGTCAAGTTCCGATCGAGATAACTCCGTTATGGCCTCTTGTCGATTCTCGTACGCCTCGCGTTATCGAGGTTCGGGGTGGTAAGTGGGATTTGTAAATTTTGGCTATTGAAGTGAGGTCTAACTTTGATTTAGTCACTGTCCTGCATCCGGCTATACATGTCCTAATGGATGTCAACCTCTGCGTTCAGTACATCGGTAGTACGAGTCCTTTATCGATTTACAGGCTCCACCAAGGCCTCTCGGATACCGAGTTTCAGTTACAGTGGCTTAAACAGCATAACGAGAAGATCGACTTTTCTGGCTATCAGTCTGATCGCGATACTGTGAAGGATCTCGTCGACCACTGGCGAACGAAAAACCGGCGGGATTTGGTGGATCTATTGGATTCGGTTCTACAGCCAGAGGATAGCGAGAGGATTATGCAGGTCTAAAGGGGATCTAGATATGCGAGGATTTACTACTGCTTGTTTTCAGCTTTCAGCAGTCTAGACGTGGAAGTAGCTGCGAGGTTTCGGGTTTGTGGCGTTATGGAAAGATACCCACTAAGTAGGCGGGAAATCCGGAGTAGATAAATGGTATTTTAATGGAAGCAGTCTCTTGACTATCTCCCTGTTCCAGTAACACTCCATTGCCTCCCCCTTTCTTCTTTCTCCTTCTCTTCCTTTTCGTATTCTTCTTTGTCTTCGACTAAATCCTAACTCCACATCTCCTAAACCGCGAAATTTCACCGTGAGTTCGGGTTGTGCTTATATCATTCTTCAACGGGGAAAAATTTGCCTATATAAATAGGACAAGTTCAGCTCCGCGGAGATGTCATGGCCGGAGGTGGGTCCACTTATTCGGTATTCGGGAGACGGAGTCATGGGAGCCCCGTGCCATTTGATCCACCGACTAGACTTGGACCCTTTTGGAATTTTTGTTACACAATATGACGCCAAGTAAACAACCAATTGGTCATCGCGTCGTTTATATCCCTGAAGAACCTTGAATATCTTAGTCAAATATCCTTCTTGGTCCTTCCTCTATGCCTTCCTTGGGCATGACACCATATTCCCTGTGGAATGAGAAAGAAAATTAAACGGCAAAATTGCGTTGGCGCCAACAACGAAGAATCCCGAGGTTCAAATAAATGAATGCCATATAAGCTTACTACTGTCGCCGACATGGCTTTACACCGCTGTGGCGAGTTTGCGTCGTTGAAATACCCCCTTTCTCCCTGAATTTTGTTGAAAGGATCGTCCTTGGCACCCAAACCTTCCTTTCTGGGCCTGACTAGGCCATCCGGTATCCAGATGCCCTTCCATCCATCAAAATGGCACTTCGAGATCGACGACTATCTTAACCCCTGGCTCCCCGCAGCGCCATGGAAGCACATACCGTACCCCGTCGCGCGCTTCTTAGGCCATAGGCCGGAGCACCAGCGTCCGCTGGGTAATATAGCCATGATCTTTTGGGCCTTCATTGGGGTGTTCTGTTCGATAACTATCATCGAAGCGGTGGGCCGCGCCGTCCCTTCGTTCCGCGAACACGGTGCTCCTATCATCATCGGCAGTTTTGTAAGCTATTGACCGACTGTCTCACCTCACATCAGCTTAGAAGAAGAAGGAGGGGGGTTCAATGTAAAGTAAAATAACTAACAATATTCGGTTCCAACAAGGGCGCCGCTGCTGTCCTCGAGTTCTATGCTATCGAGTCGCCCCTCGCGCAACCGCGCAACGCTGTCCTCGGCCAAGTGTTCTCGTCCTTCGTCGGCGTCGCGATTAGCAAGTTATTTGCCTTGGGCCCGGTGTCGAGGGAGTTAACATGGCTGGGTGGCTCGCTGAGTTGTGCGTGTGCAGTTGCTGTCATGGCTTTGACAGGTACTGTGCATCCGCCCGCTGGTGCTACCGCACTCCTCGCCGTGGTCGATGAGGGTGTGGCGCATCTGGGTTGGTTCTTACTACCGATTGTCCTTCTCGGATGCGTCTTGATGCAGTGTGTCGCCCTACTGTTAAATAACATCCAACGACGGTTCCCGGTCTACTGGTGGACCCCCGCGGAAGTGGGTCGGCGGAAACAGTCACCACAGCACCGCGACGATGTACAGAGTAATAGCGATAGCGGAAGCGAAATCGGAGCTAAGCTTGAGATTACCAGAACACGTCACATGGAAGAAGGGAAAGCCGTAGTGGAGCAGGCGAAGGTAATCATAACAAGAGGGCACGTCAACGTCCCTGATGATATGTATCTCTCGCCCGAAGAGAAAATTTTTCTAGAAGAGTTAAGTGAAAGATTATGATAATTGACCTACTACTTTTGCAGTCTTCATTCCCACTAGTGTCGACTTCGACTCATAATGGCCTCAGAGGTATGACTTATTAGCATATAACCCTAGCAGTAATCTGAAGTTATAGTGATGAAGCTAGATAGGAAGGAAAGTTGTACTTGCCTGTGTTAGAGACCCTTATCGTGGCAAGGGACCGCTATCGCCACAGAGGAGGGCCCTGGCTTAAGACATGAAGACAAAGGGGCTGTTCGTGTAACTTGTGCTCTCCTTGAATAGCAACGGATTTACAGCCCCCCTTCATGGTTGGTCTTGTGGGAGCCTGCCGGCTGTGGTTACTATACCTTAGAAGGACTTCTCTATGTCATACAGCGAATAGTATGCACTATCATTGATTTAATCGCCGCATGAATATGCGATGCGTATTTTTTGCGTTACTCTTCCATGGGCGGTTCGGTCACCCACGTTAACAGGTCGACATTAGTAAGTTAGAACGATTGTCACTGGGGCGCAATTAGGCCCATTGACATCCTTGGGGAATGGTACCTTTGGAGTGGAAAAGGTAGGGAGAGCGAGGGAGGGATGAAGAATGACGAGCTACGACAGATCAGCCAGCCTTTCCCGGATTCATCAATCAACGGTACTGAGTGGCCGTAGTCTTCTGCCTCAATTCTTCGCGCATGAGGTCAACGCCATTCACCGGTCCCGATATACCCGGGAATAGTCTTCCGGCCTGCTCTTCGATCCTCTTGCAAGTGATACACGTGGATTCTACGTTCTGCACCGGGCCTTCCTGCTTGTGGTAGCAGGTCGTTCCGTTCCCGACCCTGCAGTATGTGCTCACTCTAGTGTTTCCTACATGGCCACATAGGCGATGAACTTCCCGATAGATCTGACACATGATGTGTAAGTTGTCTGACTATGTTGATTGAATTGAGATCCGATATGATAAGACTCACTTGGTTTGTAATTGTGCGAGAGAATTTGCGGATGGTTAGAGAATTACAGTATTGCGAATGAGTAGATTGAAAGTTTTATAAATCTGGAGAAATTCAATCTAGAGAAAAAAAACTCAGCCTCTTTATATAGAACGAGGTACGTCGTTGATAGTAACCGTGAGAGCAGGATTAGTACTATCCAGGCCCCACTGCACCTTGGGTTGGAAATAGTGAGACATTTATGTAGATTCTCCTGTTGCATACCTAGGTATGTTTCCTACTAATAATGTTCGGATAGGTTCGCACAGACTTGGTCGATTGAGGTTGAAGTCGGAGTCGATTATGTAAGTGTAAAGTTCTGAATAGTTCAAGATAATTGGTCAAATTAGCAACATAAAGTAACTCCGATACTCCGTTTTTTTCTGCACATCATGCTTTTTCTATAGCCCACTCGGGTTAGTTATGATGGAATTTTATGCTCAACTTGGAAACAACCTCCTCGGAAGGGTGCATGTGGTGGCTTGTGGCTTATTTTATTGAGTCCGCATCGGACCTCACTAGGCCTCACTAGCATTACAGTTCACACCAATCTCACACCAATCTCCGTATAGATGCAGTAGAGTTTAGACTATCCGTATAGAGTTAGATAGAAGGAAGGTTCTGTATAAGGTAATAAGCGCCCCACTGATCATGCCCCTATAAGTTATTTTATTGGTCATATTTAATTCTCTTAAGTCAGCATTTCTTGTTTGTGGCTTCAATTTCGCAATTTTTTCTTCTTCTTTTCCCTCAAGCATCTCTACCTATCCGACATTTGAAGTATCTACTCAAAAACATTTTTACCGGGGCGATTGGGTGAGCTGTTGAAAACTTGGGATTCGGACATTTCAAAATCGTGGCTTGAAAAGACTGGTAGCACGCACCTCCATTGCTTCACAGTCGAAGTATGGCTCACGAGTCAGCCGTGGTGGGGGGTAAGACCCCCGTCGAGACCAACTCGGATCACGAAATAGCAGCTCAAGAAGAAGGGCCCCAGCCTGTCGAGACGGAATATGATATCGAAAGAGTAGAACAAGTCTACAGGAAGTTGGATCGCCGCATTATTCCAGGTAAATATATCGACTGCCTACAATTCCCAACAACTTATTAAGAGTTGACAACAGCATTCTGGATCCTGTACTTCCTCTGCTCTGCCATTCGCTCTAATATCGGATTGGCGCAGACAATGAATGCGGATGTCGGCCATGACTTGATTACAATGCTTGGACTCTCCTCTAACGACATATCTACTGCATTGGCTCTCTTCTATGTGTCTTATGTCATTTTCGACTGCCCCTCGAATCTCATCATGAGCAAGCTCAGCCCTCGAGTTTGGATGGCTAGAATTGTCTTTGCTGTTGGTGTCATAGGTGCTTGTTTCACTGCTGTCCAGGCTGCTTGGAGCTTGAAGTGAGTTATCATAATTTCCTTCTTCTTTTAAATTGGCATATGTCGCTGATACGTGCCACAAGGCTGCTGCGTTTCCTGCTGGGTGTGGTAATTGCTGGGATGTGGCCTGGAATGTCTTATTACTTGACGTTGTTCTACCCACCCTCTCGAACAGGCAAGCGAATCGGACAGTACTTCACAGCCGCGCAGGTTTCAGCTGCTGTGGTCGGCTTAGTATCTGCGGGTTTCCAACTTATGGACGGCGCGGGCGGGCTTGTCGGCTATCAATGGATGTTTCTTATCTATGGTCTCCTCGCTGTTATCCTAGGTTGGACCCTTCTGTGGTGGCTTCCGGAACGTCCCCTACCTCCAGGAGAGAAGAGAGAGCGCTCTGGGTTCATCAAATGGCTCCCACCAACTCCCGAAGCCCTCACAGGCGAAGATGCTCTAGTTCATTATGAGGACTTGAAACGAGTCTACCATCCCAGACCTTGGGCACTTAAGGATTTGGGTTATGTCCTCATCGACTGGCGGCTATGGCCATTAACCCTCATGTATTTCGGCGTCGTGGGAGTCGGAATTGGCACCCAACTCTATGGTACAGTAATCATTCGCGGTATCAATTCATCGTTCACTGGTGTGCAACTCAGCCTTCTCTTTGCGCCCATTTGGATTGTAAGTCAACCTCTGCTAGACATTGTCTTACCAACCCCTAACTTTATAAGATGGATCTTATTGCGATCTTGCTTGTAACTCCGATCTCGGATCGTTTCCACCGTCTTCGTCCTCTGTTTTTCTCGTGTGCTGTATGCATTCAAATTGCTGGGCTTCTCACCGTCACGTTTGCCCCCACCTGGAATCCTTGGGCGAGGTATGGAGGGCTTCTTATGGTCGGATTTGGTCTTGGTCCGACGGTACCTATCTGCATGACTTGGACCAATGAGATTTTCCAGCAGCGCCACGGCGAGGTTGGTGTCGCTGCTGCATCGGCTTTGGTTTCTGGTCTCGGGAATCTCGGCAGCATTACGACAACATATGCACTTTACACAGGTTGGCCTGCAGATGCTGCTCCAGGGCCTCATCAATATCGTCGAAGCAATCTGGTTATGATTGGCATTTTATGCATGAGCATCCTGAGTAGCATTGTCATGTTCGTTGCGCTAAAAATCGTCGGAAACAAACCTAGCCACAAGATCGCTAGCAGTGGTAGCTCTACGCTTGATGGCGTGGATGGCTTTCAAGACGGCGCGGCCCGTCGTGAGCTTCAGCAGCGCGGCTTCGGTCGGATGTGGTGGAGCAGGACGTAATCATTTACATCAATCGCCCTAGATGACTATGATTATGCTCCGCTGTGAATTTCAACAACCCAACAGTGCGACCATGGTATGAATATTGTTGGGGCTACAGGCAGCTCAACCTGCCACTTATCGTCGTTCGTTTCGTTGTCACTTTTTTTTTTTTTTTTTTTACGAATTCGTAGTACGAATCACGCCCATTAACGATTCAATACGCACATCATACGGAGAGAATTTTCTAGCTTCGACAGGGAAAGTGCCGTTACGCCATCGCTGAGGTTGGGCGTATCTGGATGAAAGAGGGACAAGGCGAAAATGCTGAAACGCTATCGTTTTTGGTCCGTCTTATGGGAGGGTGGCGTAGACGGAGGTTTTTGTTTTGCATCATTTTGGTTTTGGCGCTTGCATATGATACCCCATTTGTGTTTTGAATACGCTGTCATTCGAGATATTCAACTGAAGACTCGCCGGCGACAGTGCTTTTACGCCATCGCTTGGGACGGCGTGTTGCAGCCGGGACGGGACCGGCGACAATGTTTTGCGCTATCGTTTGGGAACTCGTCTCGTGGGCGTTGCTTACACACGCTTCTTCGAGTTTGTCGTTTAGTTCTTGGTGGAGGATAAAAGAAACAAGTAGCTTGGCTGACGCTCGCTACATCGTTATATACAATTAGGCGAACATTCTTAGCCTTGCATCTATTATCGTGATTCCTTGACGCCCCTCCAACCCCTTCGCCTTCCGTAATTACACTTGACCCATCGTTCAGACGTAAACCTCATATTATGGCACATTACTGCTCGATAGAAAATTATTAACGCAATCAATTAACCCGACCTCATCGCGCAGATTGAATCCCCTTAAACATCGAGAGCTCGGGTCCAACAGGTTGTAAGAATTTGACGTCTCTGGGCTTGAGGAACATCGGCTCGGTCAATTCGAAATATTCCTTGTAGTAAGGCTTGGTAATTTGATTCTTTGATAATAGTTAGTTTCGGTTCTGGTCTCCACATCTATGGGTAAGGGAATGAAGGGTCAAGGCTAACCTCCATGAGCCATTGTGTATCCTTGGACCTGTCATACGGTTAGTACATTCATCCGATCACCATCGTATGATAGATGATACTGACCAATTTTCAACCCAACTTATTTTGCCCGGCTCTTCCGCCGATGTATATACTTCGAAAAATAAACATTCGGGCTCTGCCGCCACAAGGTCAAAGATACCCTTGAACGCAGCCAAGAATCGCTGCACGTTCTCCGGTGCGATGTGCACTGTTACATGGAGACTGATGACTGCCTTCGCCATCTCGCCGGCGTTGTCGGTTTGCTTTTGACGATCTTGAATAGATGGGGTCTCCACTTTGGTCTCGGGAGACTTGGCGGTGGCGGTGGCTGCGGTTGGGACGGCACTGACGGAGGTATGAACTGATTGTCTTTTTGCAGCTTTATTATCTTTGTCTCTCTTGCTTCCGCTGCGGCTAAGGGATATGCTGCTATTCCTCCAATGCTTCAGCATCGAGTTTCTTATACCGCTGCCGGTGGTGGTGGTAGTTGTGCTGCTCATATTGAATGTCTATAAGACCCAAGGCTTATTAACCAACGACGTCTTGGATGCATATGCATATTCTTTCCCAGCGTCGTAGCAAACTTATGTAGTATTTAAGCAAAGTAAGGGTATGGTAACTTCGGTATATAAGTTTGTTCGATGCTACCCATCGCAAATCGAAACATACAACTCCTCAAAAGACCCGGGGATTACAGGGGGATCCTCAGTTTAGAACGGCGTGGGGATTCCTTCTAAGAATACGATACCTAGGCTCCTACGATTTTTGTTTGTGTGTTTTATGGACTTATGTCCGAAACCCAGGTATACAACTACCCACACTAAGACCAGGAAGGGCAATAGACAGCGGATGGTGGGGCACGCATGCAAGGGACTATTTTTTTCTTATTGAGATGGGCTCGGCTTTAGCTTGCTGCAGATTCCTTGCTGGATCGGGGTTTACGTCCGCTATCTTCCCGCTCTACTTTACGCTGTTCATGTAACAAACATCGCGGCAGGGGACCCCGTGTTACTACAACATAGTCATGTAAGTGGCGGCAGTGTTAGATGGCTATTGGTGGTATAACATGCACGAAATCGCATGTGTTACAACGCGGCCCCCGGCAGATCTGTGTTTAAAATGGGTGAAAACGCTTCCCGGGATTTGGTCGCCCATGTCTGTATGGTAAGCGGGTAAGGGTCTTTTTTGTCATTTATTTGGACACGGACCATTTAAACGAATCAATGGCGATGAGACTGTCGATTAGAATGGTCCTCATTTACAAACGTCCAAAAAAGAACCACACATCATTTTGAAAAAAGTCCCTTGATTCCGTAAACGACAAATGCTCACGACCACACCTCAACCCTATTTGGGTATTCTCGCCGTGGGACTTTTTTCTGGTTCAAGATGGGATGGACGGGTTATTCATGCTGGAACCCTTCCGACTTGACTGGATTTACGATTTAATAGGCCCGTCTTGGTTAGATCGGACGTTTAGATCCTTATCCATTCGTCTATGGAAACTGTGGCGTACGACGGCGCGGAGCGATGCAGAAGGATTGTGGGGCCTGACCGAGTTTCTGGTAAGTTGACAGGCCGCGTGTTGCATGGTTCTATTATCGAAATGGTTACCGTAAAGGCCAAGAGTGTTTCGAAGTTGCTTCTAGACTTGAAGGACTTTGTTTCGAATTGATCTACCACTAGATAGAATTATGGTTAGATTATGGCATTGTAGGCTGTAATAAGTCTAGAGTAGTTAGGTAATACACCTCGCCTATTCATCTTAATTCTAAGATCCTAATACAGGTTTCGGGACGCTATGGCATAATGTCATATACAGCTGGGATAATGGGTGGCGTTTTCGATGAGAGGTACCCAAGAATTTCGACCCCTCCAAGAGACAGATCCTTTGCGGAAATGTGCTAATATCACTGTTACTGTCCACTATAGTGTAGAAACGTTGGGACATCATCACCAACATGCATGAAGACTTCTGGTCCTAGACGCTATCGCGGCTATACATGACAAATCGGAACCTCATCTCGTCCGAATGTCCGGATTCACGGAATTACTAACATTAATAATGTCCTTCTCCCCCGGATTTCGGCCGAATGATCAGAAACAAAATCCTCGATCATCAGTCCTGGGTTGGTGACGTGGCCGAGTCATCACTATACGCCATCGTTACACCTGTAAGAGGCGAAGTTGTATCTAGGGAACCCAAGGTAACTTTGCCATGGACTTTGTTGTTACATCTCATGGGAGGCATGTCGACAAAAGTATCTCCCTTCTACTAAAGGAACCTTTCCCGAGCCAAACTGAAGCATTTCCCGCGTTGATCTAAGGATGGGTCGCAATTTAATTTGAGAACTACTATGGTATTACAACGCAGACGTATATGTAAAGCAACTTCAGAAACCTGCCGGAATAGAGACCGTATGTTAAGCAATCACAGCATGATCTACTTCTGTTTGATAGATATCGGACCCGAGAATCTGGACCAAGGCCTACCGAATTTGGTTATCTGCACTGGTCTTTTGCGTGAGCGACAATATTACCCGACCTATGGTACTCCATGTTAATGTAGATCATTAACAAGCGCCCCATATCAACATTTCGGGTTTGTCTCGTATTGTGTTTGCGTATTGGTGTGGATGAGGCGACGCGTTTGGGCTTCTAATTATCGCATTTGTCTCTTTGAAGTAGAAATCGTATAGTTCCAAAGTCCCCAGAGACGCTGCATAGTTCCAACTACCTCCAACTCACCCGATTAACTCACACAACACACACCGGTCGGCGGCCAGCATAGCTTTCAGCAAGCCTGTGTAGCAAAGAGGTGAAAACAGAGCAGATTAGCACTATATCCCAAAACTCTTGGATGAGTTTAAACCGGGGTTGAAAAAAAAATATTTGTTTACTCTTCGCGCCGTCTCAATGTCTACGTCCCTTTCCTTCTCTCTTTGGAATCAAGCTACTATTATTATATCTAAGATATCACAGAGTTTGTTGGACATAACAATCACATTATCACAAGACCAAAATACACCATTTGTTGTCAACGAACTTTTATTGAGTTATCCTTACAGATAATCTAGCACACAGCTCCTATCCCAATGATGACCAGAACCCATCTTGAGAAAAATAATACTTAGCCACTGTTTTTACTCACCTACCTAGGAACCTACGTACACGCTTTCTCGCCCTCGACTTCGCGAGGTACATATTAACATACCTACTTATAGATACACCGCGTTTTTCCACCCACGGAACGCCAACGACGACTTAACCCCCGAGCACTCGACAAGAATTCCCCCCCCCCCTTTTTATTTATTTCGCTACGACACTCACCCCAGAACAAACCCTATACCCCCCTAAATCCACCTTCCCACGCGCCTGCTCCGTGATCCAATCCGCCGTCGTCCAACCCCGCATATGCGCGCTCTCAGGCTTCACCTTATCGACAGCCGGGATCGCAGGCGGAGCTACGAAGTGCGCCATTGTGGACACTTTACTTTTATCCCTACCCCTAGGCCAAGAACTTAGTTTTGGAGTTGGCAGGCTAGTGAGGCAGGATTGGGGGACGATTTGTATGGCGTGCAAGGGCAGGGATCGGGTGCGTGGTGCGGGTTGAGGGTTTTGGTGGACGGGGTCGTAGATGAGAGATAGACGAGGTGGGCGCGGCGTTAGAGGGGGCGAGGGCGTGGATATGTCCATTGGTGTTAGGAGCGGTGGTGAGGGTTCGCGCTGCTGCCGCTTTTGTGACGGTGGGCCGTGAGGTCCTGGGGGTGAGGATTCTCGTCGCCATTGTAGTTGCTCTTCCTCTTCCGCCTGCTCTTGTGGCTGTAGGTATGGATTTGGTGGCGATGCCGGCTCCATTTCCATTAAATCTGGCCATGGAGACGGCAGAGCTGATATTACCATCATATCTGGCTCTTGAGATGGAGATGGAGGATTGGATATTACTATCATTTCCGTCTCCATCGGCTCTGGCTCAGGCGTTGGTGATACGATCTGCATGGGTTCAGGCGACGGCTCGGGCGACGGCGCTGCCGACCGGAGGTATAGTCGCGTCATAGAACGTGTCGCTACTATTGTACGCCGACTCATCGACCGCTGTGCGACTCGCCCCATGGGCCAGTCTGCTGGTTGAGAGTCGAGAACTACGACGTCGGAGTCGTTGTCAGAGTCAGAGTAGTAGTCAGCGTGATAGTCACAGTCGGATTCGACAGTCGTTCTATGAGGGTTGTCAGCGGTAGGGGAAGGGGAGGGTGAGGGTGAAGGTGGTGGGGGACTAGGGGGAGGGGTACTGGGAGGACCAGGAGGCCTGGAAGGTACAGGTAAAGCGCGAACGTTTGATTCTGGATACTGGTGATCCAGCGTCCGAGCCATAGGTAAGTAGCTCGACATAAAGTCGAAGGTGCTCTGTGCTAGATTAATATAGTAAGATGGACTATTCATCATGCTTGACGGCCTGGAACGTACCGCTAAGTATTAGCAATTGGCTTTGAGATGCGGACAAGAAAGATACTTTATGCTTTGACAATTATCAAAAAAACATGGCATGATTTCGTAGACAATTTCATTGTTTCTAGTTGTTGTATATGAAAAGATCCAAATGTCCCATGATTACAATGTTGTTGTTGTACACTAAGCGCTTTCTTTCAGTTACGTACAAGACGGTTTGTCTGCGCTATTGTAACTGTATGAAATGTTATCACTGTATTCTGGATTGATAGGAGTGGGCATAGAAAGAAAAAGGTTTATTCGATAAACTCGAGGCTTTGAATGGCATGTTGTAGAATACAGTGATTGAATGTTGTGGTTTGGTTATAAGATATACAAAAAAAGAAAAAAAATTTGTTGGCCATCTGGGGAGTCGAACCCCAGGGTCTAACGATACTAGTAAGTATATTATAGTAAGGATACTGGTAAAGGTACAGGTAACGCTTGGAAGTATAACATGTATCGCTAGGCCGCGCCGACTCGGCCATTGTTCATTTCTTAGGAGCCATAAGACTATCTACACTTATATGTTGTCTTCAACTAACCAACCGGGTGATTGCTGTAGGTCAAGGTTAAATGAAGGGTTGAGCGGTGGTTTGTGGGTTTTTGTTGTGATAGTTGGATGTACTTTTTCAAGCGTCAAGGTGCATGGCCTAAGCATCTCTAGTGACACGGGCGGATGGCTGTCCCAAAGGTTTGGTATTGGCCTCGACGAAGGATGTGCCTTGAGCTGTGAAATGAAGAGGGTGAGTAAGGCTGCATAGTGATCCAGAGTACAGGTAGGTACAAGCGGGCAGTCTAATAACATCACAACATGCATTAATCCGGGCAACATACCTTCTAACGTTAGGATATAATAACCACACCTTTACGAACAAATACGTTAGCACTTATAATAGATGGGAATAGAGAAATGCAAATGGTATTGGGGTTTATCTGAATGAATCCCTGGCGGGTTGACACTGCCCGCAAAGGTGTCAGGTGATGTAACATAGCGCCAATAATGCTCAATCAATAGGTACTCAAGCGCCTTCAAGAGGGGCGCAATCATATAACACGGCGATTTACATACGAGGGTCGGTTTCGAGAGTGCCCAGGCTTATTGGATATTTGGGGAATTCTCTGTTGGCCCAGCCTAAAATATCGAGGGCAGTCAACCTCGCCAGGCGGCTGGCATGTATGAGCCGACTAAATATGGTGGAGGAGCTGGTTGGTTCCCCTACGAACCTCTTCCACGGCCCCTTCCGTTTCCGCGACCTCTTCCATGACCCCCTCGACCTCGACCACCTCGACCGCGACCGCCGCGGCTACCTTGACTGTCCTGACCAGATCTATCACCCGTGCTATCTCCAGCAGAGAAATTGAAGGTTTGAGGACGCGGGGGCAGGGAAGCCGGTGGCGGAGGTGCTAAAGACCTCTCACGCCGAGCTGAACGGGGCGGAGGAGGACCAGGCGGAAGGGGTGGTTGAAACGATGAGTTGTTCCCTTGGACAATTCCAGACGAAGTCGGAGGACGACTTTTCCTGTGACGGGGTTTCCTAGTATTGGTGCTTCCTTGCCCGACGGATCCGATATTACTCGATATCCTTATCTCGCCACGGGGCGCAGGCCGTGAAACAGGTGCATGGACTAGATCCTCCTCCGAATCGTCGTCTGAGACGAAATGAGTATGGGTCTGCCTCTTTGCCCTTCCGAGAATGTGGAAATCAGTATGACTTGATTGGGAAGGCTCCACGCCTACCCAGGCGACGGCGATATCTTGGCTGTTTTCGTCTACATAACGGAGACGATTCGCCTGTGACCAAGTGGACCAACCAGTCACCTTGCCACCTCTATCTGGTAATCCACATTCTGGACCATAGTGACCACTAGCACCGCAGGTGTAACAGAAGATTGGAATGTCTTTCACCTTTTTATGAAGCTCGGCGACCAGCTTAAATGACCTCCATCTTTCGGAGCATTGATCTTCCGCGTGTTCGGCGCCGCAGAAAGCACAGCCACCTTGCTCTTCCACCGCGAGCGCAAGCTTTTCGTCACAAGTGTTGCCGTTGTGGCCTAACTGGCGACATTTGGAACACCGCTGTTTCAATGGGCAGCCGAATCGAGAGTGTTCTTGGCTTCCACAGTACTGGCATGTGAGCTCTGGACAATCACGAGCACGGTGCCCAACACCAGAGCAATACAAACAGTATTTGGATGGATCTTCTGCATCTGGAAAGAACCTTCGCTGTTGTTCCAATTCTTCATCGCCGTCCGGTACCTCTCGTATTCGCATCGCTCCGTTGGAGGTAACTGGCAACCTGATACCTTTTTGAGGCTCGTGTTCGGGTTTACTTCCGTTAATAGGTGCAACGTGCTCCCGAGTTGTGTTGTCCTCTTTCAATATACTCTCTGTCGGCTTGGCTTCTGCCTTTTTGCTCTTTGATTGTTTAGCCTTTGGTCCCTTGGTGCCTTTTTGTTCCTTGAACGAAGACACAGTCTTTAAAACAAGAGACTCTAGATCCGTCTTAGCTAGAGTCTTCTCGGCGAGGTCCCGGCCGATATTCCGACGCTTCCTAGTGGCATTTAGAAGAGGGCCGTTTGGTCGGATGAGATGTTCCCGAAATCCTGTGAGGACAACTTCGGCGGTTATGCGGTCAGATATGAAAGCGTTCTGCTGGAGAAATGCCTGTATCCACTGGGGAAGCCTATCATCCCAATAGCTAGGTGATCTCTCGGTAGACTTTTTCATTCGGAAATGCAGGTTTGGGAACTTCCAAGTATATTCGCCCACGGTGAATGTGGGATCAGGTTTCGTATTCGGATCATCTGGCTTTACGCTGGGTACTTGTGTTGTGTTATCCTGACTAGGGCGCGATGGGGAATTTTCCTCATCCTCATCGTCGTCGTTTACGTCATCTTTGATATCGTCACCTTCGTCATTATCATCCCATTCATCTCGCTCCCTAGTCAGAGCATAGCGAGATGGTTCTGCTTTGGTAGACGTATTTGGAAAGAGTTGTGCAGTCGGCTTTCCAAATGAGGTCCTAGCACCTAAACTAACCCCTTGATTCCAGCCCAAATGTTGCACAGGCTGGCTCTTGGATATATCAGCGGAAGGAGTTTCATCCGTCTTGCTAGGCTCCTGTACCTCGGACATGCTAGTATCGACCTCACCATCCTCGGAAGGTTCGTGTGTGGCTACCTCAGTAGTAGTAGCCTGAGTACTATGATCTTCAGTGGCTTGGCCAGCAGGACTAGGACCAGGACTCGACTCTACTATCTCGCCGTCATCCAAATCCTCGTCACTGCCACCGTTGGGATTCACCGTCTTTTGCTTCTTCGGTGCATGATATGCTGTGTCATGATGCTCGCCTTCGTCGTCAGACATAGGCAAGCCCTTCAATTCCTGACCATAGTCGCGGGGCCGCTTTTGACCAGCTAGGCTACTAGGAGTACCCGGTTCGCCTAAGCCGGCATCAGTGGCAGGGACTTCAGTAGCACCATCCATCGCTATTGAGTTATTTTCCCACGAAGCCACAGCGATGAAGATCGGTGTGGGAATGAATGATGAGTAAAGGGTGATATGTAGATTGGGGGTATTGTGGTATGAGTTCTGGAGAAGGGGGAATGTGACATAGGAACTATCGTAGGACTCGATAGTAAGGCAATAGGTAGTGTTTTTGTCAAAATTGACTTGCCGGATTGTATGAAGCGAAGAGTGTGTATTAACCACTTACGCCGTTCATTCGCTGATACCCTCGCTCTCGCACGTTGAGCTTGGAGAGTACACGGTGTAGCAATCAAATTTTAGAGCGAGTGGTATTTAAGAAAATATTTCTTTTCAAAATACAACTCGTTCTTTCTAATCCGACATGGATTGCTTAGATTGCCAAAGGGAAAATGCCTTCTTTTTCTGGATCGCGACTTCAAGAACGCGTCTTCGATGACTTCATAGGTTGGGCGATAATGAGAAAGGAATTGATGTGTGCAAGAGAAAAAATAAAATCAGTGCACGGTCCTTTCCTTTTTCTGCGCCCGTTATTATAGTTATGATTATGTTATCGGTTGGGAGTCCTAAATTGCTGTAACCGCACGGGCAGCATATGCGATGATGATTTATCGAGATGGTGATATGATTGATGTAGAAGTGAATGAAATGTTGATATTGAGGCTCTTCAAAGATTTTTTTCTTTCTTTCTTTCTTTCTTTCTTCCGTTTGCCCTTCTAAGATTAAAGTACCTAGGTACCTAAGTATCTGGGCTGTGCAAGTTGGCAAAATATATACAGTGGGTACAGCTAGATACAGTAGGTACATGCATCTAGTCGGAATTAATGGCGGCAAACTGTGGTGATCTACGAATTGAAACGTACCTTCTTGCCTAGATGAAACAGGTTTAGCGGGTCATAAAATGCCCCGCTGCACTCTCCCTATCAGCCTATTAAGATGCTCCGTATGTATGATTATTCATCTAGGTGAACTCAAAGAAAAAGGGGATCTAAGGTCGGACTCCGCGGGCCCAAGTGTTTGGGAAGGAAGTGACCGAAGTGACCACCTTGAGCACATAATCACGTGGCCTCGTGAGACCTGGTCGATGTACCCTAGCTTACCTAGGTACCTAGGTATTACCCTAGCATGGTAAACCTTGGCAAAATTGAGCTCAACAACAATTTGATTGAACACAAATCACCGAGAAGACCCATAATGACCCCAAATTCTAAATTCTCCAGCTGGGTTTTTAGCCACTGAAGCCACGCAGTACAGCAGCATTTAGCACTATTAGCACCATCAGCACTGCCCAGGTACCTAAGCTTGCTAAGTAAAAGTACGACACGCCGCCAAAGTCTAGGCGTAATTGGTTGTAATTGGCAATCTGACCCCTGTTTTCCCAATTGCCCAAAATCTCCAAATTCATCAAGCAACCCCCCCTTGTCTCCTTGTAAACCTGTCCACTGTTCACTGTTACTTGCTGACTTTGCTTCGGTCTACGGTCCACGGCCACGGTCTACAGTCTACTTCGTTATTGTACCTCATTTGTCTTTGATCATCACCTTCCATAACCATTCTTGTCTATTCTACTACTACCTCTCTACCTATTAACTAACCCTAACAAAAACAACTACTTTTTACCATTCTTCTAATCTTCGTGATCATCCACTTTATTCGTAATACACTTCTGTTAATTGTATTCATCCTCAATCTATTATTTTTCCCGAGCCCTTTTCTGGTCAAGAGTGCAGTATTAGAAAACCGTGTTTCTACTTTCATTGCGCATCTCATCCAAAATCTCCCTCCATGACCTCGACAATTCGACTCTCCTAAACCCAGCATCTCTAGCTTTCCTTGCTCCTCTCAGCATCAGCTGCAGCCTTTTTTTTTTGCGATACCCCCTAGACTACCTTACTCTTCAACTTCCTCACCTAGCAATCGACAGCTAGCGAAACCCCCTTTACCTTTTTTCCGACAATCATATTAGTAGCCACGGCGTATACGCTTACAATACCTCCGGTACGGCCGACAACACGGAACAGGTACACCCAGATCAACCTGTGTGTGTGGATGACGACTATATCCAAAACTACAAGATCCAAGTCGACTTCCCCGTCCAATACCGCCAAAGTGTCTTCCCCAATACTTATCCCCCGCACCGTCTCCTACGACGTCGGTACCAATCCTCCAAGACGGGGTGGTACATATCTCAATATGGGTGACTCGAAGACGACTAGGAGGCGAAGATCGAGTAGCATTCTTCAGATATATCAGGAGCCGCAGGAACCGATAGAGCAACTGAGTGACCAGTCCGCTCTGCCGAACCTCAATGCGAACTGGGTAAACGCTAAAGGTACGTTATATATATGAGGCTATGGTTCACCGAGATTACATAATTATGTACCCCGGATGCTCGGCAGGCAACACATATAACTAACCAGCTGGCCATCAACAGGAGCGTGGACCATCCACATTGTTCTGATCGCCGCGTTAAAGATATTGTGGGATGTGATCCCCGGCGTCTCGCAGGAAACTTCTTGGACTTTGACCAATATTTCCTACATGTTCGGCTCGTATATCATGTTCCACTACGTCCGAGGCGTACCATTCGACTTCAATAGCGGGGCTTACGACAACTTGAATATGTGGGAACAAATCGACGACGGCGCACAATACACACCCTCCAAGAAATTCCTACTCAGCGTTCCTATTGTGCTCTTCCTCTTGAGTACGCACTACACTCATTACGACCTCACATATTTCACAATCAACTTTCTGGCTGTGCTAGCGGTAGTCATACCGAAATTACCCTTCGTGCGTTCCCAAAAATAAAATAAAAAAGTCCGATTTTACCCCTTAGACAGACTAGCTAACCGGTTATTTTACAGAGTCACCGCATGAGAGTAGGTTTGTTTTCCGGCGTGCCGGAGGAGTGAAAGAAAGAATAGAAAAAGCAATGGCATCTGGTGTATTTGTGTAGGCGTTTGAAAGGGGTCGTTTCTACGGGGAGGCTACGCATCATTAAAGGGGGGGCCGATACGTCAAATCGAGTTACAGGAGACGATTACCAAATCGAACGCTCGAACATAGGAAACAAGTCAGCTAGTCAGGAAAGACGCCATGTTCCAAGAGCCGTCCGTCCGGTCCTGTCGTACCGAGAAATCCCGCCTCATTGAGTTCTGTGATCATCAGCTCTAAGTACTGTTGTCATGTCATCGGTGTCTTATCATTGGTGTAAATATCGTTGCCGTAGATGTACAAAACAGTCACGACATTACGGACAGAATACCCGTTCCGATTCAATGTGATAATACTCTTGTACGTTGGTATTATACCCCCCTGACGAAGTGGCTCGAGAGCAGCTTTGAGAACAAGCAGGAACCTCCGTTTTACCCTATGAATTTCTCGAGATCCAATCAAGTTTATGGGCTCTGCAACGTCTCGGACTTTTTGCTTCTCCCGCAATTAGCCCAGATAGATAGTCATAACATCTGCCATGCAACTTCTGACTTAGACGATAGTATTATGTAGCTTCATTCTCGGTGTAAATACAGGTTCATGTAAAACGTAACAAGTAGGTATGTTTGAAGGTAGGAGGAAATATTCACAATTGGGCCTATCCGTCTCGATCTAGGTACTCTCTACCTCTCGCCCTCATTTTCTTCACTTTTGGCCCTAGCTTTACCTTAACCAGTTCTTCACAAAGCCCCATCGGTAGAACAATTACTATTAAAGCCTCGTAGTTTTCTACGGGCTAGCAGCAGTTAAACCCCCCACCAAGAACCGTAACACCACAGTTAATAACCCGGGGTGGAACTCATCCTCGCCCCTACCCCCACGATAACCAATTTCACCTACAATCCCTCTCCCTTTACCTCACTTCCTATCCTATCTCATAGCACAAAACCTCTCATCGACTCGCCTGAAAGGCAAGAGTCGAGACAGGGAGTCAGACTTACTCAACCACCCACCCCATAACAAGGCAGAGGAACTGCTGTCCCACAACACAATGCCGAACGCAACTCTGCTCTTCTACATCCCCTGTCCCAGCCACGGACCACGAATCGTCCGAAGAGGTGTTCAATATACTGAAGGGCTATGAGTAGTCATGGTTAGGCTGTTCGTCGCTTTAATTGCCTTCGCATGATGGGTATGGAATATGCATATAGAGTGCAGGCAGCACCTCATGCTCCCGACCGAAAAGGTAGTATTCTTAAAGCATCACGACTACAGATCAGGTTTCAATAATAAACCGGTCAGCCTCGGATGTGCCTCGGGGCGTACTGTCTAATGGAACGGTTGGCCGAGATAGATCTGAGTAAAACATAGACATTTCTGCAATAATTGCCTACCTATGGTATGAATGTAGTAACTTGTTGGAACTTTGAATACTAATCCAGGCACATTTCCGACGTTATTTCCTCTGATTAAGTGCCGCGCAATGAGACTCGTAAATACGAGCGTTGGAGATCCACCTCGGCGTTGTATTTTTTTATGGGGGAGTTTAGGGCTGCTATCCATGAGGTATGAGCTGGAGGTATTTAATATTGGCAGTATAATGCGACGATGAGGCTCTGGAGTTCATTCGGATTGGTATAAAAGAGAATATTCGAAAGATTTATATTAATTTACCCCAAGATATGACATTCTTACTGCAGTGTGTAACAATAAGTCTTTCTTTTAGATTCGGAGTTACTTAACGGGAGTACCCGGAGCATCTCATTTATCTTATCAGATCCGGCTCTAATCGGGATATCCGCCCGCGCGGTTGACGGGGCCCCGGTTCGGTGTTTACGTATGTATCTGCGATTATGAACCTCTGACTGGGTAGGCAACAGTCACCGCATCCCGGGATACTACCTGAATTGGTTAGGGTGGTAAACTAGAGATTTAGCAACGTTCCAATGAAGATGGTGGTTCGGGGGGATCAGGACAAAGGGCTATACTAGTGGGGGTGACGCAATGTCGATTATTCGGGTCAGTTTGTCAAACTGCATACCGGATCCTTCCCTTGTTCCTTGACCCTTGATCTTTCTCATATATATGAGTATAGTTATCTATACTTACTCAGGTAAGAAGGCGCGCGGGTAGGTGAATAATATCTTACCTAAACACTTCTACCCTGATACCATGAACTGACTTCTCGACATATATATGTAGGTAATTTCCCTCTACCTTCAGCATCCTCCATTCTTTCTATCCCCCCATCTTCCAGACAAGGACCCCCAAGCCTACTTACACTTCTGTATCGTTCGTTCCCCGCAGTCTCCAAATATTCTGATACATACATCAACCTACTAAGGCACTTACACACAGCCTTATTAATTCATACACTAAACCTCCAAAGCCAACCATCATAAACAGCCATCATGAAGGAGTCAACAACTTACATGTATGCCACCGAAACGCTGGGCGCCAACGTCAGCCAGTATTCTGAGTCCGTTTCACTCAAGCTTCCTCAGCCGCTCTTGGAGTACCATGCCCGCATCTACAAAGACCGCGACGACTCCAACTACATGATCTCGACCTTCGAGGCTCAAGCTTTGATCTTTCTCTCCCGCCTGCTTGGCGCTAAAAGAGGTACGTCTGTACCCCACGCGGCAATCCTCCCAACCAGTAGTGCCGCCGCTCATATATCATATTCCAGCTTCACGTGTGCTCTAATCTCGAAATTGGCCGATTCGCTAATGCAAAGTCTAGTTCTCGAAGTCGGTGTTTATGTTGGGTACTCGGCAAGTACGTAACATTCAATCTCCATCTTTTGCCCCTTTTAGCCTATCGCGGGGGTTATTTCTCCCGAGGCAGGGCTCGCGTCCCCATATTATCTATGTATGCATTTGGAGATGCAGTTACTTACCTATGTTATTATAGTGATCTGGAGTCACGCCATAGGACCCCAAGGCAAGGTAACGGGTCTTGAATTTAGCGAAGAGTATGCTCAGTTGGCACGAGAAGCCGCCAAGGAAAACGGATATGAGAATATTGAGATCCATGTTGGACCCGCTGCTGAAACGTAAGTTGGATTCCTTCTTTGAGCCGATCCTAGATTCTGAGATAGTCATACTTATATCTCTTCCCCTCTCACGCACCGTTTCTTTCTTCTCTTTTCTTTCATTCGGGGAGAAATGAATTAATCCGCCACCTAGTCTCCCGACACTCGCCAATCCCCCGGAGCCCTATGACATTGTCTTCCTAGACGCAGACAAGACGGGTTACCCAGGATACTTAAACAAGATCCTAGAGCTGTCGGCGCCGGGCGCCAAGAACCGGCTCGTCCGACCTGGCGGTATCATCATCGCAGATAACGCGCTCCGCCGCGGTCTAGTCGCTGATTCATCCTCGGATAATCCGTGGAGACCCGCCGATTTCGAAAACGCATGGGAAAAACAAGCTGTTACCGCTTTGCGCGAGTACAACGAAATCGCTGCTGAGAACCCGCGCTTGGAGACGTTTTTGATTCCTCTCTGGGATGGGGTTCACTTGATCAGACTGCTTGACTAAAGGGTTGATGAAAAGTCGCCGTCGTTGGCGTAGAATGTACCTGCCTGGTTATTGGGAGACGCGTGTTTATATGACATGTGATTTATCAGAGCGCGGCGTTCAACAAGCCCGTCTTTACATATGTATGCAAGATGCATCTGGACTGGCTGTGGTACATGGGTACGGGACATACATACCCGCCACCCTGTTATGTAGAAAGCCGCATTGCCCACTCTTTAGGAACGTCCGAAGACCAATCAATATAACGCGTTGACATACACACTTTTTTGCTTTTGCTTTTGGCGTAGGTCATCAGGTCATGTCGTGTTACATACCCTTGGAAGATCGGAATTCACCAACCCTTCCTTATGTCTTGGCAGGAGAGCTGTAGATCATGCAATGGGGCGATTGCTGAAAAGTTCCAACAGGCTACTAGGTCGCGGGATGATCCTACTACTACATCATAGCCAATTAGATTCTAGATATCGCCTAATGCATACTGCTTCCGGCAAATGCTCTTCCCCGTACGTAGTTTCCACCAATGAGATGCGCGAGAGTGAATGTTACCGCGTAGCATGTTTGTTAGTTCCCGCTCCCGCTGAAGAGTGCTGAAGAGTCTGCTGAGGATAATCTAAGGCTTACACAATACTCACATAACTATTGTGCTGCTAACTTGTAACTTACCTGGGTGTATAATTACTCCTACATAACACCAATCTTCCCACCGCAACGTTAAGAAATGATCTCATCAATAGTCCAAATCCTTATCTTGCTAACCCCAGTCTCCCGCCCCCAGTGCCAATTTCATCGCTGACTCCTTGGCTCCAGCCGCACGAACCAGGGGGGATTCGATAGGCTAGGTATGATCGTCGACCGCGCCGCTCAGCACCAGGGGCCGTTGGTTTTGGCGGTTCCTGCATCCTGCGCTGATTGAAATTTGTATGGCTAGGTATGCCGGTACGTTGGAATATGGTAGGTACATAGGTGAGCTGATTCCCCGGATTCGGGTTTCGAGAGCGAAAATCGACTCTTATGAAAAGTTTCGATGAGCGATTGACGTTTCTATTTCTTTCTTTTCCTCTCCGTTCTTCGTTCATGCTAGAGGTTGTTACTTGCGTAACGAACGGGCTTGTGTAAAGCGCATTTGCTTGTCGCTCGCATTTGCATGACTAGGTATTTTAGATAGAAGTGCCTATCTATGGCGTAAATCTCAACAAGGAAAAGAGGGTATACAAAACCGATAGAAAACGCCCCTCTACTCCTGCATCGCGACAATGCCATCCATCCCGAAAGTCCCTGAAATTAGCGACCCAGTCCCCGAACCGCCTCCCATCTCCAGCGGGGAAAGACCAACAGGCCAGGGTCCAGATCCGGGACAAGAACAAGGACCCTCCTCCCAATTCGGCGATACTAAACCCGATCCCACTGAGCCCGATACTTCGAATCCGGACCCAACGAGTCCTAGTGAACCAAAGAATACGAAGGATGTAGATTGGGGCGATCTCGCGGATCAAGCTAGTAACCTGGACGGTAACAATGGGGATACGAGTAGTGGTAATGGGAATACAGGCTCGGGAACGGGACAGCAGCCTCCAAGAATAGGAACGGGTACCGGTCCTCCTATCGCAGCTGCGACATCTGAACCTACACCTACTACTCCCCCGAGTCCTCCGCCGCAAGGGTTACCGCCGTGGGGTATTCCGGTAATAGTAGTCGCGAGCGTGATCGGCGCTTTGCTACTCGCGGGCCTAGCGTTATTTTTCATGCGCAGACGGAAACAGAAGAAATTAAGAAAAGAAGAAATTGCAGAAGACGAAAGGGAAAGGGATACAGTGTATCATGCGCAGGTCGCGGCGTATAGGAAGTTAGAGCAGATGGAGAGCTCGAGGGCGGAGGATAGTGATACGGAGGGAAGAGGTGGGATGTATGAGGAAGGTATAGGATCGATTAGGGGAGGAGGGAGGGGAGTGAATGGTGATGGTGTGAGTATTGAGATGCCGGTACGAACGCATACGTTTGAGAGTGGGAATGTATCGGTGAATAGTCTGGCACCTGCGACTACGCAACTTGCGAGGAGTAGCTCGGTGGTCTCGAGTTTGACGTCTTCGTCTAGAGGCACACAGGGGCAAGGTCGGTATGAGAGGATAGATGCCCCGCCGTCGCCATTGTCTGATAGGAGTCCCGAGACAGACGCACCGCCGTATATGTGGACGCCACAGAATTTATCGAGAGCAGGGACGGGGGATACGGGGAGAGGACTAAGGGTGGAATCGAATATTCCGTCAATTTTGAGACCAGGTTCGACGCGACCGGGGACACAAGGGGGTGGAGGTTGACGTTGATGTCGCGGTAGATAAAGGAAATTTTACGTGTGAGATGAGAATCGGATAAGACAGCGAAGGAATTAATGATGTTGAGGGCTAGATCACGTTTTTAGGGGTATGAAAGCTGAAGATATCGCTCTAAGGCGATATGGACTATTGGACAGTAGCAAGATGCTGGACCACTTCACGTATTTTTACTCATTCATGAGGTATATATTAGGAATTGGGGAGCGTTGTAACGATATCTATAGAGAAGCTACGCAGATACTTTCAAATAAGATGAAATTAGAAATATCCAGACGGCGCAATAGTAATTTCGACGGTCGTACTTCTCCCGCTCAATTATAAAGGCCGTCTGTATTCAAGTATACGATTGTTCGAGACACTTTCTAGAGGTCCTAACTAATCGCTAAAAGGTGCTACTGTAGCAGCCGTTAGTTTCCATGGGTTCGCCGGAGTATAAGTGACTCCAGTCCGTGACATTGTCAAAGAGACCCGACGTACCTGCATTTAGCATCTTACTAAGACCTCTAAAGTGTATTATCGACATAGGCATCAGGTCAATAGAGTCTGAGCGTCCCGACAGCGAAATATAATATTTCTTCAATAAGACGTTTATAAAACCTCAACCAGCCTGAGTAGATGCAGGTGCGTAGGATGTCGGTGTATTCCATCATACGACCCAACTCACTTTGAAGCGGCATTCAAAAGCACCGCTCTCGACTTGTATGGCGTTTGTTCGGGAGGTTATCCTTGGCATCTACGATCTTGACTCACCTTTTAGTATCAGGAGATATTTATTCCTGGTACATTTGACTTAACCTGTTACTCCAGAACTATTTGAGTGTGGCGTCTGAAACGCGCCGTTCATCGACCTAATGAGTAACGGTTCCCGTTTTCCCGTTGCTCCCGTTCTAACCCAAGCACAAGCCAACAAACGTCCACTCAATGTGGGTTACATCAAGAAGCATCAATGTAGGTAGATATGCAGCGGTAAATTTGACAGCCGACTTCCCACATAGCGGACATCCGGGGTAATTATCGTGCTCCCGAGCGGCCGTGCGCACGTCAACTCAACCTAGAAGGCATATCTGTAACATTTGCGTCCACGTCAGGAATACTCTCCTGAGTTCATAGAGGTAAACCTTTTGGCCATGGATCGCGGCGGGTTTTATCAGTGGTTGCCGTCTTGGCTCATGGTTGGCGCTGCGTGTCTTTTCGTACTAAAAGAGGGAGGCAGCCATCAAATATTGCCATCGACTCCCTCTTAAAAGAAGCAGTGGTTGCCCGAAGCCTAGAAACTTGCTCACCATGTGTTTCAGTCCTCATTGTCTAATTCCTCGCTCTAATACCTAATCTTATGCTCTCCTCTTTGAAAGCTCGCCCCTGCCAACATAGAGTTCTTTACCAAGAGCGATGCGAAGGGGACGCTTCCCTCTGCTCATCGTGCTGGCCCAGGCCACAGGGTCGTTGGCGAAGACGGTGAGCTACGACTGGAATGTGACTTGGGTCTTTGCGAGTCCGGATGGGTTCAGTAGGCCAGTCATTGGAATCAATGGCGAATGGCCATGTCCAAAGATAGAAGCCAACATTGGCGACTTCGTTAGCATCAACTTGAACAACCAATTAGGGAATGAGACTACTGGTCTCCATTTTCATGGCATCAACCAAATAAGTACCAATGCCATGGACGGCGCTGTCGGTGTGAATCAATGTCCACTGCCTCCAGGTCATTCCGTCAAATACCGGTTCCTTGTAAGTAAGACTCAATAATGATACTCTATGAAGAGGGAAACATACGACTAACTATGGATGTAAACAGGCCGATGCGGCAGGGACCTTCTGGTGTGAGTTAAGCGAGTTATAATATCGTACTGCCCTATCTTACTGATAATGGTGCGAAAGATCACTCACATGATATGGGTCAATATCCCGATGGCCTTCGCGGACCACTCATTATCCACGATTCCGAGGATCCTTATAAAGACAACTATGATGAAGAATTCGTCATTACCCTTTCTGACTGGTAAGCTGGATGGAGTATACACTCGGAGTGAGTGAACTCATATGGGTGGGTTACTTACACATGAGTCAGGTATCGAGATCAAACACCAACACTCATGACAACAATGATAAATCCCAATAATACCGACTTCGCTCCTCCACTTCCGAATGCTACTCTCGTCAACGACGGCGGCAATAGCCACATATCAGTTAAGGCAGGGAGAACTTACCGTATCCGCTTTATCAATTGGTCTGCGATGTTCTCAACCTTTGTTTATTTCCCCGATTTCGACATGGATGTCATTATGATTGATGCATCATATGTGAAGAGACAAGCCGCGAAACAATTGCGCATTTCTGCGGCTCAAAGATTCGACGTCTTGGTAACGGTTCCTGATGATGCCGATAAGAATTACCCATATCTTGTCGTTTTGGACGTCAATCAAGATTTCGCTGCGGCAGAGCCCGTGAGACCTATTCTATATCCGTTTAACGTTACAGGTTATTTAGTCACGAACGACGACAAGGATAAAAACGAAACGATCGTCGTCGATAAATTCGAACCCTTCGACGACACAACTTTCGCGCCACACGACGATGAAGGCGTATATGGCCCAGTGGATAAGCAATGGGTGTTGAATTTCGACTACTGCTTCGATGTTAACGGGTATCCTAGAGCATGTTTCAACGATACAACTTACATAGCACAGAAAGTCCCCGCTCTATATTCCGCCGCCTCACTAGGCGATAATAATACAGAGACAGAAGCATATGGCCAGATCGGCGCTTTCACCGTCGATTACGGTGAAATCCTAGAGATCGTCATCAACAACCAAAACGATGCAATCCACCCATTCCATCTGCACGGACATCAATTCCAAGTCCTCGCACGTCCGGACAGCGACGCGGGGAACTGGAGTGCTGATGCACGTATCAATGATATACCGCCTAGACGGGATGTAGTTGCCATCAACCCCAAATCGTACGCGGTATTCCGCATCAAGGCCGACAACCCAGGGGTATTCCTGTTACATTGCCACGTGGAATGGCACGTTGAGATGGGATTAAGCGCCACGCTCCTCGAGGCGCCGGATAGGCTTCGCAATTACTCAATCCCGCAGGATCACCTCGATGCGTGTGAAGCTATGGGAATACCTACTACCGGTAATGCGGCGGGCAATGAAGAGTGGGATAATACCGAGGGCTTCGTTACGGTGCCCCCCACCGACTATACCGGGTAAGATATTGCGAGATCTCTTCGTATGCCCGATGCGCATAATTTACAGTGCTGACGTATTGTGTAGCTCTTTGTATTCTGAAACGACTTGAGAGGCGGATTGGAGGTGGCGGATTGCGCCTGAAGCCTCTCTTCGGCGTTGGCGTTTGGTCATTTCAGGTGTTTCCATATTCTCAAGATGATCCTTACTACTTGAGGCTTCATACTCGGTGTAATACCTACATATGAGAGCGGCGAAAGAGTTGTGGCATGTCGGCGAGTATGTACGTTGACTACTGTGGTTTAGCAGCATCTGTGTTGGCTGTAGCCCTATGCCTGGTCAATTTGGACATTTCTTTTTTGAAACATACGCGTATAGTATCTAGTGAGGCGAACGATAGCCTGCCAGGACTAAAGATGCAGTTTAGGACTTGGCCTTACCTGGGTATTCATCTAGGTGGGTGTGTTTACCCTAATAATATCCTCACCCCATCCCACGATCTATCAGATAAAACGCAGCTAAGCGAAATCGAGGCTGCCTGCTTGCTTAGAAATAATTTGAAACGTCGAATCCTTCTGTGATGCCGTGCTATGACTCTTGCATAGGTTGTGCTCGCCTAACCCATTCTCTGGGTCGACCAGGGAGCGGGAATGCTCGCGTGCGCAGCCTGACTCAGTGGCGGACGCCCTCCCGTGTTAGAGTACGTCATGGTAGACCGTTCTGCGCAGTTCGGAGTATCATCGCGTCTTTAGATATTCCCAACATTGAGATAGACCCCTGAGCGAAGGAATTAGGCTCGGTATGCCGTGAAGGCTTGGGACGTCGTAGACTGCTTCGGCGTTGCTTAGAAATCCCTTACTTATTAAGCCGGTGAGCATTGGAAACGTGTTTCCCTAACAGCCCAATTGAATGGCGCCGGCGCCCCAAACCAATGGGGCTTTAAAGCAGGTACGGTGTTGTATTAGCGTCTGGGGAATGTGTCCGTTATCACAGTTTCGGATTGATAATTAGCCCTAAGGCTGACGTTTAGAAGATGTGAGCGGTCTCGGCTCTCGCGGAATAGATGCTAGCTTGCCGATGCGCCCATCTTCAGGGCTTGATTGCGGGAGGCGATGCTTGTTACACGAGGAATGTCATCCTAGCTCATGCTTAACTCAGCACTTTAAATGATTACTACTACTTTTCTTTTTCTCCGCTTGGGCCCATACGATAAATGCAAATGCAGGATTCGGCACTACGCATGGTAAGCAGGGAATGGGGCGATCCACTGGAAGAGAGAGAACCTGGGAGAGTTCTCCACGGGAAACAAAGACAGACAGCTTTTGACAGCAACCGTCAGACTGGGGTTCCCTTGGTCCGAGTCCGAGACGGGCATGAATGCTCAGGTTTTGGAGTTGGGGGGACGCCACTACCTTGAACGCCCGATACGAGGCTGGGTGAACTCTGGGTGGTGGTACCCTTAGTCCTGCACGCCGAAAGACCCTGAGGGACGACGCAGATGACTATATTGGCCCAATAATTGCTTCGGATGACTTGATTATACCGTCAGGATGTAAATCGAATCCGATTAAGTTGCGGATGTTTGCGGATGCACCTCTTGATTTGCCGTCGATTGAGTTTATACTCACGAAGAGAACTTGTAGAGTGTTGGCTGCAGGTAGGATCATCTTGGCAGTTAGGCTAATAGTTCCTGCAAGATGAGATAGACTAACATATCGTATACTGCACAAGAGTATACAATCTACTCTGTACGAGAATTTGCTGACCGAAGTATGGCCGATTTGACATCACTCTCTGAGCCCTACGCGCATACGCGGTGAGATACGATAAATCTGATATCGTCAATTTTTCTTTTAATCAGCAAAGGTAGGTGGTAGGTGCTTAGGGCTAACTGGTCAGGGATTAATGGGACGAAACAGATCTCTGGTCTAGAGCCTCGACTCGGACATAAAGGGACCTGTGACTCGTCGGGTCGTGCGAGGGGTGGGCTGCTACGAGGATTAGGCCGTACCCGGCAGAGGTGCAGACACCCACATGCAACGTCCTACCGGTCGTCGATGTGTACAAATCTCTAAGCTGACTTATAGCGCTCTACCAAATGAATGGTTGCGCTTCCATCAGTAGAAGGCATTGTCGCTTGCATGTTGCACTAACAAGGGACCAATTCGGGCCCCACGATGACAGCATATCCTGTGATACGCTTACCTGAATGATAAAGCTCTGCTAGGAAATCAACATGCATGATGAAGCTGGCTCAGCGCATCTGGGGTGAGAACTGTACGATAATGGATCGGAGGTCCGAGTCCTTACAACCTATCGCCAATGGCCAGACCGATCGTTCTATTTCCAATCATTTTTCACCACAATCATTCATCGATGTGATATAGTCCGGATGAGAAAGATAATGTGGTCATATCGATGATGAAATCGAGGCTTGTCAACCGTGAGAACTAGTTACTGACCGGGGCAGGAAGCGGATCGTCGACTGTCGAATACAATCTGCATCGGAGTGAAATATTCGTATCGCAGGAGGGAGTGTATATTACGGAAATAAGTTACTTTAAGTAGAATGAAGAAAAGATCGTGAGATGTTGAAAAGTTGGAGAAGGTTCACAGTACAACATTGTAACATTCAATGTTGTATGGAGTTTTACTGGGCTTAGCTCTTATCCCACGTGGTAAGGGCTACTTCACGAGTACGATGGTACGAGATTATCTTGACGTATCACGAATTTGTTTGACTTGGAATAACGTTACTCCGGGGTCGTTTAGAGTCAATAGCTACGATGGAAAGCTCAATCCAATCTTAGATTTAGAGTTTTCATCTATGAATACAAGGTTTATACTTGTATGGACGTTGGCTAAAAGCACAAGTTGCACATGTATCTCTGGTCCTCCTTAGGTACATATGTACTTGAGTAAATGTGACAAAACGAAGCTACACAGCATGAGGCACTGTATTTCGAATTGTTTATATTTTTTTGGTATCCACCTGTACAATCGAAAATATGGAATATCCTGGCTATCAAGTTTAAGCGAGATAAATAACAATTATATCATTAATGCTAGATAGAACCTTCAGGGTGAGTTGAATGAGATTATTTAGATCTACGAAACTATAAAGCTTAAAGAAAGAGGTATGTTCCAAGTTTCAATTTTCAATGTTGCCAGTACAAAAACAATAAATGGAATTTATTCCCATAGATCGATGATCGATGATCGATCCTTAATGTTAGTACCTAGGTAAGTACCTAGGCGTTCCTTTAGGAGGGGTCGACTAGGTACTTACCCAGGGATATTCATTTAATAGTGGCATGATAATGCGATAAGACGCATCCGTCTATACCTGGTAATTTCAAACTATGTAGCGCCCGTGCCGGATAAGATACGACCCGGGAGCGTGGAAAGCGGAATGCAGTCTGAATGGTCCAAAGACGAGGAAAGTACAAGGGGACACCAGCAGGAAGCGCATCTACTGCATTTTTAGTGGGTTGGGGTGGGATTTTTATCTCTTCTCCTCCAGCTACTTCTCATTTCTTCCAACTTCAACTTCACATGGAACAAATTGGACTATGCAACACGCAACCAATATGTCAAACAAATACTTCCCAGCCCTCACGGACATCGCCAGATCTGGAATTAAACTTCTGGCATCCTCCATTATCACGTTCATACCCCTGTGTCTTTACTCAAATTGGTCTAGCTTAGTCCGTGGGTACCGGCATGCCGCTGCGGGCCATCGTGTTGACCACAGACAAATAGGTTAGGTATGCCGCTGAAAATCCATGCGCAATGCACATGCCAGACCCAGAACATCTTGAGAGTTCCATTGTTTAGGTGGAATTCCGAGACAGTGGTGAGAGACATTGTACACATTTGTACATGCCCTCCCTGCCATCGCAAGACATGCCAACCTACATAGTCTCGGTCGTACTCGATACCAACTCGTCAGTGGCGGGCCCTATATCTGCTAGCCTCTAGGTAGTGAACGGGTCGAGATGAGTACCTTAGGCTAGACTGTATGGAGTATGGTTCTAAATGCGGCTCCCTCTGCATCGTTGCCGCCACATCTACCTCTATCGCTGATGCCTTGCTTGCTCGTTCGGTGGCTCAATCCATGCTAGTAGTACGTGTCGATAAGAAGGATCCGAAAGGCCTGAAGAAGTATCTATCGACTGCCTTAACCTATTGTAAGACTGGGATTTTGGGCCGGGGGTTCATAGGATTGGTTGGCTTCCACTATACGTCTTTCATGCTATGTGTATCGGCTGGCGTGTGGCGTCAGAATCGCTCACAATTTCCTCTAGTGAGACATAATGATTCCTCTACAGTGGACTTGGTCTCATGTCGCCCTCTATAATATTCCCTTTTTCATACATTTTTTCTTATTTTCGTGGTGGGGTTCGCTGAATACGGTACAGTCTTTCTCGTTCCCGTTCGACCTGATGTGCGCCAGAAGCTTACTGGCCTGCACTTCTCGGCGGACATCCCCAACGGTCCAGTATCAATGACCCACCATTTGGCGTCTAAGTAAGATTACGAAAAAAAGATACATTCAATACCCGGAAGCAGAGAGTACACATGTCCTCCCATACGCAGTTTACAGGGCGCTATACCTTTTACGTGCCAGATTCCCTAGGCTCTGTCAGTAGCACGCGCGAGGGAGCCTCAAGTTGGTTCGAATTAGTCAGGGCAATAGAAACTATACACCGAATATTATAGGTCCGCTATTAGATCGTCCAGGTATGTAATGGCTGGGAATGAGAATTATGCTGACAATTCCCAAGCCGTTCGGTTCGAAGGATCGATCTAGATGTTTACGGCTTGTCTCCTGTCGCAACCAATACTTCCCGGACAAGACATGGAATATCCACCTAAGCTGGGTGGCAGCCCTATCACCCAATTACTCTCTCCTAAAAGGGAAATATAATGCTTATCGCCCAAAACCTTCGGTCACCGAGAATCGAACGATGCCGGACTAATTGGAAGTACTGTATTGGGACCAGGGAGTGAACTCACAGTTTCCCTCTGCATGCACCCCCTGTCTCTCAGACGTGAGTCCTGGGGTATTCTGATAGATACCACACATGGGATTAGGCACTGCCTTGGTGTTATATTTAGTTCAGTCTAGCTCATTTGAGTGGTGTGGTGTTGATCTGATATATATAAGTGAAAGACACCTCGGCCACCGCCTTAGGCTTGGAAGATCTCAACCAGCAAACAGATACCTGCCTCATCCATCACCAACAAAGATGGCGGACCAGATGGCGTTTCTCCTCTTTGGAGACCAGTCCCTCGACACACATGGTTTCCTAGCCGACTTTTACAGACGAGGAAACCCGAGCATCCTATCGAAAGAATTCCTTCGTCTGGCCGGCGATGCTTTAAGAGACGAGATAGATCGGCTCCCTCGAGGAGAACGACGGTTCATCCCAATATTCCGAACCTTGCAACAACTTAACGAGAGATACCATGCCCAAACAATCAAGTTCCCTGGGATTGACAGTGCTTTACTATGTGTAGCACAGTTGGCACATTACATCGAGTATGAAACCTAAGCAAGCTCTTACTATTATGATGATAGACGTTTACTTACATAGTTGGATAGCCGTTCCGAAAAAGAGTACGAAGATGTTACGAGCCACAGGAACACAAAACTTTCAGGGCTTTGCACTGGCCTCTTCGCCGCAACGGCCATTGCCTCGAGTTATTCACTTTCTACACTCATCCCAATTGCCGTTCAGGTCGTCTTGATGGCATTCAGGACAGGGTCACACGTAGCTTCGTTAGCAGAAAGACTTAGCCCATCGACTGAGAAGTCAGAGAGTTGGACGTACGTTCTCCCTGCTGCTAAAGAGGCAGAAGCGAAATCCATACTAGCAGAATTTCATAAATCGGAGGTGAGCTATTCTAAACCATTATTACTATTATTCACAAGATCTAATCTTTCTCAAGGGAATATCACATGCTGCACAAGCTTATGTCAGCGCCGTCTCCGCGAACAACATCGCGATATCTGGTCCGCCAGCAACATTACAGTCTCTATTCAGGAAGGATGTCTTCGAATCGAGGCCTACAGCTATTCCAGTGTATGGTCCTTACCATGCGTCACATTTACACGGGTTAGTAGACATAAGGAAGATGCTTCGACTTGATGACGAGGCTGTTACGGAAGCTTTAGCGGGATCTAAACCTCGAAGCGTTGTTATGTCCTGTGTCACCGGCGCTCCATTCCCCGAGACGGACACCAAATCACTTCTCACAGCTGTGGTTCACGAAATTCTTAATGAACCCTTGATTTTCCATAAGACTCTGAGCGGAAACGCCAACGAGGCAAGGGGATTTAATGGATCTCGAGTTTTAGTGATCCCATATGGCCCAACGCAGGCTGCGAGTACGTTAGCTGGCGTTTTACGGTCGCAAACAAAATCAGAAGTTATACTTAGACCGCCTCCGCAAGTTTCTCGCGAGACAACGGCGACCTCAATTGGGAACCATGGATCTTCGGGTCACTGTAAGCTGGCGATCGTCGGCATGGCTGGTCGTTTTCCAGATTCAGCTAGCCACGAAGCGCTCTGGGAATTGCTCGAAAAGGGTATAGATGCTCATCGCGTCGTCCCAGCCGATCGATTCCCCGTCGAAACTCACGTCGACCCGACCGGGAAGGCGATAAACACAAGCCACACGCCATATGGCAACTGGATTGAAAACCCAGGTTACTTCGACCCGCGGTTTTTCAACATGTCGCCTCGTGAGGCTCTTCAGACGGATCCGATGCAGCGTATGGCGTTGACGACTGCTTATGAAGCTCTCGAGATGTCAGGGTATGTACCCAACAGGACACCGTCCACACGATTAGACCGGATCGGTACCTTTTACGGTCAGACCTCCGATGACTGGCGTGAAATCAACGCCGCCCAAGAGGTCGACACGTATTACATTACGGGTGGCGTCCGAGCGTTTGGACCGGGTAGGATCAACTACCACTTCGGTTTCAGCGGTCCTAGTTTGAACATAGACACAGCTTGTTCATCTAGTGCTGCGGCGCTTCAAGTTGCCTGCACAGCCTTAAGGTCGAAGGAGTGCGACACAGCTATCGTTGGTGGGCTGTCTTGCATGACGAATTCAGATATTTTCTCAGGTTTAAGCCGTGGGCAGTTCCTTTCAAAAGAGCACAATTGTAACACTTTCGACAATGATGCGGATGGGTATTGCCGAGCCGACGCATGTGCCTCTGTAATTGTTAAGCGACTCGACGATGCCGTGGCGGACAAGGACAATATCCTCGCAGTCATTCTCGGTTCTCAGACGAACCATTCCGCAGATGCAATTTCCATCACTCACCCTCATGGTCCCACCCAATCCATACTGTCTTCATCTATTCTGGATGAGGCCGGTGTAGACCCACTAGATGTGGACTACGTCGAGATGCACGGCACAGGTACTCAAGCTGGTGATGGCACAGAAATGGTCTCTGTCACTGATGTCTTTGCTCCTGCCAACCGACACCGACCTGTAGATAGGCCTCTGTACCTCGGCGCCGTTAAAGCTAATATTGGACACGGCGAAGCTGCTTCTGGTGTTACTGCTCTCATTAAGGTCTTGATGATGCTTAAGAAGAATGCCATCCCTCCCCACATCGGCATCAAGAAAGAGATCAATAAGACCTTCCCGGAGGATCTTGGCGAGCGTGGTGTCAATATTGCTTTCCACAAGACACCCTTCACCAGGAGGGATGGAAAGCCCAGGCGAGTGTTCGTCAACAACTTCAGTGCCGCCGGTGGAAACACTGGTCTCCTACTTGAAGATGGACCTCGCTACAAGACCGCCACTGTTGATCCCCGAAGTCAACACGTTGTCACTGTGACTGCTAAGTCGAAGTCTGCCATGATAAGGAATGCTGAGAACCTTGTTAAGTGGATGGAGGAGAATCCCTCCACATCTGTTTCCCACGTCGCGTACACCACCACTGCTAGAAAGATTCAGCATTACTGGCGCATGAATGTCACCGCCTCCAGTTTAGTCGAGGCCCAAGAAGCTATCAAGGAGCGCCTTAAGTCCAACTTCGTACCCGTTTCTCCTGAACAACCCAAGGTCGCTTTCCTCTTCACCGGCCAAGGTTCCCACTACGCTGGCCTCGGCCGCGACCTCTATGCACACTACTCGATCTTCCGTCAAGCCATCAACGAATACAACCAGCTCGCCCTTATTCATGGCTTCCCCCCGTTCCTATCTCTTATTGATGGAAGTGAGACTGAGGTGCAAAAATTGTCTCCTGTTGTCGTCCAACTTGGACTCGCGTCTTTTGAGATGGCCCTTGCTAAACTTTGGATTTCGTGGGGTATTCAACCCAGTGCTGTTCTGGGTCATAGTCTCGGCGAGTACGCTGCTCTCCACGTAGCAGGCGTCCTATCTGCGAGTGACACCATCTACCTTGTTGGTGCACGCGCTCAGCTTCTCGTAAAGAAATGTACTGCGGGTACTCATTCAATGTTAGCAGTGCAAGGTTCCGTTGAGACTGTTACAGAGGCCCTTGGTCGCAACAATAGAACTGCCAATATCGCTTGCATCAACGGCCCGAGAGAGACGGTCTTGAGTGGTACTTCAACGGAAATATCCGAGATTGCTGAACAACTTGGCAACGCCGGTTTCAAGTGCACTCAGCTTAAGGTGCCTTTCGCCTTCCACTCTCAACAAGTAGAGCCGATATTGGATGATTTCGAGAAGCTTGCGCGCTCTGTTCACTTCGAACAACCCAAGATTCCGGTGATTTCTCCTCTGCATGGCAAGCTTCTTGACGGCGAACCCATCAACCCTGCTTACCTCCGCAACCATGCTCGGGAAGCTGTCGATTTCCTCGGCGGTCTTGTTTCCGCTCAGCAAGCTGGCGTTATCGATGAGAAGACTGTGTGGCTCGAAGTTGGACCTCACCCTGTATGTGCTAACATGGTTAAGGCGGCCTTTGGCGCAAGCACAATTGCTGTCCCAACCTTACGTCGCAACGAGGCTACCTACAAAACCCTCAGCGCGACTCTATGCACATTCCACTCCGCTGGATTGAATATCGACTGGAATGAATTCCACAGGGACTTTGACGCATCAGTTCGACTCTTGGACCTACCTTCTTATTCTTTTGATTTGAAGAATTATTGGTTGCAGTACACGGGTGATTGGTCATTGACCAAGAACCGAGGCGCTTTGGCCGCCCCCACCAAGGCAATTGAACCTAGCAGGCCAACATTATCCACTACTTCCGTCCAAAGAGTTACCAAGGAAGAGTTCAAGGGTGACATCGCCATTCTTGAAACCGAATCTGACTTGGCTGAAGAAAATCTTCGAAAGATCTGTTTGGGACATCGTTGCAATGGCACCACTCTTACTCCGTCAACGCTATATGCTGATATGGCTGAGACAATTTGCGAGTATGCCTACAAGATTCTGCGCCCTGAGACCGAAGACATCGGCATGAACGTCGCCAATTTAGAGGCTATGAAAACTCTTATCTTTGACGCCAAGGCGAAGAGCCAGATTTTGCGCATGAACGTTAAGGTTAATGCTGCCGAGAAGGTTGCCGACATTTCGTGGACAACTGGTGAAGGGGCCCAGAAAGCCGAACATGCTGTTTGCCAAGTATTCTTCGGCGACAAGCAGCAATGGCTTGACGAGTTCGAGCGCGTCGATTATCTTATCAAAGGACGTATTGATGCTCTTAACGCCGCTGAGAAGCGCGGTGAAGCGTCAAAGGTCAGCCGAGGTATTGCTTACAAGCTTTTCACAGCTTTGGTCGATTACTCCCCACAATACCAAGGCATGGAGTCCGTCATTCTTGACAGCAAGACTTGTGAAGCAACCGCAAAGGTTGTTTTCCAAACTACACCAGAGGATGGTGTTTTCCGCACCGCTCCATACTGGATAGATTCTTGCTGCCACATATCTGGCTTTATCGTCAACGGTACCGATGCTGTCGATTCTCGTGAGCAGGTTTACATTTCTCATGGATGGGGCAGCATTAGGTTCGCTGAACGCCTCAGCGCTTCAAAGACCTATACTTCCTACGTCCGTATGCAAAACGTCAAGGGTACTAAGATGATGGCTGGCGACGCGTATATTTTCGACGGTGACAGGCTCATTGGTGTTGGTGGTGATATCCGCTTCCAAGCCATCCCCCGAAAGGTCCTCAACATCGTTCTCCCTCCTCAGGGTGCTGCCGCCGCTGGTGCTGCTCGTCCTACTCCTGCTGCTCAGCCTGCTGCTGCTAAGGCGCCTGTCAAGGAGAAGAAGCAGGTTACTACTTCCAACCTCCCCGCCGTCAATAAGAAGCTCTCCCAAACCTCCGTTGTCTCCCAAGTTATGGATATCGTGTCCAAGGAGACTGGTGTTAGTCACGACGAACTTGCGGATAACATTGCTTTCGCCGACCTTGGCGTCGACTCGTTGATGGGTCTTACTATCAGCGGTCGCCTTCGTGAAGAACTTGAGCTCAACATTGATTCACATGCATTCAACGACCATGCTAGCATTGGCGCCTTCAAGAAGTTCCTTGCTCAATTCGAGACCGCCACAACAAACGTCGTGTCAGAGTCGAGCGGCTCAAGCGGCAGCTCTGACAGCGACGATGATATCGAATCGGACTCTGAAGTCACTACTCCTGGTGAGAGTGACAAGGGTTCGGTCAAGGGCGATGCATCGGCTGATTCTGGAAGCAACAGCGAGCTTCAGCAACTTGTTCGTGAGACTATTTGCACTGAGATGGGTGTTGAAGTTGAGGAAGTCATCGCTGCTCCTGATTTGGCTGCGCTTGGTATGGACTCGCTTATGAGCTTGTCGATCATGGGTATTCTACGTGAGAAGACTGGCCTTAACATTCCCTCCGACTTGTTGGGCCACAACCCCTCTCTTAAGGATATCGAGCGAGCCCTGGGCATCGAGGACAAGCCCAAACGTGCCGCACCTGCTTCAAAGCCTGTCCAGAAAGCGCCTAAGACTAAGGCTGATACAAAGTCTTCGACTAAGGTTGATACCACCGCCGTGGCTAAGGCTGCTTCTGCCGGCGATGCTTACCCCCACCGAAAGGCAACGTCCGTGCTCCTCCAGGGTAACCACCGCACGGCCACTAAGCAACTCTTCATGATCCCCGACGGTAGTGGTAGCGCTACATCCTACACAGAAATCTCCGAGCTCGGCTCAGACGTTGCTGTCTGGGGCATGTTCTCCCCTTTCATGAAGACTCCCGAAGAGTACAAGTGCGGCGTGTATGGTATGGCCACCAAGTTCATTGAGGAAATGAAACGTCGCCAGCCACAGGGTCCCTATGCTGTTTCCGGTTGGTCCGCCGGTGGTGTAATCGCTTACGAGATCGTCAACCAACTCACTAAGGCCGGCGAGGAAGTCTCTCACCTCCTTATTATCGATGCACCCTGCCCCATCACCATCGAGCCATTGCCTGCTGGCCTCCACGCCTGGTTTGCCGAGATTGGACTCCTCGGTGAGGGTGACGGCCCTGAAGCTAAGAAGATCCCATCCTGGCTTCTTCCTCATTTCGCTGCATCAGTCACTGCCTTGTCCAATTACACTGCCGAGCCGATCCCCAAGGATAAGTGCCCCAAGGTCACAACCATCTGGTGTGAAGACGGCGTTTGCAAGTTGCCCACAGACCCACGACCTGACCCTTACCCCACCGGCCATGCCCTCTTCCTCCTTGACAACCGCACGGACTTTGGCCCTAACCGCTGGGACGAATACCTTGACCCCGAGAAAATGACTTTCCGTCACTTGCCCGGCAACCACTTCTCCATGATGCATGGCGACCTTGCGAAGCAATTGGGCGGCTTTTTGAAGGAAGGTATCCACTCTTAAATACTTCCCTTCTCTTGAGACATTCGTTCGCATCTCTACACTTTTGTAGGACCATGTCCCTCACTGTATATAATCTTCCTTCAAGTTCACATTCCTTTCGTTGTCCGGTTTGACATGGCTGATGATGAGTATTCGGGGTCATAATATTATCAAGCTCCCTCCGAGTCGTTATAGGGAGTCGGCGTTATATATGTGTATGGAATGAAAGATCGGGCCTTATCCATAGATGTCTGCTGGTATCGTATCTGTGGGATCTTTGATACATGGCTCTCAGAGCCACCGCGATGTATTCAATCAAACCTCTCGCTCATATAGACGAGGAGAGGTTTTCAACACAGCACACACGAACCACGAGTTCTAAAGAAGTTTATATATAGATTCATATCGCATTCTCTTTCTGACCCTCAGCTTGCTTCATAAATGACTCTCCCTTCGCTGTAACAGTCTCACTGCATTGGTATTGTTCGACCTCGACGTCGACATCGTTCGATTTCTCACCTCTTAGACACAAGACAGTCTCACTCATCGGTAACGAAACTTGTTTCAGCTTTTCAATTCGATGCTATTCAGCTGCCAGTCGCCGCATCTTCTGAACGTTACCAATCGTAGACCTGTGTCGGCGTAGATATGGCCTGATATGACCGATGTGCTTCCTCTCGCGTATTATTACTTAAGTCGCACTCTAGTCATTACCTTACGATTTGCTAGGATTCCCTTTCAATTATATATATCTAATGCTGGTAGCTCTCACCACTTCCACCGCGATAGTCAGCTCTCGGGAGCCAAAATACCTCAACACCACCAAACCGAGTATCACCATCGTCGTCTTCGCAAGCTCCTTACTCATCCGTACGACTATGCGCACTTGCCTCCGTACATCCCCCTCGCCCCCAATCCTTCTAGAACCACATCAGAACCCTCAACATATCCAAAAACAACTGCCGCGCCGAGCCCTCATAGCCAATTCTTGGCCGTGTAAACGGAAACTTCGAATACCCCGTTAAAACCCTTTATCTCCGCCACCAACACTTATATCCATCCACCCACGCACCCTTCATCCCGCGCACAATTCTCTGTCCCTCGTGGGACTACATAAGCTTTTTCCGATCTGCCTCGATTTAGGGTCGTTCCGCGGCGGCACGCACCTGTTCCCATGATCTATCTCAAAGGAGGAAAAAAAACCTGGTTAGGCTGGGGCGTACGTTGGTGACATATGACGGCACTAGGATTGGATTGGATCCCAACGTACAAGCACGACATCGGAAAGCCGCATTGGGGGGGGACATGTAAACAGGATAGAAAAGAAAAAAAAGGAAAAAGGGAAAAAAGAAGGAAGATGCCCCTTCCTTGCCTATTGTGAGAGGGAAGATGGGGAATAGGAATGGAAATGGGAGGGCACGACATACGACGCCATGCTGGATCCGTCGGGTTCCATCGAAACGCAAAGCGCTGTAAGCGATACAACCAACGTGGAACCGAACCTAGGTACCTAATGTATAGTGAGGCGGTGCGGTACGTCGTTACAATGGAAATCGAAATCGAAGATTCCAAGAATAGGGGAAGAAAGGGAAAGAGAGTAAGATAGGGTGGTAGTCAATTCAGCGTCGTAGTCGTCTTTATTGCTATATATACCTACGCGGCTCAAATAAACTAGTCTAATTACGTCCCGTCGTCTAGCTCCCTACGTTGATAAATTCGCGGTGAAGGACGACGATGATATGATATTGCCCGCACGTACTTCTACGTCCCTGCGATTTACGGCCGTTATTCGCGCCTTAGGAAAAGCCAGCCGAAGAGGTTTCCCGTCTTGGTAACGCGAAAGGCGAGGTCTGTGCTTTACGCCTCTTACGAACCTCTGCGGACATCTTACTTGATCTATCACATAACACATACCTCCAAGAGTATTAAAGGCGCAAAGAATCGCCGTACGACTGCGTCCTGCTTCTTGGCTGCCCTTCCCAACGAAGCAATCCGGCTGCAGTTGGATGAACAGGCCAAAAATGCGGCCAAGAGCGAAAGCGAGGAGAAAAGAGAGGAAAGGGAAACCCCAAACTCCATGGGTAACACAACAGACGGGCAGACACGCGCAGAAGAAACACCACGTTTCGCCGTGGGCGACTTTCCCCCGTTGCCCTCCCATGTGTGTGCACAACATGCTCATTTACCTATTATTCATGAATTATGGTTGGGGCCCCCGCGCGGAATGTTGAACGGCAGCCACTGTAAGGTTTTGTTGCTGGACTTAAAAGGGGGAGGGAGATGGAAGATGGAGGGGATCAGTAAGAGGATTTCACGTGCCACAACAGCAAATAGGCTTGCAAGCTAGCGATACGAATGCCGCCGAAGGATGTAAAGCGGTAGATTGATAGGCTGGTAGGTAGCGGAAACGGGGCGCGTTACGAGTTGTGGCGCGGCCTGTGCGCAACCAGAGTGAAGAAATGATGATGGACAACATATCTAGGTTGACACCTAAAAGGAGGGTGTCTCTAGAAAATGTGTCTATTTCTCAATAGGTTTAGAGTCGGCTTGGAGCGGCATTCCTTGCCATATCTTTTCTTTTAAATTTGTGGTTTTTGTTTACCTTTTCGGCATGTAAAGCTTTATCGGAGCGTATTCGACTTCTCATTGGCTATATTATTCCTCAGCTTGCTCGTGACACCGGAACCCTTGGGCCGTGTCTCTGCTTTATTGTTAATTATGTTGATGATTGACGTCGAAGACTGCGAAAATGGGGAAGGTATACTCGTTAGTCGCAGTCATTGGTTTCCTCTTTCGGTAATACTTTAATCTCGTCGCATTATCGTATTGTCGTCATGACTTAGAGATATGTCGAAAGAGAGCCGGGAACAGACAGAATATTCAAAAAAAGCATGTTGATACTATAGGAAAATTTGAGCCTCTTGTACGCCCCCTATTTTTTCATTGTCGACGGGCTCATGCATCGGCTAGATACGAGTGAGATACCGCATATTACCCCCGCGTAGACGTCTGCAAGTGCCCGTTATTGGTCATCTCGGTAGGTTGAGGGCGTAAGGTGGTTTGTCAATTTCAGAAAAAAGCAAAAAAAGCAAAAAAAGCAAGAAACAAAATTCAAAAGAAACCCCGTCTGCGAAGCATATCGGGTCCTGATCCCACAGATTCACGTGGAACCGCATAGCCGGTGAAGCGAAAATGATTGGTACCCACGGTCTCATAGAGCCTTGGAATAGTCGTGTCTTGTGATGCCTTCTCGAATTACTTGCATTCCTTCGTTGAGCAAACACGGAGTTTCACAAAATCTTGTGCCGCCTTGCCTAGTCGATAAACTAGGGCGATTGCAGCTTGGCCTGAGCCTTTAGATGTCGCGTAACCAGAACCACCAACGGGGCTTAGGCTTTCTCTCCGCTATGTCCCAAGTAGCCCGGATATCCCGGAGTATGTATCGAAGATGGATAAATATTGGCCATCTAGCGGCTTTGGTTGTCCCGGAGCGGCCTTGACAAGTCCGAAGGTCGTGAGAGCTTAAGTTAGTTTACCATCAGCATGGCGAATCCTAGACAGCTGAAGATGTTTTGATCGGTTGCCATTTAAGCAGCATGTTCCTATATGCCGTGCCGTCCGCGCGTGGAAATCGGGGCTCCGGCCGGATATCAGAGCCGAGCTTATAGCCCATTATGCTTTTGAAGAAGCTCGGGGCTGACACATAAAATCCTAACTGCCCGTGATTGAGTTGAAAATTGACCAAACAAGAAAGGCGCTTCCTAGAATCGCATAGAGTTTCTCGACCATTGCCAAGAAGAGAATAGTATACCCAAGGGCCAAGGAACATATCGTCCGCACGTGTTGCCCAACGTAGATCTTCCCAGATTCAGTCGAAGAGTACGTATTAAGAGTCCCGTGCCAGCAAGATCATTCCTCATAGATCAGCTTCAAGATTCGTGGGTTTATAAATAGGAATAAGTCCCTAGCTCGTGCAGATGAGCCAAGAAGGGATTCTGCAGAACATGAGTCGTCTCTTGAATCGCCAAGATGGTATGCTCAACACTGGGAAATTGATGGCTTGATAGTTCAGTCGTAGTCAACATAGCACGAATGGGTGGTATAAATCCGAGCAACCTACTCCGACAGCTCATGTTGTCCTAACATACACAGCAGCTACGCTCATCCGATCGCATTGCGAGATAGTTGATGAATGAATGACTCAACAATTGCTCTGGTTTCTATCCTAACGCGAACGTTAGCAAGAAACCCAAAGTATCTAAAGCTAGTATGAGCATGTGGGGAATATATTAGTCAACGTGAGGTTCAGATCTACCTCTCCTATGAGCATTTGGACGTGGCCTGGATTTTAGACGATAATAGGCGGTGAAACTAAACCGAAGGTAAACCTTCCATCATTCTGCGGGCTTTACATGCCGATGGTCCCATTTAATCTTTGTCGATATTTCGCGAGGCAGCTATTTGAATATGGCATGATTGTTATACCTAGAATGATATACAATAAACTCCTACGCCAAGTAGATGAGTCTCAGAACCGCGATTAGGTCCCTAGACAAGGGGGGATGGTTATCGAATGGACGCACATTGAGGCGCCTGGCGGCTAGGCGACCGGGTTTACGTAGCGAACCGATACGCTATTGCATGGTCTGGGCTTGCAATTGCTTCTAATGGATGCTCTTAGTCGACTACATACGTAACACAGCAGTTTCGTAACCGAAATGGGTTAGACGTCCACCCATGATCGGACAGGGATATTCCACGTTTTGTTCAGGCTGTGAACACGGCAAGACACTAGCCGCTAATCCTCTTTGGGCTGTTTCGAACTTCTTCCCGATCTCTATTGTGCTGTACAAGCTTGTCATTGTACCTGCAGGTAACCTTTGATCCAGGATTAGCCTTTGAAGTTATTCCATTTGGACATATATGGGAGCACTGCATGGTAGATTCAATTCGGTCTGATTCGGCAGTCAATAGGAGTAAGACTTGGCCATGAAATCATTGGTTCTCCTGATCTAGTTGTGTGGCATCCAGGGACCAAGCTCCCCCGCAAGGAAATACATCGCAAAAGTAGAGACTGGTTTATTCCGATATGACTTTCGGAGAAAAGTTAGAATATAGCACTAAAGATAGGCTTGTGCCTGTGTTAGAACCTGACTGGCTTGTTCGCTGACTAGTCTGGAGCCGCAGTGTAGATCCGTAGTTACAGTGATGTTGCTGCTGACGTAGGCGGAAACGTTGATTAAGGTCATGCTAATGAAGCCGAATGGGATGCTAATGGCGTACCTGGGGGAAGCTGTGGTGGACCCTTCGTTCTCGTCCCTTAGAGACCCTATCAACCGGGATGTATCAAGGATGTGGCGAAGAATTGCCTCCGATGAATCCTAGTAGTTGCCTAAGTTGTGACCTAGAGGTTGCAGAAAAAGGAATATCGCTGGGCAGACTTGGCTGAAGAACAGCCACAAACAAGTCCGTCAATGCCTAAGTTCCCGGGGCGTATCTGATTGAAATGCAGGAAATGTCCCCGCTAAGCCAGCCCAACCTCCTAATTGTCTTAGTAAATCTCATTGGCGTCTTCACGGATTCAGCTCCGCGTTCGGCAGGTTGGATTCGAACCTAGAGCGTTAATCTAAACCAGTCCCGATCAACTGCTATGGTCTAATTGGATGGATTAACTCTGGTGTGCTTAATAGTTGTAGCTTCACTGGACGAGTTGTCCAGGGACTGTCAAGAAGTAGCATCTCTAACCCCGGTCTGATTCATCCCGGGTTTATGAAGGATGGGATCAAAGTCATTGAGTCTGATAGGCCAACTGTGGGTTTCAGAGCACAAGGATCCCGGTTGAATCTTCCTGATGGGAGCAGGTAGACTTCGTTGACGAACCACACCTTTAACAAGATGACGGGGCAACTTTCTGGTACTAAAGGTAATTCGCTCGAGATAATCGCGAAAGTGGCCATCCCGCCTAGTACGTAACGTGACGGAGGTCCGAGAAAGTAGATGGAACCACAATGGAACCCACCATGCCAGAGAAATATATCGGCAGAGATAAATCCGTCTTATCAACCAGGTGGAGGACACAAAGGGAAGAGAGGTTGTGTGAGCCATTGTGGGAAAACCCAATCAAAGTCTGGAGGAGTTCATAGGTGTTTGGACGGTCACCATATGAGCGGGCATTATTTCCGCACGGCGAGTTCCAGTGACTCAATTCCGAGAAATGGCCCCGATCCCTCGGCGAACCGGTGTGACCAAACAATCGTAACTAAAGATCGGGAGGTATACGTATGTATTTATGAGTAATCAGTCATTGCAAAGCCATATCCATGACCAAGTGGCTATTGAGGATAGGGCTGAGGCTGAATAAGAGATGAGGTTTAGTACAATGGATGAAAGATGGAACTATTTTACCTTTTTGCTTTTTCTGTCTAGGTAGTAGACAATTCAATTCATGCACGGACCACATACCCACCTTAATAACTTCAAATGCTATTAAAAATGGGTACTTTCCTAGGTAACTTCGCTGTTTGGCTGTTTTCTTCCGAACGCCGACCGCATTAAGCCTTCCGATCTTGGGATGGATTTAAGTTTCAAAGGTTGCTTTAACTTGCATAACCTTTCTGCCTTTCTAACCTTTCTAACTCTCTACAGCTACATGTAACATAAAACATAAAATAAGCTTAAGTTATGCCGATAAGCAATATGTACCTAAGTACCTAGGTATATGTTGTGTGTGTACCTGTAATTATGCAGATAGTGATCGACTCCACCCAACTCTTCCAAAGTTCCCCAACTTTCCAAGGTTGGCAGCTTTCTTTTCGAAAATTCCGATGATTAAAACATGCAGATATGATCATGTTCATGACAATCACGTTCAAATCTTAATTGGGAAATCTATTAGTCAAGCTTTTCTCCTACCTATTCGGGTCGGAATTCAATTCTTCGTCCAACCTTTCTGAGATTTCTGAGCTTGAATTGCCAGTATCGGATTCCCTCATTCCATCTGCCGTGGCACTTAAGCCATCCTCGGGTCCGAGCCTCATCTCCCCTTATTGCTGCCAGATGTAGTTCAGGAACACGGGTAAAACATGGCGCTTTTATGTAGAGCCAAAGACATTGACGGCTACGCCTTCTTCAATTCGATAGGTATCTTTTCTTTCCGCGTCGGACGGCTCTACCTACGAATTTCTTAAGCCACACAGCCAGCCAAGTACTCGCCATCGGGTCCCTAAACCCCTCTTCGGATTCTGCATTTGTCGACCATGTATGGGCGGTACCTCGATCCTATGGCTTCTACCAACCTATCCCATACTGGACATTCCCTCGAAACTCGCCTCCTTGCAGTGTCCTACTGCAGCGTCGTGTACCCACTACGTGTTAACGCCCAGGTTTGGTGCTCTATTCATTTGACATGCCGGCCGGGTTCGAAAGCTGGTTATTATTATTATGCCAGATCTACTTAGGTGGCACTATGGGGTTGGTATTGATACACGACGCACGTTTATTGCAAGCCATCATATCGGGTCCAATCAATCGCTTCTCTCCCCCTAGGCTATTGGCAACGTTCATATTCTTCAATGTCAAACCTTCTCTGGGGAGATTGGACAACTAATTTACCTAGGAAATTCACAAGGCTACCCAAAAATATTATAGGAAAGCGCTTATTATATTGCAAATAAGTCATATAAGACTTATAGGCTACTTATACTTGGCGGGTTATCAAGCTACTTGTGTACCTGACAAGAGAGCAGTCCGCATCTGTTCTCCCTTGACCTCTACTATTACCAGCTGACGGTTACGGGAGTCAGCCACCTCATCTGTACCTGCCTGGGCATGCAAGAGTTCTATGACTCTGCTCAGACTAGCCTTTTCTATTCTCTCTTCCGCTCACTCCCGGCCACATTACAAACTACTTAGTCAATCTGGGCCGTTCTGCCAGCCAGGTCCCCGATATCTGCTTGACCCCCAGCATCCAGTAACCTCCCTAACCACAAGCACCATCTAACGCCCATTGGACTTCTACCAAGCAACCTTTTCTGATGGTATACGTATTTCAGGTGGGTCGACCTCTCACTACCTTTGCCTAAGACCAAATCCGGTTTTAGTCAGTCCTCTGAGCCTTTTTTATCCGGGGCCTTGTACACTCTAAGCAGACTCCCTCTAGTGTACCTTGTGTCTCTGCACATCTCTTACATCCTTCATAAACACCTTGCCATGCCTTTCAGCTTGAATTATTTCCTTTTCGTTGCTTTTACCTTTCTACTCGTCTAGCGGCAAGCATAAGTCGTATCTCTTCCGTCAGCATCGAAGCGGTCTAGCTCCTTACCTTATTCTTACTTTTGGTCTCCTGAGTCTTTACATTGTAAGCTCTATGCTATCACACATAAAGTCTAACATCCATATATCCATTTTATAATACTACCTCCCCGCGCCTCATCTCGTCTCGTCTTATTTTCAGGCCATGACCACTTTTGTTTCATTTGCAGATTAGAATTCTGCCTGAAAATAAACTACCTTTTTTTTTTTTTTTTCTATAGAAATTAACCTTACAATGGCATCTTCTACGAAGGCTCGCCAACCTCGGCTCCGAGCCTCATGCGATGGGTGCTTCTTAGCTAAGGTCAAGTGTTCTAAAGCTCGACCGATATGCTCTCGTTGTCTAGCCTGCGGTATTGAATGTCGATATTCGCCTTCGAGCAGGGCCGGCAAGCCTAAGTCCGAACACAACGGAAACACCCACACGAATCATCCACAAGATATGCAGCAAATGCATCACGGCATGATAGAAGAAAAGGTCATCACGTACTCCACAGCACACCAACCGGCACCCGAGCACATGTTCACTACTTTCGGCACGGATTGGACCTCACCTCCTAATAGTGTTGATGGCAACATTAGTCGAAACCCATCGATATCAACAGGCATTTCCTTGCTTGGAGTAGAAGATAGAGCTATGGGTGAGCGAGATCCAGTGTCTGAGCCGCCGGAGATGTATCCATCCGCTATACCTTGGTCTCCTCCAACAGATCTTTCCTGTACCGCATTCGACGGTCTCCCCGTTACAACAGGGCCGATACCTAGCACTCAGATGCGTTCTCACTCGTTCGATCTATCTATGCCAACACCGATTACATGGACTGACCCGGTCCCACACGATATGATTGCATACAGCCAAGTAACAACCCCAACAAGCATGTCCTCGGGCTATTTCCCTAGCCCAACGACTACACCTACGATGAGATCAGCTGACCCCCGCCAACGATCATCACCGCCAACTATGAACGGAGGTTCATGTACTTGTTTTACAGCCTGCCTGCAATCTCTTCAAGCATTACATAATGCTTCCTCACCAGCACTGCCGCCGTTTGACTTTGTATTGACTCTCAATCGGAAGGCCGTTGAAGGGTGCGCGGCTATGCTATCCTGTACGAAATGCATGAGCCGATCCGGCACACATACTGCCGCTATGCTCCTAGCTACTGTGATCGGTAAAATCACGTCGTTTTATAACACCGCTTCTCATTCATATTTCGAGTCTAGCGGTGTGGACATGACACAAAACTATGCTGGAAACAATGTAGGGGTTAGCCTCGGTGTATACCAGCTCAATGGTGAAGATGGCAAGTGGCTAGAGCTCGAGATCCTTGCAAGGGAGCTTCGCAAACTAGAGGAAGTCTACTCTAGGTTTAGAGAGGTTGTCTGTGCTGATTATTCCGACGTCCCCGAAGTCACCAAGGCTATGGTTGGCTATCTAGGACAAAATCTTGGTTCCACTCTCGAAGTGATTAGCCATAGAAAAGGTGATATGCCCTTCATTACCTAACTTAAGAACGGCATACCAACAATTACGTTTAAGTCATCACGACTAGCACAGGCATGGCGATTGGATTGTACGCTATCGAACGATGTTATGATGCAACGCAGAAGGGGTCAAGACGGCCAACGAAGAGATATACGTTTCAAGACTAGTGAATTCTACTCATGATATTCAATTAACTCATCAATTACGATGTTATACATTTCTATATTCACTCGGGTTACAGGTTTCACAATAGCGAAAGCGGGTTTCGGCGCTTTAAGGCGGGCGGTTATTTTTGAGTGGGAAGGATTTACTCTTCTGTCACTCATTTTGGGTTACGTTAGGTGTAGTTTCGGGATATTTGATGGAAAAGTTGGGCTACCATCTCGAGATACTATCCAGCACATTGGGTGCTGGCCCGTACTGTAAGGTAGAAGGCGTTATGATGGATTTGGGTCACGAAATACAGTAGTATGCTACTGGGACGGTCAGCATTGAACCGTTCTCCATTGGTCCTTTTAGAGGCCTGACCATGCGTCAAGACCATGATGCACAGCTACGACAGGGAGTTTTATTCGGAGTCTTCATTTGGTTAGAGAGAAACTTGAATTCGAAACTCAAAGATTGACCTCGAATCGTCTTACACCGCTATTCTCAAGTACAATGGGTCGTGTCTTTATGTCGAGGCGGTTATTTTTGTTGACATAAACAATAAAGACGTTGTTTTCTGTCATGCATCGCCATTGGTTGCCTGTATCACTGGAGCTGTTGGAGTCTGTCTTTGACAAGACACGCAGGAAACGGTCAGGACTCCTGTTACGCAACAGAAGCTTCTAAGCTATAGCTCCCCACATGGAACTAGGGGTGCTGCTTATTTGCATTGGTGGATCTGGTCATGGTCATCCTAGTCTTGATTGCCTGAAGGAAGAGGTGCCATTATTCAGTTCCCGCGGTATCCTAGGTAGGCATCGGGGCTAACAGCACGGGAATAGCTTAACACGGCGAAAAAAGGGTCCGACCACACCGGACCTAAACATGACATAAGATGTACCAACTTAAGAAGCCATACAGGTAATAATTATGAAACGTAGGACAGCCAACAATTACCAAACAGCCCAGATACCTAGTAGTCACCCACAATCAGACTTCAAATTGACAAATGCTTTTTTTTTCTACAATGTTCTCAAGCACGATGGTTACATGCGTGCTTACAAAGGACCGAAATGATTTTTTAGCATTATAATTTATCAGCTAAACGCTCTGATTTGTAAGGTAGGTACCCAAGCGATTATCATTTCGCAAGAACCTAATAGCAATCTAGGAGATCTCATTTGGGTCTAGACTGCTGACAACAGACGGAACGTACATCTGGATGGATGCCTGGAAAATGCATCCTCGCGATGCCAATGATGCAATCACCCGGGACGTGGGGGGCATTATTGGCTAGGCACAAGCGAGAGACCAAGGGTCAAGAACCGAAAGACCCAAGCAATGCTCGAGCCGGTAGGATCGGTTCCGTTTCCATGTCACTGGCTCTCATCGATGCTCTAGGGCTGAGCTATCCAGTATATAGGTTGAGAGGGTGGCATGTATGTAGATGCCTCCCTTACCTTATTCCTGAAAAGGACGGGTTGGGGTTGCATACCGGCAGGGACGGAGCGAGCAAAAGTACCCATTTACCCATTCACGTCTCCCCGATGCTTCCAGGCCATATCGGTGTGCTAACTCAGCTCGCGAAGATCTCTCCCCATTTACCTAATGTACTAGTTCATCCGTTAATGCCGTCTGTCTTTCGAATTGCGTACTGGGTAAGATTAGGGCGATCAGCGGCAGCCGCTTCTGCATCGCAATCGAGGCATATGATTAGATGTCTAGACAGGCAGGCTGGCTGAGCAAGACGCCCTAAACACGAAATACATGTATCCACTAACTTATATGCAGCGCTTAGATGTCGAGATAGATATTTGAAGAGCAACAAAACTAAGACAACAACAAATCGTATTTCGCAATATTTCTGAAGTGGCTTTTTAAAAATTAGATTAGTTATCATGTTAGGACAATTGATGAGCCATGTTATGTATTACTGACATGCATTAGTTAAATTGAGCTTAAAACCTTACAGCGAGCGTGTTTTGACCTGTAATTACCACGTGCGAAAATCACTTAATATTAAGTTTAATTTAACATTATATGAAAATCTAATAAGAATATTACATCAACAGAATTGACTTTCATCATCTTGATATCTTAAAAATTCAAGTACCTAAATGAATGATAGTCTCTTACATAGTTGCTAAATTTCTAAGATCATAATGCATAGACATTTAACTGCTTGCTTCACTAGAAACAAAGTGGTGTCGTATTTGAATACCCAGACCAGGGGGCTTCTATGTAGCAACCCCCGCGCTAAACTGCAAGTTTGCAGTAGCCCTGGAGCCCACACCCGTCTACTGGGTCGGATGCGGATGCGGAACCTTACCTAGGGGCCTAACCAAATAATTTAAATCACTGGGAGCCGATATTATAAGGGGACTAGCCTGCTGCAACCCTACAAACCTTATCTGAAATTTAGTAGGTACCTTAACTGATCTTGTATTGGGGTAGGTACATGTGATGTATGTTGCTGATTGATTACTAGCGTAGATCTCGGGGACTGCCAAATGTCCCGCCAACCCGCAACTTTGCTTACGAAACTTCCACTTTTTCCCCTACCTACCCCCTACCTCCTACCCTCCTACACCTTTACCTACACCTACAATCCACAAAGTCACTCATCAGGAATAATGTGGCTTCTAACATGCAACTTGGATTCATCATCACTAACGCCAACACACAATCTGATACCATAGATGAAGGCTAGTTGGATTCTTATCACCGGGACCGAGCCGCAACACGTGTGATGTGTTTGATCTTCCCACGCGATCATAAGCCACCCAGTCCCCACAGTATGGGAAGCTCGAAGATCCCGCAGAGAAGGATCTGACAATCCTTAATTCACACTGCCTCACCTATATTACACATATTACACATTACACACCACCAGATCGGCAAGATAAGTGCCTACTTAACCCCGAACACACGGATTTGTCAGGACATTCTTGACATGGAAACATGTTTCTATACTACTCGTGGAATGAAGCAGTCCTAGGACTGTCCCCATCATGGAATACACACTTACCTTCTGTTACTCCAATGGGCTGACCGTTTTACTCGTAATTTACGGGGCAAAGGCTTATGCGAGATAATTATCAGCAAGGCATAAACGAACTGCAAATGCAGGACAAATCACCTTAAGCGAGATATTTGAACGCGTTTTATGGTCTAGTTAGACCTTAGAACGGTCTAGAAATGGCTTCATAACATTCTTTTTACCTACTCAGAACTTTATTGAGAACGCTCGTACGATAGCTGGTCTGTGGCTAGCTCGCTGTCGTATTTTTCACTACCAGAGGGATATAGCTTCAGCTTATGGAGGTGCGAATGGTCCTTCATAAGTCCCAGGTAGGCATACCAGCCGTCCAACCCGCTCCAACCGATACACGAGTTGACGTCTGCAATGCGACGCTGTGGCTCTTCCCTTGCCCCCCGGTGTCGCTTAGACGTACGGTATCATGTTGCACAAGCCGGATGCTCTAGGCTTGGCCTTTCAATAATGCTTCATCAGCCACATTCCTAAATTCTCTCAACGCACTGCGGAATGAGTTCCATCGCAGCACCACTATTTCTTCTGGTATTCATCTTTCATTGGCATTGTTCTTTATTTAGATACATGCCATAGGATGGATACGCCCTACCCTTGCTTAGTCGCTATCGTTTATCTCGATTCCTTCGAATTCTGGAAAATCCAAATATGGGATAAACTTTCTTGCTCTGCCTCGTCTGCGCTTACCCATATGTTGAAGATCGTATCATAACGTATCCCCCGTCATGATGATTGGCCTTTAGTATGTGAAGAGCTCACAGCAACCTAATCTACAGTATAGCACTAGCGTCGATACCGCCTACGGAGAGCTAAGCACTTGCAGCATAGAGTCGGGCCGCTAGCTTAGTGGCGTTCCCTATATCGGTCGCAACGGCGTATGATGCCAAATTAGACGACAGATCCGCCATACTAATCAAAAAGTGCTTCAATAAGCCGCTTGAGGCGTCTTCCGTGCTCTTGGGTTGAGGCTCAGACTGGCTGTTACGACTATGTTTCTCCGTTGGCGTCGTTGTCTACGCAAACCAGATCCACCTGCCCTATTGTTACCCCTTATCTCACGGGCGTTTTATCTAACAATGGATGGTGGTAAGATGTCAAAAACTGTTGTGGAAATCCATCCAAATGCCGTATGGAATACCCATCCTTGACCCCGCGGAAGAGTTATTGCCACCCTTAGGAATGCTACACTGCTTAAGCAGCTTCGGAGCCTCGTCCACGGAGTTTATCGTCATAGTATACGTCCCTCCAATGCAAGCCACCGCGCAACTGGATTCTTTTGGGATGATGCATACATCGATTTATCTACTCAAATCTAGACTTCGGCGTCTGTAATGACGATAGTGGCTTGGATTGGACCCCGATCCAAGCATGCCAGATATCGATCCGTCAAGAGACCGGGAATAGCTCAGTACCTAAGGATGGATAATAAACGGTAACATCCATGGTATTAATCTTGCTGGCGCCACTTAGTAGGGCTGATATTGACCGAGGTTCCTATACGAGGATTATTAGCCGGTTCTCCATAACCTAGCCAGTCATATCTACATACGGCTTACGCATTTGGCGACCGGTCACTCGACTCAAACCAATAGGATTCATGACGTACCACAAAGTCCGCTGCAAAAACTCTCTTGGCTCGGTTTTCCTAGGTAAGCGGGATATCTGTGAAACTAGACTTGGTCCGATGTCACTCGGTCCTAATATGCGTAAGTTGACCTGTAACGTATCTTGTTAGCGGAATATGATGCGAGCCATCGTCGGCCTCCTATCTAGAGAATTATGCCTCCATCAGTCAAAAGTTACTGATTGATGAACTGATATTCTACTAAGCAGCAACTTCATCCACATCCTGGATCTGACAATTGCAAGGATCACCATGTCAACACGTGGGATGGCGTTGATGAGGATTAAGTTAACATTCTAAAGCGTCCTTACCCACGTGGTCGCACAAGCAACTTCAGAGCCGTATGTGCGACGGTTAGAAGCCTGCCATCGGTATTCTTCGACTCTGCCCTGCTTTTTCTGCAACTTTACGTCCATCATCCTGCATGAAGCCGCTGTCAGCAGCCCTCTATCCAATGTGCCTCTTACCTGCGTCTGATTCAGTGTAACCTTTTTGCTTTCAAGAAACTCTTAGTAGCTAGCCATAACATATGTGGACTACTTGCGGTACTTTGAATGGTATTTCTGATTTCAAAGACACCTACCGACTGCTTAATGCATGTACAATTCGCAATCACTTACTTAGGTACGTAGAATCCTATATCTTCATCTATATAAGATGTGCTGACGTATGTCACTTACTTGGTAGGGGAGTATCACTAGATATGTTTACATCCCGCACGCCACAACAGACGCTCGAACACGAAAAACGACCCGTTCAGGAAAACACGGCGGATGTCGGAGATGTCCCGAATTCTTCCATCATGCGGCCACCCAGGAAAAGTTTGGTTCAAATTACTATGTAAGCTGAAATGGAGAGTTAAACCGTTACGTATTAGAATAAATGTACGAGATATTTGACAGTAATAGTCATCTACCGCAGATTACCAATCAGGAGCCGACTTTCTATATGACAACGTCGTACTACTCTATATTATGTCTCAAAGATACTTGGGTACGTGACACGATTGGCAATACTCTTCAAGTCATGCTTCATCCTGGTTATCTTACCTCACTTCTCCGCTAAATCTTACTCGCTCCAGATGTGCGTTTGTAATGCGCAAAGCAAAACTGGGTGGGATAATTGCGTATGGGGAAAAGTGACGATGGGGTGAAAAGGAGGCAAGAAAAGTCCCCCACCACCCTCTCGCTATCGCTTATGCTACACATACCTCATCCATACGTTCTCATGTGTGCATGTCTAGGTACTTACACTTCCTAGTGCTACTACGTACCCCCACTATTTTTCTTCTCTCCATACTCACTGCCGCCCCCATATTGTTCCTCTCCGTCTTACGTTTAGATAATCTTGCTCCAACATTTGATCCTGATGAGTGTCAGTTGGGCATCGATCGAAGAACCCAAACTACCGGGGTTAGGACGACGAACGGGTACCGGAATAGGAGATTCCGTGGTGGTCAGCATAACACAGCACAACATAACTCAGCAGAGCGCAATTCAGCAGCTTCAGTTCGGCCCTAGCCGCTTAGCACCCCCTATTTCGGTCCCGGTCTAGCTCACACACTGCGGAACCAGACTAAAGATCTATCCTCACTTCCGGAATGAAGAGCTCGGGATATGGTCGTGAGCCTCACGCGGACTCGCCGGTCTTATCTTAGCTGCGGGTGGCAAGAATAATGAGGCTCGTGGTCGATCTTTAGGGACTTACGTACGCGCTACGCGCTATGTAGCCTCACATTTGAGGGCTTGAGATGATCGTCGGAACATGGTGGCTTGATGTGTTGGTGATGATAGCTTAGCGGCCGAAGGTAGCTGCCGTGATTGAGAAATCGGGCTACGCGACGCGTGATGTCTTGAATCCGTAATTGAAATACCGAGGTAGATCGCCGCGTAAGTTGCCGTTTGCACTTCACCGAGATGGAAAAAAGTGCTGAATTCGCGAAGGTGGCTTGGGGTTGCACGATCCCGTTAGTTCATCGGATGTGGGATTTTCCCTGTGCTTAATGACTATGCTAAGACGCCGCTGAGGAATTATGATGGTGCGGCTCCGATAACGCTTCGGATGAAGGACTTTAAGGTATAGGGCTATGGGGTCTTCTTGATTGCCAGTGGTATGGTTTCAAAGTGACTTTTCTTTAGGCAATTGGTAACTTACGTGCCTAGTGACAGGTTAATAGAAATCGTGATAGTGACAACGGCGACGGCAGCTACAGTGGTTACAGTAAGTGGTGCAAACAGATCTTTTACTCTATATCGTTACCCGACTACAGGCCTTGCTACTCAAGTGGGATACTCGCCCATCACTAGCTATTTTCCATCTACAACTCCCTTCATTCCTATCATTTCATTCAATTCCATGATTCGGTGAAACCAAGCTCACCAATGACACCCATACGACGCTCCCTAACCCCTTAATTCAATCTGCCATATACACAATTTCTATAGTGGAAGTCTCGTGACTTAGACACCACCGCCAGAAGCACGGATGACTTGACCTATATGGAGCGAGGCGTTAGCATTGCACCAAATCATAACCATCAAGGGGATTGATTTGTTGGCTTACCGTTAATCCATTCACCTTCTTCACTAACAAGGCAGTAAACTACCTTTCCAATATCCGCCGGGACACCAACACGATCAAGCGGGCACATCTTGCGTAGACCTTCCTTGATCGTGTCGACAGGCATACCCTTGTGGCCGCCAGGTACATAGTGCCAACTGTTCTCATCGAACATATCAGTCTGGATACCACCAGGCGCAATGGCATTGCACGTGATACGTCGGCGTCCACAGTCGACCGCGAACGCACGCGTGAACCCTTCAACCGCGGCCTTGGAGCCGGCGTATAAGGCATGGTTAGGGATCCCAGCCATCTGCGCGGCAATAGACGAAGTCAAGACAATGCGCCCGCCCTCGCGACAGTGCTTAAGACCCTGCTGCGCGACGAAGAACTGGCCGCGGCAGTTCAAGTTAAACACTTGGTCGAAGAGCTCAGGCGTGACTTCCGTCTCCTCGCACCAGACCTCCATACCGGAGTTCGACACGATGATGTCGATGTATCCGAAGTGCGCAACTGCCTTTTCAAAAAGAGCGGCTACGTCGGTGGGTTTCGAGATGTCGGCTTGGATGGCGATGGCTTTGGAGCCGAGGGAGGCTAGTTCGGCTACTACGGTCTCGGCGGACGAAGAACTGCGCCCGTAGTTTACGATTATAGAGGCGCCCCGCTTGCCGAGTTCGAGCGCGATGCCTTTTCCGATGCCCCGCCCTGCGCCGGTGATGAGGGCGACTTTGCCGGCGAGGGGCTTGGTTTGGTTGCTCATTGGCTCGGTGCTGGTGTATGTGGCCGTGGAGGAGGTGGCGGATGGTGCCATTGTGATGGTTGGTTGTATTGGTGATGACGACAACGACAAAGAGGATGAGATTGAGATGGGTAGGACTAGATTGGGGTGCGTGGGGTTTTGTTTGTGAAACAACGGAAAGAAGTATAAATGGGAGGGGGGACGAAAGTTGGTCTTTCGCGATCAGGCCAAAGGTAAAGGAACAGAGGAAGAGGCCTGTGACATACGATCGAATTCTTTCTAGGTCTTGACGCAAGCAACTCACATACCTTCGCAAGTTTCTTATAGCGGATGGAACCCCAAGGACTTCCGGAAATTCTTGCGTTGCTATTACGGTCGGGGGGAAGGGAACATCGAATCAAATCACCGGCATGACAGCTGTTACAAGCGTGGCGTGGGGATGGAACACCTCACTAGTAACCAAGAGGCGCAGACGGTCCGACGGAGTGGTAGCTTTACCTTGGATAAATGCCAAGGAGTCAACTACAAAGAGATGAGGCTGTCGAAGGGGGCTTTTGGTGATCCCTAATACCCCCACATTTCCCCCTGCCACGGAGTGTCAGGGGAAATCACGGACCCGGACACCGGCCTTTCGCTCCTTCAGAAAGGTCCGGCGAGAAATATTCAACGGGTCGAATCGCGACATTCTCGCTACAAAATCGATTCGTTTATTAATACCAAGGGGATATCGAAACGCTAGTTTTGGGTACGTGTGTTCATTCCTCATCATCGCTTGCTCATTATCTCCAATTTTATCCAATTCAATTGGAATTTGGAAACCAACGGTTCGCTGAATCGAGATAGTTCAACGGCTGATCATCGTACGCTGTGGCGAATAACCACCCAGCTGCTTTTTTCGTAAGAGGGATGTCACATGCGCGACAATCTACGGATAGCGACACAAGATGGCCCCCCACTAAGGACTATCCTATTTTCGTCAGGGCGTCGCTGGCGTCAAATCGCGGCGTTACACCCCATCGGACTTCCGAGATGGTGATACCTTTTTGGCTGCGCGACGCGAAAGTAAATATCTCCGATAAGAGATATATAATGTGGTAGAGGGAGGGGATGGAAAGAAAATGTGGTTAGTGTTGTGATAAGAGGCGAGACATTGGGGGTCGCAGTAAGGGCTTTATTTGCTTGGCTGAAAGAAGAAATATTTTCAGGGGTAATCTGTAGATCAAGCCCCCTTGTGGGTGACAGCTGGCGGACAAGTGTCGGTTCTGGAATTCAAATATTTTCTATGTCTTGTTTATAGTTCGTGGATATAAAAGAAAGCTTGTTATCAAGCGGCAATTTCCAGTATTCTTAATGAGAACTGTTCACTTGGAAGTGAGTGTATCACCAACCTAACTGTGCCACGAGTTTGGTACTCCGCTATACTGGATCCATGGTGGACGCGTACGAGCATACGCAACATGTTGCAGGCAGCGCCAAACTATCAGGGGCAAGAACCAAAACAACAAAAAACGGGACTCAAGTGCCGATAAGTATCGCAAAGTCCTCCCACGGGGCCGCGAAGTTCGCGACCTCTTTCATGCCGAAGAGAGGAAAACGTCCGGGCGTTAAATCGGATAGCAGACGTCACCAACATCAAGCCCACAATTTGCCCAGAAGAGAAGCTGTGAATAGGGGTATGACGGGGTAAGTCAATATTCTTGGCCAATGGAGAGGAACGGGCCATGTGAGATTTCATTATCGTCCCGACCTCATCATCGACCTCGTTCCCTCGCCTCCAAACATCGGAATCACGATGGGATGTGTGGTGATGGATTGAGATCAGTTTAAGCTCATAGCCGCATGAGACTCTAGGGTAGGCTACCAATACCCATTAGGAAACAGCCGAATTCCAACCCCCTTGTTCCTGGATCCCTGTTTGTACATGAGGAGGGGGGCGGAAGACAGGGACAAGGGGGGACAGGGTGTGTCTTATTAAGGCTGGCTTACTTACATAGAGCAGGTTGGTAGAATCTGTATCTTTCGTATGTATCGCAATTACTTTATATTACCTATCTGCCTATCTCCCGAGAAAGAATGTCGATCTTTACTGGTTTTCCTCCTGTCAACATTTTCAGGACATCGCGATGTCTTGCTATGTTTAATTCTTGAATCTACCGGCGGAAAAATGTAGTTCATGATTTCCAGCCAGTAACGAACTCAGCTCAAATCCAGCTGAACTCAACGTAGTCTTACCAAAGATGCAATTTAACCCTCCTAAATCTCAAAATGATTTTTTTTTTCGTTACATGTGATACGGCGGACGAACTAGTGTTCATACCTAATATATATCGATACCTCAGTACAACATCTTGGCATGGGGCATCGCTCTCTTCTGGGAGTGTGGGGGGGTAGCAAATGCCGGGGGATACATGATACTACCTTCTATAATAGAGGGTATGATCGACAACCTTAAGTCGTGCCTCCTAGTAGGGTCCTAGGGTGCCAGCAAGCTACACGGCAATCTCCTTTGCAGTCGAATCATTAGGTATAACAGTCTGAATCAGCTGACAGAATTCCCTAAAGAGCATCTACTGCCGTGTAGCCCTACGGGCACTTTTAGGAGATAAGGAAACCCCAGGTACGGAAATAGCACGTTTAGATCGGCTGGGTTAGTTTTTGGGGATAGCCTATGTACTAGATCGGATGCTTAACTGTTTTGATATATAAATGAGATAATAGACAGAGAGATATATCAGACGCGGATCTAGCTCGGAGAGTTCCTTGGGAGCGGATATAAGATTTATGATGTGAATTGTCAATGTTGTGGTCTTTGATAGGTGCCGGTGAGTATCTGGTGCACATGTCCAGATGCAAGTACGCACGTAGCGTCCGCACATCCACAATAGAAGCGGAAACCGTGACGACGAATCAACTTACTGTGCGGGGTACATCTTCGGAATAACAGCTGACCTCAGCCACCCCTGAAACAGATATTCCTGGATCTAATCGGGAAAAGTGTGTAATGGAAACGGTACGCGGGGGGTTTAAGCAGGTTCTTGGGAGTCAACAAACTCCGACGAGATTGGCGGGTAGCTAAAGAAGGAAAACTAATGTACTACAGACTCCATGCACCTACGCCGGCGGCGGGAACCGGCAGCATTAGCAGCATAAGCCACTGCGGGAAACGGGAGGACTGCCGAGGGCGGTTAGTATTCGGTACTTCTTCCGGGAAGTGAACCTCCCAGGGACCCAGGCCAGGCCAGACCATTCCACCCATTCGTACGTTACGCTGTATACCGAACTGGATAGGTTACTTAATTAATTAATAACCAGCTCCCGTACGAAGGCGGATAAGTATGCAACCCTATATAAACAATTGGGAGTCTAGATCAGGAAATTGTGGCTTTTCGCCTCTAATTTATTTTCAGCTTTCTTCCATGAACGATCGGCGCGTGCAGCAGATCGGAAGCAAGTAAGCGTTTCGCTTTCACCGTCGGGTCGGCACGGTTCGACGCGCTCTTGGGTGAGCTAAGCACCTAAGTTATCTCCCTAAACCGAAGATAGTTTAGAAGACGGCTAAGTAGGTAGAAAGCAGGTAAGATAATCCACCATCAGCCGTCGTCATGTAAGCTGAACGTGATGTAAAAGAGCGACTAGAGTTGATATTGGGAGGGTCAGGTTGGGCGCTTAGATGCCGCGGATAGCGGAGAAGCGAAAATGTAAGCCCGCAAGTGCTTTATAGAAAGCATTGACGTATCAGATTTTTCGGGATTCAAGTAAAGTAGGTCTTAATGATAGCTAGCCAGGTAATGGTTAGGGTTGCATTCAGTTATATATCTAGCTAGAACACATGCAGGATGTAAGGTCGGTGCGAGGCAACGGCGTAGCAACTACGACTTAGTAACACCACCCCCATACTAATCCCAGATTTATCTATGTACACACGTCAACTATCGTGTACAGAACTATTTCGAAGATAAGGTAAAGAGGTCAATGGTAAATAGAAGCCTCACCTAGTAAATGTATGGTTGTGAAAATTCCCGCAGAGCCTCTAATCGCCAGCAGATATCTTCATGCGCGCGCATAGGTAAGACGCGTCAGCGTAACAACGGTCGTACAGGATTGACGAATGAGTAAAAAGTCTATTGGAATGCTAAAGCGGACGTGTACACGCCGGAGATTATTCCGTCCCCGACTAGGGACGGGTAGATAAATAGACAAGCATACAAGACAACCACCTCCCCATACCGTATCCATAGCGTTACCCCTGACCAGCTAACCGTAGTTTCTAATATTCCGAACCACCACCACATGATATCCCTATCTCCGTAATGTACCAAGTTACCAAGTGTTCATCGGTCTTTCCGATCAAGGTAGAATCACCCCCCCCCACCGAACGCCCCTCCCCCTAATATCGTCGGGACCGAAAACAAGAAGTAGAAACCTTGACATCGTTGAGCGTCGTCCCCCCTTTTATCCATTCTCACCGCGGGTATACTGTGCAAGCGCTAAGTTTGCGCACCGCCCCTTTTCTTTCCTCCGATACCAAACCAATCCATCCATACCATCAATATCCAACCTGGATCGGCGTCGTGATGTTGTATATATGTGTGTATGTGTATACGATATGATATGTGTGATTGGAAAGAAATAGGTACCTTTTTATAGATATATGTATAAACAACAATATTAGAAGTAGAAGGAAACGTTATGTCATAGAGAAAAAACAGGTTCAAGAAACGAAAGTTCTGAGTTGTAAGTCATGAGAGGTAGGCAAGTATTAACACAGACTCGTAGCAGTAGAAGCATGTACACTGGCAGCTGCACTGGAGCTTCCACCAGTCAAGCCATCAGCTTGCCAGTGGCTTCCCAAGGCGATTAGCTTGCGGCGAATGCCATCGCTAAGCCGAGAGCTGACGCCGTCCTCAAGTGTCTTAATAGCATACTCGAGGACGTCGGTAGGTTTCTCTAGTGTAGCACTTACGCCATCACGCTGGCGCGTAAGTACCGGCACGCCGTCCTCTTTCCAGAGGTAGGCAATGACAGCCGGATCTTCGGGTGTGACTTGGTCAATCGCGACGGGCGATCCTAACTCGTCCCGCTTCTGGAAGTTAGGGTCGAGTCGTGAGATGCTGTCGGTCCATAGGATCAGGGTAGCGCGGTATACACCCGCGCTCCACCAACTAGGACGACGGTCGCGAGGCATAGATCTTAGCAGGCGGTACACTTGTCCGCAGTGGAAGATGGCTTCTTCGCGCTGGTAGATGCATCGCTTGTGTCGAAGCGACAGCTCCCAGTACGACCCGTCAAAGTCATCGCGGCGTGCTAGTCGCTCAATCTCGGGGAAGTTGGTTATGGCATTAAGTGAGATCAAGTGGTAGAGGACAAGGTTGGTTTTGCTGATGGCGCATGTTGGATGCGCTTTGTAATAGGTGATGGTTAGTTCGTACCATTTCTGGAGAAGGCCTTGGATTTCGTTGAGGCGTGTTTCGTATGAATTACGTATAGCGCCTCTATTGCTAAGACGTCGTGGAGACATGACATCGGGGAAACACGATAGCATTTGTCGGATGTGGTAGAGACATGCTTGAAGTGGGTGGAGGAGTAATCGTAATTGATGCGGTGTGAGGGTACCTTGCCGTCTGGCTAGGCTATCGTTGAGGAGTTCTTGAAACAGGTCGTACAGTGATGGGGTTAGTGAAGGCGTACTGAGCAGTTGTGGGTTAACATTGGTGGTGCAGCCGTAGATGGATTGAACGGCAGCAATCCACTGCTCTGCGTTTGCAGACATCCAAAGCAATTCTGGACCCGGTAATGGGGCGCAAAGCTCGCTGGTGGATAGCATAGGAGCCGTGTCGTGAAACAAGCTCAGTTCTTGATCCACCATAACAAAGTTGTATACCAGTCTATTGAGAAGATCAGCATGCTGCATAAGACTATTGGTGGAAATGGGATATGAAGTGGCGTTAAGTAACACACCTATTCTGGGACTCTCTGTGCAGCCACTCGCGCCACTGAAGCTCAGTATTGGTTGAACCGCTGAAAGACAGGATCATAGATGGTTGAGACTCGAACATTCCTGCATGTTTAATCATCTGCGTGGTTATACTGGTTAACGTCACTGAACACAGGTGGAAATTGCATTAATTGATGATGGCGCGTCTCACCGAAAGATACATCCCGCGTTGTCCCATGGCAATGTCCATGAGCCACTTGTCACCGCTCCAAGCTCCAAGCAAAGTGAAGAGTAAGGCGCATCGAAGAGCGGTAGGATCGGCACACATTTCGATGTCTTTTTCGATAATATCAAATAATGAGATGCGGCAGGTCTCAATTAAACCGGCCGAAAGAGCCCGTGCTTCGGCGGTGGGCACTGCGGAAGCGCCCTGTGCGATCATGAGAAGGACAAGAAGCGCCGAGGCTTGGTTGTTCTGCAGCATCTCATTTGGGTCGACGCAGCCAGCCGTAACGAGCGAGTAGAAAAAAGAAAGATTCCGAACATAACTGCGCAAAAAGTATTCCAGTATTTTCGAAGGCGGAAGCACTAAAAAGCTGAGTAACCTGGGGCTAGAGTAAGACTTGGTCTGAAGATTGACCCCGCCGCGATGTATTTCAAGTGCCTTATGTAAGAAGGTCTGTGTAATGGCGAGCATCTTGTCCCGAGTACGAGCCGACAGGGGGATAACCGAAGCTAGGTCGGTTGCATCCCAGTCGACTTGTTCCAGGTGTCGTTCGAGAGCACTCCAGGTACCTTCGTGTCTTGACTTCTGCTCCAGACACTCTAAATGGACAATTGCTGTCCTTGGACATGTGCCTGAGAATATGGGAGGATTGCATCGAGCCATGGGCCAGCCGGCCTCAGAGGCGATGACAACTTCGAATTCGGGTATGGGTTCTGGCGGGGTATCTAATGTCATGTCGATCGTTTTTATTGCAGGATCAAATTCCCCAGTAGACATTATACTGGTACTTCTCGTATGTATAGATCCTCTCGATGAGCTCATATGTTCTGAATTTGACGAGATATCACTGAGCTCTGCGAAGGTTGGCATGGCGACATCAGCTTGTGCAAGGGGTAAATTTCCAGCATACAAGGTATCAAGCTCTAGTGGGTACTCTTGCCACACTAGCATGTCTTGATAATTCGGTTCTTGCGGTATGAAATCGTTACCCAAGTGAAGGAAATCGTCAAGTCCATCTACCCTTGGATGCGGAGATGGGAAGTCATCCGAGCCCATCTGAGAATTCGCCGGCGAGTTCTTCTTAACTGGGCTTTCATGCTGTTGTATTCGTGGATCAATCGTCATGGTATTATTATTACTGTCAGGCGACATGGAAGTTTTGATTGGCGTATCCTGTTTTATCGTGCTCTGGTCTAAGTCCATAAAAGAAGGGTTGACTGTTGTTGCCGGTGTTGGTGGTTCTTGAGGTGGTAATGTGACTTGGGTATGAGTACTGTTCATAGCAGCAGTTGCTTGGGCAGCTCTCAGGGCAGCTTTCGAGGACCGTCGAGCAAATCTTGCTTGGCATTCGAGGTTCTTGTCTGCACATCGTGCACACGGCACCCTCTTATCACAACCTGTCTTAGCTTGCGCGCAGTTAAGGCACGCAATCGGCGTTCGCCCCGCTACAGTGGGAACACCTCCGGGGAGAGGTTCCATCGGATCTCGAGCTTCATGGTAGGTGGAGTGATGTCTTTGTAGGAGGTCCCTATAGTATATCTATGAGCATATACGATGATATAATATGTTGGTGGAGGATAAGAAGCTAACCTCCGGGCAAAAGATAGCTGGCAAGCACTACACCGATGAGGTTTTACGTTCGTGTCTATCATGCTAGGCGTCAGTTTCTAGAGTCGTAAAGCTAGTGAGCACCACTCACGGCTTGGTATATGTCTTTCAAGGTGTTCTTTGCGCGTAAAGCTTTTACCGCAGTATGCACAGAATACCATCGTCGTATATTGGAGCAGATGAAATCAAAATAATATCTGGCTATGTTCTCGCTCACGCCAAGAGTAAAACGAACATCCGTGACTGACTTCGAGTCTTGGGAGAGAATAGGGCTGGAGTCGGAGAGGAGATATGTCTATCCTAAGTGTATGAGAGGGATCCAAAGAACTAAACACAAGATACTGGAGGCCAGGATCATGAGAAGGTAGGTAGGGAAGGGAGAGGTCGGCTGAGTATGTTAGATGGACAGCTGAATTCTAACAACGTGCATGGTAAGCAGTCAAGCAATACATGTATACAGAAATGTAATCGAAAAGTGTACATGAATCAGACATCTCCGGATTACGGCTTTTCTAAATATGAGAGAGAAGGTTATCGAGGTCGGGACTACCATCAAGACGAAAGGATACAAGAGCTTATCCATGTGGAAGGGTACAAAACTGTATGTGGACCAGTCAGTGTACAGCTACCCATCCACACAGGACAGTCCCCTGCCACTCGGAAACGAGACTGTATGTAACTAGGGAAGTATTCTTAGACATGGGGGTACGTGGGACGTACAAATTGCCCGGCATAGTCTAGACATTTTCAGCCGCTATCAAATACTTTGTCCAGGCACGGCTTGATGCTAAGGCCCCTGTCCCTGGGATGGCGGGGCAATATAACGATGATGTGCGTGGGTAGAAACACAGGCATCCTTTAGGAGGCAGCAGGACGAATCTTGAAGCGTTAACTAACACGTAGGCGGAGTGACAGTAAGAGAAAAGAAATGTCCACCTAGACTAATGCGAGTCTCTGAGTTTGCATGGACTTATTGGTGTGTTGTAACCCGATCTCTACCAGGGAGACGGAAACCAACGAGACTAGGTCGGAATAGAAATATGTAGATGATGTCCTGCTGCACTAGCCAAAGCTTCGACCGATTCATACATTATCCATGTGTCTATACGAAGGTATACCCGAGTGAAGCAACAGGACGTTGATGGTATAGCACCACTCGTGCTTGACGGAGGTAGTGTTTGAAGGGCGACATCAAGGTGTGTTTCCATTGGCTATGATTTCTCACTCGAAGTTGTCATAGCCCTCATATGCCTCTCGGAAGATTTAATCAAACAGACTGTTATTCGATGAGAACCAGTTTGGAAGGGGTAAGATAAAGGCATAATGGCGTCAGAAGCTATTCCCTCGCTGTCACTCAAAGGCTAAAATGCATACAAACAGGCGTAAAAGGCCTATGTGCGATGCGAATATAGTGGGTTGAGGGCTACCTAGGTATTCGAGGCTTCGTGAGACGGAAAAGATTGCGCTGATTGTGGTCGAATTGGGTCTCTACCCTTCTACAGAAGGGTTGCGAGGTAAGATGGTAGGATATCAAATTCACTACAGGGTTCCTTAGGTACCTTGTAGTTACCGAGACTTGCAGGAGATCTGCATCCTAGGGCCGAAATACCTGGTAAGTAAGTGCATAACCGAACCCTACGGGGGTGGTGGTATGACTTAGGTACATTGTAACGACAAGTTCCAGCTGATTCATCATCGTCACTATTCATTTTCTTTTCCTCTATCGGTACCATCTTTTTCCTCTTTTTTTTCGTAGTATACCACGTCGACCGTCGAATCTAGTATTGTATCATGGAGGAAGAGAAGGTACCTACGGATTCCTGTTAGTGTCAGTACATGGAAACAGACAGTAGGATGTCACGGCGAAACGCCAAGGTAGCAAGCAGTCTGGGCACACGATTTAATTATTTCTTAACTCCGGTTTGCAGATTGATAAGCCGAACGCGTATGTTAGATAACCACCAGCTGGTGCGATTTCACGCCACTATTATGCACCAGCCCTCCAGGCTTTCCGTATTGAGTATCGAGCTGTTGTTTGAGGAATCTTAATATTCATCCAGGGCGTTTTTCTCTTCGCATTTGCATTGAAGATCGCTCCCGTCGCCGTAAAATAGACTCAAGTCATGGTCTTAGACATGATTGGTGGTCGATTTAGGGGACCGTTACAGAGGTACGTAAGGTTGGCCATTATGTTTGTATTTTTCTTTAAAATGATACATATAAAACACATATGAGAAGATAAGAATCCTATTTAACTCAAATTCATACAATTATAACGGATTTGGTATTCTTTTTTGGAATTAGAGTCAAGCCAAGATGTCTGTGTGTAAAATGGGTTACGCACGAGCAAACATCGCGAGTTTACCACGCCCCAGTAAAAAGCCCACGATCTACGTGCTGACAGTCGTTTCAATCCGTGCACTATTTTTACTTTGATACGTCACAATGCCACGATCGCGTTTTTACAACGACATCCTACAGATATCGTCTAGAAGAAGCCTAATAACTACACCGCGACTAAACAGAAAAGTCCCCATATATATGTTTGCTAACTCGACATGTACCCCTGAGTCAACATGCTGCAATGTACCTAGGCGTAGGGCGCAAGTAGCCAGCGCTTCAAAATGTGGTCCTGCTTAACGAATGGATTGGTTACGATGAGTCGATGGCATTTACATAGACGGAAACTTGCCTAGAGGCAAAAAAACATAAGCGAACCCTACATACTAGGTGGCCTGAAGAAATTTATAGGAATTTTACAGGAATTTACCCTATTCGGAAAGTGAGCTATCTACGACTCGTGGGTCTAGTCCAAGCTATCAGCTCAACCAGACGGTCGGGTCAGCTATGAATGGATGCTTCACATATAGGCCATCACCATTATATGTCGGTGATGACGATTGCAACATACTCCCTTTATCTTGAATCTATTCTTGGTTATTCGGACACTACATGTCTGCCTACCTTGTACCTTCTAACATACTATTTTCTTTTTATCTTAGCTTATGGTTACGGCCGTTCTCATTATCTTCTACGTTTTCTTCGACTCCGTGGTTCTTATCAAGAACGAAGCCGTTTTGATTTCGCATCTCACAGACAGGAAGAGCGCGACAATTCCAACAAAACTCGAGCAATACACGCTCTTCTTGGCTCCGGAAAATATTCATTCAGCTCCAGAATTCGCATTAGCGCCCTCCTTGCAAGGTTTACGGTACTACTTAGCTGTATAGACCAGTTGCCGCTATTTGTTACTTCACTGACACCTTGTTTTAGACTTTTTTTTATTTTTTTTTATTTTTCCTTTATTTTTCCCTGCCGCATATGCATACATTATACTATACTATACCCCCATACAAGTCTAGATAGACACCGTCTCGTCTGGGCGCTCGCAGAGTTGCATCTACGTGGGGCCAAGAGATGTCGACATAACCTTGTTGCTTGGGTTTCTTTTCACTTGCTTCATCCAAAACCGCCAACCGCTAAGCTAGCGAAAAGCCATTCTGCGGACGGAAGAGCTGAGCGCGTCTCGTGCGTTGTGCACGCATCAACCCCCCGCCAGCTCATTGATCCATTTCGTTACCTCTCTCCCTCTCCATACCGCCCGGCGGACTATATGCGGTGCTACCTGTGCGTTTTTTTCTTGTTCCCCCAACTTGATTGGGAAAGGCACCGGCATAACTCATTCGTTCTAGCAGCGAGCGGCTGGCCGATCTGTCAAACTGCAGCCCTAAACTCCGCGCTGATCTCCGGAGCATAGTCCCGATGAGGCGCGCAGATAACTGGGCGCGCGGGCAGGAAAACCATGGGCCCATGGGCCGAAGGGAGGTCTCTATCCGCTGATCGATATTATACTTGTCTAATCTAATACGTACTGTAGGAGAGTAAAAAAATATTTATCCAATTCACTAACCGCAATTCGAACAAAACAAGAATAACGAAGCGAGGAGGCAAGCCCCGAATCGTCATTATCCCCTGAGACGGGAGTGCCCATGAAGCCTCTCCCGTCTTTGTATTTATTTCATTAATGTCTCAGAAGATATGCGCCACATCGCCTTAATGTTCCTTTTCACCCGCGATAGTGCGAGAACTTCAGCACGCCCCCCATCTGCCCAGGGCGATAGCGTCCCCCTCTTCCCCTTCCACCCCTGGTTAGCTAGTAGCTTTAGGATACGTGGGAGGCTTTTCGGGATCCCAGAGCCGCAGCCACAACCGCAACAATAATTCCCCCCCACGAAACTTTCTATCCCTTGGGTCGGCCATTAGAGGTAGGTGATCGGCACTCCCATCCCGTCCTTGCCAACTTGTCGCAACGTTTCCTGCGAATATGAGAACTTTTTCTTCCTAGTCTTCCTAGACACGAGAATTCGGTCCACTCCTCGTGGTCTCAATTGAATTGTCAATAGTTCGTATACGGGAATGTTAGACCGGTAGGTCGCGCCCTGCTAATATCGTCTAATCTAATCCCCGAGATATACGGCGATTCGAGAACCTCGGATCTGGAGTTCTTGGTTTATTTCTTTCTGTAGTGGCACACAGTAGCTGTAAAGTCTCACAGGAAGAGAGAATAAAAAATGTGTGGGACTAGTCGATGTCGTACAACAGTAGGTACCTTTTAACCCTAGCCATAGATTGCTGTGGCGTCTGTAGGGATCCAAATAGCAAGAATATATCATACCTACTAGGTAGAAGCGTCATCTCGTTTTGTACCATTCTCCTCTTCCGATAGGCCCCCGACTCAAGGGACCAAGCAAGGGACCACTGTGCATACCCGCACTCTAGTATACGCCGTAATCGCTCTTCCTGTTAAATACGGCCCTAGCTAGGCTTCTGGGTCGTATGAAGGGTCCAGATGGTGACGCCCTTTTTTCGGAATGACGGATTACCCGTCGGCGCCGCATTTCGTGCAGGATGCGGTGCTACTCGATCCGATAATTCGTTTGCTCATCTTCTTCCCATTCCAAACGAGAGGTGCCGAGCTATGGGAAACGGGCCGCAGGGCTATTTTCTCCGGACCCGATGCGCTGCTTGGGGCTTCGTAAAGCTGACTCTTCTTGTGCTAGGTGAGCAAGGGGTGGCGCCGGTAATCAATCACCTGTGTTGAGGTATGTATCATGTAGCATAGCTCAGGTAGGTACTTTAGGGTGGTATGCTGTGCGTGGGCAGAAAATGGAAAATAAGCGACGCTGGTGGTGGTGTCGAACGAAAACCATCCGTCCTACTAGTGGGAAATCCTCAATGGCCAAAGTGTACTATTGACTTCTACTTCGGGTTTTACGACCCGAATGAGTTGCAAGTGAATGCGGGTAGCCATGATGCGATATGGTCGCGCGACATTGCACTTCTGCAAGCCTTCCGTATTAACGAGATACCACAAACACCCCCATCTCTCGTAATCGACTCACTAGTAGGGCGTAATTCATCCAACTACTTGTCCATTCTTGATTATTGAAAGTCTGGTGACGTTAATCGGAAGAAAGTGTATTCCGGTCTTCAGTAAGCTAGTTGCTGGTCATTCTCTGCACCTTGTCAGCAAGAGTAACGATGCCTTAGACGACATCCATCCTCCTAGTTCTAGCTCGATCCTTCGACTAGTCCTAGAAACTCGCTCCCCGCGATTCTAAAGGTTAGCCCGATGTTGCGCGAGGCAGACAGACAGTCGAGACTGTATCTTAGTGCGATTAGACTATCTGTAGGGCTGAAAAGGCCGTTGTTGGTGGTGGCCATACTGATCCTCAAGCGACCGAATGGGTTGTCGTGATGGAATCGGGACCGCCGCGGGCATTTGCCTCTCAAGACGCTGGAAATCCTCCTGTTCTAGTGTTGCGAGAAAAGAGATCCTTCGGGTTTCTGAAGAAGGCCGTTTCAAATTATGCCCGCTTAAGTGCAGTGTCTTTATCTCTTAGGGAATAGTCACCCTTGATTCCTCGACACGTAATCAGGATCAGGGGATCGGCTCTATCGCAATCCTCGGGAGGTCTATCTCCTTTGCCGGGCTCCGGACTCACGACTCAGGCGGACGACCCACCTCGGACCCCCAACTCTACCAAGATTTCGTGTCTAAAGCCGAGCAGAGCATAGCCGGAGAAGTATGAGTGAACTTCGTCAATCTAGGCCTAGTTACCATATTGCCGACGGCCGATTTAAGCACGGAAATAGCTTACTGATACCATATTCCGTTACCCCAGGACACACTCCATCCCTTGGACTGGATGTCTATGAGAGTTGGATAATTACTTGCTTGTCACATTCCCCACGGGATAGTAATATTGGGTATCATCACTTTCCCTTCCGTCGGGAAGGACGGGATTATTGTCCGAACACGTCCGTTCCGATCTAGAAATAGGCAAGTCTATTCCACCAAGTGTGTCCAGATTGCTGATTCGTTGATATGGTCTGCACGGCCAATCAGTTTGCCCCTCGCAATTACGAGCTACATAGCCATCTAATTTGGCTTTGGTGAGGGGTTCCAATAATTTTCTAGCCATATATTGCTCCAAATTACAAGGCTGTTCACTCACCTAAGGCCTAGTATGAGGATCGTACATCTATCTGTGCTAAGATACAGTTAGACACAGAGTCTTAGAATATGGGCCATTCTCACGATGTTCTATCATTGAATTACATCAATCAGCTTCGTGAATCCAGGCATCGGTGCTCGCTATCTCCGTTCGTGAATAAAAGTTGCCGACTTACCGACTGATGCGTCGATGGCGTTCGGCGTCGTAAAGCCACTTAGCTAGGACTGAGGGATGAGGCGCTTTTTTGAACCAGTTAGGTATCCTCTTCGTCATTCCAGTGCATTAGGTGCCCTACCTAGCGAGCTTCGGTCGCCGTAGAAATGTCCAAGCGCACCTAGCGTATCGCCGAAGGCGCTGAGCCTTTGCCCCTCGTTCGCTTGTCATCCTATTTTGGGGCGTATTCGGCGTATGATGATTCAATCTTCTGCCACATTCCAAGGGAGTTAATCAGCTTATTGATGAGAGTAATACAGATACCCGGGACTCGCAATCTAGATGACCGATATAACGTTCTGACTCATCGACGCTCGGCGATGGCTATGCGTATGCTGACGTCGGCACCGAAAACGACGTATCTGTGTCATCTTACTACTGATCGTATTCATATACGCATTCGCCGAGAAGTAGATGTTTGATACCAATTATCACAGCTTACTCTAGAGGCTAAGGATTTTAATGATGTCTACCAGTATCTGTGTATTTAGTAGGAGAGTGTTCTTTTTCTGATTGAGACTATGATCTACGTGGATTTACATGTGAGCTTATGGCTGAAAAAAATACCCCGCGTTTACTTTTCCTGCGGTGAAGCCTATAGAAGTACAGTCATCAATCGTTATTTGGTAGCACATGTAGCAGACTGAGACAGCAGACAGCAGCAAGACGGGTTGTACGGACGCATGAGATCATGCATTTCACTACACGTACGCGTAATATCAAGCGAGCCATGATCTGTTCTTTCATTCATATATCGTATTTCCGAAAGGCAAGATCATGATTAGACGAAGTAGCTTTCGCCGGGACCTGCGAGTCCTCCCGGTCGGAGATTTGTCTCCCTGTAAAAGTGCAGAAACTTGCCGCTCTTCACGAAGATGGCGTACACGCCGTTGACGTATAGAAACCCCTCGGCATGAGAATTTTCTCTGCAGTGGAGTTCCCGTTGGTAAAATTCCAGCGCGCGTACGCGGCGCGAGTGAAAATCATGCCCATTCGAGAAAGAGAGTAGTGCTTCGAATCACACCCCGTCGGCCCCGAGACACCTGCGGCGATGGATATGTGACTCCATGTCTCTGCTGACTGCAGTGTAAAACATTCGTGTACGCTGCGGAAGGCGACATTGCGGCCCGTTCTTGTCCAACTGGCCCGCAAACTATCATATGATAGAGAACCCTGAGTTAAAACATAAGGCTTGTGTATATATCTAGTCCTAGCCATCCAGCCTCGTAGGAATGCCTCCCAGTTGTGAAAACCGCCATGATAGAGTCAACCACACGATAGTTTTCGAACGTACCTGAGATTCTTCGACGACGCCCCTGAATTTGTACCGTGTCACGAACCAGATCCTCACACCACCATTTCGGACTACCGGGGAAATAGGAACGCCAGAGTATCAACAAAGGACTAGTAAATCGAAGCCAGCGATGGGTATAAGCATATAAGAGCTAAATAATGATGGAATTATGACGATACACTTTAGAAAAATGCAAAAAGTAAGATATGGTGGGATAGAAGGTTGCCCATTCAGGACAGTAGGATGCTCAAGAAGGGAACGGATGACCATAGTCGACCAACTGCAGGTAACCGACATGATACTATTGACCCGGAGTGGCGGTACGGCGCATCGAACATGCTTTAGGCGAAGGTGTAAGAGCTAGAAAGGAATAGAAGGCCAAGAGGAAGCCAAGAAGATTAAATGGGCGTAGGAAAAATCGAATCGAATCGCACATTAACCGAAAGACCTACGGCGACGACGTATTGGATCCGTAACGCACGTGGCACCGGGGCTGTCGACCACAAATTGGTGTTTAGGTAGAGACGGATGAAGGGTATCAGATCTACAGAAACACGATACACGGGCCGAAGACCCTACATGCTTCAAGATACACCAACGGGCGCGGCATCATCCGAACGGTATACCATCCTAGGTAGGTGTCATAGATCTGACGGTCCCTACCTACTAATAAAGGCTACTTGCATCAACCACTATAATTCCATCCAACCCAGGAAATTAGTCCCTATACGCTGTGTATACGGATAGTAATTTTGCATTAGCCCCGATCCCATCAGCCTTACAATGATGATATCACAATCACAATCTCGGAAACTGAACGAACAGGGGGCGACCAGCCGGTTGGGAGCAATAAAAAGGGGTCCAGGAACCGCCTCCGGCCACCACTCCGTCTTTTCTTATTGGTATGTCATATATCTATTATGTCGGCTTATCAATCTAGATGGTCGGAGATACTTACGCACCAAACTAGGACGACCGCACACACACATTCTTTCCCGATAGGAAAATCATACGAGAGCACTACGAAAGCTTACACACAGCCCTACTCGAACCCACATACATGGCCTCCTCACACAACCGACTAAAGGATGACTGCCCCTCTGAGTTATTCCGAGGAGGAAGATGAAAAACTTTCATGTGAAAGAACAAGTTGCCAATCAACATCGACGGGCGACTTGGTTACCACAGATCTTGCAGTCGCCTACATCCTATAATGGAGTTAGACTAGGAAGAAAGAATGGGGAGAAGTACCTACCTACAGGTACGGTACAAGTTAAATACACTAACCCCTTGTCTTAGATCTAACAGCCAAAATGGAAGAGTGGCGGGTAATGGGAGGCACTGTGTTACTCAACAGTACGGAAAAGTTCTAGGAAAGTTACCAACCTGCGAACAGTCAATAGCCGTAATCCCTATGACCAATGCGCCGACATGGGGACAGTTTTAGATATCGCCCTCTTGTCTAAATCTATTGTGACCTAGATAGCTTCTTCAAAACTCGAGGTAGTCTACTTAAACGACGTGGTTGGTTCTGTGTGCAGTGGACCTTACTGGCGAGGATGAGTTATGGATATCATGTGTAGATCAGATTGTCATTGACGACTATCACGCAAAATAGAAGAAAATCAAGTGCTCTACTCTTTTCCATGCAGACGCCGTGCCAAATTTCGTAGTAGCCACTCCAAACTCCAAGCCTATGCCTTTATGCTACATGGAAATTTTGAGATGGGCAACAATATAGTTGCATAACATACCCCCTTGGTCCTCGCTATATCCTTCGCCTCTTTCCCTTATGTGACAGCTCATGTTCCTCTGTCCAAGCATCCTCGAAGACAGTCGGTAGCTTCGTGAAGTGGTTATCCTTATGACCTAGGTATCGTACCATTTGGAACGCACCCGTACCGACGGACATAGTCTGTCCCATGATGATCTTCTCACTCACACCCTCAATGCGGTCAGCCTTCATTCCGGCTGCTGCATCGAACAGATGATCAGCTGTTTTCTCGAAAGATGCGAGTTGCAATACGCTGTCTCGCATCTTAGATAGACCGAATCGGGTAATTCCGAGAATTTCGCCCTTGTAAGTCATAACGTCGGCTAGCAGTTCCATGTGTCGCGGATCGATGTCCATATCGCCCATGACGCTTGAGATTTCCTGGGCGATAGTAGTTCGTGCCGCCTCAATTCCGAGGACGTCGCGACATTCTAGAATACTGTTGGTGCGAACTTTTGTACCAACAACTCCTTCAGTGTTGATACATTGTTGCAAACCATAACCTTCAACCAGGACCATGTTGTAATTGCTCTCAGGATCCACGTTATCCATAGACTTTGGTGCCTTCTTGCCCAGTCTCTTTCTCCGGTCTTTAGCTTTTTCAGTTTGAATAATAGCACGAGTAGCCTCCGGGTATCCAGATATTGGAACTGCCGGTAATACACGTTTGAGATGACTGACTCGAACGAGTAGATCGGCTGTGGCCTCTGCAATAGCTGCTTTGCTCTTAGGTGCTCGCCGAGTTGCGGAAGCATCGGTATCCGGGAGTCTAATAGTTATCTCGATTGATGCGTCTTGTTCGAAGACCTGAATATCCGTCCTCTGTATCTTCAACTTCTTCTGTTTGACAATTGCGTTTGCAATGTCGTCAAGGGTAATACCAATGTGCATGCCTTCTAGTGTCTCAGTGTTGATATGAAGAGCAATGAAGGCCCTATATGGCTCCCATTCGTCGTCCATGAAGCGAAGGACATCTTCGACGTAAGTCTTCTCGATTCGAGCACGTACAATATGTGCCGCCGTAAGCTCTCTATCATTTTCCAGGGGGCAGGTAATAACTGGCGTGCTAATCAACTTCGAGGCATTGATAATTTCCTTGATACGCGGAACACCCTGCGTAATACTCATACCGGCAACACCTGCGAAATGGAAAGTCTTCAACGTCATCTGAGTTCCGGGTTCACCAATTGACTGTGCGCCGACGGCTCCAACGGCATGACCAGGTTCTACGCGCGCCTTCGAATATTTTTCTAGGCACAATGCGATAAATTGGCGGAGTGTGCGTTCAGAAACCTTCGCCACTCTCTCGGACGCCATCCTTGAAACTGTCCCCTTTTCTTTTTTGTGAATTGCTGCCAAAGATCCGGTAGGTCGAGTGAGAAGAGGATCAAGACCTGCAGAGGCCCGGAATTTGGCCAATTTCTTTGCTAAACCCTCCATATGTCCGTAGACGGTATCTAGGAAGTTACGAGCACTTTCATGCTCATCAATAGCGTAGTCACTATCGTCCCTATAGCCCAGGGACTCACCATGCAACAATCCTCGTCTCTCATATCGATCGCGTTCCTTTTTGAGGATGGAGTCGCAAAGCTCTAGGATCTCGAAGGGTAACAAGGCCCTGTCCGAATTGCTCCAACTAAGATTTTCGGCATGAGACCAGGTTCGTGCGAAGTTCACGGGGACGGCTTTGCCTTCCATGTCAACGGGATCGAGCTTATCAGCACCAAATTGGAACTGCACCACTCCACCACCTGAGGTCCTAACTGTATCGTCATACTGGGTTGAGAGGTCCTCTAGCGACTTCATCAAACGACGAGACATGTAACCAGTTTCGGCAGTCTTCACAGCTGTATCGACTAGACCTTCTCTTCCGGACATAGCGTGGAATATAAACTCGGTTGGAAGAAGACCGGTGTAGAAACTGTTTCGTACGAAACCTTTCGCAGGAGCTTGGCGGGTGTTTTTGTGGAAGTGGGGAAGAGTTCGATCCTGGAAACCGTCGACAACACGTTGCCCGCCTATAATCTGTTGCCCGACGACCGCTACCATCTGAGCGACGTTGATGTTTGAACCCTTTGAACCGGATGAGGCCATGATCCAAGGGGCATTGTTTTTACTGAGTGTCTTGATACAGTAATCTCCTGCTTCTTGACGGACCTTGCTAAGAGTACCAGAGATCTTGGTTTCTAGTGTCTCTTCCATAGTACAACCAGTGGCTTTTTCGAGCTTGTTCGTATTGAATTGTTCGATGAAATTGTCGGCCTTCTTATATGCATCCACAACAAGTTCTTGTTTCTTTTCGGTAAGGGTGGCTGAGGGGAAGACATCACCGATACCGATTGAAAAACCTCGATTGGTCAAATTTCGGGCACAAAGCTTAGCCAGCCGGTTCATCGCCGTGACAGCTGCATCGGGACCAAAGTCCCGGAGAATGACATAGAATATAGACTCCTTTTTTCCTGCTCCCACCGTAGATTTATCCATTCGACCGCACATGACCTCTGAATTTCTCACAACAAGCCATCCATCATTTGGACACATATCTGGGGCTCTTGGCTTTTGACCCGGGGGAGGTGGGCCAGGTTCCACGTATTCTCTGCATTTTGCATCAAGGTTGACTTTGACAGGTGATTCCTTGTTAGGTCGCATGAGCATACTGAATATCTGCTTCCCTGTCCAAAGTCGCTTCGGGGCAAGGATAGCTGGAGGCGGCAAGTCAAGATGAGTGACACCATCCATCATCTGCATAACGATGTATGTGAATGTTCTACGATCATAGAAATTATCTTTACTGCTAAGCAGGTAGGCAGCCGTGATGAAATCTTGTGTAGCCGCAATGATAGGCTCGCCGTTTTTGGGTGTTGCCAGGTTGTGCTTGACTCCCATAAGAATCATAGCTTCAGCACGAGCTTCTTCTGTTTGGGGCACATGAAGGTTCATTTCGTCGCCGTCAAAGTCGGCGTTGTATGGCCCACACACACACTCGTTGAGTCGAAAAGTTCTCCATGGTCGAATTTTGGCGAAATGACTCATGATACTGAGTTTATGAAGCGACGGTTGACGATTGAAAAGAACAATATCATTGTCCTCAAGATGACGTTCAACAACGTCACCTTCTCGTAGATCCCTTGCGGCAGTCTCTTTATCGGCAAACCTGAGAGATATTTTGAATGACTGATCACCATCTTGCTTCAGCACCGCTTGCGCACCGGGCCATACGTTGGGTCCATTCAGCACACATGCTCGAAGCTTGTCAATATTTCCACGATGTACTCGCTCAGGGTATGTCAAGTTCTTAGCGACAAGCACTGGTACAGCGACTTGATTGATAGCCAAGTTTGGGTCGGGTGAGATGACGGTTCGGCCGGAAAAGTCGACACGTTTTCCAGACAAATTACCACGGAATCGTCCTTGTTTTCCCTTCAAGCGCTGGCAGACACCTCTTCCAGTTTTCATGCCGTTCTGTTGTAGACCGGGAACGTCGCTGTTCACATATAAAGCGATCTGCAATTGCAGATATTCCCATTGCTCCATGATGGTCTGGAGGGCGGTACCCTTTTCCAAAGCAGAACGAATAAGACCACATGCCCAGACAATATCGCTAAGTCGTGCTGTAAGGTCGTCCTCATTACTTGCACCCTCCTGGGCGACAGAAGGCCGAATACACACAGGCGGGGCAGGGAGATATTGCCAGAGGAACATTTCGGGGCGACCTTCCGAAGGGTCGAGTCCAAGCAATTCGCAATCTGTAGGACTGATCTGTTTGAATAGGTTCAAGACTCTGAGGGGATTCAGGTCTTCAAATGCTTTCCTCAGATGTTTTTCAAGGTCATGGACGTGTTTCTTGGCTTCTAGAAAGGAGCTGTCGAATTCAATTTTGCTGGTAGGGGGTTGTTTCTTTTGCGAAGTTGATTTGTTGAAGGCGATGAACTTGTCGTGAACGAGTTTAAGAGCTCCAACTTTCCGGACCTGACCATTAACTGCTCCACAATAAGGGCAATTCTTGATCTTCCTGCATGCTTCGTTGATCTTCTTGCAAATAGCGCTGCGTCGCATATTATCAATGAAGGGTCGTCTTAGCTCTTTGAGGTAACTTCGCCTTTCCGATTCTGGCAATAGTACTCGTGAACAGTCTTTGCAGATGTTTTGCAGGATCGTTATCGTGAACTTGATGTAACCGATGTGGAAGGCGGGTAACGGTAGTCGAATATGGCCAAAGTGACCAGTGCAGTCTTGTAGTCGCAGACCACACGTCGTGCATATTCCGGTCTTGCTCGAGGTACCCTGAAAGAATTGATAATCAGTATTTGAAGAGAGTAGACAGTGGCTAATTGCGACCACTCACCAAGCGCTTGTCGAGAGGACCGTTTGCTATTGGTTCTCTGCCTCTGCCGACATCGTACATAGTTCTATCGGACACTTCTATAACGGCTTGATTGACGATATCCTGGTTCGATTGAATGCCGAATTTTAGCTGTTTAAACTTTTTCGGCAGCTTATCGACGACCTGGTGCTTGACCGGGATGATCGTCGTTGTTGTGGTAGCCATTTTGCTCGACGGCGAAAATGCGCGCGCAAATCGCGAAGAGATTCCTTAGAGGTCACCCCAGACCGGGTATTGTGTTATAAAAGCCCAGTAATGAGGGCAATTGACGCTTCATTCCACACATGAAATACCAGCGTGGACCAGAAGCGGCGCGGGAGATAAAAGAAAGTCTAGTGGGTCAAAAGGAAAGAAGTTCGTCGCATTTATAAATTTTAGTATTGAAGAAAAGTTTAAGCTAGCTACCGGCGATAGAGTTAGAGTCATTCGGCTCGTGCCCCACCATTCTATTTCAATAGACAAGCCGATAAGCGCAAATCAACTGTGCGTAGATGTGGCGTTTGTGGCTAGTGCTCTTGTAGAAACGCCTCAAGGCGGGGTTACAAGATCCACAATTGGTACTACCCAAGCAGCCAAGCATCAAGTCGGAGCTTCTTATGCAACGAGCTTATGCAGCTTGTGCAGCTATGATGCTTCCAGTTGGTATGCCCTCGGCTTATTCCGTATTAGTTCATGAATTCAATTTTAAGGCTGACCTGACAAGGACAACTAAAATAAGAGAGATCCAGATCGAGTCGTCAACTTACAACTAACTAATTATTTACCATGTGATACGCTATTCCCATGATTCCGTGTAGGTTGCTATATTCTTCGCTGATTTAAACATCATGCATTTCCCTTCTCTTATAATCAGAACTTTGTGTACAATATAATCAATCAGTCTCTTATACATTAAACATATTCATATTCACATTCACATCCATGCATGCATCGACCAATCCTATTTATCTGACAAGAGCTGAGCGGACCGGACGATCGATCCTAAGAATAGACTAGGATAAGATATCTGACACTTTGCTTCTTCAGCTCAAGTTTCTAACTTCTCCACTGCCGTTTACCATCTTATCAAGTTGGCGAATTCGCTGATTTGTGTCTCGCGAAGTTATAGAGGTGTTCGTAAATCATCACTCCGATCCGTCGCAAGTCAATTCTCGAGAGCATCCGAAAGAGGAATCTTCGAATGGGCCCTAGGCCGTTCTACTAAGATGCCTCCAGGGAGCGGCGATTCCGCCGCACCCAGCGAAAAGAAAGAGGCCAAGAAAGTAGAGAAGTCATATTTAGCTACCGCTGTTGATTCTATAAATCCCTGGACTATTAATCGAAGTACCACGCCCACACCAAACTCGAAGGATGTTCCTCCTAAGCCCAAGACTTCGGCTACTAGAAAAGCCGACGACCATAGCACGAATACCCTCTATGGCCAGAGCTTCCGAAAGTACCCGCCTGACTGTCCTCCGCTCAACGTTATGTGGTTTCACGCCGTCGACGTCCCTAAACGTAAACCGAACTTCCTAAAATCCAAAAAGAAAGATGACGACAATGCCAAGCAAACGCCCCCCAAAAAGTTCGTAGCCTTTTCCAAAACCGATTCACGATCGATCGAGAATGCATACCAAAAATTGCTAGAGGACCTAGAAGATGAACGAGGAAAAGGATCGGTGAGCAGACAGATGCGTTCTAGCTCCCAACGGAGAAGAGCTGTCTCGTCGGAAGACAATCCCAATACCAGCATCGATAGAGGAAGTGGTGGTCAACAGGGTGGTCTTCGAGTTCCCGTAAATGAAGATTTCTTGTTCGATGTCGACATAGAAGAGCGCGAGTTAGCCCCCGTATATTGGCTCGGTCCGATTTACGACGTCCGTCGTGGTACTTGGTTCTACCAGGAAGGGTCTACGTTGCGACCGTGCGAAGAGAACCTAGCAGCCCAGTTGGAGGAGGGATACCTGAAAATAAAACCCTGGACGTATCCCGTGTCCAGATCCCGCAGCAATTCCGGACTACAGGACGTAACACCGAAAGCGTCCTCGGAAAATCTGAAGGCGGCCGCCAAGTCACAAGCCGACAGTTCGCTTAAGCCCCAAAATACCTCCCAACCCGCCATACAACACCAGCCACAGACCTATCGTCTCTTCGGTACTTATATGAACAGCATAGCGACATATCAAGACTCAACCACAGCGTGGTTATCGTCAGAGAGCGTCTTTTCCTGGGTGACATCAACAGTTTATCAGAGATTTGCTGGTGGCGGGTATATGAACGGCGTGAAGCTTGTTCGTGGGTACTCGGAGCCTGGGAAGTCGAAAGATGCGAAAAGACCGCCTACGCCGACGACAGCCACCCTACCCCCTGAAAAGTTAGACGAAAAGGAAGATAAATCCCTTAAGCGAAGATCCGCTCCGCCTAGCACTCGCTCAGATACTGCAGCAAACCGAGACGACGAATCCTCGACAGAGACCGAACGTCGAGAAAATCGTCTAAAGCGTGAGTTCTCGTCGTTTATCGAAGCTTCAGACGACCCAGAAAAGCAAGAAGAACAAATAAGAAGACGCGAGGAGCAAGAAATCCAGGACGACTATAATGGCCAAGATGGAGAAACACAGGGTCGTGATATCGAACATCTTATATTAGTGACCCACGGTATCGGGCAGCTTCTGGGGCTTCGGTAAGTTCGTTGTTGACGTTAATCTCGGCGCATCATCAAAATACTGATGAACTTTTAGGCTGGAAAGTGTCAATTTCGTGCATGATGTAAACCTATTGCGGAAAACGATCAAGGCAGTTTACGCACATTCAGCGGATTTGAAAACACTCAACAGAGAAAGCGAAAATGGGCCGGGTAATTGCAAGATTCAGGTTCTACCCGTCTGTTGGAGACATCTTCTAGATTTTCCAAAACGGAAAGAAAAGAAAGGCGAGAAAGATATAGGCGATGTCGCTGAAGATGAAGATGACTGTAAGCAACACCGCCTAACATTTTAACGCCCAAGTTCCGAGCTGATAAATGCTATCAGACCCTTCATTGGAAGATATCACTATCGAAGGAGTCGCGTTTGCTCGCTCCCTCATCTCAGACCTAGCGCTAGATGTTCTCCTTTATCAAAGCGCCTACCGAGAGCAAATCGCGGAAATCGTTCTGAAAGAATCCAACAGAATCTACAAGTTATTTCGAGAGCGCAACCCCGAATTTAAGGGCAAAGTCCACATCATTGGTCATTCCCTGGGATCTGCGATCATGTTTGATATTCTTTGTAGACAAAGGGAAAAGTCCCAACCAACGGAAACCCTGCGCAACCCATTGCGGTTCTGGCCTTCTCAGGAACGGTCTGAACCCCCTCGAGATCCCCACGACCTCGCATTCAAATTCGAAGTTGATGATTTCTATTGCCTTGGCTCACCAATCGGTCTCTTTCAAATGCTCAAAGGGCGAACCATTGCTGCTAGAGGTAAACCTAATGCGGCGCCATCAGAAAGCCCTCTTGACCCAGATTACGCAGCAGACCCGTTCTTTTCATCGGCCATTAATACAGACCAGCATATATCAGCTATCACAGGTCTACCATTTTCAGTATCATCACCAAAAGTGGGACAGCTATTCAACATATTCCATCCTTCCGATCCCATCTCATACCGCCTTGAGCCATTGATTGCACCTGTAATGTCTTCCCTTAAACCCCAAACGCTCCCGTACACCAAAAAGGGAATCTTCGGCGCCGTGGCACCGCAGGGACTATCAGGTATCGGCGTAAAAGTCGGTCAAAGCGTCAGCGGGCTTTGGTCTAGCTTTAGTGCTGGCATTGCTAGTAGCATTCTTAATCGTAGCCTGGGGCTAAGCAATGAGGATGTTGCTAATTTCAACGCCGCAAATGCATCAGCACCAAACGCAGCTAATAATAATAGCCCTCAAGCCTTGCCGCCCGGTGCTGGTACCAACATTACTTCGGGTAGCGTAATTGCAGACACGAATGCGCAATCCGAGAAGACAGACGCACGGAAAAGGGCATTAGCCCGTCAAAATTCGTTAGGGGGTTCCGGGGGTAATAATAATCCAAGCCGTGATGCAACGCTCATTGACGACGAGCTTGAGACGTTATACGCTAAGTTCCAGAAAAAGCGCGTCGAGGAACACAAGAATAGCGCCAGCCGTGCTGAGGAAGGCCAGGAGCTGGGCGAGGCGTGGGCCGCCGAGGAGCTTAAAGCTCAGAAACTAAGAAGGGAGGAAGCCAAGGTGCTCGCTCTGAATCGCAATGGCAGAGTTGACTACAGTATTCAGGAGTAAGTTCAAATCTCATCTTCCCTCTCTTTCATTTTTCAGCAGTTGAAAGTGGCCCACATTTACTAACAAACCACCCAACAACCTAGAAGCGCACTTGACTTCAACCCCATCAACACCATCGCCTCGCACATGACGTACTGGCAAGACGAAGACGTCACGCACTTCATAATCTCACAACTCCTATCTCGGAAGAAAGATAATGAGGAACGGAAAGGCGACCAGACTCCACTTCGTATTTGAAGAATTCTCATCTACCGTTCCGTCGTACACGTTACAGCCGCAGAATTTCGTTCTTCAAGCACGACATACGAAATGCTGTACTCCGGTCCCAAGTCCTTATCACCGGTGCCTGCCACAGTTAGACGAAAAACGAGATCTTAGGTCGTGATGCATCAACCGCTCAACCGGAATCATGACGCGGAATTACCTCATACGGTACCCACTTGTCACCGACGATCTACTCGAATCTGCATATCGTTGCTATACAGCAGTTCGTGTGCCGTGCTACGCTCGCACTAGATCGTTTTCGAGGTACGAGGATCTAGGGAGGCAGTGAAACGTTTTATTCAGGCCATTCCTAGACTCACGTCCAGGGTGCGCAATACGGATGCAGTTCCAGAAAATCTCAACAACTGTAACATCTACCTACCGATCAATCGCTTGGCTAACCCAAGAGGGATATGTTTATTTGATTCACTCTTTTAGAGGAGTTCGGTCTGACTTGAATTGATTTAACCTATTTGGATGGGCGTAAAGATTATGCAAATTAGATACCTCCTAGATACCAAACTAACCCATGAAATCAGCATATAGATTTGGGCTTCTTGCCTGCAATAGAGATATGACGATGATGATTTAGAGAATTTACCTAATTATCGCTGAGTTGTTCTCTCGGTTGTACACATTTAAACAACAGTGGAAGGTAAAAGCTATATTTTTGCATTCAAACACACCTCATAATGAATTCACTTGCTATTCTGAATATTGTACCGTCCATGAGCTTCCAGCCATATTTTTGCAAACAAAGGAATCACCTCAATTTTCAATCACAACAAAAATAAAAACACAAAATTGAGGCAATCCATTCGTATTTCGTATTCATAGCCCCTAACTTCATAAAAAACGAACGCGACAGATAAGAAAAATAAATCCATTCGTGATTGAGGTGCGTAACGCAACGAGTCCCGAGATAACCCCTGCAAATCATGCCTGATCAGTGATCATAACAATGATGATGATGCCTTTGAAAAACCCGCGAATATCCCTAGCAAAGCAGAAACCTATGACTCCGTATTCCATGATAGAATCTTTCCGGGATCCAGGTGAGATTTTACCCCCATTTTTTGTGCCGTACCGTGTCCGTCCTATTTTGAGATTACTCGACTTTTACCAGATCGCGACCCGCCAAGAGACCTTCCCACTCGCACAGAAGGTCAAGAATAAGAAGAGAATATACAAAGGGTGTTTTGTCGAAGATTTGGAGAAGATCGCCCATCTCAATCATCCACTGCTCTGGCAACCTTTCCAAAGGCCAGGGTCGCCATCCACCTTCATAGACTGTCGAAACTGAGACATCATTATTGCGAAAGAAACTTTTGCGTCGTAGAGTGAAGAAGTCGAGATGCCCAGGGGTAAAGCCGCTTAGTTAGGGCATTGAGATTGGACGTGCCCGGGCTGCTGGCACTTATAGCAGATTTTCTCGCCTCCGGTTGAAGCCTTGGGGCAATCGCGGGAAAAGTGACCGTTCTCACCACAGTTGTAGCACTTGCTGCCATTGATACACTCGCCTATAACTAAATTAGAAGGAATAACTTCGAGTCCTCAAGCCCACTTACGAGACATGTGGCCGTAGCCACCGCAAGAGTAACAAGTCTTGCCGCCTTGGTTTCCACCGAAGCCACCACCGCTGTTGTTGCCGCTGTAGCCTCCGTAGCTGCCGCCTGAGCCGTATGCGTCAGGGCAGTTGCGCGCAATGTGACCGACCTTGCCACACTAAATCCAAGAGTCAGCTGTATAACGGGAAACCAGGCGCAAATATTCCTATGTCCTACCTTGTAGCATTCCTGCGAACCACCCTGGCCACCCATACCGCTACCACCTTGGGAACAATCACGGCTGATGTGGCCGGATTGACCGCAGCGATAGCAGGACTTGGCTTCCTTAGGACCGTCGGGACACTCACGGCCTAAAATCATTAGTCAAGGATTGCTCGATTTAGACTAAAAAAAAAAAGGCGTTTAGTGGCTTACTGATATGTCCCTCACCGCCACAGTTGTAGCTGCAAACTTATCAGTACTTGAGTCCCAGCCAATGAGGGGCACGCAAATGGCTCACCACTTAGGAGGGCCGCGGTTAGGGCAGTCGCGGATCTGATAGTTTACCAGTCAGAATTCATTTCGATACGCCATTCGGCACAATACCGTTATTTGACATACCTGATGACCCGGCTGACCGCCTGTAGGTGTTAAAGAAGCATTAGAATATGCAATCCATAAAAATAAATGAAATTGAGGTTGTCAATCATAGCGTGAAAAGAGAACGAAAGCAAGAGAAAAAAATATGATAGGACTAAATATTATAATGCAAGAATCGGGATAAGGAGAGAAGCTACAGATAGTAAAGACGAGAAAAATAAAAGGATAAAATAGAGTATATGCTGAGCAAACAATCATCTAACGCCACCACCCAATATAAATCATAAATCATAAAGGTGAAAAAAAAAAAGGTAAACCAGCTTCATAATGTGAAAAACTAATGAGAGATATGATTCGCAGCTACTTACACGTGAAGCATGTTCGCGTAGTACCTTGGAAATCCATGATGTCGAGTAGATTTATCGTCGAGGAATCGAAGACTAGCAAAGTTCAGTGTGTATTCGTTTGCTCTGGTAGCGAGTGTTTAAGCTCTATTGACGATAATATTAGTCATCCGCAAAAATATCATGCAACGATTGGTTGATTGAGTTTCTCATTGATCCAAACGGATTGAACGCTGACTAGGGGCATATGGCAAGGCTCCCAATTCATTTGATTTATAAAGAGCTCGCATTTCCCCAGATCGCCAGCGATCCAATTAGCTCGATCAATTAGGGCTGGTGTATAGTCCTATTGGACCTGGGCGTAGAGGGATGGATGGGATGGTTGGAAGTGCATATAGGTTGCGGCATAGTGGGGTTATTTCTTTCAGCACAGAAGGGGATGGAGGGGTTCGTAGGCGGCGGCGAATAATAAGCATGGGTTTGACGTTGTAGAGTTAAGCTTACTTACCACAATTGTGTTGGCAAATCCCTAGGTATCGTATGGTTTAGATAAGACTAAAGTACGATGAATGGCGATATGTTTCTGTAAAAATGATCAATACCGGCGTGAGTTTTAAACGTAGATGTTGACGATGCGAATGCCAACGACGACTTTGAAGTTGTTGGCAGGAATAATGTGTTAGTTGCCGAAATGAAATGTCGGCGAGGATTGGATGTATGAGGATGAGTGATGTAAGTTCTCGCTAGAGGAGTGGTAGTAGTACCAAATCGGACGGTAAAAACGGTGTAGTGTGGTGTGGTGTGAAGGGAAGGTTGGTAAAGTTAGGTAGGTGGTGGTGGTGGGTTTGAAGGTTAAGTAACTTTGGGAAGGATGACAGCTCAGCTTGGCTAAGGCAGAAGGGCAGGTACGCTGAATACTAAATGCTCGTGCGGCCACGCAAATTTAAAAATGTGATACAGAAAGAGCCACGGAAGGGAGAAATTTAGAGAAAAATTGACAGGTACCTTAAGTATCGTACTTACCCGCTTGTAAAGGCAGCAAGGATAACTCGATCTAATGCAGGCGTAAACGTATTTTCTCGATACGACTGTGTATCTGGCTGTAAGTTGCAGCAGGTTGGAATGAATGTAGATTGAAGGATAAGTTGGAATTGGCGAAGAAAATATTGAAGATGGCAGATGGCAAACTGTGGGGTAAAAAATCAATATGCACCCGATAGGCAGGTAAGTACCTAGTTCCTTGATCGCCGATAGATAGCTGTACTTGCGCACGTAACGGGTCTTCGATTGTTGATCAACTTCGAAAAATATTTTTGTGGGAATCGTTAATATTCATCGTTAGGACCGTTCTGCCCGTTTAGCGCCTCACCGGCACGTGCGCTACCTTTACCGCCATATCCATTACCATTAATACCGTCGTTTACCCATACGGAACGCACTTACCTGTTTCAAAGGTCGAAATGATGTTTGCCAACGGGATGCTTCTTGCTTGAGTGGCTGACCTAAGGCAATCAAGGTAATTGCACTTGACGATAACAATGCGAGGTAGCCACGAGGAATTAGCAATGCAAGGTGATATATTTAGATTATGATTATATCGTACCGAGGTTGCTTTAGATATTCTTCCAAGTATCTTTTATTAGGTACTTATTATGCAAATAATCTGTAGTTGGATCTAATTCTATATCAGATTGCCTTTGTAAACTTGTCTTTATGTTGCCCCTAGATATATCTGGGTATATGATATGAACGAAATTGAGAACACTTTCTTCCTAATGAAATTTTAATGTACCTGCTAGTGGATTCCTAATAGCGATTGGCTCCTGTTCGTTAAGCAAGCAAGCATCTATAATTAAACAAACACCTTACATCTCGAGGTTACAATTCCATTATGAGGTCAGCAAGCAATTATTCTCCGATAAAGACTACCGAAAAGCATTGCAACCTATATGAATGTATCTGGAAATTTTAGATGTTCTAAGTCCTCGGATCGTATTGCTTCGGCTCCGGGAATCTTTTTTACTAATGTTGAGAAAGCAAGCCGAGTCGGGTTATGCCGCGGCATTGATTGGACTTCCCTATATCGAGATATTATCTACCAAAGTCCGTACTTGATTGTTGATTACAACTGTAATAAGTTGTTAAAACCAGAGATTTTGCCGCAGCGGAACGCATGTTTCCGAATACTTGTATAGGAAAGATTTGATCTGAACTTATAGGTCTTGTAAGACTTCAGCGGAGCGTGAAGAGGTACCATAACCGTTAGAGTGTCTACAATGGCAGGCCAATCATTTTATACTGTATTTGGACAATGAACTAAAATAGGACCTAGATTGGGGTGTATTGTGCGTGCGTCTTGCAGGATGGGGGGATAATATGCAGCCCTATATTGATACTTTATCCATCCACATTAGTACCTGCTTATCAAGATGAATCTATGAAGACTACGTTGAATTACAAATAGGGTAGAGATGTGTTTAATAGATTAGAGTCTGGCGAGAATTGTATACATGGACGTTGTATTGCTTCACCTTAGCCTTCCCAATTGTGAATGTATAGAGAGGAATCGTAGGAAGTCGCCCGTTAACAATTGCCCCATCCATATAAAAATTTAGTTCAACCTCGCCTAAATTTGCGGGGCTATATATGTACCTAAGTACCGATCTGTACCCGCCAACTTGCGGAGCTAGGGGCGAACTTAGTGGACGCACGGTCTAGGCTCGATGCGTTTAAGTGGAAGCTAGGGAAAAGCTTATGGCGTCGCGTATCCTACAGAAATCCCACTTACTACCCTCCCATCTTCAACACGCGTCACCAAACTTCGTGAAGGCGTCGATTAACTGCGGGGTCGAACCTATCTGGCCGAAGTTCTTTAATTATTTACTTCCAAAACACGATTATTAATTGAATCGGAATTGATCCCAATTCCTCGACTTGTTTCCAAATGGGAACCTGGTTTAAGGAAGTGGGTAGGCCTGCCCTATTCGATGCTCTTGCTGGAGCCTGTGATCAAATTGATAACCAACTCGATGTGGGTACGTTCACCTCAACCTCTAACCAAATGGCACGTAGACTTACGTTGATAGACCTTAAATCATACATAGAGGAAAACTCGCGTCTTTCTGCCGACCTGGAGAGTTTGAATAAGAGGGTTTCCGATGTGGACCGGTTAGAGCAGGAAAACCGATCCTTAAAGAAAGAACTCCAAGACCTCAGGAATGCCGAAGCTTCAACTTTAGAACGATCTAAGCACCATGCTGACCCTAAGAGCTCTCGAACGCCTCTCGCTCCCAAGTCTGTGAACCGAGTTTCGAATACCACGAATACTAGAATATCTACTAAATCTGGGAAACTTAACCTCGATGGACTGATACTCTCTGAGCTCAAGGAAGAATATTCAAAGCTGGATGGAAACTATACGAAGTTGCATGAGAAATATTCGGTCCTTGAAGATGCTCATGCAAAATTAAATGGCCGGCTTCGTGATGTAACAAATGCCTACAATCGATGGATGACTCATGCGGGCAAGTTAAACGAGCTATGCCAAAAGCGTAGTCGGACGATAAAAAAGCTAGAAGCTAAATTGGAGACGGCGACGACAACATCTGCTTCATTTCACGGGCGTCCTTCTGACACGACCATTAGAAATCCAGATGGACAGCGAGCGGGCTCACCTGAATTGGGCAACGAGCACACGCGGGGAGAGGACGGTGCCACATCGGGAGAAGCGCCATTAGTATGGCCACCTACTAATGAGGGTAGCACTAATGATGCGTCCCTTAGAAGCACACCCTCTGCTTCTCCAAAGCCGACAAGGGAGATCGGGCCACGAATTGACCGGAAAGCAGGCGCCGCGCCTAGATCTAAGAGTTGTACCAGTACCCAAGATACGGAATATTGTACACTGCCTCCTCTTTCACCGAACAGAAACACGGGTTCAGATGAGGTAATCGTTAAAAATGAGCCGTCATCAGACACCCCAGTCATAGTATCGGAGCGCTCCTTGCGCAAGAGGAAATACGATGGCGATGACACAGAGGACGAACCTCGAGCTCCTATCAAAGTCAAAACAGACGAAGACGACTTAAACCCGATAATCACCGACGACCGTCGTCATTTTGTGCCACATGAGAGCATTGACTTCGACACTGATGCAAATAGAGTTGTGACACCAAGGAAACAGGCTAGAGATATTTTTAGATTGTTCGATTCGTCCCCTCGGGCAATGACACCGTCTTCTGCGCCAAGCACCGAATATCCTCTTGCGGCCGAAGAAGGTAATGCAGCCGTACCAATATCAGAGCTTCAAGGGAATCGATCTTCGGCATTGAGACCATTCAGCCGCAATATACCTCGGCCCGAACCTAGGATCGCTTACACGGGGCAGACAAAACAGCCGTCATTTGCACCGAGCGGTCTTGCAAGCCTTGCGGAAGACGGTGATCAATGTGAAACACCACGTGCAACCACGAAAAAGAAGCCAAAAACAGCCCCCCTCCGGGACCTTCTTGATGCTCCTTCGCCGGGGCCTAAAGCTACAACGCCATTCCCTACTGTGGGATCCAATCGTGCCCGCGTACCGAAACCACCGTTTAACATGGAACTGCCTCCGAGGCGTGAACTACCCTTTGGTAAAAATGGGTTATCGAAAGTTAGCAAGACGCCTCAGCCTAGTAATACTCGAGAGACATCGGATGGACAGGCCCCCACAAATGCCAATATGAGGCGAGTCGCCGACCGGGGACAGACGGCCGATAAAATCGGCAGTACGAAGCCCGGTAAATTGCGAGAGCGTCCTATGTCTGAACTTGGAATAAGTGACTTCAAAGTCAATCCTGATGCCAATGAAGGCTTTAACTTTGCCTTCACCGATGTCGTTCGGGGTAAAGATGCACGAACTAGTCTGACAGGATGTGTTGAAGAAAGTTGCTGCGGCCAGACTTTTCGACTACGGGCGCGCATCGAGCGGGATCGGACTAATTCATCGGACTTCCATGTCCTATTGGAGAAACATTTAGGCGATGAGGCGTGGAAGTTGTCAACCATGACCAACGCAGAAAAGGAAGATATGTGGCTCAGGGCTAAAACGCAAGAACTTGCAAATGAACACGGGAGGCATCGCCACAGATTTCATCGTGCACCATCCCCACCAGGATTCTGGCGGACAGATTTCCCTAGTACTCAGGAAGCACTACAAGACAAGGAGAAATCGGAAAAAGCTCAGCAGCAACTCGTCGAACAAAGATATCGCGAAGCTATGCGACCTGGCGGCAGATGGCTTTTCAGGGACGAGTGAGTTTATCATGAGCATTGCTGGTAACATTTGAAGACGTCTCAGGGGCAACCCAAGGGAATCGTGGTTTTATTTTTGGCGGAGCTCATCATAGCATTTACATGTTACACGGATTACTTAATGGCGCATAGCGAGACGGAATTCGGCGTGGAGGTTATTATTAAGCATATATACAGCTGAAGACGAGTGGCTTCAAAAAACACTTGCAGGAATACCTACATTAGACATTGATTCAATGCTCAGTAGAAAATATATATTATATCATGCTTCATAAATTGGAGACTTGTCTTGAATTCGTACCTTCGTTATGATTATGTAGAACAACTCTGAATGCGCTTCCGAGTTGATACTAACGAACCATGACTACCTAGGTAATATTAGTAATCCAGATTCCACTTGGCTTTATGCTAGGTGTGGCTAGTAGTGGCTTAGCTAATATAATAAAGATATATAGGTACTACGTTTTGAGTGTGCTGCAGGGATTAAGGATTGAGGCTTGATGAGGTAAGTCATTGTTAGTTGGAAGGAACCCGACGTCCGAAAAGTTTGGAAAAAGTCAGAAAACAAATTATTACCTTAGCTCCTCGATTGATCTCATCCCGACCTTGCTCCAACCCATTCAACACGCGAATCACCTTGAGCAAGTACCATCCCGACGGGCTCGACATATTTTCTTGCGCCGTCCTGTGTATTTATTCATTACGTTCCCTCTCAATCCTTAATTCATTTCTTGTTCTTTTTTTTCTAAGGCTCCCTGTATAAAAGGTGGCGCCACTCATTTTCTGTTGTCTCCATCATTCGCGGAAGTGGATCGGAGTCGATAATAAAACGTGACGAAGCATAACCGACAAGACTTCGTTGCTGTCCAACGCGCGACAACCATTCGAACAAACAACCATCACGAGCTATCTTAGCTCCGCACGACCTTCATACCTTAAAAGCATTGCGACTTACATATTGGCGACAATTTAGTCGCAGAAGCAGTGGATAACCACTGCTTCATAACCCCAAGCCGGCACGATGAACGGTAATCATCTGCCGGCTGGGCAGCCTATGCCAGGAGGTGTTGGCGGAGGACCATCGGTTGTAGCAAGAGGACAAGTTGATATGGGAGGTCCAGGACATGGTGGTGGTCGGCGGCGACCACCACAACACCAATATCCTGCCCATCCTCAATATCATCACCAACAACACGTCAATCCCATGTACCACAACGGCTACATGTCACCATATACCCCAGGCTACTACCCTCAAGTTCCACATCACTACCAGAACAACGCTTTGCCTACCTCGCCGTATTATCAACAATACCCTCCGTACCCTCAGCGATCTCCTCCCTCAATCCATCAGCAGTACCCTACTATCGTCTCGTCGAGTATGCAACCTCCTCCTCAGCCCTACTCTCGACCACCTCCGCAACAACAACCTTCTCCAGCTCTTTCGACACCACCTCCTCCGTATACCGCATCGGCGCCGCCTCCATCTGCTCCTGTACCCGCAACGCCATCCTCTACGCACTCTTCTCAAGTCCTTCAAACCCCCTTGACACCTTCTACATCGCACACCCAGGAAGTCGCGTCTACCACCTCAGACGTCGAATTGCGGCCAACCGCCGCTCCTTTTAGGCCACCGGTAAGTTCAATATCATGCGCTGTATTTTGACTCATTTGGACTAATTGTATTTGCCCCAGCTACCTTGGCTATCGCGACCTGATCTACCCTTTCCTGCGAAATCTGCTCGGTCAAGAAGAAGAAGGCGGATACAAGCTATTGATGCTGGGCCGATAGAATTGCCTTCAAATCAAATAAAAGGGGTCGAGTCTGAGGCAGTAACGCATGAAGAAGTTTCGGGAGGTAATATCTCTCAGCCCGAAACTCCGACTCTCAAGTCCACCACAGTTACCACCAACACGACTAACACCGACGCCGAGTTACCCACGCCCACACACTCCGAAGTGCCATCAACACAGGGTGTGCCACCGGAGAATGCGCAGTCAACTTCACCTTCTACGCCTCAGTCGGCGCAAGCAAGTCAATCTACTGCTGCCACATCTGTCGCTTCTAGCAAACACACCAAGATCCCTTCTCGCGCGGCTGTACCAGCCGTTCCGATTCTCCCTGTACTTCCAAAGGCAAGCCCTAAAGAGGCCAGTGCGCCCAGTGTTGAGGCCAAGCCAGTAGAAGCGAAGCAACCTGAGCAGCAAGTTACGATTGAGAAGCCTGCCGAAACTGCGGGTAGATCACAAGATATTTCCGAAGCTGAAGCTAAATCTGAACCAGCCGCTGCCCCAGCGAAAGCTGGACCAAAATTATGGACTGGGTTATTTTCTCGTCCGACGCCAGCCACCCCTTCAGCCGCCACCACTGCTGCGGGTTCTTCGGGCACTGGCGCCACAGCGACCACTACTTCTGATGGTACGGCTTCGACTAATGGGAATGTGGGTGTAGGCACTTTTGCGAAGTCTAATGCGAGCTCTTTGGCCGAGGCCCTACGAGTTTATCGTGTTAATGGAGGCGAAAAGATCGCCTTTTTAGAGCCCAGGGGCTTGATTAACCCTGGCAATATGTGTTATATGAATTCAGTAAGTATTAATCATCTGAATATTCAAAGGAGAATCAGAATATCGGCTAACTATCTTATTAGGTTTTGCAAGTTCTCATTTTCTGCATTCCGTTTTATGACTTCCTGGATCAGGTCAGCAAGAAAGCGGCGCATAGTTTCAAAAGCGAAACACCCCTAATTGATGCCATGTAAGAATTGCCCATATGATTTTTTTCTTCGTCGATGGAACTAACGTGTTGATAATACTAGGATTATGTTCATGCGCGAATACAAAATCATTGATTCTGCTGTATCCGTTGAGCAGCTACGTTTGAGGCTTAAGAACGAGGAGCTAGAACAATATGGTGAACCCTTCACTCCTGAGTTTGTCTACGATGCTATAAGGAAGCTTCCTAGATTTGCTAGTATGAGAGTAAGTAATCGATCAGTATATATCTAACCGCAAAATTCTGACGAGATGCGATAGCGTGGACACCAGCAAGACGCCGAGGAATTCCTCGGCTTCCTCTTAGAGGCATTACATGACGAATGTGCGCAAGTAATGCGTCACTTGCCCGAATCAACTGCAACTACTGCTGCAAATTCTTCAGCCGCTACACCTGCGGCCGTATCTCCTACAAGTGCGCCAGATACCAACGATTGGCTAGAAGTAGGTCGGCGCCAGCGCGCTGTTATTACTCGCTCATCTGGACACCCTATTACTTCGTCTCCTATTACTAAGATCTTCGGTGGACAATTGAGGTCCGAGCTGAAAGTGCAAGGCCTGAAGGATTCTGTTACCTTGGAGCCATTCCAGCCTCTTCAACTAGATATTGGCTCACCTCAGGTTCACAATATCGTTGATGCATTGAAGGGATTGACGTTGCCTGAAACTCTCCATGGTGACTTCGGATCTCCAAGAGGAAAAGACGGAGTGGCTACTAAGCAAGTTCTCATCGAGTCTCTGCCACCAGTCCTGATTCTCCATCTGAAGCGTTTCCAGTTTGATGCCGAAGGTACTGGAACTGTGAAGATTTGGAAGAAGGTCGGATACCCGCTTGAACTTGAGCTCCCTAAAGAGGTCTTTTCTCGACAGAAGAGGAACGCTCTTACTGCCGAGGGAGCGGGTTTCCCCAAATATCGACTAATTGCCGCCGTTTACCATCACGGCAAGAATGCAAGCGGCGGTCACTATACGGTCGATCTCCGACGACAGGATGGTCGTGAGTGGATCCGTATGGATGACACTGTCATTCGACGAGTCAGGAGTGAGGATGTCGCCCAAGGAGGGGTGGAGGAAGATGGCCCTAAGACATCAACTCAAGCCAACAAGAAGGATGGTATTGTGGGCGGATCTGGAAACAGATTCGAGGGAATCGGGAACGATGAAGCCGGTGATGATGAGGGGTGGAACAAAGTCAGCAAAGTCAGCGCTCCAGTGAACGGAGCAAAGAAATGGAGTTCCGTTGTTAATGGAGCACCGAACAACGCCACTGCGCAAGCGAAAGGAAAGCAGACAAAGGACAACATCAAAGATAATAAGGTCGCTTACCTTTTGTTCTACCAGAGAGTCTAGGAGGTTATAATGCCTTGAGACGACGGGAACATGTCATCCGTCAGCCGCCGGTGTGAAGGACTAGTTGAGCGGATGAGGCATTGGTATACTCGCAGGTGGGGTGTTGTTGGTACAACATGGTCATAAGGTGTATCAAAAGTTCATCTACGCATTGCGAGGGTATTCATGGACAGGAAGGAAGGAAAAAGGGGTTCGCAGGGGTGGCTGGTTAGCCTATTGAAAAGTCACCAGTGTCTTGTCGTGGTTGCGACAGGGTCCTCCTATTATCTAGCAGGAGTATTTGCATACAGAGGATATCCTATTTGGGGGTGGGGCATAGGTATGGTTGGTATCTCTTGAGGTCATTGTCATCCGATACCCCCAAATCTTCTATATCTCTCCCGTTTACCTTTTAGTCTCTTACCGAACCTACCTTACCGCTTACCTACCTATCTAGGTACCTCGAGCTCGATAATGGAGATTTTACCATAACCCCTTCTGTTGTAGAATAAGAAAGAGAAAAAGTGATTCACGAAGACTTAATAGACGATATCTCGTCGAAATTCACCAGATAAATGTGCCTTTTATTATTCATTAAGATTTAGCAATTAAGCGTAACTAATGTCTATCCAATCTAGTTTTTTATACGCCTCGCTAATAATAAGCATTCTCATATATTCGTTCATGGGCGTATCATAATCATCAGGATTTTTTCAGCCCGATCGGTCGGTCGAACGGACTACACAATCGAATACCCACCCCGCACATACGCTTCATCGCCCATTATACGACGTAAATCTACATGCCACCGTTGAGCCCACTTTCCCAACCGCGCTCGTGCATCTACTGCTTCGGTGCGGAAACGTTCGTACACGAGTTCTCCGCGATCGTTTTGACGCGGGAGGTAGACTAGGGAGAGGGGCATCGAGACCATAGTTACGTCCGCGGCGCCTTCTTGTAGTTCCAGTGTGCTGTGTACCAAGTCCCCGGATTTGCGGAAGGGGAGACCGTGGAGTGGGGGTTGGTAGGCGGCGAGGGATAATGAGAGCATGGAGCTTGGCCCTCCCGTGGTTAGGGCGCGATGTGCGCGTGCCCCGGCGTCGGCGAATATGCGGTCGGATTGTGATGAGCCACGGTGCGAGCGGCTGGAGGGTGGGGCAGGACCCTTGGGAGGCATCCAGACGTGTAATGTTACCGAGAGGATTGGAGCTCGGTCGCGTGTTGCGCGCCAGAGGGCGCCTTTTTGTTGGTGCCATGTTTGGTAATGAGTCGCTGGGTCCAGGTCCGTGGCTACGAGACGGTAGTCGACGGATACGGGTTGCAGGTTGGGCGGGATGGCGAATTCTCGGTGGATTACGGAGAGGATTGAGTCGTAGGCTGGGGAAAGCTCGTTGGAGAGGTGTTCCCACATTTGGGCCTCGGTGAATAGGGGTGTGCGTGGACGTGGTTGGCTGTGGTGGCTATGGTGGCTTCGCGCTGGGGATGCGGGGACTGGTGCGGATCCCGGGCTGTAGTGTGTGTAAAGAGGTGCGGAGGGGGAGAGTGGTGCCATGGTCCCGTAGCCATATGCGTTTGCCAGTTCTGGGCTGAGCATTGGTGTTGCTGGGCTCGCGGCCATAGCTAAATTGGTGAAAGGCATTCTTGGTGTTCGTGGGCTCGTGGCATGCCGATGCTCAAAGCGCTCCCGGAGACGGTCGGGGTCGAGGTCGAGTGGTCCAGCAGGAGGTGGGCGAATAACGAGGCGCGGTGACGGTCGATGTTGGCTGCTTTCACGACGGCGAGAACGGTTACGATGTCTAGAAGTACTGCGGTCGCGGTGATGACTTTCACGGTTGTGGTGTCTGGAAGGCATCGTGGTGACTCGTATCTGCTGTCTATTTATCGCCGATCTCCTGAAGCTGGGTCGATCGATCTCGGAGGAATTGCTAGATTGGGGATCCTCTAAAGATATGCTAAAAGAAACAACGAAACATATACATTGTCCCCTTGATAATGAAGACTGTTTTTGGAGCGACCCCATGACGCACGCATTGTGAAGCTCGGGGGGTGAATCACGGCTGTATTGCGAAAGACAAGACCTGTATCGGTTGGAAGAATCCGATTCTCAAACTATCTCTTTCAGTTGTCATGATCTGTTCCATTGTGACAACTTGATGACTTGTTGGCCGTGTAACGCAAGGTATTTGGGAAGAATCTCGCGAAAGCAATCAAGACAGCCTTATTCGGGTACGGGTTACGATGCAAGTGTCCATCAAAGCAAACGGCTGACTGCATACATTTAGGGGCATTATCAGTCCGATGTGGCCAAAGCGAAGGTTAGTCTCAACCCTTGACCCATGAATATAGAGGGTATAAGTCTCAACTTAAGCCAGGCAACAAAGTGATATACCTCCGAAAAAGGTTGTCCCTATCCTTATTATCCGTTTTTCAGAATATCAAAGCCGAAACCATCCATCCATCCTTCCTTCAATTCAATACCCGAAAGATCATCGAATATTTGTCAGTGATTTTTGTAGGCTTGAACCTTATGAGTCTATAAAATTGCAATCTATCCACACAACAACACCATCTATCCCACGAAAAGCCAGCCAGCTACCAGGCTTGACCAGATCTGGTTCGGACGAATTTTCTGTTAAGAGAAAAGTCAGTCACGTCACGAAAATTTGATCTACGCGAAGTTAGTAAACATTATATATTATACGTCTAACGTCCTTTTCGACTATGTCGTCTCTATTCTAACACGTTCTACCAGAAAATCAGTCGAGTACGCCAACGCGATGTATCCTTCCTTTCCTTTGTCAGTCATAATCCGTCATAAACTCAGGCTTATTACACATTCGCATACCCTTCCGTTACAAACGCTCTATCACCTACGATAGCTCTCAAGTTGACACCCCACTGAGCCGCCCACCTAGCCAACTGTGCCTTCGCCCCCGGTGCTTCCGTGAAACAGCGCTCGTACAAGGTGAAGCCATGCGGATCCCGGTATGGCAGATATACTAGAGAAATCGGATTCATCGCATGTGTCTCACCCGAGTATTCATCCCGGAATTTGATAGAGCAGTGCGTTAGTTCTCCGAAAGTGGGGAATGGGATCCCGTGTAAATGACTCGGACCATTGGGCTTGAGGGCTCCTAACACACGCATAGCTGCGTCGGCATAAGCACGATCGGATAATCCGGAGTTGTGTACATTGCTTCGCGTTCGGGGTACGTAGGCATGTAAAGTTGGCGCGAGGATAAGTGCGGCACCACGAGTCTCGTTCCATAGACGCCATTTGCCTGAACGCCAGGTACTGTATCGAGTATCGGGATCGAGATCTACAGCGCTGAGCTGATAGTTTAGGGTCTTGTCGGGTGGGATGCCAAATTCACGATGAATTATATCTAGGACGGACTTGTTGGCTGGGCAGAGCTCGGTGTATATCCGGTGCAGGATTTGTTCCTCAGTGAAGAGGAGAGGTTCTTGGTATACGCGACGTCTGCCCGAGGAGGAAAGAGGAAAATTAGAAGGTACAGAGGATGCGGTAGATGGAGGGGGAGTCAATGTGACGGTCATGGTCTGCTGAAATGTACCTGCCATCGGCGTGTTTTGCATCGATACGCTTAGCGCTGGAGCTTGGTAACCATGCCGCCGGGGCCGCCGGGAACGTCCAGGTTCAGGAGATTGCGGTGGTGTTTGGTAGGGTGTGCGCCGTGGTGGGTGTCGGTAATCGTCGCAATTATGGCGAGAGTGGCCTACGGAGTTACGACGCCCAAGGGGGCTCCGGTCGCGACGAAAGTTTCTACGGCTAGCATGGTTCGAGGGCATCTTGCGACTTGTATTTCCTAAGTACCCAGGTAGGTATGTTTTTCGTAACAGTGAGTTGATCTTGGTTTGATAATACTCATGAATTGGGAATCGGTTGAAGACATCTAGAAGAAACAAACATGTACATTTTGGATTTTGCAAAGAAGATGGCTCAAACAAGGGCGCTGTTTACACTTTATAGAATTCGACATTAGCGCCGCAATCGTCGAGCAGCCTCAAGGGGGTATTGGGCCGCCTAATCGACGTCCATTGTCGCCCGTGTTGTTAAAACACCACATATGCTGCGAGTACCCTCATACTTAAAACGGCATTTTTCGAGAACTACAATATTGGCTTTCACCACTTGGTTATCCAATCCCACCTATGATTCGCTGGTATTTCCACGCCGGGGCCGCTCAATACTTGCAGGACATATCCAAATATAGGGTTGGACCAACCACATTGAGAAAGGAGGCAGAGCCTCATCTTAGGCATAGATCCGGTGAGGAAAGGGAGCGGGTAGATTGACAAGGGTTGACGGGAACAACCAATCACAAAGGTGCAATAATAGGAGGTAGACTCTATACTGTCCCCGTACCTATCTACACGGGATGAAACAGGGCAAGCCACCCAGCGGTAAGGCTCCCCGGCCTGGTCTGGCCTTTCCTTCTGTGGTACCACACCACAAAACTGCACACGTTGAAAGTGCACCAAGTGCCTACCTATGTACCTAAGTATCCAGTGTATACCCACGATACCTGGGGTTTGATATGTGCAGAACTGCAGAAACGGGAAAACTTGCATTGGTGTAGAATTTCGTAATTATGTGTAGAAGTAATACCAGCAACTTGCTATCCTATGATTTAACCCCCTTAACTCCAAATGCCGTCTAATAATTCTCGGCGATTCCGTCCAGTTCCTTACATGTAAGGAGGGTCTATGAAGTCCGGTTCATACCATACGGCAATACCGTCCGCTTCATTGGGCATCGAGCGGTCGTGAAGCATGACTAGACCCAGATTGGACGATTCACTGCTTCCAATTCCCATAAACGCAAATCGCGAACGGCACGACCAGATGAGTGGTTTTTCCTGAGCGATACCCTCATTGATGCAGAAAATGGGTGCTAGGATAGACGACCAAGGGAGGTATTTTCCGTCTTTCTTCGGCATGGGGAGGTCATTCTCGTCCTCGAGTTCTTTGAGAGTGCTCATGAACTTCTCCATAACTTCGCCCATGACCAGTCCGGCACCGCTTAGGTTCTTGCTGCGCACCATGTTTCCGAGGTTGCCATAATCCATGGGAAGTACAACATCAATGATCGGGGAGAATAAACGATTTCTGTGCTTAATCATGTGCGAGGGCAGGGAACGGGCGGGATCAAGATAGAATAACTTCACTTCGACGCCAAGCTTCTCCTCAAATTTCTTTTGTACCTGACTCTCAATCGGATCCCAGAATTTCTGGATGTGTTTCTTGAGCTTCATGATTCTCCACACGCCGTATCGCTCCCTCGCCTGCATTCCGGCACGAATCATATCCCCTTCACGATATGCTCTTTGTGTTTCGTCAGGGCCGAAGGGTGTCAAATCGCGTACATTATCTCTGATGTCGGGAATGAATTCGTAGTTGTGCTCAGGGGGGTATTCGACTGGGATGGGGGGGTTGTACTTGGCGAAACGCGCACCATCAGCCAGGCGAAAGATCTCCAGCGATTCATCGACGTGGTCTAGCCATTCCACGATTTCTTTATCTCCGTCCCTGGGAAACCTTTCACCATAGCGGTAATCGACCATAAGAAGCTTTCTGAGTGCGGCCTTTTTTTCTTCAGGCGAGCGATTATCCATGGCGGGGGACGACATGTTGCGTATTTTTCAGTGTCGGAAAGAAATCGATGATTTTTCTGGCTGGAGGTTTATTGAAGAAGCGTCATGATGGTAGAAATAGTAAACATAGTTGGGGCTTGATGAGTGACTGAATTGTATGGTGTATGATTGATGTTAACTATTAGTGATAAACAAACCCGATTGCCTGCTGTGAAGGGAAGGAAAGATTCATTCAACCGGAACGGAATAAAAATAGTAAATCGGGTTATCTTCCGGTAACCACGGACTATTAAATACTTGTACCGGTATGGAAATGGCGAATAACTAAGCACGTGGCAATCGTTGTTGCCGTACGATTAAACGTAATGAGGGAAGTTCCTTGAGACTTTAGGTACCTAGGTAGGCAAGTGCGATAAGGTCCAATCTACATATGTAGGTGTTATTTACCTGGGTACCTTTTAGTTAAGCAGCTATTTTACCCCTTAATGAACGCCTTCCTCTTGCAAATATCCATCGCTATTGTAGCAAATTTCAACCGATTTCCTAATATCTCTGAAGGCAGCCCCTATTTAGCATACTATGACCCATGTTTTAGAGTCCCAGTTTGTCAATTGACAAAGATCTTTGCCTATTAAGTAATTCCATGGAGGAATAATGGGAAAGGCAATAACGAAGAGTGACACCATATACAAGACGTACAAGTGTGGTATCAGATACTATGATATTGTATACATGGGTAATAGCTACGTTAAATTTTTATGAATGTTTTTTGAACATATGTACAAGACCAAGGTGTCTAAATGGTGCTAGTAAATAATATGAATAGGTAACTGAGTACCTTCGTGGTTATATGGTTGAGATCCCATAAGATTCAATGCTAATCCTAGGGAAAAGGGCTATCAACCAACCACTATCACGAGAAACACGTGCTATATCCCCAGACATCAGTACAAAATACATAGACAAGGTATTGACAGCTATGACATCCAATAAAATGGTACGTGCCAAACTCAAAATCCAGGCACCGACCATATCACCCAGCAACCGACCAAAGACTTATATGTTAAAATAAATGTCTTGAATTTCAAGCCGACCCAATTAGATGGACGTAACCCTTGGTGACTCGATGGCTATGAACAAACTACCATGAGGCGGTCATATGCTTGGAGCGTTGATAATTGGCGTAATTTGACAGTACGATCGTCCAAAGCGAGTTTTTCGTAGGTCCTGGGATTCGAAGCGGGTGGGGGGAATCCTGGACTGAGCTTTTTTTTGTCTTTTTTATTCTTTTCAATTATTCTTTTCTATTTCAAATTGATTGTATAATGTATTCGACTTTGCTTTCTTTTTTTATTCCGTGTTTCCACCTTCCTGTCGCCTTCTCACATCTTTTTGATGCTATCACCACCCGCACCACCCACATCCCACCACCAAGGTATGTTCACACTTTTTTTTCATTCCAAATCACTCACTCCCCTATCTACAACTATTAGCTTTAGGTACACATAGATTCAAAATACTGCCGCTATTTTTCTTCCCCCCAAACCCCCTTTTTCTATTTTTTCTCAGCATGAAGGTATGCAACCCCCCACCATCCCACGATAGCTTCAATGCAGCCATACCCAACATACTTGCGCCAACCATGCAAAACCTTATCTAGCTTTCGCCTCATATGCATATCAGATGATGCAAGCTTTCCTGACATTATGGCGGAACTATATCAGGAGCGGCTTGGGAGTAGCTTACCCCTATTTTGATGCATTCGCGCTAAGTCCCTGTCCGAACCACGACGTCTGAACTATGACAGCTGTCTGCCGCTGACTACTTCTAACTTTAAAAAAATTAGAATAATTCCAGAATGACCTTTTCAATTACTCTACTAACTGCCTATCTCTGAGTCACAGATCATGGGTAATCAGGATCCGGATAATTCGCCCACGTCCTCTCCGTCACCCCTAACGCCGTCAATGTCTCCCCATTCGGCTCCAATTCCAATATAACAATCTCATTTTCAACCCCCGGCTTGAGAATAGTTCCAGGAAGGTACAACGACTGCTGCGGACCAACAACCCAGTACCTACCAAGATTAAATCCGTTGATCCACACATTCCCCTTCACACCATCGGGTACTTCTAGGAAGGTATCCAGGGCTGCCGGATCGGTGGTGTTTCCGCTTTCAATCTGGAAAGTGCCACGGAAGAACGTCGGTGGCGATCCAGGGGCTATCGCGCTGGGCTTGGCTTGGGTGGCGGCGGGTGGTTCGTCAAGAGGAAGCGAGTAGACGTTCCACCCACTTACAACTCTGGATCCGATTGTGACATTTCCCACAATCCCCTTAAACTGATCCTCGAGCGCTACAAAAGTACCCGACTCGCGCGACCAGTAATCGACGCGCCCGAGGTTCTCGACTAGAAGCTGTAGGGTGTCTCCAGGTTGTAAAGTCAAGCTGACCGGCGCCGGTTGACTGTATGTGCTATCAATAACGCCCTTCTTGGTCCCATTAACATACACGATAACCCTATCTCTAGCACGGTCGCCTGGTTGCAGCGTCCCCTGAAGGGTCGTATTGACTGTATGTTCGTAGAAGACTAATCCATAAGCTTGGTCTAACTCTTCCATTGTAAGCGGCGCGACACTGTTGATTTTAGGCCCTAATGTATCGAATAACGAAATTGTTGGCGATAACGTAATATTGCTGATTTCCAGTAGCGGAACGTTCGCTGGAGGCTCTGGGATGCTGTCTTCAGGGACGTACTTCTGGATGGTATCTCGGAACTTGAAGTACAAGTCCGTCGTACGTCCACTCTCATCCAGAGGTGCGCCGTAATCATAACTCGTAATAAACACAGCCGTATAATTCTTCCAAATCGCACCATTACTAAACCCAAAATTCGTCCCACCATGAAACATATACAAACTTATCGAATTATTCGCCCCAAGAACGTAATCAAGATCCGACACAAACTGCTGTATCTGGGACGGATTTCCCACCGCAGTATTATGCTTATTCCCAGGCCCCCAATAATCCGGCGCGAAAGTATAATACTCCCCATCCAGCAGCGGCCCAAGTTCAGTCGGATCCGTGATATACCTATCCCTCGCCGCAAACCCCGACCTAGGATCCCCATCAATCTCAGCCAATACCCCAGGGACCTCACCACCCCTAAGCGTCCAATCAACCCCACCATCATTCGTATAAAGCGGGACCTCGAAATTCTCCTTGAGAATATCTCTAAGTCCTTGCGTATAATTATGATCCTCCCCGTACGATCCATACTCATTCTCCACCTGCACCATCAACAGTGGCCCTCCACGCGTAACCTGCAAATCCCTTAAATCACCCGCAAGACGTTTCAAATAGCTCTCCGCAGCATCCATAAACGCCGCACCACTCGACCGAACCTTCATCCCCGGTACCCGCGCAAGCCAAGCTGGAAAACCACCCCACTCGCGTTCACCGCATATATAAGGACCTGGTCTAAGCACAACATTCAAACCTACATCCTGCGCGATGCGGAAGAATTTAGCTATATCGTTGCTTTCTTCGGAGCTGGTCCATTGCCCTTGTGTGGGCTCGAGGAGGTTCCAGTATACGTAGCTGAAGATTGTATTCAGACCCATGGCGCGCGCTTTTATAAGGCGGTCACGCCAGTAGGCGGGTGGGATGCGTTGGGGGTCCATTTGTCCCCCGATGATTATGTAGGGTTTGCCATTGAGGAGAAAGGATGTGCGGGTGTATGTGAATGCTGGGGCGGCGGCCGATTGGGTTAGGCTTGGCGAGCTGTCTGAAGCCCCAGCCCACTTAGGGGATAGGGCGGCCAGGAGAGCTATTAGGAGGCGATCCCAGAGCATCATGTATCTTGGCTTGAGAATGAAAAGATATAATCAACTACTTAGATCTTCAAGATACCATCATGGCAAGGCAGTACGTCGGCAGGGCGTTTTCAACCCGGTTAGCGAACGTAGGCTGCATTATGTTCCCCGCATTGGCTATCAATAGCCACTGATGCCCTGAAAAGGCATGTAATCCGGATCTATCGAGAGAGGGTTACATCCCGTAAACAACCTTCCTGGTTGAATCAAGGGCCTTTTACTACTTCGGCTCCACATTTGCCGGTCGTTCATTATCAAAGAATGTCAAGATGCTGGCTTGATTCTTGAAGGTATAAGGATGAGATGGCGGGGTCAAAGTTCATTTGCTTTTCTCTTCTCCTCGGATTACTCATCAAGGGGTTCGGGTTGGGGTAAGCTTGAGCTTGGGGTTAGGGTTTTATCTCTGCTGATCTAATAGCTGACAGAATATGGACTTGGATATGATGCCTTACCTGAAGTCTCCCAAAGGCATCTTACCTAATGACTTGAAGATAACATAATCCAGATTCCTCGCCCTACTCATTACCTAAGGAATTATCTAATTCCTTAGATAATCAGATTATTCATGGTTTCTCGAGTTAGGTAAGCACATCACCGATAGACAAACACGCGAAAACAGGAGCCAAGCAAGGAGTAATCTATACCAATATCGGCCAATATCAGATTAAAATCAGGTCATATGAAGTCGCTAAGCGGAGTTATAGATCTAATATGAATGGTAAATCCCACTCCCTTCTATTTATTTGTCCTATGCACACCAGACCAACATGTAAATAATTGCTTATGTCAGCATCAGTCAATCGTATATCGCCGTACAATTTCACAAAACCACCTCGTCTATCGTCGTGAATAAAAGGTCAAAATGGGTTGACCAACTAAGGTTGGACTTCGAAAATACGCTCAACACCCTTCCACTCTCCTTTCATCCTCTCTTCCCAGTAGCTCTCCTTGCCGTGCTTCATCCTCCAGAGCTCCTCTCCTTCAGGAGCTTCAGGGACCTTGACGAACCACTTCGGCTTATGTTCTTCGCCATTGGTCTCCATATCCCGTCTCCTTGCTCGCTGAGCCTCCTCAAGTGCGACCTTCCACTCTTCAGCCTCGTCAAACTTGCCCTGTTCAACTAGACGCTGGTCGGGTCGCAGTCGAGTATCCGTGGGCGGAAGACGACCTTTCTCAATAGGCGTAATTTCATTGAGTGCAGCGCTAAATGATGTAAAACCGTAGGTATTCGGTGCGTTAGGAACGAGCTGACCAGCCTTCCATATTTCTTGTCCGGTAGGTTTACCGCCTTCCACTACTTTAATAGACGACGTCCAATTGCCCACAAGGCCAAATCCTGTCTGGGTCCCGCTCGCATCGCAGCATGCGACTTCAACATCTTCACTTCGACCACCAAACATACCCTTAGTTTTGAACTCAATATTAGACTTCGCTCCCGTAGAATCGTTGGAAACGACCATAGACCCGACAGGTTCAACATATTTCTCACCCATCACGACATTTCGTAGGAACATAGTAGCGATGTTCCAGGAGTAGAGTTCATCGGTGCCGTCCGATAGACGTAACGCGACACGAACTCGTCCTTCAGTATTCAATTCGGCGCTCTTACCCCAAAACTTTTGCGATGGAGCAGGACTCTGTGTTAATGACCAAGCCGCCGCATCAGCTTGCATAGCGAGACGCACTGGACGATGCGTGACTTTTTCAACCACAAGCCTAAATCCACCAGGTACTTCGCTTTCCGTTCGAAGCAGCTCGAAAGTTTCACCTAGAAGAGGATTGAAAGGTTTGCGCATAGCGCGTTCTCGAACACGATTGGCGCTGAACTGCGAAATCGCGAAAGCAGTCACATATAGTAGACGATCCTTAGGTGCTCTCTGTTGTGCTGCCTTATCAAGGAGTTGCGCATATTCGAGCTGTTCCGCAACACGTTGCAGTGCGGAAATAGGCTCGTTGGACGAGACCGGCATACTGACTGTACTTAGGTCTTTGCCTACATTCTTGCGGAAGAATGCGATTAAGCTTGGTGGAGGAACAGTGACTGGAGGAATCGTCTTTCGACGGTCGACTGCAATATCGACAGGTAAGGGATGGAGAGTTTTCGGTTTTGGAGGGAACAAAGCTGCAGCCCCGCTAGCTCCTGTGACTTCCTCGTCATCTTCTACAGATGAGACTGAAGACGAGTCATCAATTGTCGCGTCATCAGCTTCTGACTCATGAGAATCTTCTTCACTTCCACGACGGCCGATCATCATGACTTGAGGTCTATCCTCGGTCTCACCTCCCTCAGCATCAAAGAACTCATCAGTAGATGCAGTAGATTCAAGACTTCGCCTCGATGTAGAAGCAACAGGCATCGGAGTGCGCCGCCTCTTGCTATTTGAGAGGACCTTGGTAAACTCCGAGACGACCAAGTCTAAGTCGTTAAGGAGAGCCTCGCAATGCGCATGTGTACCCCGATCGTCTTGATCGCCCTGGATAGACTTCATCGAAGATGCCGTTCCATTCGGTCTTGCAGCAGCTGGAGTGGGAACAGCTAAAGCCGACGAGACCGTTGGTGCTAAAGTATCTGGTGCTAGAGGCGAAGCGCTAGTTTTGCGTTTCCAGAAGGACCGTTTATCTTGAGCTGGCGTGAAATAACCGTCACTATTCTCCGATGCAGCCGGTGAACCGAGTGATACGTGTGAACTCTGTGGGCGCTGTTTTTGCACCGTCATATCCTTAACCAAGCGACGTAGAGCATCTCTTGTTCCGACAATACGACTAACAAGAGCCTCGACTTGTTGCCATTCTCGGTCCTCCTCTTGGTGTGTATTTGGTGGATTCGCCTGTGTCGGAGTGGCGACGGTGAGTTTTCGAGCTGGAGCCGAAGCCGAAGCTTCCTCAAGCATTGGCTCTAGCCCCCGAGCTATCCGACTCGCCTTCTCTAGAGCGCGGGCCCAGTCATTAAATTCCTTGGCATTTGATGCCCTCAGATGCCAAACCTCGGCTCCAGAATCAATATTGATCTCCCTTCTTCGCTCATCTGCGGCAATTGCAGCTAAGCTCAAAGGAATTGCACCTCGCAGCGCGGAAGTACCCCTGTTATGATAATACGACAGCGTGCAAGATGAATAGTCTAGGGAGAAGAATCTGCGAGCATAACCCTGGCCCTTCTTCCTCCGCCTCTTTAGCAAAGTGCCCGTATATGTAGTTGAACTAGCCGTTACATCGCTCTGACCTGCTAGTGACTTTGCTCGTTGGCCTCGGGTATGACTCTGTAGGCTTTCGGTAGAGTCAGCGGCAGCACCTATGTGTGGACTATGTTTCCCTAAACTAGTCTTGCTCGTGCTCGCATGGGAACCTCCCTGAAGGTTTGGGAGGTAATGCGCTCCTTGGGGCGGTGCACCAGTTGGATATGTAAGGAGTACGAAGGTCGCGGTTTTGGACGTTTGCTTCGAGAAGGTATTATCGAATATTAAGCCAAACATGCCCCCTTGACCTTGTAGTACGTCATATGTCCCCATGGACACCTTGTCGGCTTCGCATTTTCCGTACCATTTTATAGGAATGAAGCCCTTATTGGCCAATTGTTCTTGTGCTGTGCTCGCATCTTTTTTACCAAATCGGCTACCTTTTCCGTGGGTTCCGCTACCATCGACATGTTCGAGCGAGGAATTGAGGGCGTCTACGGTTGAGCCATAATTCGTTGCGCCGGAGCCAGGGTGTTTGACGATGCCGAAGTTACTAGTAACACGTATTGTAATTAGTATTGTTTCAATTGCAATTGACATCATAAGTAGGGAATGACGTTATTTTACTCACATTGACTTCTTATGAGGCTGCACACTCCAAGAAATGGTTTGGTCTTCTTCGACTCTTACCCATCGCACAATGTAAGACTATTTGGAGAGGTGTCAGCTCTCCAATTTGGCTAGAATAGAATTGTCGCGTCTTCTTTAGAGGGGGGGATACCTTGCTATGGATTTCCAACTGCTCAATCCCTGCCATTGTCGAGGTCGCAAAGAATCAGTAGTAACTAACAAGTAGACATGTAATTATTGGTGATTTAGTGGTGACATTTCTTTATTTTCTTTATTGTCGGAAATAAAAGGAAAGACGTGGTTATTATCGTGAAGTGGGAATCGAGATGTATAATTCGTCTGCCTATTTTGTTGTAAGATGGCTGGATGGCTGGATGGTGGTACCCTGCCACAGCTGTAGAAAAGTGGTAGGGATTAGGATTCACCCTTTTTATTTAATTCTTTTTTTATTTGCCTGATTCAGTAGCCAACTTTGGGGTACAACCAATCCACGGTCCGCTTAATTACGTGTGGAAAAAGGACGAGCTTTAATTCAGTTTGGGTTCATAATTTACGAAAAAGTATCTGTACATATACGAATCATCTTCGGTACAGACGGAGACGCGCTTTACCTTGATGAGGTACATACATGCATAAGCTCTGTGGCTAGTGTTACATATATGTACCTCCAGGCCTAATTGAGGTCATCGGGACAGTGGATCTCGGGAATCTTGGAAGGAACCTCGCGGCAGTGTCGGGTCGTACAGAGGGGTCCTAGTGGCTGAGTTGTGGCTCAACCCCCCTGAGCCCCTATTTAAACCCCTGACTCTTTCAGAATTACATTCTCACATGGTTGACAATTTTAAAATCCCCAACTCATTTCTACATACGTCACTGGCAGTTCGCAGGAGGTCTATATCTTTCGGTATCACCAGACACGAAACTTTAATCCGTATACAAAAATGAGTATAATCAAGAACATGATTAATACAACTTATAGCGACTTAGTCCACTGCTACCTATTCATATTATGCCAAGTCATTGTGGGGTCGGAAAATATCATAAGTGAGGCTGACTGTGTCTTAGCGTTAAACAACCCGTGATTCCTATTTCGCGGTTTTCTCTATCGCAAGCCCAACGCTATTTCGAGTACCCATTGGTTACGTAATCAACTCTTCCAAGAAATGCATTCTATGAAGTATTCGAGATGAAAAGAGTCTGATGTTTCGTGTTAGAACATTCTGGGTATCTGCGTACGTGAATAGTAAAATACAATGATGTCGCAGTGAATAATAGCTACTAGTCCCAGTGTAGCTGTTTATTATGAAGCCAAAATGAATGACCTGTCTGTAATACCATCCAACTCATCCCCAATCAATCCAGGTAATGATTTAACGGTTTATTCTGAACACAATCACTTCGTTCTCTTCGCCCGGGAACATAATAGGTTAAGGACCAACCTTTCCACCACATTTCCTCTCTACGTATAGAACTATACAGCTGACGCAATTGCTCAACATCCCAAGAGTAAAGTGACTGTCGCAAAGTCCTGATTATGGCATTTATTCCTAGCCGCAAGCCCTTATTCGCGCCGTACCTAAGGAACAGTAGTGGACGTCAGACTGTTTCGTGTGGTTTTGGCACCAGCCCAATAGATCAAAATGGCGATCATACACACATTCATGAGTTGGACATGACTACCGAAGGGTAATGAGATCGAATGTAGTTCCACGAGATACGTATTCATTGTTTTTCCAATAGCCAACGTTTGCGCTTCATAAGTATTTAACCTCGTCTTCTGCTTCATAGACAATTCCATCGACCTTTACAATCCCCTAACCCAAACACCAACAGACCATTCGAGTCACACAACAAACACCAACAAGTTTCAACTTTAAACAACAAAAAATAACAGCAAAGATGTGTTGGGCCTACTATAGACACATATACTGCCGAACCTGCAGGCACTTAGTTGACCTCAAAGTCATGTCAGTCCAGGAGGGCCGTTGCCGTGAAGCAATTCGGGGTGGCCTTTCCCCAGGGACGTGTAGACAAGGCGCTCGCTTCGATGCTAACCGGTACCCGGACGAAGTTCGCGAGATCCAGGAGTGCGATACTTGCCGTGCACGTCGCGAAAGTGAAGAAGAGGCTGCTCGCCAGGCTACGAATGGGGTGTAGATGCTGACTGGATCAATATGGAGGTATAGAATTATACCGGAAATACTAGCAGATTGGAGACATACAAAGTGAGGGGGAGGGCCAGCGGTTAGGGAATTTTAGGAAAGGGAGTTAGTTAACATATTATTTATACCAAGGGCACTCATATGGTACTGTGCGTGACTACTGAATTGAAGTGACTAAAGCGCAATGACATTGAATGTAACTCCAACAGATACATATTCACTGCTTCGCCAGTTGTTACTGATGTCTGTACTCCAGAGAGGAGAATATCATGTTTATTTAAACACCGTAAATATGTGCATCCATCATACATCTTTAAACCCAAACATCATTGATACTACCTAAATCACACAGAAGATATTCATAGATTCTAAAGCCGTAAACTTCAAAATAGAAGCCTCAAAATGTGTTTCGGCTACAACAAAAACACCTATTGTGAAATATGCCACGATTTGATCTCGACAGAGATCATAGTACCCCAGCGTGGCCGTTGCTTCGAAGTAAAAAGGCGGAAACTAGTCGACGGGGGATGTAGACGAGGCGTTGTCTTTGATCCTATTAGATACCCAGACGAAACGGTCGGAATCCCGGAATGCTATGGATGCTACGCTCGTGGATGGCTACAACTCTGGACTGATCACTATAGCCAGACAGGCGGCGGGTCGTAGTAGCCTTTACTCACTTCGAATAGCGAAGTTGACCGTTTTAGGCCCTAGGTAATGAGATCTAGGATACATCAGGGGGCAACGGCGAACGGCGAACGAGGGCTACGGGTTTCACGGAAGGGGTTTATTCGGGTTATGTCTGATACAAAGGCTGTATACATGGCAATATACTTGAAATAGGGCGTTTGGGGACGTTGTTGGAGCAGCTAAGTGATTAAAACGTATGTCGGAAATTTTTCGACGAAGTAGGACCTCAGTAGAGATGTCAAATTGCGATTTTGGTTCCTGACGAAGGCGATGATAGGCCCATAAAAACCCTAGTGACTTCCAAAAGCCGTTCGGCCCGCATAATTAATGAAATATCGAAGGAGAAGGTAGCAAGTGCATCTGCTCCTATGCTCCCTAGAATGCCTCCTCCAATTCCTGCTATGATAGACTCCATAGGACCAACAAGAGCTCCCACGCTTGTACCGAATTCACCTCCGACAAGAGCCCCAGCCCAGGAAATTGCCTGTCTCCCCAGTTCCGCCTTCCACCGAGGGGCATTTCCAACCTGGTATAGAGACATAGCCATGGTGATGCCAAATAGGCTTTTGAGAAGCTCGCCGACCATGTTGACTCTACGAGTCATATTATGGTTTATTCGTCCAACACATTTAATTGTATCAATAGCAACCTAGATGGCGCACAACAATCAGCTATGCCCCTAGGCTGCAGGTTCGTGGAAGCGCTCTTATAAGCTTACTTGATCTGCCTCAGCGCCGTTCAGATTTTCGAAAGCTTTTCCATATCTCAAATTTGCATTTTTGTTGAGATAGTAATTGTAATGACTAGTGGCGAGCTTGAATCTCCGTACGAAATAGAGTCCAATTAGAGACGTATTCTGTCGTGAAATTTCCATAAGTTTATTTCGTATACTGTGCGCTTCTCGAATACCGTCAACGGGTGTAATATCTCCCGAATTTACTCATCGGAGTACTTCAGAAGCAACCGAAGAAACTGCCTCTGCGTATTCGAGGCGGACTTTATAGTCATTGAAAAACCAGTAGTCGATGACAAAAGTGCCTTTAAGCGCCAGTGGCGCACTGTTCAGCATAGTTTTAGTTCATGGCTGTGAAGAATAGTGATTGAAATGGTTTTCTAGGCGCTGGCTGTCAAAAAAACCCGCTAGAAATACAGTATCGCTATACAGTATTATAAAATTAACACTATGTTTAATAAATCATACGGGAACATCCTAGATATAATCAATTATATTTATATCCAACCTATTCCAGTCGTGATAATATAATATCATCAATTCATCGCCATACTCCAATCGCCCGGCGTAAAATGCTGACTCATCGGTATATCTGTCGCCATAGCACGGATAGCGTCCACATCAACAGGTGTGGCAGCGGTAGCATCTGGCCCCTGTAATCTTTTCATAAGGATTTCTCGCGTTGCTCGTTCTTCAAGACCCAACAAAACACTGTGTAGTCGGTGTAATGGATACCAAGTGGAAACTTCCTTGATCTTCACAAATATGCTAAGGCCCTCTCTAATCAGAACTTGGTCTGCTTCAAGTTGGTCGATGTCGTTGCTCTGTAGCTGGTTTACCAAGACGATAACCAAACTCGACACATAAGCGCACCCCGTACTCCTAATGTAGGTGTTAGCCACGTGGTTCATCTTGTTAGACGGGTGGAAGGTCTTACCATATGTTGCTAATAGTTAAGGGCATGTTCTGCACCAGTTGCAAACAATCTCTGCTTGCTTTGACACACCTCTCCCACTGCTTCGGATAAGGGGGGATCTGAGCTCCACATTTACTTCCGCCCTCAGCACAATCACGAACCGCCTGCTTGCTGAACTCGCTGATCAATTTCAACCAGCCCGCATCGCGGCTCCAGACGCCATGCATTCGGACAAGAGCGCCGATATGAGTAAAATGTAATTCGACCATATGAATAAAAGCGCCCATCCTCTTATCTGACTTCTCCGCCGCGAATCCATCCGGGAATAGGCTCCGAATTAGATTCTGAAGTTGGAATTCAGGGGGGATCTTCTGTCGCCAATTCTCCAGATGTGCATCGAGTAGGAATATCCGAGCCCGTCGTTGTTCTAATGGTAGTTTAGATGGACCTGCGGAACTTGAATATAGTTGCTGGTAAATTAACCCCTGAATGCCGGCGAGTTGTACGCGATGGTGGAAGAAGCCGAACGGTACCATACCCCGCGAGACCTCGGCGAATACGTCATTTTGGCTCCCTTCCAACTCTGATGACAGTTCCACATCGGTGTCATCGTCTGATAATAGTGGTGGTGTCTGATATCGCATACTAATCTCCTATTTTATATATTAGCCGTATCCGTGACGCCAAATGAAAGAATAACCCAACCTTATCAAGTATATAAGTAATCCAGAACAACCGCTCTCTTTTTATCCTAAGCGGCGCCGGGAACTCCGCATTATCATCAGATGAGTGCAGACGGAGTCGATGGCACAGTTGAACCGCCGACCCCACCAACGTAGTTACAGGCCGAGAATCACGACTACCAAGATACAGCATCATCAGGCCCAGTAGAACCTGGAGCGGTACCAAGTCTTCAGCACTATTCATGAGGTCCATCACAACGTGTTCTACATTACGCATACACCTATCGACCATAGGATGTTCCACGCCGATCTCGAGAACCTCCGTCGCGCTTGAGGGCACGCGATACGATAGGCCGATGACAACGCTTATAGCGGCGAACATGGTCTGTCGCGTGCAAGTGTTAGCTGGTATATGATTATAACTACCACTCTGCGCTTGCGATTGACTGTTTGCACCCGATGGGTGATACCAATCCATCAACAGCCTATAAAAGTCGCTTTTCTCGAAAAGGGGGATGAACGCATTAGTATGCTCGAAGAAGCGCTCCACAAGGGGAAGTATATCATCCAAGGGCGGTAGTACTAATGATTGATTTGTGTCCGACAGTATGCTTATAGCCGATTCAGCTTTTGAATTAGATGTAGAAGTTGTGAGCTTTTGCGTCGCATCTCCCACGATGACACCCGACCACGAACCATCACTATTCGGTGGGGAGCCATGGCCCTGACCCGCAAGCGACGCATTCTGCGCCAATTGCGCCAGGCGGCTTTCTAGGAAGGCAACACGTTCTTCAAGCGATTCATTTCTAGATGCTCCAGAGTTATTCGCTTCACTGTGAGACTTGTCACCCACACTAGCATTGGACGTCTGTGCCTTGGCCTTAGGTTGTGCTGGGCCCCGCCGCCGATACAGAGATGTCTTGCAGGGAGTCTCATAGAGCTCACAATTGGAGCATGTTGGCTTAGCCATATTACATTTTATCTTTTTGTAATAACACACATCGCAAGCTAGTAACGGGCCAGGTTAGCTAATCATGTATTACTAATAGCTTTGGGGGTTATGGAAGTATCTTGCCCTTGCGACGTTCAATTTGAGAACCTTGCTCCATTCGAATGAGTGAATAGGTGTATGTTTAGTTCGTAATATACGTATTAGTAAGTCAATAGTGGGAATAGGAAAAAAGAGAAAGGTACAAAATAACATGAAGAACACAGGAGTTGTGCCATATTCCATCGTTTGCCACTATACAGGCGGGTCAATTTTACGCCGCACCTTAGAAATCGGCTTAGTTCAGTCATCTCGAATCCAGACCAACCCTAGATTAAGTAAGCAAAAAGAATGGATATAACTCTTTGCGTAAGTTAACCCCGTCTCTCCTTTTTTTATCCTACGGGTGAAGCATTTCGTCGAATATGCATGGTTCAGGTCTGCCCATAATCAAAAGAACGACAGTGTTATGTCAAGATTTACTTCTTCACCACGACACGAATCCCTTTCGATCCCCACTCGGGGTGTGCAGTTACCAAGTCTCTCGCGAAATCGACATCGCGGTGGGTCGTCTCAAATAGTTCAAGTTCGTGACGTCGGAAGAGCGTAGCCAATCCGATATAGATCTCTGCATAAGCCAATTCCATCCCAGGGCACATACGGCTACCGCGACCAAAGGCCACCATGTAGTGCAATAATGGCTTCGGTTTACCATCTAATGGTGGTAAGTAACCCACCGCCTCGAGTTGTGCGGGGTCTATCATTGGATTGCCGAGCCAGCGGTCAGGCAGGAAGACATCGGGGTCGGGAAACAGCACCGGGTTCCGAAGCATGTGGTAGTTGTCCATGCTAACCGGTATTCCGGATGGGATTACGTAGTCGCGGTATTTCCAAGCAGATGAAGGATTGACGCGCGCCAAGCGCTCAGTTGCGCCGATGGACATGCGAAGACCTGGAGGTATGTGTTAGTAAAGGGCAGCAGGTTAATTTGATGAGGATGTAGAATATTAAGGTGATACACAACGAGGAAGAGATCTTACTTTCGTTAACGACTGCCTTCAAGTAGTCAAGCTTTTCGAGCTCCATCCAATGGGGAATGTTATTAGGGTCGGGAATAGCATCCATGAGTTCAGCTTTCAAGCGCTCCTCAACGAGTTTTGGGTTAGCTAAGATATGATAGCTAGCAACACCCATTGTCCATCTGGTCGTCTCAAAACCAGCTGCGCCAACACTAATGGATTCTTGCGTCAGTCTTTCTGGCGTCAACTCTTCTGGCGGTAATCTTGATGACAGGATCTCGTGGACGAGAGTCGGGTGTTGGGACTCTTTCGCTTCGATGTTGCCGCCATTGATAATATCTACTACCTGACGGTATAATTCCTAATAAATAGGTAGACCTCTAGTCAGCTAGCATACTCAACTTATTCCAATTGTCTTCCTCAGATAGCAAAATTTGGCAGTAAATAATTTGCTTACCTCTTCGAGCCTAATGACGGTTTCCAAGGAAGGAACAGCTATCTTGGCAAGCCATTTCGGGAGCAAGTTAATGAATGTCGTGATAAATTTAAAGTGAGTTATAACGTGAGTGCTGAATACTGTGGCTACGGTGAAGTCGCTCTTGAAGTCGGGAGAATCGACATGTTGTGTTGACTGACAAAATGCTATTTCCATAATAACATCAGTGGATAACGATGCCCACACGTGCAAAATATTGAAAACCTTCCCCGTACCGGCGTATTCGGTCGACAAACGATGTGAAATTCGATTCATAACACTCTTGATAAGATCATCTCGTTCTCGGATTTTGGCGCGACTGAAGAAGGGGGCAAAGGCAGAACGGCGTTGACGGTGTTTCACTGAGTTGTTTGTCGCAAATGATGTGAGGGGTTTGTCAAACGTATTGGTCAAAAATGGTAACTTGTCGTATTGCGGATGGTTCGTGTAGAGGACATCATAATAGGTAGGGTCGTCAATGTGTAGTTCAAAGGGGTTGATCCGAACGATAGGGCCTTGATGACATCGGTCCATCAGCATGGTACCGTTAGATATTCGTTTTTCTTACCATATTTTTCATGCATTCGTGCAATTTCAAATATAAACCGGCCACCGCCTTGCTTGAAAACATCATGGTATGTCTCATACCACTGGGTGAGGGCTACGAGCCTTGGCCCTGGATATTTGGCCAGTGGACTCAAATATAGCCGGTAGAAGGCTAGAGCAAGGACATAAAGGAGCAATATAACAGATGCTATGATCGCTAAGGAGTAGGAGTATCCATGGTCCAGGGGTGGCGGTAAGCCACCTCTAAGCGCATCGATTATGGAAGTCATGGTTTGGCAATGAGTTGATTGTGTTACTTAGTATCTTAACATTTCACACTGTTTTAATAAATTAAAGAGAATCATATAGTAATAACTACGGCTATATCCATGCCATTAACGCCACGCTGAAGTAGTCCCCTCAAACAGATTCATTGAGACTAAACTCAACTATGATAGTCTTCATAATTAGGTCACGGCAACTCCATACACGCCGTATTCAAGTAGTCCATAAAATTAAGTATGACAAGGTGGCTGAAGCTAAATACTAATAAATGTCACGCCCATCGATTGAGGTATGTCACACAACTGTGAAAACATCCCCTGAGTAGAGCAGTGGCTTGCCAAGAATCGTATCTCCGTGGCATTTCCCGTGGTTAGCGCCGTGGCGCCGTGGAGCTCCGCGGAGAACTCCACATCAGCCGTGGTAAGCACAAAAATGTGGTTGGTCATGTTCTTGGATCATTCACACTCTTGAAATCATCACGATGGCTTTTTATCAATGACAAATCTGCCGCCATGGAAGTTGCGTTCTGCAAACGGAGTCTGTGTTGAGTGTTTAGCTAAGGGACGGCAAGTCGTTGGTGACCAAGCGAGGCGAAAGATGCCATCAGTAGTAGACAACTTTTGATGAGATGGTCTTGTTCATTAGCACGCAGATAGATTAATTGAGAGAATAGCATCATATCCGTCCGAGTATAAAATGTAGATAAGACATGGCTTTTCTTCTAGCTCGTCAATTCGAGCACACCGAGTCCTTGTATAACCACATCGGCAAAGAAATAAGACATAATGGCCACCACAGTTCTCATCACCGGAGCTAATAGGGGTAAGAAGAATATTTGATCTACATCGGGTAATGGTGTCGTGACTCACTCAAGTCTAGGTATTGGTCGAGGTCTATCAGAGGCGTACCTCTCACGACCCAATCACCTTGTATTCGCAGCAGTCCGCGACTTCAATTCTCCAACAGTGGCGTCGCTCAAAGCGTTCCCAACCGCCGAGGGATCGTCGGTGGCGTTCGTCAAGATCGAGAGCACATCCGAGACCGATGCCGACGATGCAGCCAAGGCCATCCAAGAATATGGCGTCGACCATCTCGACATCGTAATTGCGAACTCCAGTATCTCGGGCGCGTTCTCGCGCATTGAGGGTATCGACATCAAGGATTTGCGTGCGATGTTCGAGAACAACACGTACCCGGTTGTAGCACTGTACAAAGCCGTGTATCCGTTCCTGAAGAAAACGGCAGAGCTTAAGGGCCCTGGAAGCCCCAAGTTCGTCGCTATCACTACAAACGCGGCTAGTATCCTGAATTTGGAGGAGAACATACCCTTCATACTTGGTAGCTACGGCGCTAGCAAGTGCGCGGTCAACTATCTCGTTCGCCGCGCCCAATACGAGACCGAGTGGCTAACTGCCTTTGTCGTGAACCCGGGGTAAGTTTGGAGATGTGTCTATCACGAGGTGAGAGAAGCTAACGCAGGTGACTGGTTACAGGTTCGCACAGACGGATATGGGAGCCGTCGGAGCTAAATATTTCGGGCTCGCTGAGGCCGTCGTCCCCGTCAAAGATAGCGTCGCTGGTATTATGAAACACGTAAGTTAACGTTGAATTTGCCTATTTATCTGGTTACTGACGGCATTGTGCTTTAGATTGATACGGCCACTCGAGAGCACTCTTCCGGTAAATTCTTTGATTATAGTGGCTCAGAGATGTTATACTAGACACCTAGGTGGTCAGGGCCATGTATGAAAGGGAAGACTCCAGAGCCTGTGAGACTTTCAATAAAGATAGAAGTATGGCTATGAGGACTAACTTCATTTTCCGTGATGTCTGCGATAAGTTATGTTGTTAAATTGTTTGAAAATCGCAATTACCAAATGATGATCTCCCAACTTGTATCAATATTATGACTAGAAAAAGAAGGTTCAATACTTGATTCATATTGTGCCTGCCCAGGCGCGCATTGAACATTGAAGGCCAACATAACCCTAAAAGGACCTGCACCTTGAATAGTAAAAATGTTACAAGCGATCCAAATGGGTAGGAGTCGGGTGCCGTGGAACATCCAGGAGCCGAGAATGGGTTAGGGGTTGAGTAGTCCGCGCGTGTGTTCATCGCTAAAATATGCCGCCACCTCTATCTTTGGGTTGTGGGTATGTATCGCGAAGCATCCGGGGCTGCTCCGTGGCTTTGCTGACAAAAAGGGGGACACTTATTAACCCGACCAAGGGGTGTTACATATCTCCCATGATCTCAAAATCCTGCATATCCTTGGGGTATGAATGCCATTCGGCCTCCTTTAAACATGAGTATCAAATATTCCCCTGACTCTAGTAAACGCCTATAGTAGGCCTCTCCATTTTTTTGGTCAACCTCTTTCTGAGTGGATCTCAGGTTACCCCTATTCTTTACCTGTAGGGTAGCTTATGGTAAGCTAGTGTTAGCGCCTACCACGAAGGCATGCGGGATGCCCATAGATGGACGGGTGGTTTTACACCAGAATGAGATCTCTCAACTGGCTCTCATCATCCGGCCAGGCCTCCCCCTTCATGACGCCATGAACATATGCAGGAGCCACCACACGAAATTCATGACCGTGAGGCCTCAAGATGATCGGAACATCCGAGCCAGCGAGGAGGAAGACCTGATCGCCTTCCTGGCAATGGTGGTACGCCATGCTGAGGTAGCCGGTATCCAGCAAACCTATGGCATAGTATCCTATCGGCATCAAATATTCAAAAGCCGCGAATAGTTCCTCTTCTGAGGAGGGTACACGACCCCCAATCCTGTTGCGCGGGAAAATAGACTCCAGGTGCAGCGCTCCGTCGGACCAGGCTTTAACGTCGTCTTCTGTACAGTTACCTGTCTGGCGGTGAAACGTAAGGGTTGCACAGAGAGCAACTAGGGGTTTCTCGCCCGTTGGGAGATAATTTGACATCGAAACGATGACTCGACACCATCTATAACAAACCTCCTGGAGTGCGATCCCCGAAATATTAGTTGGGCTTTTCCTTTGCTCTAGAATTTCCGCCGGGGACATTGATTCCTTTTGTTTGATGGTGCCTAGAAGTTTCCCTCTAACACATAGACTCCCCCTTGGCTGGTCATTAAGAACAGTAAATTTTGAATCCCGGCCCGCTCGGTTATCTCTGTGGCTCATATAACCGACTAGAAATTGGTAAGCTGTTGTGTCAATGGGACGAGTGTTGCCAGCAGGCTTCAAGAACTCGGGTATTGATAATTGCTCTAGTGATGTCGCTAAACGCGTCAGTTAAAGGCTTTTTATAGTCCGGTTCGGGAAGCAGTATTCCCAGAGCACGAAGAACGGCGTGTAAATCGTACAGTCGATCGTGAGGGATGGTGGCCTGAAAGCACCTGACGGCTTTCAGTAAGTCCATTTCCTTGCGCCGCTCGGACAAACGTAACTTAGTCCATTCCTTGCTAGAGGGTCTCGAATATTCATCCAAGAGAAACCTATAGAATCGCAACGATACCAAGGGTTTTCTATCATCTATATCTTGGCGGATAAGCCAATAAAACAGTATGAGTTCTCTGAACGCGTCCCATGATACCGAGACATGTCCGCTCATAAAGACGCAATTCTGTGAAAAAGCAATCTCCTGCACAGTCCATACTCTCTCGAACCAGCTATTACAAAGCATTTGATCTAAGCATTGGTTGAAGCTCTGAGACTTTGGTGTAGCTAATTCAACATATTAACAACATGTTGACTTCTTAGGCGAGTCCGAATCTTAACTCACAACATATTAGGTCTAGTATTTGAGTGGTAAGATCGCGATTTCCCTCGAAGGCTGGGAACGTAAGGCGTTTTAAAAGGGGCGTTAGGCTTTTGTATAAGCTTATACATAGGAATAACCGCCGAATGGTTTTATTTTCTAAGCCGAGCCATACGATAACCCGTAAAGCCCTGGAGTAAAGCTCACCCATAATAAGGACTTGGCCATTACGTTCAAAAATTGCATTCTCAGTGTCCCTGTGGTCAATGCAGATAGAATCAATCCATAATGTCCGGGTACAATATTTGGAGCGCAGGTGGATGAGCGCATCGCGGCAGTTGGGTGTGATGAGGAGTTGCTTTCCGTCACAGGTGATGGGTATTGTACCCCGACGAGAACCCCGAACATATGATAGAGCCTCGTATGGAAGACGGCCAAGTCTATCGCCAATATCAATTTCGCGGATGCGACAACGCAGTGGGGCGGCTCTCTTCCACGCAGGCAGTAGATCGACGACTCGGATTGACGTATTCGAGGCTAGAGGGGTATGCTGATAGCTACCCATTGAAGTAGATTGGATTGTTGCGAGATTAGAACTTCTAAAGACCTTATAATAAATCACTTATTTAATATTTTCATTTACTCTTTGACTTGAGATTACTGTCATAATTTATAAATAGTGAGCGGGTAAATTGGTTACATAGGTATGTATCTACCTAAGCAATTATTACATTATAAGTTGAAATAGAGAGGGGGCTCACTTATCTGCCTGGGTACCCATGTTGGTTAGTACTCAGGTGGCAGAAGAAACGTTAACCTAGGTGCCAACCGTATTATACAGACTGTATTCTACTGTGTTACTAAGATTCCTGAGCCTATCACATAGTCTTAGTTGGATAGTTGGACTGACGCCCTTCTGGGTAGATACTTGGATTAGGGAGGCATCCAATACAAATCAGAGGGTGTGCGGCTGTGCCAACTCAGCCACTGTAACTACCTAGAAGGACGTAAAAAATAATTACTGTGTAGTCTTATAGAACATATAGTATAAATATTATACTTCCTAGCTACCTGGGTAGGTAATCATATAGTCTATTCAGTACAGTTGAAAGCCATACTAATACCACGATGACATTTCTTATGACGCCCTTCTACCACCCTGCTCACGATTAAGATTCAGTCTTAGGTACTTAATCGACATTTCCCTACAATAATAAGCTAATTCGTGATGAAAACTCGCATTTATTTTGCTTTTTTAATCTATTAAGTACCTAGCCTAATGGGGGACTAACCTGATAGCCACACCCCTAAAAAGGGAGGCTGGCATTATGCGTTCCACGGCTACAAAAGCCTGCGCCGGATCGAATGCAGCCATCATCAAACTCGCGACGCAAAACACAACCTAACCTGATTGGTATATCAACGCCCTGGTTATACATCTAACAGGAAAAAAAGGTGCAAGGGATTTCCTCCTAAGACTCATCTATCTTCTCATCTGCTGCATCTTGCTGATCTCACTGTTGAAAGTGAGCTTGAAACCGTTGCAGAGAGCAAGCATATGCGGGTACTGGTTGTTCTTCATCTCGAAAGCGTGAGGTACCACCTTAACATCCCACATGTTGATGGGCGAAGACTTGCTGGCCTTGAAGCAGAGGTAAAAATACCCTGCTCGCTTGGGGTTGATGCAGAAAAGGTAAATCGAGCGGTTTGGGTTAGCATCCGAGTACGAGGTCAACCATTTTTCTGTCCAAGTTAGCATCATTCATAAAGTAGAAGACTTTGAAAGAGGAAACCTACCGGTATCCGCGACGCTACCCTTCTTGAACTTCTCGTGACCCATCATCTCATCGACTTTCTTAGCCATCGCTTTGACATGGTCCACGATGAGTTCATCCAAATCCGTATACGTGTATTTACCACCGATACGAAGTGTCTTACCGACCGAGAACTCGCTCTCTTTATGCAGTTCAAGTACATCGATATGTTGGAAAACTCCATTCGCGACCTTCCAAGTGACTGTAAGGTGATCATTACCTTTCGACGACGGGCGAATAACCACGTCGCCGGAACCCTGTGAGCCCAAGAACTCCTCTGCCTGCGTTGAGTTGAACGGCCTAAATAACGGGTGCTTGATAACTCGCTGGGTGCGACCGGTGACCTTGTCCTTTTCTTTAAGTGCCTCTCTATCATCCTCTTCTTGTCTGACATCCCAAACCATATGATCGCGCTCATCGCGCTTCCTATAGGGACGACGCAGCGCATCCTCGCGGAGTGTGAGCTTCACTATGAAATCCTTACGGTTGAGATCCATAATCTTAGCTTGGACGGTCTGACCGACGTGGATAACATCCCTGATCGATACATTGCTTCGGTGGCTGACCTCGTGAGACTCAATTCGGCCTTCGATACCGCAATCCAGCTTAGCAATGGCAAAGTCATCTTTAACAACCCGTAGATTGACCGGGATGATCATGCCCTCGGCTAGCGTATCCTTGTTCTCGCCCGTGAACATTACGAATATTTGATCGGGGTTCAAAAGACTGAAATTTCGACGCAGTTCTTCGTAAGGCGCTTGCAATTCTGCTCTGATGGTCTCCAAAGTGGCGCGCTTTCTCTGGTTATAATTCTTCTCTAGTTGCTCCGCATATTCTTCGAGAATAAGCTCATTGACTTTTTCTTGTTCGTCTTCCCGGAAAAGCTTGCGGACTATAGCGCCGGCCCCATTCTCGTCAGTTTCGGCTTTCACATCTTCTTCATCCAACTCAAGCGCGTCTGCTGCCATCTTTCGACCCAACTCGTAATCTTCGGGGTGCACACGAGTGTTGTCTAGCGGCTCCGATGATGGGTTGGTAGCATCATATTCGATGTAAAGGAAACTTGCACAATTATTCCATACGCGAGGACCAACAACGGGTAATTTGTTGTTATCTGGATCACCAACGAGTTCATCTCTCGAATTCACAACTCCGCCGTTAGTATTGATGGCCTTGATGACGCTTGTTGCTTTTCGGGGACCCAAACCGGCAATGTAGGGTAAAAGGTTTGCCGTGTATATATCGCCGACAGCCTCGTTGATATCAACACCGCAAAGGTTGACCATATCCACCATTGACGTCTCCAAATGCTTCAATAACTTATCTTGTGGAAGTAAGTATTGGCATGGGTTAAATAATAGGGAAGTGACATCTCTTCCGAGGGCTGCATACTCCTTCATTGGGTTTTGCAGGTATCTCGCCAAAGCAACGCAATATCTTGTGTTGGAGGTTAAAGTGGGGTGGTCAGCCTGTGCTCTGGGACTGTCTTTGTAGAGTCTTGCAACTTCATCGTTGACAACCACAACCTCCAATAACTCACTACGATAATCGTCTGAATCGGGATCTGGGAATTCGGGCCCCGTGAGATGCTTCTCGTTCACAAGACTCTCTACGTCGCGAACCAATCGATGAGTATCGGTTGAAAAGCCACTGACACCTATGACGTCTGGCTTCCGGCGCTCAACGAGTTCAACGAAAGCCTCGCGTTGAGCATCATCACGAGCTAGATTTCCAAACTTGCCATGCTCGATAACTCGTCCATCTTCTTCAACCCAAACCCAGAATACTGGATCCCGGGCCGGATCACCCATGCCATTCGACAAGGCGAGGACGCGTGGGGTTGTGCCTAACACCATACCCTTGGGCTTGTAGGGGGCTTGATCAAGTCGCTTGGAGTATTCTTCGCGGCAGAGTTTTAGAAGTTCCTCTTGGCATGCTGTTCTTAGAGAATCTTTGACTCCCTTGGCTACCACTCTCTCGAGTTTAGTGAATGCTATATCAAGAACTTTCTTACGTTCTTCGTTCCATGCATCCGCAAGTTCGCTGTAGTTGTCCGAGATAAATTCCGTCTGCAGCTGGCGCCGAAATTCTCGCTCGTTCTGAAGCCGAAGCTTAACCTCGATAAGGCCTTCCTCCTCGGCCTTCATCATCTTCAGAAATAGTTCGGGTCGGCGGGCCAAATCAGGAATTGTCTGGTTGATGAGATACTTTATCTCGTAGTATGGATGGGACTCATCGATTCTTCGAAGACCCTTCTCTGTTCGGTGGCAGGTAATATCGCCCATAATATAGAAGTTTTGTCTGAAGAACTTTCGCATTCTAGGACTCATGAACAATTCTTCTGCGTACATAAGCCTTGCCTGGTATAGAACTTGGTCGCCGGTGGGGAAGTCACTGTCAGTAAGGCTGTCTGCTAGATCGATCGGGAGGCTTGGCTCATCATCTGAGAGCACCTTCTTTCCTTCACGAAGAGCATTTTGTGCCAGTCGGTCCGGAGGGATGCCGAAAGCCTTCACGAATTTGTAGACGTTGCTTCTGCGGGTTCGCTCGAAAATGGAGGATTTCCCCGGACGTTTATTTCCCTTCACAACCCCGTTCATGGCGGCGATGTCCTTGATCTGGGACACGTATTGGAAGTTGATATAGTCTTGTAAATCTTGAAGCTCTTCCACCGTAATTGCCTGGTTAAGCATTTCCGAGATCATACCGTCCTTTACCTGAGCAGCTTTTTGTAAGTTATCGTAAATCTTCTCAAGCGTAGCTCGCTTCTCGAATAGCGACCGATACTTAATATCCAATTCAAGAATGCGCCAGAGGTCATCCTGTGTAAGTAACTTCTCTGCATTGACGATATATTCAGGCGCTTCGGGGTCATCGCGGTGTTCAGGGTTGCGAATCTTGCGGGCATGGATGAGATAATCTTTGCGGTGCTGAAAGACATATGGTACTTCAAGATCCTCAAGCACAAAATATTCGAGCACCTTGCCCACAGCTTTTTGAAAAGGGGCGTGTAGGTCATTGGAAAGGGCTTTCTTTGGCCACATTAGATCTGCAATCCACTGTATTTCCTCCTTGAATTGTTCACCTTGGATGTTAAGGTGTTTGAATGGTTTGCGATCGAGTTGGAAGCGTTCGGGCTCGTCCGTGAAACGAATAGCGTTGTCTTCATCAGTCAGGAGCTTTTCCGCCAATTGCGAGGGCTCGAAGACATCCTTGAGCTCAAGGGTCTGTTCTTCTCTCTGGCGTTCCTCCTCCTCCTCTTCTTCGTCTAAAGCCCATTGGTAGTCCTCCCCGTTACCAAATATGGCTTCCATATCTTCCAGGGCATCCTTGTCGAGACCGGCGCGATCGACGATACGCCCAGCTATACCCTTGTCTCGTGGGCGAGCAACTTCCATATCTTCCATCTGACGTAAACGTTCGTCCTCGTCTTCGGGGAAGTCTTCCTCGATGAAGTCATCGAATTCATCGACAGCGGCACGATGGCTTTGTCGCGCGTAGGGTCGATCGTCAACGGGCTCGTCATCTTCGTCGGAAAACATATCATCAAGGCCGCGTCGCTCATTTCCTCGGGTATCATCATCGCGATGGCCACGCTTAAGTCGCTTAAATTTACCCTGTCAAATCGTGTTAGAAACAAGAAATTATCTAGGCGAGTTAGTGATTTAACATACCTGCGAAGGTTGTTTGCGTTCCCATTCAGGAATATTCTCGCCGATCAAATCAAGATCCTCTTCATCCAGTTGAGTCTCCTCTTCGCGTTCTTGTCGGCGCTTGCGCTTGCGCCGTTTGCGTCGTTCGTCCTCGTCCTCAACTAGGTCTTCGTCTTCGTCTTCGTCTTCATCCTCGTCAACAATAAAGCCTTCGCGGATCTGTGCAACATCACATTGTCAACATCTTGTTATACGCTCAAGGAAAAAGAATTATAGAATACCTTGCGAGCTTCTTCCTCATCGTCATCATCTTCATCTTCTTCGCTCGAATCATCCACTTCCTGGTTACGCTTCCCAGATCTCTCGCGAGCCTCGCCAGTCTCTTCATCGAATGATTCATCATCTTCTTCGTCATCTAGCTCCGCCTCCCCCACAATCAGGTCCCTCATTGAGTTACTCATGTTGGCGAGGCGTCGACGAAGAAAAAGATAGCTGTTGTTCTATGATTGAAGGATGAAAAAAAAAGACCTTGTACTAAATGAGAGATGAAGGATGTAAATTGGAAGCTTGAACAGAGGGCGATCGCGTCGTTCCAATTAAACCGCCACGTCTCTGCGATGAAGAGGAGAAAATTAAAAAGAATGATGGAAGAGAAAGAATTCCCTTAGCCTTAGAAAGCTGGAAATTTGTGTCGCGTTGATAAAGTTCACTGGCTTCGCGATTGGATGTTAAGGTTACCTACTAGGAAAAATAACCTTGCTGACTACTGCTTAGCATTGACCAGGGTAAGAACAAGGGGGACGGAAAAAGCCAGCCACAGCTATCACGTGAAAGGTGGGATAGAAAGGGACGCCGCATAATATGAGTCAGCAATCTAGCAGCCGAAGTTTGAACGAAGCTTAGCTAAGCATCTCATCTTTGATTGGCTTACGCCAGATTTCTGTTCCTGCATCATGACCTAATAGGAATTCTGATGACTAAGGCGGGCAAAGGTAAAATCTATTCGACGTTATAATAGCGTTTATCTTCGGCCAACATTTCAAACTCTAGAATTTATTCGCTTTCACATTAGAAACAATATTAGGAATCCCCTCATTAACTACCTACTAGGTAAAGTGGTGATGAACATGAGATTTACTAGCTACCCGCCTATCATAGCAAATGTTCGACATGATACACATAATCCGCTCGCAATTCCAAACGACTATTGTAAGGGACCACAGCGAATTCGGGGCTATCAAGGGGGGTGAATGGATGTGTGCTTCACGCCAGTAGGATGCATCAGCCCCCTAATTTGTGTGTATAGAGTAGATAAAGATACTCTATTTTATGAGGAGTGAATAGGGTAAGGTTTAGAATTGATCACAGCGTAGGCGAGAGGATATCATACTTTAATATAAAGTTTAAGTTATATGAAATATGAAAAAGAAAGTATTTATTTAGTCTATCAATCTGAGTTGTCGGAACGAATTAATTCTGTACATCTTCTTGGGCAAGTACCTTGGTTGCTGTACCTAACATTTTCATACATGTAACCTATTATAGTAAGGTCCGACCCTGTGGTCCCCGCCAACTCCTGAAGCTAAAAAAGGTATCCAGTACATCTATTGCGGACAGATCTAGCTTGTATCACTTAGTCGCAAATACGACAGGTGATTATTATAGTGGAAACATGAAGCTCACAACCAAAACTACAACCACTTTTCCATGCTTCCACTCACATCGCGCCTGTAGACGCTTTGAACCCAAGCATGACGATGAGGTTTCAAGTCCAAGAAGCCCCTATTTAGGGATTATCACTCCTCAATTCGTATTTCTATTATTTATAATTCCTTTGTATTAAGGACAAACATTTTGCCACTTTCCATATTTCATCCTTCTGCCGCCACGGTTTTTCTCTTTCGGTTCCTGCGGTTGTTCATCCATAATCAACAGGCAGACAGGTCGGTTTTTCAATATCACCTGCAGTTCCTTGTGCTATCTCTTTTTTTAGCCTCGATTACCTAGTTACTTAGGTACATAAAGATTCTGTTGATTTAACTGCACATGTGCCCCAGGGACGAATATCTCAACCAACTAACAACGCCTTGATTCGACGTTAAACCTATTTCGCTGTGGGTGCGGGCCGTAACACATAGGCTTTTACGATTTCGATTTAATTCAGTTGAACAGGCAAGTTTCCATGTTCTTTTTCCATGAATCTTAAGGATCAATTACTCGGCGACTTACCATTCATCAACGCATGCATATGTATCCGCATATATCCCACTCCATCCATTTCTCGTATCTACCTATCTATGTGCCTCTAGCTATCTATTCATCCATACATATTTCCAATTTTCACTATCTACTTTCTAGTGGACATTATAGCAAACCTATTGCTAGATTCTAATCCAATCGTCTCATTTTCCACCATTCTTCGTCTAATACATTACAAAAGAACCAACCCCAAAGCTGGACCAACCACATCACCAGGCTAGGCACTTAGCTATTATTAGGTACACACATGTATTCAAAGTGGTACCTGCCATTGATCGAAAACAGAGAGTTGGTGGTTGGGTCGGTACACCATCCCGGCTTCAGTCCCACTACAACTTAGCAGACTCAGCAGCCAGTAGCGCTATTTCTACATATACTTTTACCGCACCTTACCACATACATCTTTGTACTTCCCTGTCTCCTTACTCCCTACTCCCTGCTACGCTACCAGCTCCCTGCCTGCAACTTTCCTGCACTTTCCCTTCCACAACGCCTGACCATTTTAATTTACTGACTCGATACAGTTGGCGCGACCCTTAGCCTTTTCACACCGGCGGCTACGTACCCAGAGACATTTTGACATTCAACATTCGACAACCTCCACCTTCAACCTCTAGCCTTCTGCTTGGTGTATCACACAATCCAATACATTTATTTTTACGTGGTTGTACGGCACTGCCTATCCTTACTCGTATAGTATTTGACAGGACTATCTGTTCGTCGGATCCCAATCCCAACTCCCAACTCCCAACTTCGATCCATTCGGGGTCCGTGAGGGGCACAGACCTATACGCGAGACATAGCCGCCACGGGACCACAACCCCCAAATAACTTAGGCCACCCGCCCGTGGACATGCAAATCTTTTTCCTGTCCCCGATCCGTGCCGGCTTCAAACTCTCTACCTAAGCGTCTCAACAAATTCCAAAAGTTCTCCTTTAAACTATACCACACATCGTATCCGAACGACTAAGGAATCGCCCATCATGACCGACTCATTTGCTCCGCGCTCGATGAAGCGCAAGAATGTGAAGGGTCTAGCGCTGACTCCGGCTGCCCCAAAGCAACAACCCGCATCTTCGAATAACGACCGCCAGTCGGGTTGGGGTTTCGGTGGATCAAGAGCCGAGGAAGTAGGCCAAGACGCTCAGCTCGAAATCGGGATAGAATTCAACCTCGACCTTCGGCAAGAAGATATCGAGATCGTAAAAGAGCTTGGTTCAGGAAATGGAGGCACTGTTAGTAAGGTCAAGCATTTGCCGACCGGAACCACGATGGCTCGAAAAGTAATTACATACCTCGACGCACCCCAGGAGCACGCAGTTAACAGCATACTAGGTAATCCACGTCGAGGCAAAGAAAGAATTGCGGAAACGAATTGTGCGCGAGCTTCAAATCATGCACGGCTGCCATTCCGACTACATCGTTACTTTCTACGGCGCGTTTTTAAATGACCACAATGATGTTATAATGTGTATGGAGTATATGGATGTTGGGTAAGTTGTATTAGAGTGGAAAATTAAACACAAGCGTATCGTAAACCTGACCGTACGTAACAACAGGTCTCTCGATAGAGTCTCACGCCACTTTGGACCGATCCGTGTTGATGTGCTTGGAAAGATAGCAGAAGCAACTTTAGGCGGTCTGACGTATTTGTATTCGAAACTACACATTATGCACCGAGATATCAAGCCTTCGAATATCCTCGTAAACTCTAGAGGGCACATCAAACTTTGCGATTTTGGTGTGTCGGGAGAATTGGTTAATTCTATCGCCGACACTTTCGTCGGTACCTCCACGTACATGGCTCCCGAACGAATTCAGGGTGAGAAGTATACAGTTAAGTCGGATGTGTGGAGTTTTGGTCTCAGCATAATGGAACTTGCTATTGGCAAATTCCCCTTCGCAAGCGAACAATTATCGGATGGAGATGGTGCACCTGCTGGTATTTTGGATCTCCTCCAGCAGATTGTACATGAGCCAGCTCCGAAGCTCCCTAAAAGTGATGCTTTCCCATCAATTTTAGAAGATATGGTCCAGAAATGTTTGTCGAAGGATCCCGACGAGCGACCAACACCTCAAGAACTTTGGGTAAGTAATAATATCCTCTAAATGAAAAATTCGTTACGCTAATTTGAAATAGGATCGAGACCCATTTGTACAGGCTGCGAAACGGACACCTGTGGATTTAAGAGAATGGGCAGTTGGTTTAATGGAGAGAGATAACCGCAAGTCACATTTAGTACCTCAACTTTCGCCCGCTACTCGAGAGCTTTTACGATCGAGTGAATCTCCGACTTATCAAAACGACGGCAACGCTGCGTACACACCAACCTCCGGTGAGATTCCTATTGCAGGTGCCATCGCTTCGCCACGGGACCAGAACCAAAACCGATCGCCCACAAGAAACGGGGTGGGTAGCCTCGGTCGCGCATCTGGTAGTACAGCTCATCCAGGACTAGGTCCACGGGCTGCAACATCTGGATCGATACCCAAGATTACAACCGCCGACCTTTCACAACCTGGTAGCGCTAATTTAGGGGCATCGTTCACACTACCTGTAAGGCCAGCACCTCCTGGCGGACCACTGCCACCTCCACCTCCAAGAAAGGAGACGCCAGATGAGCTTCGCAGAGAAAATAGGCGAGCAGCAACATTCATTCCACCAACGAATGGCAGCTACGGAAGTGCAGGATATCCATCGCGATAAAGCAGCCTCGCAATCATTATCTCATTTCCAAGTTACGTCGCGAACGCTGCACAAGATCATGCCAAGCTCGTATGCATATGAGCATACAGGCTCTTGCTAGACTGATGATCATCACTACAAATACCCACATTGCTCGGCGCAATGACATGTTCGAACCTCTATCCCCAATATATAAAAACATAGCATCCTAGGCATGCACTCATAGCATGCTCATAAGAGAATATATCAGACGGTTTTTTTAGGGAGAGGATATATGGGGACCGAAAAGACGATATTAGGGGGGTTTAGCTATGTGGGTTAAGTACCGCACGTAGTTGACGGTGATGGTGATTGTCGGAATGATGTTAGTCGCACATAGTACAAATGTGACAAGACATTATATGACATCGATTTTGGTGATTGTGTGATTGTTATGTGATACTCGATTTGTGTGTAAATAGATTGTAACGCCCTATGAGCCATGTTGCTCTATTCCGTTGGTGAAGATATTGATGATTAACCCCGAACGCAAACGTAGGCTACCCTCGGAACACCGACATATCTACCATTTTTTTACCACGCAAATACGCAAGACATACCACCAACTCAGTCTCACGACATCTCGGAGCCTTTCCTACGAAGTCAGGCACCATCGGATCAAGTTAAATCCAGATCTACGAAGATACCTCCCTCCCCACGAACCCATGATCCAGCACATGAACCAACTCATCTAACCGCTCGATAACTAAATCCGTGTGTTCATGGTCCGCTAAATGGCGATTCGCATCATTAACAAGCAACACCGTAGCAGCTCCCGCGCGATGCCCCGCCGTCATATCATCGATCGAGTCACCGACCATGATTAAATGCGATGCATCGCCGACTTCTTTTACTTCCTCCCCATTTCCCCCATCACCACCACTACCCCCAATTTTCCCCGTACCAACAGCGCCCTCCTTCTCCCCCGCTCCACTGGCGTCGCTTAACTCCTCTACAACCGTCTTAACAACTTCCTGATCCCGCGGTCCTCCAACAAGGCGTACTAAACCCCAGGACCGTGCTATGAAGAGTAAACCAGCAGGGTCAGGTTTTGGAGGGCGGAAATCACGGGTTACGACGGGGTGGAAGATAGATCCTGAGAGGAATTTGGTGAGGAGGTGGGTTACAGGTTGTTCGAAGTTGCGGGTGCATATTCCTTTGCGGACGCCTTGGGCGTCGAGGTAGGACATTAGGGTTGTTAAGCCGGGTTGGGCTTGTTGTTCGGCCACTGGGGGGGTTAGTTATGTCTCATTTTAAGAAGCGGGTAGGAAGTGAGTACTGGAACGGCGCTCGATGGCGCGGATAGACTCCATGGCTTCTTCTTGCTGCGCTGGTGTGGGCAGCGAATAGATGTGCTCTAGGATGTCGGTGCTCTTGGGGATTCCGAGAACGGAGCGCATTTGTGCGAACATGTAGTTCTGAGGTTGACTGGGTTGTTGTTAGCTGCCTTTCTTCAGTTTTGAAATTATTATGATATATATATATATATATGGAATAAAATATTTATATCTCAAGCGGTTCTGTAATACGGGTTTGGTATTGTTCATCCCGTTTTGATTTCAAGCCCTCCCCTTTATCGTGTATATCAATGAAGGCGCTCTTATTTTTTACTCAACATAATAAGATCATTCCAACACACCTGCTTGTTTGGCATAAAATCATATAATTTTCATATATTTCAATAGCACTTACCATAGTGTCCCATCGACATCAAATATGACCCCTTTCAACTTGGGTAAGTCATGATGATGCCCTGCTGCCGCTTCTTTCAGCGGTGCAAACCGTCTCGGGCGAGATTGAGTCATGGTGGAGAGGAATCTGCGCATGAAATATTTGGACTTAAGAAATCTTTAAAATTGAGTAGTAACTTTTATGGCAATTTCAATCTTAGCAGTGAGATCCTATGATCATTTAATACAATATCACGAAAGGCAAGAGCCATGTTAACAATTAAATAAATTAGACTTTGTAAGTATTATCGGAAAGCGCTATAATAGAGGAATGTTGCTCCATCGATCTACAAGCGGTAAAGTACGTGGTGGTGTTCCCTTCAGCGCTTTCGTGGTCCGTGCATACGGGCTTTTAGCGCCGTTGATAACGCTATTAGCAGCTCCCCACAAGCCCGGAGTGTTTAGCTCCAGCTATCTTTTGAACACCTAAGCTTCCAAGATTGTCCCTCTTCATCCCACTATTACGGCCAGTCTTTAGACGAATAACGAGTTCAACCATAACACGGTTCACGGTCGACTACGCATTATAAACGGCGACATACTTTATACCTTGAATTACCTGAAAAGTTTTTCTAAATTAAGACAAGATGGCGGACGAAGAGAGGCGTGCCGCTCTTAAGAAAAAGGTATGAACGGGCGCCGCACATAAATCTCATGGTGGGCATTTAGGTACTAAATCACAACGTAACAGGTTGAACAAAGGAAGAAGAAACTAGCCAACAAAGGGACCACTGCGAAGCAACAGGATAAGGAAAAGGAAGAAGCTGGTGCTTCTGAATCTAAGCCCGATACCCCCACTGCCGACGAGCCAGCTGTCGAAGATGCGCCCGCAGAACCACCCATCTCCCCCACGACTCCCGGCACATCTTCGCTCCCGCTCCAGTCAAAATTGCGCTCCTCATCTTTCCGCCAAGGGACAGTGTCACCTACGGGGTTCCCACTGAGTCCTGAAGGCGAGACAGCACCTGATATCTACAGAAAACAAGTAGCGCGCATAGAAGACCTCGAAAAAGAGAACAAGAGACTCGCTAAAGAAGCCGGTGACTCAGAGAAGCGATGGCAAAAGGCCGAGGAAGAACTAGCCGATCTACGGGAAGCCGACAGAGATGGCTCAGACAGCCAAGTTGAGAAGCTGGTACGAATAACATATTAATCAACACTTATTAACTACCATACTAACTAGCTCATCTTACAGAAATCCGAAATCGCAGCCCTCCAGCGACAAAACTCACAACTCCAAACCGCCGCCGCCTCCAAGCGCCACGGATCATCGCCTTCAATCTCCCTATCCGCACCCCCAGGAGAACTCCAAGCCCAACTCGCCTCCAAATCTGCTACTATTGAGACCATGGAACTCGAGATCTCCCGCCTCCGCGCACAAGCCGAGCGTCAAGCAACCGCCGGCGGCACCGACCGCGAACAAATCACAGCTCTCGAAGAAAAACTCGCGCGTTCCGAACAAGCGGCCATGAAAGCGCAACGTGAACTCGCCGACTTAAAACGTAATCTTGAGCGCACTACCGAGCGTGTGGTTAAAGAAGGAAGTGAACGTACTAGTGCCGAAACTAAGCTACGCAATCTCGAACGCGAGGTTGAGAAGCTACGCGAGGAGAAGGCGGAGCTGGAGAAGAAAACTGAGGGACTGGAGAAGAAGGTTGCGGCGCTTGGGACCCTGCATAAGGAGAATGACAGTCGATCGCAGGGCTTGAGGAAGGATAAGGAACGGGCGGAGAAGGAGGCGGCAGATGCTAAGGCTAAGATTGAGAAGTTGGAGGCGGAGAATGCGAAGTTGCGCAAGAAAGATGCTGCGGAAGGGGGTGGTGATGATGATGGTGTTGATGAATTGGAGGATGAGGAGCGCAAGCGTATGGAGAAGAAAATTCGTGACCTTGAAAGCGAGGTTTATGACTTGCGCCGCGGGATCTGGCATCAGCGTCGTCGGGACATGGAACCTGGTGCTGAGGACCTCGATAATGGTGGTCTGACGAGTCCCAGCGGATTTACGAATATTGATCTGGGTGGCCCGAACTCAGCGAGGAAGGCTAGTCAACGCGGATTTGGCGATTTCTTCACGAATGGGATTAATGCGCTTACGGGCGGGACTCCGATTGAGGAGAAAGGAGGCGATGATGGGTTTTTGGACGATGATGATATGGAGTTTGATGAAGATGCGTTTAAACGCGCGCAGGAGGAAGATGCGAAGAGACGACTTGAGAGGATTAAGGATATTAAGAGGAGTTTGAAGAATTGGGAGGGTTGGAGGCTGGATCTTGTGGATGCGAGGAGAGGCGGTGGGGGGCATGGTGCTGGTGAGGTTTTTGAGATTTGAACGGATGTGGGGGAAGCATGAAGATATGAGAGGACGAAGGCATGGGGATAGGGGATCAGGGGTGTACGAATAAAAGGGCGTGACACTTGCTGGCTTAGAGGTCAATAGAAATATATACGATCTCGCTGACTAGAGATATGTTCCACATGATGTCCTTGGAAGAAATCCGTGAGAAATCTACTTATATGAACAGTTCTCATCCCAGATATCTATCCTTGTGAATCAAAGTACTTGTTTCCAAGCCTAAGGCACTTAACATTAAACAGCAGGCAGATAAATCACATCGTACCAGTCAAAAGTATGCAGTAGTCAGTTTGCGGCAAAATATCAGAGCTCAATTAAATGCTATCCATATGCATCAATTCCAAAACGCTAAAAATCTATGGTATCCCCTTTTCTCTTTCCCGAACCCATACCATATACCCAAAATCCTATAATTATTAAGTATGATGGATTACGATTACTGGTCAAATTCACCAGCGTAGAGGATGTCTCTGGGGTTCATCTTCTCCCAGACAGACCGCAGGTCAAGGTCTTCCTCACGTCTAGCCACAGTGGTTCCGTTTCCAGCGAGTTCCTTGTCAGCTTCCTCACGCGCAAGTTGGACTGTCATTCTGTTAGCAAAACCATCAACGACTTCAAGATTTCAAAATGGACTTACCATGCAGGTAAACAGCAGTCCTCTTACCAGTGAACAGTGCATGCGGCACATTCGTCACATTATCCGAGTTCGCATCGCCAATAGCATACACACCGGGGATATTCGTAGCAAGCCCCTTCGTCTCATCAGCAGCAAGTCGTCCTCCATACAATTGCACACCCATCTTCTCCCCAACATCAGATCTCTGCTCATCAGGAAAACTCGTAAAGAAAGCAGCGCGCTGTACCGACTCGCCCTCAGTAAAATCCACACTGAACAAATCATACTCGGGCGCAGTCGGCAAACTCGGGTCCGCGGGATGAGCCCCGCCATCTTGGAGTCGGTTAATACGCGCGATAGTGCGGTTCTCAACGGTCACATTATGGATCTCGAGGTACTTCTCCCAATTCGGGAAACTCTTCTCCGCAGCCGCGCGCGCGTCGGGTGTATCCGTTCCATTAACAAAAGCAATAATATCCGAGTTCAGCGTTGAGATCTCGCGGACTAGGTCCGCGGCTTCTTGTAACGGACCGAGTAGACCAAGAGATTGGTCTTCGTGTTCGTGACCGTCGCACCACGGACACCAGAATATGCCTTTGCCCCAGTTCTCCTGTAAGCCCGGGGTTGAGGGGAGGATGTCCCGGAGACCCGTTGCTAGGACGATTTTCTTGGTGCTGGAGGTGCTGGTGCTGCCGTTTAGGTAGGTGGTGGCGACGTTGAATTGGGTGTTGTTGTTTAGTGCTTCGATGCTGGAGACTGTGCCGTTGACTGTGGTTATGGTTTCGTAGTGGGAGATTTGTTGACGGGCTGCCCAGCGGTAGTAGGCTGGTGTGACTCCTATTTCCATGTTAGTTTTCTTATGAGTCTGTTTGATGGCCGGAGTATTGCTCACCGTCGAAACCGAGGACATCGTGCATGTGTCTAGTGGGGCCGTTTCGGTACTCTCCCGAATCGATTAATAGAACATTCCTTCGCACGCGAGCAAGACCACTCAGGGCACTCAGACCGGACGGACCTCCTCCGATAATGATGGCGTCGTAGGTAGGTTCATCACGCGGTTCAATAGCAGCAGCTCCCGCCAGTGACAATAGCGGGAGTGCGCTCAGGGCGAGTATGTTCTTCATAGTTGGCTGTATATAGTAGCTAAACCTTGACGCCTTGAACTTCCTTGAACCCAACCTACCGAGTTACAGGGAAACTAAGAGGGATCACCTTACATTTCGAAAGTAAGAAAAGGCGTGGGAACACCTTGGTTTTATAGCTAACCAAATAATTCTTCTACGTTATGTTATGAATAGACACACGCGAAAAACAGGTTCCTGGGCCGAGTTGAACGTGCCCCCTGCCAGATGATCCCTACCGTATATTCATAGGAATGGTAAGACAAGCATAGTTGGGTCACTTGGCGGATCACGACATCTTCGCTTTCCCCGTCTGCTTTCAATCTACAAGATCCGGTCGTAGTCATGGGTATAAGAGGGAAAAGAAAGTAAAGTTGCATTGCCTCAGCTCGCCATGGAGTCGCATCAATCAACTCCAGCTATTAACTGTTATGCCGATCATGCATCATTATGTCGCTTCTGAGTCCCGCATCGAATACTACCGCGCAAGGGAGACGATACTGACTCGTGCACCGTTGAAATAAGAAGAAAAATCTGGTTCGGATATTGTTCAGGTGTGATGTGATATGCTATATAGAGAGCGATGAAAACTCCCCCATGCTGAGCTCATACTGCATATGTATATGCCCGTGCTATTAACGCAAGTGAAGATCATCACGAACTATTGATGATGATTCCTGGTAATAATTCTGCCCGGAACCCGGGTGCGGGTACTTACAGCGCTCTGCGAAAAAATTACCCCAATTTCGAGATTGCCTAATCTGGTAATACCTAAAAATATTGAGCGGAGCCACCCGCCTTGGCACTAAGTACATATGTAGTACCGCCCTGAAAGCCTAACTTAAAGTTACCTAGGTACTTCATCCACCAATAAAAAGGAGCCAGTCTCCTATCCCACTGCCACTGACAGCATCACTTGCAGCTATTATTGATGTTTTAAATGCTATTGCTTCTGACCGGTGCATGCGGGACGCTTCCGATCAACTGATAGATGGCGACAGCGGCGCCGTCGCATATATTAAATTAAAGTATTTTCAGTTTCTGCATGCTTTTTTTACTGTGTCATTGATGTTTAATTCTGAGCATTCCTTAATACAAGGACCCCGGACATTCAGTGGACAACTGATTCCTTTTCTCACCTAACATTTCCAAGAAGAGCAGGCACAAATTAGCAACAAATACTAGGATCAGATTGCACAATACTGTCAGCACCTTATTCTTTGCAGATGATATTTTTAAACATTTTATTTCCCTTAGTGGTCTAAGACATTTTTGAACCATGCCGGCAGAGGTGAGATCAGAATAGTAAAGATTCATTTAGTGCTCTTAGCGTCGGTGGGATATTTTGTCTGTGTCAATAATAGATATGTACAAAACCATCAACTCTATTCATTGAACTACTGACTCTACTCCCATTAAACCAACATTATCGAACCAACCACTCAAAGCAGCTCAACTTTACAATATGTGATATCTAATTAGCCAAGTCTTCCTCAACTATCAAAACAACACCACGAACCTAGCTTCACTAAGTGAGCTAGTTGAAGCACTCGGATTTCGAGTACATCGTCTAATTACAAAACTTATATAAAAAAAAGGTGTTATCGCAACGCCTTTCCGATGCTGGAATTACCGGACCGAGGGACCACTTAAGGTGCCACCATGAACCACCGATTCTCCCCCTTCTATACCCATGCGAAAATTTTAATTAAAAGGTAGTATGGCCGGCTGGTGTTGTAATACAAAATCGAATAATTCAATAAAACATTATGATCGGAAGTAGGTATAATAGATGGTTTGTTCGCTTTTGGTTGTCTTTTGTTTATTTGCTCTATCTGTTTAGTAAGAGAGCAGGAGTGCAGCGGCAACGCCAACGAGAGCCAAAAAGCTGTTAGTACCGGCGTGGACGGTGCCGGCGCCGGCGTCGGGGATGACGGTGGAGCTTGCGGATGAGTCGCCGCCGTCGAAAGTGGTTGTAGGCCCCGAAGGCGTAGCAGTAGCCTCCCCGGTACCGGCAGTGCTGGTAGTCGCCAGTGTACCGTTGACGCCGGAACCAGAGCTGATCGATGCTGAAGCGACACCCGTTCCGGCTGTGCCTACGGCGCCAGTGCCAGTTGCTGCAGGAGCGGATGCAGAAGACACGGCAGATTCAGCTCCAGTTCCAGTAGCCCCGGTGTCAGCGGCAGAGCTAGATACGACAACGAACGTGCTTGATGAGGAGGCATCGCTAGTGGCACCTTCAGTTCCGATGGTTGATGTAGTAGTAAAGCTACCAGTTGTGGTCTCAGTAGTGCTGCTGCTAGTGGTGCTTGTGCTGGTGGTGCCGCCGGTACTTCTGCTTGTGCCCTCCGCGACATCACTGCTGCCAGCTGCTGTATTGCTGTTAACATCGCTGCTGACGGCGTCGCCCGTGCTGGTGGCGGCGGCTATGTTTGTACCGGTGCCAGTGCCAGTGCTAGCGAAATCCGTGGCGGCAGAGGTAGCATCGTTTTGAGATTGGGATTGAGACTGAGATTGTGTCTGTTGTTGGGCTACTACGGCAGTAGCCGCGATGAGAGTGAGAGCTGAAGAGATTCTCATTGTGATTGGGTATATGTGATATAGTGTAGTAGGTGTAGTAGAAGGACGTCCCAACGGTGTAAGTGGTTAGTATACAATAAGAGAAGACTTGGAATGTAGTATTTTGGTTTATATTAGGATATCGAGTTGGTTGCCACTTTCAACTTTGTATTGTACGTATGGGTGTGAGTGATAGAGTAACCGAGTTAGGTGAAAGAAAGCTGATCGATGGAATCACCTTTATAACTAACTCGATCACGGAGGAGACATACCAGATTTATTCGACGGAAAAAGGAGACAAGCCCTGCCAAGCCTACTACTGTATACAAACCTTGAACCGCTTACGTAGACTCGCCCGTCTACATTGCCTGGTATTTGGCGGGCCATCTCGGGGTATTCCAAGAATACGCGTGTCGAAGGCGACGTTTCCAGAAGACTCGTCGGTTTAGGTTGGTCGCATGTCTCAAAATGGCAGAATGGCTGGATATTTTCGCACTTTACGCACTACCGGCACGCCCGGCAGCTATCGATAACAGGACTAAAGACACAATTAGCGGGGCCAATCGTGGCTATGAAAGAAGAATGGAGAGGACAAAAGAGGCTGACGGAGGTAACCCATACGCAAATAGCGCCACATTTTACTGCATTCAGGGATGGCTCCATTGTGGCTCGGTATCATCATCTGCGTCTTTTCGAGCCACCCAATTACGAATCTACTTGCTCGAAAACTTGATTTCATTGGATCATTTCTTAGCTGCCTAGCTGATTTGCATGGATAAACGACTTTTTGTCTGTCGGATTTCCAGTCACCTGACGGTTGGTATCTCCGATGTTAATTGTTTGCTTGTCTCCAATCAAACGGCTATGCGGTTCGATATGATCTCTTTCGAATATGCCCTGCTTCATTAATGCACTTGATCTTCGAGTAACATATTTCCAAAGATAGCTCCTTGTTACCGAAGAGTGGTATACATTTTCGGGTTAAGGCCCCCGGCTGGTGTTACTCAAGGGTGGATTTCGCCATGCAGTCCATAGTGATGTCTCAGTTTCTCTCATGATTTTTTTCTCATGGGGGGTTACGTGACAAACGGAATCAGCAACGGAGTCAACACCATGCTGCCGAAAAGTTTATCTGCTGAAACTACTTGGATATGCTAATTGAGAGTTAAAATGGTCGCATGTTAGCATGCCTGAGCCCATTTTAAGTTTTCGGTAAACCGAATCTAACGGAACATCCGGGCATCCCCAGATGTCACTCAGCGGTTAGCCTAGCTACCTAGCTGCCTGCATATCTGTGCGACATTTCACATCAACATCATTGGCTGAACTGACGTCACCGAGTCTCAATTCCTGACGGATAGTGCACTCTGCCTCTATATCCCAGCTCCGCCACCACCTATGATATGACAATTGGGATCTACCCGAAAAAAGCTTATCCGCTGCTGAGACAGAAAGCATCCTCTGTCAACATTTTTAATTAATATCCCTCAGCTAGTAATTCCTCAGGCGATTACGACAATGGTGCGTACACCATAGTTTCTATTTCCAGAGAAATATTTCTGCGTTCATGACTTTGACTAATATTATCCGACCCTTTGAGCACACGGTTGCCAGGCATATACGAGGGAAGCATACCTACTTACCTACAGTACATACCTCAGTGTTTAGCTCCTCTACATTGGATAGCTGATGCTCATCCTCAAATGGACGCTATAGTCTGGATGCTAGTTCATTCCTTTTTCATTAGCGAGTAAAGGTAAAATCACCCAAAGTCCCACAAAGTTATGTCCGGTCGGGATTCCGTGAATCCATCTCTCCCATTCATTGTCGGGAGCTTGCCGCACATTTTAGTGGGGCCGGTACCAGTCGCTCATTTCTCAGCTTCAGTTCTATTGTCTACTTGAGCTAAGTCGTGATGTGCCGCGAAGGATGCATCCTCGAAACGATGCAGTTGGTGCTAGCTCTAGATTTCTTGGGCGAACGTAAGATCTCAAAATCCTCCGACCCTATCTATCAAACTAGGTAGAATTCCGATATCCCGAGGAGTGTTGGATCGATTATGGACCGGATAAGGTATAGCTTGAGGAGGGCGTGGTGAACAAACATATCTAACCAAGGGATGAATCAAGGGATAGCTATCTAAGTACTTCGCTTATTAATTAATTCTTGCCCTAGCAATCTATCCATCCTCACCGTCGTATCTGACATGGGTATGCCCCGCCTTCTCTACATTGAGAGCATTCAGCAAATCGCAAAATGCCACTCGCTCTAGAAGAAATAAAGGACGAGAAAGATTTCGACGGGGTCCAAACCGTCCTCTTCGAAGCCTTTGGCGAGCCATATAATTCTCTCCGGCGATGGTTCATACCTGTCTACACCACCGACGAAGCAGCCATCCAGGACTCCAAGGAGCGAACGGTGAAAAACTGGAAGGCGCATGATAATCTCCACTGGGTTAAGGTCACAGACACGGACACAGGGAAGATTATCGGAGCAGCCGAATGGGAGATTCGTGAGAAAGTGGACAGTGAACCGCAGAAGCCGATCAATGCGTACTGGCATAAAGAGGGCTCGGAGGAGAAGGCGTTTGCGGAACAGCTTTTGATGAATTTGAAGGGGTTTGTGAAGGAGAGGATGGCCCGCCCTCACATTGGTTAATATGCTTCTTACCCACTTATCCGAATCTATTCAGCTAATATGTTGTGCTAGAGCTGGAGCAATTGGTCGTACACCCCGATCACCGTAAGAGGGGTGCTGGGAAGTTACTAACCGACTGGGGCATCAGTCGGGCGGATGAATTGGGCTTAGAATGCTGTGTTGAGTCGGTCCCCTTCGCTGCCCCTATCTACGAGAAGTTAGGGTTCGGCAATGTCGATGGTCTTATCCCAGATATGAGTATTCCCGAGCCAAGCGCGAAATGGAAGGATTATGCGGCGGATGACCTGTGCGTCTTTTTACTATGGCGCCCGGTAGGCCATGACTATGATCCTAAGACAGACAGGCTCCCATGGGGAAAAGTCTGATATATAGTAACGATTGATTGTGTCTATTTCTCAGTGTTTCGGAGAGTTGTTGATTGGATTATAGTTGGGACCGATACTTATCTTCCGCCTACGGGGTTCTCATGCATGAGTGTAAGGAATCTTCACCTATCAAATACCGAGGCGCGGAATTCAGACTCTGCAGATTTGGGTTTCAACGTGATTTAAGTATTTAGAAAGGTGTATACCTCATATATCTCAACATTAGGGCCATACTATACATGTATTGATCGTCTCCCCCTAAATATCAACCTACATATTGATATACATCTCCGTCAGTCTTAACGATGGCACCTAGCTGGCTTCTCGAAAACCATGAAGAATAAACAACAGAAAGGACGAGATGGTAAGTTACACATTTTTCTTCTTGTCATTATCGTGGACAACCTACTGACGCATACAACGTTCAGTCATTGTACGGAGGCCGTATCGTTACCCCGACAATATCACAGCCCGACTACCTACATCACCTATACACCCTCCTGTAATGCAACGTGACATAATGCTCAGATTCGGTCCCATTGAGCGATTTCTCACCGTTCGTGCGGCTGCCTATGTCCGATACGATATTTCGAATTAGCCTTAGCCTACAACGGACAAATCACATCCGGGGGCTTCTGGCAAAATACCCAGGCATGTGGGTCAGCCAACATACTTCTTTCGCATACGAGAATGGTAGCCGCCTTATACTCATGGCGAGTTAAAAAGATTCTCGATCCTAAAATCCTTCAAACAGTTAGAGTGGCCTGATGCGTCCAATCCAATATAGAGGTTTGACGGTATATCGGAACGGTACCGAGATGAATATATTGAATATCAACCAAGATGTGGGCGTCGTCATCTGTGGAGCTAAGAAGTCAACATATAACTCTCGAATGGTCGTAATTATCGTATTGCAGCTCTGTCGTTCCATTACTAGTTGACGCTTTGCAACTTCACCTGTCAATTGACCTAGTTTAGGTGAAAGCCTCGTCTGGCCTAGCCGGTTCGATACGGTCTAGATGAGCCCGTCTTACCGGCTGAATTAAGCCTATATAGCTTCACGATACCCTTTTGCGGGCGCTTTACCTAATAGGTCTACTAATACCTGGTATTTGGTTCTCGATCTCGCCTGTCAACGTCCGTTCCACGACAGCTTGCAGTTTTCCGGGCTTCATCCCTCTATTATTAGAAACCACGAGACCATCCGATATTGGGTCTTGTTTACTTGCTAGGCTGGGTTTGGAGGCTGATGCTACGTCTGTTAGACCTACATAAGGATCATTTGCCCAGACTTTTCAATTTGAGGTAAACTTTCGCAAGGACCAAGGTTGCTGTATGAACGTCCTTGAGGGTAGACATCAAGATGCCTTTCAATATCCCAAGCTTATTGGTCATTATAGGGCTCTTCGCGTTAAGAGCCCTTGCCGCATGCAGCAGTTATGGCGTTGACTACGTAAATGGTGGCTCATATGATATTGATTCATCCTCAAACGATAACTTCACCTTTACGACAATGTTCCAAGGTATAACTGCGCACCTGTTTTACCAATGTTATTCTTGTGCTGACCCCGCCTAGGATGCAATCAGGAGTCCGTCACGCCTCTTCTCATAGATCCCAGTGGCGTCCAACACCTTTGCTCTGCGGTGAACACAACACCAGACGGAGAACAGGTCACATCAACATGCGCGATTACATACTCGAATATGACCTCTGGTTTATATAAGATTGTTATATCAGGAACCAACATCGGAGTTCAGAGGACAATCGCACTTACAGTTGGCACCCCAGCTACGATAATCATCACTGCTACGCCTACTGTGGTAGTCGGTGTAACTAGCACGCCGGATGCAACAAGTGAATATAACACAGCTATCTGCTAAGGGGCTCAAGCTAATGCTGCTACAGCAATATACAAAACAATAGCCCAAACGAAGACCATAGTCCTATCACCCGGAACAGTCACAAAACCTTGCGACGGAACTACTCAAACCGTGACTGTTACACCATCAGCTCCGACCGTCACCAGCACCTACATCATCACCCGAACAATTACGGATAAGAAGACTACCAAACACTCCACCACTACCATTACCAAGACGGCGACTTGTCACTATCTAACAACCAAGTCGTTCACCGTTCCGGACCCGTTACCCACAGCACCATTACCCACGATATGTATCGGAATCGCTTGCATCCCACCCGGTATTGGTGGCAAGCCCACTATCTCTGGTGCGGTTTTGGCGACGGCTCAGCCGAAGGTAGACGCTGTTGGAGTTACTACTGTGACAGTGACTGAGACTACGTTCACTATCACGAGTACTACTACGACTACGGTTCCGGCTTCAACTACGACGGAAGATGGTGAGTAGATAAAACAGCTGCTCTAAATGAGGTCTAGGAAGCTAATCTTTTTTATAGTTTACCAAACGATTACTGCTACTGTGTAAGTATAACCGGAAACCTGCCAACTCGACCGAGAGAAATGGTAGACTACACGAATACTATTTACGGAGCTAACAAGTATCATAGAACACCCGCTCCTACTACCGTATGCGACGACAAGCGACCGCCGAATACCATAACCATTACGAAGCCGGTTATCATAGCCACGGAGACAGACGTAGGCTATACAACCACACACATCAAAGCCACAGTCTGGGTCGGGTACGTAGTCCTTAATCTAGTCGCGTTCGGTACGTATATAACTAACGAAATGTGCAGGGAAACCAAATACAAGACATCGACAGATAAGAAGAGCGCGACATCCTGTCTGAGAAATGGAGGATGGTACGGTGTTGATGATTATGCTCCGACAGGGACAATCTCGCAAAGGCAGTCTCGCGAGTTTCGTGCTTAAAGTTGTTGAAAGGGGGTGGATGAAAGATGATGGTGCAAGCAAATTGGCATGAGCCAGACATGCCTAATTAATATAAGAAAAACAATTGGAGACGTCATGAATGTGTAAAAAAACTGCACCCTCTTAAAAGTGCACTCAAACTAGACCTGTCTAACACGCTCTCGGCTTTCGTACCCCTATAGCCCGCAATGTTCGCCAACCCGCCTAAGCAGACATGATCGCACCCCCTTTCTCCTACTAAGGAGTAGATGCACCAAAAACCACCTTACATACCTTCATCGTCACCAAATCCTGGCTCGATGCTCGAAAGATCGCTGCAATGGAGTTCACAACTCCTGCTCCGCGTTGCTAGCAACCATATTGCTAAGCGGCCCTTTCTTAAGCATAATACTCATGATCTCATAAAGCGCATCCGCGGCAGCCATGGTAGTATGCTCAGCGTTCGTGTCGTAAGCGGGCTACCGTCAACAAGAGCGCGTTCGAACGTTAGCTAGTTATTTTCCAAACAAAATACCCCAAACAACTTACAGCGACCTCAACAATATCCGCCGCAATCAAATTAACCCCCTCCAACCCCCTCAAAATCGTACGCAACTCCCTCGTACTCCACCCACCCGTCTCCGGCGTTCCTGTCGCGGGCGCGAAAGCCGGATCTAGCGTATCTATATCCAGCGACAAATAAACTGGATCCTTCGTCCCTACTCTCTCCACAATCTTGTTGATAATGCCATCGGTTCCGATTTGATCGATTTCCCGCGCTTCCACGATTTCAAAACCGCAGTACCCGTCGTTTTCGTAGTCGCTGGGCCCGGAGAGCGTGGTGCGGATCCCGGCGTGGATGTTGCTGTCGTTGGATAATAGACCTTCTTGTGCTGCGTGGTAGAAGTATGTCCCGTGGTTTATGCTAGCGACTTCGGAGGGGGAGCCGCCGAAGACTTTGGGTCGCCCTTTGGAGGGGAAGGGTTGGGGTTAATCACGGGTTAGTTCTTAGGGGAAGGGGGAGGGGGAGGGGGTGGTGCTTACATGTATCTAGATGGCTGTCGAAGTGGATTACTGATACGGGACCATACGCTCGGTTGATGGAGCGGAGTAAGGGGAGAGTAATGGTGTGGTCGCCACCGAGTGTGATGACCCGCGGTAGAGTCTTCCCGTTTTTAGATGGCCCTGGCTTCTCCGCGGCTGTCTTTGGCGCACGGGATAGGATGTTGTAGTGCCCTTCTTCGATTTGCTTTAGAGCCCATGTGTTGTCATAGCTGTGATATGATTAGCTTAATGATGTCTTATAGGGGAGGGAGTCTTAGACATACGACGTCACGGGGATGTCGCCACAATCCAGAACTTTCGCCCACCCGTTAAAGGGGTTTGTGTCTAGGGGGACGTTATATCCTCCGCTATATGTGGTTAGGATAAGTAAACGGCAGGCATGAAGGGGTGGGTTATTCAAAGGGGGGTTACTAAAGATTGAGGCGTCGCGATCCTTGGCGAATACCAGACGGACCAAATCGCGCCCCGGGCCGGTAAGAAGTTCCGGTGTCAAATGGAGCGCCTTAAAACCCGTTAATTCGGGATGTTTCAGTTTAGTATAATTGCTTTACGAACCTATGAAAGCTAAGTCATAGTTGGCATCGTCTTGAGTTAGACAAGGCTGATAGGGCAGACGGCCAAATGTTGAAATTCCAGAGAATACTGAGTCCGCCTACAGCGAATCATTAGAACTACCGGTGGATGATGTCTTCTTATTTGTTGGAAGACTGAACCTGTGTACCGCCATCTCCGGGTAGAACATTATACCATAAAGCTTGGTGAGGCCCGGATAAGGGCTTTTGGTCATTGGCCGTGGAGTGAGCGGTAGCACAAGCTACGTAACTAAGAACAAGATAAGTTATTAGCATTTTGAAATGGTTTTCGATTTTCAATGTCTCTACACGGCGCATCGTACGAAGAAGGGCTATAATATAAGTCTAATTGTATCTTGAGCTAATTGCTAAGATCATATTCTGCCGTTCGGATTGGTAGAATGCCGCTATCGATTCTGCAATGACAACAAAGCTCGACTAGGGCCGCGAGCTTATCACGTATAGCCTTCGTCCACTGAGAAGAGAATATTGATGAAGGGAGATCCATCACGACTGGTCGTTGATGTTCGACTTGCATAGTGGGGATGTCATCAAGTTCTTTCTTGTTAGGTAACAAGTCGGAGATGTTCTCTGCAATGTAGTGATGACATAGCACTTGAGTGCGGGGGTACTAGATAAAAGCTTCGTGAGCCAAGATCCCAATGATGTGAGTATATCAACTAGGTAAGATAAGTAGGTATACTGCGATTTTATATCAAGGATAATCCTGCTTATTATACTTTCAAAACGCCTACTGGCGCGTAAGTGTGAATAGTGGCACTGGTTAGATGCGGGAGGGAAAGGAGCGGATACCTAGCCCGAAATCTTACAATCTTATGTAAATACCGACCGTGAAGCGCAATTGTCCCCTTTCCAGGTAGAAGGCCAAAAGTGGTAATTCCACGTGGCGAGCTAGACGAACTTGGCCGAAGGGAAGGATAAGTTGATTGCTAACTGCCGGGTCGGCTACTCCCCTTCCCCGGCCAAGCGTTGCAAGCTTAAGGGAATAAGATAAGGCATGTCCTTAACATACGTAGGCGTATCTGCAGGACGAGTAAGGAGACGGATGATGGATTGTTTCAAATCCGACCTGCAGCAAGTCATCCATGAACCAAATTCCTTTTATAAGTTGATTTCCTGTTCTTGATTGGCTTGTCCCGACCGTAGAAAAGGGGACACTGTGCTTCGCCATAAGTGGTGCGCTCTCGTCTACGCAAGAAGAAGAGAACTGAGGAATTGGATTGATTAAGTCAGCTGATCTTCATCAGCAGAACGGCCACGTTTCTGCGGCCGTGAGTCGCAGGATGTGCGCACCTAGGGCAGCCCATGGCTTGCCATTCTTTTTCCCGACATTCGTACTGTCTCCACCATTGCCAAATCCTTGGGAATTTCGTCATAAGGATGAATGTGCAATTCTTCCTATTTGACTAGCACTACCGTACCTGGATGAATATTTTTTTCTTGGGATTAGGATAGATTGGGGATAAAGGGCCATGTGGTTCCGGTATGCACCTAGAACGTCGCAATTTTTTACTTCACCTCTCTAAGAAGTGTGGGAATGCCAGCCGCCCCTTTTGACCAGACAAGACCAGACCATGTTAGGAGCCAGAAGACGGCGAAGTCGCATGTCGGCCTGGGGGGTCTGGTGCTATGAAGCCTGATTCGTTCTAGGCGAGCTGCAGGCTAAGCATGGTCTGGCATGAGGCCGAACAGCCTTGTGCAGTTCGAGAAGCTCATTTGTCCTGGTGACTTGAGTGGCTGCAGCGGGGTGGTGGTTGATCCACACAAGTGCAGAAGGAGAGCAGCACAACAGATGAAGAATACTTCCCTCCTCATTGATACAACGTAACCTGCTCGTCTAGTCTCCTGAGGGTGGCTGGGAATATCACCCTATCTTTTTTCCTGAAACAGTGTTGTAATGAACACACGCCGCCATTTCGAGATATAGAAGATTAAGATGAGAACAAATATTTGATGTAACAAGCCAAAACTTATTGAATTGAGTAGATGCACTAGATAATAAACTATGAGATCTAATTAAATTGTATTACTCTTTTGGTGCAGAGACACATAAGCTACTAAACCATAACGAGCGGGCAGGCGGGACGGGAAGAGAAAAGAGTGGAAAGAAAAAGGAAGGAAAAACAGGAATTGACTACGCTTATCTGGGAAGTTGTTACTCCTTGTATCATAACTCTGCGCTTGACGTTATGCTGTACGTAGCCTATATACAGCTACGGTTAGTCAGATTTAGGACTATTAAGCCAACTAAGGTTAGATGGAGTGCGATGGCTGTTTCCCAGCCCCCTCCGATCTCCGAACCTGCCTAAACCAAACTTCCCCTCCACCCACCTTATGCTAGAGGAAAAAGAACGTGTGAAGCAGGGGGTAAGAAAGGCAATTCTCTCTGACGTTGTTTCCTCGAGATATACAGTTAGCCTGTGCAGTTGTGCATTTCACTAGTTCACTAACAAATGGGAAAGGGCATGTTCATGTTCATGTTAGGAGTGGGAAGGTCCCGACATCGTTCATCACCTGCATTCATTCAATCAATCAAAGCGATTTAATTCTGTAGCCGCCGCAGAAAAGTACTTGTACCTATTAACATCATCTGTACACCTTCGTTCCCATAATAGCACCAATTCCTTTGCGCTGCCGTACCCATACCTATACCCATACCCCGTGCGCATTTTGAACCCGTTCTATCATTAGTACTTACATACTTTGCTGTGTCCTATTCGACAATTTTCTAGCACTCACTACGTCTCGTAACTGGATCATCTCTCTTGTCGCAAACCAGATTACTTATTAAAACATCGGATCTTTCTTTTTCATACCCGCTTAGAAACTCATCCAATGGACGGCGCTTAATCACGATGCTTTTTGTACTTTGCCCTGCAAGGTCCTGAGCACCTCACCTTGGATCTGCTCTCCAAATTCGTTCCGATCGCTGTGAGTGGTCCAATAATCGGCATATTTTTATCGAAAAGTCTTGCCCCAGACAGGACTACTTTTGCGAAGACCGTGAAAGCTGCCTGTTGCTACATCTCGTAAGGGGCTTAACTATAGAAAGGATAAGAATTCGCTTTCAAAAGGGGCTTTCCGCAGACTACGGACTCGTCATTCATTTATTAACAATACCTATCTACACCATCTGGTCTACCCCCAAACAACGCCATTTTCTACGATGCGAATAATTATTTGGCCTGGTACAACCCAGTTAAATCGACACTTGAAGCGTCGGTCATAATACCAAACAACGTTTTATCACACTCAACAATGACCGCTTCCACCCAAACCGCCTTGCCTGCGGCATCGACAGCCCTCTATTTCGAGCCCCTGCACGATCGACCTACTCTTGGTAAGCCTAGTCAACACTCATTCAAGAAGCATAAGGTCCTTCCGCACCCGAGAAACAATCGGCCATTGTCGATAACCAAAAACCGACATTCCCGTGACCTATCTATCGATACTACGCAAATCCCGGAGTCGCATGTGAAGGCAGATGAACCTTCCACTCCACCGAACCCGAAGCATGACGATAGCCCCAACGTCAAAGCGCCCGGACCAGCACTACCTCCCACACCCCCGGCGCATTCGCGTACTTCTTCAGGTAGCCACTCAATCCAACCCTCAAGTCCGACATATATTGGTACTCCGGTGCAAAGTGCCACAAACATTTCTGCGCACTCTACACCGCGAACTCCACCTCATCAAGCGAGTCCACCTACGCCGGATGTGACCCCTCCCCAACCCGAGCGTCGATCGATACCTCCCCGCCCCATTCTAGCGGATCGCATCCCATCCAAAGCAACAGATTCCCGTACCGAGTCTTTTACGACAGCGCGTGAGAATTTAGATTCTTCTGAAGAGGACGACAAATTGTCAACACCTAAGGCAGTGTTATCCTCTGGTAGGGCGACACAAAATTTGGGAAGACGCGTAATTGACGCAAGGCAAAAGAAGGCGGCGAGCTTGGGCCTAGGCTTAGCCCTCGAATCCGATGATAATCTAACGCCAAGGTCGAAACGAGAATTTTCAGCTTTCGACGGTGAATGGGGCTCCGCTAGTGAAGTTGACCAAGAATGGGACAATAAATACGAAAGGAATGTCAAGGTGGAGAAGCGACGTGTTCAACCGACAACTAATGGACAAAAACTAGAAGTAGTCGAGGACGAGATGGTCACTCCGACCAACGCAACAAAAGCTGTGCGGTCAGCGCCCCTGTCAGACCGATTACACACCCAACCTTCACCACCCCCCGAATCCGTGAGCAGGGATAAGCGTTGGGCCGCCCCGTCGACTTCCGAGTCCTCGGTAAGCATTGATGTTAGGCGGTCCTCCGGCATGTCCTCAAAATCTACAGTATCTACAGTGGTGGAAGCTATATTGGTTGGGACGCCTCCCCAGAGGCGAAAAACGTTGCGGCATGTTAGGAAACAAACCGCTCTTAGGGACTCTAGTTCCGAGATCTCACCGTCAAGCTCTTCAGCGAACACGTCTCTACGCCAGGTAGAAAACGTTCAGGGCACGAGAGCCCCTAGAAGACTCGATGGTACCGCACGATCTGAAAGTCTCGCTTCTACTGGTACAATGAACTCTATTGCTAGTAGAAAAGCCCGCCGGGAAGTTTGGAAGAACGGAGGGATACCTGTAGTTGTCATTCCTGATCGCAGGGCTTCTATAAAGGCCACCGACCCACCATCGCTCAGATCTACGAGTAGTCACCGTTCCAAGAGGAGCAATAGTCTTAGTTCGGCACCTATATCGAGCCATTCTAAGGCGAGGGACTTAACACCTTACTTTGACAAACCTTCTCGGAGGGACAGATCTATGTCTGTATCCGACAAGGCAGTTCAAGTCGAAGAGCTAACAATGGACTTTCCGCCAATTGTTCCTTTGCGTAGGTCTTCTCTTTCGGCCCCAACGAGTAGAAATGGATCTAGAGCTGGGTCTTTGACTGCCGAGAGCCTGAAGGCGCACAATACCTTTCTGGAACAAGAGAGCAAACAGCAACACCAACAACAACCGCAGCACCGACCACCGCATGTTACGGTGGAATGTGCGCCTCCCGTCGAGGATATGAACAGTTCTTCTGATCAGAGACAAGTTAAACCGGCCCCATCCGTCGAGTCGCACAAGGATGCCCTTCATGATCACAGACCACTTGTTGATAATAACGGGGACCCCTTCTTCGGCAAACGGCTTACGGCACACAACACGCCATTTTCCCAAGCGTCCGTCGAGACAAACGGGACTCACTCTGTGGCAGATATTTCGGAAGCGATGGCGGTGAACATTTACCCACATCAAAATAAATCTGTTTTGATGGTTCATCACATGTCGAAACCCGTTGACCCTGCCGTTGCCGCAAACGCGTTGCAAGGGCCAGAACCCGCCCAGACAGGAGATGGTACAGAAACGGAGAAATTCTCAAACAATCCTAAGATTACGGCAAGCAGCCCAGATGGTGCGCCTGCGACACCGCCCCAACCTCAATTTTCGATGGATGATGTAGATTCCCCCCTTAGAAACCCGCGTGCTCCTCCCGAGCCGCCCGCGATCAAGTTCATCCCAGCTACTCCTTCTGGATTAACTCCTGCCGCTGAAAAAGAGAAGATGCTTGGAAACTACTTTGAGGAGAGTCAAAAGCGACCTTCGTTGGTACGTCGCGCTTTTAGTCTCCGAAAAAGCACGGACAACGTTCGTCCCACTGGTTTCCTCTCACGAACCTTATCACTGTCGAAGGGTATCCGAAAAGAAACGGCTGAGAATCCCGCACTTGATAAAAGCAAGGACGCAAAATTGCACCAATATCCAACGGCTGAGGACCCACCACCAGATGAGTCTAAGTTACATCCATTTTGGCGCCCTGCTTTTGAAGATGAGTTCGATAATTACGACGATTGGGCGCACGATATCCCTGCAGAGGTGGATGGACTTTATATGTACCCACCGGCTGGTGATCACCGACCGACTCGTCGTAGAAGTTTGAGCGAACGAATGAGACGTACATTTGCGATATTACCTATCGATAATGAGGACCACTACACGAGTTTCGACCGACGCAGTCCAGAGCGTCGCACTGTCAAGCGCACACCAAGCGGCAGGCTCCGCGTAATGAGACATCGCGACAGTTATGGTAGTCTTGAGTGGAATGGTCACTGGCAGTCTGAAGATTATGATACCGATGAGCGGCCATCCACCGCCCCGGACAATCCGAATCGACGTGCCTGGGGTGTCGAGAAGCGTGTGGATGATCGAGGACGCAGGCTTTTCCCTAACTGGCAGGACAAGTTGGATCAGTACCGTCCTCAGAATCTCCAACGTAGGTTAAGCGAACATCGACGACAAAAGCGCACAGACGCTCTCCGACAGAAGATCAGCGGACCCCGAGAAGTTCGAGATGGTGTGGGCGAGGTCATTAAGCGCAATAGCTATAAGGGACCTTCATATCAGACCATGTCTAATGGACACGCTGCTTCAAATGGCAGGGCATATCGCCAACAACCCGAAGGACAGCCACGACGAGAGACTGTCCGAGCCTAAATTGCTGCTTGCTACTAGGGGCTTGAGCTGTCGATTAGCACGCTATTCATTGAGCTATCGTGACCTAATCGGGCGGAATTCTCGGCTTGCGATTTGCTTCACCTATGATTCAACACTTCGATTCCTATTGTCCCATTGCTACTACGTGGATACCCTTACAAGAATCACTATAACGACCCATTACTTTTTGATGACGCATACGAGCCACGATAAAACATGACCTTATCATATTCCCCCATCACGATTGATTTTGAGATTTTCTACTTTTCATCTGATCCTCCTTTCACGACATGACATCGGATTAAAAGGGAATGAGATACAAGGCTTTTCTTTTATTACTTCAACTACCCAAGGCATGGCGGTGATGGGTTGGGCAAGACAGGCCGGAAAGGGGGAAAAGAACGATGGATATGAGATGATGAGGATTTTTATTTTTTTTACACTTTTCTACTTTAGTGCTGCGTGATTTTTTATGGGGAGTCGTGAATCAGGAGATGAGATTTACTATGAAATACCTCTGCTGGGTGACATGATGGTGCTGCTTTGCGTTTGACTTTAGGGGGTTAATACTAGGAATTGATTTCCGGCGTTGCCATCCATTTTATGATTTTGTATTTTCGTGTTGTGTGATTGTGTTTTGATTGTGCTGATGCTGATACTGATGTTGGAATGTAGGTATGTTGTGCTGTGCGAAGTGACATGATGGTTAACCATTATACTATTAGAATATAATGAAATTTATAAGATTCGAATCAATGCAGCTGCCCACGCTATACTTAACTTAAATTTCATGTTCATTTCATCGAAACCGCGGCGGCCTAGTATTTTGATCAAGAACTAGTTGCTGACTGTTTGGTCATGGTATACGCAGGCCTGAAAAGCAAAAAAAATGCCCTATCAAACTAGAACGATCGAAGTATCTCTTTTAATTGCTCAAAGCAGGAAATCAATACCCTACAGCCCTTCAACACCTTGCCCAGAAACCAAGTAGTATTCCTGTCCAGACTCCTTCCTTTTAGTAATTGAGCTACCACTGCTTCGGTATAGGATTTAAGTTTTCCTCAGCTAGGCCGCGGGCTTCTGTTGTACATTTGATATACACGGGAGTGTATCATTTTGACGTGAGTGGTCGCACTTGGGGTGCGTCTCCTAAACGGATTCTGGATGGGTATCATCATCTCCTGATGGCTCTCGCCCAAGCAACAGAAAGGTAGCCAAGGGCATTTCCCAGCAATCCAAGGCGCATCTTACTAACTTGAAGATCATCGCGATTACCTCACCCGCTATTACCCCCGTCGTGGATACTGTCCGCGTCCCCTGCCGTCCCAGGTATTCTTCGTCACGCCTCCTCTCGAGGTATCGCGATAACTGCTGCTCACATTACCACTGCCACTCGCATTTCCATTTCCACTTCCGCTCTGATCTCCGCCGGGACGCTCCTAACGACCAGGCGGTCCGGACGGTCCGGGCGGAGGTGGGAAACCACCCGCGGCACCGGGTGGTGAGGGACCACCAGGGAAGCCCTGTCCCGGAGGAGGCATACCAGGAAATGGGAAAGGAGGTGTACCGCTTGCGCCCGGGGGTGGGAAGGGAAGACCGCCTGGAGGAGGGAATGGGAGGCCGGAGCCGGGTGGTGGTATGGGGAGACCATTAGAGGTGGCTGTGAAGGGAAGCGGTGGGATGCCGCGGCCGGATTGGCCTGGGGGGGCTGTAACTACGTGTTAGTCGCTGTATATTGTCGTTTGAAGATGAAGAGGTTACTCACGAGGCATACCCTGCGGGAACCCGCTACCTGGTGGAGGAGGCACACCACCAGGCATTCCGGGGAAAGGGGGCGGCATGCCGCCAGGGAAGTTGAATGGAGGGGGTGGCATGCCGGCTGGGAAACCAGCTTGTGCTGCTGCGGCCGCCGCGGCAGCTGCTCCGGGTTGGTTTTGAGGCAGCATGGGATTAGCGTGGGCTTGGCCTTCGGCGGCGTAGGATGAGGTGATGGAGTCGATGACGGATTGAGCCTTCTCGTGTCCGATTTGTTGGTAGTAGTCGACGACGTTGCGTAGGTGATTGCGACCGCTGTTGTGGGCCTTGCGCACGCTCATCGAGTCGTGCGTTAGGTAGACGTCGCAGTAGTCGCAGAAGACTGAAAATTGGTTTGTTAGTATTGCCATTTAGGTACATACGTTTTTGCGACAGCTACTCAAATGATGAATATGAGTCGTAGGATATAAAAAGTACTTACACTTCGGCATCTTGACGATATTGTACCTGCTGCGATTTAAAAATGAAGGAGTGGTTGCGAAAAAGAATGAATGTGATTGAGTTTGCGGATGCGGAAGATACAAAAGATACTTCTGTACGAAGCAAAGGTAAACGGGCTGGAGCTTGGACGCGAAAAAGAATTGGAGACCCCCTGGTCAATTGGGGTGAGGCTTGAGTAGCACGTGACTAAATAGCTGCAAGGCTATCACGGGGAGATAAGATCGGTGATGTTTAATTGGATAGAAACTTGAACACGTATTACTACCCGGTACGAAGGTACATCGGAAGACGCTCTGATCTCCTAAAGTTTGGCTGTTAGTTCTTATTCGACACTCTCCCTTTTACTTATACCAGAACAATAATTCGGGAGTCGAAGCAATACAAGCCCGACATACACAATAAACACAATGGCTTTGCCACGAGCATTGCTGCAGTATATCTGTGGCCTCGTGCTATTAATAGCTTCTGTCAACGCTTTGAAATTCGACCTTACAGCTCGTGGACCAAACGACAAGAAGACGGAACGATGTATACGAAATTTCGTCGCGAAGGACACATTAGTTGTTGTTACCGCTACGGTCGGAGGAAGTAAGGGGGATGGAATGATCGTCAACATGCACGTATGTTATATGAATGCTCCTCTATTTATCTACATTACATGGGGCAAGTTGAGGAATCGACTAACCCTGCGCCAACCGGTTTCTAGATTCTAGATAACGTCGGCAACGAGTACGGCAAGCCTAAAGATGTAGTCGGCGAACAACGAACTGTCTTCACCTCCCATGCAGACGCTGCGTTCGACGTGTGCTTCGAAAACATCATGACGCATGGTATGTCCCTGACCCCAGTTTTGCTATGTCTTTTCCTACTCTACTACGACCTAGGGAGAGGAACAGGCTAAACCAAGCTCCCAATTCAAAGCTCTTAACCAATTCAAACCAGCGCGCATGAACAACCCAAGCCGACACGTGGAGCTGGATATCGATATCGGCGCCGACGCCAAGGACTGGTCCGCCATCCAGGCCACCGAGAAGCTAAAGCCCGTCGAGACCGAATTACGTCGTATCGAAGAGTCGATCGCTGATATTGTGAGGGAGATGGACTACTTAAGAGCGCGAGAGCAGAAGTTACGTGATACCAACGAGAGCACCAACACCCGTGTTAAGTGGTTTGGTATTGGCACCACTCTTCTACTTGTCGCACTATGGGGCTGGCAAATAATGTACCTACGTGCCTACTTCCGATCGAAGCACTTGATTTAAGGAAGCGAACCCGAATACATATCCCACGAGTTCGAGGATTTGTCAGGCTTTACCAGACAACTAGACTTAGACTGTCTATTTCTAGCAACGCTTAAGCGACTCTGCCGTGATTAAGGAGTCCCGGATTTACAGAGGAATCAGGAGGGAGAAGGGAGGCTACAAAGGCGTGATACGAGTATTCCGGAGGGCAAAATGGATAAGGGTGGCATGGAACACGATATCTTCATGTCTTGTACGCATAATCTGTATAGGTGTCTTCTGGCATCGAGGAGTCGGGAGACGAATACAAAAATGAATGAATTGGCTCGAATCTAATGGCTGTATCCTTCGACTGAGCATACCATGAAAATACCAGATGTGCTGAAGATCAATTCCCAAATAAACGTTGGAAGGTATAATTATCAGTTGTTTCTCTTTGCGTGCTATGAATTATTATAAGCCATATACCCTTACCTGTGTGTAATGTGACATCTAATCAACGCCGATCTGATCGGGGATGATCGGAATATTATTTGCATAATTTCTTCATATAAACACGGGCAGACGGGATACCCCGGACACCAAGACCGACCGGGCCGGCGGGAGAGGGGCGGCCTCGGTACCTTTTCATATGATCTGCGAATGACAAAGCTCCAATTGCCAATTGCATCGAACCTTCCTTTAGAGCTTCCTACCTTAGCTTTTTAAGCTCTCCAACTACGTCAATGAACTGACTCATTCCTCAATTGGAATTTCCACCAAACTCAAACTCAATTCCAATTTCATTCCCTTCTTTCTTCATTTCACGTCATTGACGGATGTGAAGAAGACATCACGATACACGACGATTATATACAATTTCGTATAGAAAGCTAGATACTAGCTTAATTATCTAGCGACAATGGCTTCAGTAGCTTCAATATTGCCTCGTAATATGCTACGCTCAGTACAGAGGATATCCTCTGCCAGCTCCTCCGCACAACGATTATTGCTTCAGCGCCCATTGAGTAGCTCTCGTGCGCTGCGAGCTGGTGTCTATGCGACCAATCCACCACCCATGGAGCCGCACAAACAGCGGGACCCGCAGCAAGCAAAAGAGCTTGGCGTCGGCGAGCTTGAGGGCACGGAGTTCCGCGTTGAGCCCGTGCGACGAGTTGACGAAGACGATGGAACAATGCGAGCACGATTGGTTTGTACGTCGGACTCCAATGCTTCCCTTGCTTGAACCCCTCGCTCGTCAATCACATGTCATTATAGCTAACAATAACACAGACCAAAGCCGTAAACGCGGAACCTTAGAATCCGACCTTCTCCTCTCCACCTTCGCAGACGCCTATCTCCCCACCATGACCCGTGAACAAATGACCCAATACGACCAATTCCTCGACGAAAACGACTGGGATATATACTACTGGGCGACCCAAGAACCACCCTCCAACGCCATCTCCTCCTCATCCCCGGCTTCCCCCACTAGCGTTCCGACGCCCTCTATAGCAACCGAAGACACAAGCTCCGCCTCCTACGCCGGCGGCGCCGAAGCCATTCTCTCCGAGTCCACGCCGCTCTCGGACTCAACATCCACTACCGCAAACACATCCGCCTCCGCGGAAGCCGTATCAACAGGTGGTCTCCCACCTGCCGGCGACGCAGGCGAGGGCAAAGAAGCAGCAGCCGCAGCCGAGGAGCCGTACCGCACACAAGGTGAGACGTTTTCGGGTGAGTGGGCGCAGACTGTGGGAACGTTTAAACCGGCTTATCGCCCGGTGCCTGCTAGGTGGCGCGATAGCGAGGTTTTGCAGTTGTTGAGGGAGCATGTGAAGACTAGGGCTAAAGAGAAGGGTGGGATGGCGTTTATGCCTGCTTTGAGGGATCGTTGATTATGAAAGCCGGTTGGGGGATAAGTAGGAGAGGATGGGATGAGACTTATTTCATGTATAGTTCAATGGGGTAGTTTTCGGTATGATTATAGGTGAGGCATTTCAGTCGTCAACGATGTATAGCCCGTCATATGGATTTGACGGCGGCTACCCATATGAGCCACTATGAAGGACAGAAAAAAGAGGAGAAGGCAAAAATCCAAAATATATTTATATCTGTACTCAATAAATTCTATCAGAATCGGGATCTATCCGATATTTGAAGTCGTAGTTAGGAAAGTCTACCCGGAGTACGTGTTCTTCACCAGATCTCTAAGTTTTATGGCCCGATTTCTTGGGACCCAAATAGTCACAACTTCAAAAGCAGCAACACCGCTACAATATATGTAGGAGTCAAAAGTATCAATGAACAACTAAGATATAATCACGCCGCTAAGATATGCATGAACCGACTAGTCAATCAACTTTATCTCATCATTCGCCTGTCTTTCCCTATTCCCCTGCGGGATATATGTATGGTGTGTGTGTATCTGATATATCATTATCTCGTAGACGTTAGAACAGCGGTTATCAACCAGCCAACAAACAAAAAAACGCAACAGGATGGATGCTAATAGCAACACGGAAGTTATAGAAAAAAACGGGAACAAAAAAACGCCTTTGCTCCTACTCCTACTCCCCATGCTCATCTCATTTCGTTTCGTAGGTGCTCATTCTTCGAACCCGACTCCGAAATCGAACAATATGGTATCATATTTTGTTTCCAGCAAGCGCCAAAAAAAAGCCAGCCAGCCATCCGTGCATCCGCACCAGTTCTCCCTATACCCCTTTAGAAACGCCGTCCTCGGTGGATGAAACGTACAAGCATAAAAAACGGGAAGGTAGAACAATGAATAATTTTCTGGAATTTTTACTTTGTTTTGTTTATCCTTAGTTTTTCATATGCTTTACGCAAAACTTCAACCCCCACCTTCCGGCGGTAATATCCTACCTAAACTTCTCAGGACCTCCATCACGGGCATATCTTTCGTACCGGCGCTTTTCCTTTCTTTCTCCTCGCGTTCCTTTAACCTGCTCGCGCTAAGAGCTAGGACTCGGTCTGCTTGTTGACCACCTGTGGCAACCCTTCGTTCTAATTTTTGCACGTTATCTGCTAGGTGGTCGATCTTGTACCCGAGGGATATTCGGAGAGCTTGGAGTTGTGAGTGGAGTTTTTGCGGTTTTATGGATGAGGATGTGTCGGTGAGGGATGCTAGTATTTGCGCTTCGTCGGAGTCTAGGAGGGAGGTGTCTGGTAAGGGGAGTGAAGTTGTATCGGATGATGGAGAAAAAAGCGGTGGTAGTTCCGGAGGCGGCTGTTTTAATGTTTGCCATGTTTTCTTTTCTGCTCTTAATCTGTGCATTTCGTTAGTAATTATACCTTCATCAGATGAAGATTGAACATACCGTTTTATCCTCTCCTCTAACGCGACTATCTTCTCCTCATGCTCGATATTTCGCGGATTCGGCTTGACTATAGCCGGCGGTCGTGGTATATCATCTCGCGTGAACCAATTCGAAAACTCCGATTTCGAGGCAAAGTCCTTTAACAGCTGGTCCTGAATCGCTCGGGCTGCAACACAAAATATTAGCTCATATATAAGCAAGAGCGGCGTTTCCGTCTCGTAAAAATTCCTTACCTCCCAGAATCTCATTAGAATTCGAGGATCCCAACGGCGGTTTCGCGGACAGAGCTCGCTCACCACACCACGTGAGCAATTGCTTCATGCGACGGGGTTCCATCAACTCAGCCTCGATATGTTTGTAAAACTCGGCGGGATCCACCGCCTTATGCGGTATTGCATTATGACCGTTTTCGATGAGTGAGCTTGCTCTTCGCCCACGCATGCCCAGACTACTCCTGCGAGCACCCGTCTTTCTCCGCATTTCTTTGTTGCGATTCATTATTGGCGTGTCACTAAACGGTAGCGCGATCTTCTTTGGTTCTATAGCTTCCTCTCCACCGCGTCTTGCTCTCGGCTCGTTTACCGGTGTTAATTGAGCTACCTCTTCTTCTTGGGCCTCCTCCTCGACTCGCTCCTCTACTCGTTGCTTTCCCTTCCTAGAGACTCCATTTACGGCCTTCGGTTGCTCCTTTTCGACCTTCTCTGTTTTTTCTAGGGAGGGACGTCCTCTTTTTCGCGTATTCCTTTGCGGTTGTGCTGGCGGTGCAGGTGCTGATACTGGGTCATCTTGATCCGACGTTATCTGACTTGATCTCCGCTTCGTTGTTCTCCTAGTAGGCGCTGGTTGTTGCTGTACTTCGCGATTCTTCGTCTGTTTCGGTCTCCCCTTCTTCGATACAGGCGCAGGTGCAGGAGCTGGCGCGGGTTCATCCTCGGGTATCGGTTCGGGTTGTGTGGTCTTGACCCTTTTGGATCCTCTCGTGAAATGGAAATCACCATCCTGCTCGTCATATGCTATAGAAATAAACCGCGTGTTAGTAGCCTGACCGCCATTATACATAGTGTCCTCCCTCGAATAGCAGGAACGTACCGGCAAGACGCGAGCTCCTGCGGCGCTTGGGCTGATTGCTCATGCTCAGGACTTGTAGTGGCTGACGGGTTTGCACGAGGGTAGTCATGGACGCTGGCGTTGTGTGCGCATCGGATTCGAGATAATAATAAATTTGCTACAGAGGTCGTTCAATTAAGAAGTAATAGTCGAGGGAGAATTGAACCGAGTCGTCGCGCGTAGAAAGTCGTGATGAAGTGAGGGTGAGGGTGAAAAGAAAGGCGGCTAAGTTCCCAATTTCGATGCTACCTCTAAAACCGCGTCGATCGACCCAATAAATCAATTAGCAATGCGTTCTTTTCAAATCAATTATACCGGATTAAATGTCGAGTCGCGTGAGGGTTATTGTGCATGGCAAATATTAATGTTGCTCTTTTTTTCCTTTTCCTATCAGGTTCGACTTTGTTTCGGTTACGGTTCGTTGGATTCGGTCGGCGTGGGCGTGGAGAGTGCAGGGTCTGGTGACGAGGCGCGAAGATGTTCCTTCCCAATCTCAATGTTTACATTAGCATTAGGTAGATTTTAGTGCACGGACCACTACCAGCGTAGCCTTGCACTAGTCCATCTGCACCCACCCACATCTATCTATACCTTAGTTACGTAACCACAATACAATCATTAACCATTCATTTAAGTATAATCTATCTCAATTATGCGGTTAGAATAGCATATTCAAATCTGAGGTTATCACCACGTTCGTTAGCTCTATTAATAATACGGCAATCTACGGTTTTTAGTACACGAGATATTCTTAACACGTCAAGTCACGCATGTTAAAGACTAAAAAACTCATTATGACAGTCGCATCACTTGCTAAGCTACAAGCGTCCGTGTATCAGCTAGCCGCTAGTATAAACGTTGGAGCCGAAAAAAAGTAGACCAGATACTCCGGAAGAGGACGGAATACGGCAGACCCCTATTGCCTATTCTATCCTCCTCAACGCCTAGAATGATTAATAAATAATCAAGCAATCCCAAAAAAGCTCCATAAACACCGCTTTTTAATGTGTATGCCCAGCCAGATACGTACATATATCAATATCAACCGATAAATAATTGGCCAAGCCGTTGCCATGATACGTCTCTTCCTTTTTTCTTTCAGCGTAAAAAAGTCGTCGACGTGCCACGACGCAGGCAAAGCCTAAACGCCCTATCGTGCTCTCGTCAATTTACGAATGTTGTTACAGACGCAAGAGTAAAACAAGCAAGCGCTTCCCTACCCGGGAACGCCTGTCCATCTCTCGTGCCGTGAGAAGAGCAAGAGCGCCTCATTACTTTTCCTACCACCCGATACCATTTGAGAGGCCTTTTGTAATAAAGACAAGCAAACCGCTTGGTCGCCAACATTGTTGAGGGAGACGAGACTTTTACCATCCGAAACCCCTTAAGTGTTGATCATTGAGCGGGTTGGCTACCAGTCGGGTCTGGATAGACTGAATGGTTTTGAGAAGCGGCTTCATCATCCTATGAGAAGCGTCGCTGTACTCCTTGTCCAGCCATTACCGGTTGGTTTGGGATAGGCGCTGCCATGCCATATGGGTTGATCTGCGGATTATAAGTTTCCATTGCTTGTTGCATAAATGCTCCGTGTAACCCTTGTTGCTGTGTTACCGGGCAGTCTTTGTGGGCTAGTAAGAGGGTCTTGAGGTTAACCACCTCTTCCCTCAGTTGAGAAATTTGGGCTGTTAAAGCGTCATTCTCACTGCTAAACATCTCCACTTTGTTTTGAAGATTAGCTAGCCATTGCTTCTTTCGCTGACGACACTTCAAAGCGGCAACCCTTGATTATGTTAGCATATACATCGAAAGTAAACATTGAATCAATGGCATACCTATTTCGCTCGAGGAAGTTCTTACGCTTTTCCTCGTCAGTCATTTTTGACTTGGGTTGAGAGCCATCGCCCTTCTCATCTTCATCATCATCATCGTCCGATGAATGATCATTGCTATTTATCGATGATGCCGTCTTGGGCTTCTTGTTGGCAGGTTGCTTTGCCGGCGCCTCTTCAGCTTTGCGTCGTCCATTCGTAGCCGCAGCACCCCCGCGCTTCCCCTTTCTTATGTTCGGCTTCGCCGGCTCACTTTCTTCCGAAACACCACTGGCCGCCTCACTAACCCCCCTGGCAGGTGTTGAGGAAGTTACGCCGTTGCCGTTCATGTGGGGTGAAGCACTGCTAGATTGGTTCGGTTGGGGTGGAGCAGGATGAGCATGGACTGGTTGATTGCCACCCACTGGATATTGTGTTTGTGTGCCGTTCCGACCTTGTGCACCTTGAGCTAGCATATACAACCCATTTGCAGCGTCGTTATCATGCGGGTCAAAAGCACCCGACGCTGGCTTAGCTTCAGTCTTAACTGTCGCGCCGTTCGTCTCCGCAGGTTGCGACGTTGCGGGCTGGGGTTGCTGCTTGTCACGGTTTGCCTTCGCCGCGGCTGCGCTCATAGCAGTTCGATGAAAATCAAGAGTACTAGGAGTTGCAGTGCCACTTGCTATTTGGGCAAAGAGGGCTTGCGAGTTAGGACTTGGGGCAGGAAACATAGAGCCACTCCCACCCGGTGTTAAACCTGTTCGCAGAGAACTCTCGTTAGGTGTAAATCCTCCACGAAGAGTATGCGATGTATCGCCGAAATAGTCATTCGCCGGGCCAGAAAGCATCGCTGGGCTTAGCGGTCCCGTCCTAAGAGATCCGCCTCCCCAGTTGAACGGCGTGTTCCCGTTCCCGGGTAACAGTGACGACGGTGAGGTTAGGGCAGCCACGCTGGGCAACTTAGTTCCACCCGGTGTTTCTACCGTACCTCCCGTGCCAAACGACTGCTCGAACGGATTGGGTTCGAGGCTTAGGTTACTGGAAAAGTAATCTTCGCCCGGCTTAGGAGGAGGCGCCAGCGGTCGACCTGGTTCGTTGTTGGTAGCGGCTTCCGACTTGACTTCGGGTTTCTTGTCGCCGTTGGTTTCTACAAAGCGACGACGGGGGTTAGCAATGACGTCCAATTGAGCGCATCCCAATTGCATGCAATCGGAAACGACGATACTAGATCAACGCCGACAACAGTACGGAACGTTTACCGGTGGTAGTCGGTAGGAAAAACGGCAGGACAGTCAATACAATCGGGGAAATGCTCACCTGACAAAGGATTTTCTGACGACTTAGTTTCAGTTGGGGCCATGGTGACGACGATGACGAAGTTGGGTTTATGACGCTGGAGGCGTGGGTGCGTATGTGTGCGAACGTTTCTGGGGAAGGAATATGATGTAACAATACGCTTGACGCACAACGCTGACTTGGGGAGGCAGCTTGCAAAGGGGAGAAAAAAAAAAGTAAAAAGGTAAACCACCTCTAAGAAATTAGCAGCGCCTGGTCGCTACCTAGGGTATCGTGGCGATTAATTGATGAATGAGTGACGGTATAGGCTAAGCCTAATGGTTTATTGTATTATTGTATCTGCTGGCGCACAGGGGGTCCCGTTGCGTGGTGGTATGTTGTTGTGTATTGGGGTTGACGCAGATAGTTCGATAGTTCGAGGTGATAAGTTGCAGGTGTGTCGAAGAGATGTTGGCGATGAGGTCATGAGGGAAGAAGTGACATAAGGGGTGGTTTTTGGGAGAAAAGGCAAGCACAGCAGACGTAAAGCCCCCCGAAAAATGCTTGGAGCCGAAGGTGGACAAGACCCGCGCTAGGCATGGATTGATCATCCAATGGCCGTGTGGAAGGCGTGATCGAAGATCCCCTAGGTACCCGTACAGTGCGCCCACGTAGGTACGTCTGGTACGTCTAAATCCCCGTTGTTTTAGCATTGGTTAAGCCTGTTTGGGCAGCCTGCTAGCGTGGAAGGCCGTTGATACGTTGCTGTCAAGTTACGCTACGCTATTTACTAGGTTATACTAGGTATAATACGTACGGTACATACTGAGCCAGACGGTGATTCGTCCGGTTACTGTAACTGGACGGGGCATACTACTCCATTTCTTCCTCTTTGACCCGATGGGTCCAAGCCCAAGTTCGCGACCACCCAACCGTCTATACATTGAGATTACCGTATTAAAGAGAGAAGAAAAAAAAACATACGAGGAAGTAATTTGTTGTACCTGAGTAGTTTGTTAGAAAGCAAATTTCTATCCCCTTTCATATTTTTTTTCAAGCCTTGTTCAGTCGCTACTATCGCCCTTTCGAAGATAAACAAAATACAACATGATGACTAGATGACATCGTCATCAATATTCAAATCTTATCTCGAATTTCTCCGGTTTTTTGTCAGCATGTCGCTCGCAGACCGGCTGGTACCAACCTTGCTACGTACCTATGTACCCAATTCCACAGGTTTATAACGAACGAACGAGCAGAAAAAGACAATAGGTGGTAGATAACAAATTCTAACCTTGTCTCTATGGATCGTGGTATAATAAATCGGGTATTCGTTGTGGAGTTTATTGCCGGAGCAAACCTGTTAGTGCGAAAATAGGCATAGATTCTATGTGGATAGCGGATATAAGATCTTGAGACTTTATTACAAAGACACGAAGGGCAACTTAAGAGATCGCGATCGAGGAAGACTAAACAGAAAGGAAAACATAGACTATATAGAAAAAGGTTAGGAAAAGTGGAAAGTAGTATAGCAGTATGTGAGGCGCGACTGCGATAATCAGGGAGAAAAAGAGAAAGAGACAAAATAGAAGATACTGAACTCTTGTAAGGAACTAAACTAATATGGGAATTTTAGTTTCTTAGAATATTTATCTAATATGACGCTAGTTGAAATGCGGCAAGCTCATCCACACCATCCTACCTAGTGTATCTTGCCATCCAACATCACTTTTTACTTTGAGAAGTGGCAAAAAAAATAAGAATCTCTTTCTAATAATCTTCTCTTCGAATCAAATCCCCCGGTCAAAAAGATGCAAAAGACCCCAGTCATATCTCGCCTTTCTTAGAAGAACTCCGTTGCGTCTGACAAATCGAAAAGCAACAATCGAGGGAGGCTCCGCCCGGAGGGAAATACATGCATACATACCTGGCATACGCGTGCATACGAAATGAGAAAAAGGAAATTTTGTTTGTTGAAGTAATACACATGTAGATGGATGGATGGCACTTTGTATAATCCAATCAACTCGTTTAGCGTTATGAACGATTTGCAGGTATGTGCAATAGAAACATGATTTGATTGATTGATTGCTCTCTCCAAGTATTTCTTTGGATTCTCCATTTTCTAAAGTTAAGTTTCTCTTCCCATTTGGCCCATTTGGTTGTTGCAGATTCTACAGCGTTGCGCCTTCTCAAAGCATTCCAACAGAGGAACAAGAACGTCATTACCAACATTTGAACCAACTTCCTTAACTAAAAGGTACATATGTACCTGAGTACCTAGGGATGTAGCGAAGGTCGCGTCGAACTAGAAAATTTCAAGAAGGAAGAACGGAAATGGGTGGTCTGGGCGGGAAATTCGCAACAAATTACGTCACTCTCCCCCTAGGTACCACGCCCAGTGTGAAATAAATCCTTGGCTAACTGTGTCTCGTTCTCTTTTTTTTTTTCACTTCCTTCTCTCTTCAACATCCCCCCCTTGGATTTCCCAAATTGGAACCAGGCTTCGTATGTCCTAGGTCCCGTTGCAACACTGGAACATTTCGTTATCTAGTAACATTTTGTGATTATCCATGGTCGAGGGATCCGCCTCCCAAGATCGTGGATTGACTTATCACGCACATGGCAACAGGCGACACATCTCAGCAAAGCTCGAGCCTCATTGCTATTTTTCTTCCAACCCTTTTATTATGAACACGATCGTCGCATGAATAATATACATTGTTTCTATCTTCAGCAAGAGGATCCAAATTCCTATGTTTCTATTGTAAGTCTCTTTAAATTGTGTTCCGGCCACCTAATTCAAAGTCGCAAGATAGGATTCCATCCATACAGATACCTCTGCATAGGCAATGACGCAAGTTTTACGGCATCAGTCATTCCTCCCCGCCATTGATCTTGGAGTGGCTTGCTCTGGTGTCACTCTCTACCATATTAGATGTACTAGGAAGGACAAAACGAGGCGTTTTGTTCTCCTCGTAATCCACCAATTACAGGCATCAAATAATAAGAATTGTCGCATCCATCTTATCTAGGGATTGCATCAATATTATCAGTATCATCACCAACTTTTCTCATCAACATTCCCAAAGAGTTATCATATTATATAGTGTTGATTCTCACCGCTATGTCTCGGACGTCAAACCGGCCAGATTGTCATTGACGCGCTTCACTCTACCGATACCCTCGTCTCACATCCTGTCCCTCGGCAACGGTAACATCCAAATCATCATCACACAACGTCTGAATACATTAGCGTCGCACCACATACTACCGGTCCTCTCGGCAGTGAACTCCGGATAAAGCTACTGGAGAAGCTACTTGGAAATTGTCCTCAAAAGGCCATCCCAGTTCTGCAAGAATCTAACCAATTAGCATACGAAGCCTCGGGATACTAGACAAAGCTTGGTTGAATTTTCCCATGGTTTCCCGAGTCGGAAATCTCAAGAATTCGACCTACTACCGAGTCAGGCTTACTAGCGGCACCAGGCATATTACGCACCTACTATACATATACTACCACCCAATACCGATCTATACCAAAAACAATGTAGGCAATATAATAAATCACTAGATCCAATTCGACAATATCGACAAGTTTAAAGCACGCAACAATCTAGGTAGTATGCAGGAAATGTTGTGGACGTATGAAGTCCACCGAAACGTTGGTATTCACTTGATTTGAATTTCCTATTTCAGACATTCCAAGATGGAGTGGAGAGTAATACGACAGACAAACGCGCCAGATATACATACACACATATCAACAATTCCCATAGCCCCTCATTTTTCATAGATATGTTAACCACCTTCACAACTTTACCCCATCGTCTCCAGCCTTGGCTATCTTGAATCCGTGTCTAGGCGCATGTACTCTAACCGACCCCGATGTTCCCCGCGTTTCTATCACGAACTGGGTGTCGTCTATGCCCATCAGCTTGCCCCGGTCTTTGTGTAAAGAGCCCCAATCCGTAGGCCACATTTCAACATCCATGCCCGCCTTTAGGCCCTCGGCAGCGACAACCGGATCCGCGGGATCCACGCGGAGTTCATGTTCTCCAAATCCGGCCTTCACAATCATATCTGCAGCCTCGTCTCCGTTTAGGGCCGGCGGGGTCCGGACGGTCTGTGTTTGTGATTCAATGGTTTGTTGGAACCGCTCGAGCCAGCCAAATACCAAAGGAAATTGTTCCTTGCTGATGAAATCGGGCGGTAGTGCGCCGGGAATGGTGGAGATCCAGTGTATCGGCCATATAGCCTCGAGATCCGCTAACGAGGGTCTGGTGGTTTTTAATAGCCAGTTGCCGCCAGCTCCGAGAAACGTCGTTTCTAACATGTGGACATACTGACGTACCTCAATTAACGCCTGCGGTCTCATCGCCTTTAATACCTCGGGGGATAACGGAAGGAATCCCTTGTCTATGTCGCTTTGCTTAACGCCTGCTAGGTCCGCGCGGTCGCGAAGGAATTGTTGACCTTGCGCCTCGAGGATTTGCGGTGGCATGAGCATTGCGCAGGACCGGAATATATCACCGCCGGCTACGGCAAGAGAGAGCAAGGCTTCGATACCCCGGTGCTCATCGGGTGTGCCGCTGAGTGGTGGGTATGAATTGCTGGAGGGGTAGTGTTCCTCGAGCTTCTTGATTATTAGGCGCGTGTCTAGGTATACGTCCCATCCAATCGCGAGGATTGGGATGCGTCGGTAGGAGATCCCGAGTTTTTCTTTGAGGTCGGGACGTGGGAGGATGGTTGGTTGGAGCTGGAAGGTAAGGTTAGCGGGTTCTATGTGGGCTTGTTTCTTATTAAGGTATGAGGTGAGTTATAAGTTCAAAGAGCTACTGGTAGGTACCTGTGTGGTTTCGTAGGCTTGTTGGTATAACGAGGTAATAGAGTACGTAACGAGCAATCACAGCGGGGTCTTTTTCACTTACACATTGGGAGTACGGAATCTGTCGCAGGGCCAGGTACCATATTATCCGTGTGGAATATGGCGACCTCTTGTAATGATAAAGCACTATGGACATATTGCTTAATAGGTGTTCAAACAATAGAATTGGGATTGGTGCTCAATGCAGCAGCATATCTAGATATATATCTGCCTAAGTAACATAAAGGAAATATCTATGAGCGAGCTTGTGACCGGTGACCGGTGCTTTGAAGCGCCATGTTTCAGCCACTAAGTAATCGATCGAGATTTATCCTCGCTTATTTTTAGTTGACTGAGTCACGAATGGACTTTTGCACACATCTCCAAAACGGGTTCCTTGTTGACCTCACGACGGCATCGATGAATGATTCCATCTTAGTCCTACTGGGATGTCTGTTATCTATATTATACGCATAGGGTGTTGAGGCGTCCGAGAACCTGGATGCGATTAGGAACCGTTCCCAGCATATCTTGGGGTGACTCACCTTTTCTATGTATCTGACGCCCACTCGTATCCCATCCTCGTCCTCGAATTCTCGCTGGTCGCCGAAGTCGCCGTTGTCTGGATCTAGACATGTCAAACATGTTTCTACGATGTCTGAATATCGAGTCCCCATACATTCGCGCAGTTGAGATCGTGCTAATTCAACAAAGCGATTTTTCGCCGAAGTAAGTAAGAATTCGGCGATGTCTTCCTTCGAAGAATTGTGGTTCGTCTTAAGAAATGCCGACAGAACCGTCGTTTCATTAAGGGGATCGTGCTGGACGAAGCTATGCCACAGGCCGATTTCGAGAAGGCAAACTCCTAGGCTATAGATATCATGTTGCATGATAAAGTCATCCTCTGGGCTAAACCCTTGTCGCGTTGGGTGACGATATAAGTTTCTCTCTACAGCATCATCGCCACGTCGTCGTGTCCGGCCGTCTTCTCTGCGAAAGTCTTCAAAACCAACCATGAAGACCACTGGATCTTCCTTTCTCTGGTCTTTGAACGCAATAACAGTCTCTGGACGGACATTCTTGTGGACAAACCCGAAGATATGTACGTAAGAGATTGACTTCGCCAACTGCTGAGCGATTGAGAACCGGTGGGATAGTGAACTAGGTTCCCTCGTGTTGACCAAATAATCCCTAAGGCTTCGAGGTCCTGTCAACCCAGTTGGTGTTCCGAACACCATCGTGAACGTGGTTTGTGGTTTACTAGTTGACTGATCCCCCCTCTCTGCGACGAAACCTTTGCAATTGAGCAAACCGAAAGTATGAGGTTCATCATGCTGTAGTCGACTTGCCAGATCACGGACATTCTTCCTCGTAATTGCAGCTAGATTACTCTCGACCGAATTAACCTTCTCTATGATATATACAGAACTGGAATCTTTCCTTCGCGCGGTTTTAGCATTAGAGAATGGGATATCCTCGATGTCCATTTCATGTAAGTTGGCGGGTGGGAGAGCGAGTCCCGTAGCATCCTTCGTCTTCGAGGTGGTTCTTTGGAGACTCATACGGATAACTGAGGTAGATGGCATTGACCTCAATCTGGAACTTTGTTGTAGCGCATCGTCTACTCTTGTGTCGTTCATTTTTAGGATTAAGAACCAAGACGGATCGGAAAGCCTCTGCCATGTCTCAAGAGTATCGATGGCCTCATCAAGCTTCTCCTTCTTGAAAGCATACTTCACAGGTTTCGGTATAAGTCTAGTCTCATCCGGGTCATTGTCGTCCGCCTGTATTTTGACTAGGCCTTTCATGATAGATGTTGCAGCGTTGAGCTTCCCAATTAACATGTGCAACGTCTGCTCGTAGAGCAATCGATGTTCATCATCCATCAGACGATGAATCTGTTGTAAGAAGTTTAATTGGGTTTTACAACGATGCCAGCCATTTTCAAGTCTTAATACTCTTTCTTCAATTGCTGCGTCCACACCTTTGAGTGCGCAACATATTTTCCCAAGTTCCTTTCCATACCTATCTAGGTCAGTATTATGTACCTAGTTTTGATGGTGTATATAGCGTAGTCTTACTTTAGACACAAATCCACGGTCGCGACGATCGCTAACCCAAGTTCTACAGACATGGCGGGATAACGACTACCTCAAACGAAAGACGATGACAAACCTAAGAGTACTAGGTGGTGCTGGAAAGGAAAACGAAAGTAGAAGCGTAAGTAAGCAATCCTGGCCTTGGGAATGGCGAGGTACTTCCCCTCCATCGATGACAAGTGGCATATGCAGCCTCATATGTATCCTATCAGCTCCCAATCAGCAAGTTTAAAAGCAGCCAGTAAAATATATATTTTGGTTGGGTATCTAGGTTAGGCATGGAGACGTTTCAGCTCCTGTCGCGCTGTTGCTTGATCTCTGTGTGGTAGCTGTTGGTACGTATTTATTCTTCTTTCCATCCTTATCTTACTTAAACTTGCATCGAATCATCTAAGGTCATCTGTTGATAATACTCTGTAGGCACGTTCAAATTGCCCCAGATTCAAACCATACCACCGACAGTCCATTAATAATCTCGGGAGGGTAGTGCATAATGGCCACCCTCGCAACGGTGCCGGAATTGGTGAGAGACTCACGGCTAGAGACAAAACTCATTGAGATCGAACCTTTTCCTAGGTTAACCGTACACGAAAAACCCCACGATAGGCGATCGACACGTAAAGAGGCATGGATACGCAAAAAGCCACTTGGTCGAGGAGGGTACGGCAACATATGGCTAGAGCAAAGTGTCGAAGGAAGTCATACACCCTACCAATTTCGTGCAGTAAAGGAGTTAAATATCGTGAGCCAAAAGGGACGAACGAGTGACTATCAACGTGAGCTGGAAGCTTTGGCAAAGTTCTCCCAAGAAAAGGTTAGTTTGCGTTGTGCATATGGAAATCGCTAGGCTATACCTTACTAACTAAATAGTTTGTGCGTTTCTTCGTTAAGTCTTTTGGCTGGTTTGAGGCCTCGGATACGCTGTATATCGCAATGGAGTATCACGAAAATGGCGACTTGAGGAATTACCTTGCAAGACACGGGAAGTTACCGGAGAGCCAGGTTCAAGACATCACATGGCAAATTGTCCAAGGAGTGCTCTTCATGCATGAGAATGGTTTCGCACATCGCGACTTAAAACCAGCAGTAAGTTCTACCCCCCAAACCACTATGAGCGTCTATTTAACCAGTTGTGTAGAACATCCTCATCAATACCATGCCCCCAAGCGATGACTGGTGGGTGAAAATTTGTGACCTTGGCCTTAGTAAGAGAATCGAGGGGGAAGTCGAATCTACGACTGCCAAAGGAACCCCTGGATTCATGCCCCCTGAACTTGTACCGGGGTTTGCTGCAGACGTTAGAAATACAGACCCTTTCAAAGCCGACATCTGGTGCTTAGGGGAAACTACCTTCTACATGTTTACGTGTCAAACGACGTTTGGCAATAGTCAGTTGAAAATGTTTGAATACTTGAGAGGGTCGTTGCAATTCCCCTCCCAACCACTAGAAACAGTTGGGGCGAGCGAAAACGCGATGGATTTCTTATGCCTCCTCATGAAGGCAAGACCATCAACTAGGCCTACTGCAGCACAAGCAAATAAGCACCCATGGCTGTTGGGAGTTTCAAATAGCACCCCACTCCCACTACAGTCTATGAAGGTCAGTTCCTCGACAAGTCTCCCCTGCGTGGAAGATGCGGATGAGCCATCTGGAGAATGGACAATAACTGGCCCCGCTGATGTCCCGTCGTCTTTTTCCCGAGTCTCTCAGTCATCATCGTGGGTGACAGCCCGACAGCCCGCTAGACTAGACGAGCAAGATGAACCGGAAACTGCGATACTGCACGAGCCCCGACTTTATAGTAGCCCAAGCCCAGAACCCCAACCTGATACCGATGACGACGAGAGGGGTACCTTGGAAAACTACGAATCACAGTTGTCGCAGCCCGGCTGCGTCAAGACAACCGAATATATGCCAGGTTCATCGCAATCTAATACGGAAGTAATAGGAAATAGTGATGAGACTGCGAATGTCGATATAATTATAGCTGCAAATTTGCGAGCCGTAGCGGATATAATTAGTGGTTTAATTATAGAAGGGGCAATCACGTCGCCTGGTCGGGACGGGCGATCGACATCATCACCACAATCACCACCACCAGCACTACTACCACCGCCACCAGCACTATCGCCCTTCTACTATGGCCAACCACCGCCACCGACACCATTGCCCGTCTACTACGGGCAGCCAGCACCGTATGGATATCATGAGCAATCACAACGACTGGCCTTAGAATACTATCTTAGGAACAGAAAACAAGCTCGTGAGACGTGGCATTATAATCCGGCAGCACGTTAACTTACAGAATACGGCAGTGAGCCGTAAGGGCGTCAGGCGTAAAGGGACGCTTGGTACGAGATATAATGGCTTCCTCCTTTAGAACGGTCTTTTTTTAAATTTTTCATGTAATCGTATTTCAAGTATCGTATTTTAACCGCCCCCTCGTAACTTATGCATTCAAAAGTCAGGGGCTTTATAACCGAGATTTGTCAATGCGACCGCGACCCTTCGAGCCTGAGTAAAATGTGGCGAAACACTATATTCTAGGGGACAAACGGTGTTAGAAACGAAGATAACACCGCGCGTCATAAGAACGGTACCGATACAGGGTTGAGCCGACAGGAGAGCACTGTAAGCTTGAGAAGGATTTGGCGAAGATCTTTGAGATGTCTAGTTGATGGAACCCCTTATCTAATGGTCTACTTTTGCTGCAATTTAAGCTGGAATGGCGATAGATAATTCACAGCATTATTGCGTAGAGTGGTCGCAACTAGCTACCACGAAGGCTCCCTTCTATGCCTCCTTATAGCTCCGGTAGACTTGCCAGGCAGGGCCTTATATATTCCTCAAGTGCTTGTCAATGTCCTTGAGAGCAGTGTGGACATAAGCTACGAGCCCTTTCCTCCTTGCTCTCACTTCAGGAATACCTTCCGTTTCAATACCATCAAGTTTCAACAGGATCTCTTGCATAATGGTCTCGCTAATCCGGCGGTGTTCCTTCTCGAGCTGTTTGTAGTCGCCAGGTGGGTTCGCAGAGAACTGTTGGCATTGCGGCAGATAGTTGGTATTGAAGTCTCTCTCGAGCGCAGCAAGCTCCCGCAATGCGGGCGAATCCGCGGGCGGTTTTTTTGGAGGGACCTGTTCGGCTTCCGGATTTTCTCTATCCAAGCCACTACCCGTACTTCTCGCGCCCTCAGGCTGGTTTGTGTCATCACTTCCCCCCTCCTCATCGCTTCCTATCCATTTATATGTATCTAATCTCCTGTGCCTTGGTATCTTTCCTTTATTTTGCGGCGCCATTCTCTCCATCAGTCTTTGTCTTTGCGCCTCTTCCTCTCTCCGTATCTCCTCCTCTTCTTGTCTTCCTTTCTCCCATCTCTCTTTCCTTCTCTCTCGTCTTCGTTTCTGTGCTGTCGATTCAATATTTAATTCCCCCTCCTCCCCTGTATCCGTTTCTGTTTGTATCTTCTCTGCCCCCAGTTTCTCTCTAGCTTCCTCTGTTTCTATCTCAGTACGGTTGATGGTCTCTGGCGGCTCTGTAGTCTTAGGCCCACCGTCGTTTGAGTTTTCGGATTTAAGACTCGGACTATCCTCCTCGGATAAGTCCTCTAGAAACGGAGCTTTTGGTAACACGACATCGATTATACTGTTGTTCTTAACACCATAATTACGTAATGGGTAGTCATTGTTTTCTAACTCGCGCCCTTTGTATGACATACCAAGGAGGTGCGTCCGTGCGACGTCGAGCTGCAATCTTCGCCCTATTTGGTTCCGAAGGTCTATAACACGCAATTTCCCATCACCGATACTGTACGCTGGGAAGTTGTATAGGAGGACGCGGTCGCCGATTTTAATGCGCAAAACGTCGGGATCAGGGGCAGGGGCAGGGTCGGGGTCAGAATTGGTAGTAGGTTTATCGTCATCCTTGGGGAAGCCATGTTGCTCGAGATCATCGGATGTGATGTAGTTGAATTCATCTTCTGTTACGGTGGGAACCCCTTCATCCGCGTCTTTGCTCGGGAATGGATCTGGTCTGGCTTCGGCGGTGGGGTCCCCCGACGCCTCGTCGTCTACCGCATCATCGTTGTTCTCGACATCGATATCGCTAAACGCACTTTGAGTGTCAGAGGGAACACTTGTCGTAGTTCGAACATAAGTTTTAGTGTCAAATGGCGTATCTCCGGGGTTGGGTAGTTCGTCCATGTCGCTATTTTCCCCACTACCAGATGCATCAATGGGAAACTGTTCCTCTAATCTAGCGGTGGTGCTGTCGCTTCCCACGTTTTCATCTGCATCCGGGTCGCTCGATCTAGGGACAACAAAAATAGCTAGCTGTTCTTGATGAGTGGCTACGTGCCTCTTAAATTTCGCCGCTGGCACGAAGACATCTTGTATGATGCCGTTGTCGACCCTCTTTCCCTTGGTATTTTGCCTCTGCTGCAGTACTGAGGCCCAATCATCGCAGAAGGGACAATCCCGGGCGTTAAATAGGGATGGTATCACACAACTAGCGTCAGCCAATGCGGATAATTGGTCTTGCGGAAAAGAGCCATGTGTGGAGGAGATATGCTCCATGAAGGAGGCTTTAGATTGAAAGCCTTTCCGATCACATAAAGTGCAGTTGTAACGGGACCGATGGTTCTGTAGCTCGTGTTCAAACCAGGCGTTGCGGTCACCAAAAAATAATGAGTTACATTCTGTTCCTCCAACTGTGCAGATGTATGCTTTGAGGTCCCGAAAGGCATGTATCCTATGTTCATGTTAGAATGCTAACCTCACGAGTTGACAATGGTTATAACTGACTTCCATGACTTCTCAGTTTCAATGGACTGAAGAGTGAAGCAAATGGGACATTCGAAAGAATCTTCACCCGATGAAACCTCCGCAAGGCTCGGTAGCTTGAGCTTCGTATCTGAATTGAACGTGGTTGTCGCCGTCATAATTGAGATCGCATCGTCCTCCTCCCCAGTGATAGGTTCCGTTGCTCCAGATTCGGTGTTTTGAATGAAAGTCGTCGCTTTACTTGATAATTTTTCCGTCGCCCCATCGCGTATGACTGGCGCATCATCATCATCGTGGGCATCTAGGCGAGCCTTGTGCTCGCGACAGTATGTCATGAATTGCCGCCGTTTAGCATTAGCGGACCCCAGGCGGGTTGACAATCGTCGATCCTCAGCTTTATATAGTTTTGAATATTTCTGCTCAACGTAGTTTACATCGAAGAATTCCGGGTAACTAATTGTGGATTGCTGTAGCGCCTTTTGGAACCGGTCGCGAGGCCCAGATTTTCGAACAAGGACGCCAAGTTGGAATAGCGACCTCATTGCCTCTGCCATCAGTTCTAGATTCATATGGGCTTCGTCCATCGGCGGGTCGTCGTCGTCGTGAAGACCTGCCCCACCATCGTCATTTAAATCGTCATAATCGTCGTTGGATGATATCTCGCGGTTTGGATTGTCGCCCAAGATGATTCCGGAGACTGTATCTTCGTGAGTATGATGAGACAATGTGCGGATTTTGAAAACTCACGATCTTCTATGGCTTCATTAAAATCGTCAATATTGACTAGAATCTGGTCTTTCACATCTGGAGCATCTGCTAATCGCTGATCTAAAGATAATTTCTTGGTCGGCTTGTGCAGAGCCCCTAGATTTCCACACCAGAGCGAAAATCTATCGAGAACATCAGATACTGACGTCGGAGTTACTACTACTCCGTCGGTCGCTTCCTTCTCTTTAAGTAAGTCTATTAGGTCGTTCAACTTTCTTATTAGGTTGTGACATTTGCTCGAAATACTCTCCTCACCGTCCAAGCCCGGATCTGTAGCCATGGCTGTATACGGCGGGTGCTCATTGATGGCGAGCGCATACTTGGGAAACCTTAGAGTATGTTTTTGTCGCAGACTCTACGATCGCCGTCACTCAGTCTGGTGAGGGGTTATCAGTGGGTGGCGTGCAGGAGCTGACAGGATTCGCTCTATCTGATTGGCGGATGACGATATAAATCCCTGTAAGGAATCCTCTAGATAGAATACCCCTCATCAGCTCACCAGGCTGAGCTGAGCGCTTCCAACTTCATCAATGTTTGTTGGCGCGTCGTTTCGCATTTCCAAAAGATGTCGGGAATCGAGGTGGCTGGCCTGGTGCTTGGAGCCTTTCCACTCGCGATAGAGGCCCTTGACAGATATAGAGAGGTTGCGACTCGTGCGGGGCTATTCTATCAGATCAAGTTAAAGCACAGACAATGCAGAAACCGTCTTGAACGTGAGAAGCTTGTATATACTGGGAACTTGAAGCAACTTCTCTTACCCATGGTCGTCGACGATGAGAAGATCACAGAGATGCTTTCTAACCCAGGTGGACCGAGTTGGAAGGATGAAGCCACATCAGAACTCCTCAAGACAAGGCTCAAGGATGCGCACAACGCCTATATGGATTGTATCGAAAATATGGACGGCGTGATGAAGGGGTTAATACACGAGCTCGCACTCGACTCCAATACTATCACCAAGAGCCTAAAGGCACCGGTACGTTGAAGTGGTCTTATGAAAGGAGGCATCATCTCACACGAGTCTCTAGAAACTATCAACTAAGGAACGATTGAACAACGTCATGACGAAGACTGGATTGGAATACCAAGCTTATAAGATCAAGTTTAGTAACGGCGAAAGCGCACGGAATAATCTATTTAAGGAGCTCAGTGAATGCAATAAGAGCCTGGAGCAGCTGCTAGGAATTAGCGACAAGGAAACACAACTCCTCCAAGAAAGACAAGCGAACACAGTCGCATCCGCGATCGACTCTGCCATATGCAACTTCTGGGTAAACGCCAATAGGCTTTTCGAGGCTCTTGCTACTGCATGGCAATGTTCTTGCCAAGGACAACATTCTACGAGATTACTGCTTCAACACCGAGAGACTAAAACTTCCGATTTCAAGTTATTATTTGCTAAAGCAGAAGATTCGAAATGGAGGATACGAGAAACTAAGATAACGGAAGAAGACGAGCTGGCGCCCGAAGCGGTGAGGAATAAGAGCAAGAATGTCGCGTTCCAAGCAGCGGACCCTCACCAACCTCCCAGTGCAGTAAAACTGCCGAGGAAATCAGCGTTAAAGTCTAGTATGAAGACGACGACGACAACAATGGTGACGCATAGGTAAGTTCTGATTATTATGCATGCATATCTGGTCTCGAGTTAACCGTCAATAAGGCCAGCTCCATCGGTAACCCTTAACACGGGGATAGCAACACTTCCCGAACCAACCACGAAACCAATAGAAAATCTTTGCGACTCGCTGAACGACGTCACAGCTTCTTGCTACGGCTATCTTCCCCATGAAGATTGCCGATACTATGTTTATAAAGTCTCCGACAAAAATGCCGCGACATTTAACTCGATAACACTTGACCAAATTTTCCGAGGACAAATCTCAAAACCCCCTAATCGCCGACAACGCCTAGCTCTATCCTTTATTCTATCATCTTCATTTCTTCAACTGCTTAACACCCCATGGCTTAGTGTTTCCTGGGCTAAGTCTGACATTACATTTATGATGGATCCCGCTGAGCCAGGGACATACGCGCTGGACCGACCCCACCTAGTATACAGCGATCTTGCGGCAAGAGGCGGTCAGACACAATCCGACGAGGACATAACCAAATCTCTTCGTCAGTTAGGTATCGTTCTTTTAGAGCTCTGCTTTGGGAGACTTTTAGAAGACCAACCGTGTCGGAAAAAGTTTCCATCGGTAGACGATGAGGCAGTCAAATTCACATTAGACTTAGCCGCGGCTTTGGACTGGCTTCAAGAGGTAGAAGGGGAGGAAGGTCCGGATTATGCATCTGCTGTCGGGTGGTGTCTTGTGGCTACACGGCCCGGCCGATGGAGGCAGGAGATGCTGCGTAAAGTTGTGAAACCGTTGGAAGGGTATCATCAATTTTTCGTCTCAAAGTCCTAATAGATAGGGTATAAGAAACGGTTTAATTTTCAGGCCAACATATGCATCGAAGTCGAAGTGCCGGGAAGGGACTTAACACCATTATCAGCCCATGGAAGAGTTACATACTTATTAGGAGCCTAGAAAATTTTATCATATATATATTATCATTCGGAATGACCAGTGCGGTGCCATGACCAATTCTTTGTCCCGCTCGGCCCCTTTCGACGTCTGCATATTCGGCCTTAAGGATCGATCAATTGGGATGCAACCTGATTCCCTAGGGATTCCGATGACAAGTCAACGCCCTGGTTGATGTTATTTAACATTGATTCTCATTTTATTACGCACTACCTCATCGTCGGGCTAGTTTCATCGTTATGCCAGAATTCCTACCCCAATGCCAGTGAAACTAGAACGCCTAGACCATGCACCTGTCCCAACGCCACACAGCTTAATCAACCAACTACACCCAACACTTAGACCTTCATCTCTTATACATACTCTCGAGTGTTCTGGGGAGGCCCAAGGTCGACCGTCTTCATGCCATTTGCCTGATACGGAGCATACGAAGCCATACCTGGTATGCTCGCATTCTGCCCCGGTATTTCTTGAGCGCTCCCGTTACCTGCCTGATTATTGGTCTGTAGCCATGGCTCGAGATCGTATCCGTTCGGTTGGTTCTTTCTCTTTTCCCATCGCTTTTGTAGGAATCTCTTCACGACAAGGATGAGCAGCATGCCTGGGAAGATGAAAAGGACTAGGCCCGCGAGGACGTAGTTGAACTGCGACGATTGAGCGAGAGGGAAGCCACTAAGTTTTTGGCCTTGTTAGTAATGAGTTTTCCTGGCGCGACGGACTTTATGTGAGGAACTTACAGGAATCCGTTAATGACTCCCATGATGATGATCACACGACCCATCCACACGTGGATAGGAGCCATCTTGGTTTTCTGCTGCGTCTGCTTGAACTTGCGATGATTCAAGAAGCCTATAGCAAACTGCGCGAAAATGAAAATGAAGATGAGAATGCCGATAACTTGATGAGCGGTATTGAATTTCTTGGACTGCGAACAATTAGTATATACCCCTTCACGTTCCGATATTGCTAACATACCCTATTATAAGTCCCGCTGATCGAGAACCCAAGACTTGATCCGATAATAGTAAGGACGAAAGCAAAGGCCTGATTGATACCATGCCAACGAACCCAACTCCCCAAACGAAGAACAAAAACGCCAAATGGGTATAATCCGACAAAAGTGAGTACCATGATGATCGCATGCATCATGGCTTTTACGTCCTTCTTCCCCTCTTTTGAGAGGCCCTGTACGGTAGCGACGAGCTTGCTGTCTTCCGCCGTGTCGATTATCGGGACACCTGCGGGGCCTGTCGCGTGTACCATATCCATCGTAAAAGTACCGTAATTATAATGCATTTTTAAAGGAGCCTCGAATGAGTCGCTCTTTAGGTTATTATCATCCTCGCCCGTGGCGTAGAGCATATTTTGTGTTGTACTCTTGACGTCGATCTTCCCGGATCCGTCTAGCCATGAACGACAGCTGCTACATCGTCCGTTAAAGGTGTACGTATCATTATTGAGACCGGTCCCTGAAAGCGCCTCTATCTTGATATCGGGTGTGTAAACAGGTTCAGTGTGGCCTGAGCCAAGACGTGGTGATAATGTCACATTGTTGCCGGATGCTGATGGGTATACTAACAGTATCAAGGCGCCGGCCATGTGATTCGAACCGAGACCAATGGCGCCCCAGCTGATACCCGTTGGCATCATAAAAGAAAAATAAATATCGGTAGTGGAGTTATCGGGCACATTGAGTGCAAATGCCAGGTCCTTCGCTGGAGTGATGAAGACCGAGCCTGCGGTCGTGTCTGATGAGGTGCTGCTGGCATCCTGTACTTGTGACGAGACAACAAATGAAGAAAAAATAGATGCCAGGCCCAGCCGGCTGAGCACACTAAAAGCCTTCATGATTCCGCGACAATATTATCAAAATATTATAAAGTGTCAACACCAAATCAAATGTGTTCTATATTAGACCAAGAAAATATCATACGCTTCGTGCCAAGACAAGAGCAAGGAAAAAAAGAAATAGGACGCTGGTGATATTGAAAAGAAAGCACAGAGATGCGACAGATACTAATTAATTCTATACTTCATTTCCCCCGTGCCAGTAATCTACCTCTTAAATAAAGTCACGACACACAACATATGCGCCCTCAGCTCAAAAGCACCGTGATGTGCCAAGCCATTGGAGCAACCCGGCGGCAAACTAAAGTGTATCTATTTCGTCAATGCGTTCAGAACGCTGATTGGCTTACCCATAGAAGTTCCTGGCAATGCAAAGATATTGATTGGCTGTGATGGCGGCTTGGGGGATCGCCAGCCGCCCGGGTTCCTGTAAACCCTGCCGAACTGCCGGACTGCCGCCCTACAGTGGTCCCTATTGCTGAAGAATAGATATTTTTAGTTGATCATATTCGATTGGCTATTTTGAACCACTTATATGTTGAAGATTTGAGATCTATGCATTTGCAACTTGATCTGCCTGAGCGTGGCTTCTTGACTTGGCTTTTTTCTGTATGGGCCAGTCGTATCAATTATTTCATTTCTTTACCACTGTTTCTGTAGCTTGCTGGTTGTCTTCCGAAGTGGCGTCGCTGCATATAAATTGCTTTTATAAACGTACCTCCATTGTGGACAATCGGAGTGGCATGTATCCTTGACATATGGGTACAAGATCTTCAGCTAGAGACAGTTCTCTTAATTGTATCGACACGGTTGCAACGAGTCTATCTCAAAAGCAAAAAAGTATATACATTGATCCCTCAATATATCCTCAGATACCAGTCCGCAAATGGCGGCGCAAATAAATAATACATATTATCATCACAATCGTAAATAATACCCCATCTTCCCATTTCATCTTTCAAAGATCTAAAATCCGTTCAGTTGGTCCTGTGCCTTTATCGTGTCACCCTCGCTCACAAAGTCAAGCTGCGGCATCTTGTTAGCACTGCCTATCCTTGCCGAAACAGTCCAAGCCACGGTCGGGTAAGGTACTCACCAAAACCACATTCGGGTTGCGTCCGTAGTTTTTCACGCAGATGTCGGTCTGAGAAGTGATTGACGCTATCGAGTTGGTGTCGGCTGCGTCAAGCGGGTCTGGGATTAAAACGTCCGGTAGGATCTCAATGTTGAGGTTGTGGTTTGCTAAGAACATCCGGCCATCGGCTGAAGCACCCGACGGTCTGTCAATATCGCACTGAATGAAGTTGTCCTCCGTCGGAGAAAACGGTGTTTCGAACCAATACGTGAATTCATCTAAAATGTAGGGCACTTTAGATACGTCGGCGTGGTAGTCTGCATCTTATTAGTATTTCTGATCACATACGTATCCATCAAAAACTGTTCATACCCATGAACACCACCACTCTATTACCGCTCGAAATCAAATCTCCCAAAGTCGGCCAGTCATCCAGACCGAGTTGGCCATCGGGCGTGAAGACGTAGCTATCTAGTCCAGATGCCTTAAATACGTCGTCATACTTGGTGATGTCGATAGAGTCGCCGTTTGTTATAAGTAGCGTAATAATCTCGTTTGCGTGATTATCTACCCATGTCTTAATGCTAGACAGGTAATCCTGCAGGGTACCCGCATCTTTTAAGATGCACGACGTGTGGCATAGCTGGATCGTCCCGTCCTTATCATGGGTTTGCGACTGAAAAGCAATGTTAGAAATTTTCTTTTCATTTTAATTTCACCCTCAGATTCAATAGAGCTTACTTCAAAAAATCGCACACCCAGATCTAGTTGTTCTGTCGGAGATGTAAATTGGTCATCGGAAGGTCCATTTCCGACGAATGGGGAATCGTGAGCTCCCGCGAAAGTGACATTGCTGTACTTTCTGTCGCAGAGCTCAGCATGGCCGTTACAATCCGCTGCGAAAGACCCTGCCGCAAGGGCAAGCGCCGAAAAAGCGATGTTGTAGCGCATTGTGTAACTGTTTCTATTAATGCGAAAATAAATTAGGGGATAATTAAGAGGTATGTATATGAAGTATATACAAGAATTAAATATTTTCTAATACTGGCCCGAGTGAACTTTAGTTCATCGCAATACCCATCCATCCTCATTACAGCGCGGTCGCGATTATTAAATAGGAATTGTTTGGGTCGCATAAAGGCATTGCAAGGGGAACAAAAAGGTACGCCAATAGGATTTGTACGAAGAATGACCAGGGGTCCCAAGACTCTTTCATCCAAGAACAAAACATTATCAAGGCTCCTTTTCAACATGTGCCTGCGACATGTGGGCGGGCATCCCCGAGTGTGAGAGGAGACCTGCTGTATTTGGTTTTGGCATGTCTGAGGATCGAATAGGATCTCTCGCGCGGCCCACGACGACAGGGGCTCCCCGCCTTCCTTGCAACACCGACGCGCATTTCCTTGTTATTACGCCGTTGTATTGCCTCTAGATCAGATCTACTTTCCAATTCAGGCAGGACAAAACGACGTCGCGGCTCTGGATCTCTCGGCACGATTGAGGCCGTTTTATCGTGGTCACCGAGAGATACTATTAATAAGTTCTTTAACTCGGACACACCCCAAGGCAAACTCGAGTATTGAAGCTCAACTAACTCCACTGGGACTTTAGCGCCACTGAATGCCTCACAGTATCTAGGTCTCGCCTATTAGCCCACATTGATCATCACACGGCGCCTCTTAAGGCCTGTGGTAATAAGAAATGACCACCAATGTCATGGGTATGGTTATTGAGTGGCCAGGTACCGGACAGCGAGTGCGACAGCAGTAAGCGAATTAATAGCCAGTCAAAGCCGCTAAACCAGCATTCTGGGCGTGTTGAGTGCCTTGATTAGTGGGTAGCTACAGGGGAAGGTGCATTGAAACCTTTCCCAGATTGGTCAGCTCTTGAGTTGTGATTGGTCAAAAGTATTCCGGCGCTTGAACGGGAATAAGCGGGACTCGTCGGCTTACAGTATCGTACTTAATCCTAAAGTTTAATTCATCTTCAACATCTAATTTCTTTTCTGAGATTGTCTGACTATAAGTGTGTATATAATCTCGTACGGTGGTGTTTAGTCAGTTGAAATTGAAGTTGGAAGTTAAATAAGGGGTAAGGAGGGAATGTTGGGTCTGGAACAACTAACCGCTCAACAGTGGAACCTAGAGCCTTCGAAAGTACCAGCGTTGTGATTTATTACGTTGTAGTATCTTACATCTTACTAGTTACCAGTAAACCAAACATCACGAGCGAGGGGAAAGGAACGTGGGCGATTATGTTGCATTCAGAGGCTTCTAGCGGTTTATTACCATTTGACATAACGCTGGCATACCTAAAAGCTTGAGTTTTGATATCCGCCGAATTCCGGTTTCGCACAGAAACACCAAAAATCTATTCGCTATTTCAACGAAAATACGTAAGAGAATCCCCTATTACCATCTATTTTAAGATTCTTTCATTCTCTCAAAGGTGCTCCCGCAAGGAAATTACCAGTACTTTAGTCATGTGCTTACCCTGGCACCGAAGGGCCTCACATGCCGACTTCCCGCATTTCCTTCCGCCGGCGTTTGAATCGCCAAGTGACGTTATCACCGATTCCTCCCGTCTTACTAACATCATTTAGGGGGTACGTAAGTAACATGACTGCCATTCCAAGCAGCGCCGACGACACCGACTACAAGGAATCCGATAGGGGCCTTCCTGTTTGCAGGTAGAGGGGTGTGAGTGCGGTTTCTGTCTATCTTCGCCAAGTAAGTCAAGACAATAATGATTCATAATCTCCGTCATAGGTAGAGATCTAATGCCAGATCATACCCTAGGCCATAAAGTACAGGGGTACTTAAGTAGCTACTATGTTAGCTAGATCTCCCAAAGCCAAATCTGACAATGTAGATTGCATTGCAGCAGTCGGCGATCCTCCGGGGACCTAAACGAGACGATGTCCCATGCTATAGAGAAAAGGCGCAGTCATTGAAGACGTCAATTGCCCGGATGTAGAAGGGGGTTAGGGGTGAGCGGGGACGTGGCTACCTCAACTCGCTACTAATTTGGGGATCTGCTCATCAGACTCGAGGGGACTATGCTAGAAAGTCACTAGGCGAAAGGAAATCTGTTTAGTGGGCGATCTATGTCTACGTGATGTACCTGACTCCGCTAACTCGGTGGTATGTACAACCGGCAAAGCGGAGTTCCTTGGTGGTGAGAACCCCTACCTAAGGTAGAGACTGGTGTTGTTGGTGTACCGGAAGTTCTGCTCCGGAGGGATGGTAAGTACTTAACATATCGTGATAAGCGTCGTTCCCCGTTATAGTCTAGATCGTCCCGAGCAAAGGGGCCCGGGGGGTTGTCGCGGCCACGCTACTGATATAGGGTCTAAGGCTATTCCTTCGTCGTGTGACGGGGACATTGAGACGTGGAGATGGCTGCAAACCCTATATTGACGGGAAAGGGAAGCTTTAGAGACAATATACCCAGGCAAGTATGTAAATTAAGGCTTCGGGGTCGCCGAGCTCGTCCAAGATTTCCGAGTCAACAGGATAATAGTTCACGTAGATATCTATCTCACATTGCAGATATTTTTCTTTCTATTATCAATGAATGTAGAGCCTCGCGACTCATCAGATACAACATACCAGGGTGACCGGGCGGGAAGGTGATGCTGAGGCTGTAAATGCTGCAGGAACGGCTAGAGGAGGCATACAGGCGGCATTAGCCAGGTGGTAAGACTATGTTCCTGCATACTAAAGGATGACCCCTGGTAAACCAGGGGGATAATGTGGTTCTTCTTTTGCTAACCCTACTAAATTTTGGTACTTTATCAAGGTTCCCATGGGTTTACTCTTTTTATAGTGTAGGTTTAGTCTTGTTGGATTTTCTTAGTATGATTTCTATCTATCTAGTAATCGCTCTAGACTCCGGCGACGACGATACTGAGAACGGATAGAAAGATCGCGATAGATCCTATCTAGATCCCAGGTGATCATTCTGTTAGCGGCATCGAGAAGTATCAAGTGCTACTTCAATTTGAATAGTCTTTCGAATACCTTCTGGTAAATAGGGTTGTAACGTTCATAACGACGCGCGGCTACTCTGCGTATATCACTACGGTAAGCACCGTCAGGTCTAGGATACTGGAGCTCACCATTGTTATGGGAAAATGGCCCGGAGCACATGCTATTGGGGGTTTTTACTATAATCTAGGACCTGTGATTCCTCAATTCTGCCAATGTGGCGGACTAAAGGCGGATGGAGTAGTCGTGAAGGGCCTACATGTCTTAGCAAAGACGACTACATTAACAGGTATATAATAAGCTGACCTAGTTATAGGTTAGTCTATCTTATCCGCGAATCGCTGTCCTGCTGTGAGAGAATACTCCTCGGAATGGAGACCGATTCAAGTTGATTTGCACTAAGGCTTAGTTTTGCTCAAGATCGCGAGTAGGTCTGCGGCGACCGCGGGATGGCTAAACTTTATTTCAGTCTAGGTTAAGAGGTTCGGCTTTGGAAAACACCTCATCTTCAGAGTTTAGTTGGCCTAACTTCTTCATAAGTTGTATCACTAGAATATTGTTTTACTGTATGGCTGGATAGTGCTTATAAGTAAAATATCTACTAACTGAGGGCTAGCCGGTGTAATGTTTTGGACACGCAGTTACTGGGTACGTCACATTCAAAATAGGGGCCTTGGTATTTTGATGGATCGTTCTTAAATGAGTGAAAATAAAGTGCACAAATAATTTAAGAAACAATGCTGGCAGAAGACATGACATTATCGCATACATGTAGTATGAAGAGGCGACCTTTGCTCTCCTAAATCGATCAAGTTATTGGACGTTAACAATATATCCTAGAAAATCCATGCTGCACCGCCGGGATTAATACTAGGATACCAGTAGATATGATTTGTATGAGCAAGTTACCAGAGGTTACCAGGCAAATTGCCTACAAAATCCCTGTCTTGCAGCTAGTAACTGACAACTATGGTATTTCTTCTGTCTTGACGGAAATGTATAGAATGCCCTTATGAAGCACTAAGTCTTAGGAGAATGAAGCTAGAGAACGGGATGTAAGCAACCCAGGGGTTATGTTTTAGGTGCTATAAAACAGTGAGATGATCTAGGTATATCGGGGCTATAAATATGGATATAGACCGCACATATCGAGTATCTGTTATATCATTGTGGAAATAGCAAAGGTGAGCTAGGTGAACTCGCGTTAGATACTCGCTGGTCCCCAGATTAATGAGGGCTGGAGTTGATGTAATCCTCTCGTCATAGCCCAGATGATCTACCAGATCCCGGATCAACGGAGTTAACCAAGATGTGGCACGTGGGGTAGTTTTCTTAGCAGCTATCCGGGGTATAACCTTGGATAGAAATATATGAGAGCTGAGTGTACCCAGCGCCAAGGATACTCTTGGGGTACATACGGCTAACGCTTGGGAGGTAGCCTTGAGTCCATAGAAAGATTCAGAGTTCAACGAGTCTTGATACATGTGTCCCTTCTGATCGATCAATCTCATTGCATAAGATGCTCCTTATTTTAGTGGAAGACTAGAGCCGATGGCGATGCGCATTTGCGCACTTCTACGTCTGACTGAAGGTTGCAGGCTTAACGATGTTTTTATATAATCAATGCACTCTGAAGGTGTAGGAGGAGCGAGATATCAACCAAATGAGTGTCTATACACTATGCATGTACTACAATTTTAGGTGTATAGAAGAGGATTTAATTCCAGTATTTCTGTCATATTGAGGCTCGTAGTGCTAGTATGTGCAGGGGCTAAGTTATAGTGAGTGTATTCGAGTTTTCAAGGAGGCGAAAGCTGCCCTTTCAACGACTACTCATTATGTTGAACACATGATTACCATAGCTGGATGAAGAAGCGAGGCTAATGATGACCGGTGACCTGGTTGCTTTGGGTGGATACACAAGCTTCTTTATTAGTTGGTGATCTCTAATACCGTTGCTACAACTGGCCTAGATGAAGTAGGCGCCATAACAAGCAGGACAAGCTAGATGGTGCTTAACTAGCCCGCAAGCTGCGAGATGATTGATGGAAAACTCTACCGAGTTTTCAATAGACTACCTGCGTTGAGGCTCTTTGCCCGGATCAGGGTCTTGAGGGTGCTTCTTCCATACAATATGAGGCTTAGCACCCTATATTTCACAGTTCGTCCTGATATACTTGCCTACCTAGGTAGGTTTGCCACTTAGTTTCACGGGACGGCGTCTAGATACATGCTTAGTAGGTAGATATGCTATGTTGATTGCGATTGGTTCTTGCATTCGCGCCTTTTATAGTAGCAGATCGGAACATGCCGTGGTCGCCAAGCATAGTAACTACCAGAAGGCCTCAAGAATCTCGATACATAGGGGGGACATCGTTTGGGAAGTAGGCATTCTTCATGCTGACCGCTCTAGCTGTCAGAATGGTGCGTCGGAGATGTAAAAGACGACACTCGGCTGCGGACGTGCGTCTATTTCCATTGCATGAGTGACTGAGTAAGATATGGTTGTTTGTGGAGATACGCTACCCCAAGTCTCCAGCTTACACTGCGCCGGTTATAGGAGAGGCGACGTCAATTCGATTTGGAGATAATAGCATGAATAAACACTCGTTTAGGTGGTGGGGACAATGAAGTAGATGAGATCTTAGCGTAGATGAATTAAGTACAACCATGGAGGTTCACCTAATAGACGGATGTTGGTTAGAATAAATCACTTAATCTTCGAAATAAACGTCGAAGTTGTGAATAGGTGTATGTAAATTTCAAAATATACAGTCTTATTTCGCATGCTCAATGCCCATTGATATCCGTAATTTGCCAGTCATGTCTCATCAATCCGTAAAATGCACCAAGAAATATAGTCTATAGCAAGACAATATTTGGCGCCTTGCTTTCCACATTTACTAGATATGTCAATCCAGGGTCGTGATGTGCAAATCACCACCCGCCTCCCAATTCTCTAATATCCACACGTATTCTTTGAATTCTTTGGTTGCGTAAATTGTGCCGCTGGTATAGGACGCTACCAGTGCGTCTGTAATGCCACCTGGCCAATCACGCACCCGTGGATTTGGCTGTAAATTTCACGAACTTCCGTATTGGCATAAAGACCTTGCAGTCTAATAACCGTGTCGCGTAATGCGTGTCAAATAGGCAGATCAATCCATTGCCGAAGATAGATCGTTCTTCGAGTCAGCTTGGGGAGTAATATCCCCCTGAGCCGGACATACATATAGTTGATGGCTGTATCAACCAAGCTGTGAGGCACTGTAATAGCGAGAAACTCCGCACACATCCAAGCATTCCAGTATGGTCGCAGCCAAAAAGCGTGGCTGCTAACTCGATAAAAGGATATAATAACTGTACAAAGTTTTCTTGCGAGGCGAGTGCAGATGCGACGCTCGCACCATCGCGGATAAGCGATTTAATATCTGGGCGCGGGGAGGCGAAGTATGACCCCGGGATGTAGCCCCGCCAGTCATATTCATTAGGTGTCGGCAGCCCTCGAGATATCCTATCAAGAATCTATCATTCCGACAGAATGGCTCCGTGGTTAAAATTGACACCTCGCAATCTGTGACATCTGGTGGCCGTGGGTTATTGGAGTTGGCGCCGGCTGGTATTGTTGCATGGGATACATACTCCATGGCTGCATTTGATAGGTCGGGTTGATAGGCACCATACCGATTTGAGGGCATCCGAACTCTGAAATTGTTTGATTAGACTTCAGTTGCAAATTTGGTGGTTGGGGGAGTGTACATACCGGGTTTCACATCCTCAAATGCGCCATCGCTGCTAACACATGAAAGAGTAGGCATAGTCGGAGAACGCGCAGTCCTTGGCATACTAGACCGATCAAAAACCGTAGATGGGGCGCTAGTAGCGAGGTAATTGCCCCCAAACTCATCTGTGGCGGCGGATGAAGAGGGGCTAGATGCGGTAGATGAGAGGGAGCATGGCACAGTCGTGGGCCACGGATCAGTCGCATCGGGTATGTTGCCATATGTCATATTCTGCATCAATGGATAGTTGGGCGCAGACTGTCCAAAAACATGAGAATTGGGGGGGCTGGAGCCATGGAACACTGTATGAAAAGGTTAGCTCTTCTATCGAGGAATATCGGCGCATTGGGCGTACTAGGTTGATATTGCTCGCCGGCGTCAGCGGTACGTATCCCCATGCCATCTCTAATACGACGGAGTTCGTCTTCCAATGTTTTATTTTTCCGAAGTAAAGTCTGAATGGTCTGGTCTCGGCCTTGTTGGCTGCGAAGTTCCTCTATTTCCTTCTCAAGATTTTCGATATGTTCTTTCGTTCGTGCTCGGATAGCCCTCTGGGCCTCTCGGTCGTTGGCACGCTTTCGAGCAAGTTGTGAGGGAGTAAGAGTAGATACGCTTCTAGTACCTTTCTCCGTTTAGTTATTTTTATATAATCTGGGTCAAGGGATTGGATGATTTACCTTTACGCTTCCCAGTCTTGGTAGGTTCTACCGTAGACTTCATGCTGTTGGACATCGTGGAGTCTGCTTTGGATTGGGTTGTAGATTGAGAATAATATTGTTGAGCATAGAACATGCCTGAAAGCACGAGTATAAGAGCAGGTGTTAAAATAAACAATGGGTTTATTTAACCGGTTTCTACCTGTAGATATTGCGACGCGGATATTGCAGGTATATTGGGAGACGTTATATAATAAAGAGAATGGGCAACCGACCCGTTGGTGTAGCTATTGCTAGCATGCAACCGTTATATCATATGTGTTGTGTTAGTCGGACACCACGCCAAGGGTCTCCTCGACCGGGATTGAAGGCCAAGGGATGACCCTGGACGGTTACTAGACATATCGTAGATGGGATAGAGTACTCCAGATGGGATATGGGGTGCTAGCACATAGGTAGGTGGCTAGTACACTTCTAGGCCTCCTACGCAGCATCTGCAAGCGGGCGTCTATGTGGTAAAGGATGTATTCGCTAGTGGCACCATGGATAATAGTGAATTTTTCGGAAGCCATCTTGTTGTGTTCTTAGTGAGTAGGGAGGTAGTTGTCCCATCGACGGGCCCGAACCTTAAGCTCCACTGACCGACTAGCCTTGGTAACGCCCGCGTTCTCAGGCTTGGACAAGAGTAAAGCCCATGTCGAAGCCTTGTTCCCATGGGTTGTGGTAAATAGTGAGGGGAGCAAGGTCGGGGGTATTAATAGACTTTGCACTACGCCACTGAATACGGACTAACGAGTATGGAGCCATTAAGAACTCGACGTGAAAACCTCCAACATGATTTGGAAAGAATATGCCCTATATGACGAAGAACTTGGAAATATTGATTTCTTTCTCATGGCTATAAGATGTAATGCGTTGGTTAGGAAGAGTCTGGAACTAAGTCAATGTGCCAAATATTACTCTATACTGACCTGTTAGGGCCATTAGCATCAATCCAGAAGGAAGTTATAAGTCCAGAGCTGTAGTCCTCCCGGATGTATAATAGAAGCAGTGGTCATTTGCTAGGCGCGAATGAATCTCTCATTCGTTATCATATATTTCTCTGGCCTGGTCCAATGAAATATTGAACGTGATTTCTCCTACTTAGGTACTCACAAGATACCCACCCTAGCTGGCGTATGGAGATGTGCCGGGTATGGGTAGTTCATTTGGTCAATACTCTGGGGAACAGTTAGGTGGCGACGATGCTATACCGTAGTGAATGACCACGTTGAGCCTAATCTTACTCAGTCATCCCGTAACTATTGCAGCGGTTTTAACGCCTTTGAAACGCCACCGGTAGCTTCCGACACCTCATTGCGAAGGTACTCAACGAATTGATGCCAGCGGAAAACGATGAGCGGAGGGGGGCCGTAACTGATAACCAGAAGGCGGGGGCTCCAGGTATCCCAGGCGTGGATGTCTGTAAGCATACTTTAAAGTGCATTTATCTTAGTTAGAGCACTTGGTCCGGTGGTATAGAACACTGCGGTGGTGTTGTCACGTGCACGAAAGGGTCAAGACTGTCCAGATGAGGTCCCCGCTGGTTGTTGGTATGCTACCATGGCTATTTGCGGCCACACCGAAGAGATCCGAGTCCGTTGTAACGCCATCTAAACTCTTTTAACGATAGCTCAGCCGGTGGGGTTGGAATTATCGTCCCTACATAGGTATCGAATCATAACGACGGATGCATCCTAAAGACTAACTAATCTCGTTCTAGTTTAGCACTCGCAAGTGCGGCCTAGGTAGACGGAGAGAAAATTGGAGCCCTGAGGATGATGGTAAAACATCACCCTGCATCATGCAAGAGATGCATGCCGAGACGAGCGGTCCGATCAACTTGACGCGACTTTGAACCCTTTGTGGATCGATTAAGGGACAACCCTCATTACTCTCTCCGAGTATTCGGAGGTCTTCGGTAAAAGGCTGGCGAATTAGGAATCAAGCGATTTCGGGGTTGACATCCTTTACCGCCGACACCAATTCCTCCATACCTCCTACTTCTGTAGGTCCTGACATGCCAGATGGGGGTAAAGCCCAATCGGGAAGAGGGCTAACATAGCTCCAATCACCGCCTGCATCTTCATATCGAAGACTATGTAACCACAACGATAGTTCCTGAAGTCCTGGGTCCGTGTATAATGGTGTGTCGCAGACCTCGCATAGCTCGCCGGACATCTTCTCCGCTTTCTTCTTGTAATACTCGTCCACCATTTCATCATGGTAAGCGACAGCATCAGCTACTTCTTCTTTCCCCATGCGGTTTAGGCGTGTGATTATATCATCGTCTGTGTTCTCAAGCCCCTCGGGATCGTTGTAACCGAGGTTTATTCCCCAGACCCTTTGATTGGCATAAATGGGGTCGTTCTGGATAGGATGTCCTAGATGCTGAAGATGGACCCGTATTTGGTGAGTTCTACCAGTAACTGGAAGGCATCGCACGATCGAGTATCCTTCTTTACGAAGCCATGGCCTGTCTTTCTCCTTATCGGCACCGTTCGCTTTTGAAGCATTTTCAACTTGTTCTCTTCGACTCGGTTCCTCTGGTGGGTAGTACGCGAGCTTCTTGAAGACTGTTCGGGCCGTTTTTCCAGCTGCCCGTACTCGATTTAACCCTAGCTTGGGAGAAATTTGGAGCAGCGGCTGGTTGCAGACTATTTCCTCATCAGGAAAATTGCCAATGACTCTAGCGACGTACTCTTTTCGCACACTTCTTTGCTTAATTTGCACGCCCAACCGAGCAGCGGCCTTGGCATTTTTTCCAACGAACATGATACCGCTAGTTAATCTGTCGAGCCTGTTGCAAGTGTATGGAATCCAATCCGGGCTCCTCCCAGCTTTCATGATTTCGATGACAGAGTTGAAATTATATCTTCCCGCAGGGTGAACCGGTATGCCGGAGGGCTTGTTGATAACAATCATGTCATCGTCTTCGTGAAGGATCCCTATTGGATCTGCTGTGACTGGTGGCTCATGTCGGTGTATTGTATGTGACACCAGCTCTCCATTCTTAAGAATATGGTCGGGACTAGTCGGCTTGCCATCGACGCATATTTGACCTGTCTCCATGGCGTTCTTATAGTATGCTAGCGGTCTATCCCTAAACTCGCTTTCAAATATGTCTATAAGTTTCCTCCCTCTCCATCGTTGCTTGCACCAAGTCTTATAGGTGAAATGGTAAGGAGCAACGCGTCGCAGCCCATTCTCAATGTAGTATGGTGCCGGCAAAGCATTGGGGTCTGGGGTCTTTAGGTCGGGAGCCGGTGCTGTCGTTTCTTCTGAAGGAGTTACTGGATCCGTGATTGATAATGCTTCGATTGCCGGCGTGTCAATCGTGGCGGATGCCGTAGCCGAAGCATTCGGCCCTTGAAGGATCTGACTCATGACAGGCCAACGGGGCTGCTTCACTTGTCAATGCCGTTTGCCTCTGGAAAAGATGGGACCTCTTGTCAAAAAGGACAAAACAGAATTCATGGCCTAATGTGATTGCGAAGTTGACTCCCTAGACATTTAACTTCCGTTCGATCGCGGGGTCCTTGCAAAATCGAGGATGCCAAGATTGAAAGTTGCAAGTGGGAGAAATTTGGCGGTGAAGCCTGGCAGTAGAAACTTACGCGGGCGGGTCCATTCACGGGCCGACATAATATTCCGGTTCTGCTTATTTAATATACATTGGATTTTGCCTCGGCTTACGGGAGCTGGGGCCAACCCTGCTACCGATTTTGGTTCCCTAAACCTTCATCCCATATTCACTTTTACGCCGACCGCGACTTTGGCTTCGAATATTGAATTATGGCCTCAAATAAAGAGTTAAAATCTAGGATTCGAAACGACTATCCTTTTATGCTTGAATATCGGACGCGATGGTATGCTATCACGACTCGCGGAGGTGAAACCCTACTAATAATCGAGTCTAACATCTCTTCAGGAGCGATAACGACATGTACGATCATATGAATAACTCAGTTTACAATTTCCTGTCCGTAATATCAATCGTACCTTATGGTCCCCTATCTAATATGAGACATGGATAGCTTCGATTCTGTGCTTAATTCTTACTTAATTGACTATTGTGGTCTTCACCCGCCTACCTCGGCACAACATCCTCTAATGGCTCAAACGCGTTGCGAATACTTTTCTCCCATATCGTACCCTAAAGTTGCAGAACTCTGCTTACGGGTTAATAAGCTTGGAAAATCCAGCGCTGTCTACGAAATCGCATTATTTGAGAAGGACGTTGACCAAGTCAAGGCCGTTGGTGAATTTGTCCATGTCTACGTGGATCGCGCAACCTTACGGCCGAATTCTAACGGAATGAACACCCAATTACGGCAAGGACTGGAGAAGTTACTTGTGGGGTCAAGTTCTAGCAAGCTATAAACAACGGGCACTATACCAACTGTTGATGCTCCAGCTTCTGGCGCGCCCCATCCTGCTCGCCACTCTTTAGCATCGCCTCTATCAACTCCAGATCTCCAAGCGCCAACCCAGGGGTTTGGTCCGGGTTAGCTATTCCGGATAAGATCGACTCCCCCCAAGCGTGAACTTCTTCCTTGACTCCACTAGTATATTCGAATGTCTTCTCCTCCGTCACAGCATCATTCCCAAACCCGACAGTTGTGACTACCTTGTCTCGATCGGCCTTGACGGAACCTTTCTCGCAAGCGAAATAAAATTCTGTCGCCGACATCGTCGTCCCCACGGAATGTATGAAGGACCCCACTGCACCAGACTTCGTCTTCAAGACCGCGTAGATGGAATCTACAGGAGGCAAATGGCTCGATACCAGCGCAGTCTGCGCTACTAAACTCTCGACGGCATTTTCACCTAAAAGTCTCCTGAAAGCGGCTGTAAAGTGGACACCTCCATCAAGAAGAAATCCACCCTGGTACTGGGGCGTTGTGCGCCAAGGTGTGTTGTAGTAACGATTACTCGTCTCCATCATAGAAACTACGTTGATGACAAACCCCGTCACTTTGCCAAGTTTCTTGATCTCCTCGGCCGCGTAGTTCCATTTCGGATAGAAGCGGAAGTTCTCAGCGATAGCCAAGGAAGCGTTGGTCTCGGCGGAGGTCCGCATATAGTATTCGATGAGTTCAATAGCAGTAGCTATATCCTTGGCGATTGGTTTCTCCGCGAGGACATGTTTACCTGCCGCCAATGCCTTTTTGATATAATCTGGCTGGTCTATGATTGGCAAGGCTAGTACTACTCCAGTTATATCCTCGCGCTTGAGGATATCTTCGTAAGACTTGCCTTCTCCGGAATCTGATGAGTACAGGTCCACTGAAGAAGCAGCGTCGCTGGGGACTAGCTTCGCGGCTTCTTCCGCGGTTTTGCGAGATCGAGACCAGATCGCCTTAATCGAAAGCAGGGGAGAAGCCAGAGCAGCGGGCTAATCGCAAGTTAGCTAGTGTATCGTATAAGGCTCTAATTTTCTCGTCGAGATGGAGTCTCCCGTACGATTTGACCCAACGCCGGCCTCCTAGTGAATACCAGGCTCGACTAGACCATCTTACTTACTATATGCTGCTCCTTGACAAAAATACCCCCGCCAACAATTGCTATTCCTACAGGGTCCATGATTTCGACCTGACTTGAAATTGAGGGGTGCCGAGGAGATAGATACCGGCAGAGTAAGGCTCTTTCTCAAATTTGAGGACAGTTAAGAGAGGAGGCCTTTATTTACGCTTCTTCAATAGCACGAACTAGTCTTTAAATACCAAATCGACCTAAATCGACACGCAAGAAAATCCCCACCCCGCTTCATCTAGATCGTTGCCAAGTTTCAACCGGTCCAATAGCTCCTAAGTCGGGCCTTCTTATTCCGGAGGTCGTACTGCGACGTCACCTGCGCACATGTGTATAGGCCATGAAGATGGTGGCATATACACCAGCAAGCCCCTCACCCAATTGGGTAACTCCGCATCTTCACAAACGATGACGTAATTTATTATACTTACGTACCTAGGTAGGTATTTATTTCATATCTCATCCAACAGAGCTTCACTTTAGACAAAATTAAATCAGTCATTCATTCCAAAGCTTCCAAACACATTCAATCAATATTCAATAACAGAGACCTTACGTGATCGAAGTGCACGAAACATATTTGATTACATAAGTGTATCCATCTAAAGGCGCCTGCGCACGTACATATATACAAGGTTGAAAATAGGTGGCTGGTAAAAAGTACGGTGAGATACGTGTATCTTCTACGAGCTCAATCTTCGCTCGAGAAACATAATCTTCTTGTACAGCGATTATGAAACTCATACTCTATATCTACTTTTAACATATATGATCTTGCAAGATACACACGTAATTGTGATAGTTACGAGCCTGGTTCGCGTTGAAAGAGCTTGTGTTTCTGGAGATTGTCAAAATACCTGTACACAACTCGCTTTTTAAACTTATTACCTACCTACCTTATAGAAAGATCGACACCCAACATGTTCTCGGAGATTTATGATACTTCGGATTGGTTTGGCGACGAGCCAAAGCTGAACGATGCTTGCGATTATCGGGACTGGTTTGTAGCTCTCCAATTCAACGCTCATTCTGCGGGGATCTGGGATCATATCAATCCTAATGGGAGTTTGGAGGGAACGATCGACCCTCATGAGAAGGAGCCTACTTTCGAGAGTGTTCGAGACCAGGAGATTGAACGAAGACGTCAAACGAAAATCTTGAAGCAGCTGGCGAATGACCAAAAAGATGGGCAAAGCACCGACCCAACACCCGGACAAAAGACACCAAACCCATCCGAAACAACAATTCCCACGGAAGATATGATTCCATCAACTAAAGAGGTCGGCGAGCTCCTAAATAAAGCTGTAAACTACTACTTCGCTACATCGGACTACCGAATTCAAATTCAACTCGGGTAAATGCAGATTCGGAGATGGATGGAGAAGACGGTGAACAGTCGTCTCTACCGCTCATTCTTGTCAGAATGTAGCTATGAAAACGATCTAAGTGTTCGTGATGTGGTGAAAACTATCAACACATACTTCGTGCAGCAGGAGCGATTCATGGGAATACCACAATGGAGACAGACATAGGGCCCATGCCTTTCGCGCTCCTCCTTAGTACACCAATCTTGATTGTACATACACGACTAAGCACGATACACACCTATGACACAAGAGATCCTAAGATGTTACCTATCGAGACTAGTAATAAGATGACTTAAATCTTATATTCTTCCTCGCGTCCTCAAAGAGTTGAAGACAGCAACGAAAAAAAAAAGGGTTGCGTCTTCTGGAGGTAGTGTAATACCAGAGACACGAGGCGCGCCTAAGCGCTCCTCAAGTTCCAAAAATATATTAATCTTAAAAAGCAGATTAATATTGTTTGCGAGACTTTGCATCTTCGTAATCCATGTCGATGCGCTAGTAAAGATGCAAAGCTCAAGTTTGCGAGTCGTCGCACTTAATATACTTCGTAAAGTATGACAGCACGGGACTCAGTCCCAAAGATTTGATAAAAAGCCATTAATCTTTAAAAAAGTGCAGATTAATGTCTTTTGCGAGACTTCGCAACCTTCAGTGTCCACGCCGAAGCTCCAGCTAAAGGTACAAAGCTCAGTTTCCAAAGATTTCCCAAAATGCCCTAAGACAAATTAGAGTGGTGAGTTTCCAAGTCCTTGTCTCTGGAGGTAGTGTAATACCAGAGATACGCGGTTTGAAAAACTCGGGGGGGAGACAATCCAGTCACGTCCGGACAGCCAAAGCTAGTGAAAGACCCGGCGTCACTAGCCCTCTGTCACGTTCGGGTCATTCCTTCCATCCATCTGGGTCAGTATGTGACCTGTGGTCTACGGCCTCGGGTGCAATGCGAGATGGGGAGATGGGGCGCGTTTCACTCGGAGCGGATCGAGGGACCGGGATTAGGGGGTGAGCCTGCTCCCAAAGGTTTCTGTATGCTTCCGGGGACGTGAAAGGATGTCAAAGAGAGGTATAGGTATAAGTATAGTTATTGAGGGCGAGGACGGCGGTCGGCGGTCGGCATGGGAGGGCGGGGAGGCAGGAGGAGGAGGAGGACGGCGAGGTAGTCGGAGAGGCCAAAGGAGAGGGGTGGCCAGTCGGAAAGGCAAGAGGAGGAGGTAGGGGCGGAGGGGCGGGAGGAAGGACGGGAGGAAGAGAAACCAGTCGGGGAGGCGAGGAGGAGAAGGGACCGGGGAGGGAGGGTGGGAGGAGGGTGACAGTCGGAGAGGCTAACCAAGAGGGAAAAGGGGGGGGCTAAGATAGAAATGGTGTCAGGGGTAGTCATTTTGGTTGTCGGTAAAAGATTGGAAAATAATATGGAGGGAAAGAGCAAAAAAGAATCTACCACTTGGATAGGATTCAAATGTCGAGGGTTTTAATATGCTATGTTGGTTGGGGAATAAACTCAGAAGAAAGGAGGACATCGATCTCAGTCGATGAATGAAGCATCATCACTTAATGACGTCCAGGGGGTAATTTATGATGGATAGGCTTGTTTATATGGAATGTAGATGGGTCATTGGTGAGATGGGTAGTAGGAGAAACGATAGAAGGAAACAATAGGAAGGGGTGAGGGAGGGGGAGAGGAAATGGTTGGAGTGTTTTGAAGTTTGGTAACTTGCCTATTGGGTTAGTATTTGGGATAAGGGTGAAGAGTGAAGCGTGAAGAAGGATGGGTGGGATGAAGGTTGAGTATTGGAGAAGTCAAGTAGAAATAAACAAAACAAAATAGAGTTTCTGGGAGGTGAAAGTTGGCAGAAGGGATGCTTGAGACCGGGAGATGGAAAGTAGTTGGGTTGGGGACGAGGCGGGATGCTGTTAGGTAGTGGTGTTGGAGGAGAAAAAACCAAGGTAGTTTGTGAAGCAGGCTGTGGCTAGATAGAAGCATGAAAGTGATGGTTTTATACGTACCTGGGTCAAGTTCAGTCAAAACTGGACGAATTCCATAAGAGGGGAGTTGGGGATAAGGGTGAAGAGGTAGAAGAAGTGTGAGGAGGGAGTGAAGTATGGGAGAAGATGTTGATGGAGAAGAGGTTGGAGGGAGGAGCTGGGATGGCAAGGGTTGTTTAAATATGACAGCAATCAGAGGAGTGATTAGAAAAGTGATTAGGAGACTGATTTGAAATGGAATGATCAGTCCGAATAATAATTATCTATTATTCCACTGGCCGAATCTTTTTTTGAAAAATCAATATATCAAACCTTATATAAAAAATCAAGTAGCCGTTATGGCAGGTATACCACTCGATTTGAGTTCAATCACCCATGGAATTCGTACATTGACATTGCACACAGACATCCTTTACCGTAGTTGGACGTAGAATATGTCAAATGTTTGGATAATAATTTTTTGAGCCAATGAACGTTTTTTTAAAATAGAGTTTCTATTCGGTCCTGCCCCCTATTATAAATTGATCTATTGCAACTTTCATAAGATTCGAGAAACACTCGAATAGAAATACTATGGAACCTACCTAGGTACGCAAAACATCCAAATCCTAATAACATTAAACCATTTGAAAACTCAGATCAAAGTACATATGTACGTTGTTTGAAATTTCCCTTTCTTCCTGTACGTGGGAAATCATGTAGGCCATGTTTAGTTGTAACTTCTCGTTCAAGCTACTCTCTCCCAACCCACCTACTTTTTGAATGAAGGTAAACACGTAACTAGATCAGAGGCATTAATATATGATATTATCTTGTACGCTCCAACGAAATAGAAAACGACATTTACAATATTATGAGTGTCATTACCTTAATTAACGATGTAATTGTTAAAATTGACGTAGTTACTTCATATGTTCACCTGAACTTACAATAATCCAACCTCAACTAAAACTTCACCCTTTTACGATTCTAATACTCTCAATAATAACCGAATCGTCTATCGGAATTAAAACAATGAATTCATTGATATTATAAAATTATTAGTTGACGACCGGCTCAGTATCCAAGTGACTATAGTAAGTACTTAGGTACTTAACATGACCTATATCCATAACGCAAGTAACCTTGCGCCTACATGTACACATACGTATCTACGGTACTCGAGGGTACATAGACGTAATCAGGTAGCGTTGTTGATCAAGGGGACGCCCCTGAATGGTCAAAATATAGTCCGCATGCATATGCAGGTAGGTACGTACATATGCAGGCTCCGGCATAGCCCCAGTAAACAATGTTTTTATTTTCCCCCTATTTAAGTCAGCAGCCTTCGCCCATATGATGACTGCTTAGAAGGCAGCCTTCAATTCCCTTCAATTTCCGCGTTGACGCCTTTTTTTCTATTGTATACTTATTGTAATTATTAGATATTTTTGCTTTTCACCATGCGACTTTTAAACACGAAAACACTAGTAATCGAGGAGTTTTATGGCGATGTCCCACCTTATGCAATATTATCACATACGTGGGGCGACGGGGAGGCCTCATATGTTGACTTCGTCGAGGGTAGAGCCTCTTCCCTTGAGGGCTACCAAAAGATTCTAGGATGTTGCGACCAAGCCATGCGTGATGGTCTAGAATATGTGGTGAATATGATTCCTATCCAAATATTACATAAGCATCTAGTTGAGAGCGACTGGATGTTTGCTCATTGCTCTCTGAAGTCTAACTTAAGTAGTGGATAGATACTTGTTGTATTGAGAAGCAAAGCTCTGCTGAGCTCTCGGCAGCTATTAATTCCATGTTTAATTGGTACCGGTGTTCAGTGGTTTGCTACGCTTATCTAGAGGATGTCCAAAGTACGCATATGGAGTATTATTCGAGTTTCAAGGCGAGCCGTTGGTTTACTAGGGGCTGGACTCTTCAAGAGCTTTTAGCCCCATTCACCGTAGTCTTTTTCTCATCCGACTGGGAGAATATTGGAACCCGAGATAGTTTGCAAGAAATCATTGCCGAAATAACCAACATCAATCGAGAGTTCTTTGAGACCGGTAATTTGGCCGATTTCAGTATCGCCCAAAAGATGTCTTGGGCGTCGCTCAGGCAAACAACGCGAGTCGAGGATCAAGCCTATTGCCTGCTCGGGCTGTTCGGAGTTAGCATGCCCTTGATATACGGCGAAGGCGAACGAGCCTTTATACGACTCCAAGAAGCAATTATCAAAGAATCCGATGACCATTCGATTTTCGCTTGGACTAATGCGACACCAAGGTATCCCGATACTAAAATAGTGCGTGGTGGTCTCTTGGCTCCTTCTCCCGCTCCATTCGCGAACTCTAGAAGTATTGTAAGGACCCAAGTTGACGAAGGCATATCACCATACACGATCACAAATGCTGGCCTCCAAATTTCTCTACCGGTGGTTAACTTTTCGTCAAGTACTGAAATACCAGTCACTCGCTCGCGAGGGAGTAAAGGATCGGTTTCTTTTATCATAAATGTGCCACGCGGTCAGAGTATTGCCTTCTTGAACTGCCATCATAAGGGAGATCATGCTTTTCGGATCGCGATCTTTCTGGAACGGCCGCAGGTCCAACTAAAGCTCGAGCGGCCATACCAACGAGTCAGGTGCAACTTCGGAATTCTTTCGATAGAATGGATAAAAGTATTCCGTGTGCTACGACAGCAGTCGCTTCTAATAGAAACTCACAATTTATCAGATGCAGCTCTCACGCGGCCCAATAAACGTGAAAAACTCGTCATTATCGAGCTACCGAAGTCCCCTATATTCAATTTCAAACTCAAGAGAAACGGATCCGGACCTTTATGGAGATGTCAAGGTACATGGACCTTAACGCTAGCTATTCCGTGGAGGCGAGAAGGGTTCAGTACGACGTTCCCGATTTTATTCGAACATCCCCAAGGAGGGGCATTCATCATTCTGGTGGTTATCCGGAGCGGGGACGGTGTCGTCCCTTGTACTGCTCACCTTATTCAAAACTTCAGAATGCCTCACGATGGAGAGGATACGTCTTGGTACGATAGCGGTAATGGAATTTTGGAGTGCTATCAGGAGTCGCCGGACGGGCGTCTCCAATTGAGCCTCGACGTAAGAGAAGCTGCGCATGCGTCAATCATTAAGTTAAACGCCTGTGCCGACTCTAATGGCATGGAAATAATTAAGAGCGGCATTGTATCCCGTCCAGGCGTTCGTAAGGCGCTCCCTGCCCCTCCCGGGTCTTATTATCCGACAGATTCTCTCTATGGTGGCTTCGGGGTGAAATGAAATTTAAGGGAGGGAAATTCAAGAAATCCGATATCCGCAGGGCAAATTGATATAAGAGGCGGCTATGCGGGTGATCCTACCGTCGAACGAACGCGCCGAATTGGGATGCAGATATCACATCGCCAGGTCTAGACCCGGAGCTGTGTCCCAGGTGGTGAAGCTCAACTTCAAATCGTCAAATCGGACGATGTATCGCAAAAGCCGAATGGTCGCCTAATCAGACGATGCCCAGTCATTCAGAGCCTTGCGAATTTGCGCTCATTTGTTTATTAGGTGGTATTTCCCGAGTTGCTCCATATCATTTGTTGTCGTTGATGGGGTGAAGAGACAGCGAACACGGATCGTCACTTGATCTAGAAGTAACGAAAATATAACCAAATTTTACTCATTTTCTTTAATTATAATATTTATTTAGAATTTTCGTAATTATATTAAACCTCGAAAATGAAGTTCCCCACCACCTTCCTGCTCTTCCTCAGCACCCACCACGCCCTCGCCTTCAGAAACCTATGCCGAGGCGAACCCGACGACGACGATAGCGCATACATAACATCCGTCTGCTCACCCGCCACACCACCCGACCAATCCGCCCCCGCCCCATGCGCCGCAATCCAAAACATAGAAACCGCCTGCTTACCCAACGGAACCTCCCCCCTCGCCCTCGACGCACACGCGCAGTGTCTATGCGGGGGTAGTTACTTCCCAGAATGGATCGGATGTCGTAAATGTCTACTTGTACACGGCGCGCTGTCACCGCTTAATTTTAGTTACTTTACTACTGTGCTGTCTTCTGCTAGTAGTCAATTATGCCAAGGTACCCCAAGCGCTGCGTTCGCGACTCTGTTTACGGAGGTGCAGGCTGAGATACCGGAGCCTACTACGGGGGATACGGTGCGTACGGATGCGAGTAGTGGGAATGCGGCGGTTAGTGTGTATTATACGGCGAGTGGACCGCAGGGTCCGGGTGTGATTACGGGGAGTGCGACGGCGGCGACGGCTACGCCTACGGTGTCTGGATCAGGGTCTACCGGTGGGGAGTCGCTAAGTGCGGGGGCGAAGTCATCTACGAAAGCTCCATCGGCAACAACATCGAGTTCAAGTAATGTCGCAGTTCCGACGGGGCCAAGCAGCGGGGGAAAGGGGGCGCTCATTGCGGCAGTAGTCGGTGGTGCGCTAGCGGTCGCTATATAGAGGTTCCATCACGCATAGGCTAGTGTCTAGGCATGCAATGTATAATGTATGTAGGCAATCTAAAAGACATTCATTATAGGAACAAATGACGATGGGAAGACACCTACTATACCTATCTTACCTAAGAACGTGCTCAAGGTAATATATATACCCCCGGCAGAATCCACCTTGGCCCAATGGCGCAATATACCTGCTTGATTACTGTAACGCTTCCACATCAATAAGAGGAGACTGACTAACCTATGTGCGTACCTTGATGGACAACAACCTTGCTGGCCAACTTTCCCCATTAGACCAATCACACTATTTGCTATGCCTACATAGGTAGATGATACCTACCTAGGCCTAGATGGAAAATGAATCCGGGAATCAATCCGATCGTAGGCGGCTCCGCGGCTGTGCCTGCGTTAGCTTGCTCCGGGGACGGGTGCGCCCACGTGTGAGCGCGTCTAATTTCGACTTCACTTCACCATAGACTCGTTACATATTATTACATAGTATTACTTGTAAAAATTCGCCATGGGTTCTCTTAGCATGTTTGTGTTTTGAAAGCTCATTCAATTGTTCAATCAATCGCACTACATATCCCTCCTAAACAACGCTTCCTCGTCAAGCCATATATAGCTTGGTATCCAAGGAATAGGCTTGTTCCAGTAAGAGGACCGCCTCCTTCTTTGGATATATCTTTATGTATGATATTCGCGCGATCGAAGAATCAATTGACCCTTTACTGGGGCATGTGCTCGAAGGGCTTAGCAAGGTGTTCGGAGCAGAAAGGTAGTTTGCTAACGGTCCAGATCTCCGTGTCCTAATTCATCGCGAAAATTCGTTAGCCTTTTTCTCCACAAACGATTTTCAACATAAAAGAAGTTGGTCATGTGGAACACTTACAGGCTTCAAGGCTTTCTTATCAGCATCGCTAAGAGTACCTCCCTTAAGCGCAATGATCGCGGGAGCGGCGTCGGGGTCGTGAGCAATTGGCGATCCGCACTTGGGGCAGAAGATACGGTGCACGGGCTTGCCCGACGAACCGTCCTTGGCGAAGCTCTTGGTTTCGCCCGTGATGGTTAGTTTTTCCTTGGGGACGACTACTACTAGTGCTGTTGTTATGTGTTAGTGGACCATTGTCTCGTCTTAAGATATCGGGTTGGTTGGTGGGGTCGAGGTTCGGTGAGGTTGAAATGACGATCGGAGGGGCAATGGAAGGGAGCGCGATGGACTTACAATAAGTCGAGCCCGATTGACGTTGGCAGTCGTCGCAGTGGTCGTAGCCGACGACGAGAGGGTCCGCGTCGACGGTGTACTTAACGTCTCCGCAGAGGCAGTGTCCGGAGAGACCCATTTTGGTTATATATTTGGTATTTTATGGTTATCTGTAAGGGATATTCGTTGGAGGCTTTGGCGTCTATGAGGATGGCTGTTTGACTTTTAAACGAAACTTGGACGAGGAATAATCCCTTTATATATCTATTGGACACGAGTGGAGAACTGAAGAAAATGCACAAGAATACTGCTATGACATAGGTATCCTAGCTGATCAGCTTCCTCGAGCTCTCCCTGGCCTATGATTGACACTAGACTGGCGGATATGTACCGCAGGCCTTACCGGTTTTGTTTCTGTTATCACTCTTACGTGTAGGATGTTTCTATAATGACAATTAGCTCCCACTTACCTTCCTAGTTACTCTAACATGCAGCTAACCAAGAGTATCTTGCACTGACAAAAGCACATATAGACTAGGGGGTTAGTAAATGAGATAGCGGGCTGTCTCTTTCTTTCGTCCACGCCGAGAGCTTCCTTCGCGGCGGGGTTGATGGCTTTGCTTCAAGGGGATTTCCAGCGGGGTATGCTGCTAGCCTACGTCAGGATCTCAGCTTACGTAGCACAGAAATCTCAACACTTGCAGCTCTAACACATTCAAGGTGGGCCATAGCCTAGCTGTATATCCACCCTATTACAGTAGATGATTCTAGTAGTAATAGAATAAGTCGAAATATTCAATCTATTCGTGACTGTGCTTAGCATCACGAAAAGCAATAGTAACAACACAATCCGGCTTCCATTAGAACATTATCGCAAGTAGATTAATCTGTACTAACAATACTTATGTGAGACATCACATCAGGATCGATGGCTAGCTGTTGTGATACGTCAGAACTAGCCTATGATCTAGGTATTTGTCAAAGATCCTAGTCCGAGCTCCGCCGTCCGAGTACTGCCAACCTTGTCCTAGTTAATCCCGAATGCTTGATTAGCTTCCGGGGTGGATATGCGAATTCTGAGTGGCTGTTTGTATTTGGAATTTGAAATTTTTGTCTACGCCGCCGATAATGTCGGGACCCGCACGGCAGCTCGCAGATGTCCGAGCTAAAGCACAGGTTGCAGAATGAAAATCCCCCAATGATCACCGCTCGTATCTCCAAAGCCGTGGGTTCATTTGCGCGTACCTGGGAGCCCTCTAATTTCACGCTCCATTCCATGTTTATGGTTGAGTAGGTTGGTATCACGTTGTTTTCGCAGCGCTGAAACGAAAATTTCCACTTTCATAGCATGAACTCGATCGCGTTATGGAGTTATTCAAACTCCGGGCCGAATAATGGCTAACGCCACATACGCATGTAACATTAAGGCCTTTGGGGTTGTACACGGGGAGACTCGAGATAGGATACCCTTGAATTGCGAGACTGGGAGTAGATACTCGCGGGGTCTATTCCACAATCATCTACCAACGCCTCATAAAAAGTTTCAAAAGATAGGGGTCTTCGATATGACAAATATCCTAAAATTGATTAGGATATTGCAACCCAAGCTAATGACAGCTTCAGAATCCAATGCTCTAGTTGTAGGATATCCACACTACCCATCGCAATCCTATCGGCGATGAATAGTTTTAGTACCAAGTTTCTGTAGCATCGTCTAGATCTCGTATCTTCACGAGCCAGAATATATCCATCCATGGATGAAAGTCTAAAGCCTCGGATGTCCTTTTTTGAATGAGTAGTGGTGCCTATCTGACTCGAAGTTAATGGGCGCTCAATTCGCTCGGGCCTCTGCCGCAAGTTTTTGATCGCCGTGAAATACCCGTAGTTCAGATAACTTGCGGTTTGAAGTAGCGGAGGTGGCTGTTTCTTAACGAACAATTTTGGCAATAGTCCTGGCTTCGATACCCAGATTGTATTATTCTCATTTAACTCGCAAAAGATGGCCTCGAAGTCATGGGCGTAATATACGAATCTCGAATAAAATGCAGGTGTTAATATTCTGAATTCCATTCTTTCAGCGGCGTCGGGATTTTCTCGAGCTGACGTCGACATCATTATCGCAACACGCGCATCTGCAATGCCGCTGGGGGCATATTCAACAATTAATGGTTCAGGGGAATCTTCTACCAAATGTTTCAAATAGTCTCTGAACAGCGGCTCGAGTTGTCGTTCCGTACTATCAGCACGCCGACCGATACTTGTCTTGAGCGGTTCTGGTCGGTACCAGACGTGAAGTTTTCGTTGGAAAAACAAAAGTGCAGCCTCTTTTACGATTCTAGGGAATGTGACGAAGCCGACCCACCACCAAGAAGCCAAGAATTTGTATTTTTGAAGAAAAGTCATTTCTGTTGGGTCAATGGCATCGCCATTCGAAAAGATACGAGCAACCAATTTCGCATGGCTTTTGGATGATATCAGATTTATCGTATTGTTGATGGGACCTCGCCCCTCCATATCCGGGAGTAGAGGGTCATACGCTGCGAGTGAGTATGCCCCCTTTCTAGAGTTGAAGGGTGATACATGGAAGTCTTTCTGCCAAGTTCGCTTTAGTGGTTTCGAGCTATTGGCTCGATGAGCCTCATTGCTTCCATCTAGGGAGTCAGTTGGGGTCGTCTCCATTGATTTCATCGCATCATCAGTCGTTAAGTAGTACATTCGTCTCTCATCGAACGTATTATTAACCTCAAGAACCATAGCCGCCAAACATTTGTCGGCGGAATAGAGGTACCAGAAAGAAACAGGATTAAAATGGTAACCGAGAAATTTCGCTGCAGTAACTAAGTACGCATATGGATATCCGGAAGCATTAACACCCTAACCTATGTTAGCTGTGGATATCTCGAAGAGGTTGATAGGTTGGCACACTTGGGATTCGAGGTAAGCATCTAGCTTGCCCCTTAAGCCGAGATGCCCATTCCCTCTTTCGAGGTAGTCAGCAGCATCGACTTTATACCAACCCTCTATGCTTGTCCCGCGCTCGTCGTTTGATATCATGCCGCCCGCGGCACCAGTCCAACCGACAGGAATCCCAACTAGGAGATACGAATAAGAAAATGAGTGTTTCTCCGGGAAGAACCTAGTATGTGTTGTCTGGCAAGGGAATAGTAAAGGCCGTCCTGGGCCTTTCCATACTGGCGAGTTTATAGCCCCGCTACGACGCCATTTGTAACTAAAATAGACGAGGGTGGATATAGCTACTACAAGAGCTGGTATAACTATATCGGAGAAATTAAATTCGAAGAGAGTAAGGATTTGAGGACCTCTAGCCCAGAGCAACCAGGCCGAGAGAACCAATGCATCTCCAACGCTTCCAAAGATCAAGTAATAACATAATGCAGTTGCTCGTAGGAGGACGGTGTGCAATGGTATCCCTGCGACAACATCCATAAGGGACCACTGCCTATATCGTACGAATTACTGATTTCATACGGGCGGATAATAAAGCTGATTGAGGGTTCTAAACAGTGAATTAATTGAATGCTGAAAATAAACACGGAGTTTGGTTACACATCTGGAACACTAAAGCAGCTGTCCAGGTGTTCATGCAACCAGCCGGACAAGACAAACTCCGTTATCTTATCGCTTATCTAATCCGGACATGGCTCATCGAGAGTCGATGACGTGGTGAATATTTTCTTTTTTATTTCATGTCACTTAAAGATATGACTTGGATAGACTGGATTGGATTGAATGTTTGGTATTTATTTGTCTATGTGAATAATATTTTCTTGGTGTAATCCACATCTTTTGATTTGCTACACTGTTTCTTGGTAAGCCTTAAAAAAGAAGGAATCCGGAGAAAATGCGGGATCCAATACTCCTTATTACGCGGGCTAGAGTCATCCTATTTCCAGGTAAGAGCGACAGGGGCGCTTAGTGCCGTCGGTGTTAGGGCAGACCACAGTAGAAGGAACTTTAGGTTGCCTCCTAAGCCTAAGCCTAAGCCTCCTTACTTCCGCGCCGGTTGACTCAGCGGCGGCTCCGCTTTCAGCCCACTTCCACCATCATTCCTTCGCCTTCCACCGCCCGAAAAAGGACATCTATATCAAACACCTCACACGAGCGCTTTTACATTCAACTATTTTTTTCTTCAACTTCACACAAAGCAATCGTATACCTGACTCCATACCACGGCTTAAATCCGTATCTTCCAACGCTGAGATATAAAATACGGTCGATTGCGCCCAATTATCCACTCGCAAACGTCAACGTCATTTTCAACCCCGCTAGTAAAACGAACAAATAAATAAATCATTCACGATGTCTGACGACTGGAGCTCGGTTACCAAGATCGGCAGCAAGGTCCGCGGTGGTGCTTCCCAACGCGAGACCGTCGTTCGAGGAAACTCGGCCCTCAACGCCGCCAAGCGCTCAGGCGGTTCCATCGCAACCGAGAAGAAGTATTCTACAGGCAATGCCGTAAGTTATCTATCCATTGCCCCTTTTATTTTCCATCTTCACCTATGACTTCATCTACCCGTTACATACTACAGAACCATCTACCCATATACCTTACAATAACTAACACACCCCAACAGGTAGGCAAAGGCCCCGAAGGCCAACGTCTAACCAAAGTAGACCGCAGCGACGACATCATCAAGCCGAACACCGTCGGCAAAGAAGTCGGCGACGTAATCAGCCAGACGCGACAAAAAATGGAGCCCAAAATGACACAAAAAGATCTCGCGACCAAGTGCAACACAACACCCTCCGTGATCGCCGATTTCGAGCGCGGCTCCGCTACTCCCGACCAGAAGATCCTATCTGCCATGGAGCGCGTTCTCAACGTCAAGCTTCGCGGCACCGGGATCGGCGAGCCGAAGTTCAAGCCCAAAGCTAAATAAAGGGACTTGCGACTGTGCCTGGTGGCTATGATAATGAAGAAACTATATACCTTTGACAATCGCGAGATGGTGGAGAGGGGGTTGCTGGTTGTATGATGAGGCAGAATTACTTAGATGGAGAGGCAAGGGAATCCGGAATGCAAAAAAAGAATGCATCTTCTTTAACCTTAGCCGTACAATTGCATAGCACGCGAGTTGGCTTCCGATATAGAAGGTAGTCGACTTAAAAAAACGATCCTCATGCTTTTGCTTAGACAGTTCAATAGACTACGTCACCATCACACATTGATACCAAACTTTAATGTTATTGTTGACTTTTTTTTATTACTCTTGGTTCTAGTGAGAGTTCACTATATACCTTGTGCCATTGGCACCTATACTTCTCCCCCATTCACCTTCGTCTTTATCTTCATCTATCCATCAAGACAAATGGTATCGTCGGGCCGCAGCAGAAACACAATGAACGCGATGCGATGCGATGCAATGCAATGCTAAAACAAATCGCAACCAACACCACTCATCCTCCTCATTTCTTCATCCCCTCCGAGTGATGCCCCCAATGATCGTATAAAGTGCAAAGTGCACATCATGTCGTCTTTCCCCTCCCCCATCCTATTATATCCCTCCTCCTTAAACCCCCTTACCGTTTCTCAAGCAACCTCCGAACCCTGCCCTCAACCTCAGTCCGACTGATCTGACGATCCGTCTCCAATACTACATTCTCCCTCCCCCCAACAGCCACAACCCGAATCCACTCGGGCGCAACTTCACTCGCCAACAATCTAACACAAGTAGTCCCCTCCTCGCGCGAAATACCCATCCTCATCGAATCCTTAAGTTTCTCCAGCGTCGTCGCCATTGTAAACGACACTCTATCTCCACCCATGGCACTCGCGCGGCTCAGCATGCCCAGCATAGCCGCGACTTCGGGTGCGCGTTGCAGGGCCGCTCTCCTCGCGATTTGTTCTGGAGTAAGATTCGCTGCACCGGGGAGGGGGTTCGATTTCTGGAGAGACTTTAACCGGATTCGGTCGAGGAGACTCATTTTCGAACCGTCGGGGTTGGTTTGTTGTTGCTTGGTTTCTTTTTCTTGCTTCTTGACCGCAATACCGTGTTTAAGCTCTTCAAGTCGTTTTTGACCTTTGGCGAGGACGGGTTCGGCTTTGATGACGGAATCACATAACGCGACGGGGGCTTTGGGGAGGTTGGTTAGGAATGTAGAAACGGGGGTTGACGCGGTGCTTTCGGAGATGAATTGAGTCCATAGCGGGGTTAGGTTGGCGTGGAATTGGTCGTTGAGTTTTTTCTCATCGATTGGGCGGCCTCGGATTTGTTGCGTAGAGTCAATCTCGATGCAGATTTTACCGCGGCCGTAGTTGGAGAGGGAGAATAGTGGTTTGGTGTTGTTGGATGCGAGGTTTAGGACACCGAGGCAGATTCGGATGTCAGAGTCGGTGACCTTTTTCTTACCCCATGCTCGGGCGACGTTGGGACATAAGACGCGCAAATCGGCCGGGACGTTGGATCCATTGTGTGCGTAGTGGAGAGTCAGAGTTTTCAAGAGTGAAGAGTGTAGGTCGGCAAGTGCCAAAACCTCTTCAGGAAGTCGGCCATATTTCCTTGGTGTGGGAGAAAAGGTTTCATCGTCGGCCTCGGAGTCAACGACTGAGGTATTAGCGGTGAGAGGAGATGAGCAGCGAGATGGCGAAGACTCTAGACGGAGTCTCTTGAGTAGTACGCCGGCATTGATGGTCGATTCATCGGAATCGGAAACGCTAGGACTCCTTGCTCTCTTTTTTTGCAGGCACTCGGTAATTTTCCTTGTCGCGGGTTCGGGATTCTTCTTTGGTGTTTCCTTTGGCGCGAGTTCGGAACGAGATTTCTTTGAAGGTCGACCACGACTGCGCTTAGCAGACTGTGGTGTAAGTTTCGCAGATTTAATAGCAGGAAGGGAGAGCTTAGTTGGAGTCTCATCCGCAGATGTATCTTCCTCTTCGATGCTTGCGACTACCTTTCGCTTTCGAGAAGCGGGAGTAAGTGCCTCAAGTTTTGTATCCTTCTTTGGTGTGGAAGCAAGAATCTGGTTCTCCTTCTTGATGTCGGTCTGAGTTGTTATTGATTTCGAGACACGGGCGAAGCTGCTAATGGTAGATGATGTATGTTGGTTGGTAGTAGTGGCCTTGGACTTAGTCGACGTCTTACGACGTTGTTGCTTAATAGCAGGACCAGCCATGGCAATTGAGTTGAAATGGCAGATAAGACTAAGAAACTCTGTATTTCAAGGAGGTGCGAGTGAGGTTTAATGTAATTAGTTCTTTCTATATCTGTGATAATAGAAGTAAGAATGATGCGAGACACAGAATGGTTGAGTCTGCATTCAATTAGAATTATGAAAAGTTGTAGTAGAGAAAGTGCATTAACGATTGAATAATAGTAGGTGAGAAAAACAAAAATATTATTGCATCCACATGGTAGGTACGCGAAACCAAGAAACAGATAGCCCCGTATCGTGGCCCACGCGCTGTAATACGCGAAGATCCACAGTGAAACGACGCGTCTTGAAGTAGAGCGCGTTAATGGGGTGGACTAAAAACCACCCAATCAGAGAAGATGCAATTCCCCATTTGGCGCCAAGCCCTTTTTGGAACAAAAAAAAAGCAAACACCACGACCCGATCCTTGAAATTTCATAGCCGAGGAACAAAAGAAAAAAGGGCACCTATTATTTAATTTGTATTGTTACTTGGAGAACATTTGTGCATATTATTTATTATCTAGCACTCCATTGGTGATGTTTCAATCACTTAGGGTTTGACATTTCGGCAGTCCATATTGGTCACCCTTCAACACACTGGATTCTAGGCGCATTCTTATTCAATTACTTTGATTTATTAACGATGCCGCAAATTAGATACGGAACTAGACTTCCGACTACCTGGATCTCCTTTCTGGCCGCGCAACTTCAATTAACTTCTGTCTCATAGCCCGAGGCTATTACATGAATTGTGCCAATGTGATATCAATTACCTAGGTATTGTATCAACCCTAGTACCATCCCTCATTGGAGAAACGCCACACCAGACGGAATGTAACGACTGGGTAGTGGCGAAATGTCCACCAGATGGCAAACAGAAGTTGTCAAATTGATGGCAGACTAAAAAGCATTCAGCCAGCTCAATCATATAGCAAAGCCATGAATCCAGCATGTTTCTGCGGATCGACGATGAAGGGTCTCTCCCTTCCAAAAGCACACGCCATGCCCCTTGATTTTTGTGTAACCCGATTATGTTGCTTCCCTTATGCCCTTGCTATGTCGCATCCGTGAACTCCCGAATGAAATCCCTTAAAACCCTCATGCCAATACAGAGAAAATAGAAGGGAATGAATATATGATGTTATGTTGAACATCCCTCATATAGATTTGCTTGATCACGTCCAAGACGTTGATCAGTTATGCAAAGCCCGTTGCCAGTGATCAGGGTGGAAGCTCACTGGGCTCGGAGGTGGCGGAGCCGGAACATCCCAGTCACGCTCTGAGATGGTGCGGATGGGGGCAGCTCGCTTGCTTTCCTTAGTAGTAAGGCTAGCATTCAGGCTGGTGAAGAGGTCTGTGGTAGTGCTAAGGCGTATGGTCTTGCGCGGCGGCGTAACCGGGATCGGTGCTGCGATTTGGCCAGGCATGTTGATTGATGTATTGTTTCTATGGATAGGAGTTAGCATGGGTTGAGGTTGGGTCGCGAGGATAGCTCGAAATATATGGGAATACTCACAATTTGACTTATGAGTAGTCACGAATGACAAAGATGACGAAAGGTTTGAATATTTGGAAGCTTGGGTGGAAGCACAAATAATTTATGGTTTGTGAGAAGTGCTTGCGAGTTTGAGGCGCTGAAGTGTGATCTTATATATCGGTTGCCGAGGCAGGTGCAGTAGTATGGAAGTGTGGAAGAGCAGAGTTGTTGGATGGAAGGTAATAGTAAGGAGTAGTGGTCGAAGGTCGAAGATGGAATAAAAGAATGAAAGGTTTAAGTTTTCAGGATTGTGAAAAAAGTAGGGATGGCAAGGGCATAGATATAGAAATTATGAGAAGGTGCAAAGTCGCAAAGGCGCAAGGACCAAGGACTAATAAAATAAAAACAGGAGGTTACAAGTTACGGGAAGGGAAAGGGCGGTGGGTATGCACAACGGTGTGTCTGTACGTATGTGCCTGTAATGTGCGTGGGCTTGTAAAAGTAACTTTGTAGAGAGTAGGTAAAGTTGTACACCCAATAATAAGACTTTGTCTATTCCTTGGATTATTTTATTATTTTATTTTTATTTTGGTTGTATTTTATCTTTTTGCGGCGGTCACCCCACGCACCTAAGATGGTAAGGTCTTAGCAAAGCTGATGCCGACGGGAAGAATAGACGGATGATAAGGGTTGACGCTTTTAACGCACTTCCGTCCAAAATGTTAGATCCCGAGACGTAAATTGCCCGCCGGTGGATGTAAACTCTCGGTTAGGCAGGTGATTTCAAGTCGGCAGGTTGAAGAATATGGATGCGGAGAAGAAGCTGGGCAAAGGGGCTCTGGTGACTAGTTGGCCAGATTAGACGTCGCACTCCGAATATATGTTTATGTCAAAACATTCAAAGTGGACGTGGATATATTGGGGGGGATGTAAGTGTGCGTATGTGCGTATGGATGTGTGTGCGTGTGTGTGGGAAAAGGGGGCCAACGGCATGAAAGCATTGGGGGGGAACGGTTGCAGGTATTTATTAAGCCACTAGGAACTTTTGAACCTGAGATGAGACGAAAGGAGACTCGATTAAATGACCTCCTCCGGCAACCATTGCTAGGCACGAATATCTAATAAATTAATACCTGGGGAAGTTGTACACGAACAGCCGTGTGTCATATTCCAACCCCAGATTTCACTCATTCCGGGGACCCGTCACCCCAAGGCACCGCACCGTTTCTAAGATACAATGCAATGCTTGCTATGTCTAAGAGGACCAAGCTACCCAAGCTACAAGCGAAGAACTTACCGAGTTGAGTAATGCACGTACCGGGTACAATTAAAAAGTATGGGGAAAGGGGGCCGGAGTACCGGGACTCTGGGGGAAGTGGATCCGAAACAATGTAGAGAAAACATTGTAGAGGTACCAAGCTTGTAGAAGAAAAAAATAATCATGTTACACTTAAGTTAGTTTGCCCATAGGCATTCATTAGAAATGATATAAAATGAACTGGCATGACAATGACATATCCTATTAGTTGCTAAGTAAGGCACACTACTGCACCACCATGGTAGGTTATGTAGGTATGTATCAATAATGTACATATATGTAGGCAAATAGGCAGCATTAGTAGGAATGATGGAATGGTAGTATTGGTAGCCTAAGCCTTACCTCTATTTCCTGATAATCCAATCCAAACCTCTCGGGTAAGGATATATCTATTTCTGCAACTTACCTTTGTGTTATGGAACCTACGTGGCAGCGAGTCATAGTAAGATTCCTACGCCGACTTTTTTTTTTATTCATGTAAGCCTCCCTTCGGAGTATTGTAAGAGTCGAGTACTAAACACGTAGCGCATCGAATCGACGGTTGGCTAAGATTTCAGCTAGGTACGTGATCCATCAGGATCGGTTCGGGGCGAGATTCCACGAAACCTATCTGATCAAAATGAAAATAAAGGAAAATAATAAATTCCAAGACTATCCAGGGCTGCTATGAAGCATGTACCTAGTCTAGCGGATAGCGGATCTGGGGGGGCCGTTTACGTGCTAACATCTCTTTGGGTGCTGCACGCCGAGGCTTCGGAATATGACATGACATAGCCAAGGGGCCAACCCAAATAAGCTATCATGTACCTACCCTTCAGGGCTGAAACGAAAAGGAAATACAAGATAAGTGCCGCTAGCTGTCCTTTTCCGTACACGTGTACGTAAGGGGTAACCCGTAATCATAACCCCGAGAGTGCCTAGCTTCTTTTTCTTTATTATTTTTCATTAAGACATATCAACTTCTCAATAACTGTAACAGGCAAATAACCCGCAGATGCCTCAAGTCACGTTTTGGAGTATTTCGAAATAGTGTCGTGTGCCGTACCTTTAGGGTTGGAAAAGACGCCGGCAATAGAAAAAAGGGTGAGGTGGAGGGGAAGAAGTAACAAACAAATCCAAAACGGTAACCAATGCAACTTATTTACTAGCCGAATCGTGTAATTAAAATGCGTGCGTACGTACCTATAGAGAATGGGTAGTATTAAAGAAGACTTACATATACCTACATCCGTATCGAGCATCAAGTCCATTATGAGCCATGTCGGTGTGTGTTAAAGGTATTAAAGGGAGTGTGGTTAGACATTGGATAGCAACAACAAGGGGATGAAAAATTGTCCTTGGTTCCAAGTTTCAAAGCTTTTTTTTTTTTTTTTTTTCGAACAAGTTACTAGGTAGGTACGTGTACGCCGTAACTACCAAGGTATGAACCTTGGAAGAAGATTCGTACAACATGATAATTGACGGGCCAATCCGATTGCTAGGAAGACCGAGGCATAGGGGGTCGATGGGAAATTTGTCGCGGCGCCTCATATTGATTGAAAGGCTCATAAGTAATTATTTAGGAAGTGCATGTCCCCAGACTAGTGTAAAACAGAAATGATTGGACCATCCCGTCTTCCCCGGGCTCTCCGGTCTTGTCTTAAGTGGGGTTTCATGTGGGGTAGAATAATTCAAGCGGTGGAATGGAAGCTCAAAAGAAGAAGCCAAGGGGAAACCAAAAGAACTAAATCAACTAAGCAAGCTTGCGACGCTTCCTTCCTATAATTTTGGAGGGACGAGGGAAAAATTGGCCATGCGGGAGGGCAAGGGCATTGGTCGACACATCCATCCATCATTAGCAGAGTTTAGACTAATAAAGTGGATACATAGGTTATTCCAAGCTTGGACAAGCTAAGGTTGTCCGCTACACTACCTCGATGACCCCAGCAGCAAATCAATCTACCAAATTCTAACCCTAGCACATACACAACACCTACACCTTCACAACACCGCACCTCCATGGCTACAAAGTACGGAAGTACAACACCTAAGCACAGCACGTAGTAACCCCCCAAAGGAAGCCGGTCTAGCAGCAACAACTGTCACTTCACCCCCCTAGCTTTTGCTTCTGTCCTCCCCAACCTTACCATACCTTACCATGCCTTCCCCCCCTCGTCTCCCGCTATTCCGCCCGCCCTACTGCCTGCTGCTGATGGATGATCTTCTGTCTTGTCTACTGAACTTGCCAGTTAACGTTACCTACCTTACCCAGCCTGGGCGTCGATCAATGATCAGCGGTTTCTTCCCGGGACGACCTACTGTGGCCATATCAATTTACAGGCCTCTCTACTGTCGCATTGGGAAATATTTGATTAATCTTGTTACGAGATTGAAAGAAACGAAACGATTTTTTCAACCCCGTTCAAGAAACCCTCACCGGCATACGGTTGAGATACCTCGGATAGAATTGCAACAACGAATAGTAAGCTCGGTTATTATATTCGTTCCTTGCCCGAGCCTGCCTAAGTGGGAATTAACGATTCCTTACGCGACAAAAGGAAGACCGAGGAATAAAAAAAATATCTCACCCAGCCAGCCAGCCGGCCGGCCAACAATAGATGGATGATGATGTAGTGCCCAGGCGGACCTTCATTTCTACCAAATTGCCCTGTTTAATACCGCGCAATAATATCGACGTTATACAGTCTATCCCGTCGAAGCTGAGGGCTTACTAGTTTTTACAATAGTCTCACGGATCACGACGGCGTGTCGCCTGGTGTTAGTTTAGGTACTTAGGTACGCCTAGGTACACCCCATCGGCTGATGCGAAATGCTGGCTGAGTCTCGTCATTTGTGCTCGATCTTCACTAACCACATTACGAACACGCATCCTTATTAATTTTCTAACCCCCCACCTTCGTAGCCGTTCGAACATGCTTCATCGTACAAATCCATCGTTCCATCATTCGAGATCTGACAAAGCTTACAGGTGCTGCCTCATTGATTCACAAAATCATTTCCTCCTGTTCCGCTCAACAGCGGTTATGGAACGTATGTTATTCGTGAGAATGATGCAGTTAGTGCTTAGCCATGTCGGATTTTGATGAGACAGTGGCTCCTATTTGTCTCCTCCTGGCACCATCACGTCCTCCAACGACCGGCTTCCTGTTCAAGACGATAGCTTCCAGGGATCGTGCCAAAGGCCCGGAATTCGCATGTCTCGATTAGAAAAGCATGCCACGTCGGCATTACGTTACGAGGTCACAGTATATCATACTCTAAGGGTCCTAAGCTGCAGATGCAAGAAGGACCCTTAAAGACCCTTAGACCCTTGAGGTTGCTGTCTCCACGTCATGGGGAACGAAGGAAATCAGCCAGTTCGTCCCCTATCCCAAAGCCTGCATTCATGCAAAGTCTATGCTAGGAAGAATTGCTTTCTCAATTGGCTGTTTCTTTGAGATGGGAATGCAGTGAGTTGTCCAAGGCTGCGGACTCGGACTGCTTTCCAGCAGAAGTCCACTAGTGACACTTATTCGTTGGTCTCGTGGCGAGCTATGAAAAGACCGGACTTGATCGAATTAATCTATAGCTCTCGAAATCTTGCCAACTATCGCTAATAGTTGTCGATTCAACAATTTGGGGTAGACTACCTCCAGTATTTAGGGGTCCATAGGGGTCCCATACCACACTCCAACCTCGTTCGGGACTCGCTGGAGACGAATTGCATATTCCCTTTTTCGGCATTACGCATCAATCCAAATGAGGGGAGTTCCTTCCTTTATTAGTCCGCCCGTGGGAATCACACTTGGCAATATGCACGTCACGATCTCTAGTGAAGCCACCAGCATATCGTGTGACGATGCCGTGGGGTTTCTACAAGGTTATAATGCACCTAAATTGGTTTCCCCAGTTCAAGGTGACCGACTGCAATCCCCTTTTATCTTTCCGTGGGGTACGGCCCCACCAACTTACGACTTACTACCCAGGTATGTATCTCGCCGGCATGATGCTAACAGCAAGCTGTAAGACAGTACCTAGGATTGATGTATGTATGTATGTCTTGCCAAATACCCTTGCGTAATTTTTTCGGCGAGCTTCCTACTCAAGAAGGACATTTATAAAGCCGACAAGCGTCATGTACGCGAGCTATCTCGGTAGAAGATGAAAGTATTCGTAACGCAGAGTATCATCGCAGCCCTGTGCAAGTTTGACGTCGAACCAGGAAGCCGTACGGACTAAGGCATGCACAATGCCGCTTCTGCCTGATCTTCAGCATGTTCATTTTGCCACTAGCCTTATTTCCACGAATCGAGCCGGTACGTAGACAAAAAGGGTCAATAAGAAGCAAAGCTCGTTTCCGATATCACCACCCAAGTCACCGATCAGCTTAGCGACAACACCAGTATACCAGGTCGTGGACATGCCAAGAACAGCTATAAACCTAGTTAGCGATATACTACCACCGATTACAGGAACTGTAGGACCGACCTCCAATGATCCCGCAGATGAAAGCAGGTCCGCCGGCATACCCGAGGGGTAACATCTCGGGTTTATTCCAAGCTTCCAGGTTGTAATTGTTGAATGAACCGCGACGGAACAAGTAATGCTCGGATACCAAACAAACGAAGACGGCGGTCGCATAGTAACCCAATAGAGAGAGAAAGTCCTGCAGGAACACCAAGAGACGATCACTTCCAGCCACACTCAAAACGACGATGGCACCGAAGCACAGAAGGGTCCAGATGAACCTTGGCACCACCGCTAATGCACGAGCAGACAGCTGTATCGAAAGAGCTGCACTGTACATGGATGCGCTATTCAAACTAATGGCCATAAACATCAGCAGAAACAGGGTCAACTTAGCGAGGCCATAAGGGTAAATCATTGCTTGGATCAAAAACCCGACACCTATATTATATTGCTCTTCCCACAACTTATTATTTGGCAGGGCCGAGGCGGCGACGGCTCCCGCTCCGCCGCATATGCAGGTGGAGATGACTTGATGCTAGTCAGCCAACGCTTTATACGAACTTGGGGGTGCTAAGCGTTACACTCACAAAGACCCAGGAAGGTTAGTAAGAACACTGTAACCTTGGACGTGTTTGCTGGGTATTCAACATAGAAATCCGAGACGTAACCGGCGCAGCAAGCACTCGCGCCGTACATGATCCCAAAGAATGTTAGCGCCGCCCCGGACCCCGTTACTCCACGCGCGGACGGCGGAGTCGCGAGATCGCCATATTTAGCGACTTCTCCCAGCATGATAAGGAATACGACCAGGAATACAACCCAGGCATACTTCACATATTGATACACCGCTTTCAACCCAAGGAAGGAGAATACCAAACTCATCACGCTGCATATGACAACACCGACTTGAGTCCCAACTTTACCATCCGAGAAGGCCGACAACGCTTGTCCCCCAGCAATCGATCCCGAAGCACACCAACCTATCTGTTGGATAACATTGAGGATGGCAATGACCTTTGATGGGTACCAGCCTAGGGAGTATCGGCAAATTGAGACTTGACGGAGTCCCGTTGGCGCCCCCATCGTTGCGCACCAGCTCTGTGAACAGTCAGACCCGCAAGATTCCCTTGGTTCGTCGTGGGTATAGAACCCACAGTGACAACGGCGCCCGCGGCCGTACCGAAAACAATGACTTGAATACTCTGTTGCAAATCCAAACCTAGCTCCCAACCTAGGAAGCCCGTTGCGAAGGTACCGAGATTTACTACAACATCTAATCAACAGCTACTTCTTTCAAGTAGATGATAGGAACATCAGAGTATGTCTTGGGGGTGACAGCCCATGGGGCCATCTCATCCAGGAAGCGTAATCTGCTAAAGACAGGAAGGCTCGGGAAGGAGAGCAAAATCATTGATGATACATACAACAACCGCCCATCCAAAAGCCTATCATCGCCTAAAGTTACATCAATTTCATGTCGCTTTTTCAACGGACAAATACACTGTCTTTAGGACTAGGGACACTCACCCATTGACCTGACCAGCTGGCATAAAATGGGTTCCTATCGTTCGGTAACTTGCGCTGGATGCTGTGGGATTCGACTCCTAGCCTACGATCAAGGGCTTGCTCCCAGCCCCGCAACCTCTCCAACAGTCCTGTCTTAGGTGCATCGCGCGAACTCTCAAGAATATTTTCACTTGATGAGTCAATCTCGATCCCACTAATTGATTGTTCATTCTTTTCTTCGTCGTTCGTTACGCGATTCATGTTGGGCGTAGGCGTATGATGTCGTACCCCTAAGGTAGTGTATGAAAGGAGAATAAAAAAAGTGAACTGTCTTGTGGCATTATACATCGATCGGAATCAGGGGGACTAGAGGAACAAATATGAGAACGGTGCTGCTCTATCCCGTGCTACTCCTCAGCCATCTGCCCTAGGTAATCAAGCGAGACATGCACCGGCACGGTGGCACAACGCGCTCAAGATACCATATGTAAGTAAGATTTTGTCCATCCCGTGCCAATGAAGGTTCGTCGCACTAATATAAATGCATAGGTCAAGACAAGGGACAGCCTTCTAACATCGTGAATTCTGTCTACATCGGCATCGCCGCTACTTTCGAAACCTGATTCACCCCCGGTTCATCCCTTCGTCAACGGCAACCTGCATGACCGCAGACGGGATCTATCCAGCAGATTGGCTAGCTTATAAATCTCTTAGTCTGCTCTTGGTTTCCGATCCGAGTTCGCGATAATTGGTGTTTCACTACGATATGCAATCCGGTGCTCCTCACCAGCTGTTGCCGCGATCCGAGTCCATATGGGCGTTACCTAGTTTTCAAGGTCGCGTAACGATGGCTTTCGTCCAATGTGAAAATCTCTCCTAGGCAGTAGGTCTTAGGTGCCAAAGTACGTATTTCCTATACCGAAAACTGTGTTATAAGTGCGCTATCATCGTGGACTCATACACGGGAGATTTTTTAACGTGAGTGCTACACGAACAGCCGAGACATAGTGATGTCAGGTATGTATACACTCAAGACACCCATTGTGATGATTTCTCTTCCGTCATCATGGTCCACCAGTATGCCCAACAAAAAAAAAATGAAAGAAAGAAAAGCCATTAGTCTACTCATAGCGCGACCATCGTAGGTACCTAGGTATAGAACGGTCCTAGAATGATCTTAGAACGACCTGAATCAATTATAGGGCGGAACCCATCGACACACAAAATCTCTCGTAACATGGGATGTTAGAAGTACCGGAAAGTACATGTACGCTCACATAAAACCCAATATTTCCACCACAGAGACCTAAATTATGTATTTCCAGCAACGGACCTCCTTATTTTATATTTATTCTGATACAACAAGCAATTATCATATCCTTAGTAAGTCCTTCCGAGCCCGCTGATTGGTTGCTACGATGTACGGTACGTCCCATCCCAAGATACGAAACCATATTGTAAGTATCGTCGGTTTGGTCCTCCGAGTGGTCGCAGGCGCAGAGCCGACCTACCCAATCATATACATTAAGTACCTAGGTACTCAGGCACACAATCACATGGAATAAATCATTTCTTTAGGCAGCATTGTATCCCCAGCCTCACCCTCACTAATTGTACCGTATGAACACGCCGTATCTTACCCCTTTAGATCTCGGGAGTAGTGATAGCGGAAAGATATACGTATCAGCGGTTCCAAAATGAATCGGGTATTCGGTTGATCGAAGTTCTAGACGAGTTACACGATGGCAGTATCACTTACACTATCCATCAATTCGACGGCGATGACATTGTTAAACCCAAATATTGTGCCTTGTCCTACCTTTGGGGAAATCCTCAACCAAGGGAGAGAGAGCTTTCCTTTGCGATAGATATGGTACATATTTTCCACATGGTATTCATGAAAACCTATGGGGGTTTTTGAAACATGTGTGGGACCAGAAGTTGTTCGGTCGTCTGTTTTGGACGGACTCGCTTTGCTTGGATCAGGACGAATAAGGAGGAGATTGCTCAGCAGATACCGCGAATTGGAAGGATATACGCTGATGCGGAGGACGTTATTGTATGGCTGGGTCATGATCAGCGGGGTGAAGGTGCTCTGAAGCTTCTCCAAAACTGGAGCGTGCTTGAGGGTAAAGAGGACGGGGACGTGCCTAACGATGTTAGGGAGGGGGTGCATTACCTTCTACTCTTGCCATACTGGAGTAGGGTGTGGATTGTGCAGGAGGTCGTTCTAGCGAAGAAAGCTCGCGTCGAATGTGGCCGCTCTTCTCTCGATTTCGAGGAATTCTGTTCAAAAGCCCGCTACTTCCGGAAGGAGAAGACAGAACTTCAAAACCCGCCTATGGCCTGGTCTTTGCTCGATCTCCGGAACAAACGGACTAAACGACCGCTGTGGCAAATTATCAGGAAATCCGGGAATTACGAAAGTACTAAGATGGTCGACAAGGTCTACGGGTTTCTTAGCTTGGTTGATGACCATGACGATAGGATCAAGAACCACCTTGGTGTAGACTATGATAAGGAGCCGTCAGAGGTCTTATGGGACCTCGTTTTCGAGGCTTGCCCGCCATGCGACGAGCTTAATTGGTTCTTAGTTTCTCTGAGCTGCAGGTTAGAGGAAGAAGCAGATTTTCAATCGCTGCGTCAATATGCGAGATCACCTAGGACTTCGTCAAGACATGCCAAATTCGCTAGAATTGCTCTAGAGATATTCGACGCGATGAATGTTTTGAGATTACACGTCATGGGCAATTGGGACGGAAAAATGGAACGCATCTTAAAGCTGGTATCGTTAACGCCAATGACGGAGGCTCAAAGCGCGGCCATGGTAGGCATTGTTTTGACGATCTATAGAGAGCAGAATCATTTGCAGTGGATGACCTACTGGCTGCCAAATGGTGACATAGGTGACATTTCTCGGTGGCAGTGTGCGTTCCATCGCTCTTCTGGCAATCCCAATGGGGCACTGCTCGACGGGAATTATGTCAAGGGATATCCGGGTGTGTCTATTAGTCCGGGACAGCGCACACTTTACGAGTTCTGCGCTGAGCGTTGGGTCGATCACAACTCTAATATTTCCTGAATTTCAGGGCTTCGGGGGCCGTTTTCGTAAAAGATGGGACGGTAACCGAGGGTTTTGCTTAGCCATATAATCTCCACGCGATGCATAAGACGAGGTATTATTTTCACTAGTTTTCCTCCCAGCCATTCCTCTTCCAACCACTTTAAATTCAACTCTCCAGATGTCAGGGGATTCCTTTCATCTTCGAGCTCGGCGTGCGGGAGTAGCTTCCTCGCTTGTGTGAAGTCTTCCACGTCGATGTGAATGGTGGTTTGCTCGGCGAATAACCCAAAGAGGCCTAAATCTAAAGCTTCTTTGTGCGCAATGTGTAAGGTGAATTCCGCCAGGACCATGCGACAATTCGTCCGCTTAACAGCATGCTCGAGAGCCCATTGAGATTTATAGAAGTTGGTGTGAAACGCATCCAAGTAATTCTTCATGAATAGGTCGCCGTCTATGCTCAATATGATAGTAGGGTCGCCGACTCATGCCTTCAATCCCGTAGTCTCCTTACGGCACCGCTTTAAAGGGGTCTCTGTGTTGATGTATAGGGAGTCTACCTTCCTATTCACCCACACCGAAACTTTTGTACCCATGACTCTTTCCCTAGATGCATGCTTCATATAATAAGCATACGACTCCCAGCAGACCTTAGAGATCACTGGTGCATGGGGGTTCGGTCTCAGTATCTTGTTCATCCAAGGACTTCTCTCGTCCCTCCAGTAATGGATTGAAATGACGCGGTGTGGGAGGCAGTAAGACCACACCTTCCAACGGAGCTCCAAGGGAAGGCACATGAACTTGGGGAAGCTCTGCGCTACGCTAGCAGACGAGTCCATGGCGAATCTCTCCGGCCTTGGGGCGGTACTTGGGGTTCAATCGCTCTGTTAAAAACTAAATTAGCATTAACGACGCCTATATTGACGAGATGCCGAATCCACATACCAGGGTTGGGTCGACAATTGACGATGTAGTAGGTGTGTCGGATTTCGTTTCGCTCGAATTGAAAGCCGACGGCTTGCTCCGGATGTTTATGAGTAAGGGCTATTATTAATAGCGAATGGTGATGAATATAGGATATGAGAATGCCCGTTGAGTCGTCTGGGAAATAATGTAGTTGTATGATCTGAGTGGATGATTCTGAGGATGTAAATAGGAGAGAAGAATGAAAGATTTATAGTATAAGACCGTGAAAAACCAATCCTCTAGGTGATCTTCCGCGTGCTATAGAGGTGGTAGGTGCTTACGGGTCCCATTAAAACCGCGTCCATAACTTCCTTCCGATGAATATAACACTATTTCATCCCATCTTGTATGGGCAAGTGTCATAGTTTAAGGTTTGGTATTTGCCCGTAGCTGTGACTAGTCATTGGTGTAAATGCAGGATGTTACGGCGTATGTTGCGGTAGTAGGCATATCCGTACTAATTAACTAATGCAGCTGACTAGAAAATAAATACGGGCCTCCTATTGACAAGTGCTGCGCATCCAAACATATGCATTTGTGGGGAAACAATCTTGCCGATTCTGCTATCGAAGAAAACGTAGGGAAAGCGTATGCCGCATCAGTGAGCCGTAACACCACGTGCTCCGGGCCGGGAACTCTCGGGCAAGGTTTCCGGTCTTTAAAGAGGAAGTCACTCTCGCGCGGAATTGGTCCCAGCTCATAAAGACTGCACCGTAGCCAATAACGGGCTAGTAAGATTATCAGTATCTTAAACCGGGAAGGAAGTTACCTCACAATAGGTATAACCCCCCTTCCCCCCAATTGCCAGTCGATTGCGAGCAACTAGGGCTTGCGCACTACCTGAGATATACACGAGAAAAATTCTGAATGGCGGGCGGGCCAATGTCGTCCCTTTGTGCTCGAGTCTAGCTGCCCCTTGTAGAATGCCCCTTTATCCCATCTCGGGTGGAAACCTTTAATCCTCTTCTAACAAGGGCACCAGCCATCCCATTGTCATACTTCTCCCATCCGAAGATACGCGGGTATCAGTTGACCACTCAGATCTCGCATAAGACCGATAAAGCATTGTAAACAGGACAATACTTTCAGGGAGGCAACCGCCGCCCCTTTTCCATACAAGACCATTGTCCCCTTGTCCTTATAAACCAATTCGAGCTTACACCTACTCCCGCGCAAATGCCCAACCGCAAAACACCAAAGAATTTTCACTTCACACGCGCAGGCGCAATTGATAACATCCACCACAGCACTCCTTCTCAAATATATATGTGCGAATATACAATCCCGGCTTTCACCTGCGGTTGCCGCGCCGTAGGACCGTGTAGATTGAGCAGACAGTGCGGCGCTCCTCGCGCAGGCTGCGAGACCGATCCGTCGATATTAATTATCCCGCGGCGGTGCGACGACGCTCGAAATCATCTCAACGAGTAATTTGACTCTGCTCGACATTCATTAGGCTGGAATAAGTGGTAGTGAATGGAGCCCCTTAGTGTGGCCGGACCATACTATACGCAATCAGGTAACAACATGAAGAAAGCGAGGGGGCAGGATGTATATACTCAATTCAAACCAAATCTATACAAATCCATATCTATCATACCTCATAATGACCCGTAGTTTTCTATTCCATGGCGTGTATCCAAAAATGAAAATTCTTATGCTTATTTATTCCCATCTTCGTCATCTTCATCCCCTTCTAACCATATTTCGTGACCATTCCCTTCTCTAACAAAGAAACTTGCGATAAAACCGCACACGGCGATACCAGCAAGACCCCAGAATACGCCGCCGACTATGCCATGGCTTAAACATTGGCCGTAAAGCCAACCGCCTAGGATCGGTCCGACGGTTCGGGCGAGACTACTGGCGCTTTGCCCGAGTCCGTGGACGGTACCCAGTACACTAGGATGCGGGGTACAGTTATTGACCAATATCGTCTGAGCAGGTAGGGCGAAGGTCCGTCCCGTAACTTGAATGAACAGAACGCCAGCAATAGCCATCCATATCCAAGGGCCTGTCTTCTGACTAGGAGGTTCTGTCGTTGATGGTACGATTGATAGGAACGGAATAAATACGTATGCGACAGGGAACAGGAATAGACACATGCGCCACGAGAGCACGGTACCTAGACGTGACGACATGCGAGGGTACAGGAATAGCTGCATTGTAATACCAATTACACCCAAGATCGCCATAGCCATACCGACGGAACTCGGAGGCAAGCCAAGCCCACCAGTAAATCGGAAGGGCAATTGCGGAACGAAGCCTGGCGGATGTGGATCCTTCGGGTTGAAGACGGGCGTTGAGAGAAAAACGAACCATAGCGAATTAAATGTACCAACGTGGAATGCGAGAAAGAAATGAGCAACGAACGTAAGGGTCACATTCGATGTGAAAATACGGCGAAAAGGTAACCTAGTCTTATACCGGCGTCTAGTGGTTAGTTTCTTGGATGTCGGTGCGTCTTCAATGGAGTCTCGAGGTGTGACAGGCGACATCTCAAGACTCGCACTTATGCTAGAATCTCGTGAGTGTAGACGTGTATACGCTATGGTCGTTTTACGTCTCTTGAACAATGAAGTTAATTTGTTGCCCAAGATAATTCCGATGTCGCGTCTATCTTGGAGAGCGTCGTGTGTCTACAATATGTCAGTCAATAGCCCAAGACAATTAAGTTTAGAATGAAGAATATGCAACGTACCTCTTCCAAAAACAGCCAACACAACATTAGGGCAATAGACAGAAATCCCGCACTGACGAGATTCGGCGTAGCATAGGGGAATTTCAGGAAGAAACCTATGTTGCCGAACGTATCGGGAAATGAACCAGCTGGATCCGATAGAACGCCACCTAAAACTGGACCGACGATAACGCCAATGTTGAATGTCATTGGTAGGATTAGAAACGCTCGAGACTGGTACCTATGAAACGATTAGACAGGTCCATTTTGGGATTAAGTTATGAGACTTACTTTTTCTCGCGGACTATCTCGCTAATCCTGTAATTGTCGCCATTAGCACGGGTCATCAACCGGTGTACTTGGGCTTTTGTGGCTTACATGGTTCTCATTACTCCGACATTGCCGTTAGTTGCGCCCCCTAAGCATCTGAAGAATAGAGCTTGGTAAAACGTCGTCGAGAATCCGTATCCAACGCAGGAAATAACTTAACATTCATGTTAATAATATTATATATAAAAGTATAAGGGATAAAACATACGGGTTCCCAGTAATCCTATCAGAATAACTGTCTTACGGCCGGCCCATGTGGAATCAGCTACACGACCCCACATCATAGCCGTGAAGAACTGGGCGGCTGTGAAGCTCGCATGGAGAAGACCTGCCTGACTCGAGATAGTAGAGTCCGGTAGGCTTGGATCGAACCATCGTAGCTGATAGAACATATACGACTACATTATGTCAGCAACGATCTACCCCTAGGGCTTGGCTTTCACTCCATTTTAGGCATGCGTAAGGATATATCAAATGATTACTATACCTGCAGAGATGTCTGGACCAATGGCTCGCTGAGTCTAGCTAGGGTGATAACAGTCAATTGCTTTTTCTTAGGTAGATCTTTCCAAGCCACTACTTTCTTAGATGCGTCGCTTGGCCTTCTTCCTCGTTCAGCGAGTGCTGCATCGGACGTGTCGATATTCAAGGTGCCGCCACGCGACGCCACCAGTGGAGTTGCATCTTGTCCGTTCTCATCTCGGATACCGAGCCCAGGTGTAGGCACAGCAGATTCCTCCTCGGAATCGAAATCGAAATCGCTTAAAGGGCCTCGGTCTTCGTCATCCTCGATTCCATCGTACTTGCGGTCGCTCATTGACCGTTTTACCAGCGCAGGAGTATGTAATTCTATGTGGTCCGGGGCTCGGAGTTATATTCACGGAAACGGACAGGGGGTATTGCTTATGTTCACAAACGAAGATCTCTATATTCAGAGCCTGGACAGTAGACCGATATAAACAAAGTAGGTAAATAGTTTGATATTTTGATAAATATTTGAAGTCTTGATCGAAGGCAATATTCAAACAAGAACCTGAAAAACAAGATAGCTTGGAAACAGTATACACTAATCCATCTCTGGCATCGACAAAGGAAAGGGAAAAAAAAATATCGCTCTGTCAGGTGCAACGTCAACGGCAGGGCAGGCCGATCTTCTATGACCGACCTAGCCGAGTCTGCCCTGGTGCCCAACTTTTTAAGTGGACAGCGAGTGGTTGAGGAAGGGCGACAAAGTCCCCGATGAACGGGAACGTGCAGAAGGAAAAGATAAATCCAATGAACGGCCGGCACCGGGAGCAAGGGTGGACCAATGAGGCAATCAAAGGGTGGTTGATGTCACCTTCTCTGATTATGAACTTGATATCTGATTGGCTCGTCGGAAGAGTCATTGCCCCAAAGAGGTGGATCATACAGTTGAATTGACCAATGACGCGTTCTACTGCAAAGCTAGCAAACCACTATGTCGGCCCAGCCATTCAGCTGTGATTACCCCACCCAATCAATTAAGTGCACGGGCTGCAGGCGAACACCCAATTCTAAACTCTCATGTACTCCTTTTTTCCCTATTAACTGTTCTGCTTCACAACTGAAACAGTTGTATATGTCTCTTCCGAGACACTCCAGAAAGAGTACGGAAATACCAACCAATTTTGATCAACCCCTCGCTCCTATTGCTTTCTACAACGTGATACAAGCCTCGACAAATTAACACTGCCCATCGATGTTCAGAGACTGAATAACTTGCAGATATTATGTCTAGATATATCAAGAGTAGTGTTCATTAGTCATTTACATCTATTTGGTATCTTCGTGAAATCAACCTCAATACTCCCAAGAAATCCAAATCCCTAAAATTCTATATTCCAATTCTCATCCCCTAGCAACCCAAACACAAACGGATTCCAACCCTGATTCTCCGGCGCCCAATAACTAGAACCACCCATCGCCGGCTGCTCAACCGGGTACCCCAGATTCCCTGGTCCGCCTTGTAGCTGAGTCTCGAACCAATTCTTAATCCACTCCACCTTCGTCGAGTACGTGTAAAAACGATCGTTCTTCTCGTCTTCGGAGGTATCCGGCGTTAGGCTTGTGCCGTATATAGCCGCTGCCTCGGTCGCTTTCTGGTTGCGTAACGTGATAGCGCTTCGTAGGGTCGCGGCTAGATTTTCTAATGTCGTTGGGAAGTCTAGTAGACGGCGTGCTTCGTCGAGATCCCATCCTTCGATGTCTACTAGTAGGAGTCGTGAAGTAGCTACGAGAACGAAGAGGGCCTCGGAGAAGGAGGTGAAGGTGCGTGATAGGAAGGCTTCTGGACTCATCGAGAGGTAGGCTGCTAGGAATGATCGCGCGGCTTGTAGGCAGTAGAGCATGCATTGCCGTTGGTGCTGCGCTGCTATTTCGTCGGTTGGTCGGGAGTGGTTGGATGCTGGTAGGTATAGTCGGACTAAGATATAATTATGCAGTGACCAGAACATGACTAAAGCAATTGTAAGTCGACACTAATGGTGAGTGATTGGACATGCGGATCTTACCAAACTGTCGATGTTCACGGGCCATATTTGTGAATAACTGGTCGAGTCGATTCCGAATTAACTGCATCTCGTCGCTCATAGCAGTTGTGAACACTTTAGGAGCGCCATCCGTCGTCATAGATGGTGAGGGCCATCTTTCCGATATCTGTTCTACGATCTGCTGGAATCTGATCATCTTCTCCAAATTGAAGTCCCTATCGAAGTCTGCATTGAAATCCGTCGGACGGATGAGTGAGTTCAGACAACGGTTCACATATTCCCCTTTTAACACGCCGTCCCTGCCGAATTGTGCAGAGTTGCTAAAATTTGGTCAGTTACTCCTCATGAGCCAATTGATTAAAGGCGATCCCTGGTTAACTTACACCGAAAGAAGGTATTGGCACCCCAGAAAAGCTCGCTGTTCTTCGGGGGTATGCGATTCCTCTAGGACTGTGGTCAACTCATGTCCTATCAGGGCTTCCCTTGCATCCTTTGGATTCACAGCGACCATCATCTTTTGTTGCATAGTTGGGGGAGGCCGCGTGATGGCAAGATTATGGGCGTATCCCATCGTCAGATAGGTTAAGTAAGTGATCTTCTGGTCGAAGAAGAAATCATGTCCACCCCTGCAACATGAGTTAGCATATACACTACGAAGGTGTCAGATTATGCTCACCATGCTATGAAAACCAGCAAGCCCTGGAGTAAACCCAGGTCTCGCTTCTCTAACACCAACAGATGCTGTCCTATGTAAGCGAGTATGCTCTTCTTGATTTCCCTTTGCTTCGCAAGGGTAAGCTGAGCCGCCGTCAATAGGATAGCCCTAAACAGAAGGGGCTTCTGGGTTAGGAGGTCCTGGGCCGAGATATCGGCACCGAGAATAACGAACGGGAAGAAAGGCGTATATTTGGTTTTGAAATCGGATACCGCTTGTTCGGCTTGGTTCCACGTTATCCCGAATCCAGGTTGCTGTGGCCTTCTAACAGGCGGAGGCGAGCGTGCCTCATTGAGGAGAAAAGGGTCTCCCCGTCTTAGGCTATGTCGGACGCCATCTTTGATGAAGATAGTAGTTAAGTTACTCTGGGGACCCTCCGCTGCTACTGGAGAAGTTGGAGAAGACCTGGTACTTTCATCGGATGCGTTATGTACCATCCCATATGGGCCAGCCCCCAGTAAGACATGGCCATAGTTAGGCTGTCGAAAGGTGGGTTGGTCCTCTGGGACACTGTTCTCAGGCACGACGACACTGTTACATTATTACTTTAGGTAAGCATGGACTGGCTGATCTAATGTTCCCGACCCCATACACGGATTTCCAGGACTAAGGCTCGGGATAATTCCTGATAGTGTACTTACGTTGCAGGTTTCACTTGTCGTGGTCTTCTTAGACTCTTAGTTGTTTGGGGAGTACAAGAAATGTTCATTCGTCGACATCTGGGTAAGTTAGCAATCAAATTTAATATATGATGCATAAATTGGTATGTAATGACCTATCACATCCATTGTCGGCCCTGTTGTCCTCGAAGTGGCAACGGGCCTTTGCTTTGGTGCAAGGAGCACATGCCCGTTGGCGTCGGGGAGGGCTCGCTGGGCGTTCAGTAGGCTGCTGTTGGCCCGGCATGCTTCACTGCAGTCTCAGTGTCCCGACCTACCGGTAGCGAGACACTTCGGAGTTTAGGTGACGTTACCCAAGACTGATCGCCTTCCAACTAGTACCTAGGTAATCGTTAACCCGCGGTCTTACGTCCGTTATATGAGCCTCTATCCACAGCCGTTCCTAGTTGGAAATAGGGCCAAACCAATGCTTAACCCGTCAATTAGTGGTATTTAGATAAACAGATACGCATAGAGAATAAGGGATAGAGGAGATGCAAAACATTCGATCAATTTTTAATGTCCAAGTTACTTACACATTCGTCTTTACGCGTTAAGTGCGTGGAGATAAGACGGGTTAACGGTAATATATCGGGTTAGTATAAATAAGTTCATACTGATATTTAATATGGGAATCCCAAAATAGACTATCCCGGTTTTATTCCGACGAGAGTTATTTAAACCCGATTAATCCCGGTTCCTTTCTCGGTCGCTAATTGCTCCATTACAGCATATTAGTATTTAACTGCCTCAACCAACAGCCAGGGTTGATGATTTCTAGCCTGTCTCTATAATCATATTTATGGGCTATGCAAATCCTACCGGGCTTGAGCCTATGTTTATTATTCCGCTGAAGCCAACTTATCATGTTAAAGCTTTGATCCTAATCATTGCCTCCAACAACAATACCTCAATGGCATTCTGATCATAATGTGTCTGAAATAGTTGGATCACAGATGCAAATATATGGGCCGATAAAGCGAAATGCGGCAATTCGTCCAGTTCTCGCCTTAAGAGGGGGATATATCGTCGACAACGGACAGTTATTGTACTACACGAACTGGATACTTTTCTATCAATGAAAAAACGAAAGGGATCGTTTGAATACAGGTATCTTGGGAAAGAATACTACTTGCCGTAGACGCAGAACCGCAGGTTGTCCGAATGGAACTTAACAGACGAAATTCCATATGTTAGAGCAGCACTGGTTTTTTACTGCGTAGAATGTGGTATAGCGATGAAATCGGTGTTGGAGTTCCCGGGTTACAAGATGCGCTACCAAAATGCGTGATGTGCGGATATTAGTAATGATTCTTCGGACTGCGTTCTCTTAACCTGGCCAATGTGACTTTTTGGCTACGCCATTGCTAAGAAAACTTCTCGATTATGCTACGTGGGTTTGCCCATGAATGGCCGCCGAGACTCTCGGAGGCGAGACCTCTATCGCGTCAAAATTGGGTGAGCACACATACGAGATAGCTGGACAGAACTTTAGCATTAACGAACATGTTAGCATTTTCAACCAGGCCAAATATGAGAAGCACAAGAACATTGGTTAATTCGCTTCAAACGTCATATGACTTGATATTGATTCGGTTTTGTATATCACCTTGGCAATGCCTTCGCACAAAGGATCCTGGGTGCCTTTGAAGCGCAAGCTATGGCCGTTGAAGGGTCCTGAAAGGTGACAACATACTCGGCATTGCTCGCCTCCTGTTGAATTAGACGTATATACGTTCCAATGAATGTCTTCCACTTACTTCGTTCGTAATATATGATTTACGTGACTAGTGGTACCTGGGTGTATTGTAGAGTGCTAGTTTGGCCAGTATGTACTGCTCTTTCATCGGCGCCGTCGCTCTAGTCTCCGGCTCGGCCCGGGTCACCCGGGATGTTGACCGGCGTCCAACGTCTCTCGGCGGCCTCCATGAATGGTCTCGGCGCTGCGTAACGGACTATGCTCGTAGAGCTTGTCGTCGTCGCGTCACCTGATATGTCTCCGCCTTAATTGCGATTCGTGTAACCAGCGTTGCGCATAGCTAACGATGCGAATATCCAGCGCTGCTAATGTTTTCCCCTCCCAAAATCCACTTGCCTTTCAACTCAAGCACCTTACCTCAAACTTTCCCACCCACTCTGCCTTTTACCAGTTGTTGTCTGAAGGCATCCCACACATCTTTCATCAACAACTGTGTGTTCCCGTCATCAGGAACACGCCTTCATCATCAATTGTTCATCTCCAAATGGACATTCAATTGTTTTGAAACAAAAATTCATTTGATTTCAAACATTTATTTCAAGCCCTTGTCCAATTCATTGAAACCCCTCCAGTCCAAGACTCGGCGGTTTTCGCCTACCCGTCAGCCATGGCCCATAAACGCTCCGATTCCACTTCCTCGAGTGAGGATCCCTTCCATCTCGAGAAGTATGTTTCTGCCTGTAATCGAGCTTCGGCCTACGAGAACGCGCAGTCGCGAGAGCACACTGAGAGCCCGGCTTCATCTTCTACGAAGCCCATTCCCATCGCCGGCGCTAAGGAGAAGCACACTATGCGCCGAAAGATCTCGGCCAAGTTATCGTCGTTCAAGGACTTGTTCGGCAAGGAGAGCAAGGATGCGAAGAACAAGGAGATGTCTGAGGAATACATGGCGATCATGAATAACGCTTTAATGATCCCTAAGCCTTTGAGTATCAACAAGATGCCACAAGACGCCGACCCCGGCAATGCGACCGGCGAATACAACGGCGAAGGATCCGGAAGCAATAGAATGCAGGATGATCGCTACGCTCCCCTTGAACCCTTTTCCAGCTTTTATGGTTCGGACGACAAGCCTCTTCCTTTAATTCCACCCTTGCGATCGTCGAACCCTGACGACCTCGCGGCCGAGATTGATAACGCCCTCAGCGAATTTCGACAATTCGAGCTTAGCCCTAACGTTACAGTCCAGACTTCGCGTCTCCCTCCCCACCAAAACGGGTTTATCCAAGCCCGCAAGGCGCCTTCTCTTCAGGATATCAGTCGCCGACAGGTTGAAGCAGTAGCTGCCGGTCGCCGTCCCCGTTATCCACGCTACGACCATGTCCTCGAGGAGTACATAGAACCAGGTTCGGACGACTCAGAGGATGATACACTTCCATTTCTAGACGTGTACACCAGCCAGGCAGCGTTGCAGGCAGAAGGCCACCTGAACTCATCCGAGTTGGCCGAGCGAGAGTTTGAGGGCGCCGCGGAGGACACCCCCAAGGAGATTATGGAAGACGCTATGGAGGACGTTATGGAGGATACCGCGAAGAGCACCGCAATTGACTTAGGAAAGAACACTCCGTCGCCCGTCAAAAGTCGCCAGAGATCCCCGACACGCATTCCTGTTCCGAACAGCAAGCGACCTGCCACTCCGGTTCGCCGCTATCGCTCGTCTATGCACATGTGTGACCAAGAGCCTCTCAAGCTTAACACTCAGACGCTACTCGATCCCCCGTCTCCGCCGGCCCACCAGCCTCAGCTACCTCCGAAAGAAATCAAGGAGAAGCCTGCGTCGCCCACCAAGATCCCCATTAAGGCTTTACAGAACCCTCTACTTCGATCAGCTCTTCCGAGATCACAAGGCTCCCGAGGAGATCTTAAGGAACTGCGAAAGAAGCGCGCTGAATCCGCTAAGAAGCAGAAGGAGGTTGACGAAATTGTGAGAAAGGCATCAGCTATGTCCCAGGCCGCAAGCAAGCTTCAAGAGGCAGAGAGCGCCGACGAGAACGCTCAGACTTCCGCCGACACCGATGGTGCTCTACCTTCTCAGCCCCAGCAATCTGGTGGTGACTCTGACAACACCGAATCGAATGTCAGCGGTCTCACTTACGAACAAGCTGTGGCGCAGTTGGCCGAACTAAACAGGGCATATGCGGTCCTGGAGAGAGCACATGACTTTAGCACTGATGCTATAGCGTTGATCGACAGAATGGACCAAGTGCTGGCAGACATGGGAGTTCCTGGTCCTGACGAGGTTATCGAGTCCGATCCTGAAGACGCTCCTCAGGGTGCCTCCAAGAGTGGCCCCAAACATTAAACTACCATAACGGCGCTAAGGGCGAATCACGCCTATATCGTCACCTTTTGGAAGTTGTTTTCATTCATCCGGCGTAAGATGGTTGGGTTTTCAATTCCGGTTTTCTAATGACAGAAAACGACGGTTCGGTGTTTTAGAGGCTATCGAAAGGATATGGCCTATGGAAAGGGGATATTCTCAATATCTGAGTTGAATCCTAAGTTTTCGATGCGTTGAGTTCAGGGCTTGATACCAATTTGCCTACCAATCCCAAGTTTATGGGGGTATACCGGCAAAATCGATCGAGCAGTGAACAATACCAGAATGGTTTTGCTACGAATTCGACGGGCTCCTGCACGGAGTACACAATACGATATTTTTACGATGAATATGAAAAAGGATAATGAAAAGAGGAAAAGGAAAAGGAAAAGGGGAAAAGGAGGAGAAGGCTTCGGAGTTAGGGGTAATGCGAGCTGATAAGCCGATAAGGTGATAAGGTGTAGATAACCACAAAAACATTGCACAGACCACGTTGCGTTTCTCTATAGTACAAAATAGATAGCTTGCCAGCTGGCGGGCTTCTGCCAAAACTCTGTGGACAACAATTCGTTTTATGCTAGTGAACTAGCTCGGTCTGCTGCTAAACTGCTGAACTCTAGATATCTAATAAACCGCCAACGACGAACAAATTCGACCAAATCAACGATAAACTACCCAACATGGATCCCTACTCGGCAGAAGGCGAGTTGATCAACATCCACAACCACTTCCACCAAGGCCAATACCAAGAAGTAATCGACTTCGACACATCCGCTCTCTCAGCCGATAATGCGCTACCCGCACGAGTACTTACCCTTCGAGCGAAGATTGCTTTAGGACAAGCCGAAGACGTGGTCGCAGATGTGAAGGGCGCAAGTGAGCCTGAGTTGTCCGCAATTCGTGCTCAGGCACAATATAGCTTGGGGAAGACAGATGCGGCGGTGCAGGCTATCGAAGAATTAGCTTCGTCCTCCGGCGATAACCAGACGGTTCAAGTAATCGGAGGCATAGTTCTACAAGCTGCTGGAAAGTCAGAGGAGGCACTTGCACTTTTGTCCCAACATTCTGGTAGTCGTATGTTCACTCCCCCGTTATCAATTCCTCCGGGTTGCATATTAACGAAAGATTAGTCGATGCCGTCGCCTTAATTACACAAATCCACCTCCAGCAAAACCGAACCGACCTAGCTCTCAAGGAAGTCTCTGCAGCACGACGATGGGCACAAGATAGTTTACTTGTCAACTTGGCAGAGTCATGGGTTGGACTGCGATTGGTATGTATAACGAACTACGTGGAAAATCTAGTTACGTAGCTAATAACCATTGCTCTTTTAGGGAGGAGACAAATATCAACAAGCCTTCTACGTATACGAAGAACTCGCCCAAGCCCCCTCGACATCCTCCATCATATCCCTCGTCTCCCAAGCCGTATGCGAACTTCACCTAGGTCGTGTTGAGGAATCACAAAGTGCTCTCGAGCAGGCCATACAAAAACAGCCCAACTACGCCGAGGCTATCGCTAATTTACTCGTTTTGACTATCGTGACGGGCAAGGATCCCGCCGAACTTACAAGGTAAATCATGTCCACACCATATTGGGATGTATCTAGTTTACTAATACGTTTTTTGTAGCTCCCTTAAGAAAACAGCCCCCGAACACCCATTCCTCGTCGACCTCGAAGAAAAGAGTTCCTTGTTCGACAAGGCTGCTGCGAAGTTCAGCGCGAAAGTATCGGTCTGAAAAGGGGCAGGGCAATAATATAAGAGTTCTGAAGATAAAATGATGATATACTCGGATAGGCATTGGAGGATGAGCCCAAAAGAAAAGGCGGTACACCTTTGATTACGATAATTGATGAACATGGCGAACACCTTGCATTGCGTACGTTGATTGTGAATTTATTTCCGTCAGAATAAGAGTGGTCACGCACGATAAATCCCGCGAGCTGTGTTACATGAGATTGTCGAGGACTTCATGGGGATATGTAGCAGCATTCATACGTATTTCCAAATTGGGTACTCCGATATATACTGTCATTAGGGAACGTGAAACGTCACCAGTTATCTCTATCTATGCGAAACTAGTGCAAGGTTCCTGAATACTAGGGGACTATTAAATATAGGATGAGTATACCTAATGGCACAATTCCAATAATCTGACATCATGGATATGTTGAGGGGGTGTCTCGAGACTTATAACTAGGAATTAGGGAAAATATGCAAATGCACAATGACGCCTCTAAGATTATAAAATGCAAATGTGTAACGTTGGAAACAATATAGCGAAATATAGTGAGGGGGAGTAATTCTATATGACAACTTTGACAATGCATCGTGATCACATGAAATCCTACAGAACACGTATTCGATTTAATAGACTAGATAAGAAGAGAAAAGGGGTGAGTGGGCCGGTTTAGATAGTACTCGATAACGGGGGAAAGGCACTAATACAGCGGGAACATTGACATTATGTTTATTAAGGAATAAGCAAAAAACAAAAAGCAAAAAGCAATAGAATACGATCACGATGCCCCTCATTTGTGATAGTGGCACTACGTTTGCTAAACTGCTTAGCCCCTCCTTTTTTTTAAACCCCCTATTTCACCGCTGAAAGGGTTGCATTACGAGGCCTAGTTAGGTTACGTTGGTCTAAGAGCCTCTGGCGATCTCATCATACTTTAAACTAGCCCCTTTCCGGTATGACGGTCTTCTAATGGCTTCCGCCAACTCTGCGGCACTAGTTGACTGCACGCAATTATCTCTATCCAGTTACAGCGGCTAACGGGAGGGGAGCAAATTATCGTGGGATTTTGTCCCTCAAAGAAATACCATTTATGACATCATTCCGTTCGCTCGGCCCCTTCGTAAGCGCGCTTGTTTCTCTCAGGACCTACCACTCCTAACACATGCTCCTTGCAGTCGAATCGTAATCCAACATCGTGACTCGTCAATTTGATGTTTTTTGTCTAAATCGGCTGAAAGACTAGTGTTGCACATATGTGCCCTGATGTAATTGATACTGGTGTTGGGAACAACCCCAGTTAATCGAGGAGATTCAAGGTAACCTCGAGTCTGTCAGTCACCACATCTGAGTATTGATGGCATTAAGGAACTATCCCATACATAGATATCGATGGAAATTTATCGATGGGAAAATCTTCGATTATATACGATGATCATTTACAAACCCATCAGTAAGTGGATTCGCCACCAGGTCCCAGAAAACAATTCTAGGCCCCGGGAGACACGCCCGATGGTCGATCCCGAACCACAAAGAATTGGAGCACTACAGGTAAACATTCAGGACCGACAAATCAAATAGGCAAGCCGTGTCCGGCTTTGTCGAGACTCGTCCGGGCAGTGCACGATCGATCTAGAGAGGGTTTTTCCAAACCCCTGGTCTATGACTTGGCTAGAAAAGCAGAAATTGTCCGAGTGGGCCGGGTGGCGCCAAAATAGGTGGGATTCGGTTCTTCCAGACTATCTGTGTGCTATGTCAGTCTGCATGCGGATAGGACAATGGGATTTCGCTCGCCGAACACCAAACCGGGGGGGTTCTGCATAACACCCCTGCTATGAACCACAGGCAGGATTATGTATGTTATCTGATATGACGATGGCTTCGTTTGATCATTCCTCCGGTCTAGTCTCGTCATCGTGAAAGGTTATTCTGGCGCCTCCTAGTTCTGGCTATGATTAAGCGTCTGTCTTAGTTTCTCCACGATGGCATACCTTTATAAAAGTGTGCCTCCCCGCCACCTTTCACGATGTCTGCTTTGTTCAAATTCATAAGACATCATCGATAGATCTATACTATCATTTACTTTGCTATTTATTGCATAGACTTAGAGTCGTGTTTTTACTAGACCATCTATACCTCGATTTATTATACAGCATCTACAAAATTATCATCCAAAATGCCTATCGCCTTAACGCCGCCTCCAGTACCTGAGGTCAAGAGCCTCGGCGTTGCCCAGACTCAACCAGCGAAACGAAAGATTATCTGCTTCTCTGGTATGTCTCAATTTACCATTCGCAACACCAACACATCACCGTTACACATACTAACATAATCAGACTTCGATGGCACAATATTCATGCAAGATACCGGTCACGTCCTCTTCGACAACCACGGCTGCGGCTCGAAACGAAGAGAAATGCTAGACGAACAAATCAAGACCGGCGAGCGATCGTTCCGCGACGTCTCCGAAGAAATGTGGGGTTCTTTGAACGTACCTTTCGAGGACGGCTTTGAAGTAATGGAGAAGTCACTCGAGATCGACCCGGACTTCCAAAGCTTTCACAAGTTTTGCATCAACAACAACATTCCCTTCAATGTTATCTCCGCTGGCCTGAAACCTATCTTAAGAAGAGTCCTTGATACTTTCCTCGGCGAAGATGAATCATCGCATATTGATATCGTGGCGAACGATGCGAATATTTCGGCTGATGGCTCGGAGTGGAAGCCTATCTGGCGCCATGACACCGAGCTTGGCCATGATAAGGCTCTGTCTATCATCGAAGCCCGCAAGGAAGCCGAACTCACATGCGACGACGGAACAATCCCTCTTATCGTATTTATCGGCGACGGTGTTTCCGATCTCCCCGCCGCCCGCGAAGCCGACGTACTATTCGCGCGCCGCGGGTTGAGATTAGAAGAGTACTGCGTCGAGCACAAGATCCCATACATACCCTTCGACACCTTTGCCGACATCCAGCGTGAGATTGAGCGCATCCGCGAGGAAGACGAGAAGAAGACCGGTGGCAAGGGTGTGCCCGTTCGCTTCAACCCCCGCGCAAACCTCTGGCGTCGTGTCTCGAGCAAGACTGCGGTGCCACGATATGTAGTTATGTCTCCGACTAAGGAGGAGAAGATGTTCTTGTGGCCCGAGGTTTTTACCGAGCTTAAGGCCCCGGTGACAGTGGATGTTGCGGCTGCGCAACCACCGGTGCGGAGCGCTGCTTAGGGCACTCGCCCCACTAATATGTCTTGCGTTATGAAGCATGATATGGCGTTCACTTTGATTGATATTTCTTTATTTACACGGCATTGCACGGCGATTGGGGTTTACACGATACACCGGATTATGATAATACAAGGCCATGGCGTTTCGGTTGTTGAACTGATTATGAAGATGATTATGAGGTACATCTAGACTCTAGCATAGAGTTGTCTCTTCTTCAGAATACGATAAAATTCTAGAGAAATACAATTTTTCAATTTCAAGCCTCTGATTCAGTGACATCCTGCATGTAGGACATACAGCTACTGTGTTGAGGCCTCTCGGAGAATTAACAGCCCCCAATTATTACGTAGTGCATGATATAGACGAGTTGTGATTGGAGCATCGTCACTTTTTGCATACAAATCGAACCACGCAAAAGAACATTCATACGCCGTATATAGCATCATCCCGCGCTATCCCCAGAACTTTTTGCTCTCCATCTTCCTATTTCGACGTTCATGATATTAACAAAACCGTATTATGGAACTACGCCATGATATTCGAAGGCTTTCGAGTCATACAGACATAGCATTGACCAAATCTAAGATCGAACCAATAGGAAGCGCAGGAAGACATACCTAACTATTTCACCCTACATATCAAATACTTTCTCAACAATTACAGATCAGCTCATTTGACGGCCCCAAGATCCGATTCCTTCATATTGAAGCTATCCCGGTTTAGCTGAAGGTCGGAAATAAATAGAACAGGAAAGTCTTAGAAGAGAGCTGAAACATCGCATGATATGGGTTTCATGGCAGATAATATATTGTGTTTTATTCGTTGGTATCTCTTAGGTAGATATTATGAAGAGGAGCAGGATAACGATTATGGTAATGACAAGTTGACGGAGTCTCGGCAACTAGCTTATTCCCATCGCGGCAGACACGGCATTTTCGTATATTTTCTTTACTCTTAGGATGTAGCTTGTAATGCTTTCCGAGTAACCGATCTACTTATACATTATACAGGTACATGCCTTATATAGAAGTACTTACATCACCTGCACAACGTTTTCTCGGGTCTGCTGCATGAAAGATGGACGGGCATCCCTTGTCGATAACCAGGCTGTAACGCTTCGTTGCATTTCTATGTACTTGGAGATCATCGATCGTTGCTCTGCTTGCTGCAGTGCTGCAACTAACAATACACAGCCCTACGTGTAAAGGATTTCGCAAGATGACGGTTTTTGGGAAAGATTTGAAGTTGGCACTGATCATTTCTTATTGTATTCTTTTCATTATTTTAATCGTTATGTGTATCCGAGTACTTGCAGGATCAGATGAATTATGCAAAGGTCCGCTGAAGTTCTTCCCGAATCCCCCGGTTCTAAAAGAAGTAGCTGCCCGTCGGCTGATCTTAGATCGAGATGGGTTTCAGAATATGACGAGCTGCCGCTTTCTATTCTTTTTTTCTTTTTTACCTTTTCGCCAACAAATATTTTCGAGGCCACCTTCCAGGTACGAATAGACTTGGTAGCTGCATTTATGTAACAATGGTTATTTATATTAGACTTTGGAAATAATCAAGTTTAATTGTCGTACGCCGTATTAAAGTTGTATCAAATAATACATTGACTTTGGGAATGCATAAGCTAAATGTGTGGAAAGACCTGGCCCTGTGGCAGTGAATGTAGCCCTGAATGTAGGCTTGGTGGGGTGAGAGTGGCTGCTGACGGAGAGGTACCCATCCAACTACTTATAGTGACCCACGCATGGTAATCACGACTTGGATTGGTTGATTTAACCCTGAACTTGGGTGCCCCTCTAATATACAACCCTTGGCACTCAGCTTCGAAAGATGTTTTAATTCATGGCAACGGCGACAGCTTCTTCAACTTCTTTCCCAAACTTTCCCCCTTTTAATAATTCAATGATAATTATTAGTCTTATATTCGGAACTTAGTAATATCTCTTTTTCTACATGATTTAATCAAGAATTGCCAAAGGGTAAAAAAGTGGCCATCAAAATTCAATTCATTCGTTCTTTAACAGGTTACCCTGTTCACATTGGAAGTCTTGGAGTCTTACCAAGTTCTAGCTTGGCCCCTTGACATCATTATCCACCTAGTTTAGTGCTCTAAACACCCCTAAACACCCTCTAAGTCCGACCGATCATCACAAGCGCCAGAAAGCTGAAGGGGGTTACCAAGCACACTGGCACACTACCAAGACGGGATCCAACGCAACGTCACCCGCGTTTGCCCCTTCTTGTTCCTTGAATCCAACCTCTTTTACCTATTACCTATTACATATTTGTACCTTTTTACCTGTTTAAGTCCGGCTCCCCGCTGGAGATCCTCCTCCCATCATGGTTCGCATTATACCTAACCGACTGAAAAACAAAACCGCCAGCTCTGCTACCAATTCATCCTGCAATAGTCGAAGTACCAGCCCCATGCCGGCGAAACTAGATACAAATATTTCTGATGGGCGGAAGGATTCGGGGTTGGTGTTGAAGATAGTTGTGATTCGAGTAAGGGAAACCAATTGATCTGTTGATTATATCGGTTCTTGGCAATGGTTGTGAATTCTAACACCCTTGGCTTAGGCGAGGAATCTAGCTGCGAAAGACCGTGGAGGCACATCCGATCCCGTGAGTTAATTCCTATTCCTTTTTGTATTTGAGACCTTTAAACTCGACGATGTCTAACATGTCATATTCTTAGTATCTCCAATTGACCTGCGGCGAATCCAAATTCGTTACCCACCATGTTCCAAAGACTCTGAATCCAGACTGGAACGTCATTTGCACCGTACCTATAACCGGCGTAGACAACCTCCTGCTCGACTGTATTTGCTGGGATAAAGATCGTTTTAGTAAAGATTACCTCGGCGAATTCGATTTAGCGCTCGAGGAGATATTTGCCAACGAAAAGACCGAACAGGAACCTACTTGGTATCCTCTCAAGAGCAAGAAGCGAGGCAAAAAGTCAAACAATGTTTCGGGTGAAGTTTTACTCCAATGCACCCTATTTGACTCGACGAACAAGGACGCAACGGACGCCCAGATCCTAGAAAAGCTACGCTTACTCGCCACGGCACTACCCGAAGCTGCATCGCGCAATGCTACCCCTAGTACCACGCCCATGCTTGGTCCGACCTCTATCCCCAAAGCTGGCTCGACTGCCTCTCCCCAATTAAGTCGAAACACTACCGACGGATCTCAGGAAGACGAAGACGAGGACGAGATTCTCGATGACGATGAGACTCCTGAGGATGAGGACCCGAATAAGCCAGAAAATGCTGAAAAGAGGAAGAGAAGGCTCCGAATCAAGGGATTGAAGCGAAAGAGAAGGCAAAACCCGTATGAATTTGTGAACGGTGGAAGCGACGTAGTGGGCTTAATTTTTCTCGAGATTTGCAAGATTACCGACCTCCCCCCCGAGTCAAACCTTACAAGAACCAGCTTCGATATGGATCCTTTTGTCGTGGCATCCCTAGGTAAAAAGACTTATCGCACGCGAGTCGTCCGCCACAACTTGAACCCTGTGTTTAACGAGAAGATGCTCTTTCACGTCCTGGGGCACGAACGGTCATACTCGTTTGCCTTCACTGTGATCGATCGCGATAAGTACTCCGGAAACGACTTCATTGCTTCGACTTCATTCCCTGTCCAAGAACTAATTGAAAGGAGCCCTAAGGCCAATCCTGAAACTGGGTTATACGACCTAAAGGAACCTGCAGAGTTCGTCCCTGCGCCAAAGAAACGACTTGCAAGACTAGGCATGTCGAGGTCTTCTTCAAGTCAGAGCTTAGGAAAAGGGCGTCCGGCGCTGCCGAAGAACCCTAGTGGGGCTTCGACATTGTCTCAGGTTGATGGACAAGCTGAGCCGAAGGTCGCACCTACATCCGCTCCGAATCCCGCCCTGCTACAACCCGACCAAGTGCCAAACCTTAACAGTGGAAACGGGAATGGCAATGGCAACGGAAATGGCGAGGGTAACGAGTTTGACGATTCCGATTTTACTGTCTTCACAATCCCATTGAAGATGAAGAATCTAGAAAAATGGGAAGCCAAGCACAGTCCGATGTTGACTGTCCGTGCCAAGTATATGCCATACCCCGCGTTAAGACAACAATTCTGGAGGGCAATGTTGCGACAATACGACGCTGATGAAAGTGGTGAAATCAGTAAGGTTGAATTAACTACCATGCTTGATACACTTGGCTCGACTCTCCGTGAGTCTACTATCGACAGTTTCTTCCAGCGATTCCCACACAAAGCGGCAAGTGGTGAGCAAGAACTTACTATGGATGAGGCCGTCATCTGTCTAGAGGATCAGCTAGACGCCAAGAATAGGACGCCCGCCGTGACTGATAAACTCAAGAATATGCTACCTGACAGCGAGAAAGTAAAGAACTTGCTAAACCCGTCGGCGCAAAGTGGTAGTATCACCCCCTCGGAAGAAGGATCCTTCACTCTTAGCGCAGAAGACTCGAGCGTTCAGGGACAGCAATCAGGAACTTCAACTATTATCGTTCCTGACCTCAACACGCCCGGAGAAGAAGGCGAAGCGCTAGAGAAGGACGATCTTAACGTCGATCGTGGCGAAGAGCATGTAGTGGAAATTCGGGAGTGTCCGATTTGTCATCAGCCTCGTCTTAACAAGCGGAAGGATGCCGATATCATCACACACATCGCTACATGTGCCAGTCAGGACTGGCGCCAGGTCAATTCGCTCATGATGGGTGGATTCGTTACAGCCAGCCAAGCACAGAGGAAATGGTACTCCAAGGTTATCACCAAGATTTCGTATGGTGGTTATAAGCTTGGTGCCAACTCGGCCAACATCCTCGTACAAGATCGGCTTACTGGACAGATCAATGAGGAAAAGATGAGTGTTTACGTACGACTAGGAATTCGATTATTATACAAGGGTCTGAAATCGAAGGATATGGAGAACAAGAGAAGTGAGTATTGAACTATTAGACTTATTACACGATTTCTGGATTATAGCTAACATCATGATAGTCCGTAAACTTTTGAAGAGTCTCAGTATCAAACAGGGTAAAAAATATGACGATCCTACCTCAAAGTCTGAGATCTTGCCTTTTATCGAATTCCACCAATTAGATATGTCCGAGGTTTTACGCCCTGTAGAGGAATTCAAGAACTTTAATGAATTCTTCTACCGCGCCCTGAAACCGAATGCTAGACCTTGCTCGGCTCCCGACGATTCTCGCATCATTGTATCTCCCGCTGACTGCCGTTCTGTCGTTTTCAATACTTTGGACTCTGCAACAAGTATCTGGGTCAAGGGCCGCGAATTTTCCATCAAGCGACTACTTGGAGACGCATACCCGGAAGATGTCAAGCGTTATGAAAATGGTGCATTGGGTATTTTCCGTTTGGCTCCCCAGGATTACCATCGATTCCATATCCCCGTTGACGGTATTTTACGTAAACCTAAGCTCATTGCTGGCGAGTATTATACTGTCAATCCTATGGCGATTCGATCGGCTTTGGATGTATACGGCGAAAACGTCCGTGTTCTTTGCCCTATTGACACTGAACTCTTCGGTCGGGTAATGGTAGTCTGCGTTGGTGCCATGATGGTGGGCAGCACTGTAATCACTCGGAATGAAGGAGATGAAGTGAAACGAGCCGAAGAACTCGGGTACTTCAAGTTTGGTGGTAGTACTATTGTGACACTATTTGAACCAGGGAAGATGGTATTTGATGACGACCTTGTCGATAATTCGACCAGCGCTCTAGAAACATTGGTATGTATTCACCTGGTATTTTCATAAGTGATAAAGCTCAAATGCTAATATATCCACAGATCCGAGCAGGCATGTCAGTCGGACATTCTCCGCAGGTGCCACAATTTACGCCAGATATGCGCAAGGACGAGAAAGAAGTCACGGAAGCAGAAAAGGCGGAAGCGCATCGTCGTATTCGTGGTGGCGTCGAGACTCCAGATGAGGCACCTTTGCCTTAAGGAGACCGTGTGATAGAACAATCAAGACACATTGCATTTGGACGGCGTTATGCATACCATCGAAGCAGCAGCTTCCAGAAAATGAAGGATCCTTGATGGTGGATAGACGAGGGTTATGCATGGAAACCAGGGAGTGAGCAGCATCTGACAAGCATAATAGTGGATAGAAAGCATTTTTAAAGAGGGGGAAGTACTTAGGTGAACGAACTGCGATGCTTTTGCTCTCATTCGTTATATTTGCGCGGGGGAGCGGGCGTAAGCATACTTCGCAAAAAGATGCGTCGTCAAGATGAATCCGTATCTGACGATTGCGAATTACCTTCTTTTCATCTTGCCTCGGAGCTTTATGTTATAATCGTATTCTAGGACCAACAGTGACATACAGATTATCATTTATGGCACGATCCAGTCTTTTCAAACGAAAAAACCCAAACCAGTCAGCATTGTCGGTCTGGAGACGGCTATGACCGTAGCTACCTAGGTGACGAAAGTAAAACAGATGCAGATAACACACCGATAGTTCCATTTATATACATGCGGTCAGGAAGAGTGACGGTCAATAAGAAGCTTCCACGTGAATAGGAAATGGGGAATTGTGGGGTAAAAATTGAGTTGAATGGAGCACCGTCCCAATGGGCGCCTGTGGGTCGACCCCTGTCAGTGCATGTCAGTGCATGTACCGGGTAACTTTAACCCAAATTAGCGTTTTGTTTACTTTACACCCCGCATAGCAACGGGTGAACATTTCCCAAAGAAAAAACAACATTCCAGCGGTTGACTGGAACGTCACGGTACTACTAATAAATCTAACAGGAAAACATATACCCGAGGCCGGCCTTATCCTACTACTAGCTGGTCTCTAGTTGCTAGTAGTTTTGGATTTGAAAATCAAGAAACTTGCAATTTTCAGCTGCAATTGAAGAAAAATTACGAACCGCCAAATTGACGATACACAAACTAATACACACATACATAACTTTTTACATATCTGTAATTACCCGCAACCGCCAATGCGGAGAGTTCCTGATCGCGATTGATATTTACCCCTCATTTGCTTACTGTTTTGCCTTGGGCGACAACTGGGCGGCGGGAGTAGAGATAAATCGCGTCCGGATTAAAAAGGGGAGAAGAGATTAGGGAGCAAGGAGAAACGAAACAGGAAAACAAAAAGAAAGAAAACAATATGGTTGATCCAGACAACCTACGTACGGCGTCGCTGTACATCAATAACCAATTGATGTCCCGCGGCCTACTGCGCGATGGCCACAATATCGATTTCGCGAGCCCGGAGGCCGGCGACGGAGGATTGCAGGCTACGATGGGGAAGGTTATGAGTGTTATCAATGACCTAATTCTGAGGCGCGACGTACGTGTTCTCCTTTCTATCGTCTTCCTAGTCCTACACTTCGCCTATTTTACTTGTCTTTGGGGACAATTGATGATCATTAAAAGAACACATGAGACGAATGACAGACTAATTATTTTTCGATTCAAACAGCGCGACGCCGAAAACCGCGAATCTCTATCGACGACCCTACGTACCCTCCGCGCCGACTCCCAACGCCAGACGACGGAATTGGCGCGACAATCGGATAAGTTATCTGAAACGCAGCGTAAGCTCGACTCGGCCGATGCTAATGAGCGCGCGCTCCGCGCTCAATTGAAGACTGCGGAGCAGAACGCGCATCGGCTGAAGGAGGATGCGGTGAAATCGAAGACGCTTCTCGCCCAGGCTAGGGCTGCTTGTGCGAACGAGGTTCGCAAGCGCGACCGCCAGATCGATGGCTTGAAGAAGGCGGTTGCGGATGCTAGTCGGATTAGAGGTGGGAATAGGAATAGAGATGTTTTGTGTATTAGTGTCACGGGTGAGGTTGGCGCTGACGAGCGCGAGTTACCTGTCGGCGCGACACAGGCTGAAGGGTATAGTTTGAGGTTGGAGACGAATCAGTTTCTCACGGAATTAGCTAGGGGTCTGAGTGAGGAGAATGAAGGGCTACTGGCGCTGGTTAAGCGTACGGTTGAGGGATTGCGTGATATGAGCGGATTGGAGAGGGGGTCGGCTCACGCGAGTGTGGCTGGAGCGGACCGCCATTCGGATAATGGATGTGCGGAGGTCGTGGTTTTAGGCTCGCAGAAGAGCGCTGATGAGTTGGCGGCGGAGTTGGAGGGGATTATGGAGCATCTTAGGACGATACTCACGAACCCCTCCTTTGTGCCGATTGAAGAGGTTGAGGTCCGTGAGGAAGCTATTAATCGCTTGCGAGCTGCCCTTGAGACTATGGAGAGTCGCTGGAAGGAAGCTGTGCATATGATTGATGGCTGGAGGAAACGCATGACCTCGAGCGGCAGGTCGGTGGATATTGAGGACCTTCGTATGGGTCTAAGACTTAGCCCTGTTAGGGTTAGAGATGTCGAAGAGACCGACAATGTTGTCCCAATGAGGCTTTCTGGTATTCAGGAAGAGGAGGAATATGAAGAGACCGAAGAATTCGAACAAAATGGCGCAGGCATCTACGAATATGAACAAGAGCCGCAAAGACTTAGGTCTCCCAGCCCGGTCGAATCGCTACATTTGGTTCCAGCACCTGGATACGAAGCCGAGAATGAATCCGACTCCGACTCGAGTAGCATCTTCCAAGATGAAGATATCGATATAGAGGATTTGGATGCTGAGGAGCCCAACGTCCAGGTCCTCCAAGAATCCGTATACGAAGCTTCAATGGACTCGCCTCCGCTACCGATACCACCACAGCTCAGTCCGCTTAAGGACTCATACTCGTCAGGTAATAGGGGAGTTACCGGACGTGAACACGGGCACCGCAAAAGGCCTGGGGATTTCACGACTATTATCGAGGAAAATACATGGGATTTGGCGGTAGAAGAGGAACAAGCACCAGCTCCCCCGCCTCATCTAATTAAACCTCAATCACCCCAGCAGCAGAAAAAGACGGCAACGGGCAAGGCTTCGCCGCCATGGCAAGATCTAACTCGGCCCAGCTCGACAGCTTCATATGATAGCCCTCTTTTCGGCAAGTCGGGTGAGAGGCCATCGCAGTCAGATCCTTCCCGCAAGTTATTTTCGAAGCCTACCTCCAGCCCTAGCCAGCCCACACAGACCAAGTCGCAACCAGAACCAGGAAGCGCAAATACACAAGCTTCTAGTAAGCCATCGAGGAGACCGGCTTCGTCAAGGGAATCGCCGGGTCCATTAACAGCCGAAATTAAGAGAACGACATCAGACCCGACCGACCCACGACCACTTCAGAAAGCCGCCTCCATATTATCGAAACAAACCACTCCCGCCACGCAATCGCGACCTAACTCTTCCTCATCTACCAAAGCAACAATCACCGTTGTTTCAGAAAACAAACAATCGCCACAACAACCATCGATACCTCGTCCCCGCTCACCTCTCCGTAACAACCAAACTGCTTCATCACGCCTCCCAAGACCGAATAGTGGCGGTAACCCACCACCTCAAAGTCCATTAACTATGAACACTATCGCAGCAAAACTAGCCGCCGCAGAACGCGATGCTGACGCCGCGCGTGTTAAGGCTAAGCTACGTGCAATCAGAGGCGGTCGGAAGCGCGATACCGCGTTGAACCTAGCGCCCGCTTCTTCAGGGTCGGCCGGTGAACAAGTCGAGGAAGCAAAGACGACTCCAACCAAAGTAAAGAAAGAGAATAATGGAGATTCCGAATCCATGGACCCGGTTAAGAGGGACCCTGCTCCTACATCGTCATCTCGATCAGCGCGGAGAGAAAATTTACGACCAGCACCAGCGGCAACGGGTCAAAATGACGCTGAAACGGATGATTTAGCGGGGTCGTTTAATGGTAATGGGGTGAGTGATAATGTGAAGGTTACGAAACGCAGACGCGACCGTGGTGAGCGTCGCACGAGTAAAGTCGCCTCGCGTAGGAGGAGTACCCTGAGTCCTTGGGAGATGCAGACGCTTATTCAGGGGCAAGCTGCGGGACCTGGTACGCCGGTGAACTGCAGCTAAGCTACCCAGGACTAGACATTGGAAGTTCAATTTTTTGGGTAGGCTATTGCTTGCTATTTGGGCTTGTGGGGAGGGAAGAGAAGAGAAGCCTACTACACGAGGAGTGACGAGCGCATGAGCGGATGGAACAAGTGAACGAAATGAACGATAGGCCTAGTGGGCATAATCGTAATTAAGGCGGTCCGAGAACTTAAACATCCCGAGCTACGTAAGAGTTGACACGACAGCCTGCAGAGGCTAGGGTTATGACAGGGTGGTTGGAATGGGTGGGTGGGATGGTTGGGAGATGTTATGAGATGAGATGAAATGTACAGCACCACACACATACGCCCTATTCACTTCTATTCTCCTCTCCGGGAACGAGAGTTGAGTTCAGTTGGTGAGTAGGGAGGTTTTACGAGGATCATGAACAGTTTTTTAGCCGATAGGCGAGACACCCACAACAGCAGTACAAGCGGTAGAGCTGGCTGACTGACTAGTTTATTAATTTATTTTGTTTATATCATTTTATCGTGTTCGTGATTGTCTTGTTTTGTTCTTTGTATGAAATCCGTAAGTTGTAAATTAGGATAATGTCTCGATTGGCGTGAATGGCGGCTTGGAAACTCATTTACATTGATTGCTCTTTGGGATAATGCCTTGATGTTTCTACGAAGCTACAACTGTCGCGGCCACCATTACTAGAACTGTTGAAAGACTTGCGCGCAATTATAAATCATCGATCTGTATTATCAACGCAATAAAAGCAGAGCGAGCATCACCAGCTTATACGAGCCGGGCCGCAGAGTATTATACAGTAAGCTCCCGTAAGAGCGGGTATCATAAGTAAAGGCTAACCAAGCCTGTGTCACTAATGAAATACTCTTTCCATGCGATGCTTCCTAGACGCCTTTCTTATGCAAGTGTATCGAAGTTCAGAATGGGAAAAATGAAAAAAAGAAACGATGAAGGCTGAGCCCGGCACTCCGTTCGCAATTCCCTGGTCGCAAAGTATCCTCCTATATCATCTGTCGAAATATCGTATCCCGTTCATTCGACGGGGACGAACGATATGGATTTAATAACCCTATGATCAGACATAAGTATGGTGCGCCGTGGGTTGTCGATCAGGATGTAACGAAGGTATGTGTTTCGGCAGACCCTTGACCAGACGTGCGCCATGCTTCTTAGCAGCCCACTCCTTGAGATCGTCCTTCGTCGTCGCTCCACCGCGATAGTATATCGTGCGTACACCTCTCTGAATCAGCTTCGCCAATAAGGTGTCTAAGAATAATTCGTGTCCGACATCAACGATACGCAGATTGGGGAAACCGTCGACGATGGCGAGCACTACCGCCTCCAATAACGTGTGATCGTAGAAATTATATTGAGTGAATCCCGTTAAGCTCATGTATGTGATGTGCTCGCTCTTAAACCAGGCTGGGATTGTAGGTGCAGAGCGGTCCTGGAAGAAATCGTTGACGGGCAAAGGTCGGAGGTCTAACTCCTGTAGTGTGCCAGACTCCAAACTAGGCCGAACCATGGACTCGAATTCAATCTGGGTGAGAGGCGTGCGGAACAATAACGATAGTTTCTCAAGTCGAGGAAGATGCGGAACGGCTATAGGGCCAGTATGTAGGATCAGTAGAGTAGTCGTTGGGACGGTTATAACGACGGGGGCATTGTTCATACAGCAGTGAGCAGAAAGAGCGCGGCCTTCCAAATGCAATTCACGCATGTCTTCATCGAAGCACGGTTCCTCCCCATTCGATACCACGATACTCGGAACCTGGCAATCTCCAACAAAGAAGCGTCGGAGTTTCGACCAGTGGGTCCTTATAGTCAACGGATTGTATTCGAAAAGGTCAATCCAGGCCTCTTCAATATTAGGTGTCAATTCCATGAGGCCGAGCTATAGACGACGAGAGGTTAACGTCTAGAAGATGTACCTCGATAAAGCCAACTTACCAAGTTAACATGATTGAATGGTTGGTTGAATGGTAAGATGCCTTCTAGAGTTGAAAGTCGGACTGTCTTCAGGTGTTCTAGCTTTGGCCAGCCTTGGTACCATAATCCAGGTGACGTTTGCGATAGGGTGTAGGACGCATCGGGTTGCGGAAGCTCGAAGATAGAAAGTTCCTCTAACGAATTATGTGACGGTGTAATCAAGTGTCGTAGAGCGGTAGGTGTCATCCGTATCCCAACGCCCAGGTAGATTTCCACCAGTCGAAGGTGATTGACGTTCTCTGGCAATACTTTCAACGTGTAGGAAGCTCGAGTAACTTCTCGAAGTTTGAGAAACTTGAGGTTTCTGGAGTATTGTAGAACACGCGGGAGATCACACTGTTCCAGAAAGCGGGCGCAACCATCAATGGATAACTCTGTAACGCCGCCAGCAGCATAACCAGCATACGCCTTGAAGGTGGGAAACATCTTTCGGGGGCCCGGAGGGGTCAGTGTGGTGTACCTGAATTGCTGGACCTTCCATATGTCGCTCAAGGCAGGTCCAGTCAAGACAGCTCTCCAGGTTTTGGAAATTCTTAGGCAGCGACTATCGGCATAGTTAGTGTACAATGATACCCTGCTGGTAATAGTTCAGCAACCTACCATACTGTCTGAAAGTCCAGATACTTAAAGATCATGTTGATAAGCTCAACAGGAAGAATGGTCATAGGGTCAAAGGTGACCGAAAGCAGGACCGTGTTGATCTGAGATTTGATTTTCTACGCATGGCAATCAGCAAGTACTTTAGCGATGTCTGACGAGCTTACTTACGTTCAACAGAGCATGATTCGGGTGCTTTCGTTTAACGAGCTCAACACCTTGCTTGTAGGTGTAGTAGGCGAGAGTTTGCTGGTTCTTTAGCCTCAAAATCTTACCCAAACGCAGGTAACTCTGGAAGACGGGTTAGTACATCCACACATTAGCGCAGGGTAGAGTAATAGTACCTTAGGTTCCCTGGGGGAGAGATTAATCATCTTGGCAGCGAACTGGACGCCCTCATCAAGTCGGCCTTGCACCTCATACGTAGCGATGAGAGAATCAAGCGCATCGACATGAACTGGATTATCACAACGCTTACAAGACGCCGACTTCTTTGCCAAGGTTCCCTTGAGGTCCTTCTCAGCGATACCCTTCAAGATCTCATCATCAATGCGGGGTTGCTTCTGGACGGCGAAGCCACAATTGCACAGATCCATGGCCTAGCGGAATAAGCATTTGTCTAGCCGATCGGAGTTACTAAACAACTTACCCGGAAGAGTGCCCTTTCCGCACGATCGTATTGCTTCTGTCCATAGAATTCCATTCCCTTCTTCAGGTAAGCAGCCGAAGGCCGATCCGTCTTGTGGCGCATGCTAGTCGCCATTTTGGGGAATTGGCGTGTATGTATCACAAAGATGAGGTGCGGGTTTGTCAATACGGAGGAAAGGAAGAGAACGCGACGATCAACAGAAGAATTGGGTTGTCACCAACCACTGTGTGGATTTACGACGAAATGGATGTGGTGTATTGTTATCAACTTGCCATAAATATTGCAGTAAGAAGTTGAAATTGTTGAAAAGGTCGCCGTTGTAGAAAAGAAGTCACGTCCAGGATACAAAATTATTAATGGGACGCGGTTGCAGTTCGAATAGAATACGCGTAAAGTGCATCGGCGTATCGGTAGTTGATTATAGTTTAGCGGGGTAGTGGGGGTGTTGCTCGCTATATTCCAGTAAAATTACCACGTTCCCGAGTACCTACCTAAAGTAATGCAAACTAAGAAAATCAAGCAAACATTTTGGTTAGGGAAGGTTCTTCACAGCAATTAGAACCTTTTCCCATACCGGTAGGTAGCTACCCAATTTAGTTCATGGGTCCTTCTTAGTTGATTTTCAAATCGGCATCGGCATCGGCATCGTAATCCCCACGTACTTCGTAAGTCTATTAAGAAAGTTCTGACCAACGTCTATTATTAGGCAATTTAGTGCTAAACTATATATATGCCTACTAACAATTACCTCGATTTGAATTCCTAGTCAAAGAAGTATCACGTCATTGACAGAGGAATAATATACGGTAACATCTCTAAGTACCTACCTAGGTAGGTATGTATCATATGGAGAAAAAGAGAAAAATCACACACTAAGTAGTACATGATCTGTCCTACCTGATAATTACCCTCTGGTATGAAAATACATACGGACGAACCCATATAATTTCTATTGAAATTTCGTTCTCGGGAAAACAAAATTGCTGACTTGTTCTTACCTATCACATGCTTCGCCGATCCAACCCGTTGATTCTATTTCGGACTTATAGTCAAGTATGGCTATGGGTGGTCGTATGAACACATCGTGAGACCTCCCGTCCCCAACAAAGAAGCATTATATCCGTCAGCAGTGGAGAAATCCCGTTGTGGGGGAAGAGAGGTTGAAAGCCTAAATCAAGACCAAGTCATGCCTATATATATACATATATATATACGGGAAGTCAAGGAAGTGTTAGGTATGTACGTAGTACCGAAATCCTAACCAAGACCGAGAATGCGGGGGCCAGAAGTTGGAAACTCATCTCGGTGCTATGACTATTTTCTCATGAAACAGTCCCGGATTAGAAAGGCAGACTAGACTTCTTTCTAACAGTCCTTTTTTTAATTGAAGGACGACGATATACCGTGACCTTGGAATACAGGTTTAGAATTACAACGCTTGGCAAATAGGAAACAAAAGCACCTAGCAGAGACCTAAGTCCGCCTATTCCGGAACTAACATATATTAAATATACGGCACGAGGTGACGATGACGCATACACACCCACCTACGGCCCGGACGAGAGCACCAGGATCTTTTTTCTCCGTTGCGCTAGGGGATTTTGATAACAATATCTAAATAGGAACGAGGCATTGTAGTACCGAAGGAGCCGTGAAGCGACCCGACGCCACAGGGCTTAGATAACCTCTATCTCCTCTTTTTCTCTTTTCTCTTTTATCATGGGCACTCGCCTCTATCCTACTCTAGCGTCGGCTCTCGCGCCATCAACGAAATAGTCATGAAATCCCGAGTTCCTATGGAGTCCGCCCAACAACGAGGCGCAGTGGTACAATACCCCGTATTTCCATTGATTGGCAACCCCGGCCCAGAGGCCGGGTAACACAAGTAGGCAGTAGGCGATAGATAGATTAGATACTTATACGAAGATAGCGAGGATCAATGTGGATGCGGAGAATTATACCTAATAGTAGATAGCCAAATACCAATACCCAATCTATCTCAAACAATGTCTCCCTTGAATTTAATCCCCCACTTCTTTTTCATCCAGGGAGCATTTTTTTCTCCTTTGCCGCTTTTCATTTCTTATTTTTATATACCAAGTCTCGTCCCTTGTTTTATCAAGTCGCAAGCTTAGCTCTTCTTAGCCAACTTGCCCGGGCCGCCCCAGGGAACACAGTAAGGCATATAGATCTGATGGGTCATGATGTGATGTACATTTTCTCTTGCTTTCCAACTGTCATCAATGGATTTGACGTATTATTCCATTTTTCTATACCCCAACCTTCTGCATTCCCTCTGGTAACAGGAACAAGACTATAATAGCTCCTACCTTGGATACGTCCCCTCCATCAATTATCGTAATGACAAGAGCTTTGCCCCTTGCAGGATCAATTCAGCCTAGTTCCAATCCGCAATCAGCACGGCGTTCCTCATGGACCATTTAGCTCGGACGGCTCCATGGTGAACATAGTAAGACCTTTTTTTCTATCTATGTCCTTTCGCGGAGTAGAAATTTGAGAATATCGTGGCTGTATCATGAACCGGAGGGGCAATGCCGACGCAGGTAGGTAAGTAAAGTGAGTACTCGGTAAACAGCTAGGTTCTCTCGGTCTATGCCTAGGTATGTATGAGGTAATCATGCAATCGAGTATTTACAGTACTTAGTAGATGATAGTAAGCTTATCGATCTATCTATATTCGGCTTTCTTCTCTCGGGTTACCCAAGTTAGAAATATTTATATGCGACTTTGACAATTGAAACTCAGCCCTGCGGGTTTGATAATAATTGATGGTTAGGTAGACGGCGATAGGTAGGTCCAGGTAGCGAGCAGCATACCATATTTGCATATGTTGTGTAAGGGTACAATCGTAGGGAATGGGTATCTCGCGTCTACGGCGTCAGGGGGCGCCTAAATGGTGGCCCCCCAAAAAACCACGTGGAACAGTTATGGGAGTGGTGGAATCGGAATGTGGCAGATGCCTAACTACCTAAGGTACGTAACAAATTCATAGTAAGACAAGCAAATCAGTAAAAAGAACCAGACACTCTGCGCTGTTGAGGAAATGAGTCGCACGATGACGGTTATGGCTGATTAAGATGGATGTAGCGAGTGGGTGTGTGGCGCGAGACGCATATTGGTCGCGGCATAATGTGTGATGTACTCTGCATCCGTTCCCACGTCGTTCCTATATCGTACATGATATGGGTAGGTATGGGTAGGTTTGCGTGGTTTTGCGTCGTGTGAGTAAAAATGAGTCCTACATAAATGTAGTTGCAATGGTGGTGTGTATGGTGTGTATGGACGGGTTACGTATGTATGCAGTCATTCGTATGTACCTACATAGTTAGATGTCTCAGACTATCTAGATAGTTTAGCAGATCGGAGAGGTGGTTGGTTGGATGTCGCATGTTGCTGTGGGTTGTTAAATCGAAAAAGGGAGAGACCAGCCGAGCCGGCCGAAAAGGGAACAAGGTGTAGAGAATAATGTTATTGATTTTTCTAGAAAGAATAGACTAGTGGTAGATCCCCTTGATTTTTTTTTTTTCTTTATTTTTAGCCAACCTATCACGATACCTTATTGGCAAGTTTACTACGTACCGAGAAAACCACAAAACTACAAGACACTCCAAGACAACTACAGCTTCATGATCTTATCGGGCCGCCAGCCCCACCAAAGCTGATGGCGGGGCTGGCGTTTGTCGTGTTGAGATCCGCCTGTAGACCGGGTTGGTACAGGCTGTGAGTCTTTTGATGTATGTATTGTATCTATTCTGTAAATAGGTAAATATCTAATCTGCTTCTAGGTACCCAGGTATATATCCTAACTTAGTAGCAACCGGTAATCTGTATTGCGACGCATCTGCCGTTCACATGTTAAGTAACTGCCCGATTCTGCCAGAAGCAAACCACCAACATTCCTCAGCAAAGCCGAATGGTTCAAATGGTTCGAATGGTTGGGTGGGTTACAAGTGCATCGCATCGCGGTTCCTGTTCTCTGGGTCCAACCCGCACCTGTCGTTCGTTCGAGTCGTAATACGGGTGCTGACTGGCCCGGCATTGTGGGAAGTGCTCACGGACGCACGTTTGGCTTGTCTTACTACGCTAGCCACAGGATTCGTGGTGTGGGATACGGGGGGTTATTTCTCAACCTATCAACGAAAAGCAGTCATCTGTGCATCCATCCACAACATGCAACATGCAGGCCTAGCTACCCTGCGTAGCGTAGCGTAGCTTTTGTACCCACGATCTACCTATGTAAGATGATGGGTGGCCTCACAGCTGTAAGGCTGGCAAGGCTATTTTGATAGGGGCAAAATTTGCAACTACATCTCAAGATAGATTAGGAATTATTAGAGAAGGAAAAAAAATTGGTTGTATTCTTAAAATTGTCTCATTTTAGGTCTCATAAGTCGGCCATCTAATGTCAAGGCACATTGACTTAAACGCCTCAATTTCTACTTTAACTAAAACTCTTAAGGGTTATTAATGATTTATTCAAATACGTATTTAATTTGATAGCTTGGTCAGCTATTTCATTAAATGTGTAAATATCTAGGCTACCTTATTAGTCCATATTATCTATGCGATTATTGATGAATATTCTTATGCAGTTGGTTTTTGGCTCATCATAGGAGTTTATAGCACCATCCATTTTGATAGTTTTATATTTCTAGATTAGTCAAAAAGTGCAGAATCGCTTAGAAATCAAAATACTAGTGTTGCTTATTCACCCACACAGATGACATGTGCGTGCATGCACGATTTACATGTGTGAGTAGGGATCAAGATCTAGTCACTTCTCAGTTAAACAAATGTTAATTGAACCGCCTTCTATCGAATTTGTATTGCTATGCTAAATCGATCCACCCCGGACTTGCGGTTTGTCCTCCTCTCTATTTCCCCTGAGAGATCTAATCTAGATGGTGGTATATAGAGCGTCTTCGTAACCAGTACGAAGCGCGAAGCGCTGTTGTTGTAGATGATGTAAGAGTGAGTAGTAGAAATCCAGTCGGCTATTAGGCTGTACCATGCAGTCCATGAAATTCCGATCTGTTCCACCACTAAGAACAAATCCGGCTTGCCCTTTTCTCTCTTCCGGCATCCCAAAACCTAGCTCTGCTAGTTGCGGCCTCTTTGAAAAAGAAATGAGTAACAGTACATGACCGATGCCGGTTGCTGCCTGAGCGTGATTAGACTGGCTGGTGTTACACAGAAAAACGAGCTGCTCTGCAGATTCGTGTAAGACAGAAACAGTGACTCAGGAGAAGAGATAAACACCAGATGAGAGGAAAAAGATGTAGCCCAGGAATTGTGAGGTTATTCAAAACCATCCAATTCGTCCCAAGGAAATTCAGATTC